CTAGCCTACAGACTTACCTACTGTAAGGGCAAGTCACAAGACAGACCCCTAAGCACGGAAATTCCGGGACAGCACCCGACTTGAGATCAAATGCGGGTGGGATTCCTGCTTCACGGCATATACGCACCAACATGCATTTTCGTGTTACCAACAAACTTACCAAACATCTACTTTGGGACTATCGTAGGAAAACAATTCAACGACTGCTGATCTACTCCGTGTTAGAGCATTTCTTCAAATGCCTAGAAAAGCAATTGGCTATAAGAGATATGATATCCATACGGATGGCTTAGCGCTTGACTTACTAAACTCCTAAAATAAAATCCTAAACAATTATAGTCACAAACTAGGATATGTTTGTCACCGGTAGGCTACATCGAATACTCGAGGGGCAATTTCTTTGAACACACCAAGCCGTGAATTGAGATGTTTTGAAAGTTTGCGCTTTTAGTTGGGGACTTTTGTTGCAGGGAAATATGGCGATACTAGAATATCCGACATGTAATCCTAGCTTGTGACTCTCGTTACGTCTGTATATGGATCAATTTTGACAAATGCACTTATATTTTCCACCGCGGAAATGCAATTTCCTCGAAACATCTGAAGTTTGGGATCGCAATTATTAAAAATCCAAAAATGAACATTTACATCTATGTGAATCGTTTGCCGATATCCCAAAATTAACGAAATTGACACATGTCGTGTCACCAGTAGCCTGGCTTCGAAATGTAGAGCAGATCTTCTAGACGATGCTTACTACGAGATATAGATTGATTAAAATCACCCGTTCTATAGCCCATCAACCATGGCCTTGGGAATTGTTCAGACGTCAGCCACGCCTATTAATGTGTCGGTGCTGAGCTCAGCCCTTTTCTGCGGGCATTGTTAGTAACATCCCCCCCCCCTTACGGCGGCGACTAGGCGACTAAAGTCACTTGATGAGCACTTTTTCTCCATATACGATGTTTCCAACTAGCGATGATCTACTGCAAGATAAAGTTAAAAATATACCCTTGTTCTTTAGCATCGATGTGATCGACGGGTCATCAGGTCCGACGCTGAGGTTGCCACGGACATCCTGACGATTGCTTCTTATGATCTCGCGCTAATTTAGCCTCATAGTTCCAATGAACATCAAAGAATTGGAATAATAGTACTGACCCCAAAATGAAATATGCATATTTTCTTTAATTTGTCTTCGCAGAGGATCTTTACTTCTAGAAGCTGTGGCAGATATTACGGTGTTACCCCTGGTTGCATTTCCCCTGTGAGGTGTGTTGTCGACCGAACGATAAATGCCAAAAGCTTCAATCAACAACAGCGCCCAACAGTTCAATATACAATAGTGTAACTCAAATGATGGACGGGTTGCTTCGCAGACGTCCATACGTAAGTACGTTACCTACTGGCAAGCTGTCAACTGTATCTTGGAACCTCTAGGGGACTAGGGGAGGTTGGTGTCGGGGCGACGCTACGGCGTTAGATTACAGGTTCATCCAAAGGGGAAGAAGAGATGTCGGGTTACGACGAATACTACTAGTAAGCCATAAAACCCCATTGCTTCTTCCACTATGGCGACATATGTTACTAGTTAGTTGTGTGGTTACGCCCCGGCAACTATCCCGAGAGGGTTGGCGATGATCTACCAGTACGAGGATCGCTATGACCTGGTCTAGACCTAATTTCCTCCTCATCTGCTGTACAAACATACTCTTTACAGACTCATGCGCATCGTGGTAACACCAGAACCCGGAAGACCCCGAGTTGCTTGGGAAATTCGGCACATAGAAGCCGTTCAATCGTGATGGAAACAATCCGAGTTGGTCTTATTCAATGCGGTTTTTTGTTCTGATCATGCCACAGAAACTCACTAAAAGCGGCGGTTGGGAAATTGGGAGGTAGGTACTAATACACCGACCTACTAAGGGATGACAAGAGCTGGCATTTGCCGATGGTGGCGTATATTGATTTCCTGATCCCACCCCACGCCACAGCCGTGGACGGAACTATGATGGTAAATCCTTATTAAACATGCCGAGCTCTGGAACGTATCCGAAGCGATAACTACCTCGCATCCGGTGGTGACCTCTTGCTTTATCTAAGCTTTTTCGCATGCCATGGATGGACGGCTGAGGAGTGTCTTGTACCCGACTTGTTACCCCTATTTTGAAAAAATGGCGCCGTAAGCAACTGCACTCGGGGTAACACAAACGCACTTACTTATGCCTAAATTGCTTCTTCTTCCCCAAGTCACACCCGCGAAACGAGGCTTGTGACCGGCGAATAGGCATTGGCACTTGATTCACGCAAGAGTCAGATTTTCTAGCGGTGATAGGGGCTGAACACACCCACCAAGTAAATAGATTAAAATGCCAATTCTAGTGAAGATAAGGACCCCATAGGCCTGGTACTTGGTGTATATGCCGCTCTCAACCTCAATATCGGCATCATTCCATGCCCCTTCTAGAAGCAATATAATGTAGCAGGGCCAAGACGCGACTCGAGATGCTAACTCTTGGTGGAAGGTGTGATTTCTTCATCTTCATCGAGCCCAGACTGGACGGTTCTGACGAGCAAATATAATCATATTGAAGTGATCGCGAGTTATAAATCCCCGTAAATGGCTACTATAGTGGGTCGATTTGCAGTCGGCATTGGGATAGCTCTGATCGTGGCTGCTGCTTATACGATCTATCCTCAACAACCTACATCCTACATATGTTTACACTAAGCACAAGCAGACACTGTGTTGCTGCTACAGGATATATTGAATCGTAAAAATCCCCATTCGTGGATCCTTTTCACGATTTCGAGTGGCTCGCTCAATTAACTAGGGACGCTCATTTAAGCAGTGTGATAGTGTCGAGCGGTGAACTACAGATGGGTGATTTTCTCCGAGGATATTCAAATTCATATTGAAGCATTTGAAATGTGAATATCGATGACGATTATAGTAGGACAATTACTGGGCGTGTCCCCTAAAATGAACCTTTAGAGCGACTCAGTGTACTGGTGTAGTGTACTTGTGCTCCCTATCGCCACTGACACCCAGCCATCTCCCAGCTACACGAGTAGCATGCCAATTATGCCTTACATGTCGCTCTTGAACTAATGCGGGTACCATGTCATTGTACATTCGCTGAGGTATAGGTGTAACCAAGCGGATATTATAGCGGCAATAGATGTTAAGGCAGGTAATAGATTGGCTCTGAGCTATGAGGGTGCTTCATATTCTGAATACGAAGGCAATTTACGCATGATATTAAACTACGAAGTTTAAACATATCTGGGACTATCCACATCATGGTAAATGGACTGCTTCTTTAAGCATACGATGTTGTTAGCATGCCTTGGCAATCCCAAGCCAATGGCTCACTGCCATGAACCGTTCATGTACCTACTAGACGTATCGGTACAATAGTGAATATAGATACATCAACCCAGACTAATCGATCTAATCCCATAGCTTCACCTTTAGATCTAGGAGTATAAACTCCTATCTATAGTGGCAAAGGCCTTCAGCCCTTTTAGTCTAAGCCTAATGTAGGTACATGTGAATTCAGCCCATGCTCTCGGGGCCGCTCTAAACGCTGATCTGAGAGCGACGACTCGATCTAAGATGGAGGAAACCAATAGGAGTAATGGAAGAAGATCGAAACTAATATTGCTAACGCTCGGGTCATGTTCAATTCCTAAACTACCTATCAATGTGCCCGGAGTATTACGCAGAGATTCCTTAGTCAAGCACGTCAACGCTGTTTAAGCATATCTAACTGACTCGCTAGCGCATCATGGTCCCCTACTATCACAGCCCCATGACATGATAGAACAGCTATGGAAGCATGGCATAAACGAGGTAGAACAAATCAATCATACGCCTTACCGCGGCGGCGGGCGCGTTCACGTGTACAATCTCCAAGAGACGAACCATAACCTAATCGCAGAGCCGCCTGCTCTCGAAGCGCGCTAGAATCGTTAGGGCTGATGATTCTGGGGTATGGTACGGTAGCGTAGGTATGTCGGGATAGTGTCGTCACCGGTCTGAACGAAACAAAGAAACTCCGCTCTATAATCACAAGGGAACCAAGATTCGTCAGCTCCTGTGACTCTTACCTTTGTCGGACCAAGTTTTCGGGTCTCGTCGCCCAATCAAGTTTATCATAATCCTTCAGTCTTTACCAATTTCGCAATTCGACCTATGAACCTACGAATAAATTTATTGTTCTCGAAGGTGGCGTGGGAGCGGGGAAGAATGTGTATTTTGCACATCTACCAAGGGTACAGCAGTATGTAAGACTTTAGAAGAGGGGTATCGCCCAAAGAAATGTAGTATGGCGCTCATATAACTCCCTCGGCAGGCTGGCTAGCTGCGTATACTAGCTAGGCAGCAGCGAGATTATAATCCAATTGAACCAATGAAGTGTCTCCGGCATCATCATCTTGATAGCGAACTTCCTTTTTCGCAATTTCCACCTGCAGCCACGTCCTTGCTAAGTTAGCTATTGACGTAGCCTGCCGTGTGCTATCACTTCACCGCTTCGCCGTATAACTTTATAAGGCAATATTCCGAAAATAAATATGCAGGACTTGTGCGCAGGCTATAGATATGGCTTACGCAGCCTCTTTGGCTACAATCGGAGTAGAATCGTCGTTCTTGAATCAATCGGAGTCATTTTGCAAGATAGCGAGGGTGAGCGATGGCGTATAGGCCTTGGCAATAGCGATGGTGTGCTTGTTGGTTGGAGCAAGGCTCTGATCAAAACCACCACCAATTGTAGTATTCTCTCATATCACTTCACTTGAGATAGAATCAATTCTACATGTCAATTGACGTTATTCTTGTAAAACCTGTTGATTTAATTGGTCTTTAATTAGAATTCTAATCCATCTTCGTTCGCCATTGCGGTAAGACTACGCGCGAACGTTTCGAACTGTAGCAGAAACAGCCTTGGCGATAGTTTCAGTCGTCCTGCCAAGAGCGTTTCAACTACGAAGATACCATGCCTCACTCCGACAACTTGTATTCAATGAATGCCGACCAAGGCGAGGATGGCGAGGATTATGCAGATCAATTATCGCCTTCAGACGGCTATTTTGCCTCTTCATCCTCGTCATCCCATGCTGTGCCAAACGTGCCAAACGTCTTCGTCCCCGACCCCACACTACAAGAAACATCGGAGTTGGACGCGGAATCAAAAGCTCGAGAGGCGGAAGAAGAAAGACTTTTATCCAACGCCGAAAGGATTGAGAATTATTACTCCGAGAGCAATTACCATCCCATAACGTCAGGCAGCAGTCGAGAATCTGGTCAATCAGAGAATCGCGCCACTAGTTCGATCGCATCGCGTCAAGCTCAATTTAATCCCACGTCCATATATACGTATTCGCCGTCGTCAGCTTCACATAACCCTCTGCGAAACTATCCGACACGAACGCGGGCCTCTTCAGTATATTCTGACGCGCCACCGGCGTACTCTCCTTCGCCCGTGACTCCCGTCGTACCTATCAACCAACCGACCCAATCTAGAACATACAGCACATTCACATCTACCATGGGTGTTGCGGATATTATTGAAAATGAGAGGCTGCTAGAGCGAGGTCCCGAAAGCATCGGCCAACCACATGACGAAGAAGTTGGTGGCACGCCACCACATTGGAGTCGTCGAGTTAGAAGACGGCTGCCTACGTGGCTCGGTTGCCGAACCCTGACGCTTGGTCTGATTGTACTGGTTGTTTCGATTGGATTTTTAGCAGGCTCCTTCCGAATATCTAAGCAGGATGATCATGTAAGCCGGGATCCCCGACTTTTCTTCAGTTCAGCCACAATCTAGCGGAACCTTTTACTAATATGGTGATCCAGAGGAAGACTATCGGGGCACAGCCCGTTGTGCAGATTCCGCCAAATTCCGGAAAGGAACCCGTAACTGCCGAACCCGTTACCGAGGAGCCGGTAGCTGCAGCTCCTTTCCAACCATCATACTGTGAGGATGCGCAGTACCGTTTCGATGACCAGGTCTTGGCCCTCAACTTTGATGTGGGCCGAAATGTCACCTTCATAGAGGACCAGCATGCGCACCCGGGAACAAGCCAAGTGCACGTCGCCGGCCAAATCAACGTGCGACGACTTGATGCCGGCGGCGAGCCACGCTTGGTATTGGAGATCGCTACCAACGACAAGGGTGTCTTACTCGACGTCTTCACTGATGAAGATGCCCAGGCCATGAAGGTGAGCGTCCCGAAGAAGTACGACTCCGTCGACCCAGAATCTTGGCCTTGTGTTGAGATGAGGGCAACGATCTGGGTCCCCTCAGATGGAGAAATCGGCGTGCTCTCTCTAGGCGCAGTTCATCTCGATATTCTTCTCCTAGACGACCTGTCTATCCACGTGACGGACTATTCCCGGATTTCATCAGTGGTTGGTGGCATCAGCTCTGGTGCAGAGCAACCTCTTTCTTACAATGACTCCCTATTTCTGCCGATGGCGCCAGATTACACTTTCGTGCCCGCAAAGTCTTCGTATGTACTCGACTCGCGCATCATTGAAGTGACAACGACGTCCGGCAGGGTTGACGGTAACTGGCCTCTGTACGATATGCTTGGGCTACACACGACCTCAGGCGACATCAAAGTCTCAATCACGCCAAGGGAAGAGCTTGAGGAGGACCCGAAACCGGCCGTCCTGTCCTTGAGTTCGATTTCTGGCGCCGTTCACGCTACGGAACCTGTACATACCGAACCATGGATCCCCCTGCGTGACTACCTTGTCGACATTAAGTCTACCTCAGGCGGGATCCACGGCGCCCTCGCATTCGGTGCCGGTATCGAGCTTAAGAGTATTGCTAGCGATACTGCTCTTGATCTGCTTCCTGTTATCAACGAGAACAAGTTGTCACCAGCCCAGCCAGCTCAATTAGAGACCACGACAACAAGCGGTACTACCGCTCTCCGCATACTTGAACCACTCTGGTTTGGACGAAATGGCACGACTGCTAGCAAGCCCCTGAACTGCCTCCAAGCTATCCACAAGTCTACTAGTGGGGACATCGGACTGCGGTATCCCCAGGCGTGGGAGGGATACCTCCAAGCCGAGACAACAAGCGGAAGACTTCAAGTGAGAGGGAAAGACGTTAAGATAATCAAGTCGGTTGGTGGTTGGCCAGGATCTAAGTTGGAAGCGCAGAAGGGCCCTGGTGGTCCCGGCTCAACCGTTCAGGTTCATGCATTGATGGGTAGTTTGGACGCTGTCATTGGCAGGGAATAATGAACAAAGGCATTAGTATATATGGTACTCAGGTATATATTTGAGAAGCGGGAGTTTGGTGTGATGAAGGATTGAAGAGGACATATGGGACTTGGGAGATTAGGAATACCCTCGCATTCGTTACTTTGGTTCTACTCAGGGATGAGATTCATGGCGTTGAGGTTAGCCCGCATAGGTTGGGTGTTGGGGCGATTCTCTTTGAAATTTGGAATGCAATGAAATATTCTTTTTATGTTTTATGTTTTGCGTGTCTTTAGTACTTTCTGGTTGATGTAGTTGGAAGTTTGGTTAGCTGGATATAAGGTTACTCCATACGTGTTATCTGCATAACCTTAAGGGGTGACTAGCTCCATCGAGGCTCCCATTTCCGATTAGGTAGGCCCATTAATCAATCAATACGAAGTCGAAATAAACTTATCTTATATTTCTAGGAAGGGGCCTGGAGGGTATTGCTTCACGGAAGGAACTTACGTATTAATCATATCCCGTAATTGGCAAGTTCACTAGCTATCCCGATCCTAACCATCATTATCGCAACCATAACTATTACGAACTGCTAGATCAGAGCAGCATGTGTTAAGTCACCAAAACCCGGAATTTCTTAGTCAATCGTTATATACATAAAAAAGAAAAACAGAAGAACTGTACATATCTCAAATACCGGCTACCAAATAATCACTTCTATCCGACCCCACGAACCGGTGAAACCCACGCAAGATGTGTTAGATACACAAACATTGGAAGGTCTGCTTGACCTGTCTTAGCATCACGCCGGGTAGCCAGGCGACCCAATATTGCCGCGTGAGGGAGCGACACCGTATAATAGACATATCACCGTCCACCTGCCCCAGAAATCATGGCCTTCCTTATGCGCCACATGTCGAGATCATCAACGAAGGGGAGTGGCAAAACTGCTTCTACTGTGTTTCGGGATTCGAGTTCCCATATGAAGCTGTTGAGATAGAAGCCAGAGAGCTGTCGCGTTTTCGGTTAGGGGCCGGCGACCCCTCCTCGGAAAATGAAGACGACTCACGAATACTACCTTTACGTCCGCGACCAATATCTCTCCCGGAAGAACCATCAGTAAGCCAACGGCAAATACCTATACAATCACCACCTCGACCACCACAGCCTTATGGCGGAACAGTCTCCGATGATGTCCCCGATACTGAGGAACACGATCACCCTGAAGGGATCCCGGCCTCACTATGGGTGACTTTTCCACCCAGATTGCAGGTGGCGGTCACGCAGGCTTTGAACAGGCCATCGCTTGATGATGAAATTGAGATCGATGTGGATGAGCTTTTACGGAGTGGCCCAGGGTCTGGTCGGCGCGGGGGTAGGCGGCGCGGGCATCGTGAAATACTGTGAGCGTCCTGCTTAGGGATTCCGAAGAGTGCCAGCGTGAGTCCTCGGTGGGCAGAACGAATCAGTATTCCAATTTACAATCGACTGCAACAGTCTAAGTGCCAAGGGAAGACATTATGTTGGACACATCACTACTGGAGGGGAATTCAATAGGCCTTAATCCAGCGATACCTTAATGTTATACTCCGAGTCAAACCCTCCAAGGAGGGAGTACTTAGTGTTCAGCGGTATACTCATCACCACACGGTTTATACCCATAATAGCACCCAAGCGTCTAGTTAATTGTTAATGAGACCAAAAATAATCGAGATCATAGATTAGGATGCATTCAGCCTCGTACATAACAGTTGAATGTGATGAAGTCGATGTAGTACCAGCACATGGCATCAATGTGTCCTTTGAAGGTACCTGCCTCTCCGTTATTTTATCTGATGTTTCCCATTCCTTTCACGACAGACTGCCGTGACACAAGACTGGCACTGATCAATTCATTCAACTTAAACAATGAGGAACCGACGTCTTTGTCTTTTTTGCGGACCCTCAATTGCCCCGTCCAGGACGTGTCGTGAACAATAGATGCGCAATTGGTAGTGTTGTCGTGACGAGGTGACAGTTGAAATGATGACCAACTTCGGTTCACCATTCAAGTACAGCACACACGACGAATGACCCACGCGGAGTCACTTTGTCGCCCTCGGAAACCCTCTTTGATTATTATTCTTTTCAATATTTGTTTGTAGGGCACATCTTACTAAAATCGCAGTTCCTTCATCTCAGCAATGCCAACCCAAGGACCGCATCCGCAACAATCAAGCGCATTTTCACCGTCTACCTAGTACCTGTTTGCTACATCAATACTATTTAAAATTTCACTCTGCGATAAAACGCCGTGTCACAACAAATCTCTTTTTCCGTCTCTCGTGTTACATCTCTGAGACCATGTGCGTCGAAGTTTGGAACATCTACCGAGGGTGCAACCACAAGACATACCAAAACACCGCGCTCTGCCCCGTCGCCAAAAGATGTCCACCCGAAGCTGATATGACCCTGGACAAGACCAAGTTCCTCCCTGATAATCAGCCCAAGATACCCCCCGGCCTTCTACAATGCAAGCTAAAGACCGCCACGAAGCCTGTAGCCTCGGAATGCCCTAAGTGCGCAAGACAGAAGCAAGCTGCCCGCGATGGAGCCACGTCTCGTTCTGGATCTAACCAGTCCACGTTGAGAGGTAAGAGTTCCGGTGTGCTTGAGACTATCGACGAGTAGGCGTGGAGGAAATCTAGCTAACTCATACGGCAGGTCAACGACTCGGTAGTCCGTCGCCGGAGGGAGAGGGGGTGAAGCGACTTCGCGATTCTCTGATAATGCTAGAGGATTATCGAAAGCCACCTTTTGGACCTGATGGCAAATAGCCGGAAGTCTGTTGGAGGACCCCGCGATGAGATTTCTGCGCGGTTGATGTATCTAGCATGAGACGGATAGATGGAGGGATTTCCGTCCGTAGTCCGCAGTGAATAGCAGCATGGTACGAGAAAAAGGCGTTTCCAACAATTGAATCAGCTTCGATCCTTGCGTGACGGTGACTTTTTAACGGAGTCTATAATCATGCGCAGATAATAAATAGCCCATTGCACTTCTGGATCCTCATGTTGCGGGTCATCCGGAGTATTGTCTCTTATGTATTCAAAGGCGTCCCTCGGATGATCTTTCGTCATACTCAATAACTCTGCGGGGCTGTCTCGCATCCAAAAGAGTGGAATTGCCATGTAAGGCGAATCCCAAGACCATATTTTCGGAGACGGGGCCTCCTCAACGAAATTATATAAGATGTCGAAATGTTTGTAGCTATCGTCATTCGCAACTTGTAAGGAGTCGCTTAAGAGCTCCCTGAAATAAGCGCCGTCGTTTCCCACGAAAGGGTGAAGATGATACAAAGTTTTGTATTATAATTCCCTCGGAGAAATAGTATAATCGGCTAGAAGAGGGACTGGGGTTCTGGGATATAGTCTAGGAATGGATAAAGAAGTTATATCCCCTATTAACCCCAATAAGGCAAAGACCTTATCCCTAGGATCAGAGCAAGACCATTTTGAGAAAGTTGATAGTAGCAGGTGCAGAATCCTCTGGTGATAGTAGGGAGAACAGCTTCGCCAGTAAGACCTGTAGCCAGGTAGTATCTTTCCTACTACTTTTTGTTCTGTTGCCGTTTCCGGAAGTCTAGTAAAATTAAGCCAGGAGTCCGACCGCCAGAAGCTTAACTGCCCACATAGTATAAAGATGTGTGACGGAAGTATAAATTCCTGAATAATCCACATTCTCGACCAATATGGGCGCATAAAGAGGTTCGCAATAGCCTTTTCAGATTTCTTTAATTCTTGTTCGTATTCTCCCCAGTATCCCGGACACCAATCACGATCGGGGAGGTGAAACAAGCTGTGCATAGCCAAATTGGAATCGTCGTATTCGGGCCCGAGCCAAGCAATGACTGAATCTGCGGAAGAGAAGATGTCTCTCATCATGTTGACTTGATGACCACGTTCAAAGTCGCCTTGTTGGTTTATACATATAGCATCGACCCAAAACCTGTTCCACAACTTCTTGGAGTTAAATTGTTGGTCTATGGGCATGCTTCCCGTTATTGAGGGCATATTTGTTGGCTCAAGATCAGGTCTAATAAGACTCTTTAAGACGCAAAGGACAGCCCACAGATTATCGCGTACGAAGTAGGGTCTTCTGTTAAGTGTTATTTTGTGGCCAGGAGAATCCTCCCCCCATGTATAAGAGAGCGCGATAAAACTGGGACATTGAGATATTTCGTATGTTTCGAGGTAGCATCGAATCAAATTATCCCCTAGACCTACGTTAGGAATAAATTTCAATAGTCTAATTTGGCGGCTGGATCTGTCTATTGGGGTGTATTTGAAGATACCGGATGCCATGGTTAATGCAGTTAGCTTTGTGTAGTTGAACTGGGAATTGAAACTAGGAGTGTATAGTTATAATCAGATTTTAGGTAGTAAGAAAGGAAACGTCTGAAGTTGTTAATATAGATCACTGCCCCAAGTCATCACCACAAAGGCAGTGCTCCAGATGAATGCTGTCAATACCTCATTTGTCGATAATGATCACACGTTGCGTTACAAGGTCATTAATGAAGGCCTAATAACTAGCTAACCTGGAATGGCTACAATACCTGGATGCATACGTATGGTGAACTCCTGGCTGGTTTCAAGAAGCCATCCAGATCGCGCCAATGGAAAGACATTTTGACGAAGACTGTCGACTTCTATGAAGCGAATGCACAGTAAATGGAGAGATGATTAGGATGTGGTTAGGGGAGCGTAGAGAGGGCTGGGGAGTTAAATCTGTGGGGTAGGCGGCTATATTAGCGCCCATATAGTGAGGAACCATACCCACGGATCTGGGCAGCTTACCGTACTGGGATAGCTTAGGAAGGGATTGAGGTCGCAACCTCAACGTACCTTCCCACCTTCCCACATGGAGCTCTCGCATATCTTCTTTAATAATCAACACCATGATACCATGTCATTGCGCCCTTCCAAGGTAGCATTCTGTCCACAATCTTTCTACGCATGACTATCTCTTCCTTTTCTTATTTGCCATGGCGAAAAAGGCGCGTCAAAGGATAAGCTATGGTTCGTCATTTCTATTGATTATTTTATATATACTAGTTTCCCCTCTATCAATCCATTGATCTTCGCCCACCCCGCATAATCTAGCAGCCACCAGATCTCCCTATTGTCGCGGCTTACTATTCATTCCTTTGGTTGGGTGATTTCGCCGAGCAAGTGACTATCTATCCATCTTGATTAATATCCTAACAATTGATTGATTCTCCAGTTCTTGAACTTGACCATTCCTCCTCGGGTGGTCATAGGCTCGGTGTAAACGGGCTTGCCGTTGACCGAGACAATGCCATCCTGTAAGCTTCGTCCTCTTTAATGCCGACCCCTCCCACCTGTTAACATTGTCGCATAGTTATTCCGGCGGAAGAGATGGAGTCATCTGCGCTTGGGACCTGAACCTCGATTTAAATTACCATTCCGAATTTGACCGTTCGTCCACCCAAGATGCGAAACCCACGAAATTCCGCGCTTCCACCCAGGCTCACACACATTGGGTCAACGATATCGTTCTCGCCGCCAATAACACCGCTCTCGTCTCCGCATCCTCCGACCTAACCGTAAAGGTATGGCGACCCGAATTAGGCGACACCGAACCCCACACCATCGGCCAACACGCCGACTACGTAAAATGCGTCGCGACACCCAGCTCCGCAGACTGGGTTGCCTCCGGCGGTCTCGACCGAAAGATATACCTCTGGGACCTCAACGGGAAGGGAAAATCGCTAGAAATCGACGTTAAGGGCGACGATGTTAGCGAAAAAGCCTCCGTATACGCCATGAGCGTCGGTCGTAATATTCTCGCCAGTGGAGGTCCAGAGTCAATCGTGCGGCTATGGGATCCGAGGTCGGGCGGGAGGATTACCAAATTAGTTGGTCATACGGATAATATCCGCGCGATATTGATGAATGAGGCTGGTGATACTGTTATGACTGCTAGTTCTGACCAGACTGTCAAAGTATGGAGCGTCGCCGCTGGTAGGTGTATGCATACGCTCACTATGCACAATGATAGTGTCTGGTCGCTCTTCTCTGAAGATCCTGAGCTCGGCGTTTTTTATAGCAGCGATCGATCTGGTCTTATTGTCAAGACGGATACCAGAGGAACCGTGGAGATGGACGAAGGCTTGTCCGTTGCCGTAGCCCAGGAACATGACGGCGCTAATAAGGTGGTGGCCTGCGGGGATTATATATGGACTGCTACATCAAGCTCTTCCATCAACAGGTGGACAAATGTCGAAACTGGCCCCAGCGCTCAACTCCCGGAACCCTTTAGGCATTTGAGGGCGAGTAGCCCAGTTTCGCGATCTCGAAAACCATCTGCCGCATCTGTCGACGAAGCAGGGAAGAACGAGATCCCTACAAAATCTATATTACGGATATCAAATACTGCTATTTTCCCACCAGAACTTAATGGCGCTTCGGAATCGAATATGACACTCGGCTTACCCTCTAGGAAAGGCTCCGAGATCATTGCCGATCCTGTTGTTCCTACTATTGAGCCCATACACCATTTACCGGAAGAAACGATTGAGGGCCAGAACGGACTGGTGAAACATAAGCTTCTAAATGATAGACGGCGTGTTTTGACTTTAGATACCGCAGGTGATGTATTATTATGGGATCTCATTAGAGTAAGTTTTCTTATAAGCGACATTACATCTGCGCTCGACTCACAGAAAGTAGTGCGAAGTAATCCAGAGATTTGGGAAGAAACATTTAGAGGATGTTGAACCGGAAGTCAATACTCTAGAAGCAGTTGCTCCTTGGTGTTCGATCGAAACGAGTTCTGGAAACTTGACGGTCATATTAGAGCCTTTCAATTGTTTTGACGCGGAGATGTACGCCGATGAATTAGTTCTAGCGGAGCCGGTTGAATTCCGTGAAGATCAGAGAAGTACGTTCAAATATCACTAAAGCGATTCAAAGACTAATTGGATTGTAGTAAATCTTGGTAGATGGATTCTTCGATATTTATTTGCGAAATTAATCGACGAGGAAATCAAACGGGACGAGCTTCATAGACTAAAACTAAATGAGGTTGTAGAGAAGCGACAAGCAGCCCAGATAAGGCCGCCGGTATCGATCACTATACCTACTTCAAACCCCCAAGGCTGGGGGTCCAGCGACTCTCCGGTGGCAACTCCAAGAGCGAACGGTGCCAATTATCCACTAACTCCTGGGTTAGCGATAGGCGTAGCTACCCCTGCTCCTAATTTACTGGGAGTTTCTGAGGGTCTGGCTACACCCACCAGCCCTCTCGATAAACCATCTCATCATCCAAACCGACCATCTGGTGAAGACTACTTCTCTAGTGGTATCAGTTCAGCGGATGCCCCGGCAAGGCCAGCCACGACCCCGGCAGCTGCAGATCAAGCACCTGCTAAGGAAGAGACACCAAAGTCTCCAGTAGATACAAAAGATAAAGATAAAGAGGCAGCTAAGTCTCCAAGTACACCATTTGGAAAGAAATTTCGAATGGGAATGTCTTTTGGTACGAAGAAGGGGAGGTCAGCGTCGACTAATATCGAGAAACCTACTACTTCGGAGGACAAAACGGAAGAGAATAAATCGGAATCATCGTCGAATCACGAAAAGGAAATAGACGACAATTTTCGCGGTGTCATCCAAAAGATGCATAACGAATACGAGAAGCAATTGGTGGACACTCCGGACAAACTTGTCGAAACGAAGATAACACCGGCTCTACCAATCGATGCACCAGTTCTAAAACTGCCACCTGGGACGAAAGTCATTATTCAGGAAGAAACATCTGGTGGAAGTGCCAACTTGTATAGAGGCACGGTGATGAGCGTTGGTGTTGACGCCGATATTATCGAAGAGAAAGCACCGATGTGGTTGGGAGAAGTTTTGCTTACGAACATGATTCCACAGAAAGAGCCTGTCAAGGTCTCATTTGTGTTACATCCTTGGAAAGATTCATTACCGAGCATTGCGACGGCGGATGGGAATAGCCGTCTCAACGCTAATAGGATGCTAAGAGTAAAGAAAATTCTAGCTTATGTGGCTGAGAGGATTGATCCACAGACCGAAGAACCTCAGCCGGGAGCTTTGAAACCTGAGGAGTATTTGGAATTATATTGCAACGAACAGGTATGTATTTGTTATATGGACGCGAAAGCAATGCTAACTATTCGATTTAGTTATTACCGATTACTATGAGCCTTGCAACTTTACGAGCTCATGTATGGAAAGGTGGCAGCGATGTTGTCCTATACTATAAAGCGAATGGCCGGAAGGAAATCCCGAAAGAACTCCCACAGCCGACACTCGACGATCCTGCAGTTTCTGATCCCGGTGGTCAGCAAACAATACCGCCAATAGCTACTGTAAGTTGATACGGTTGGAATTGGAGTTGTATGACTAGGAGAGAGGGTATCATCCATTCGTCTATATCTAAAAGGGGTATTCTACTATCTATTGTACATACTCTCCCGTTAAGCTACCCTTCAAACGTAGCTTTGAGCGTATATCCCCTTCGTTATATATACAGCGAGTGCCATCTGGCCTCGATCTCCTCGCATTTGTTTGTTTTAAGTTTGTCGGATATGTGAGTGTCATATGGCATTTCCTTGTAACGCATTTACAGCCCATTGATAGCTTCCGAGGAATATTGCTCCTCCGGCACTAATCCACATGACACGAGGGCCTATGCCAGCAAAAAACGGCCGTATTCCGTGGTTGCTCAATAGGTCTCTTAGAATCGTAAAAACCTTTTCTCGCTCCTTAGATAGCATAACCCGTGTTTTTAACACGTCTAGTGGTGTCGTAATCCCCGCGGCCACAGCGCCCGACACACTTCCATAAAGCGCACTTTCACCAGCACTAACCTCAGCCGAACCACCCCTACTACTCGTCCCGCTTAACATCTTCCGCCGCCTACCCCAGCCCTTCAAAGCTTCCCAGAGCGGGAATTGTATCACAGTAAACGGCACCTCGCGCATTACCGTTATACCCCAACCTCGATAGAGCTCGCGCCACACGCCTCCCAGTCCTACGGTTTTGTACTGCGAGAGTATCGCGCTTAAAGCCGCAGCACTAGAACCCCCATGTAACCCAGCTTGCGCGCGCTGTTTAACAACCTCAGTCGGCACACGCACAGCACAAGCCGCGACTTCACCCAGACTCGCAGCGAGCATATGTTCCAGCGGCGCTGCCCAAGAATTCCCTACTTCCAAAGTTTTTTTCATCCCATGAACGGGATCTCTTTCCAAACCAACCCCACCCCCATTTATCCATCGTTGTTCCTGCTCCCGCTGTAACCGCCTCGTAGATAAAACCCCCTTAACGCCCTCATACGTGCAGAAGAAAAACGCAGCGCCGGGTGCTGAGCCGACGAGTGCGGAGCCTACGCCTCGGTATATACCTCGGAAACCGCCTGAGGGGAAAAAACCTTCGCGCGATTGGAGACGGGTTTTTAGGGTGTCGAGGGGGAAGAGGGAGAGGTCGACTGTGGTGCCGGCTATGCCGCCGGCTAGGAGGGCTGTTGCGAAGGGTGGTTGCGGTGGTTGGGGGGCCATTGTGGGTGGGTGTTAGGTTTGTCGGGATGATTGGAGGTTTAAACTCCCGTTCGAGAGCTTAGGTACGGATTGCGAGTAGTGGACTCAAGGCCATCGCCAGGAGCGCAGTCGGAATATTGCCTCTAGTTTGCTTGGGGTTGAGCACGTGGGTAGCTTGATCAAGTCGCTGACGATAGTGGGAATCTAAAAAATAAACGCTCTAGGTCTCTAGCGACTTTACAGCGATTTCGGATGACGGGCTGGCAGGGAGCTATAGCGGGTCTGGCGGGACGCTCTAGGCTATGTCCACTGAGGGGCTATCGATAGCTTTATCGATAGGTATAAACCATCCCACCTTCACTAATCTTTTTCTAATGGCGACAAGCTAGAACTCTTATAAACTTTACATCCTTTTTCCCTTTATATCAGTCAAATTTCCAGCAATACTCTGTTATAGCTGGAAATAGGAATAAAATCGTAAAATGGAATGGGCACGCCCCACAATGTCTTGCACACAGGGGCTAGGCCTATCCGCCTATCCGAATTCCTCGACGCTCTACGTGCTACATGCACGCCTCGATTTCCCCATGCGAGGGGAACACACCACAGGAGAGCCGGTAAGCCATCTCTATTTAATCCCCATATATAATTGAGTTGAGTTGCTTACGGGTTACACAGTATTGGCGATAAGTGGTGGTGTTGACTCTATGGCTCTGGCCTATCTCTGTTCACGAGTCCGCCGTCAAGATCCTGATTTCAAGATTTCCGATAATCCTGTGTCTGGGTTCATCAGTTTGATCATTGATCATAAACTTCGAAAAGGGTCTAGCGAAGAGGCTCTCGCTGTTTCTCTCGCTCTCAAGGATATGGGTATCTTGACCGAAGTAGCCGAGCTGAACTGGCCTAAGGCTATAGGTCCTGGCAATGATCCCAATGACTTAACTAATGTCGAAAGTATGGCGCGCACGCTTCGCTACCAGAGATTTGGTAATATGTGTGCCTATCGTAATATGGCTAGCATTCTTCTTGCGCACCATGAAGATGATCAATACGAGACTGTTCTCATGCGTTTGTTACAAGGCCATGGTACCCGAGGCCTGCGAGGAATGAAGAAAGCTCATGATATTCCTGAGTGTGATGGGATGCATGGTGCTAGCAAAAGTGGCTACGTTGATGATCAAAGACGAGAGTATCCCTTCTATAACACAAGGCCATCATACAGAGAACGAAAGCATATGAAGCAGGCGCTAAGACAAGACGTCTCTGAGCTTATGAACCAAGCAGATCTAGACGAAGATCCTGTGACAGGCTTGGCCGACGTCGATGTGGAAGAATTTTACTTTCCGAAAGGGTATATGCCTAGCGCGCCTGCACCACTCGAGATTGAGGATGGTGGCGTTACGATATATCGGCCCTTACTGGAATTTAGCAAGGACCGTCTGATTGCGACATGTCTAGCGAATAATATTCCATGGTGGGAAGATGAAACTAATAAAGACCCGACGCTCACGATGAGAAACGCGGTTCGACATCTATACAAGGGCTATGCGCTCCCCACGGCCATCCAGAAACCAGCTATCCTCGCCCTTTCAAAGAGGTGTGTACGGAAGGTCGAAGCTCAGGAAGCTGAAGCGAATAGACTCCTAAGGCAAGCTATCATTCATGATTTCGAGCCAAATGCTGGAACCGCGACGGTTCAATTCCCGAACATCAGACTTCCTTCAGTGGGAAGGGGGCGTCATTCGTCCTTACGTCGCCAAGCAGTTTTATCAAAGCAAAAAGAAATTGCTGCAATTCTCGTACGCAAGGTCTTCTCTCTAGTCAGCCCGGAGCTCCAACCACCCCTTGTCTCAACTCTTGAAAGCCACGTGTTTCGCCTCTTCCCATCTCTCGCTAGCTCTGAAGAGGCGGCCGCAGCAAATCCACCAAAACCCTTTACGCTCTCCGGAGTTTTTCTTGTACCGATCGTACCCAGTTCAGGGAAAACGGCAGACCAGCCACTCACATGGTATCTTTCTCGTGCACCATACCCCTCGACAGCGCCACTGCCCCGCAGCCGGATGCCGTACTGGGCTACAAAAGACAATCGCAGGGAACAGTGGCAGATGTCAACAAAAACGCCATTCATGCTTTGGGACGGTCGGTATTGGGTGCACATTGAACACCGACTACCCTACCGCCTAATCGTCCTACCTTTTCTCCGCGAACACGCTAAGGTTTACCGCGAGTCGCTCACGCCTGAAGGTAGAAACCGGCTGGCTACCTTTTTAAAACGATATGCTCCTGGTAAGGTTAGGTATACCCTACCTGCTATCTACTTGGAGGAAGATCTAGATTTAAATAACCCAATTCCGCGCCCGAACTATCCGAACCCCGAACTAGGCTCCCAAGATTTGCACCCTAAGGTCCCTAATACTTCTAAGATGAGGCTGGTTGCGCTCCCTTCGATGGATAGCCAGGTCCCAGGGCTTGACGAGTGGGTGACGTTCGAGATTAGGTACAAGAGAGTGGATCGCGATGTCTTGCAGACTGCCGGGTCTTTTGATAGAGGCCCGTTCGTCTCGTTGCGAGAGCTCGGAAGACAGCGCGTTCTGGTTAGGAGACCAGTATCCCGACAGCGACGTGAATAATGGGGAATAAGATGGAGAAGTACCAGTGAATGCCTAGGTAGACTGAATTTAAGATACCCTTAATAAAACGACGGATTTACAGACTATCACTGGCTAAACAGCCAATCCGCAATCGCCCATCCCGTTGACCCACTGATTAGCATTCTCATGATGATTTCTATAAAACTTCTATATCATCAATCGTTTAACCTTTACGAATTATGCTTATTCTAACGGTATTCTTCGAGTAGAAACAAGCAAGACGTTCTATTCATAATCACATTCACTAAGAAAAGCTCAGCAGAAAAAAGAATCGATTTGGTATCATGCATGCAATGCAGCTCTATCTAATTTAGTTGTACACGGCGATGGCAAAGCGGTAATAGTAATAGTAGTAACAACTTTTGGTACACATCAACCACTGCTTCCATTTCCTATAGCCTAGGATTAGCACTCTCCGTCCTTATTGTGTCATGCCATTTCGGACAGGGTAGCTGAAAGTCGTAGACGGACACCTGCATATTAGGTGCCCAGAGTAAAGAACCTCAGAAAATCTCTGCTGTGCTTAAAGGCATTCGTAACGGTGTCGAGTCTCAACATCTCCCGTACTATTGCCTCTCCACACAACATGTGGGCAAGGCCTTCAAGTCGACGAGAAGCAGCAGGCCTCACTCTCCCACTCGCATGCTCCTTTCTCTTTCCCACCCCTTCACTTCCTTACACTCGGGGCCATACTATTCCACTAAAACGCGGCACCCCCAACACCCTCACCAGCAAATTTCTTCACACTAGCCTCCGAGAGCTCCAGTCGTAAATCGAGCACCTTGGACTCTCGTTCATATTTATCCCAGAGGGCAAGGTTCTTCCTTAATTTCTCTTCCTTGGCATATTTCTCCGCTCTTATCTTCTCTTCCTCTTCTTTCAATTGTTGATAATGCGGTAATAACTCGGGGAGAACACCTGTTGTAATAGCGAGATATTGCGGATCCATTTTACCACCCGGCACAACGGGGGGAACGGTCGCGAGAAGTTGTTGCGCGTGGGATTGAGGGGCTCGGTGGGTGCTGTTACTATTGCTGATTTCGGCGGCGGGACCCTTGGGTGGGTTAAAAGGTTTAGATTGGTTAACGGGCGTCGAAGGAACGGATTGCGAGGACGGGCCGGCGCGTGGACCTGTGGGGATAGTATTTACGCCGGTAGTAGCAGACGCGGAAGCAGGTCCCGCAGCAGGCGGCAGATTACGGCTCTGGATCGTACTGCCCCAGCCGGATCCTCCTCGTCCACCTCGACCATAACCACCTCCTCGTGAAGGCACATATCCACGAGGACCAGATGGCGGAGCACCCGGGCTTATATCTGCTCGACTCGATGCCGTTGGGGCGATGGGAGATGGTCTAGGGGGCGGGCCTATCGTCCCGCTAGACTGGCTCCCATAACTACGAGTATCTCGAGGTCCGGTTGGGGGGGCTCGAAGAGCAGCGGGCCCACGCGGCGGCGATCGAGCTGGAACGGATGGTTCTTTCGGGGTTCCCTGGGGAGTTTTCTCTCGAACTGGGAGACCATGCGAAGATCGAGATAAAGGTCTAGAGGGAACCGGCGACTGTGGTCGTGAACGATCGTCGCGACGAGGAGGAATAGGGTGTGGTGAAGATCTGCGAGATGTATCGCGAGACGGAATTGCCGAAGAAATAGCAGAATCACGGGGTGGCGAAGGTCGTCTACTATACGAAGGACCATATCGATCATCACGTCGATCCGGGCTGCGAGAACGAGCTCTATAAGTACTCGCTCTAGGAATAGGCGGAGGCGAACGTCGAGGAAGCGATCTATCTCGGACACGATCTCTATCGAAGGGGGATCTAGATCTTCGTCTGTAGGGAAGATTTGTTAGGGGGATGGATTTCGGGTTGTCATTCTGGGGTGGTGGGAACCTTGACTCGAAACCGCCTCTACGGGGAGATCGCATTCGATCTCTATCATCCCGTCTCGGTGAGAATCTTCGCGGTGGTGGACTTCTTCGGGGCGGACTACGACGAGGAGATCGCCGCGGAGGACTTCGGCGGAGACTACGGCTTCTATCTCGTCGTCTCCAGCTGTCTCCACCTAACTCTCTAGTATCTCGCCTGTCTCTAGAAGGCTCTCGGCGGTAGCGATCAGCGCTTCGGGAGCGGCGTCGTGGGGATCGGCTGGGAATATAGCGGTCGCTGTCTAGGGGAGGTGGTGGGCTACGACCTCTCGGAGGACTCCTTGCCCTACGAGGAGAGCGATTCGAATTGAATGGTCGGTACGACTCGCCAGCGCCATATCTAGTGACTTCGCCGTCATCATATCTGATTCGAAGTACTCAATTAGTCCTTTGTACCAGTACTAGGAACCAAAATAATCATGCCCCATAAATTTTGAGAAAAAGAGTGATCTTACCGCCTGCTTCTAGCGTCGCGATCCATGAAGCCACAAGAATACACACGCGCTCCGGTATCAGGATCGAACCAGGCAGTGGGCGAACGAGCCTGCGAACCGAACGAGGTCACGTCCGGGGCACGGGGAACGACAACGAATCCCGGTAAATCGAAACCAGGTCTAGATCTACGAGGAAACTGCGAAGTTCTCTCAAAATATCGAGTTGTTTCGGCAAATTCCGGTAAATTATGCTGTTGAGTGGTAGGTTGATAATTGCTCGTAATACGTTCTGTGGAAAGATGATGATGTTCAGGTGAAGAATGCCAATCGCCGGGCCCTGGAAATATTTGGCCGCCCCTAGCACGGCCGCGCCCTCTGCGGCGGAAACCGCGATCTTGACGGTGTCTAGCCATGACCAATGAGAGTGCGACGATAACGGGATAATGATACGCCTATCGCCCGTGGTCCACTTAAAAGTTCCTTGTGTTACACGGATACCTAAATAGGTAACTCTAGTACGCCTTGACGGTGGTGATGGATTGTTGAAAAATCAGGTGAAAAGGGGAGTATTCCAATCGTAAGGATAAATCCAGATCAATTCGTTTGGTACCTCGAAAGAAGAAGAAAAATTGGACGAAAATATCCGAAAGAATACTCTCGCCTTGTTGTCTGGAGTGTAAGTTGAGAAGGTCACCAAAATGGTTAAAGTGTCACGATCCACCAAACATTCACAAGATTTGGTGGGTAACTACTTTTCTAGATGTATTACAATGAAAGAGAAGTTGAGACAAAATGTGAAATGGTGCTCGATTGGTGTATATCAACCTACTGCAAAGTTGACAGTCCAATAGGAACCCTGCGTGCTTGAAAGAACAGTGCTACAAACGCATTACCCAGCAACCTGCTAGATTTATTTGACGAGGCCGATTACCCTACGCGCGCTGGTATATACAATCGCTTCGCATTCCCCATCCATGAAAAGTTCTCCCGGGAATCTATTTCTCATCTTCAGTGGTATTACCACTTCTCTCCGTATCAATCATCCTGTCCGTGATAAATTGAAATGTCTCCTTGGCGTGTGTCTCCATCATGCGATTTAGCCCACCTTCTGGGCTCCTCTGCACACCCCCGAACCGCTTCTTGAGCAGTTTCTTTGCCAATTCCCCATCCTTCCAGCACGCGTGGTCATTCGCGACGTATACGAGCGAATTGTGCTTATACCAACTCGACAACTCCGTATCCGTTTCCGACTTGACGGGTCGAAGATTTCCGATAACGAAGTTGATAACTCCCGCGATGCGACTCTTGCAATCTATTATACTGTCAATAATAAAAACTGGGCAAGAGATATAGGAAGATGCATACCTCGATTTGTCAAGAGAACCTTAATCCCTACGTATGCGTTTCCAACGCCCACGAGGAACAAATCCTCCACATCATATAATTGAAGGTAATTGTCCCAAATGTAGCATACCAATTCTTGGATTTGGCGTTGCAATGTCTTCTCGTCAGCCCGAGGGGTATAAGCATCTATATCCTCGGGGTGAGTGATGTATGGCGGGATGTTGATATCCATGATACCAAAGTTGTTCTTATAGGCCCAGTCGATGTAAGAGTTAACACCATCCAACTACTGCATATCAGTACTCGCCCCGCATAATTAGTATAAAGTTTACTTACGACAAAGCCATTGTGAGGATCGACCTTATTATCAATAGTATCCGGCATCACCTTCAATTCGGGGCTGTGTAACACATTAGTAAGACGCGGTTGGGGATTCCTATTGGTTTCACTCACGGGTCGTGAATAATGCACATGATTCTCCTCTTTGCCTGCAATCCTGGTGTGACGAGAACTTGGTTCTCAAATGACTTGTAAAGGAATTCTCTTTGGATAAATAGGGGGATCATGGCATATTTCTCTGATAATATCTGTCGTTGGTAGCCTCGGATAACATCGTGAAGACGAGATGTCTTTTCTCCAAGCCCCTGGACATCAATGACTCCGGGTCTCATGCATTCCCAAAAAGGAGCTTGGGTGGCTTTTACTTTGGCTAGCAATTTCGCAGCCTCCTTGTTGATGGGTGGCATTTCCATCTGAGGCGGTGGTTCGCCCATAAGTGTCTGAGCAACAGCTAGAGCTGAGTGGGATATCGCCTTCAAGTTATACCCTCCCTCCAAGCAAACGGCCACCTTTCCGCCGGCAAGCGACATAAGCATATGGGTCATATGAGCATAGCAGCTGGGCGTAACGAAACATCCTCCTAGTTCGTCCCCATCGGCGGCGTCGAAGCCTGCCGAAATGATGACCATATCCGGGTTGAATTCCTGCGCAATTGGCATGACAATCTTTTGAAAAGCAGCCAAGTATTCGCCGTCACCCATTCCTTGAGATGGCCATGCAATATTGACGTTGAATCCTTGACCCTTCCCCTCACCAACTTTATCTATATCTCCGTCGGGTATCATAGGATTGTCAGGTTTTCCTGGGTAGAAATTGCCGTTATCATATACGTGTAGGGATATATAGAGGGTATTCGGATCTTCGTAGAACATATTTTGCACACCATTTCCATGATGGACGTCCCAATCCAAAATGAGAACTTTTCTGCAAGTATCTGGGTATTCGGCTTGACAGACCTTGGCGCCAATAGGAACGTTGTTGAACAGACAGAAACCCATCGGGGTATCGTATTCTGCGTGGTGTCCCGGCGGTCGGATGATGGCGAATGCATTCTTGACCTGACCAGCAGCGACGTTCTTGCATGTCTCTACGCACCCTCCTGCCGCTAGCAGTGCTGCTTCATAAGACATACCGCCAACGTAAAGAGAGGCTCTGCCCTGGTCTAGGCTATGACTTAGTACCCGTAAGTCCCGTGTTGACATTTCAGAAAGACCTTGAACCCAATCATAATGTCTCGCTGTGTGTACTGTGCAGATTTCTTGTTTCGTCGCTGGGCGGGCTGGAATCCTCCACATATACTTCGTGGGGGTATCTCTTAAAATGTCGGCAAGGTCAGAGTCCGGCCCTGTATAAACGAGGCCAGCCTTCTTGAACATCTTCATAATCTCCTCAATTCTTCTCGGGTCCTCTGGGTGATGAGGCGACGGACCAAAATCAGCATTGGCATGGAGCTTCATCCTATCGTCGTAACAGCAACCGGTGGGAAGTAATCCTCGGCGTCGCATTGATTTTAGCACATATTCAGTATCACTAGAGGCATCGCTTTCATCCGTGTCGACGTTCATGCCATTATTGGTAGAAATATCGCCGTCTTCCCCTCCCACGGCAGGGGCGACGTGGGACTCGTCAAATCCATTCGGCGCATCTGCCATAGCTTGATCCTCGCCTTCCATAATGTTGTTGTATCTAACTTAGGAAGCTGGGGTACTTTTTTATTGTGAGAAGAATGCTGAAGGCTGCTATCAGGCGTGAAAAAGCTGATTTAGGAGTTTCCTGAAGTCACCCGATCGTCGAGCTTTCCTTGCGACACCAGCTAGCGGGCGAAGTAGCAACGGTGCTTTCACCGATGAACAGAAGGAAGTTCAAGTCTGGTGAATAAGCAACGATCTAGATGATCCAGGAATACTGATGGGTCGCATGCCCACAGCCCCTCGTGAGGTCACTTTCTGGTAAATCTCGAGGTATCGTATTAACCTATGAACTGGTCAGTTATGCGCATATGGAGTTTACATATGTGTAAACCGTGGAATATGCTTCTTATAGGGGAAACAGTAACTAAAATCAAACGTGATTGTATGAAGCAAGCAAATGCGATGAAGATGATGTTATCACACCCAACTCATACGACGAACAGGATGTTTTCTTTCGCCAAACCCCAGCAGATAATGTAGTAGTTCTCGCGTCGTTATATATGAACAACCGGGTTACTCATAATATTTCCCTATTATGATTGTATAAAGGGGATATAAAAAAGGGAGATGATGAAATCATATAAGTTCTTACACGCGATGAGTTTGCTGGCCTAACGAATCATGCAAGTCCCAGCCTCCCAGATAGATGAGAACGCCGAGTTGCAGATGAACAGCGACGGCGTCTTAAGCTCCTAAGTATTTCGTATGCAAAGTCGCCAATGAGATCTGAAGATCCCACGAAAAATACAAGTGCACTGCACTGAGCGCGGCGTGGTAGAATTAACGAGTGGTATCTCGAAGAGGCAGGGGAGAGCTTGGTTGCATGGATCAGGATGTAAGTAAACTGTAGACTCTCTAAGTAAACCGCCTAGGCCAGTAATGTTTTTAGCGAGTCTAAGATTTGGGGGGTACCTGCCATGTACCTTTTTAGCTATGGGGCGGCACGTCGGACCTGCGTATCCCCGTTAAATGTAGGGGTTCTAGGGTGCTTAGTACTTGCCTACGGTAGGAATTTTAGGCCTCTAGGTCGTATGTACCTTCCCACGATGCTGGATAATAAACAAATGGGTTCACATTCTTATCTATTGAAGTTTTTATTTCTATTTATTGCAGTAATAAACTCGCTAGGTACCTTCTAGTACAGGGTTTGGAAATGTTAATTAAAGGTTAATTGCAGTTCCTATTTTCTATGTGTAGGTACTTACCCGAGCATGCTACAGGGACGATTAGTTTCAGTATTCCTGTGTCCCTAAGACAATACCCAGAAAACGTCACCAACCATCACATTCACAGTAGTAACAGCAAGATTTATATAATATTGGTGTAGTTTTCTGTTTTAAAATATAATAAACTAGTGATACTTTACAAATAGGCAGGCCATGTACAATTCTCAAGCGAAGAAAAGTCATAATCCTGAACGAAGTGAATGCGAGAGGCCCGACCACCATTTTCTCAAGCGTCGAGACCTCCAATGCAATGAGCAAAAGGGGTATTGTGGTAGCAAAGTCCATCCTCAGCTCGATGTTCAGTATTCCTCCTATGCCATGGTGCCGATGAAACGAAAAGCGAAAAACGAAAAACCCAGGAAAAGTGTTCTTGTACAATGTCGTTACAATACCTAAATCCCCCTCGGCAGTGATCTCTTTGAGTATGCCGCAAAGAACTTTCGTAGTGAAAGATGCGACGCTAATATGATGTTCAGGCCCTTAGTCCTGAAGGCTGGCGACGATCGAGGAGGAGAATTTGGTTAAATCTGATCAAGTAAAAAGGAAATGTTGCTGTCCTATATGGCTGAAAGCTTATATGCCTGGTTGTGGATGACTGAAGAATGATTGGAAGACCCTAGGTGTAGATATGGTCGCCCTGCTGATCAAGACGATGATGCGATTGACGAGAATGGGAGCCATCCTAAGAGCGATAGTAGGAACCATGCCACCTACTTACGACGACGGAACTCCGCAGATCCAGGACCACGTCGGGGACAACCGAAAAGAGGGCCTTTCTCTTGCGATGTGTTGAAGATCTTCTTACAACCACGGCAGCGACGGAATCGACCACGTTGCTACCATGGATGAGGAATATCCTTACCGTCGTCACCTCGGAGGACCATTTCTGACGGATCACGCTCGTAGAACTTCAAATCCTCGGGATTGACAGGAATTCGTCCACCGGGCCAGGCGTCATTGTTCCACGAATTGTCTTCATTGAATTTCCTATCTTCATCCATAAGACCGATGCGCGGAAGAAGGATATTAAGCTTGTCTTGTATCTTCAAGACCACGCGTTCCTGAATAGCCTTGCCGACGGATACAGAAAGGGTCTCTGTATCGCGATCGAATTCACGTATAGCCTCGGATACCATCGGGATGGTGAAATGCTTCTTGCGGTTCTGGTAATAGGTCAGGAAGTAGCGAAGCTGTTCAGGGTTGAGCTTCATGTAAGTCTTAACAATCTTCGTGTGACGGCCTTCATCGACTCCCCATGGAACGAGGTCAACACTATAGCCATTCTACGAACCAATCAGCAACAATCTTTCGTAGTAATCACAATCTCGAAAAACTTACCTCGCAGAGACAAACTCGTTCAGGAGTGGAGCAGAGATCCTTGCTCACGGTTTCTTCCACCACGCGCCAAAGATCTGCCACCTCAAACATCTCGACAGTTGACATAACTCGGAAATGATGCATTCTCGTATCCTGTTCCCATCGCTTGGGCTGCTGAAAGTTGCGGTACGAATAAACGGATCCATGATGGAAATGCGCATACAACCACCAGTACCCGATTGTCTTTCTCAGGCGAACTTCCTCACCGGCTCGCAGGCAACGGCGATTTTCAGGCTCCTCTCGCCAGTGAAGTCGGGGGTATGTTTCAACCCACCAATCAATCACCTTTGCATGGAACCAGAGCGTCTCGATATCAGCCATCTTGAGGGTGATTGTAGGAATAACAGGAGTATGACCGTCCGGAGACTTCGCGGGAGCGACGGTGGGTTGCATCAGATTGATAGTATGCGGTCCTGCCTTTAGATCGATAATGCGAGGATAGAGCATACGGGCCGGGTGGAGCTCGGCCTTTTCGGAGGTGCAGATGTATAGTAAGCTGTTGAACTCGGGCAGGCTTCGGAGGAGTCGGGTCATCACGATATGCTTCTGGCCGTTGAAGATATTGAGTAGCCAGCGGCAGCAGATTGCAAACTTGGAAATATCGGTGGCAGACATATGTCGCATAATCTCCAGGATGAGTTCAGCAGAAAGATCGTGAAGCCGAGCTCCAACGGGGGAACTTGATTCCATGGTGACGGCCGACATATCGCCGGGTATTGACTGGGCTGACATAGTCCCAAACCCTGAAAAAGTTGTTCTCAAAAACGTCTCAAAGGAATGGAATCGACTCCTCAAGCGTATTCAGGTAAGAATCGAGAAAAAGAACAATCGAAAAAGGCAGGGTAGCAGTATCAGGGCGAAGACTGCTTGCTGTAGGGTCGGTGGACTGGTAGGCTGTTCAGTGTCAAATAACGGATGTTGTGGAGGACGGCCTTGATCCTGAAAAGTAGTCAGGCGCCACCAAGACACCAGTCAAGGGACAGCTTCAAGACTCCCCCAGAAAAGGGCCCCGAAAGAGCCTCAAACGAGCGTATATGCCTTAAATCTGTTTTCCACCAAGACGGAAGGATGGGAAGTGGTTTCGGAGAGGAGAGGATAGAGGAGCAATGTTTAGAAGAGTAATATTCAGAGGAGTAAATAGAAAGGTGGGAGAACGCGTGGGGATTGCAAAAGAAAAATAAATGAACTGTGCATGTAATAAGAGTTTTTCCTAGATGCCGCGAAACAGTAGAAACAACCGGAGCAGGACGTGTTTTCGGTTGCTCAAATCTCGCGAGCAGTAAGCAACAAGCAATTCAGTGGTCGGTGGCAGCCTTTAGGAGATGCACCCGTTAGAACAGGCTTTAATGGTAGGCCCAAACTCGTTTGTCTCAGCAAAATTCACCCTTCACAGAAAGAACCTCTTGAGAATTTGCACAAGTATAGAGGATGCTTGTTGGCCCCGAATTGGCCAGGTCCCAAAGCAGTTCCGCGCTTGAGAATTCCCCGGTACAAATGAAGGCGCCGGAATAATGTTTCTCGGATTGGTTCGCAGGCAATAGGTTCTCCTTCTCCCAGTCACGCCAGCCAGCCAATTCGCCAATTTTATTACTGCGAACCTTAAACTCAAAACCCTTTCTATCCCTTTTTAACGTGAACAGGTTCACATATAACGTCTCGATTAGACAACTGGAAACGTCTTTCTCCTACTCGTATATCGCCTTCCTCTCGCACCTTAAGATTGGGGTAATAGGGCTCCTCAGCCAACCCGATGCTAGGGCACACGACAGCACTCTCTCAGCCTGTCACCACCTAGCACCCCTGAGTTGACCCAGGGGCGGAGAGCTCCTCAACTCAATCTGCGAGAACCCCTCCTTTGGGGCTATACTGGAATAATGTACTTAGCAGTTGCATGGTATGCAGCTGCAGTTGTTTCGCCATGAAGGCGAAATCATCACGTGCCGGTGCCATATTGTTGCTTAAAGGAAAAGAGAAGAAGATTGATTGAAGTGGCAGGGGAGATTAGGCCAGCCTTGTATATGACGATGGAGCTTACAGAGCTACAGGGGGGAGCTCGGACGCTAATTTCGGACTAATTATATGCCTAGCGTCAGCCACATCCGCATAGAATAGGAGGCGTTGTAGATGTACCTAGATCTAAGTAATGTGCATAAGATTATACTGAATCTTGGCATTCTAATTATGAAAATATTATGAAACTGAAGTTTCATAACTTACTGCATTATCATACTACTAATAATTGAGAGATCGCATCAAGAGTTGATACCAATCACTGGGTTAGTATTTTACATATCGGATTCCATATATTTGGGTATGGAACCAGTCAACATATGGAGACTCGAGACGGGCCGCAGATATTCACTTGATTGTGTAATAGAGCCATTTGCCGCGTAAGATAATCTCAATTATGAATAGCATCTCTGCCGGGGAATTTTACCAATACCTGGGTGTCATGCAAACGCCAAGAACGCCAACGAACAAGAGACACCGCTCAGGCGAAGAGTTCTTTTGTGTCCAACGCATCTACTGGCATCTGCTTGCCACCACTAGTCCGCAAGCCCAGATCTCCCTTCTTAGCTAGTCTCTCAACGTACTGCTCCGCGCGAGCATTGTGCTTCGTAGCGCTTCTCTTCCGTAGGTCAGCTCTGACCTGGTTCGGCGAGACGAACTCCTTGTTCTCGTAGATAATCGGACCACCGAAAGATCCTTCTTGTATGACGATAGGCGTTAAGACGAATCGCGGACCAATTTCGACTAAGCTGATATCGAGCTCCTTATTTCGGCCCTTAGAGGACTTAGCATCCACATCCATATTTCCATCCTCTCCGGAGTTCGTTGTTGTAGCCTCAGACTCCTTGATCTGGTAATTTCGCACCCATATCCTTCCATCCGCGAATGTGAAACCCATGACATGATCTATAAACGGCTTAGATTTCCGAGTGCCTTGCGGCACGCCGAAAGTGTGGAGGAAAAGTTCCTTAATGACTTGTAGGTAGGGTTCCTTATCGAAGGCGGCGTCGAATGATAGAACGGGTCTCGAGCCCTTCAAGCAGTTGCCCGTGAAGTGCAACTCTAGATAGAAAAACAGTATTAGCTTTACTCATTACCACGAATTGAGCAGTATAAATAGTACTAACCTTCCATAGTATGCAGGTTTTGAAGGTGCATCTTGACTGTCGGGCCATTGGGGACCTTGCTGAGCCAGACATATAAATCTTTACCCTTGCGCGCCTCGAAAAATAGAACATTGTTACAGTTGTAGAGCTCAGCAAGCTCGTTAAGTTGATATAATTTCGATTTCGAATCGTATTTCGCATCCTTTTTTCCATGAGGGAGCATGGACGCAAGGTCGTTTAATAAGTGCCTATGTCTATAAAGGAAAATCGTTAGCTTTTTCTGCGCAAGCCTCCATGAACAAGGCATGCCGTAAATACCTATAGGTAACGCCTCTGGAAGACAAAATTAAAACTCTTTGCTTGTTCTTTCGGACACCATTTGCAGGCGCTTCGGGTTTTTGGCCATTGGCCCCCTTGGAAAGCGATTTGTACACGGCGGCCATTGTATGAAAATGAGTTGTAGAATTTTGAATTTGAGCCGTTCAAGTTATGTCGCAAAGTAGAATGAACCCGGACTTTTTTTCTGTACAGCTTATCGATAATGCATCGGTTGCTTATCATGGCGGGGCCGTGCCAAGACAAACAATTATCGAGGTACAGGGTACTTAAGTACTTAGTAGCGAACGAGACATTCTGTATAATAATTATGCAAACAGAGTATTTAATTCATAGTTTTCCTCAATGCTCTTCGTTCGACTACTACTACCAAAATTTTAAAAGATCCAATGAGAATCCCTTTTAGATATGAGTAGCTATAGCATGAAATGTCAAGGAAGTTAGCATATTAATGTAGTCCGTCGCTACAACGAAGCCACGTAGATTATTACCAAATCCAGGGGTCGATGGAAAGCCATTTTTCCAATAATTGAGAGCACACGAACGGATATTGGAAAACTTATTCCTCATAGGTACAGGCAAGAAAAGATAGGTAGCATTCGGCAACTACGTCGAGTGTAAGGTAGATTAGACATGTTAGTGACCTCCAGCTGTCAAATCTCAAGGTACGGCCACCAACATCAATGAGAAACGAGAAATAAAAAAACATCAAGAGAGCCATGTCCTGTGTAAGGTCAATATTCCGTTACCCCATGACGCATCACTCTACCGCAGAGCCATCCCTCCGGACAATATGTGACGCCATATACGTAACATCATACCAGCCGTCGTATAAACCGTCGCATCATCTCGCAGTGTTGTGCTTGTTTAACAGCACTTTCCACCCTGCTTTGCGGCATCGTCGGGAGACTTGCTCAAAGAAATGTTGGTGCCTGCCATCGGGGCTTGGGCACCCTCGCCACTATCCAACGCCTTGCTCGAAACGATGCGGTAAATTTCTAGTTGAGAACATATAGTTAGAATCCAGTTGCCTAAGATTTCCTGGAAGAGGGTACGTACCGGTAAGGATATTCTGGAAAGCGAGCTCAACGTTGCTGGCATCGAGAGCGGAAGTTTCTATGAAAGAAAGGTGGTTTTCGCCTGAAAGATCCCACGTCAGCAAAACTAGACATCTCCATAAATCAGATATACCACATACTAGCAAACGACTTGGCTTCCTCTGTGGGAACAGCTCGTAGATGCCGCAAATCGCTCTTGTTTCCAACCAGCATGATGACAATGTTGGCGTCGGCGTGGTCTCGAAGTTCCTTTAGCCATCTTGTAACATTCTCGTAGGTCTGGTGCTTGCTGATGTCATAGACAAGGAGTGCGCCAACTGCTCCTCGGTAGTATGCAGAAGTGATGGCGCGATATCGTTCCTGGCCTGCAGTATCCCAAATCTGCGCCTTGATCGTCTTAGAATCGACTTGGATGGATCGGGTCGCGAACTCGACACCAATTGTCGACTTAGAATCAAGGTTGAACTCGTTTCGGGTGAATCGACTAAGTAGGTTGGACTTTCCGACGCCGGAATCTCCAATCAGCACCACTATAATTCCAACATCGTCAGCAACTACGTGTATCGTGAGGGTCGACAAGTGAGGGTACCTTTGAAGAGGAACTGTATAGATATTAGTTAGCTGAAATTGGCGGTAATGATTTTGCGATTCGAAGGATGGGAAAGGTACGGTGGGGAGAGGGCTCACATCGTATTCGTCGTTAGCCATGTTGGGCGATGGATTTGCGGTTAGGAGGTTGCAGTCGTGTTAGGGAGAATGCGTCGAGACGAGACAAAAGATAATAATTAGGTCGTGAGATCTTTGCAAAGGCAACTACAAAGGTCGAAGTCGGCGCTAGATTGTGAGGGTTAAAGGCGGGACGGGAATGGCTGTAGGATCCTCTCGAAAAGCTCGCCCGTTGTCACGGTTTCGGTTTTCTGGGAAGGTTTTAGAAATGTCTTGTAAACTTGTAGACGTAGCCGATCGAATATACTTTAAGTTGGTGGAGTTGTGAATGGTGAATGGGGGGGAATTAGGTAGGTACCGTACCTTCTGTAGGTATCAATTGTTAGAGCAGGCGGTCGGGCTCCAGCTGCTGAAAGGAACGGGCCATCAAACGTTGTTACTGTGTGTGATAACCTTTGAAACTGCTACGGCGATAAGTACATGTATCCTGGTACATGTGGCTACCGCTCAATAATAAGATTATCAGGGTTCGGAATCACCCCGGAAATGTACCGTGATACACCTAAATATGGCTGCGCCACCCCAGCGTATTAGATTCAGGGAGAACTAAGCTTTAGGGCCAGTGGATCCAACTCGTAAAAGAGGCGGTGCAATTTACAAGCACGTGATTCATTTTATTGTTTAACTAAACCCCTGATTATGACAAAGTCGCTCACATTTTAACTCTCTGAACACTATCAAAAAAACAATCAAGATGATCTCATTCGGTAGTCACAACAATGAAGAATTATACCCTCAAGGCATCCATGTCACGGATCGGAATAGTCTTTGTTCACCTAGATTAGCATAAACAATTACCCACATCCCACTCGTCGTAAAGTACCCAGGTAGCCTTAATATTACGTTTACAATACGAACAAGGGAGTCGAGACTAAAATACTCTTAATTCTCGCGATTGCGATTCTTAAATACGCAGCAGGGTCATACAGTGAGCTCTAGGCTTTTAAGAGATTACACATCTGACATATCGTCGCGGGCGCCGTTACTGCGTCTTGAAGTTATACTAATACGGCTACAAGCGCCAATGCCGACTATAGCCGACCCAATATCACTAGAATGAGCGACTGGCCTAAGAAGGCAACACTTCTTAAGCAACTCTAGTATCATCTCAACCATATATACGGGTTATACGATACTATTAATCACTGATAATCCAAGGTCTATCAAGAAACATTAGTAAGAAGACCATTAGGAATCGAAGCCCATCTGGTTTGAATGAAAACCAACGTTTTCATATTTTATTCGCATATAAAAGGGGGTTGGTCGGAAGACGATAAAACTATCACGACTCCCTCATCCGAACTCCTCGCTTGATCTCACCACCCCAGCAAACCACACAATCTCAGCCAATCAAACTAGTCCATCTTAATAACGGCACGGAACCGGGGATTCCCACTTAACATGTCATCTGCGCGAATCAGTCAGCATCCTACATGCAGCCACACCGTCATAGAAAATCAAAAAGGGAATATCCACGTACCATAAGCCTGCTGAACCTGGTCAAAAGAATACGTCTCAACCGCGCATTCCACGCCATGGCGGTACGCAAAGTCAATCGCCATCTCAGAGTCACGGTTATTCCCAACGGGCCAAGCTTGTACCGAGACACCTCGCTGCACCATGTCGATATGATTCAGGGTCATTTCGCCTGGTATACTGAGAACCACGAGTTTACCTAGGATGTTGATACCTCGGATTAGCGGCGTGAAGGTGTCAACCGCCCATGCTGTTGTGAAGACCGCTTGTGCGCCGCCCAGGGCTTTGAGAGCTGCTCCAGAATCGCCTTTTGAGGAGTCGATGTATTCGTGAGCACCCAACTTCCGCGCGGCTTCTTCTTTGTCGACACCTCGCGAGACTGCGATCACGCGGTAGCCCATGCGATTTGCGTACTGGATGGCGAGATGGCCCAGGCCACCTAGCCCCTGGATCGCCACGGTTTGGTTAGGTTGGATGCCTGCTTGTCGTAACGCGTTGAAGACTGTTGAACCCGCGCATAGCAGAGGCGCTCCTTTAGCTGCGTCGATGTCTTGTGGTATATGGACAGCAGCTTTGGCTAGAATGGTGCAGTATTCAGCAACTGTGAATCCTGTTAGTGCCATGTCCTTGCCTACACAGAAAGGAATGAAAGACAAGAGTAACAGTACTTACATCCTCCATTCCGATTTATACCATTAGCGATGGGATGGTCACACATTTGCGGCCAATTCTGGAGACATTGGTCGCAAGTCCCATCGTGTCCGCCATGATAGCCAGCTCCGATACGATCACCAACCTTCCACCCCGCCACACCATCGCCGACAGCAGCTACTGTCCCAATGATCTCATGGCCTGGGACCATAGGGAAACCACCACCGAGGTAGTTGAACTGAGCGCATGTGTCTGTATGACAAACTCCACATGCCTCAACCTTCACTAGTATTTCTCCATCACCAGGGAGTCGTAATGGCGTCTCCTCGATGACTAATGGCTCTCGTATGGCCTTGAAAGCAGCTTGTTTGTATGTTTTCGGCAGAGCCATGATTATAGAGTTCGAAGAAGTTGGAGAGCAAGATATTCGACAATACGGTGAAATTAAGGTAATTGTTGTGATGAGGGGCCTTCATGTAAGGGACACTAGTGTAAGGGGCTTTCATGCATGCATCTTCAGACCGGTCTCTTTGACCCTTTTATACTCAAACTCATCTCCTACAACTTCATGATGTCTTGGGCTATGCACTGTCCTTTTGCCAAAAGTGCACTTCCTGATACCATCGTCGTCACGGATTTAGGCATTTAATTCTGGCAAGTCCATTGGCCCTAGGTCCTATGACTCTACTCGAAATGAAGGAATCTGCTGTTGGTGCCCTCATACCGGCAGTGCATAGGATGCAGTATAGGACTCAGGACTTAGTCCAATCAGAATTCTCTTGGAATCATGACCTCCTACTATACAAGGTATGCAAACCAAGACTTCGGGACCGCCATCTAGATAAGCACGTGTAATGAACAAAAAGGGGGTGGGGGCTATCGCTAGGCTCATCATGAATAAGCTATACAGATTTGCCGTGGCGGAAGTATTCCGTAAGTAACGCGGAAGTATGCCGGAGTTTTCTGGCGGTAACGCTTAACATCGAGATAGAAATTAGCCCGGTGTGGAGCACACAAGTATAACAGTGAGTCAGCCCAGCCAAATTGTACTCTAAACGGGTTTCGTACTGATTAAATCCGGACTCTGCAGATCGGGTTAAGAAATACAGAAATGACCTATCAATAAGTGATTGTGTTGGTAAGCTCGAAACTTGCAATGGACTTAAACAGCTTAGATAGGTCTACGTCACCCCTGTCATGGAGATAATGCCTAAGCCCTAGTCCCCAGCGTTCCAGTTCGAAGAAACGGGTGGACCCGGAATATTACTCTGTATAGCCCTAGCGCATCCTAGCTGAGCAACCTTAATCTGAACTATAGAAATTCAACTACGCCCCGATACTGTGGAGTTGTATCTCCGGACGTCCCCGGTGTTAAGTGGAGATCGGACCGGAAAGGGGCTCGCATTATGTTCAGTTACATCCTATCACCCTTCAAACCCCATTCAAGGCATATGTATCATGTATCATGGGGCTAAAGTATTTAAACGTGTAGGTAGCAACTGCTCTAACTGACAGAAATATTGAGATTATTGGCAAAGAGATGCATCCATAAATTCAGAACCCATTCACCAGCATATACGACGACGACAACCTCCCAAAATGGGTACTACGATTGAGCTCCCCTCTTGTCCCCTTATACACGAGACCCCGTATCATTGCTGGTTTGAGTGGACACGTCTTTCATCTCCCGCTGACGGTTGAATGTCCCGTTCTTACCCCGAGGTCGTGTCCAGCTGATGAGCTCATAGCTGTCCTCGTCGTAGTGAAACTCTCTAAAATAAAGTCTCGCTGTCCTCATAATAGCCAGGCGAACAGCTTCTCTATCCTTCTCCGAGATACACTTCTGTGTGACAAGTGCTCGTAGATCATCGTCGAGTTTGCTAGCTAAACGATGGAACCGGCCGTCTCTCGCCATCTCTCTGACCGGTCTATGCGCGAAATCGTATTTCCCCGCGTAGAGGCTTATGGCTATGCGGATTCCCAGTATATCGTATATATTGACCCTCCACGCGAGCTCCCGGATAAAATCACTCAAGGGAGTGAGTGCATTGTAAGTCTTCTCCTTCTCTTCTTCTTCTTCCCGACATAGCACGTCGCCTATGACAGTCCATGGCTGGTTCAAGAAAAAGTCTTCCACGGTAGAAACATCCATTTCCGGCGTCTCTCCCACCGGTTGCCCTTGGAGTTCCCTCGCTACGGCGTTCGCTTCCTTACGCACTCTCCAGGCATTTTCGCCCGAGCCCTCTAAATCCACCAAGTAATCGCCGTAACGCAAGTAAAAGCCATCTCGAGATAACTTCTTGAGTCTAGCCACGCACTCAGCGGTCTTATCGTGCGAGTCCATTTATCGATATGTGTTTTCCTCTAAGTTTTTGTGGTGTGTGAGGACGTCCGGTTCGGCCACTCTTCCGTCAAAGAACTTATGACTCTCTTGGTTACTAATGATGAACTGAGTGTCGGGCGAAAGTACGGTATAGCCTCGACTATTTATATTTCTATATGAATTAAGCTAGTGTCAAGCTTTTTATAGTCAAAATGCTAGTTCAGAATATACTACCACACGTTGTGGAAAGTTACAGGGCACAGACGGGCTTAGTAGGAGTCGAAGCTAAATCGGTGTGCGCAAATCGCATTCCTACCTAGGTACTTAGTTTTTACAGGAGAACCTAGGTATCCAGTTATTAAAAAAAGATTCAATAAAGTTATTATATACCATAAGTAGTACGAAGACATCCACGGTTGGAAGACAGGTTATCATTCCGTTACAAAGAAGGGACGACACGCCCTCTAGTAACCCAGTGCCCTTCTGTTGTCGTTCCCACAGAGGGTTTAACAGCACGGACGGCCATAATATCTGAGCTCTATTGCACCTAAAGTCCCCTCGCCACCACGTCCGTTTCTTTGCGCATTAAGTATGGCATAACTACGACATAGCTTCGAATATTTATACTCAGTATAAATTCAACTAGTCCTAACATTCACAGAGCTAAAAGTCACTTCGAAACGTGTTACTAGGTCGTCGTAGAAAATTGCAACTTCGGCTAATCTGGGTCCTCGGATCGTGTACTTAGTCTAGCAATCCAAGATTATCTATTATCGCATCTTTGACCTACTCCTAAGTGGCTCGCATTTGCAAAACCTCGTCCCCTTCCATGACCGTTCGGTACGTATTACTCATTCAAAACCATCCCGGTTTCACTCGCAAGATGGTTGTGCAGCTCGTGGTTCGGCTGGCTCTCAACGCCACCAAATTTTCTAAAGCAAAGGGCAGGAATCGAGCTCGGGATGAGTGGGACTCAAATTGTGTCTTTTAATCTCAAGTATTTGCGAATGCCCCTTAAGAACTGACTAACACTCACTGGAGGTGACGTGATTCAGTGACGCATTCTTGCAAAGACTCATTCAGAACGACCTGCCTGAATCTTGGTTCCGAAGAAAATCGATTTTTACGATCCTCGACAACAGTAATGTATGACGGGTCCAGGGCGGAGGAGAATCCCGCGGTATTGTACCGCAGCACTAACAGGTTCAATAGGAATCGAATCCAAACCTGCACTCAAATCAAGTTATATTGAAACCATGCGCCTGCAAGTTTCGGCATGTTAGATACCTGGTGTATCATTTAATTATATTTCGCATTCCTAGGTACCTAGGTAGTTTTACATGTCCACTGTTGAAAATAAAACTACCATTTCGCGCGAGCGATCACGATACCTGTGCCTATACGTGAGCGTAAAGCAGTGAAGAGCAGGCTTATAGCATTATAGGAAAGGTTGAAAGAATGGGACTTACTCCATTTGCGCGGCGAATGGCTATCCACCTAGGCATTCTCCTACCGGAGATTTTGCTGTCCTGTCCCAAGCGCACCTAGGCCTATGAAAAATTGTCGGCCGGCTTACCCCTCATTGCAATATTTGTAAGTAATTAGGATATTCTTCACGTCAAGCTCATCTAACGGATTATACGGCTTCATAGCTAGCTACCCAGGTACCTAGGTGGTTTTCTTAACTTGGTACCATCCTATATAGGTAGGTGCCGAGTTAGAAAACTACCTAGGTAGGTAGGTGTGTGCTAGTAACCGAAGCTGAGATCGAAACTAATTGCTTTTTCTGCAGGTCTCACCTAGTGGCAACTAGTAGCTTTCCTGAATCGTCTACAGACCGACTTTATATGAGAACCATTAACACACTCGAGCATATGTGTGTTTCGAATAGCGACTCTCCAATAAATGAGCGAAAACAATGGCATCTAATGGGGAATTGGAAATACTTCCCGAGCAGGTGGAATATGGTACAGTCCTTCATGAAGCACGGAGCCGAGATCGGGCGCGACAGCGTAACTATGGCAAGGTGCAGCACCGTAAGTTCACCGGATATGACCAATCATTACCGATGGTCATCTATGGTTTCCGAGAGGAGACTGTGCATGGCAGGTCGACGGACGGGCGGCCGCATACATTGGTGATATTTCGATGGAGTCTACAACAGAGGAAAAGGGGGCGACGCTTCAAGTCAGCACGGCTGAAAGCTGTTTTCAGGACAACGCGCACCCGCGACATATCTTTGGGGGGCGGCCGTGACGTTTGCTACGACCCACACGTCGTGACAGCGGAGCCTAACGGGTCCTACTCCTTGCTGCCTGATAGTGTCACTATCTCTCGCACGCGAGGTCTCGAGGCGGGTGTAGAGGGTGGTGGAGAGTTCGCTAAAGGCGTAGCTAAGACTACCTACGAACTATCGACAACAGCGACCGGAGTCGACCAAATCGTCATTAACGGAGCTGAGCGTAATGAGTACAGCGCTAGCGACCGGACGAAGATAAACGATCCGGATCGTTGCAACGTTGCCGAATGGTATTTATTTGAAAATGCAACAACACAGAGCGGCCTACCTACCTTCTTCCGGACCGCCGTTCTACTTGAACGACGCGAAGGAGATACCGCACAATTTACAGCCAAATTTAGTATTCATGCTGAGGTCGATGCTTTGACGGACGTTTGGACCAATTTTAAACGAGTCATTGGGCTCATTCAACCCGACGATCCTATCATATTCGACCCTAGCGTCGAAGAGCGTGGGCGGTTAACGGCTTTTAAGCACGAGCTCGACAGGGCTCCTATTATTGATGGGTGCAAGTTTGTCATGTTTAAAAATGATTCGGCGGCTGAAATGGACAGCGACAGCGAAAAGAATGGTGAAAAAAAAGCGCAGGGCGATACGTCTGAAGATGCGAGTGACGCAGACGAAATTAGCGAGATAAATGAGGCTGAGTAAGGTGTGGAAGGATTCAGTAACTCCGAGCAGATACCCCAAATATTTGTCCTAGTAAGCTATCCCAATCTAATTCATCTAAGGCTTCTATTTGTCTATATTCCTCTATGATTAATGGTTATGGTCCCTGAATTGTCACCTTCTATGGATATATTTATCTTGCTGGCTACTTATCTAGATAGCACTTAGTCCTAGCCCTCCTGCCTTCTTCCTCGTTTATATCGCCGATGTCTGATGTCAGCGGCTTCGTTTCGAGGTCCTCTCTACCTAGGTACGACGAAGCGGGGTTAATATTACTCAGATACCTACCTACATAGGTACGTATGAAGGTGGGTTACACAAGTAGGGAAGCTGCTGAGCATAGCAGGGCAAAAAAAAAAAAAAGATGGCCACGATCACAATTGAAAGTATGGTGAAGTATCGACTACGGGTTTGTAGTCGGAAAGCCATTCTCAACTGGCACCGTGAAAAGCTTTCCTCTCCTATCATTTATCGTACAGGCTCCGTCCCAACCGCCCCTTTCGACCACACGATATTATCATTCGATAGTAAAGTCATATTCCAGAAATCAACTCATGCAGCGACTCGCCACTCGCATTTTCTTGTCGATCTACTCCAACTCCCTAGAGTCCAACGATGTAAACGAACACGGAAAACGGCAAAAGCAAGACCACAAGCAAGGAAGTATAAATATGGATCAATCACAAGATCAAACAACCATACCTCTAGACGACTTAAACGAGGCAATTCGTATTTGCCAAGAGAATCTCTCATCCACGCCCCCGGGCCAACCAAACCGAACGAGCCTCCTCGGCAAACTATGCGCTTTGCTTAGTGAACGATATTATATAACTTACGCGTTTGAAGACCTACAAAATGCAATCCATATTTGCAAACAAGCGGTTGAGGCCACTACTTGTTGTGGAAAGTGTCGTGGAGCTAGATTAAATACCTTAGCCCTGCTGTTGAGGGACAGATGCACGATAAAACGGACAATGCATGATTTGGAAGATTCAATCCGTAGCAGCCAAGAGGCTGTTAGGATAACCTCTCCTGATGATCATGATCATACACGAATGCTCGCCAATTTGGGAAACGGCTTGCTTCAAAAATATCATATGACTGGAGCACCGGGAGATCTGGAAGACTCCATTCAGGCCTATCGAGGAGCTGTGGGAGCTATTCCAGCAGGGCATTCTGATCGACCAGGAATGCTGACCAACCTAGGCATCGGCCTTGGGGAAAGATATGGAGGAAATGGGGTTGCGGGAGACCTAGACGAGGCAATACGCGTCAGCAAAGAGTCTATTGACAGCACGCCACCGGGACATCCAGATCTGGCATCAAGACTAAATAACTTGGGTATCAGGCTTGGCGACCGATACAACTTAGCCGGGCTAGATGATGATCTCGAGGGGGCGGTATACAATTGCGACCGGTCTGTTAGCCTTACGCCACTAAATGACCCGGATCGGCCCATGAGGCAAAATAACCTTAGCGTCTGGTTAACAACAAGATTCGTTAGGAAGGGAGAGATTGCTGATGCAGAAAAGGCGCTCCGTTTTGGCCGAGAAGCCGTCGAGAAAACGCCGCTCGGGCATTCGGATAGGCCGATGCTGCTCACAAATATTAGCAATACGTTGGAGAACATGTACCATCGCACAGGAGAAGACGAATATTTAAATGCATCAGTCGATTCATCTAAACAAGCCGTCGAAGCGACTCTACCGACTGACCCTAGACGACCTTTATGGCTTAGCAACCTTGCTAGTAGGCAATCTAATAGATATGATCGATTTAGAGCGCTTGGTGATCTGGAAGACGCAATTTCCAACTGTCAAAATGCTATCGAATTAATTAACGCTGATCACCCTGGTCGGCCTGGGCTATTGTGTAATTTGGGCATTTGGATGGGGGACAGATTCAAAATGACCGGAGACCTTGAGGATTTGTCAGGAGCCATTGACAAATGCAAGACAGCGATGGATTTAACGCCTCCAGATCATCCCAATCAGCATCAAATGCTCAGCAATATATGTGTCTGGCTAAGTGAGAGGTATAGGAGGAAAGGCGCACTAGACGACCTAGAAACCGCGATTCGATACTCCCGTAGGGCAATCGTGGCAGCACCCGATAGTCCCGACAAAGCACGAATTTTCCAAAATATGGGCGATTTCTTAGGCGAAAGATATCACAGAACGAACGAATTGGATGATCTGGAAGAGGCTACTGTAAGCTGCCGGAAAGCCGTTGAAGCAACACCTCCTGAGCACACTAGCCGATCCACAAGGCTTGTCGCCTTGAGTAATATTCTGAGTCAGAGATACGCAAGAACTGGGTCTCTCGACGATTTGGAAGAAGCGATATTCAAAAACAGGGAGGCCCTGAAGGCCATAAAGCCTGACAATCCAAGTCGAATCAATATTGCCAGTAGTCTTGGCAACAGACTGGGCGAGAGATACGAGAAGACCAAGGATTTAAGTGATCTAGAAGAAGCAATTAACCATTGTTCAGATTCCCTTCGAATGGTTTCACAGTTTTCTCCTAACAACCCCAGTAGAGCAGGCATGTTTAGCAACATGGGAAACCTACTACACCTTAGGTACCACCAGTCGGGGTCACAAGAGGATCTTGAAGGTTCTATTCGTAATAGTGAAGATGCGGTCAAAGCGATTCCACATGATCATCCCGACCGAGCAGGAATGCTTTCTAACCTAGGGGATTCTCTCCGGTGCAAGTATAGTAAAACCAAATCAAAATCCGACTTCGGCAATACTATTATGAAATATGAAGCAGCTTCAGTTCAAGGGAATGCTAACCCGATGGTTAGAATCAAGGCATATCAAATTCTGGGCTCCCTATTTGTCAACAACACTGAATGGCTTAAGGCTAGCATCGCTTTCGAATCTGCGATCAGCCTACTTCCTAAGGTTAGCCCACGTACACTAAATCGTACAGATCAACAATACATTCTTGGCCAGCTTTCTGGGCTCTCGTCTGCCGCAGCAGCTACCGTGCTCCAAGCAGGGCGAGGGGAGTCGGATGCTCTCGCACTACTGGAAGCAGGCCGCTGTGTTATCTCAGGGTTCGCAATCAACACGAGAAGTGATGTATCAGATCTAAGAGAAAAGGACAAATGCCTGTGGGAAGAATACGAGAAGTGCCGGGACGAGACATCCCAATTTGGTGGTCGGCGAAGACTCGGTAGTGACATGGAATCCTTGTTAAAATATGAATCACCCGAAAAGTCCTTATCAGATCTGGCAGCAGTAGAGGCAAAGATACGTGAAATCCCGGGCCTCGAAAGATTTCAATTGCCACCAGAGCCGCGTGATCTGATGCGATTAGCAGAGAAGGGTCCGATTATCACATTCAACATTTCCAAGATTCGATGCGACGCCATAATTGTCACTCCACATAGAATTTGGGCACGCGGCCTGCCCGATCTCACCTACAATATGGTATTTGAAAAGGCTCGATTGGTATCACTAATGGGGTCGAGGTCGCGGCGTAACATAAAGGTGAAGGTCAAGAAACGTAGTAAGTCTTCACAGAAGAAAAGAATGCGGAATATCCTCATGTGGCTATGGGAATCTGCAGTACGTCCTGTTCTGGATGAACTTGACGCTCAACAATTTCAAAACGTCTGGTGGATTGCTGGAGGAAGCATGGGGCTTTTGCCCATCCACGCAGCGGGCGATCACTCAGAGGGGTCGCTTGAAAACACCATGAGTCGAGTCATTTCTTCATATACTTCAACGTTCAAGGCCCTCCGATATGCTCGTGAGAGGGTAGGACATAGATTGGCAAACGATCAGCTAATGCTCGTAAACATGGCCAACACACCGGGCCAGCAGAAGCTCGATACTAGACACGAGGTAGACGTGATTCGCCAAGAGTTTGGTGAAGCTGCCATTTTACTTGACCACCCGGGAAAACAGGACGTGCTTAGGAATTTGGAGCAATGTTCTTTTGCGCATTTTGCCTGTCATGGGACCTCAAACCCTCAAGATCCATCGGACGGAGGCGTTCTCCTTGTCGAAAAAGGCCAAGCTGTTTTATTGAAAATAAAAGAGCTCGACAGTATCAACCTAAAACACGCAGAAATCGCATATCTCTCCGCATGTTCCACTGCAGAGTTATCTGCTGGCAATTTGTTGGATGAAGCAATCCACCTCTCTAATAGCTTCCAAATGATCGGATTTAAACACGTCATTGGTACTATGTGGGGAGCGGACGATCGGGCTGCAGGCGAGATTGCCCGTACGTTCTATAGAATGTTACTCTATGAATCGAAAGAAAAGGGGGAAGAAGAGCTTGAAGTTGCGCAGGTACTCCATAGCGCCGTGACGAAGTTCCGAAGCCTCCCAGGTACCAGGGGAGACGTTGCCAAATGGGGACCTTTCATACATATCGGTGCTTAAGTGAGATACTCTGAGTATTTTCAAGGAGTTTAAGAATTTGAGGAAAACGAAGGAATGTATCTCTCATGATGGCTATGTAGGTACCTAGGTAGGTAGATAGAAGGCGAAACATTGCGCGACCGCGATGTAACACTCCATCCCAGCACATACCTCACAAGGGTTCCCTACCTCTAAATTCCCCACAACAGCCCTAGGTCCAACCCCGATGACTTCATTCAACTCGATTTAATTTTAAAATGACTGACACGCTAATATACGCGTTTTTTGAACATCGATATTACCTGATGCTGGCAAAGATGTGCTAAACGAACGTTATACGTATCGCCGAAGACGAAGAATCGTAACAATCGGAAAGTATAGAACGCGAAAAACGAAATTTCAGTCCTAACCGGCCATTGACCTCCTGAACAACGTCAAGAAGAAATAGCTTGTACGATCGTTGTTGTCATTGTCTGTTCAGCCACAGACCAACTCGCAACAATTTCTTTCTTGTTAATGGTCTTCACTTGTCTCCCTGCTTCGTTTCCACCTTCCGACCTACCAGACCCTGCATCGAAAAACTCGTCGTCCTCGTCGTCCTCGTCGTCCTCGGATTCATCCTCTTTGTCGGAATAGTCAGATTCGTCATCAGACGTTTCGGGGGAACTGTCTTCGTCGCGGTCAGAGGAATCCGTATCCCATAAATCTGGCAATAGGTAGTGGCAGAAATTCGTCTGTTCGGTAGAGACAAGAACCTTGATTGTGTCTCGCATACAGAAACTAGGATCCACCACCCGCTTCAGGGACTTCGGAATAACGACATTAAATAAAAGCTCCGGTATCTCCTTGCGTTTTTCGACAGCTCGGCTGCTAGCGAATTGCGTGTAGCTCGGAAATATCTGGTGGATTCCGTAGGTTGGAGTAAGATTCAGGATTGTGACGTATAGGGCGTTGGAATGATTGTTTTTGAAATGCGCTCGCCATGATGAATGGGCCTCTGGATTCGATCCATCTGCTAGCACCTCTTCGACCTTGAACTCGAACTGAGGTGGAGAGAGTGGTTCAGAGTTGGCTAAATTTGCTACAAGTTCGTACGAGCATAAATGTCTCAGGAGCTTCATCCATTCAATACTGTTCTTGGGATGGTCAGACCGTTGAGGAAGAACGTGGGGCATGAGCTCGCGGTTTTTGTTTCGAAAGGTGAAAGATGATTTTTTGCCAACATCCACAAACAAGTCAAAGTCTCCTCCTGATGAGCTGAACTCATGCTCTAAACCGGATAGGCCATCGGTACTTGACGGCGGGCTAAATTCAAGCTCTAGAGGGAACTTGCTATCGACGTATTGACTCCATTCCACCCTGAGACGATTAACCACCTTAGAAGAATGCTTCCTTGGCATGTCTACGTATACTTTCGCGGCTTTAGCCTTACTCGATAACTCAGCAAGGCATCCAACTTCGACCTTTCGTTTGTCTGTTGACTCGCCGCAGAAGACAGCCTGCGAGTGCAGACCATGAACCTTTGTTACCACGACCTCAATCGCAGGGGAATTGCTTGAGACAACCGTCCCAAAAACTGAACTGGGTCGATCGTATATGCGAAATTTATCGCCTTTGCTGATGTTACATGCAGACCCTTTATTCAATTTGACAGTTGACTTCTCTTGGTCAATATGAATTATGCCTGCCAGAAGACTACGTTGCCCGGTGGCGGGAACGGTGGCGGGAACGGTGGCGGTAAATACAGCTCGGTCTCGATCCCCAAGGTATATTGGCTGTTGCTTTTTTCCTGACCTCTGCGAGATCGCTTTGCAATCAGCTTCCAGGATATCTTGTAACAACCCGTAGGTTACCGGCTCAAACGAAGACCGAAGCGCCTCTAACGCCTTGAGTAGATGGTATGTCATGCGCCCATATATCTCATTGTTATCATCTTCGTACTCTCGGGCTTTCTCATATGGCTGCGCGGCCGCAATCAAGTTATAGCCTCTAGACCGGTAGAACCAGCTCTCCTTTGGGACAGTGTTTCGTGACTTAGTACCTCGCAAACATCTATCTCGCGACCCTCTGATAGTGGACGACTCCGCGCTAGATTTCTGCCTACGGCAACGTACTCGCCGTTCCTCTGCCAGCCCGTGCGCTTTTTTACGATCCGCCCCACCAGAATGGCAACAGTCCAGTACTACACAGACGATGAGCTTATGCTCCTGCAACTTGTCTAGAAGGTTGCCGAGCTCAACGTCGGTGATATCTTCCCCTAAAGTACACAGGACTTCGTCCTTATTGGTTCCAGTCTTCAGATCACCATATTCAGTCGGGACGCGATCACCGTGTCCTGAATAGTGGAAGTAAAACAGGTCACCGGGTTTCGCTCGCCCGGCGGCACTCTCAATTGCTTGGATAACATTCTTTTTTGTCGGCTTATGTTCGTTGGCCTCATTGCCATCGATTGACAGGAGGGTAGTAATGTGCTCCGATGGGACCTGAAGGCTGTCTTCAAGCATATTCTTTGTTCTCTTGACATCGTTAACACAGCCTTCAAGATTGTCCTCCTCGTCGTCGGAATACCAATTGACACCGACAAGAACTGCCCAAGTATCCCCCCGCGACGGAGCTAATCGGGCCATGATGAGGCTCGGGCACAAAACCGATTGTGTGACACTTTGACGGCTGTATGCAATGAAGTTAATCACTTAAAACTCTCTAAGCACGCATAGGTTATTGGTGTTGAACTATATTGAATATCTAACCCATGGGAACGTTTAAGTATTTGAATACTGGGGAATAAGGATTACCTAGACGAAAGAAGGAAGAAAAAGAAGGAAAATTATCTCGAGGGAGGCACAAGGCTCCGAGCCTACCTATCCGTCTAGGCAGGCAGCAGCCCCATCTGCACAGAAGAAATGCCTCCAACCATTGATATACGATATTGAGCACGGGCCAAGGCTCACGGGACAACCGTCTTATGCATATCACAGCCACGGGTTTCATATGTGTTTGGTGTTGGTTGCTTCCGATCCAAGTCAAAAAATTATCAGCCCGACCTCCATGAGTATTGTCCTCGAATCAAAAAGGCCCATTCCGGCCTTGCTAACTAGTTTTCGGGCTTTCTTAGCAATATTTCAGGTTTCTTTTTTGATTAAATCGCCTCACTTCGGCGTGTGCCCAAAGTTGCAGCGAACCAATCGCCGTATCTCAGGCAAAATCCGTCTCAAGATATCGTCTTGATATCCCATCTCAAGTTTTTTCTCAATGCTCAAAATACTTAACATCCCCTTCTATTCGCTAGATTATCTTCTCTTAGTATTACTAAAGAAGCTTTAATAGCGCAGACAGCTATAATAGCCGGGCTCTTGTGCCCTTCCAAAGCCTCATAATTTGCAAGACTTTTTCTTGGCCCCTTTTAAATCCATCTTTGGCTATTCTTGTTCGTCTACTTGAGGGGACTCTTCACCTTGTCCCTCTTATTAGGCAAGTATCGCAATCGAGCAAAGAAAAGCCCATCCGAATTCTAACTATTGAACCTTAAGCGCTTACGAAACATATTAGGATAGTATGACATATAGTTCAATCATGCTAATAACGCCTGATGCCCATCCCTCCAATAAGACCAAAGAAACTTTAGAGAACCCCCAACACTGAGAATATATTCACAAATACTTGGCAACTTGGGCATTAGACCACTTCCAAAATTCCTGAGCAGCCCCAGTGCCGCCTTCTGACTTCGTCTTCGTCGCAGCGACGAATCCCTTGGACATGTTCCAGAATTTACCCCATGGAGCAACTAGGAAGTAGTCAGTAATTAACTCGTGATCCGTAATTTGTGAGTGGTAAGGAATGGAAGGCAATACTCACTATGTTGGCCCGTCTTCTCAAGGGTAACCTGAGATGAAAATCCAGCGAATATGCACGTGTAAGCTCCGTAAATAACAGGAAACAATACTGTTTTCCGAAGGAACCAGCGCACAAAGGGTCTCTGGTAGCGCCATAGGTCCGAGTCAAGGTTCCCTGGATTCAGTGAGACGGACAACACGCCGTCCGCCTTATGGAGGTTTGCGAATTCGGCCGAATATAGATAACCCCCCAGTTTGCTGGTGAAGTACTTTTCTGCGGCCCCTATCTTCTCCACGTTGTATACGTTCTTCATGAACCCCTTGGGATTCATTCCCTCGGCAGCGGAGGATGATGCCCAGATCACGCGGACGCTATCCGGTGGCGCCGTCTTGGCTGTTGATACAAGTATCGGGGTAAGGAGTTTCGTTAAGGCGAATGTACCGACGCAGTTCACGCCCAATTGGAGTTCGTAGCCCTGTTTCGTCGTTAATCCCTTTTCCGGGTAGCCGACACCCGCATTGTTGAACAGGATATCTAGTTTCTCTTCCTTGCGGAGGAACTCCTCAACCGTTGGCTTAATACTTGTGAGATCGGCGAGGTTGAGATGGATGTACTTCAGTTCACCGGCTGACTTGGGAACGGCCGCCTTGATATCGTCTATGGCTTTTATCGCCTTATCCTCGGATCGTGCAAATATGTAGACCTTGGCATTCTTGGAGTAGGCTATCTGCGCGATCTCTTTTCCGATGCCCGTGTTGGCTCCGGTAATGACGACGACCTAACGGGAAAATCAGCCACAGCCCCTAGTCAGTTCCCTTGAGATGGTGACGATAGAGGTTAACCTACCTTGTCAGTCAGGTCTGGGACATTCTTTCCCGTAAACTGCGGCTTTCCTGGGAAACATTGCCGTATGACGCTTATTACACTAGATAGAGACATTGTTGTTTGCTTCTCTGTTTTATTGATGTGAGGAGAGTTGTGTACGGGGAATAAGGGATCAGGGGGGTTAAAGTATAGTACAGTCAATCTATATCGAGTCGTAGAATTGTTGATGCATGTCTAGATAGCGAACATGTCAATCATATACGGCAGGCGATTATATATGTATCATACAATAACGGTAGAAGCTCTTGGTCTAGAGAGTGGGAATAGCCTAATGGGTCTGATAACCCCGCGGGTTTCAACAATCGCACGGAACGCGCGCGCCATCATATCAAAGCCTATAGGAATCTTAGACTTAGCAAACGGTTCTCAGATACCTAGGTATGCGAGGCATGTAGCAAGTAGGCTAAATATCCTAAATAGGTATATGCTAGAGCCTCGGTGGACGCCGGTAGTGACGTGCATCATGGTCAAGTGGCATGCATCATCACTGAAATCACTGAAGATACCGCTCAATGTATCCCTATAGACTTTTATATTATCATATCATATGCATTTCTCCCGCTTACTACTTGATTTCTCACATATCATCATTTATCCTCTTGTTGTGCGCCTTATAATTGGTTTGCCGGAAGGATTGGATGTGTGATGAAGTGTGTGGCTGCGATGCAAACTGCGATGCAACAGGGCATACGTCTTGCATTGACGACGATATCTGAATCCCGCGGGCTTACATAATGAGACAACCCAATTCCGTTGGCGAAACCCGCGGGTCCGATAACCCTCCCATCTCATCTTCGATGTCGGACGCAAACACCATTTCATTTCACCGGTAATTTCTTGATCAGCCTCTATCGAAATCCGGTCGATTCCGGTAATTGGAAGCGGACTTCCTAAGTGCTACCTGGCACTATTTCGGATTGGCTGGTCGATTCCTCGGCGAGATGCCTCGCAGTTCGGTGTCAGGGCCCTCTTCTTCATGCAATCCGGCACCTTATGGGCAAGCCTGCTTGGGCTGTTCCCGTGCCAAATGCAAGTGTTTTCAAAGAGCGGATGGATCCGCATGTGAGCGATGTCACCGGCTTGGAAAGACCTGCGAGCCGGCAATGGCAGTGCGTAAACGTAAAGCTGCGACACCACCACCGGCGCCGGAACAGCCCAAGCAGCCTCTCCCATCGATGGTTTCATCGAGGCTCGAGGAAAAGTTGGATGATCTGGTGACCCTTCTGCGTTCGCAAGCCGCGGAGAAACAAGGTCCGACTCGAATCCAAACCCACCGACAAACGCCACAATCAACACCAGAAGGGCACATTGGTCAATATGGTAACTCAACATCCCCGCCACCGTCGCACGAACATCCCGACCTTGTGCTGGATACAGCAGCGAGCGTCGTACACCTTGTACGCCCGACTAGCCCGCCCATCTCCCCATCTCTCATCCTCGACGATGTATCTGTTCACAAGTTACCTAATGAGATTGCTGACGAGCAATTGAACTTATTTCGTCATTTATTTGTCTCAATGTTCCCACTCATACATATACCAGCCACACTGAGTGCGGCCGAGCTGCGCCACCAGAAGCCCTTCCTCTGGCTCGTTATTATGGCTTTGACCACCAAGATGGTTTCACAACAGTTCGCGATGGAGGAGACGATTTGGGAAATTGTGTCACGTAGAATAATGTGCCAGCATCTTGTCGATCTGGACTTAATTCTTGGCGTAATTTGCTTCGCTTCCTGGTCCGTTCCCTTAAGCAGGTCTTAATGGGCGCCATCTAATAGATTTGATTGACTAACCCAAGTGCAGGTCTCACTATTTCAAGAAAGATAAGCCTTTTATGAGCAAGCTCTCCCAATTAGCTGTGTCGCTTGCTTTTGAACTAGGCATTCATCATGATGTACCCGCAATCTCGCCACGACGCCACCAATTTCCCGTTCAAAAAGCTCCGAGGCAGCACCCACGGACCATGGAAGAGCGCCGAACCATGCTTGCCGTGTTCCACCTTACATCTTCGTAAGTGTAACAACCTTTGACGCATATGGGGTTAAAGATTCTCCGAGGGCCCTATTAACCTAGGCACATTAGAACTTGGTCAACATATAGACAAACCGAGCCACTTCGCTGGACGCCATATTTGAGCGACTGCCTTCGTATCCTCGGCGAAGGAAGAGGGACATCTCTAGACATTCTTCTAGTTACACAGATCAAGTGCCAGATCATCACTAATCAGCTAACATGCTCTCAAGTGGACGAGATAGCGGGAGTAGAGGGCCCCAAGGTGCCATCGGCAGCCTTAACTACGACCCTGTTAAGGCAAGTCAATGATATCCGACAAAACCTGCCAGCTCAAATTAGATCCCACAGTAAGGACACTGTACTCCTAAGTACCTCCATGAATAAACGAAATCTTACTCTTTCTAGGAAGTACGGAGTTTTACATGTCCTACACGGAGCTCAAAGTCCGCGAATCCGCACTCGGGAGACCGAGGCCCCAAGATCAAACAGGACTGTCGCAAATTCAACGATTGCAAGATCTTGAATCTCTTATGAACAATATTGAGAATTGGATAACTGTTTACTCCGAGAGTATGTACCCCTCCCCCTTTTCTATAACCCTTAGCACCCCAAAAGGACACTGATTTTCTTTCTAACCTTTATAACTTCTCTAGCGCCAATAAGCCAATGGGTTTCTTTTACCAGCGATATTACGACGCAATTCATGCAGTACGTCGTAGTCCTCTTTAAGCTCAACACCCTCGACGAACCCGGCTGGGATCTCCAAGAGGTAAGGCGGCGCGCCGATGTATTCGAGATCCTCGACCACACCTGTGAGCAACTTAATCGCCTCCCGACATTGGTAGGAATGATAGATGCGGATGGGCCACGGCGCGGTTTCTTCTTCAAAATGATTCGTCTGCTCCGAGATATCAAAGGCTTACTTCTAGCCGAAATGCCCCCTAACGCGCCGTCGGATGCGACAGCTGCCGCTGCTTTTCCCACCCCGGAGAGCGCGGACGCTAACGGCGCGGGTGAATTTATGGATTTCTCATTTACGGATGAGTTTCTTATGGGTATGTTGCAAGAAGATATTTCGGCGCCTGTATGGGATTTTAGGCCGGATGGTACCTGTATGTCCTTTGGTACGTAGGCTGATATCCCGCTATGCTAACCACTTTGGATTTAACCCTGTTATATTCTTGGCGACTTCCAAAGCCCAGCGAAATAGTGATTCGTAGAATGGCCCCACGTATTTGCGTGGTGATGCCGTTAGCTAGCTCTTGGCGTTCTGTCGCATCGCAAAGTGGCTATGCAAGTAGAAAAAGGCTGTGTAACCATCGTGGTTGAGATGATAGACCTGATGACTTCATTCTTTATTATTGAATGATTAATTATTGTTAAATTTCCCAAGTTTCTTTTTTTCATGCGATGCAAGGATTATTCTCATTGGAAAATCAAGCGTAAAATACGATACAGCCCAAAAATTCCAAACTTCAAAATTTAGGAGCATTGAGGACCTGAGCATCGACCGGTTTACCTACCTAACCTAGGTATCATATCACCCACAACCAACTACAAAGGTCCTTCGTCCTCAGTTATCGCCCAAGGCGTCCTGTAGCCATGCGATTGATCAATACTCGCGATTATGAGATGAAGGAATGGCTTGGCGATCAGGTCCCTAACTACGCGATCCTCTCTCATACATGGGAAGAAGGTGAGGTAACTTTCCAAGACTGGCAACATCTTAACGACGAGATCCGCAAAAAGGCCGGCTATGACAAGATCATGGGAGCATGTCGGCAAGCAAGGGAAGATGGTCTAGATTGGCTGTGGGTTGATACAAACTGCATCGACAAGACCAGCTCTGCAGAATTGTCCGAAGCGATTAATTCTATGTTCGCTTGGTACCGCGACGCGAAGATTTGTTATGCTTACCTACAAGATGTGCCAACAGGGCTGACAGTTCCAAATGAAAATGAAGTTGGGACGGACGAGGCAGACATACCAGATGAAGCGGAGGTGACAAATGAAGGGGATGAGACGTATCAAGACTATACAGATGACGAATACGACACAGACGAGGAAGACGAATTGCCAGAGTCATTTCATAATAGTAGATGGTTCACTCGAGGATGGACGCTTCAAGAGCTTCTCGCCCCCGATACAGTGGTATTCTATGCTCGAGATTGGACGACAATAGGGGCGTTAACACCCTCGATGTGGGGAGTTAGGGGCCACATCGCCAGAATAACTGGCATCGATTCTAGATATCTATACGGCTCGGAGAATTCAAAGGAGGCTAGCGTCTCTGAAAGATTATCCTGGGTCGCCAACCGAAAAACTACTCGGACGGAAGATATTGCCTACTGCTTGCTCGGTCTCTTTGATATCAACATGCCGCTTCTCTACGGCGAAGGTATTAAGGCCTTCACGCGGCTCCAGCACGAGATTATCAGGAACTCAAGCGACCACACAATATTTTGCTGGAAATGGAGCAACGCGGTCCCCGCCGATTGGGTGAGCATACTTGCTCCATTTCCGAGTGTATTTGCGGAGTCGGGTAACTACATTAGAAGAGACGAAGTGGCTGCGGCTGAGTTGTTACCATATTCTATGACGAACATAGGACTATCTATACAGCTTCCGGTTATATACGGTCGCAGCTATGTCTTCGCCATTCTCAATGCTGGCAGGCAATCAAGAGAATTCAATAGATATGCCGCGATACCCCTCCGAATAACATTATCGCGTAAGCAGTTCGATCGTTACAGGTTCCCCCCTGAACCCATTTTACTAGACTTCCCAGGTCTTAAAGTGAACGAATACGCCGAACGCGATGTATATTCCGGTCCGGCGCCTTGCGAGCAGCTCATCATTCGATCCGCCTTCAGTGAACTACCGACGAGAGGCCCACCGCGAAGGCTACCAAGAAGCCCCCCTCCACCATATAAACTCGATCGATACAATATACTCATCATTATAGACGCCCAATGCTCTTTTTCGCGGCTTGCTAAGACACCCTTGTCTTTGGAGTCGGGAACCGATTATTTTAGAGTGGTATCTAACCCTCCTCCTAAAAGGTTGATTGACACAATTCCATTGGTGAGAATAGAAGAGAAACCGCCAATATTAAAAGAGAGCCCACCAATTTATGCGTCGCTTGTCAAGATTGTCCCCACTGAAAAGGACCGGTCTTTCAGCATTCTGTTCATGGTAAAGTCAGCAGTAGGTGGGTCAGGACTACCTGATCAGTGGTCTTGCCACGCTGTACCAGATGATTACGATGAAATTTTGGCGAGAGCATCCTTGGAGATTGATGTTTTACCTTCTGAGTCAACGGAGACAAGTTATTTCTCGAGGAAAGATGGGGATTGGTGCGTTAAGCTAGGACACAGTTTCACGACATCTAATGACAGTGAGGTTCGTGTTGTCCAAATATATAATGAGGATGGGTATCGCCACAGCGGGGTCCCCGTTCGTGAGGGTGGAAGCAACTCGGCATGTGTGGTATCTTAACTATTAATAAATATATGCAACCCCTAAGACGTCATCAATACCAGACGCATTGTTATGCCCACCCGCACGGATACCGGCGTCAACCTCGGTACCGCATTGCTCGGCAGGCCCAAGTTTACCAGCTTGAGAAGTTGTAGAGCCTTAAAGTCAATTCACTTCTTGATCTAAAGCGTTAAGAGCCGCCCGCTTCTCCAATAAAAGTTGTACAACCTCATTGTGGCCTTGAGATGATGCTGCCCAGAGAGGATCATTCCCATTTCTGTCTCGGACGTTAATATCCGCCCCTTGATCTAATAAGATTTTAACAGTCGAAAGGTGGCCTTGATGAGCAGCTGTTTGCAGAGCAGTTGCGCCTTTTTTATTTTGAGCATTGATTCTCACCCCATAATCTAATAGGAACGAGACAACCGCATTATGGCCTTGATATGACGCTGCCCAAAGGGCGCTATTGCCATGGTCATTCCGAGCCTCAATGTCAGCCCCGCTCCTACGTAGGAGTAAAACCATTTCGTCATGGCCTTGGTACGAAGCTTTCCAAAAAGCGCTATTGCCTTCATCGTCTCGGCCATTAACAACTGAACCAGCTTCTACCAGGGTTTTAACAATGTCAAGATGATTTTGACATGCTGCAGCCTGAAAAGCGTTGCCACCTTTCCCGTCTCGGGCATTGACATCCGCCCCATGCCTTAACAGGAATTTCACAATCGAGCGGTGACCTTGACGCGCTGCTGCCTGAAGAGCGTTTGTACACTCTCTGCCTTGACCATTAATATCTGCCCCGAGAACCAGCAAGATCTTCAGGGCTTCTTCTTTTCCATTCGCAGCAGCATGGACAAATGCCGATTGGAGACAGTTTTCGGCAGTAGTTTGGCTAATACCATTCGTGAATTCCGACGGCCAGTATGATGTAACCCATTTCGAAAGAAGAAGGGCCGCATAACATCTTGGTCTGGACATAGTATCCTTCAAATGTGATTCAAATTCCGCCCATAAATTGATGCCACTGTCTCCCAGGTTCTTAAAGTGCTCCATAAAGTAATATAGTGAGTACAGAAGTAGATTATTTTCGCAAAGGGAATGCGCTATTGAATCAACTCGCGAGAAGTCAGGATCAACATCCACTTGAAAGGCTGCCGCCATAAAGGTAACGCAAATATTAAAACAACACGTTTTAGAGACTATTTGGTCTCCCTCTACTTCATCAAGATCATATGGCGTAGCTAGACGTCTCTGATCCAAGATGAACTCTCTGACAGTTTGGTGTATGAGTTGTACGATCGGGCCATGGCTTGTATCCCGCACCTATCCGCTCTGGTGAGATTTTACATATAGTAGAACGGGAGGAGATCTTACCTCCACGAGCCCCCCACAGTAAGCGATCAATCCCCGTTCCAATTCCAACGGTCTGTTTCGCTCAAGGTCGTAAGTCGATAAGTCGACATCTCCTATCTGGAGCGGTGTCGCTAGCACATGCTCGAGTTCGCGCATTGATATGGGTCGCTTAGGGAAAGTCACCCACGCAAGTATTCGCTTTGCGAGTCTTTGATCTTCCTCTATGTCATCTTCATCTGAGCCCTCATCCAGGCCTTGGCGACTGATTAAAGAGTCCACAATGGCTCGGTAGAAGCCGTGTGGCCCGCCGAGATCCTTCGGAAGCTTGCGTACACGATTTTCGAGAGAAGCTATTGTATACCCACCTTTCCGAAAGAGTCTCTCTAGATCTCTCAAAACCAGAGAGACCCAAAGGAACACGCCCTGGGAGTTTTCGATAATGTAATCTCCGATTTCAGAAAAATTATCTGGTTTGCGACTTTTTTTTGATAATAGTTTCCCTCCATGGTCGTGCTGGAGCCCCTCGGTCCACTTTTCGACTACCTTGCGTATATCTTCTGCGTTTTCTTTCTGCAAAACGATGTGACATGATCTACCAAGGCGGGGATTGGTGATAACAACCTCTGGCCTGCTAACGATCAACACCTTCATAACACAATTGCTCTCTTTAGATGAGAGATCATCTAAGAAGCGAAGCGAATCGCCCCGTTTGGCGCTATCGGATTCGTCCACGCCATCCACTAATACGAAGACACGTAATGGAAAGTCAACCTTATGTAGGGATCCCAAGACACATTTTAAGTCTTCATATCTCCAGAATGAAGTTGTCTCTGGGATATTGTCATTTTTCAGCCTCAGTCTTCGGTATGTGTCTTGCAAAAGAGGGAATAGTCTCTTATTTTGGCTCCATATCTGGTAGACGAGAGAACGAAGCATGAGCTCGTGGCTGGTCTCGGTGATACCTCCACGAAAACTATAAAAAAAGGCGGCTACGACTGTGTCTAGGTAGAGCTTTGCGTCGTTCAGTTTCTCGCGGTCGGAAACGTTGTTCTCATCTTGCAGTTTCTGGACGATTCGTTTCAACAACGTTGACTTCCCGCTCCCCGGCTTCCCCTCTATCCAAAGCAAATCAGATTCAGGGGACTCGATCCACTTTGAATATTCTGGGTGAGATACAAGCCAATCTCCTCCCTCATCGACAGCGTCTACGCGAGTCTCACGCGCATCCCATTCCTGGAAATACAGGGTTCTGAGACATTCTATTGAAACAATTAGCTAATTCTCAGATCAAAGTCTAGGGACGCACCTTTTCTCTCCTTTTCCGGCCCTATGCTCGCATAATGAGCAAGAGTTTCTTGGATATACGGCTCAGGTCTCGAGGAAATGAGAACTCGAATTGTTACACCCGAGTCAGAAACTCGCTTCTCAAAATGCAATAAATTTCTCAGGAAAGCCGAGCCAGTTTCGCGGTCAAGTATATCAATACCATCGAAAAGAAAGACTGTGTCCTTGTCGGATATCCCACTAACCACAGCTTCCAGTAGCCGCCACAGTTGATTGGTCATATCAGGTCCATCTAACGAAGAATTCCAGGGGCCGGGGGTCGCTTGGGTAAGGCCCGAGCGATCCTTTTTCTTGATTAATTGAAATATAATGGATATTAGGATAAAATCCTCCGATTTTGGTCTGCCTTCGGAACAGAAGTAGACAGCGATATCCCAATTCATCGTGTATATTGATCGATTTTCTTGCAGAATATAGGACATTACGACTGTTTTCCCCGCATCTGCAGGACCATAAAGCCAGAGGGATGCGGCTTGGTTTTGTCTTCGCCATACTTGGAATTCTGGGCTTTTGATGAACCATTCAACAAAATCCTCAATCCCAGGTGATTGACCTTTCTCGTTGGCTAAACCGGGAGCTTTAGAAGTATCGCGGACATCGTCTAGTGTCAGACCTATCTTATCGAGGTGTGCTAAAAGAATGGTTTCGATGTCATTTTTGGACTTGGTATGTGTCTCTACACAAAAACGGAACTCTTCAGTCTCGTGCATGCTAACTACTCGTCAACCTACTAACCTGTGCTCAGTGGTTGTATCCATCTTCGAAGTTCTCCACTAACCGCCAGATACCCATCATCCTCTGAGTTGGGAAATTTTGCCATATCCTAGAAAGAGTTAGAATGGTCCAGGAGTATAGCTATTGGGGGGATTACCATATGATTGGCTTTAATCGACTGGTTAGGCCATCCAGCGATCTTTGCGGATTCTGGCTTGACTACTAGTCCAACACCTGGAAGCTCATCCTCTTCAGAAAAGCATGTTAATTGGAATCGACCGGAAGCCCTCCTTAGCCAATTCGAGAAAGCGTCCTCAACTGCCGCAAGGACCTCCGAGTCTCTTTTAAGCGCCTCGAGGATCTTAGGATTGGTTCTGCTCCCAGAGGCTTTGAGAATGTTGGCAACCGCTTTCGCAAATGGTGCCATATCTGCGCCCCGATGAGGCGTTCCCAAAAAAACAATGCCAATTGTATCTCTTTCTATTTGCCTTAGGTGTTCGTCGGCCGAGTTTTCGGAGAGAGCCAACGCTCTTTTAGTCACAAGGCCACCGAGGCTATGAGCGACGAATATGATCTTTCGCGAATCCTAGACTCGATATTATAAGTCAACATCACGCGTGCACAAACCAGCAGTAGTGGCTTACTGAATGAGTTTGAAGCCTCTTATTAGCCATACGGTTGACCAGATTCGAGGCATGGTCTTGTAGGGTGTTCTGTCCTACTGGCCCAAAGAAGTGCGCGACGTTCGCGTCGTATCCATAGGTAAAGATACGGGCATTGTCAATATCTTTTGCAAGCAAATCGGTCGGCCAAAATGTATCTGATTTTTCGTAAAAGAATGTTCTATCGGCGCGGCCGTTAAGCCCATGGAGAAAAACTATGTCGACAACGGCGTTATCCGGGCTATAGAGTTCTCCGAGGCCGTGAAAATTGTTATTCGGAAACAATTTCTGGATTGACGTAGTAGGAACTTCGAAACTCGGATTGGGTGAGGCCGAGGAACTCGCCTCGTCGTCATCGCTGTCTAGCACATCATGACTGGGGCTCCTTGCGTTTTTAGGCTTAGGAGAGAACAATCGCTTGAGAAGCTTCTTCTTGGACGAACCCATCGGTGCGTTACGGGCCACCCTGTATCATGAGAATCAAGCCCAGTCGGAGAGACGGCGTGGCATCAGGCTCTGAAGCTCAGCTGAGCTCAATCCCATAAGCCACCTTACCCCGCACCTTTGGACGTATAATAAGCCATAAGCCCTATAATAAGGGAGCAGAAAAAGCAAACTAGGTCGTGACATGGCATGGTACAGTTCGGCTTCGAATCGGGCACGGTGTACCTGTCTAGGTACCTACCGTTACTGGCGCTTATGAAGGATTTTTTCTTTATTTTTTTCTTAAACAAGACGCACTCACCCAACTTTGTACCCGTAGTCGACGTAGCGCCAATCTCCCTGCTGTAAAAATCAGCGGGGGTGTAATCGTTTAGGCCAAACCTCACCAACAAATAGACTTCCCAAGAGACAGGTGGACTACATGAACTCCGAATCATTGCGAGACATCTATATGTCCATTTTGATTCATGATACACTCCGCAAGCTACCAGCTACCCAGTTGTTCATCGCATACACCACATCCCATTCAAAGCCAAGCCATATCACAGCACGCTCATCATATGGGCCTTCTTTTCCTCTTTTCTCCCCAGCAAGCACACCTCCCATCCACCCATTAGCGAAATAAACGTTTACTTCTTATTGAACAGTTTCGGAATGATCTTATCCGCACTGTCCACATTAACATGCCCAGCATCGCGACCCTCTACCTTCATGTCGTGATACCAATCCAGCGTAGACCTATACTGGTATCTCATCTTCTGCTTCAATGGATCCTGGCCTCGAACCTTCGCAACTGCTTCGTATAGGTGATTTACACACTTAGTTGATTCGACCGCTTGTTTCGGGCGCGGCGCGTGCCATATCGATCTTTGTAGTTCTTCATCGCAGTGATGAATCGGTGGCGGTGATACGGCCTGCTCCTCCTCTACAGAAGGAACATTAACAAGTCCTGTTATCATACCGCTCTTCCATTGGGACTTCGGTAAGCTTTTCCAACCCGCGTCGGGTAGCAGATTCTCGAAGGGTGGTAGCCAGTCCTTACCATGAGCCAGCATCTCTTGGAGTCTTCTGTAAGTTACGTCCAACGGGTGTTCGTTAGGCTTAGTTTCTATACCAGCTTTGCTGCTAATATAGACTTCTCCAAGGTAGTATTGTTTGTCCTTCGACGGCAAGGTTTCGCGAACGAGATTTACCAAATGCCGTTGCATGCCAAGGAGGAGCGCCGCATGCCCACCGGCGATTTCTCTATCATGGGCGGCGATGTCCCAGATAAATAGTTCTATATTGTCATACTTGACCTTCGCCTTATGTGGGTTCATAGGTCGAACAACTGCAATCCAAGGGTGGCATGCATATGTGTGGGGAGGCGCTTGGGGGATCCATCCTTTGTCGATGGTATAGAATAGACCGTACCAGGTATTAACTCCTCCGAACCTTGGGGCTGCGCCCAACCAATTTTTGAAGGTATCATACCTACACAATGGATCGCCGAAATGATCGGCCATTGACACATCCAGCCACGACACGGGGTTAGCGTGTAGCCTGGCCCAGTTGTTGACGCTAAAGCGATTAGAGAGCTTGAGGATGTGTGAACGCAATTCTTCGGGGCGATCATTCTTGAAGATAATACTTTGAGATTTTGAGACCGGATCGGTGCTCTGCGTGATCGCAGTAGACCCGACGCTCGTATGACTCGGGACGGAAGCAGCAGCTTGACTAAATTTATCCATGTCGTCTGCTGCAATGGCTGCTTCTCTTTCTTGGCGTCGTTGTTTCTCGCGAGTTAAAGCGACATCGGGATCGCCAACTGTCTCTTTAGTATAGACTGGGATCTCGATATTCCTGTAAGCCGCCTTGTGTCTGCTGTTGCTCGAGCCGAGCACGGCGAATTTGCGATATTGGTCGCATTTCAAAGCTGACCACCAACAGAACCAATTGACTAAGCTTTGTTCATCGTTTTGGTCAATGAGGTCAGTGATCCAGAACACCTTCCGTATCTCCTCACTAGTCTCTTCGTTTCCGAACTCTTCAATGATCTCTTCCAAGATCTCCCACACTCGAAACCTTGCTTCAAGATCCTTCTTAGCAAGGCCAGATTCTGTAAGGATATCATCGAGTTTAGGGTTATCTTTATGCAAAGAGCGCAATTCCTCATGCTCCTTTGCCTTCTCTAATGTGACCGTCTTCAAGTACTCGGGGAAACCGGCACAAGCCACAAGCAAGTAGTGCGGATTATAACAATAGGCTTTGAACCATTCTAGGAATTGACAAAGTCTAATGGGATCTGAAAGTACGAAACTTGGTGTGACCAAAAACGCCCGGCCTTGGGGAAACAGCCTTGTCATTCGAATGTTGCCGGGCTCGATCGCGTCGTATTCATCGGAAGGGAATCTCGGCGGATTATATTGTCCCGTGGCGACGTTCCAAAATGTGTAATTTCGCTTGTTCTCAATCATCTGTGATATGCGCGGTAGTTTTCGAATAGAGACGCTCACATCTTCGTGTAAGATGAGTGTGCCTGCGGCTCCTGTTCCTCTCACGGTCTCATGGAACTTTGACCAACTATCCTCGATTTCGTGAGAAAAAATTCGGCAGTTTGGTTGGCACGAACCTATAAATGTTAGGATTAGCACCTGTATTTTATAGTAGACGAGGGTTTTTTGTTTTGTAATTCAACTTACGGAGCCAAAGCTTGATGATATTGCAAAGCTGCATTTCCCGATCAGGGAAAAGCAACATGAATACTTGATTGTCCTTCGTCTTGGGCTCTTGGGGTAGAAAATGGGAGAAGTCTAATCCAATTAGATCTTTGATGAGCATCTGGCGTTTCGTTCCTGGTTTCTTATCGCTTAGACTGGTCGGGGCGCGAGAAATGGTTGTTGAGGGATATAATCTCACATCCACTGGGGATCTATATATCATATGTCGCAAGGGAGACTCTAAGAAGTCTTTGTCCAGGCTGATTTCGAGCCCATCCCAATCACTACACCCTGAAGGGTATACTAGAATTGAGAACTGTTCCGTCACTAGATGACATCCATAGGAGCCTTGTCGTAGGTGGCCTGCTATGTTGGATAGTGTTGTTGATACGACCTCTTTTGACATGGACATGATCGCGCCAGTAGAGAGTACTTGCTCTACTAGATTAGTTCTGTGAGGGATGAAGTCGTATGAAGCGCAAATCGAATCGAAGTTTAATTTTTCCTGAGCGATAAAAGACGATAACCAAGGCTGGCTTTGGCGGGTGATACCACCGAATAGGACCCGAATTGGCTCGGAGACACCACCTTTCCCAAACGTGGCCATTTTCGAAACTAATTGAGCTTGCCCCTTCTCTTGGTATGCAGCTAAGGAGAGCTTTTTCGTGGATGGAGGGGATTTGATGAGAGGTTGAACCGAATTATTGGGCTCATCATTGGGACGATCAACCACATCATCTATATCCATACCGTCACCCACCGGCTTATCCTCTGGTGCGATATCCCCCGCTCTAGTAAAGCGAACAGACTTTTTTACCTTGGGAGTCGCTACGGTTGCGCTCGTATCACCTGGCGAAATCGCTGTAGGGCTTTGGACTATAGGTGGGTCTGGGGGCGCAGGCTGGACATTTGATTTCGTCTGATCTGCACTAGGACGATTATTCCGATCACTCGTCAAGAGGAAGCTAGCTGGTATTGAAGATAAGTCAGGATGAGCTAAATCACTCTTTTCAATACTTCGCTTCCTAGCATTGTTTCTACCACGCAATGTACTGAAGGCCTTAGAAGCTTTGGATGGTTCATCTGTAGCATCGCTTAAGCTAGCCCTCTTCTTTCGTTCTTTACCCGCAACAAGAACGTTACTCGCTTGTTTGGAAGGTGTTGCAGCCGGAGGTGGCTGAGCTCGAGTACGAGTCGCGGTGAGTTTTTGACCTGAGAACTTGTTTGCTAGGCTAGATGTTATTTTAGGGGGCATTGTCGAAGGCTTTGAAGGGGTTTTGGATGTTGAAGTAGGAGCTTTTTGAGTCGGTGCTTTACTGGTTTTGCCAGGAGGATCCTTTGACGATCCTAGATCTATGTTTGCACTAGGCTTCCTCGCCGTGCCTTGGTATCCAGTCACAGTGCCACCTCCCGTCCCGCCACTTGAGGCCCGCCTCTTCGACTCCGATGATTGCTTTGAGGGTTTAGGTGGTGACGTGGGCATTGAGGTACGTTTGAGCGGCTTTTTCTTAGTATTTGGAGTGACATTTGTACCCTTCTTAGATTTCACGGCCGGAGCCGAAACTGGAGCTGGAGCCATAACTGTAGCTGTAGCTGTAACTTGAGTGGGTTTCGGCTGAGCATTTTCTTTGGGCTTCGCCTTTGAGGTTGGCGGGCTTGGTTTAGTTTTATGCGTGTCTGGGGCATCATTATCGATAACAGGTTCATTTCTCGTACAGGTGGCAAGAGAGGGGAGTTCTTGGATAAGAGAGGGGGGTGCCTGGATAGGAGAACGGAGTTTCTCAGTGGTAGGAGAAGGGATATTCTGAGTAGTTAGAGGAAGGGGTTCTTGAGCTGCAGGTTTGGACGGCAAGGGTTGATTGTGTGGCCAGCCAAGACGCTTCCGTTTGGCATTGCGTCTCTTACGTCTCCTCTCTCTTTCTTGATAGGCGACGTTGAATTCCTCAACGTCAAAAGGTTGCCGTTTGCCGTTTCTGATCTCCTCTTGATTCTCAAGCCACGATTCAAGTACACCAGGCCCTAAATGCACTGTAGGTTCCCAAGTACACTGGTCCAATGGGAAGCCTTCCCACTTGATAAGGTACTGCATCTCACCGGGATCATTGGGATGGTCTCGTTCGGCATATATATCTTCAACGATCCAATCCTTATCCACATCGCCCTCTTCGCCGTTGGTAGAGTTTAGAGAGACATCATCATCATTATCATCACCTATTTCATTAGGCCTGGTAGACAACGGCGTGATAGAATGAGGAGACACCATTGTCTCCTAAAAAGCGTATATGAAACGCGCAAGTAGTGTGACTGTGTAATTTCAGTCGCCGATTAAAATAATGGGGACTGATTGAGTTTACAGGTTATGCATAACTCTCATAGGTAAGAACAGACTTGTTCGGAACGGCGCTGTTGGGTTATCATAGAGGGTACACTCCAATGTGCTCATCAACCAAACAAACAGAATAAAGTTTCAAGTCCAAGTCGATGGGACTGAATAAAACATGGGAAGACACGCTTAGTTCGCACCTGACGTCATTTCCAAACAGACAACTTCTTCAGACGACGAGGAAGCAGGTGCGAGGAATTTAGTGCCTTAGAAATGATTTGATTTGGGTTGGTTGCGATTTGAGATGGTGAAAGCAAGTGGTAGGTACGAAGCGTGGTTGGTAACTTGGGTAACTGGGAAGGAATAACGCAAGGCCGCACTGGCCAGTCATAATTAGGTACTTGATAGGTGATAGGTGAATTAACATTTATTCACAGGAAGTGACAATTAGGAAATGTATTTCCACCTACCTGCGTACCTACCTTTCCGTACGATTAAAATATCCCTCCACCACGAGGTTGCTGTTTCAATTAGCAGTGGGAAATCCGGGACTTTCCAAAAGACTTCGCAAGTCTCACTAAACCATTATAAGATAAAATAAAATAGACTCATGGGAACTTGAATGCTTAGGTTTTTAAAAGGCAACTCTTGTTAATTATTGTCTTACACATCGTCTATTCGATAAATGTGTATAATAATCGACGAAAAAAATCTTCTAATCAAATGGAAATGAGGAGTATCGCCTGCCAAAAAGCAAAAGTAGAAAATTTGAAGATATGAAGACACCCATTCGGCTCGTTACTTAAGAGGGCGACCTTCAGGCAACAGAGACGCCACAGCGGCTAAGCACGGCCTCCAGCTTGCTTACAGGGCACCCACGGTCCCCTAATAGCGATAGTCATCATCCGCACCTCTCGATCGCGGCCTAGCATCGTTCCGTTCATCGTACAACCAATCCTCGACATTCTTCCAACTACGCGCATCCGGATCGACCTCACGCTCCACAGCATGGCTTCTAGCGCGAGTACGATCGCGGTCGCGCTCTCGGCTGCGTTCATCCCACGGGTCCCAGTCTTTCTTCCACCCGTATCCATCAACGCTACTACTGTGCGGTCGCGCCATCACCTCGCGTTTTTCCACCACATCAGCATCGGGTCTAAACTTGCGATCCCATTTATCTTGCTTGATTCTGTCCCTCTCGCGGTGCACTTCAAGCCGTTTCTCAACTGCATTCGCTCCAAGTGCACCAACTGCTGCCCCGACTACTGTGCCGATGAGTTGGTTACGTTTGTAATCCGCACCTTCGTGATTGTAGTTATTATGTTTGCTTGTGGCATCGACCGCTTCCCTAACCGCCAAACCACCGACCAATGCACCTAACACACCTATGCCTAGACCAGCAGTCGAATTTGTAAACGTATTATCGACAAAGTTCCGCGCCTTGTCGAGCGGGGTCCTCGCCCGTTCATCATCCGAGTCCTCGCTATCGCTATCCTTATTATACCTTCTTTCTCGTCTCCTCCCACGAGTCGACCGACGGCGCTCTTCAAAAGGAGGCAGAGATCTAGGTCGCGAGTGTAATTCAGGAACATCTAGATTGGACGGCGATTGAGGGGGATAGAATGGTGTGTGAGGTTCGTAAGTAAGCAGTTTTTGTGGCGGAGCCTCGTCATCGTATGCGAGATTTTCTTGTTCGGCAAGTCGCCGGCTCTCCTCGTAGCTCACCGGATAAGTGTCGCCCGAGTATTTGTATTCAGATGAACGATCCCGGTAGTGGCTAGACCGCCCCCGGGAATAGGCATCTTCGTAGCGCGACATGCCCTGTGATTGGTAGGTGGATGTCGCGGATGCAAACTAACTGTTGTAATAGTTGACGAAGCGAAGATTGATAGCAATTAGTGGTATATATACGGCTATATGCTTTAGTGGTGCAGTTTGCCGAATAATTGTAAGACAATGAGGTTTCAAGACAGAAAACCGAGTCAAGCGGGGCGTATTAGATCTGGTCGCGAATTTATTGTATTCAACCGGTCAGACAGCGGTCGAGGCTCTCAAGTATAAAAACAAATAAAAAGACGCAAGGCAATTAAAGTGGCTTAGTTTGTTGCTCGTATATTGCTCAAAGATAGGTAGGCTACCCGTTATTGGTATCTTACCAAGAATTATATTCTGCCTACCTAAGGTCGAAGGCGCAGGCAGGTGGGTATGCAATGTATAATATACGCTGATACGATACAGAAATCGACGTTGATACTAACAGACGACAACGAGTTAATGGCAAATATTAGCATTAAATATTAGTAACGACCTCTCGTGAGAAACGCCCTCTGATCCCGACGCCTATGCTGTCGTGCAGTATATGCAGGACATGATACGCCAGAAGAGTTGCAACGGGCAAGATAGGGAAGGATGGGTTGGCTTTGACTTGCTGAGTCGACGGCCTGAGGTGGATCGTGGGCCATTTGCCCGCGCAGGCCGCGGTCGGCGGGTGACCATTGGTGGGACGACTGGCATATGATGTCACGGGCGTGAGGGCACTTGATTACCCGCATGTGGTCGACGAGTCACTGCTAACAATTAAAATACCCAGGTACGTAAGACGTAAGTGCCAAGAAAGGGCGACTACTTCCTTCGCTCTCGATTAACTCCGAGACTTCCCGTTTTCCGTAACATGGACGTCAGTATCTTAGGTAGGCACCTAAAGCCCCGCGATCGAACGTCGTGACTTCCTTATTATACACCCCCGGTGGGTTATCATCTCGGTAGCACGATGCCGACTACAGCTTCCCTTCGTTACCTATGTACTAGGCATAATCATTTAGCATACATAGCCTCGACTCTTCATCAACATTGACATCAGACAAGGTTATTACAATTTGTGTCCATACGAAAGTGAAAGAATATGCAGGTACCCGACTTTAGAACAGAAGGCTCTCGAAGCGATTCCCAATCTACCCACCCAGCCACCGAACTAATGCACTTATTATCGTACCTGTTGCCTACTCGAGCATTTATTTGCGAGTTATGTAATAGTATAGCCTCACCTAGAATTATCGTCTCATCTTTATAGCGACGGACTGCATCGTCTTTATTATATTAGAGGCAGCCTGACAGAGTAGCGAGTACGACCACAATGCGAGTTAATCTTGACAGGCATAATGCGCAATTAATTACCACCTAGACAATCGTCTATCATACATGTACAAGTGAGGCATTGCTAGGAAGCCGGCAAGAGGTCAGTGTTACTCGAAAATCCTATATGGAACTGTAGTCCTAATCATCCACGATACATAAATGTAAAGGGATATTAGGAGTTCACAAATAGAAAATGAGATGTAGCCAACACGGTAGAAGGCATCCACATGACTGTTGCGGTAGGCAAACCTGCGTTGCGACAGAATAAGAAAGGAAATAAAACAAATAATCCGAACTTTCCATTGCTCTCCACCACCGGCCAGACCGAAGTCAAAATCCATTTGGGTATCCTCAAGCCAAACACCCAACACCCGTGATGTGCGAAAAAAACACATAGGCCAAACTCCGGTGAAGTGTCTCCGACGAACTCCAGCGTTGCGAAAATTAAAAAGAATACAGTAAAACAAGGGCGGAAAGAATCGGAAAAATAGCAACTCGATTGCAGGAAATTATCACGGCCAGTGGGATCTTCCAGCCAAATTTCGTCTCTTCAATGCGATGTTGGAAGAGGTTGTTGTTGCCAAAGCTGTTTCTTTGCTGCCGTGATTTGTCGGCACCGTACCAAGCACACTGTAAGCCTCGAGGCTGTGCTTCTGCTAGCATCGTCTGGTGGCGCCATACCAAAAACAAGTATGAATCTCAAGGCCGTATGCCCGCCATCATCATTTGATAGCACCACGGCAAACGCAATCGCGAGTCTCAAAACGTCCGGAATCTAGGAAAAGGACGTGCGGGAAAACTGCGAAATCTGAAAAACAACCCGGCACCGAGCAAAGCCGTCGAGAAAAAAGAATAAGCATCGAATGTCAAGAATGCCAGAGCAGTTCAAACACAAGCCTACTGCTGGCGCATCAAATTCTGCGGATATGATCGCGAATGTGGTATCGCAGGGTTGTACACATCTGGCTCTAGGGTCGGACCGCTGAAATTACGTTCACCCTCACGATTCTTAATACGGTGCTCACCAGGGTACCTGCTCTTGGGCGGGGACAAGTCCTGGTAGTCACGGGGCGGGTTCATGACGCCTCGGTTGGGCGCATACTCAGCATTTGTAGCAATCGTAGTAGCAAACGAATTCTCCTTCTTGTGGCCAGCATCCTGCTTGGTTTCCTCCCCCTTGGTCTTCTGGTTGCACGCGATCTTCTCGCGCTCGAGGGCGACACGGAAAAATTGGGATACCTCAGCGAGCCAGATCTGGAGGCGCTCGGGACTGTCAAGTAGCTGCAAGACGGCCTGGGCATCGAGGATGTGTTTTGCAACAACCGAGTCCGGGTGACAGTAAGTGCGAATACGCATCACGCGTGCATCCATTTTCATTCCGTAAAGAAGACCCTTGATGAAATTTGGGTCCGTCTGGAAGGGGCCGTAGAATCGGAAAGTACCGATGTGCGCAGCAATCATGTCGACTTGCGTCTCAACGTCATAGCGGAAGCCAATCACTTTCGGGCGACCCTTCTGCTCCCATGCGTCTGCAATCTTGGCGAGTACATGCGGGTTAAGGCGACCGCTATGGAGTTGGACATTGATGTAACCGCTAAGCGCGTTACTAAGGATGAATTCCAATTCACAGTAGAGCAGGCTCTGCTCGCGGGGATCAAGTGAGATACTGAGTTCTTGAGCAGTGTGGATTCTGGGCTGCGCGTTTCTAACCTCAGTCATTTCAGCCTAGAAGAGGTTAGCTTCCGTACCCAACATGGAGTGAATGGATACGTACAAGTCTTCGTGCAGTCTTCTTTACACCATCAAAAAACTTCGTGTTCTTCTTGGCCTCAGGCTTCTTCGCCTCTGCGGCGGTATCCTCTAACCAACCCTTATCACTAATCAGGGTCTTCTTGGCTCTTCTGGTCTTTCCATCTCCTATCCAAGGAGTCAGCGGAGTGAAGGGAGGGGCTTCAATATCCCTATTAATCACGCCAGCGGGAATGGGAGCTTGGGAAGCGTTATCATTTTCTGCCATTCCCTTCGAACACGGATTACCATTTATGTCCATATGCTCGCCAACGGGTGAATTCATTTTCCAATCCTGGTAGCCCTGCAGGATATTGATCGATCCAATGGGAGGCTTGCTCAAGGCGTGGACTGGGCCAACCGCGGGTTCATCGTAGCGGAAGGGTGTATCATCCGTGTACACTGATGTGGGGCTGTCGCCCAGAAACCGACTTCGCTCCATATCTTCCGGGGTAAGAGGATTGTGGATTGGTTGAATGTTGGCCTGGGTGGTGACCGCTGCACCATATCTGCGGGCTTCTTTAAGATCAAGCGGCTGCGGGCGACGCTTCTCTTTCTTGGCGGAGGAAGCCAAAGCAGGTTTCGGGGGTGACTTATGTCGAGACATAGATCGGGATCCTCGAGAAGGTGTCACGTTGCCTTGGCCGATGATATCCGTCATGGTTGTAATGTGAGCGGGATCACGGTTTCCAGCACCCTCGTAGACGGGAGAAAGGAGGTTATCACTGCCACTAGTTGGAAATTCGTATCGTCTTTGCATAGAGCGTCCTCGTTCGGGAGAGGGTACCTTCGATGACGAGATACTGCCGTTTCTGGCGTGATAGAAGAAATGAGATACGTCATCGCGCTTCTCTAAATGAGAACGCGAAGTCGATCGCGAGTGATGAAAAGGATCCCTACTGGGCGTTCCAGTTACAGATCCAGCCATACCCACGCGATCTCTCTGGGGAGTCGAATCCCTATTGTTATTATCATTAGCATATTCAATTTATTGTATTGACTTTCCAGCACTTACATCTTGGTCGACTTGTTAAAGCGAATGCGCTTAATCTCCTTCTGGGTAAGGGGTAGTCGGGACAAGGGTGTAGGAAAATGTTTTTCTGGCTGGAAGGGTGTAGTTTTGTGTGGCTCGTCAACAATAACGGAAAAGTTTTGTTTATCTACAGGCGCGTCCACAGTACTCGGGGGGGTACTACCTTGAAATAGTTGGCTTTGTGCTGAGGTAGCGCTCTCACCAAGGGAAGTCCAATTACTTAAAGGGCTGATGTTATGGTCCTGGTGACTGATAGATCCGTTGCTAAGCCAATCTTGAACTTTCTCTCGGCTTTTTACGACTACCAAAACATTGATTTTAGTACAACAATGGTAGGACAGGGAGATGATGAGAAGGGGAGAGGAAATGGATTAGATATAGAGGAATAGAAAGGAAAGACAGAGGGAACAACAAGTGTTTGGGTTGCCTTGGTGGTAAACAAATCAATTTTTTGCCCACTTACTCTTTTTATGAGGTACTGCTTGGTAGCTACTTAATGTAATTGCCTCTGCTACGCGTGAATGACCCGCATCCTCGTTGTGAGCGGAACCCTTCCTTTTTGTACGTGGATTATCCTCGACCAGGAAATCGTGAAATCCTGTAAACGAATCCGTTGGAACGTAAGGAGAGTTGTCTCCCCAAACCCATATACTTTTTCCCTCCTGATCATTAAATAGCGGTTTTGATGCTAAAAATTTCTTCACCATGAATCGTACCACTGGACTCGGAAGTCCAGCTACAAACAGACAGTTAGACTTGATCTACGCCCAGGCGGCGTAGCGAAGACGTACCTAAAAGTAATAAATCCTTATTAGGACCTTCGTCGCGACGATTGGCCTGATTTTCACGCGCGGATGATTTAGTTGCGATTTCCATGATGATAGAATTGGAATGCGACGAGATATTACGAAATGTTGTGTAATAAACGGCGGTGAATGTTATCAAAGAAGCGTGCCGAAGGTATTTTTTGTAGGCGCCGTTGACTTTCAACGTCGTTTTTTTTTTTTTTTTAAAAAAAATACTTAGACCTAGGTACCTAGGTAGATGATAGGAAGGAGCGATTCAGGTTCCTTATTCTCGATATAAATACGCGCCGTACCTGCCTACATAATTAACACTACGCAGTTCCAGTACATATTAGACTTCCAGGCTCCCTGCTTTGCTCAACCGTTTACACCTTTTCGGTAGGGCTCAATGGATTAACTGCCCCTAGGATGTTCCAAAAAGAATAAGGGGGGAACCTCACAATCGCCGATTCATTAAACATCCATTATTCTCTCTCTGCATCACCATTACAGACAAAAGTCCCCGCCTATCATTCACATCATCTAGTAAAGCCACGGTTGGGTACTTGCGGGGAATTATTTGGTGATATTTCAATCACCGTGATTTTTCGATTCGAAGTTGAAGTATCTAGTTCGGTCGGCGTGGTAAACTCGACGTTCTTGAAGAGCAAAGGATCTTTACGGCGCGCACCGCGCCTACTCCTATATAGTTCATTAGCGACAATTACAATTCATGCAATGCTTGTTATATGAACCTTTCTGTAGGGGATAACTTCGCCTGGCTTGATTCCGAGAGTGGCAAGCCAAGGCGAGAGCTCGACGATGGAACTTGATCGCGTGCTATCGGCGTATATACTGCATTACTTAAGACCCTAGGTATGTCTTTTCCTTGGTTATCGGATATAGAAATGTTTGAAGTCGTGTAATTAGTAGACTCTTGCTTTTGGACGACACCCTTACTACCACCCCCCGACCCTGAGCCGAAGACCATCCCTTGTCTTTTGGTTGATGTTCCTTGAGGGTCTGCGTAATCCTCAATAATATCCAGTTCATACCCTTCAGATCGATCATCGAAGCCAAGTTCACCAGCATCTTCTTGATCTGAAACATTCCGGTCAAACCTGAAGGTGGTGATTGGTTCCCGAGGACTCCACTGGTAGTCCAATCCCCCATCAAATCCAAGCTGTGGCGTGAAGGGACCACGAAACGACCAGGTATTCGCTTTGATTAACGATCCATCCATCACAGCTTGTACAATAGTGTCGATGGCCTTTGATTCAGCAGTGGGCATCTGTTTTACAGATAGCGCTAAGGGCAGCGACTCGCTAGTCTCGATCAGGAGATATTTCCTGGCAAATATTGCATTGGGTATTTCGCATCCTTCTGGAAAAGGGTGAGTACTAATGTTCTCAGGTCCTGTTAGCTTACCCCGGAAACTTGATTCGAACATCAAACCCCCTGGTATCCAACTGTGCCGTCTCTGTTCTACTTCAGGCTTCAGGCTGCGCACACAAATCTTCCTCTTGAGTTTATCGAAGATGCCAAATTTATGGTAGTAACGGCGGAGTCTTTTGAAATAGATCGAATTATCTAGGAGAGGGTCCGTAGTTCCTGGTGGGGGAATATTGCTTGGGCGATCCTGCGAGATGATCGGTACCTCTCGCTCTTCTATAAGCCTCCCTCGAGCGCCATATTCATGGCTCCATTGCTTCTCGTGGAATTCCTTGGGATTCGGACTATTTAATGGGCGAGTACCGTCACCCTTAGATGAGATATATAGAGTGTGATCAATAAGCCATGTCTTCCGGTGGCGTATACAGCTAGGGTCAATAGACGACGCTCTTTCGATTGAGGCGGAGGAGTCAGACAACACGAAGGGATATCTTCTTGAATGCTTCAGTCGCCATTGCGCAAGCTTCTGTGTGGGAATAATCGTTGAAGTAATAGTGGTCATATGTGGGACATGAGGAAGTTCGAGGTCGGCCTGAGTAGTTGTGTTAGTTGTGATTCCCCAACCGACACAGCCCTAGGAACCCTAACATATCTACGTAGGTGATCATACTTCCATCGCTGGAATGCTGCGCCTGGATCATCCGTATGATCACAGTCAACCTCGATCAACTCATACAATACACCACCTGCAAGATCGAGATTCTCGTCGCCAAGATGTTCACGCAAAATGAGAAAGATCTGGTACATATGATTAGAGGATGGATAATGACTAGAAGCCAGTAGTACATACCTGTTGGATACCGTCCTTATATTGATAGTTCCTTGGGACATGAGCGCAATATCTTACAAGCACGTTTCGACACTCTAAGGGATGGTAAGTTGCATATGGAGTCTAGTAAGAGGTGAAACTAAGGGTCAACTCACTATCTTCATGGTAGCCATTCCTATTCAAATTGTGTGTCCCGGATCGTTTCGCAGGATTGCTTATATCAGGGCTGGGACTTCTCTCGTCATTGGTGCTATGGTTTACGTTTGCGATGACATCGTCGTCCCTTTCGGAATAAGGCATACGCCTTCGATGACGACGCGTCGATCCCAATATCATGACTTCAGTGGTCGGAGGACCCGTACGTAAGTGTAAATGCAACCAGACACCAACTCAGTTAATGATCAAAGTACGAAAAAATTTGGATTAAAAACTTCAATGCGACATGGGGGTTGAAGGCGAAAGAAACCAGGGGCATCGATGGCCATAGTGTTGAAAATTTTGAAGTTGTGGGAGGGGTTGAGATGACACGATCGATACTTCCTGACACAACGGTTGAAGTTTACTCAACTTCTACACGTGCCTTCCAGATGCTCTCATGCTTCCTGCCCCTTTTCGAATTAAGTTTGTCGCACCGAGTCGATCGTAGCCAAACTCTATTGAATTAGTTGTACATATGTGTAGCACCTGGAGTCAGGAAATATGTTGGACTTATGCATATAGTAATAGAATCCATACATAAATCATGCATAATGTAGGTACTATAGGTAGATCTTCCGATAAATATCATCCTTTAGCTACATGCAATGGCCGTATGTCAGCAGTGCTTCTTCATATGGGTATATATTTATCATGCTGATTTGAAGATATAAGCATCTCCCCCTAGGAAGGGTACTTATAGTGAGATGGGGGTAAAATAGAGGTGGATATAGAGGTACCCAACGGGATCAACTCCATGCGATCAACTCTCTATAATTGAGCTAGTTTCTGACCCAACTTCTTCGTACAAAAGGCGCTGAAATATTCGTTCAAGGCGTCCACCGTTCCGCTGCCCTCGACTAGGCCTGTTACAATACCTACGTATCCATCGGGCCGAACGACAGCAATGCCTCCTTTTTCTTGGTCGAGCCCCATCTTAGCGTGAGCCGCAGCTGTTGCATCAGGCACCCAATGGTCCCATCTGTCATCAGCATAGACGTGGTCACGGTATCGAGCGAGCAGACTTGGTACGTCGCGTATGATCTCGACCTGGTCTCGTCGAGCCGCAAATACGGTGCAGATAGTATAGAAGAGGCTGTGAGGATTGTGTTTCTCGTGGTGTGAGATGGAGTCTATGTCTTCTCGGAGATAAGAGCCGTAGAAAGACCTCTTATCACCGAGGTATAATGCAAAATCCTTCAACGCCTGAGAAGTAGTCGAAGGCCTCCCAGCAAAGACATAGATGCGAAATGAGCCGTTGAGAGGCACTTCTTGTTCTAAGTGAACGACATTAGCGTCCACGACCCGTGTAACGTTGGCGTTGATCATAATTCGCCCCGTCCGTAGTTTGATTCCATCTGGACTTATTAGAGGGGACGTGGCTGGATGAATTGGCGACCAGTTTAATGCATTAGGCTTGTAAGCTACACCATAACCGCTAGTGAATTCGCAACCCTCCTTAAAAGTTCGGACGAACTCATTATCTTCGGTCTGGGGACTGGTCTGTTCGGACGCTGCCTGAACCTCCTTCGCAGCAGGTGGCCGTTGGGAAAATAGTTTGGCGTACTTATTGTCGAATGATAGTAAAGTCTCTGCGACGTCTTTTCGTTCGGATTCATATGTCGTCAGTATCTCTCGATCGGCAAATCCAGCTTCCACGGCGTGAATTTTCCAAGCGAGGTTTAAGGCGTCCAGGAACGCCGTATTCATTCCTTGGCCGGCTTTCGGCTACATAGGTGTTAATGATATACATTATTCTTTGGAGCGATAATGTCTTACGCTATGGGTGTGGCATGCATCGCCACCGAGGAATACTCGGTGGTCAATTGTATACTTGTCTGAGATACCCTGGCCAATAGGATAAACAGAGTACCATTCTACGCGTTCCCACTCAATAGAGTATGGTTGAAGGATCCGCTTTGCAGAATATTGGACTTCTATCTCGGTCGCTGTCCTTCTTGGACTCCAGTCTTTATCCGTTGACGATGCGATCTGGATGTATAATCTAACCATATTTTCCTCTCGAGGGATGATCATGATAGAGCCGTTTTCGGAATGTATGGTACATTTCATCTAACATATGTTAATTCAAAACTCACCGGAGCCATGGAGCGAGACGAACCTTAATATCTGGAAAATCGGTCTTTACGACGCCGTCTATAACCCCCCAGACATGCGTGATGGGATCCTTGTGTGTGATTTTAATTCCTAGTTGGTCTCGAACAGAAGACCTAGCTCCCTCGCCGCTAAACAGGTACTTGGCTCGGATGGTTTCTTGCTGAGTCCCATCGGTATGTTCGATACGGACCTCCACGGGATACTCAGGATCTGACCTATCGTCCGAATTGAAACTTTTAATAGTCCATGGCCGCTGAATATGCACGCCATTCTTCTCTAGGTCCGAGATGAATACGCGCTCGATTCGACCTTGGTGTAGAAGCGTTGTAAAAGGGTATCTTGCGTCGATGAAACTTGGACAACTCGCCCACGTGCCAGTTCTTATGATACCCCCGCCGGTCCTAGGTGGATCCCAGAACGCTACTTCGAAGACTCTCGCAGGTTTATGAGCCATAATAGCGGACTTAAGGCCCATGTTACGTAGGAGGTCGAGGGAACGAGGCTGTACGCCGTCAGCGCGCCCCGTCGGGGTAGGCTCAGCCCGGTTGTCGATGTGTTTAATTTGATAACCCCATCTTGCGAGACACGTCGACAGCATAAGCCCAACAGGGCCAGCCCCAACAATCACTAAAGGCTTGTCAGTTACGTATCAAAATAAGCGACAACGCACCCACCGATATCATAATTGAAAGACGTGCGCTCCATGACTTCTATTCTTATCCAAATCCAAGAAACAAAACGTCTGAAGCAGTTGTTTAGACCGGCGCCCCCTTATGTTAATACACTAGAACAACCTTGTATATGAAAAGTCCGAGTGCGTGCGCGTAATACATATGGCCCTTCTTAGATACATGTGGTTAGGAACATAGAATGATGTGCGATAAAAATTTTGCTCTCATCTCATTATGGCAGACAGTTCATTTGGGGTCTGAACTGGATATTATGTATTAACTCGGCTTGAAGAGACCATATACAAGAGCGACCGAGAGATATTGTAACGGTAAGACAGGAGACCGCACTAGTAGTATCTAACGGCAAGATTATCGGGAAGCGTTGAGCATTTATCACATTGGTCCTTATTAAGGCCCCCCTCGGATGTTATACATCACGTATACGAAGCGGGTCTCCATCAAAGGCGTTGCTATTGGTTTCGAAAAGAGACGGCACCACCTAGATAGGCGGAAATAAGAGGGCTAGAATTTCGTAAGCACGATGTGAAATGTATGCGACACGCAAGGGAAAGCAGGCCATTGCTTGATAAATCAGACCCTTTGTTGTGTTAGTATGATGAGGAGGCTACCATCTATGATCAGCAAAATGAGCTTATTGCTCGCCTTGGGTTCTAAGTCCGGGATGTCGACGCGGCAATGAAGTGTGGGGCCGTAGCGGGGGGCATTCGACGGCTGAAGAAGACGGGAATGAGAATAAATGGAGTATTCCATAGCCAAGCTTCCCCGAGTGGAACGGAGACAAAGACTAAGCTGTTTGCGAGTATGACAAGCTCCTATCTTTTATCAGTATTAATATAGCCAGGATTCCTAACCTCACCAGCTCAGATGTCTAATCCTAGCCTGCATGTCTGAGCTATAAGTAATATCGGATTTGGGAGCGTCGGAAGCGTAGAATATGGAGGAAAAATTACTCATGTAAGAACCAATAAGAATCAAGGAAGACTAGAAGCTAAAGATAATAATTTGCGAAATCCGAAAATCTACAACGAATTTGAGGCGTGTAGGAAGAAAAACACCTCAATTTTGCGAGTTGTAAATATACTTAGGTACTCTTGGATGGTCGAGTTCAGCCATAGCAACATCATGCATTTAGTATTCTTATAGATAAGACCGATTGAACGCTAATGCAAAGGATGATCGCGTTGAAAACTACTATCCTTGAATGGTTGACATATCAAAATATGATGGAGAGATTCGGAGTCACATACCTCAGGGGCGTTATCTTTTATGAACCCGCAAGAGCTTCGCAGCTTCCACCTAGCGCCTAAGTAATTTTGAGACTATACCCCTTTAGGAACATTTGAACATACATTCGTCGCTGTGTTCAATGTTGCGATAGCTTGTATCTACCTATGTAAGTATCTAGGTACCTAAGACATGTATCTACAATGCAGCAGGTACGACGAAGATTGAAGTCGATACGGATACATCATTCAAGAAACTTAAATATAGCTTCATTCATAATGTATTACGAAGAAAATATATTTAATATGCATTGAAATAATTTTAGGAAGAAAAAAACATGTATTTGTATCGTTGAATTGATTAATAGATACAAATATCTGCCTGTATAGGTATCTAAGTACACGTATACTGCTCAGTACATAGTAGGCAGCTTACAGGGTTTAGAATGGATCGACAAGGCTGAATGCGGCGAAAATTACAGCGATAAGGTGGCCTGTGCATGTTTAATCGCAACTTAGCTCTTTCCTTATGGAACTGCGCGACGTCAACTTTTTCTACATTTGATGTATCTGGATGCTCTTTCCTCAACATCGAACTTGATGGCGCAACGTTCTTGCCAAACTTTGTTGCGAATATTGACGCGCGTATGTATGTACAACAACAACAGGTTAGCCCATTCCTTTTTTTATTCGCGTCTGACGCGAAAGTGCCCCCCGTCACTTTGTTATGCCATTAGTAGTGGAATAATCAATCGCAACCCCCCCAAGGCACTAGGTTCACCTTCAAATTCAAATTCCCATTACAACTGACTGGACTTTTCTCTCTTTCATCTACAAATTTCAATTCGCGACTTTCGCAACCAAAAACAATAAGAAAAAACAACTATCCACCAGTGCCTGCACAAAGCTTCTACGTCTTGTTCTACCTTGTGTACTCCCTTCCATCTATTGATTGAACCTTTTTCAAAGCAAATCACTTTTGATTTACATCATCGCAACTGCGGCAGAAACATTATCTCCGTGGTCACAACTTCTACCATTTTCATCATTCTACCTATTCACTTGAATTTTTACTTCTGAAGAAGTAGTCATTAACAATGGCGTCGTCACAGCATGATCTAAAAGATCCCTGCCATTTCCCTAACTGCCATTTCTGCCTCAGAAGTCGCGCGCGCATCATCCGTCACGCGAATATCGCAGCGCTGCGGGTTGGAAGGGATTTCGCGGTCCACGTTGGCAGCTCCGACGAACTCTTTTGCCACACTCGAACTATTAGAGTACCGCGATCGAACCGATCTGTAACCATCCAAGTACCCGATCTACCACGGCCCGTCTTGCCTATTTCTTCTGAGGGCCTTCTGATGAAGAGGAAGCGACCCTACTGGCAGACAGAGTACACTGGACTAGAACCATCGGCACATGAGCTGACGCCCTTTAAACGAAAGGCCCAACCTGTAAGTCAATACCAACTTAACCTCCCATGAGTTGTTATTCCTTCCTAGCTTGTGTTTTTGAACAACTTTGTATTGAGCAAGACGTGCTGACCTTCCTTTTAGATGCCAGTATCCCGGGAGGGTTAGGTACAACCCCGTCTTACTGGACACGCCGAACACTATCGCCTTACGCAATCTAACGCCGTTCGCGGTATTCTCCCTCCACCGAAACATATTCTCCCTTTGAGTCCCGGTCCTCGAAAATATATATCGAGACCCGAACCCTCGGTTTTCCACCCGCGCTGGGATCCACTGCCCGTGGCCCCGAAGCCACAACCCAGACCAATGCCTGGTGCCTGGCCATCCGAGTTTGACGAGGAAGATGGGGTGGAGGCAACGCCAACGGGCCATGACATGACCATCCCTACCAAACTTAGTACGAACTTTTACAATGTCGCCTCTTTTCTACGAGAATCATCTTACGGCCTCCTTAAAGCTTTCAGCAACAGAATATTCCCCACAAACCATCAAGGATCTACCATTGAAGATGGCGGACCTACCTCGAAGCGCCGTCGGCTCGATAGCGAGGGATTCCTCAAAACACCAAGAGTTGGAAGAATCATCGCCCCTGCTGAACCCATTGGTGACCCAATGGATATTGATAGCCCTATTGTTACGGAGAACCGACATATTAAGACAGAATCGCCTTCCAACTATTCGCTAGACATGGGAGAACGACAGATGCGACTACAAACATCGCCATCCCAATCGCCCGTGGTATCACCTAATTCCGCGGCCGCTGCCAAAAGAGCCACCCAACTGTTTCCCAAAATCAAGAAACATGGATCCAGGCGAAGCCAAAACCAAACCTTTACCCCATCCCTCGAAGATCGAGGCGAGAAACAGACCCAACGAACAACCGAACTGCCCATCGAGCACACCTGGAAGCCTTTAGGCAAACCAAAATATGCCAGCATCCAGGAGTTTTTCGAACACGACCACGAATTTTGTCTGCCGGGCTTAGAAGCCATTCGACTCACGCCTAACGACACTAAGGTGTACGAGTTAGATTCATTGCGCCAAGAGCGTTTACGCCTCGAGAATGAGAGGCTTGAGAAGGAACGTTTAGAGCGACTTCGTATTGAGGAGGAACGCATTAATGAGAGTCTCCGTCCGCTTGGTCTACGCAAAGCCAAAGCGCCTCTAATTACTCCCCTGGATAAGGAATGGGCGCAGAGAGTTGGAGATGCGATATATAACGGCTATGCGGAAGAAAACAAGTGGCGAGGGGCAAAGCATCGGGATGGTGTAGAGCTCACGCCTCGCGATTTCGCAAAACTAGTACCGCCAACAACGTGGCTAAACGATAACGTGATCCAAGCGACGTTAGTCCACCTTGCAACATATATCAATGACGCAGCCGGCGTCATCCCGAAGAGCAGCATACCAAAATGCGTCGCCCTTTCTTCTCAGTATTGGTCAAATTTCATAAAGGACTACAAGAAGAATATTTTCCCTCGTGGATTATCACGCAATTGGGGCGTCAATCCCGATAACTTCCTTGGGATTGACACAGTGCTTATTCCAATCAACGAGAGTAGGAACCACTGGACACTCCTCATTATCCGGCCTTCACGCCGTTCTATCGCTTATGTTGACTCGTTTCATTCAAGCGGCCTAAGTTCCCTTCGACACGCTCGCGGCTTTGTAGAGACACTGTTGAAGGATAAATACGTTGCTGGAGAATGGCGTGAAGAAGAGTACACGGTACCGAAGCAAGAAAATGGTCACGATTGCGGTGTCTTCGTAATCACGAATTCTATCTATTTAGCGCTCGGCTTAGATCCCAGCGACTACTCACGCGAGGATATGCCACTTCAACGACGGAGGATCACGGCAATGCTCCTAAACGGCGGGTTTACCGGACCGTTCGACCTATCGAAATTATAACCAGGATAAATTAATATCCGGATACTTCAGAAGCTATACAAACAAGGACATTATTACTCAACAACGTCAGACACACACGCATACAAGAGAAGTGTCATCGAACAACAATTACTACATTAATTCTCTTTCCACCCACTGTTTAATCAAGCATTGCATTGGACTGGCGTTCGGGGTTTATGCTTACGCAATCTGTTATGCGGATTAGTCCGCTTGTCATCATTTTCTTGGAAGGGAGGGGGAAGGGTTTCGCGAGTAATCCAATGCGATTATATTGCACGTCTGGTTTCACCTGGTTTGCATCATTATGATATCCCCTACGAATGCGAGGTTGGATGGAGTTAGGAAGTGTTGAATGGAAGGTCTGCGATACGCGTTAGCAAGCAACGCGCTACGTCCCTAAGAAGGGCACTCGCATGTTTTTTGTTTTCTCGGAGTTCGGGGTTTTGAATGTTTTTGAAGTTTTTTTCGGAGGTAGCATCGTCGAGGCAAGACGTTCGCTTGTGCGCTCACAATGGCATTTGAGAGCTGCGAGATTTAAGACCCTGGCATGGGCAGATGTCTAGCTAGACAAGATCGATAGAAATCGACTCACTTGATTGCAAATCAGCAATTATTATAATTCTTCTTTCGTAGTCTGTTTGTGATACGTACCTAGGTAATGATACTCCGAATCCTCACTAGAAATTAATAAACTCGGAGGATCTCAGAGTTTGTCTGTAGTACATGGCGCTCATGTATCACAATAACAAATCAAAATAACCAAATATTCACCGCGGAAGGGGTATCCTCGCGATATTGATACTGCGGGAGAACTAGCTGCGGTGGAATTCTAGCCTACACACAAGCTGTCTGCAACCAAAATGACGATGTTCGTCTTCACTTTCCTATCCTAACCACCCAGTTACAAAAGGATCTGATTTCGCCTAGCGTTAATTTTTATATCTCCTCTCATCCCCAAATATACTCCTACGATGCTTCAACATCACACAACACACAAAAACCTTCACAAATAAAAATCGGGTTTCCCTAACCGCCTATATAAAACGCCAGCTAATGCAAGTGGGATATATCGATCGTATCGCGGCCCCTTTCCTTCCCTCCTCTCTTGTAGATCTATCCATCTAGAAAAAAACAGTTTTTTGATTGCCCTCCATGGCTTGATATAATTTCCTCGCTAAGAAGATTAGATTTGACTGGATCGCCTCTGAAATGTTCGTTGTTCATCATTCATGCTTTTTGTTTTAGTCGCTTTTGTATGGCCTTACCGGATTTCCGTTGGAAGGGTTGGCCTTGGTTAATTCAGATGTAAGATTCGCTTCGCGTTCTCGTATACCATCCAAGTGATACTGAGCGCGGGGGCGACCTTGAGAAGATTCGGCATTAGACCCTTGTAAAGGCCTCGGAAGCCTTCGTTACGGATGGTTTTGTGCGCTACGTCCCAGATACCAGTATAGTGTGCTGGATGCATGCTGGTACCTTGCGTCTGCAGTCGCGTACGAAGCACGTTCAGAGGGTAGACAACAGAAGCGCCAAAGGCACCTGATGTCGCTCCCATAATACCCGTCGCAAAAGTGGTAGGTTGCGCGTCTTCCTCGTGGATTCCGGCTGCTTTCGCTCGGTATGTGATATAGGTAGTCTTGAGTAGCTCGAATGTGCCCATATCGATAGCCGAGTATGGGAACATGCCGACTAGACCCATAGTTACGCCTCGGTAAGCGGCTCGAACACCACCCTCCGTCCACATCTTGCGGGCGGTTTGGAAGAGAAGCGCATTTCCTCGAGCACCGCCAGAGACATATTCCGATTGCAAACTAACATTCGTATAAGCGCATGATTGAAAGTTAATTGGGGGGAAGGCTTACCGAAATTTTAAAGTATCAAGAGGATATACGCAAAATTGCGCAGTCATCCCCGCAACGCCACCGGCTACGAACTTTGAGTATGGGTTGATATGGTGTGTATCATTGTGACCCTCAAGGCTCGCAAGTGTTTTCTTGGCGGCCTCGTATGCTCCAAACTAAAATGCAGTTAGTACACGTTCTCATTTCATTTAATGGTCTAGGAGGATATACTCGGATTGCCGTCTCAGGCATAATCTTAACCACATTAAGTCCATTTCCTATAGATAAAGTCAGCTTTGCGGTAGCGCAATAATTTGGTCATGGGATAATAATTACCAGCAAAGAAACCCCGAATACCACCAGCCTTGTAGATATCAGCAACCGCTGTGACGAGAGGTCTACCAGCATGCTTTAGGGCACGGATAGCTTGGCCCTTTTTAGCTGCGTCGACAGCGACATTGGCGCTCGAGGTTGTGTTTACGAGGAGGTAGACTTTTAGTCGGTCGAGGGGGGCAGTAGCAGTACGGGATATGCCTCCCGCCACAGCGCCGGCAATGAAGTAGCCTGGATCGGGGATGTATTTAATCAGCACGGATCTTTTGCTTTTTTTACTCAAGCTAGATTCAATCTTAATGTCTTCGACTGTGGAAGTATCCGCTTGCTCGGCTCCAAGGAGTACATCGGTGGTTGTAGCAGTCATGGCAGCTGACTCGGAGACGGTATGAGTGTAGGATGGTGCTGTAGTAGCGGTTATATTGATTGTGTCATTAGATGTCGGGTTAATATGTGCCGTTGGGATTTCTGGTTGTATTTGTTGTTGCTGTCGTTCTTCACCTTGGGACGAAGGTGAAGATAAGGATTGAGAAGTGGAAGATTCATCCGGTGGTATTTCAGGAGAGGCGAGCCTTAAGATTGAACCAAAGAGGGTGTAGAGAAGATTCGTACCTAGGCCTTGAAGGGTTTCCTCGCTGACTACTGAGTCACCTTCAGAATTGAGAGTGAGAATATCTGAATAAAATGTGAAAACTGCCCGCAGTGTTGTGGTTGAGTCGGTGTTGGGCATAAAAAGAAGAAAGTTCCTAGTTGTGACTTGTCAGTGGGTTTTTTTTTCATGTGACGAAGCGATCGGACACAGTCTAAATAAGTTGTAACCAATTTTAACGGCCTCGTTTTAGTCCTTGTGATCTGACCACTTGTTTAAAATAAAATAAAAAATGACTACAGTAGGAAAATGCAGCCTTGTCTTAAAAGCCACATGACAAACATCTGAATAATTCTAATAGTTTTTACTCCGGGTGGAAATTTAATCCCTCAAAATCACGAGGCTTCGTAGGGGGAAATAGGATTAAAAGGGGGGAACTAACCGCCATTCTTCGTAGGTGATGAAGCCGTCACGATTATGGTCGATATTCTCAAAGAATTCGTCTAGGCGGCGCATTGGCACCGCTAGACCAGCACGTTGCACGGCATGGTGAAGCTCTTCCTTGTCTATCTTCCCATTTTGATCCCGATCGATAGATTTAAAAAGAACGTAAAGTTGGCGCTCAGCGGCCTCGACAAAGACTCGAAATTCTACATCCAATCCAATGCGGTCAGCGAGGAGTTACGATCTAAAGGGCAGAGCCTGGTGGGGGGTTCTGCCGACCTTCATACTGAATCTTGCCATCACCATTTGTATCTACAACCCGAATAATAGTCTTGAGCATGTCATCGGCATTTTTCAAAGCTACCATATTATGTTAGTCGCAAAGCGTTCTAGGTACCAAAACGGCCAGGGCGGGATATGGCTGCTAACGGTGATCGATTCTCCTGAGTCCTTTTTGTAACCCCTTCCAGTCTAACTCTCCGGTGCCTTGGTAATCTAGCTTTCGCCAAAGCTGCTCGACACGGGCGTCGCGTTGGTTTTGCGATTCATCCATCTCCATCTCTAGCTCAGTTATTACCTTGGGAATGTCCATGCTCTTGTTATCGTGACGGGCGCATCAGGGGACGAGGGGGGAAAAGAAGCGATCGCAAAGCTGGTCATCGGATACTATGGATATGGCATTATAGTCGGGGCCTGTGGTTTAGGCTTGTCTGAGATCATACCCTCAAACAAGTCGAATTCGAAGAATGACTTATCGACGTCGAGTTGTTGTTGTTGTTGTTTTTCTTGTACAATGCAATGCAGGTTTCCAGTTTCCAAGGCTGGCTGGGGATGGACGGGCATACGGCTTAGCGGACGCGAGAAATGACGGTTGTCCCGCAAAAAAAGGATTACCGGGGAACAGGGAATCCTTGTCAAAGCCAATTTGCAAAACTACGATAAGCCGATAAGAAACGAAGCTCACTGGATGACGACTTTTCCAGTGCGAGCTAATGCTGGTTAGACTGTGTGACGACAGCTTATTTAAGTGTGATCGTACAGTGCTAACTCCATACACTAATGCACTAAGCACGCACCAATGTCCATTTAGATCCGTAGATCTACTACCTCATAGGCTCGTAACAATACTACCATCTTAATAAATCTTCCTTTCTCTCCTCAGCCTTGGCTTCGTGTAAGCCCTTTCCAATCAGCCTCATAGGGCTGGGGTTTGCCAAACCCCGTTATGTTACTCTAATGTTGGGATTATCTTAAACTTTTCTTTTACTTTTCCTCCCTACCCCACGGTAGCTGGAGTAGGCCAATTTATTCCACAGCAGCGATGGCGGCCAACTACTGGGAGTCGACCCAAAGGCGCTTCTGGCAGTTCTCGAAAGATGAACTCGCTCAGATGCGCGACGAGCTCGAGAAAAGCGAACAGGCCCTAGTACAGATGTTCCCTTTGCCACAAAGGACGCACCTCAGCATCTACTTCAACCAACGTGAGAAACCTGATCGTCACGGAGTTTGGCTAAGTGTTAATACGATTGTTGTTGGCTAGAGATCGGTCGTCTGAGTAAGAGGCTCAATATCAAACAGCAAGCCGTCGCCACAGCCCAGTTATACGTCAAGCGATTCTATTGCAAAGTCGAAATACGTCGCACAAATCCCTACCTCGTCCTTACTACTGCATTATACTTAGCCTGCAAGATGGAAGAATGTCCGCAACATATTAGGATGTTCGTTACGGAGTCGCGTTCGCTCTGGCCCGGTACGCTCGGCTTTTTCTGTTGACTCAACGGAGGTCTCGAACTAACTGGTTTGCTTGGTATAGATTTACTCCACACTGAAGTTTCGCGTGTCGGCGAATGCGAATTCTTCCTGATTTCAGAAATGAATTCGCAGTTGATAGTTCACCAACCGTATCGAACCTTAACAAATCTCCAATCCGACTTCTATCTCACCCCGGACGAAATCAACCTCGCCCTTTCAGTCATCAACGACCACTATATGACAGACCTACCACTTCTATATGCTCCACATATCATTGCTCTTACAGCGATTCTCCTAGCTTTGGTTCTCCGTCCAAATCCAGTACCAGGTGGGGGGAACGCTGCTGCTGCTGCTGTAAACATGGCTGCAGTAACAGCAACATTATCACAAGCTCAACAAAGTCGACAAGGTGGCAGTGCCGGCGGTAGTGGTCAGACCACTCCGGGTGCTACCGAGAAAGACAAACAACAGGAAGCACGAGTAGGCAAAGTGCAACGCTTCGCGGCATTTCTAGCCGAGAGTAACGTGGACATTGAGGGTATGATAGACTGCACGCAGGAACTGATTTCTTTTTACGAATGTCACGAGCAGTATAACGATAAAATGACCCGGGAGCAAATCAATAGATTCGTTAAGGCCAGAAGTTTGGACAAGCATTAAGAATCGCGCCAATAAATGGTTTTAAGGCTAAAGGGTCCAGCATAGCGATGAGCATAACTTTTCAGGGACGCATAGGTTAGCGAAACATAGGAATATCAAGTTATGATTACTATCCAAGCCATGAGTATTCATCAAGCATCTATTCATTATAGCCATGCGCCTTAAAATATTTAACAGTGACACTCGAGCAATGATAGTTATGATAATACATAGTTTATAGTCTCATCTATATTAGATATACAGGAATACTAGCCATATAAATTGAATAGCAAGGGGTTTAAGTCTTGGAATGAATCCTAGTTGGAGATACGATATACCGAGACTTGGATTCCCCATTCCCACAGTTATGTCAGGTACTTAGAAGGATGCAAGTATCCATTCTCGAGCGTCTAACGATCCGTTGTCTTGGGAGCCTTGATTAATGCACGTGGCTGGACTTTGGCCTCGCCAGAGGCTGGGGATCTTAGGGAAAGCAAGCTAGTGGCGTATGTCCCTTGCATCGAATAGAATTGTACCTTACACTCCATCTTCAAGCCCTCAACTGGGCATTGTTGTTGACCCGCAAATATTGACATGCAGGAGGGTGGCTGAATAAGATCCATGGACTGTGCATCCCACAGGACAGCGCACGTAAGGTTCCCCGCAAGACAGAATTATCACCATCTGGGCAGCATCGTCATCATCATCATCTCTCGGTCCAATGCTACCTACCTTTTCATATCTTATCCTAGTTATTATACATACGTACAGTACACACATAATCAAATGGTCGTAGTGTTGTTTGGGGATGTGCAGAGATGCGGCACCGCCGTAAGCGATGTAATTACATCCCACAAAGCCAAGCTTCGTGGAGTATGCGGGAAAGTTTGGAAATGTTGTAAGATTGATAATCCCCATTCCCCGTTTCTTGTGTATTCCGTAAATCATCACGGGCAAAGTTTGGGGTCCAATAGGCTAGTACCGTACCTTAATACAGAATATTAAGGTTGTCTTTCTGCTTGCTTGCATAAAGCACAGACAAGCGGTATGTGGCGGTGGTTTCCTCTACGAAGTAAAAAACGGAAACGGTCTAATGCTCCTAAAAACCTAAAATACATTTGGAATTGGTCCATGCTCCCATTTGTATTTGCGGAGGATTGCCGGGCTATGGCAGGGGTGAGGGGGAGGCAGGAGGGTGTTCGGTAACACAGCATGAAGAAGTGACAGACCAGAAAGGACCTGCCTACTTGAGTCCGCCTCTATTATCAGAGTTTCTACGAAAATCTAGAAAACATTGAAACTAAAGTAATCTTCAACTCGTAACAATTACATAAACCAACTCCAGATAATAATTTTCGTCAAGCTAACAACAGAGGCTGAGAAAGAGCAACACCTGATACAACAGCCACAAATTTCGATACGAACCAGGTCCGGGATCTCCTGCGTCGGTACATCTACCACATTCGGAATCACCCGCTCTCCATGTTTTATTATTCGTTCATTTCTGGCAGAAGGGCAGAGTCAACGGGACTAAAGATAGTAGCAGTTACTACCCCGTGACCTCGGTCTAGGAACAAATCGGCGTCCTTCTTTTCTACATTCCATTGCGACCTAATAATCTGCAAGATCATCGCCCTGTCGGAACGACTGGTAGACCTACCCAGGGCTGCCAAGTACGTATGGTAGCAACTGTGGTGTAGGACTGTGACGATCCTATATTCGCGACAGCAAAGTCCGAAGACATATCGAATGGTTAGAATGGTCTAGAAAGATGAAACTAATGCGACCAGAGGGACGATGAACACCTCTACTATATTGCCTCATTCATATCTCTAACCGTATGGAGATTTTCTTATTTGCCGCTTTCGTCACACGCGGCTGCTATGTAGGTAAGATGTCCCACTGGAACAGGAGGGCGAGGTCATCAATATCCCTACTTGTCAGCAAGTCGGATCTTCAACACGAACGAACACAAGATGCTATGTGCATCTACTGCATCTCGACCCCCTCTACAGAATTGGGTCTTTCCCTTCTAAGGATCTGTAAAAGTTCTAGGCTCTAGTCTTCAGGGACGAAAAAAGGCACCAAAAACATGTTCATTGCACATAGCGGCAACATGCATCTCCCGTTGGGCAACCATTAGCCAGTCAATCAGATTTTTTGCCCCCCGACGATCCATTCTGTTATCTCACACAGCTGCAGACAAGCAACCTACTGTCCAACCTATCGAAGACTACGATGGACCGGGTAGGTTTGCTAATTTGTGGTTACGTCTTACGGCCATGCCTATTCGAAAACAGAATAGAGATCGGCAGCGCATATTACGTTTAGCTTCAGGTAAGCAAGCGCCTGGAATCATAACTTTCCGCAACATTGTCCGGCAAGCATAGCAACTGGTCAGCTTCGAGAAATGAAACGGCAGGACAAAGAATAGGAATGCTGTTGTCAGCTTTTAGGAGCGCGGGAAGTTGTTCAAACATCCCTACCTCGAGTACTTACACTTCTTACTTGTGCGAGCGGGCAAGACAGTACTTAGGGTACTTAGGGTACTGTCAGAACTCTGAGTTCCCTCTTTTTGCCGCCTGCCCTCCAGCTGCCAAGTGTATCCCGTAGGTAATACCTAAAAAGAGAGCAGAGCAAGGCAAGGCAAGTCAGTCGTCTGCTTAGCTGCCTAATGAAAGAGGAAATGGCCAGCATTACCCCCGTTGTCCCAAACCCCAAGCAGTCTCACGCTGCACGAGACCAAGCAGACCCAAGCCGAGTTCCACTCGCACCGCTACAGTGGCTTGCAGAACTGATTATGTGCAATCCTGGCAAATCTACGAATAGGGAAAAGTTCCAGTCCGAAGATCCATAACCCGCTCCACCGCTAGACGGGGGTTTTGAACGCTTAGACCCAAAATATACCATAGTCACAGTGTCAGTGGCCACGGTCCCTAACAGGGCTACATCCCACGCTGGCCAAAGGACCGAAGTTGCCTCCCTCCCAACTGGCTCAAACTGGTACCTACGCTACGTAAGGAATCCCCCCGCTGCATGGCGGATGTCTACGCTGTTGTCAAAGAGACACGCTGGACTCGCTCCAATGGATGTATACGTAGGAGCATGCGGGCACGCTTGACGTCTAGTCTCAAATACTCGACCGAATATGGAACATTGTCCTTTTCTAGATTGAAAATGAAAGCTTCTAACGAAGCCTGAAAATGGAAAGAAATTCGATACGTCAAATTGCATACCTAATACCAAGACCTCTTTCAGTCTTTACCTGTTTAAGAGTAACCCCTCTCTGTATTGTGAACTTGCCCCTGAATCAAGGAGTAAAACTGATCAGGTCAACAATTTACCAAAAATGACCTTGACCGACAAGGCTGGATCGTCCTAAAGGTCCTCATTACAGAAAGAAGGAAATTGAATCCACTTTTGCGAGTAAATACTAGACTCAAACTTGAGTCATTAAGGGTTTTGCATACGTATCTACTTGATCTCATGATTGTGGGTTCATAACAACATATTATTGTCAGTATTAAGACAACGGCAACGATGAATTTTAGGGACTATAGAATCCGAACATGAGATGAAGGCATTCGCAATTCAAGCGAGATCGAATGATTGATTTTGACGACCCGTCCGTCCGTTCTCGATCGACCCACCAGATAATAACACAATATGTAGGTATGCATAGTCTGCGTACGTACGAGTATACTCAATTTGTGTCGAGTCTCCTGATGCACACATAGTACATCGCTAGTAACCGTATACTGTACGCAAGTAAATGAATGAATAATGAAACGAAAGGCCTCCATTGGATGTCATATCTGCAAAAGCTGCAAATGAGCAAATTGCCTGCCCCTTACCCTTCCAGCCTCGCCCTCGCCCACTACCAGCGGGCGCAGTTTGCAGGTTCTTATGCATAATTTTCCCTTTATTCCCAAAAATTCCTATGGCTTGTAACTTCGCTACGGTAAATTAATCGGCAGCCCATCTGCTGGCGATCGCATTGCAGCGGACATCTGGTGTCGGGTGAGTGGCACCAAAAAATTCAAGCACCTCCAGCGCCAGCAATTTAGTTTTTAGTTTTAGCAACCAGTACCAAAAACACCGTATGGGTTTGCGAAAGGAGAGACGAGAATGGAGAGAATGGGGGAGGGATAGGTAAAGGATAGACAAGCCGGTTCTGCATAACAAGAAGGATTGGCACTGTGACATTCCTGCAAGCAACGAAGCAGCGCCATCGGCTAGGCTTGTCTATACGCTAGCCTATCTTTGTATTAGCGTTAGCATGGGTATATCCAATGATCCCAGGTGGCAAGTTCAATTTTATTCGCCAACACTTTTGATTTGTCCACTAAAAGCACTAAAAGGGACCCATCTTAACCCCTTCCAAAACCCACCCACCCCTTCCAACCCGGCCATCAACGAGGAAACCCCGGTGGCCCTGCAACAGGCATGTACGGTATGTACCTTTGTACAGATGTACAGGTTGCGCAGTCTTACATCAATGTCTCTGCAGGCAGCTTCCGCCCAATGTTGTTGGCCCGCTAGTTATCTTTTAGGTTTAGATCTGGGTCTTCTGGTTCTTGGTCCAGAAAGCGACCCAAGCGTTAACCCCCCGGGTCTTGGGATCCACACCCTCCTTTGCCGCCTTCTTCTGTTTCTCTGCGTTCTTGTCCGTCCAACAAAATCCTTCGCCTTCTCCGAATCACAGCTTGCCCTTCTCTTTTCCCGCCTTCTCTCTCAATCATTCAATTCACTCTTATCGATCCCACCACTTCGCCCTATTTTCCCTTAACCTACCTTACAAACACATCTTACTCCAAAAACCTAACCCAGAAATCCAACATACCGTTCTACACCCAATTTTGAAACCTTTGACAATACTTTTTTCTTCAAAGCTCATCCTATCCCATCTCAATCTACAAAAATTAAGAAAACGCCTAGACAAGTTTGTCATTGTTGTCTTTTAAAAAAGCGAGCTGGTTTTTTAATAGCGCAAAGCTCGGCAATTTCAACTGAACCACCCCCAACCCAGTCCAACAACGCACATACACACACACACCGCCACCCAACATCTCTTCTGTCGGTCCAACCACTCTCTGCCATCCACGACGACCTACGTGAGAAAATCATACACAACTTCAATATCCCCCAATTTAGGGAACAATTAAATTCATAATGTCTTATTATCAATACGGTCATCATCAACCTACGGCACCTACCTCTTCGGTTTCGCACAACCACCATGGCGGCCGAAATCGAAGGGCACCGAGATTATCAGTCTCACAAAACTCCCAAAAACAGTTTCGAGGTGTAAGGAGTATGAAGGAACTGAGCGAGTCTGCCTCTGTATCTGCTTTCCGATCACAGTTTGAAGCGAGCCGTTCCTTCGACCTCGAAGACGATATGGAGTTTTGCCCTAAGTTGTTGACAGAAATTGATGTAAGTCTACCTGAAGCGCAATGATTGTTGTAATAACAACACGTCGTGTTGTTACACATTCGACGCTATAGTAATCCATGGATCCCATGTCTTTTTCTTTAGATCAAGGTAACTAATCAGGTCATCTCTGCAGCTTGTGTCAATAAGCAGCGCTTCTTCCGACCGATCTTCACTGTCCAGCAACTCACCTAATGCTTCTCCTACGCAACACCCCCAACAAGTTGCTTCTCACTTTTCTCTCAACTCAACCTCTCCGGCTTTCATCCCTCCAACTTTCCAGAGTCAGCAGTCGACCCTAAAGTTGCATGCTCCCGCCGCCACCCGGGCGCGCAACGCTATTCCTATCATCAACCCTGCGAATGGCCTAACCATGTCTAGCCCGCCGCCATCAGTATCGCCCGCCCGAATGCAACACATCGGTAGACGCTGGTAGATGACGAGACGTCTCGCTTCCTCTTCGGGCATCGAGATGACTCATCATCTACACACTCGTTTGCGATTGTTATGAACATCTTCTACTTTCCGTTTAGAAGTCATTCGCTACATCAAATTAGCTGTTCATCTTGGGCGGGCTCCGGCACGGGCATGCAGGCATCGACAAAATCACATCTTCACACAGGTCACTTTAGGGCTCGACTGCGGACTCATCACAATCATTTTTACTCCACTTTCTCCCTGTATAAACATCCTTATTCGACATATAACTAGTGTTCATCGTTAAGACTTGTTTTCTCAAATGCGCAAATTTAACGATGGGCGCAGCTGGCATTGAAGATAATCGATACCTCATGTTTTCTGTTGGGTTTCAAAAAGGAAAAATTACTATGACCACGGTGTTCCGACCTCGAAAGATGGGGGCTATTTGGATTTTTCGCGAATGGGCGTTTTAATTTACGGCGGTTTTTGCATTTCGTAATTGCATCGGTGTTCACGACAACACAACGGAGTCATCGGGTTCAATCTGGGAGCGGTACGATAAAGAGTCATCACGGGTCATGACATTCGAGCAAAAAAAGAATACCACTTACACATATAGAACAAGTGTTTGGCGACGAGGCGGTGGGGTCGGTCTCTATTTCATTAAAGCAGGCAAAGGTGGTTTTCTTCCATCGGGGCGGAGTTGTTCCACTCGGCAAGGGTCTTTTTTTCATGAGAGATATCCGGGTTAAAGAGTATCTCGACACAAAGCAACGGGAATTGGGTGTGGGCACTCGGGTGTCTTATTCGATTCCGAGCTTTCGTGGCACGAGATGGGAGTTGGTTCGCGCGGTGCTTTTTCCGGGGCTGCAAATACTACAGGGCTCATTATTCATGTCATCATCATTTTTTATCCGCAGCCATTTTTTCTGTTCCTTGTATTACGGTTTGAGGGACGAGAGATACCAGTCGATTTCTTCGTATTATTCCCCCCGGCAAAGGTTTCTTACCGAAATGGGTCAAAGCGCGCATCACTGGGGTTCTTCGGGGTGATGGAAAGATGTATGTGGGAAATTTTTGTGTGTATAGGAAATCATATTATGGGCGGGCAGCGCAAGGTTGGCGCTGAAATAACAGGGAGAATACACCAGATAATGGCTGTTTCTCGATGGCAAACGGCGTACCTATTATTTTTTGTTTAAACATTATAAGGAGAGCACATACTGTGTTTTTTGGTGTCTCTACTTTACCATACATTCTATGCGTTCAATTGAACTGGGCGAAATAACTGCCTCTCACTTCTAAATTCTAGTTTCCATATGCTTGCTAGTATCGTGCTTCTGAATCTAAACTTGTGGAATTCTAATCCGTAGCCTGGTAAGTCTGTTAGAATTCTTGCGGTAGACATGAAGATACAATCTATTGAAGGTAGGTACAATGACCTGGAGTTGACGTGGCAGCAATATAGCATTCCGAGGCTTACATATGTCGGGTCCTTACACTCATCCCAATCCCCCATCCATCGTTAGGTTACGCGAGACGGGATGGGTATTTCGAATCCTTATTACGTGCATCCATCGTCTGCCGTACCAAATTCCTTCTGTCCTTCCTCTATAGTAGGCCGGATCCGGTTACGATTTTTAGGAGGTGGTAGTTTACTCGGGTTTATAGCGCTATAGCGCCGGCAATACACTAAGAGCCATCCACTGAATGTGAGATTAGCGCTTCCTGCACATGCGGGTGTTCCGCGCGTGTATGTGCCGTAGATGGCTCCTTGCATTGCTTTATCTAGGGGGTGCTAAGGGAGGTGGGTTATTGTTCTTGTACGAGGAGATAGGTAAGGAGATGGGTAGATTTGGGTTTGGGAATTTGTACTAGGTGGTTATGCGGTGACCCGGTCCGGATGGGTACCGCGATATGCAGTGCGAAGGTAGGGATCTGTTGGTCTGGTCAGGTGATGCAGATGGGATGCGTGGGTACGATGACCTAGGTAAGGAGTTGTGTTGGGAGGGTGGTAGGAGGTTCTTAGGGATCTTGGTTAGGTTGATTTGCTTGGTCAGCTTGGTTAACTTGAGTAAGGAGCAAGGGATGAGGTTTAATTCGTAGATATTAAATATCAAAGGGAGCCGTCGGCTACTAATGGCAAGATAGTCACAATGGTGTTAGTCTCGAGCCGTTGGGTCCTGGTTACATAAAATTGTCTTTGGGTCAGCCGTTCCCCGGAGATTCGTGTTAGGTGAAGAAGTGGTTATATCGTGCTCCTAGGCAAGCACAACCTCACGTAGCACTTGGGTCTTGGAACATGAATCAACGCAGTTATACAGGTTATCTTGGCTTAACTCAAGTACAGCAATGAATAGGGATACGTCTATTTAGTATATAGTTGCCTTAGTTTGTCTATCTACCTGTTTAACAACGAGTTGTGATCAAGTCTCCAATGATATCGACTTAGCAATCATCGTGGCATACAACTAGTGACTTACGCGAAAAGTTATACAAGAATACTACCATGTCTAATATCGAGTTCCTATTTGATATTTTTTATGGTGGCCATATTTTTCAGGTTTTAGCGGATCGAGCTTTCCGATTGTCACATCTCATCCTCGGCTCAATATCACATATCACGATACTCGATGATACTCAATCTTAGTCAACTAAAATCGGGCAACACCAAACAATTCAGTTAATTCCCTACCTTATTACCAAGTAAATAATATTCAGAAACATAAAAATACACCTACCGAAATCCATATTCTCTAGATTGTGTTTAGTTATGAGATTAGGGGATAAATGTTTCGATGGCACCAAAAAGAAAGAAAATACAAAAAAAATGAATGACCGCCTTCGGAATCGAACCCAAGGGCCTAGGCAGTGGAATTAACCACTACACCAAGCCGTACCAACCTCGGCCTTTACTTGTGTTTCTTAGGGGACCAGAGAACTATTTTCAACTATATGTCTTCCTCTCTAGCCCGAGTATGAATCTATAGCATTCGATAGTGAAGAAGGGCGGCTTTTTTTTGTGATATCAGGAGATAGACTTCAATAGTATATATAGTTGAGCCTATACGCTATTAGTAGGAACATGTTTAGAGGTCTGAGGGTTATTATAGTTACGCAGATGTTTTGAGGTTGAGATAGCTTCATGGAGACAAACTCTATGGATGGTAAGCCCATGCATAATATAGTTACGCACCAGTCTCTCATTTACAGAGCGAGAGTTTACCTGGCGAGCAGTCTGAGGATTGAAGGGGGGCTCGATACGAATTTCAAAGAGAGGAATCCTGACTTTCCATGGGAATTGAGGGCATATACCATGAGGACTAGAAAAGCTCAGTGAAGTTATATGTATATTGCGATTTATTTGATAGAATGGTATTCCCTTAATCATTTGGCAATTTATTGTTATGTGCTTCAGTGGGCAATGAAGGATAGTTTGACTCATGAGAAACTTATGAAAGGTAGGATTTCATCAAGGGTAATAGAGTATGAGCTTGGTCGTTGATGGGATATATGAGTTCTAAAAGCTAGCTGGCTCGAGTGACGGTTATAGTATAACGAATGGCTATGATTTGATATACCATTATAAGAGTGATGTTTTGGCTCTCATCTAATACATCCTCACCATCCGGATTTTCACGACAAATATATTGTGATGGAGAAATATTGTGATAGGGAATTGAAATGTTTCTTCAACAAAAAAAAAAAAAAAAGGCTTAACACTACATAAGATGCACTAAAGTACCTAAGTACTTTCTAGAAAAGTCGATGTACTTTCCAAAAGCAAATGCTGTAAGAATGAAGCCTCGGCAATACTATCGTGAGCTCCACACTAGCTTGCTAAAGCTAGAAATGCTAGAGTTCGCGTTGAACATAAAAATATATAAATTCTCAACTGAGTAGCGTATTAAAATACCAAATTGGAATTAATACGAACAAATATCTTGAAATAACATAGTAACGATGCGAGAGTTAATAGTAAAGTGTAACTGTAAGGTGGAGAAGTGATGTCGTCGCTGATGTTATTCCCATTAGCCGAACGAAGGTACTTTTAAGTATGTGAGAAATAGGCATGTGGGTCATGTACCTACGGTATGCAACCAATTAGATTTCATAAGATATGCATAACCCACCCGAGCTTAACTGTTTACCAGCTGGTGACGTCATACGTTCAATCGATGAATGAATGGAGGGTCTCGCTTCCTTGGTCCTCAGCCAGTGAGCGCCTTCCCATCTTCCATGACTACGAGATTATTACCTCAAGCTCTTTGGGAAGCAGCCAATTGAACTAGCTACATAGAGGTTAATAAAGGTTGTCCCTGACTCTTACTTGTACTGCTACCATTACACATTACCTCTCGGAAGCTGCCCTCTCCTCTAGACCCCATACAACTTCAACTACCTCTTTACTATTGAACAATCTTCCCAGAACACCCTAAACTCTTTCAATCACAAGCAGAAACAATTCACACATAATGGCGTCACGAATGCTTCTCCGATCAACTGCTAGCCTAGCTACTGGCAGACAAGCCATCGCTCAGCGAACTTTCACCACTACCTCTGCCAGCCTCTCATATAAGGAGAGCAGCCGTAAGTCCAGCTTTTCTTTGTGAAGGAATGGAAGCAAGGGATTGATATTAAAGTATCATTGGCTAACGATCCTCTATATATAGATGGCACCGACTCCCACGATCCCGAGAAGCACAAGCAAGACCTCCTATCAAAGCAGAAGGCTGGCAAAGGCCACTGGAAACCCGAGCTCGCCTCAGATAGTGAGGAGGCCGTCAAGGCAGATCGACATGGTGGTGACGGCAAAGAGGACGTCGCGACCCTACAGAACCGTACCAAGCACGCTGCCGAGGAGACCAGCAAGTCTGGCACTAGCATGCGTGATGGGTTGTAAGATATGAAGGCATATAACATTAAAATACGGGCTGATGGGTTCAGAGTCGATTTGATGGATAAAGATGGCGCGGGCCCGACGAAATGAAACGGTATGATGGCATGGTTCGGTTGTTAGGATAGGGTGGCTTAATTGCGGTTTCATTCATATTGTACAAATAAGACGAGAATACTGCCATATTCTCAATTTGACATTAGTCTAACGTCTCCTCGCTTGTTTGTGATTTTTGAATGCTGTAATCAACATGATTATTATCTCCTGTTAATAACTTTCGAGAGTTGGTATATAAAGCAATATGCCTTTGTAGGATGGAGGATCTAGAATCATTAGATAGATATATAAGTGGCCCATGATTCTATATATAACAAATACCAAAGAGAGTCCATTCGAAGTCCGTGGTTCGCCGTCCACTGTAATAGTATAATATAACACATTTCAAAATCAGAAAACCATAGGTCTTCCATGATAAACGCCATGCTACGCCAATGCCATGCCAGATACAACGAAAGACTTGGTGGATGATTGATCAAGTCCAGCCAAATCAACCCATTTTGCTCCCCTTTTCTCTCCTCTTCCCCTCCTCCATGCATTACAGCCGACTTATTTCAAAATCGCAATGAGCAACACCAAAATAATAATCAATATAACAATCGAAATCATCTGCTTGCTCTCCCCCGCAGCCCGAGAAATACGCCCAATCTGCCGTTTCGCCCGATCGAGCCGCGACGTGTGGCGATCAACCGTACGATCCACATCGTCGAGCATAGCTACATGCTCGTCCAACTCATCGCCAATCTGCATACTAAGCTCGCGCTGGCGCGCAATACTCGCCCCCAGCGCGTCGAGTTGTTCGTCTTGTTGGTCGAGGATTCGTTGGTGGTACGCGTGGATCTGCGTGTTGTCCATACCGGCTGCTTCGTCTCGGTACCCCATATTGTCGTCGGAGGGGTTGTCTCGGTACCGGTTTCCGAAGAGTTGCGCTTCGAGGTCGGTGTCCGCGGGCGCGGACGAGGGGTTGTCGGTGAAGCGCACGGTTTTGGAGGATGTGCGGGCCCCTTTGGGGCGCAGGTTTGAGGTTGATGATGATGATGCGGCTGCGGGAGTGTCGCGGGTTGGTGATGTGGTGGCGTGTTCGAAGTCGCTGGTTAAGGTCGGGTCGTTCGGGTGCGTGAGTGTGGACTCGCTTCCTGGGGAGGAGAAACCGTGGAATTGGGAGGTTAGGTCGTTGTATTGCTTCTGCAGACCGGGCAGGGCATCGGAGATGGTGAGCGCGCCACTGTAGATGTGTTAGTATCTTAGTATATTTTGGTCTGTAGATGATGATAGTCTTCGGGCATAAATGATATATCATAACCCCGATGGCATCGGAATCGCATACTCTTCATCGCCGGCTTCTTCTAGCCTTTTCTGCTCTTTATCTAATGCTTCTAGTCCATCTCGGAATTGGTCTAAGGATCTGGAGATGTGTCCATCTTTGGAATCACCATCGAGATTGAGGCTCTGCGCTCGTTGCCGTTCTAGTAGCGATAGTTTGATATGGTCGGCTAGGAGGTAAAGTTGGTTTGGATTCGACATGGCGACCCGTTTCTCGGCCGACTAGTAGCGTGTGATTATGAGACGAGGCGAAATAATGTGGGAGTTGATAGGGCGGATATTTAAAGAGCAGAAACGTTGAGAAGTCGTCGTCGTCGCAATTATGTTTGAGGCCAAATTGGCTGTGTCGACTGCGGTAGGTACAAATTTACGGTAGTGCCTACATGTACCTATTATTAGGTACTTACGGTGGTATACGGTCGTGTAATTATCACGATACGTACAGTAATCTGGGCGAATCCAGGCAGCCGCATCCCTGTTGTTGAACCAATTATTGTAATAATTGTAGGGCGCAGTTGCAGGTGCGAACTCCCTATGAACCCACCGAACCTTAACATCCTAGGTACGTACAGGCGTGACTGGGGGTCTCCATTCATTATTTTTCTCCACTAACTCACTGCTACAACCAATTCATTTTTGTTATCTTCATCTTTTTTTTCATCCCGCTTCCAAGGTTCCGGGGTCTCTGTTGGGAGCTTCCCACATCCCGCGACAATGTCTTGCAGGACCTATTCGCATCTTTAATATAGTCCTTAATACCTTATACAATTCCCTCTGATCTACATCGGTGAAGACCACGAGCCAACCGGTTAACTCGTTCGAGATGAGAATTGGTCATGATCGAGTGAGGGCAGCAAATCGGAACGAGGGTTGTTGGTCAACTCCGCCGCATGCCCAGCTTATCCCCTCTTACCCGTACCTCCTTTCTGAAATATCTAAACATCTTACAGGTGCTTGAATTGGTTGCTTCCTGACCTTGATCCAAATAAGGCCCAGCTTTTCAACTGCCGGATCTACATTGCTTATTTGTTTTACATGCGTGTGCGTGACTGAGGAAACTCCGAGTCATCAACATTCGTGGGGTCCAACATGACGGACATGGCCCATCTTGGGTCACCCTCGAAACAACAGCTAGGGTCTCTAGGGCCTTTGGCGAGTAGTCGAGGTATGATCTAAAGCTGTGTCCTGCAAGTAACAGCACAGCTTCTCCTCAGTATGTGCGATCCTCCAGAGCCCACCGCGATTCTCTATTCGTTTAGCCGCCGAAACACTACTTGAATTGAAACAATTTTGTCCCGAGCCTGCCCACAGCGCTACGCCTCTTGGAGACATAACGGCACGAGATAGAGATTTCGCGGCAAGTGAACGTGTGGGGTTACCCATTACTAGCTGCCCTACTATATCATTTTCAAGGGTCCTTTTATGACACCAGGGAATAAAAGTGACCTGCCCCTCATTGGGATGACCTCGACCGTCGACTTGGTCCCTTGAGCTAATTTGAAGTTTTTTTTTTTCTTGATCTTATTTCGTTATATTTGGACTACTAGCTAGTCCTCCCTTACTATTTAATTCCTGCCCTCTTATAAGATCCGGATCACCACCTACATACCTAGGTCAGCGTAACCAGGTTTTTATTTCACTAAGTTTCGTGTTTCTGTTCCTTTGGTCCACTCACCCTAGATACCGACCTGTCGTATTCGAACCCCACGTTGCACGACATCATGTCTCTCCCAAATGGCGTATACCGTGCCGATCAGGTCGGCTCTTTCTTGCGACCAAAGGCACTCCTCGAGAAACGTGAACAAGCCGCTGAAGGAAAGATTACCCCTGAGCAACTGAGAGAGGCAGAGGACGAGTATGTCGCCAACGTCGTCAAGAAGCAGCTTGACGCAGGGTTACGATCTATTACAGATGGAGAATTCAGACGCCAATGGTTCCACGTCGACTTCCTGAGACACTTAGCTGGTGTAGAGCTTCGTGGCACTATGCAGTCGACCAACATTAGTGTGGGAGGTACTATGCCTCCACGATTAGTTGTCGTAGACAAAATCGGCCACCCGAAGCCCATCCAAGTAGATGACTTCAGGTACCTCGAGTCTCGGATCGCAGCAGCTGGTGCTAAAGCCACTACAAAAGTCTGCATTCCGTCCCCGACCATGGTTCACTTCCGTAACAGTCGTGAGACCATTGACGAAAAAGCCTACCCGACGTTGGACCCCTTTTTCGAGGACCTCGCGCGTGTATACCAGGAAGAGTTGGACGACCTATACAAAGCTGGCGCGCGCTTCGTACAGCTTGATGACACCAACTTAGCTTACCTGTGCGACCCTAAGATGCGAGCTGAGGCCGAGGCACGACATGGCGATGCTAATGTCCTCGCACGTCAATATGCTGCCCTCATCAATGCCGCCATCTCGAAGCGACCCGCCGATTTGACTATCGGTATTCACCTATGTCGTGGCAACCATCGTTCCCAATGGTTCGCTCAGGGAGGATATGAGCCGGTAGCCGAAGTTTTGTTCAAGGACCTCAACGTCGACGCTTACTTCCTCGAGTACGATGACGCCCGATCGGGTGACTTCTCACCACTCCGACACCTGCCCGAAAACAAAGTTGTTGTCCTTGGTGTTATGACCAGCAAGAAGCCCGATCTAGAAGAAAAGACCGAAATCATTAAGCGATTGAACGAGGCTGCTTCTTTCTGCTCTAAGGGGTTGAAGCAACTTTGCCTCAGCCACCAGTGTGGTTTCAGCTCCACGTCTGAGGGCAACGACCTCACTGAGGATGAGCAGTGGGCTAAGGTTAAGCTGGAGGTAGAGATTGCCAAGGAGGTCTGGGGTGACGACCTCTCAATCTAAAGTTTCGCGTCAAATTTGCATTAATACTGGCCGGCGTGGATTTCAACAATTATACTCATAAGCGATGAGTTTATGTGGTAGGTATGTGAACCACAGGGTGGAGATCTGCTTTGGTGTCTTTACCTCAACGGTAATGTGTAGTACGATAGTGAAACTACGAGTATGCTTTTCGTGATAGCAGAAATTTAATTAAAAAAGAAAAAGGGAACGTGGATGAAATGGCGTCGAGTGGTAGGCATGATGATACAAAGGAATAAAGTTGAGGATATTAATAATGAGAGCATGATTACCGATACTATGTCTAGCTCCTGAGTTTGTTAGTCAAGAGATTAGTAATTTCTTGAAAATGACTGTCTTTATTTGCACGTAAACTCTATACGAATTCATCACGAAGCACACAATTAGAAAAAGACCCAAAAATTTCTGAACAATCAATTACTGAGAAAGCATCGCAGACGAGGACTGAAAACCCGTAGCTATGTGTCCCCTTCCACCCTGCTAACGACTTGGGGTGGGTGCTATTATACAGATTCCGATACCCCCTTCCTTTCCCCTATTCTCCTCGTACGCCAGACGTTGACTTTTGTTTTTCCTAACTGAAAAAAGACCTGCCAACCGAATAGAAAAAATTGGTGTTTTGGTGAGGAAAAGGTAGAAAAAAAAATGAAGAACTTGTTGGTGTTCCTCATAATGCAACGACAATTGACCGACCAACTGCCCGCCGACAAAGGGGCATCGCCAAGTGCAAAGATGTGCGAAAAAAGTGAAAAGTAAAGAAAAAATCATCCGACCCCTTTTTCATCCGTCCATTCATTCATCCGACTTTGTTTCCATTCCCGAGAAGTCGATCATATGCTATACGATGTCTTTCTGGTTGTTCGTCCGTTTGGAAGGATCCTGTTCGAATCGCCGATATCGGGTATGAGAGAAACAAAGGTATAGGCGGTTTTGTCCAGCGATTTGACGACTCGACCATTCGCCGACTTAGAAATCGACGAAAAAAAATCACCGCCTATAATAATTAAATAACTTTTTTTTTCACAAATTTTCATCCGCCTCCGATCCCCCTTGCACCTAGGAACGCCAGATCCTGCTACAAAGTTACCACCCTAGCACCCTCCTAATGAACCGAAATGCTGAAAATGATCGGGAACGTGATCAGGCCGTATCTATCTGAGCTAGTATCATCATTCGGGTACTCATGAAAATGAATTCTTTATATCAAATTCGGGCGTAGTCCGTCGGTCGAATTGTCGCGAGCTTTTTGAAGCCCACGATCATATTGCAGGAAAAATACCTGCTGCAAAGAAATTATGAAAGAATCACAAGGAAATGGCAAATAGAAGGGGAATTCGGGGAAGTGGCGCAAAGTTGACATAATTCAGAGAAGTTATAAAGAATATAGCTCTGAAGGTGCCGTCAGATAGTGGTCAGTAGAGACAGGGCTGGGAAATGTCATCGATTCGTTGTTTTGTGGCTTGGAAGACGTTGATGGCGAGCCAGCCAAGACATCTGAGTAATGGCCCATTTCTTCTCAGGTATGGGACCCTTTCTCTATAAGCGAAAAAAAGGGTCTTCACGTAGAGGCATACCTATAGATTGTAGTCACGGAGCGGCGGTGGTGTGCAAGTCCGGTGGGAAATGTTTACGCTCCGGGAGGCTGAGGTGCCTCACCCTGAGGAGGGTTTGCCGAGTTTTGCTGAGCATAAAGCGAATACCATAGTGCTACATAACGGTCATAGCCGCCATCTATACCCAGAGTCAGCCTAGTACGTTGATGACAAAAAAAAGGGAAAAGAAGCCTATAAAAGTGCAACTCACACATCGCATAAGGGTCAGACGAATTACCTGCAGCAGGAGGTTCTGCTGCCTGGCTAGCTGGCTGAGCATAGTTAGGATTGTCCCAATCACGTCGCTGGTGCTGGTTTCGAGGTGGACGACTCTGGTTGCCGCCACTGTTCTTCTGGCGCTATTCTATTTGTAAGTATATGCTTCACACGGGTCTGGAAACGCCTGGGACTTACCACGGCATCAACCTTATCCTCAATAGCACGCTTCGCTTTGCTGATTGCATCACGAGATCCGACTAGGCCAATTTCACGTTGAACTTCATTCGGTCCTGAAGAACCAGACACATTGATCTTGCAGCCTGTAGTGTTTTGCATCTCTCGGATGGTTTCGCCACCTTTGCCTATAATCATACCAACAGCCTCGGAAGGCACGTAGATAGCATCATTGATCTTGTCGGGATTGCTACCAGTGTTGTCACGAACATGCTCAGTTCTCTGAGGGCGGGGTCGATTATTGTTGTTGTCATTGTTGTTGTTGTTATTACGACTGTCACTCGCAACGATTTCAAGAATCAATTCTTTTGCCTGGGTTGATGCGGCCGCGTTGCCGATCAAATTGACAGGTCGCAAACCATCCACACTCTGATCTTCGCCAACAATGTTAATGTGGCAACCACTTCTATCTTGCAGATCTCTTATAGTCTCACCGCCGCGGCCGATAATCAAGCCGACTGTACGGTCGGGAACCATGATCTGCATGCATTCCTCACCTTCTCGCAACGCACTTGGGTTGGGAGCATGCGCGGGATCGCGACGGTTAGGCTGTTGCTTGTCTAGGCCGGCGCGCGCAATAGCGCCCATGCCACTGTCTTCAATGATTCTATTGATTGCCGCCTTGGCTTCGGCACGTCTAGCACGAGGTCCGGTAATTTTGCACTGACGGACCACAGCGGGTTCACCACTAGCCGACATGAATTGTACTCGGCAGAGAGTCTCTGATTCAACACGTCGCAAGTTCTCGCCTTGGCGACCAATGATTAAGCCCACAAGGCCGGCATCGATGTTGATTATCTCCGAGTCCTCGGGAGAGCCTGAGCGATCGCGATCGCGACCATAGTCACGAACATGAGCACCACCACGGTCATTGCGTCGTTCATCCCTGTAGGGATTCACATTATCACGAAACGCGTCACGACGAGCAGGCGGCGAGCGAGAGCGAGATCTATAATGCCTGGCGGACATAGTACGAGCATCATGTTGATAGGCATCTGCCGGCGGTCGTTCATACGGGGTCAAACCCTTCTCAGTTGCATAGTTCTTAGCCTGGGCAATTGCATCTCCAATGTTGACAGTACCGGAATTGACAGGTCTGATAGCACTTAAATCATAACCTCCGACGGCGGAAGTCTGAGCAGGGGCAGGGTATCCAGACGTGTTATAGGGAGGAAGGGCTTGATTGTTCATCGAAGGGGGCATCGATTGGGGTGCTGAATAGACACCAGCGACACCAGGAGGTGCACCCGGGAGAGGTTGTTGGTAGTTGGGTACAGCATAAGGGTTCTGGCCTTGTGTAGGCGTCGTAGATGCGCCATTCTGCTGCACGGCTACATGGCCCAAAGAAGAGTTAGAAGACATTCGCAGTTGACCATCATCAGAGAGGATTTGGTGGTTAGTAGATTGAGAAGAACAGGCAGACACACCATTAAGAGCAGCGAGGATCGCTGAAAGGTTAGGATTGTCCGCCATTGCGCTAACAATGGTAGTCCTAATGTCGAGTCCAGGAGCAGTGAAATGAAAGAATATTTGTCTTGAATGGGACAATAAGGATCAGAGCGACGGGCAAGTCCAGGTGGAGGAGTCTAGAGCCAGAGTTTTGTACGCAGCACGCAATACAAAGAACAGATCAGATTCCCGAGAGCGTGCATGCAATAGATTAGAGGTCCTCAATGAATACGTCAATCAATAATCAATGCGCGACTAGACGTTGGCTTTGATCAAAGGTCAATTAGTTTTTTGGCGGAAGAAGAGAAGGAAAAAAATCTTGATTTTGATCACTCAGATCCAGATCGCATCAATATGTAAAAGATGCTGATTTTTTTTTTTTTTCGATCCTCCTCTTTCGTCAGTATGCGATGTGTCTGACCTAGGTGTATTGCAGGACCCAAGTACTCAAAGAGATTGAGAGGGGGGAAATACGAGGGTATGTACTGGTGTTGGGGGGATGATGAATGAAGTATGAAGGAGGAAGTATGTATTTGTATTTGGTATTGTGGTGATGTGTACGTAGGCTAGTAGGGTAGGTGGAAGGTACCTGGGAAAGATCCACGGGTAGGAGGTGCAGATAGTGATTACCCAGATAGGTAAGGTCTATCTGGATATGTAGGAGGTACGATGGATGCAGTAGGGCTAGGAATCCTTGGGGGCAAGGGGAGGATGAGAGAGTGTAGTGATGATGGAGAAGATAGAAAGAGAAGGTGTGAGTTGGAGAGGCAAGATGGTTTTAATGACCAAGAGGCAGTCCCAAATCACTGTTCCTTTTCTATTGAAGAAGGAAGGACAAAATTGTGATGGTAAGGAAAGAACCTTGGGAAGATTGGAGGGATGGCAAAAAGTTTAGTGTATGGGAAAATCTTATCCTGAAAGTTTTCGGCGACAAAAAAAACAATCCCACTGTACCTAAGTTGGTAAGGCACCTAACCTAATGCAAACTCTTTGCTATTTTGTCCACTAGTCCCTTTCCGGCCAATCACTGCGGGTTATCTTATTTTCGCCTATTACCCACATGACCCACACTTATCTGCAGACAACCAATTACTAATCGCCGAGCTTGCTGCAAGGGCAGTGCGTACAAACACACATGATTATGTACCTAGGTACCCTTTCAGTCTAACTGTTTTTAATTTCTGACTAGCTCTCCTTTTTCTAGCAAATCAAACATTTTATGTTCTATACTATTTTCCCACGCCGTGCGCTTACGTCTTTGCAGAAAACTATATGAGTTTACGCGTACTAACATCTGAGTTTATTTTTTTATTTTTTTGTTTCCCCGACGCACAGAAAATTCGTAGAAATTATGTAAGTAGCTAGGTACATAGGTACTTAACAAGCTTACCTAATGTTCCCCTATTCTTCTGAACCTCATACATTAGATGGAACCCTTAAGAAAAGGACTCTGAAATACTTGATGCGACATATCGTAGGTGTCGACTATATTTCACTTATCTATGACAGGAGTGCTAATTGTATCTCAGAATGTAGCTATCATTTTAAGGCAGTAGGAGATCAGCTAGGAGAAGAATAAGAGTACAGTCCCGAGAGAGAAGTATGGCCAAGTTACTACAATATTATCCAGAGAATGCTCTGTGTATCTCCATCGAATCTCTTGGGACATGAACTGGTCAACTGTATAATTATTAAAGGCTTAAACGTCAGTCTAGGGACTACCTAATATAGGTGCTCTTTACATTCATAGATAAATGGGTGATGTGAATGTGGTAGATGTATGAGGGAGGTCTGATCTATGAATGGAGGGAATAGAGGCTGTTTTTTTGTCGCCATTTGGGCTTTACTCATGCTTTGGATGCAGAATTGGGCATTTGTTCTGATTTCGATAGTGTATTTGGGAACTGTGTATATAGGTAATGAAGTACGCCGCAGTGCACATTGATAGATCCCTAGGATACCATGTATAGAAAATTAGATATGTTCAATGTAATAGCCACACATGGAAAGCAGTCGCTGTAAAAACTACAGTGTTATCCCACTGATTACAACAAACATTGTTTGCGTGTTCTTTCCATAGCAACCCTCCAACTGTGCACTCCTTCCTGTTGTTCACCTTGACCAGGACCCTTTTCTCCCACAAAACAATCCGGCGTAAACACATTCATTCCATTCACCCATTAATCACATTACCCATCCAACCACTCCCTCCTTCATCCACTTAAGTCGCTTCGCCGATAAAAGTGTATCGTCAGGATAGCATCGGAGTCAATAGTCGAGCACCCCAATTCACCCTCGTCATTCCCCTTTCACGTCATCCAATTCTCCGAACAATGGATCCTATCGGAAGCACCGAGGGTAGAGATCGCGGTAATCAACAATACCGCGGCGCCCGCCGTGGTCGTGGTCGTGGTCGTGGTCGCGGTCGCGGACGGGGAGGCTGGAGCGGCGATTCTTGGAGATCCTTCTCTCAGCAAGGCCAAGGCAACCAAGCCACCCAAGACGCCGAGGTTGTAAGTTTCCTACTTCCCTAAACATACATGGAGTTTAATCGTGAAGCCATTTGCCTGGCCATAAATATTTTTTTTCCTGTACTAACTCGCCGTACACATAGGCACCCAATAACCCCGACCCTCAGCAAGCCGGCCCCGTCAATTCGACGCAAGGAGGCTCGGTGCTTTCGCAAGCCTACCAGGCCCTCTCGTTCCAGTTCAGAGACAAAGAGGCCGAGCTCCTTCAGCTCCAAAATGCTTACGACGAGCTCAACGAGAAGTACCTCCGCCACCTCCGCACCAGCGCCGACCTCGAGAAATTCGAGTCCGTCATGATCAAGAAGGAGGAGAAGCTTCGCGGGGACGCCGAGGATCTACGAGAGCGCGAGCACACTCTCGCAAAGGCCAACGTCCAGCTACAGAAGATGTTTGAGAGGCCTCGCAACCTTGAAGATCCGGGAGTCCAGTCGTACATCGACAGACTCACTGACATGTTCTACGAGCTACTCCAGGTCCAAGTACGCCAGACTAACGAGATTAAGGCGGCGCTCGAAGCCAAGAGCAAGGAGAACGAGGAGTTGCAGGCTAAGCTCGAACATACGGGAGGGCAATAAGGCCCCACCCACAACATCAAGGAGATTGGTAATCCGGACCACCTCCCCAGCTGCGGGGGTCCGTCCGTGGGCAAGCCACAAAGTGGGGGGCTTGTCTCAGTTTGTTGTATATTTTCCTTTTCACTAGGTACCTCATATCCCCCAGAAAGGGTGTATACGGTCTCGTCTTTTTGCTTTTTCCTTTACGCCACCCTCCTACATTGGCCTTCAACAAAGAAGCAAAGTAAACTGCATCTACTGGTAAGTGTTACAACCCTACGATTCTCCTATTCGCAAAGTCTGACAAGTACGTAGGCACTTATTGGATCCCGTTACCTATCTAGGTACCTACTTTATAGTAGACCGATGTGGTCGTCGCCCCGGTAAGTCTCTCCCTGGATTCTGGATTTCAATTTCGTCTTTTACCCCAAGTAGCCTATTGAATTTCCTGACTAGAGAAATAACTTGCTAATTTTTTTGTCCTTACAGTAGACAGTGATGAGACGCACGGTGGAATGCAAGATGCCGCGAATTGTGGACCAGTGGCGATTCGGTGAAGCATACACCGGCCCAAGGGGATTAGTCGCCATCAAAACACCATTGTGGTTTCGTTTGTTCAGGCTTCGGCCTAGGGGGTTGGTACCGTACCTAATTCACAGAGGATGGCATATACACCTAGGTACCTAATTAATTTCCGTTTTTCATGGCAAGAATTATTGCAACAAAGATGTGGTCTCTTGGTGTTCCTATTTGCCGAGTCTCGACGGGAAGTGTTAGTGCTTGAATTCAGACGGGAGGCCACCTAAGTATCATCTTACCTACTACCCTCGTCCCTGAAGACGCTTCGTACTCGAATGCTGCTGCCTATTTCCATCTAATTAATGTAGCTATACGGTAGGGGTATATTTCGAAGTACCTACCCGGCTTGCCTGTCCCTGTATCTCCGGCGGGGTTGGCGGCATACGCCACCGCGTATGAGGCGCGTTTATAATGAGCAGTCACCTGCATATATCCGACAATGGCGCGTTGAAGAATCTCCAAGAAACAGACATTCCTGGGTAGTATTTTCCAGCACAAACCACCAAAGGGCCCGAGTGGTTATAGATCGATCAATACATATGGAGGGAGATCTCGTAGTTTTGAGGATGTATCTACGACTGAACTTTCATGAGCCAGGATATACATAATTCTACTCACTATGGCTTCTGGAAACCCCCAGAAGGCTACGAAAGCCCGTGAAAGAGGCAATGGATTGTACCGAGAAGGCAAGCTCAGCGAAGGTTAGTAAATACTGTGTCCTGGAGTACATACTCATACTTACAACTTAGTATAGCGGTGAAGGCCTACGAAGCGGCAGCAAAGCTAGCCCCTTCTGACCCCTCTCCATTGTCTAATCTATCTGCCGTCTACTTTGAAACTGGGAAGTACGCAGAATGTATCAAGTTCGCTGCCAAGGCTCTGAGTCTGAACAAGACCGACGCGAAGACCGAGAAGATGAGAGAGAAACTACTCGTCAGACAAGCCAAAGCAAATCTTTATCTCTCGAACATCCCCGAAGCTGAAAAGCTTCTAGACCAACTCGGCCCGGATACAGACTCCAGTGGACTCCGGGATTTACTCAAGGGGCTCAAGGTATCTGATGCGTTCTCGCCACATTCGACATCCTTGCTTGAGATGCTATTCCAGATGCCGCGATTGAGACCAAGCCTGTGAGTTCTGCTGTCAAGTTGAGAAGCGTGAGACTGACGCTTGCCAGTGTCGATTTACCGGAATACTTCGGTGTTGGTGATGATGAAGCCGAATCGCAATATACAGCTGAACTCGAGAAATCAACCAGTGGGGAATCAGTCTTGTCTCTCATGTTCTGTGGTGTTGGAGATGCTCGTAACCTTTTCCAAACACTCGTACAGTATGGTTCAAAAAAGAAGGAGGGGCCCCAGAAGCTACATGTCACGATGGTCGATAAAAACCCGGCGATCGTAGCTCGGGATCTAATCTTCTTCAGCCTACTGAAAGAAGCGGCCACCAATGAAGCTACAAAGGAGGTATCTTTGATGACCGTGAGTTACCTATTCTGCACCCAGATCATCCCCTCTTTTGTGTGGGAAAAGCTACAAGAGACCATCAATGGCTTGGTGGGCAAGCTCAAGGAGAAGCAACAGCCGCTTGACTTTGTTCATATTCCTGTATCACAGGTGGAGCAGTATATAGAGGTCCTGATGAGTTGGCAAAAAGGGCCCGCAACAGACTGGAAGACACCCCAAGCGCGTGGTGTTTGGCCCGCATCGCCTCCAGCAGAGAAGGATGAGCATTATCCGGAATGCCAAGCAGACCATCAGGTTTTCGACGATTTTGCTGTCTTGTTTCCCCCAATAGCAGTTCTAGCAAACTTCGAACCGAAACTATTCGCCCTTGTTACTAGATATCAGAGTGGGGATCGCAACGTCAGGAAGTTCATCGCTCGCTACTTGGATAACCATTGGAGGGTCAACGTCACACTTATCGATGTGAAGTGGGATGCCTTATGGCGGCAACCAGAGGACGAATTAGATATAGGGCAAAATAATCCGAGGGTTGCCGATTGGTTAACACAGAAGTGGTCGAAGTTAGGTGTACCTGGCGAAGGAAAATTGTCATAGTGTATTTTGAAACACGTGGCAGACTTCTTCGACGCCGTTGCCTCGAGCATACCCTCGCTGGGAGGAAGATTGACGATCGAAATGATTATCGGAGATATGATGGACGTACTGGAGCGACTTCGCTACGGCCTCCTAGATCGATCCAAACAAGGAGGGGATGTGGACAACCCAAAATTGCCGACTTCTGTGGATTGGCCACAAACGTATCATATAATTCATATGAACAATATTCCGTAAGTTGATACCACATTTGGTGCAGTCTTGTTTGTTTGAAAGCTGACTCGGTTGTCAGTGATTATGTCGGTGGCTCCTTGACAAGTTTCCTTTATGCGGGTCCCGTATTAAAGGAAGGGGTTGGATCTAGCTTGACTTCAAATGTGCAGCGTAATCCAGCCAGTTAGGAAGACATTAACCATTTTAACTCGGAACATTTGTTAATGCATGACCGGGCTACCATCCAGAAGCATTTCTCTGTCAAGTCAGATAAGCAACCGGATCCCTTTTACTCCTTCGCGTTCTTCAAGATGTTATCCATTGGGGACATGATGCATTATGTTCGCTGGGAGAGATGCAAAAATGAGAGCCACCCTCTGGAGGACCTGATGTCGTGGGCAAATTTCAAACAATGGTTGATTGCTCACTTCCTCAAGATATGCCTACCATTTCTTCGTAATGAGGGTGGTCCCATGATGGTATATGCACCTCTTAATATGGCAACATTCTTCAGGCTGTTGATTCACACGGCTGGACTAGGCTATCCCGGTCATTGGCTTTCATCCATAATCATGGCTCTTAGTAGTGGTATGATTTCCACCACGGCCAGAGCTCCTAGAGAGCTTGTAAAGAACCCTAAGAACGTGGACGTTATACATCCGGCCCAGACCATTTGTATCAAACCCTGGATAGCAGAGTTTACCACGCTTGCCGCTCAATGGCAAGATGCTCTTCCCTTTGCCATGGCCGTGCCAAGTGGGACGTTACCCTCACCGGAAGCCATCACCGAGTACTTAGTTAAGATCCCGTGCCGCTGGATTTTCCGGGAACCTCACCTCATGCTAGTTTTCTGGAACCATAAGGAGTACGACGAACCGCCACGGAACCTATACCAGGTCCTTCTCAATGTCGAGGTGACCAATCCAGTTCGGCACGGAAGATTAGGGATAACGGGATCAAGACCTTGAGCACATTTGAGTGGGCTATGAAGGAGAAGACAGCTAGCTTCTGGCTGAGAAGCGATGTGGTTGACCAGATGCTGGAAGAAGACTAGAAAGCCTATCTATGGAGAATCGATTCTTGGGTTCAAGTCACCTCAGGTGTACCTCTGAAGGGCGCCCTCCACCGAGGAAGGACTTGGAAAGAGTGCGTGGCTTCGACATGATTCTAGTTGACTTTTTGGTGTCGGCCGGTTCGGCAGCGATATCATCTGATGAAACAAACATTTGAGCTAAAAAGTCTCTTACTTTTTCAATAGACGCCGGATGCTAGTGGGAGGCCTTTCAGTAGAGGAACCCTTGTCGTTTTTAAGAGTATCCATTGTTCATTTGAACTCGAGGTAGACATTGAATCGGACTTGAGTGTCTTCTGACCTGAATACGCCCGAAATGTCTGAAGCAAATTTAGCGCGTATCGCTCTATTGGCCGCCAATGTTCAGCGCTTAACATATGACTTCATCTAGGTGAGTAATGCATTCAAATTCTTGTTTTGTATCGTTGTACGAGGGTCACTTATGGAGTTTTGATTGCAAGCGCTTCGAACCAATACAAATACCCACATAACCAAGATGAGACCAATTTCTAGATCTTTTGCCGCGACGTAGTAGGCATGCATGCAACCATAATTCTGTAGCACTGCCGCAGCATCGCTGCGACCCAAATATAGCGTATGGCTATCGTGTAGTCAAACAAGGGTTGACCGATTTTGTTAGGTGTAGCCGCTCGCGATTGTTTAGCCAATCGTTTAATTCCGCTTGCACTGTCCTGAAATCAGCGTTTTTTCTATGACAGATATCGGCAAGCGGGTAGATATTCGTATTTATTTTCTGTTGTATTTCATATTTAAACAACCAAGAGAGCTCAAGAGGTGACTTGAATTATTGTGAATTGAATTGAAAGTTGTAAGAGTTTACTTTTCTACTGCGGGGGATACGTATGGGGATGTATTTTAGGTGAACCGACAAATGAATCGGTCGGCCTATGATCAATGACCAATGACAGGACGTATACGGCGTCTAATTCTTTGATTGGCTCGGAAAGCACAAAGACCCATCTTATCCGCTTATCTAAAATAGAATGTACCCATGTACCTAGTCTCCCCACCTGATCCCTGACACTCGTCTTTGTCATTTACAACCTTCTACCTTCAACTTTTTCCTCCCTTATTCTCAAATAATGATGCTAGACCATGCGTCTATGTCAACCAACGCTAGTCGTACCTGAATAAAACGACTAGGTGTTTAGATATATACAGCTATTGGAAAAAAATATATATTCACATCTTAGACATGATCCTTCTCGGCCGAGGGTGCTGTTGGCTGCCTCGACGGTTATGCGAGCCTCATGACGTAAATTGCCGGCTGCGACCTTGAGTGCATAGAACGAGTAGGCGTTTATGCGGCCCCAGGGCGTATTATTAGGTGCTTACTAGGTATTCTGCAGCTGAATCTAGATTACACCTCATTTCCATGTTTACCGATATCGTTTCGGGTGCTGTAACTCACTAAATTATACAGACTCTTAAAGACTATTAGGTAGTCATCGACCAGTCAGAAATCGATCGCGATGGGCCTATTGTATTGTGATGTTAATTTGTTCGAGTTGTGTGCAGTCAAGTTAATACCTAGGTGTTGGTCGAGTACTCACCTGGTAGTTGTGTGGGTAATCCGAGGACGAGTCCCAGACAAGATGGGAAAACCCGCCCAGCTGTGCAAACTCCCTTGGAAAGCAGTGAATTATTACCTTGATAATATTTTTCCAGGTTATAATTTATCCTGAGGTTGAAAGCCCCAGTCAAATAAACCAGCCAAGGCATCTGTCAAGGGAAAGCGCGCGGACTGGGGAATCGACTGGCTGAGAATCACCGGCAGCGCTTAGCTAGTTTCCATACACCGCGCGTAACCTTCACGAACATACTAAGGAACAAAGGAAATATCTAATTATGTGCAGAAGACGAAACAAAGGCAACTCTACATTTTATTCTGAAACTTGACCCGTAAGTCATCTAGCCCTTGAGTGGCCATTGGGTTGTTGTCGGTGACCTGCGAGGGGTTTTGAGGTTGAACAAGACTCGACAAGTCTTTTATCATACAGCAGTTTCCCAGTCATTGTGTCCTCCCACCTTCTTCCCACCCATTCATCCACAAACAATTATTTTTCCTTTTTTACTCTGTCACTTGTTCAACTGTTAATAGAGTCACAGAAAAAAACAATAGAACATTGAATGATTTACGAAACACTTCTTTTTTTCTATTGTTCTACTATCGTATTTCTTTACATAAATTTCTTTGACAATACCCATCAATTCTTTCGACCTCAACACATCCTCATATACAATACCATCCAAAGCCCTCACTGGTTGTCGGCCTAATCAGGAAGCCAAACGACAGGTCGGAAAATTAATTACCTGCTTTCGATTTTTTATTTTCTTCTGGTGTACCATTTTTCATTTCCAGAATACCCAGCAAAAATACCCAAACCCCATCCTGATAGGACCGACAAATCCATCTAGATGCCTATCTTTCAAGAAAAGGAGGGCTTCCCTCAAGTCCCTCCTAATCTACGATACGATGCCTACAACCAGAAGGACGTCCGCAAGATGAAGTTTCGAGAGTTACTGTCCCAGAGTTCTGCTAAAGGCGTCACTCCCTACCTCGGACTTGGTTCGCGCCTATCGCAGATTTGGTTCAATCGATGGACTGTCTTACTTCTTCTCGTCTTGGTCAACTTCCTTCTGACGTTAGTCAGTCTGAACTCCAACCTAGACGATGCTAAGGCAAAGGCTCTGTCGGCTTGTACGAAGGTCGAGGACGTTGGTAGTGCCATGGCCTCGATGCCTCATTACTTGTCCGTCGGAGTTAACCGTCTTACTGCATCAGGTATCACCGACGCCGTCTCAGGTCTGATGACTATCCTCAACATGATCCTCACCGGTGTTGAGCAGCTCATTCTTTTCGTTATCGGTATGATGACAGATACCTACGTCTGTTTGATTGCCATGGTAGTTCATGGAGGACTTAATGCCTCTTCACTCGCCATCAAAGACACCACCAACGCTATGAATGACGCTATCCATGGAATCGCCGGTGTTATCAACAGCACTGCCGAGGACCTTCAGAAGCCCGTCGACGCTATGTACTCGATCGTGAATGGTGCTGTCGGCGCGGGAGACCAAGCTACGAGCGCTGTGGGTGGAGCTGTCGCGACCGCCACAGCAGCGGCCGGAGGCGCTATTGAGAGTGCTATTGATGGTGTCGGTAGCATCTTCCGCCGAATCGACATCCCCCCCGAGCCCGAAGTTGCCGGCAAGATTACGGCTCTGTCTGCGAAGCTTTCCCAAATACAAATCAACACCACCGGCTTCACATCAGACTTGGACTCTCTGAACGAACATCTTCCAGATTTTAACGACGTCAAGAACCTCACTTCCATGGCGGTTTCATTCCCATTCCAACTTATTCGCGAGCAGCTTGATAAGGCCTACGGCAATTGGTCCTTCAACGAGAGCGTCTTCCCGGTCGCTAAAAAGGAGGGTTTGTCTTTCTGTTCCGATAATTCGGTCATCAATGACTTCTTCGTGACACTCTACGAGATTGCCCACACTGCCAAGATTGTGGCTATCGTTACGCTTATTCTCCTCGCCCTCGCCGCGTGCATCCCGATGGCCTACATGGAGATTCGTCGATGGCGCCGCGCTCAGGTCTGCTCTACGAGCGCCTACGATGACATGGACCTCGTCTACATGGTCTCGCGCCCCACTTCGTCTCGGTTCGGATACTGGATTGCTTCGAAATTCAGCGAGAAGCGAAGACTACTTGTACGATGGTGTATCGCATACGCAACGTCCCTCCCAGCATTGTTCGTTCTTTCCCTCGCATTGGCCGGATTCTTTTCCTGCTTCTGCCAGTGGCTCCTGTTGAACGCAATTGAGAAGGAAGTCCCAGCACTTGAAAATCAGGTTGGTGACTTTGCCAACCAAGTTGTTGGTACTCTCGGCAATGTATCGAAGGAGTGGGCAGACGACGCGAACGGCGTCATTACCTCGTTCAGCCATGATATCAATGATGACATCCTTGGAAAGGTCGTTAACGGCACCACTGCTGTTAACAACACTATCAACACCTTCCTAGATGAGATTGATAAGGGTCTGACCACTGTATTTGGCGACACCATGTTCAAGGACCTGGCCGAAAACGTCTTCCACTGTCTGCTTGGTCTGAAGATTGAGACTGTTCAGAAGGGTCTTACTTGGGTCCATGACCATGCCCATGTTAATTTCCCCATGTTCCCTGACGATGTTTTCTCTATTGGCGCTTCCAAGTCCATTAATGGCGACTCGGATCTTACGTCTTTCTTGGCTTCGCCTAGCAGCGTCTCGACTGACGAGGTTACCGGTGCCGTCACTCATGTTACGGACTGGTTACGCAACAATATCATACAGAACGCCCTGGTGTCACTCGGTATCCTTCTCGTCTATATCATCATCATCCTTATTGGTGTCATCCGCACGCTGGTCGGCCATAACGACGTTGATAGTAATACTCGTCGTATGCGCATCGAGAACTTCGACGCAGCAACTGCGGCCCAGGCGAGAGCACCACAACCCCGCGAGACATCAGCCGGTGTGGAACTACCCCAGTTTGGCGAAGCTAATGCTAGCGCGCATCCCGATCGCTACCACGGCTCTCCGTTTGACGATGATGCCTATAGTCGTGGTATCGTCCACACTGGCCCCGTCACAACGGAGGAAGCCCCGCCCTACACGCGCAATAGCAGCTATGTCCAGTATGGCGACGTGAAGCGATAGGCTCGTGCCCGACGCTCGCCTACTTGCGATAACGGCCGTCCCGCGGAGAATCCGTTTGAGGATCAGAAGCATCGTTATGGTTGATTAAGTAGTCGAGAGTTTCGGCAAATAATCATCGCCTTACATTCATTTTTTTTTCTTTTCATTTACAAGCGATCACCATTGTCTTCGGCATACATACAAACATATACCACTATTCATCATTCCCTTCCCATAATATTGGCATCCGATCGCCTTCTTATTGTTACGAAATCCACAAGGATACCCGACGCAAGTCATCATCACGATCGTTGATCCCAACATCATCATTTGCATCAGAACGGCGTTGGCATAGGTGGTCTTGCATTATAATAAGCGTTATTTTCCGGCATTTGCATATACACTCAGCATCAGCATTCTCCCTCGAAGAGTCGAGGGGAAAAGAAAAAGAGAGATCTGGTATCTCGGGCTTACGCCACCATCAACTGCATACAACATAGTAATTTTTCCTTTCTCTTGTCATCATAGGATCATATCCATGAAATTGGTATTTGGAAATGGCGTCGCACGGAGCCATCGCATGGTCTGGAAAGGAGGGGATGAAGGGATTGTATGATATGCCACGTTACATAGCTAATTCGACGTTTGCAATAGCAATTTAAATAAATTCACAAATAGAATTGTATCATGAAATTTGCCGTGTTTAAATCGCATTGTGATGTCTTTTCCCATTCTATTTATTAACTGTAATTTTACATGCTTATAAGGTCACCCGCTTACAATATCTATTATACCGAGAACAGTATCCTTACGTGAAAATACGTAGTAAAATCACATTCAAAGGACATGAAAAGATTTATGAACATTTTCAACTATGGAAACGGAGCGCTCCCCACCACTCCTCATAACACCTATACACATGCTCCGGAAAGTGAAAATAAAGAGTAACATCTCCCATCACATCATGACCATGTCAAAAACCACCGATGCCCCAAGATAGAACTCATCCCTACGTCGTCCATACCCCTCTCCTTGCCCGTTCATGCAAGATAGTCACATCTTTGACTTTAGGGAATTCACGGAAACGTCCACAGCCACAGCATCACCAAACCAGATCCGTCGTTTCTTCGCATCAACGCTATTATCGTACCACGGTCTCTTGAGATATGTATGTTGGGTCCGTGACATATCGACTCCTGGAGGACTAATTGACTGATGATTTCTGTGCTGGGGATTGATGTAGGATTCGGAGAGGCAATAATCGTCGGGGTCTTGTATGACAATGTGTCGTAATGCCATTCTACGAGCCCTAAAAGCTTGTTCGTAGGAGAGTTGGAAGCGGTCTTTAGCGACGGGAAGCGAAAGACGATTCGGAGCAACAGGAACCTATCCTGCAGCTGTGTGCTAGGGAGCAGAACAGGGGGCTCTGCCAGCGTTCTCGTTCTTGGGTTGCGGTTTAATGGCATCAAACTCAGACTCCATGGCTTCCTTGATCTCTTGAGATTTCTTGAGATTCGACAGGAATCTTTTCACAAATCTCCCATGTGCATGTAACGATCCTCGAGGTCGATCCTTCGGATCCGGGGCATCTCCGGTGGCTTTCAGATCCTATCTTGCCGCCGTAGCCGGGAAACTCCGTGCACTTAGGAACATGCCCTTGACGCTGCGAATCGCGTCTTTGGTTTTCTTTACTTCATCGTCGGGTTCGGGGTTTCGTCCGTAAGCTAGTCCGGTGCGGACGCCGGTGTAGTCGATTGGGGGTGGGGCGCCGACCTTGTCAACTTCGTCGCGGATCTCGCGGAGTAGGGAGTTTAAGTCGGCGGTGCTTTCGGCGTGGCGCGTGTGCATGTCGCTCATTTCGCGTAGAGAAGCTCGGATAGCGGATAGACGGAGGGCTTGTGAATCAATGGGTTTATCGGCTTGGCTGCGTGCCGAAGTTGACGAGGCTACGTCGTCGGCCAGCATTAGCGGGGAGGTCTGGACTCCTATGTCGCGATGGAAGAGTTCAGTGGGGTCGCTGAAGGTGCTTTCGTCGTCGCCGTAGACACTGTCGTCCTGCCGTAATCGCAACATCTTGCTGTTCTTATATGGGACTTCGCTGACGGCACTTTCGAGTCTGTCGACTAGCTCGTCTAGCCTTTCGCTCACGTGCTCGTAGTATTCCGTTCGCGCGTCGTTTAGGTTGTCTACCATTGGACTGACAGCGAATCGGGCTGTGCCGTATAGAAGGGTCCATATGCTACCAGAGATGGCGAGGATGTTGGCAAGGCGGGATGGTGTGATGAGTGGGGGCGGTTTTTGTGAGGTAGTGAGGAATTCGGGGTATGTTATAATTGGGGGCGAATCGCTTATTGATGAGGAGGATGAGGATGATGAGGTCGCTGTGGGTATCGCCTCAATATCTTTGTTTGCTTCTAGGGTTCGCTCTGTATCACCATCTTCGCCTATGGATTTGGTGGTAGTCGACGGTGGATTCGAAGCTTCGGTATCTTGATCGGCTTCCTCTAATAATTCTTGGACCTGTGCATCATCGAATCCTTTGCTCTTAAGAAATTCTGCTTTCTTTTCTATGCTCGAATTACGAACGTTCTCGTCTCTTAAGAATTTTCGCGCCTGGTCAAGAGTGACTTCTGTCGCATCGATATCCTGAGTGTCACCAGTCTCGGGTCCAGCCTCTTTCTGGACTTGTTGCCAAGCCGGTATATTGGACCTTTCGGAATCGGCCATGTTGGTAACGAATGGAATTAGTCGAATTAATCTATTAAAATAAGGATATAAAAGGAGGGGTACGGTTTGTGTTACATAGAAATGGAGAAATTATAGGTTACGAGTAAAAGAGTTGAACCTTTTGAGTTGGAAGCTCTCGAGTTCCAAGGTTACGTAGGGAAATACTTAGTAGGAAAACATGCCAACGCGGAGTGTTTGTCTTATCTTAATTTCTAGGTGGGTACCTCGGCATAGAGGTGCTCTAGTCCCGAGGATGACCGGGAAGTACCTCCTTTAAGATACCAATTGATATGAATTCCCACTAAATTAGCGGGCCCACCTAGCATTTTCTAACTCCAAAGTTCTTTGCCATCCAGCTCAATACTTTTAGGTACTTTCTAAGTTTAGAGGGCGGTTTCCACACCGAGCTCAGCAACATACGCATCCGCACGTGACACGGGACTCTCAATTGCTCCCTTCAACTTTAATCATTTCATCGTCAGTATACCTCCGTCCTAATTAAAGAAACTGTAAGATAATCTACGACAAATATTACTTAAATCTCTTTTTTATAACTCACTCTCATCCACTTTGGATTATCATCCCGACCTCAATCGCTAACTATTATCCGATTGATACCGACTAGGAAGATTAGCGGTGATTCCTTGGACCGTGTACCATTGGCATCCATTCCGTGCCGTCTTCCTCCCTCCAAGTCTTTTATCACAGGTCGAATTCGTTGACCGGTCTCCACCTGCATCACCACCGACGATCAGGAGAAGAGTACTTTGTTTTTGGTTCATTGAAAAGTGAGTACGCCGCTCTATTTTTCCCTTGAATGCTCCAAGGTTATTCCCCCAATGGCCACGCCCGAAAGCTCGGTTACCTGATACACTAAACTCGGAAGAAGTCCCGAATCGTAGGTCAGTTCAGTTTTTCCAAGAATAAACCTAGGCAAACACTTCAGCTGGCAGCCGAAAAAAGACGCGACGATATCCAATTGAATGGCCGTTTCAGGGTCTTAGCTTATTAGTTCGTCAGCCACAACCGGGGATACGAACGGTGTGAATTCATCCATTGCGTTTTTGTGTTTTGTAAGTTTCCAATTACTATCCCCAATCCCCGATAAATGGAGTATCATCTCTCGTCAGCACCTGTCAACTTCCCTGTCCCTGTCTTAAAAGTCCGTCAATACTTCCAAGGGGAGAATTGAAAAAAAGGGGGTTGGTTCCCATATTGTTGCCTAGGTACCTACGGTTGATGATATGGCGGAGAATTTCTAAGTCCGGGTGGTGGATTGGATTGCAACCTACAGCGTTCAAGTGAACCGGAGCGGAAGAAGGTGACTAAAGGGGTAAGAGGAGAGAAAGGAGGGGGGTATAAGGATGATGCGATGCTATGCGATGCGTGCTGCGATGCGATGCATGACAAAATGGGGCCAGTGCTTGCTTGTGTCGCTTGTGTCCTGTCCTGTCTAAGTCGAGAAAAGAAAAGAAGCAGAAGCGAATCGAAACAACACAAATAGCATGACGAAGGGGAAATGATTTTTTATTAATGATGAGAAATCGACATCTTTGTCGTTGTTAGTGTTGGTCAATAACTCGACCGGGATAGTTGGCTGCATCACATCCCAAGCCCAAGCAGTAGCAGCAAGAAGAAGAAAAAGAAGGGGAAGGGGGGAAAGGTTTCTTGTTGTGTTGCCTCAAAATACGGAATACATCCATACAATCAAATCTTCCTTGGGTGGTCGAGTTCTCATCCAATCGCCTATCGCCAATCGCAATCACATATCCCAAACTTAGCAATCCTACAGCCCTATATCTATCATACCCAAGCGGCGACCTTGCCTAACCTCCTCTTTCTATTTACTATCTTCAAATGTTCATTATTATCCCAGCGTGTTTGCACACCACCACATAGAAGAAACACAGGGCACATCACACATGACACAGAGAAAGAGGAGTACAGTACATAAAAAAAAGTACAAATACAACCAGCTGTGTCACGGCGTCAGACGGCGCAACGAACCGCAAGCTTATTTCAACTTGCAACTTCAAAAAGAAACAAGCCCCTTGCCCGCTTGTCCGCCGCGTCCGCCACCCCCAAAAAATAAAAACTTAACCACTTTACTCACCATCTATCCATCCATCTCTCCCATCTTACATATTACCTTACTTGTCCAGTTCTTTCATTCACGCTCATATCACGCCGATTCTATCCCGTCTTTCATCATTCAATCAACTATTATCATCTCAACTTCTCCTCCTCTACCCAACATAAATAGATAGATAGGCAATCGTCATCTATCTATCTTAAATCGGCCCCAAAATTCACGCTCAAACGAAAAAAAAGAAAAACTGCCCAAGATGACTTCCCGACCACGGCGTGCAGCCGCCCAGAGGGCAAACACCGCAATTACTGACATGGTTGATAGCGACAATCACATCAATAGTCGTACGGGCAGAACCATGTCCTCCAGGACTTCTCGCCGATCCGAGGGTAAGAGCGTCGCAGCAACCGTCTCGCGCGGCCCTCCCTCATCACCCTCAGACTCTAACCAACATATCCATTTCACAGTTAAGCTTCCGGCCAGCAAACTCCGCCAAGCCACCACTAGCCGTTCCGGTCAGTCCAGTCGACAGCAAACCTCTGCCCCCGGAATTGTAGAAGGAAAGAGAAATCGCTTTCAAAAGAAGAGTTACGTCGTTGATAGTAGCGACGACGACGATGAAGATGCCGAGGATGAAGTCCAAGTAGACGAAGAGGAAGAAGATGACGACGATGACGACGACGCTGAAGGAGAAGATGATGATATGGAAGATGCCGAGGGTGAGATAATCGTCGACGACACTATGGATATCGACGCAGAAGGGGACGACGATGAAATTGGCGAAGAAGATGCTGAAGGCGAGGATGATGACATGGATGTCGATAATATCCCACCCCCTGCACCCATGATCAAAGTCTCAAAGCCTTCAGCTAAGAACACACCTTCTAGCAAGCTTAAGGCGCCCGCTAAGTCCAGTATGAAGGCTTCTACCACGCAAGCTAAAGACAGCGATGATGAGGAACTCAGCGAACTAGAAAGTGAAGCCGACGAGATCCAAGACACCGTTAAAGTCGGAGGAGGCGACGACGAGGACGCCGAAGGCGAGGATGAGGAGATTGAAGCAGCTAATCCCGCTGATGACGATGACCTTGGCAGTGATGGTGACCCCGAAAGCCGAGCTGAGACCCCTGATCTCACACGAATGACCAAACGACAACGTGCTCGTTTTGAGGAGAATGGAGATGCGTTGATGAAGCTATCCGATGGTAAGTACCTAGGTATTCTATGATATATGGGTCTCGCAGCCTAGACTAACGCCAAAGCAGAGGTCCAAGCAAAGAAGCATTTCACAGCTGAGGAACTCTCTATGCGTCGTGCTGAGATGGCTCGTCGACGACGCAACTTAAGCGAGAAGCGCAACGAAGAGGTCAAGGTAAGTCAACCATTATGTGTTTTAAATTGGTCCATTGAAATCAGGATCAGGGGATCACAGTAACTAACATGGGATGAATGTAGATGGAGACAATCAATAAGCTTCTGAAGAAGCAAGCTCCTAAGACCAAAGGCAAAGGTCAACTTGCCGGAGACCAGACTCCTGATGTCGACGCTAACAAACCCAACCCCGTGTTTGTCAGATGGATTAGCAGCAAGGAAGGTAGCCGGGTAGGCGTCCCTGATGAGATGCTTGCAGGTCCAGCAGGTAAGACATTCATTCCGGGTGGTCTCGGAAGCGGGAAGATGGTGGAGGAAGTTTCGTAGGTCGAGAAACACGAATATAGTTCCTAATGGACGGCCACTCTCGATGTTCGGGTTATTCCGTCCAATTTTATGGTAACACAGGTGTTGTTTGACACCATCATCCGGTGTTACCAAGTGTATAAAATTGTCATTTCATCAATACTTCAGCACTAGCAGGATGGAAAGTTGGCTCATCACGGCGTTGTGGCTCGCTCCCACGCTTTCAAATAGCGGCAGCAATAATATAGATAAAAGGGATGCTACCATACTTCGGGTCGGGGAAAATAATAATAGATCATTATACCAAGTCGCCTCAGTGTTAGCATCTCATCCTCCCCTCAGGCCATCGTTAGTATCGTATTATATGGGTTCCTTTCACTCTAGAGAATAAACTTAGGAAACAAATTCGTTATAGAAGTACTAATATCATAAGGCTTACCTACTAAGTCCTATGTTACAAATGAGGTATCTACACATGAATCAGACTAATTAAATCGTCCCTTCTTCAGATTATTTTCGTCCTGTGTCAACCCTGAGTCCCAACAACCGCCTCAAACACACATACACTACAAACAACCAAATACGTAGAGTCCACGTTAGGAACTAACAAACCCTATAGGTATAATGTAATAAACACTTGGTGGGAGCCATAACCACTGAGAAACGGTAACGTATACGTGACTAATTAACCCCTGGATAGAAATTCATGAGTAGATTGCTTGGTAGTCATTAGATTTTCTTGAATTTAAGTACATATATCTGGCAACCATACTGTTGGCTTGCTATTATATAACTACTCCATTTTGTTCCTACGAAGCAAACCGGTTCTCTGGGGTACTGATCTGTCGTAGTTGTCGATATATTTACTTGAAGGAACCACGGCGAATTAGAAGGGTTACGGTTGATATTACAGCAGCAAAGTAATACTCAACAAGACTACTTTAAACCCAACTATCTACATATGCGCATATACGCGCGTATATATATCTCTCTAACCAGATAGTATCGATGTCCACAAGCTACCCACCTGGGCAGTTAGATTAATCCCATTCAGTAATTTTTTGTAGGTCGTACGCCCCCAGATAACATCGTATCTACTTATCTAGAGATGTGAGAGTTATCTGACGCGTTATCCTACGCGTTGAAGGGGTCTAGTGACTCATTGGTCACTGATGATATGGGACTTACGGACCTAACACCTGGATGGCAAACACAGACCACCGGTCACCCATAACACAGATGAATGCGTTCCTTCCCTTATGGACTGATTTACTGCGAATATCTTAGGCACTGTTAGTTAACCTAGATCACAGTGCCATTCCGCGGGCCCGCAATAGCTGTGGTATAGTCACTCCTTTAGCAACCGCTATCACTAAGTCAATCTTCTACACTGTACATTCACTGCACACCTAATTACCTTAGTAACTCGATTCTGCTGCACTGTCGTAATTATTTAACCCACCAGCCAGAGAAATCTTTCTTCTCTCTTAACTCTCCCACCTACAACACTTCATCTCCCTCCCCCCCACGACTCTACAACCTTTCTACCATTCTATCCGCGACTTCAGTACATTTTATTAGATTTACTATCAGCGTCCGAGGAGGATCATCTTAAAGAACCAATATCTCGTCTTCTTCCACCTTCGCCGCCTTAAAAACGACATTCATCTTCGATTTATCTTATTACGCGCGTCATAAAAACCATCACCATGCCTAAGCGACGCAGCGTAATGATCACCGATGAGGAGCGCGAGGATCGCGCTGCTCGTAAGCGCCTCCGAACCACCTGGGTTACCGACGCGACCCCCCAGGAAAAGTCTGCGGCCATCAACCTGGCGGTTGGCAGACTTGGCGGAAAGAAGTATTCGTGGATGGATCAGGTAAATATTCGTATTTCACCGTGTTCTTTTTCTATTCTTTTTGCCAATCCATAGTTTTCATCGACGATGGCTTGGCTAATCTGTACCTTAACAGTCCGCGGGTACTGGAAGTGGTGCGCGGGATACTACTCCCGATTCGACTTTTTCCACTGGGGCTGCTTCACCTTGCCTAGATCTTCCTATTTCTCCGGCGACAAGTAATGAAAAATCTCCGGAGAAGAATGGAGACGTCGAGGAGTCCGAGGACGGTAAAAAGGATAATGAGACGAAGAAATCCAAGGGCACCAAGGAAACCCCACAAAAACCAATCGAAGAGGGCACTCTAGAGAAGCCCATAGAACTGTCCTCTGGGCCACCCAGCCCAATCGTCATCTCCTCTCAAGAGGGAAGCCCTGCTCCTAAGAAGGCTCCCCGCGGGAAAACTCCAAGCAAAACCCCTACCAAGAAAGCCGAGGAGAAAAAAGATGCGAAAATCACCGCACCAAAGGCAATTGCGGAGGAGACAGAAGAGGTGGTCTACGAGGACCCCAAGGAGGAGGAAGAGGACCTCCTAATGTTCCTGGAGTACGCCTGGAACTTCATCGCCGGTTGAGAGGAGTTATCGTATGGCCGTGGTTGTGTGTGGTCAACGATATGAGCGTGGAGGAATTTGCCATTTGACGTTTTTTTAGCGAGCATGGTCTTGGGGAGTTTGGGAGATACCCCCTTTTGCTGTACTATTTAGGTACATTTATATCGATACAGCGGCATTACAATGGTGATGCATGCGTACAGCTGTAACCACCAGAAATTACTACCAGGTTGATTGTATGATGACGCCGGCTAGCTGGCTGTGGGCAAACATGTGTGAATCAGTTGTTAATGGTGACACAATGTCAATCCTATATACGTCAGTGATTAGTTGTCTTCTATTGGGACTATCCAATTAGCGACCGTGTCCTCGTATCATCAAATCTCTTGCAATTAGTGGTGATTATGGGCATCCTATAACGTGTAGACATTTTAGTGTCCTTTCATCTTTATCAATGGATAGCTAACAAACAATAACAATGGGACGAAGTCACAGAGCGCTCATGATCACGTCTATAATAGCACTGGGATTAAAATATGATTAACAAATACTATTTATGAAGAAATATAGAAAGCAGTTGTTTAAACGAATATATAATCTGTTGTGTCTCTTATGGCTTGGCAAACGGCAAGAACACCCAGTTACTTCTACCTAGGATTAATGGTAACCAGCCTTTCTTATTAACTATATGACTTGTAAACAAATAAATTACAGCAATCCACACGCTCTTGTATACCTAGAATATATTAACAAACTCGGCGGATGATTGAAACATGAAGGTTCTATTGGGAGGGAAGGTATTCCCGAGTTCAATGGCGCGTTCCGCATTTAGGTGTAAGATTTTGAGGTCTTCACTAAATGTGATGGATCTGATATCCTTTGGTCGTATAAGATAATCCTTCATGAATTTTGTGGAAGAGTTCTTGCCAGTCCCTTGACGAAAGGGTTTGCGTTACAGGAGCTAGAGGTGTAAGTAATACGATATTCTGAAGCCTAGTCAATCTTTTAGACTTCATGATGCTTTTCTTAGCCCTCGCTCCATTAACCTTTGTGAAGAATTCTACTGCTTGGTTTTGTAGTATACTTGTATTTCCTTATTTTTTGCGTGATTTGTATCATCAGTTACATCCCAAGTATTAGGTGAATATTTCCATCACAGTATTTGTCCTGTTATCCATCAGTCACCTTTATACATTACCTGCCAGTAATGGGGCTGCTGTGGACGGAGAAAATACGACGAATAAACACGAGAGGAAAGAATCAATAATATGAAATATCCAATAGGTATTCCATGATTGAAAGTACCATCTGTATCAAGTGAAGGAGAAGGATGTGTATGTCTACCATAGATAGTATCCCAGTGCCCTGGCTATCCAATACCAGAATACTCTGTGACTCGACCAATAGAAATTCACCAATTCGTGGTTTCAGGGGCTGTAGACCTCCATAGATGCCATATACTTGCCTCAACGCCGTGACTTCCTAAATAGATTGGTCCTTGGGACACCGCCTTGGCATTATCCTCTGAACACTCGGGATTTTTCTTATTGTACTGCCAAATCTCCCTATCGGCGTCCCTCTCCAGGCAGAGACATCTTCTGGTCGAATTCTTCTAGTTGGGAACACAATAAACTGTTTCGTCTCGCCGATTAGCTTTGTACCCGCTCTTGAAGCACGTTCTGTTTACATCCCCTCCACATCGCCGGCTTGTCACCCCACCATCTCGGCGCACCACCGACAGGAGCATTGACCGCATCGCCATCCTCGTCGTCGTCGACTAATCTTGTTGCCCGGTAAGCTGCACCTTTCCTGGACCCGAGACAATTAGGTACGCAAAGATTTCCTTACCTGCCCTTCTCTCTCCCACTTTCCACTGCACTTTCACGATCCCAATCACCACAACTTTTCCCATTTCTAAAAATTTCCTATTCCCATTTTCTCCAACACAATCCTTCAACTTTCCCCTTTTTCCTTCAATTGTAATCCATATCATCTCAGCTTAGCCCAACATGTCGCCTCCCAAGAAGAAGCAGCGCACTCGGCAGACTCGACACCCTCTGCCGTATTGGCGCGATCTCCCGGCTGACTTAGGTAGCCCTAGACAGAGATACATCGCTCGCCACGGTCTCAGGGCGTTCCGAGCTCTTTCCTCGACTCCGGCCTCAACTTCCACCAGGGTCTCTACTCCGGCTACTACTAGTTTGTCATCACCTCCTCTACTAGCTCCTACTCCGGCTACTACTGGTTTGTCATCACCTCCTTTGCTGGCTCCTACCCCCGTGGGACTCTCCCAGTACATTGATCCGGCTCTTCTCTCGGTTTCGGCTGAGCGTAATTCTGGAAGCGTTCAGCAGCAGAATTATCTTTCGCGACTTTCTGACTCCTCCGGCACAATGGGAGCTACTCGCCAGCAGCAGGCCACTGTCACTCCGACCCCGGCACCGGGTTCTACTTCTGTAACTGTTCCTGCTTCTACCCCTGCTCCTACTTCTGCTCCTGCCTTCACCCAGCCGTCATCGCTGGTCTGGGGTATGTGGTCGCGCGAGCAAGACCTCCCGGACCACCCTCTCCCTGTCACGGTCTTCAGCAGTCTCGAGGACAGCATGAGTCCCCTCTACGTGCGCAGCAACCTCGAAGCGGCACAGGAAGCCATTGGCATCGCAATTGAGACCTACCGCGAGAACCTCATGCGCGAGCTTCAGCTTCGCGGCACGCTCTTTGGTCTTCAAGTCGAGCTCCCCACGTTCATCACTCGCCAGACCGCGCGCAGCCACATTGAGCACCACTCTACGTACTATTTCGACCGTGTCCAGGCCGAGATGGCTGCTCAGCGCTTCCGTCTCGAAGTCATGCCTACCCTGCGCGATCCGTTCATGGGATACATGGGACCGACCGACTTCGACCTCGAGCATGCTAGATACCGTCTTCATACCCGTCGCCAGGCTCCTCAGAACGGCAACGGCAACGGCGCTACCGCTACCGCTCCCACCGAGCAGGAGGAGCCGGAGCAGCAAGAGCAACAGCCGGAGTAGGACCCGGATATTTGGTACGACTTGACCATGTTCGGCAACTCCGACACCGAATAAATGGGTACTTTAGGTAAGCTCACCTTTGTGACGCGCGGTCTATCGGTCATTCCTCGTACTAATTAACTATTATCAAGTTTCCTAGTTCATCGTCGGTCACTGCATCGCTTTCTCGTGGATCTTTTTCATGCATCGGTACGCTTAATGCGTGGTGCTGTACATAGTTGATACATCTGCGGCGGCGCTTGCCGCTTGCACTCACGGATAGGGATAGGGCACGCACAGGACATAGGCAAAAGTGAAATGAATATAAAAAATTAAAATCCATTCGAAGTTTTCGTACTATTGTCTATCATGATCGTCGCTAGGAGTATTGGAAACTCCGATGAATTTGTTTGACGTAGGAAGTTGTGATGACGAAGTTTGGTGATCTGACGATAAGAGATAACGGTGGTCCGAGCAACTGATAAGGGATGACCGAGTAACGCACTGACCACCCAGAGACCTACTTCGGTAGGTGCTACCCCACAGCCAAGTCGGGAAGGTACTAGTACAGATGCTTTAGCTATTTGCCCTTTTCGTGCAGGTAAGCGAACCAATCTCCGTCATTCAGTGACAAGATCATGTGCCGTTTCGGCGGCGATCGACAGGTTGAGCCTGCCTGTTATTTTTAGGGCCGTGCAGTGGAAATAGCTACCTAGGTAATTAGCTAGTGGATTAATTCTGGTGGAAGGTGGAATCAACCGTTGAAGATTTGAGTAGTAAAAAAAAAAAACGGCGCCTGTCCGCCTCAATCACCAGTCTCTTCTCCCCCCCGGTCCTATTCCCTTCAAGGCAAAATGCAACCTAAAGAAGGGTTTCAATGTGGAGTAGTAACGGGCTCGACCCTCTACCGTTCTCGGTTTACCATTTATCATTTACCATCTCATCTGCCTGCAGCAGTCCAATATTTATTTATTACATTTCCATTTGATCACCTCCCATCCATGACGCATTTATGATGATTCTACCATTATCTCATCTTCATCACAGCTCCAGATATTCCCATTCATAGGTAGACAAGAATACCTTAAGTAGGGCCTCATTTACTTTTCGGCCTCTGTCCCTCCTCAAGGTTGTCGTCCTGCCGCCTTCGACCCGCAGATCTCCCTTGGCCGAGGCCGTTGCATTTCGGACCTGCAGTTAGTCTTCAATACTGCAGCGAGTGTATCGGCTAGCAATAATATTTCTCAATACTCATTACTCAAGGTACTCAAGGTACTGAGCGAGTGGGTTAGAACCTAACTTACTACAACTGCTACGTACGATACAACCCTGTTACAACTTCTACCGGCATACACGAGTATCAAAGATATTGTTTAGTTCCGAACAGTTATCTGTCATACATACAATACGTACATACATAGGAATTGAGACAGATTAAGAGAGAGACAGATAATCGGAAAAGAAAGAGATAAAAAAGCACAAGAAATCTCTTGGCCTTGCCCCGGCAATAAATTCGAATTAGGTCACACGACAGCGGCGACACCACGACTCTCGGCTGACCTCACCTAGCAAATCAGTCTCTTTTCTGCTCGTTACATACAACCTAGTCGTCTGATGCATGAACGATTTGGATTGAACTCTTAACCGGCAGGTCGCTTATTATAGACCCTCTCTCTTTTCAAGGACCTAAGAACCTTGCTTACATACACGAACCAACCTATCTCATTTTATTTGTTTTTTATTTTGTTTTTGTTTTATATTTTATTCGGTTCTCCATCGAACGAGGCTTTTCTCTCTTCCTTTAGGATGCGGGAAGTTTCAGAACCACCCTCGTCAGCTACGGTGGAATCTCCGTCTATCAACGCTCACAGTCCAACCAGTGCCAACCCTGACCCCGACCCCAACTCCAACTCAGGCCCAGCGGCGGCTGCTGACAGTGATCATAAAGCCACTATGCCGTCGCCCGTCGAACCAAGCAATCAGAATATGCGTAAGTCGAATTGAACCTATTTTCTCATTATCATTATTTCCTTTTTTTTTTTTTTTTTCCTTTCTTATTTTTGCTTATTTCTTTTCGGTTTTTTTTTTGTTTCTTTTTTTTTAAAGGTTATTTTGTTATTTTGGCCCCTGGGGGTGTTTCCTTCGACGGACGTACCCTTCGGTAATCTAGAGACGTACATGATTACAGTGTCGTAGTATTCATTTCTCGAGCCTTGTCTTCGTGTCGAGTGACTTGACTGAATGCGTCTGTCTCTGTATCTTTCTGTCTGCCCACACTCGTTTGCTGCCTTACAAAACGATTCATACTTGGAGCCTGGAGCTCTTGGTAGTCAGTCTACATCTCCACACACCTCTTAAGACCTAGTGAATATACTTACTGATGCGACCTTTAGCGAATCCACAAGCACAACAGACACAGCCTATACATGGCACCACCAGTCACGTTGATTCCCATTCCCCGCACCCCACACACCGGGGCGACCAGGATAATAAAACACCACCAACCAGTACTGTTCCTGTAACCAGAAGACTTTCCCTCTCCTCACCCAAGATGCTCCTTTCAGATTTGTACAAGTCGACTAAAGCGCCTCTCTCAAAATGGAGGCACTCACATATCATCACTACTACACCTCCAGATTATGACCCCGATCTTGTTAGCCGAGATAAGACCAAGCAGAAAGATGCCGTTAAACGTATTCTAGCAGGGAAGATACGAAATGATTGGTCTTTCGAATGGCCACCAACTTCTATGAAGGCACATTCGACGGAGAATGTTATTAGGACAGACGTACCTGAAATTCATGAGGATGTTGTTATAGATGGAACTGAGTCTGAGGATGATGATGATGCTGTTTCCACCTACAGCACCGTTTCGGAGGACCTCACTCATTATCGACCTCGATCTGAATGGTTGTCAGATATGCCCGACGACGATGAGGATGATAACATCCCAGGATCACCTTCGGCTTATCGTTTCGACAACCCGGATGCTGTTGGCGTTTCAGTGAAGGCGGCAGCTATCGCTAAAAGCGCCAAGCGGAGGAGAGACTTGCGCTCTGAGATGGAGTGGAACAAAGGGCTAGCTTGTTTTAACGCTCGGCGAGACGCATGGACGGGTGCCAAGGCGGCTCGTGTTCGCCCAAAGGTGGTACCTCCAACTCCCACATCTCCCGCAGCGAAACGAATCTCTTGGTGGCATGTTTCGGTTGCGTCGACGCCTTCTTCGCCTACTGAGTCAACCAACGTGACCATGCCTCTTAGTCCCATTGCTACGCGCACATCTGGCGACACTACTGTCGCGACCTCATCAGACACGGAGTACAGAGACTCTAGAGTAAAGGAGGATACGTCTGCTTATCCAGTGGAAACTCTCATTCCGATTCCTGAACCTCTTTTACCTGCTGTTACTCCTATGCGTACCTCTATTACCCCGGCTGCATACCCTACTATTTACGATAAGATCGTGTTGCAATCAGCGACACCTTCATGCCCTATAAATTTGAGTGATGTGGTCCGATCTTGTGTAACCGGTTGGAGACGAGATGGCGAATGGCCTCCTCGATCTATGGAACCACCCCCTGTGGTGGCGGTCCGCAGAAAGAAGAAGGAAAGCAGCCCGGATAGTAAGAATCATAACAAGAGAATCAGCATTAATTTTCTTGGGCGCAGGTTAAGCGTGGGGGCCGAGCCCAGTAGCCCCGTGGTTGAAAGCACACCACACCACCCGGAGAAAGAAGAGCCTTGTCCTATGTCGACGAATAAAGCTTTCAGGAAAAGCTTGCAACGAGTCCTAGGACTTAATCACGAGAGTAGCCATAGAGCTGTTGCTCTATAACGTGGCTAGATCAATGGGAAATGAACAAATTCATTTAGGAAGCCTGGGGGACGACGAAAGGCCAAGAGGAAACGAAATCAGTTGGTCGATTCACGACGTTACCTTTCCAGACTGCCAGGAGGTGTTGGAGTCTCGGCATTTAGGCATATACCCAAAGCATCGTTTCTGGCGTTTTATTATTTCAACATTACTTACCTCTTACGTCGAATGCCTACTGTTGTAGGTGTGTACATAGCTACTATACTATACTGACACTACTAGTCCAGAATGAGAATCCACAGATCCGTTTATTCCTTTGTTTTCAATGTGTACGTGTTTTGCGGCTATGCTATTTCCACAATGCCATTGTTATGCCCTGGGATTCGTGATAGCCTATCTAACTACGTCATTGCTGGAGATATGTATTACTTGTGGTACCTGAATGGTGGAACCTCTGGTTTTACTCCGATATTGCTTGGCAGTAGTCTCAGCTTAGAAGGTGGAAACTAAAGTGGCCACTGTTGATGACAACGATTTTACTCGGTATCGTGGTATACGAATGAACCATTGAGATGCTTCACTTGCCTATTGTCGATAAGTTGAGGTGTCTTTTCGGTGGTATTAGTATAGCAAATTGGCATACGCAACCCATACGCCACAACAAAAAGGTGACACTGACGATCGGGGCCACTCTTACTCCAGACATGCCCAAGCTTTTAATGAAGTATGCATTGTATTAGAAATCGAAATATGTTCATCTCTCATAATTAGCGTAACCATTTTTATGCCAAGCCATTGATGCCTATGCTATGCACGCCATTCTTGCTGTCTGCATTCTCCTACCCTAATGCTACAACGCTCATCTTCGAGTCGGCTCAAAAGGAAAGAAGTAATAAAATAAAATAGGATATCCACCATAAAACGCCAGTTTTTCTTTTTGTAACCCCCCGTCCGTCCCCTTATCCCCTGTTCCAATTCTCAGCCAAGTAGGTATCCATGTATAACACAAAGCTAGAAGTGAAAACAGAATCGTTTAGTTTGATCCGGATTAATTCCAAACACCCCATACCTAGCCAAAGCTATCCTCGCAGCCCTACCACAAGTCCGCTTCGACTTCGACAGCTTCCTCTTCTATATTTCCATTCTGGCGCTCGTGGTCGAGTTCAGATATGCCGTTCTTATCGGCGTACCCGTGACTCTCGGCCACGACTCCGCTTCTAACTAGCGCATCCCATACTTTATCGCCTCTACACGCGGTCGCGCCCATGGTCACGGGTAGGCCGTCTAGCATCTTAAGCCGACGACACCGATCCAAGACCACAAGCTCGTAGAAGCGGCGGCGCATGCGCGTGCCCATATCCGAGCGACTCGCGAACTTATTATCACGGTCGGGATCCGCGTCAGGGAGGGTAAAGGGATCGATGTTGGCGTTATTTGTATTCCAATTCGTTCCATTGCTAGTTCCGTTAACCCATGATTTATTTGGTGCTTGAGCGTGGGATTTAGAGGGCGTGGTGGGGATGGCTTGCACGGGCGCATAGAACCCGAGCGTCGCGGGGTTATCTCTTAGATCTAACCGTGCAAGATGTGGGAATTCTGCTAGGACATCTGCCACGTGCGCGGGATCGCTCAGGCGGTTACCCGCTGCAAGGAGTTTCTTTAGTCGCGGGATGTACTGTAATGCCGTTAAATCGTCGACGGCGTTCATATTTAGGTTTAGTATACGCAGATTCGGAGTTAATTGTCCGAGGTCCGGGGGTAAGCGTTCGAGGCCGCAGTTTGCTAACTCCAGATACTGTAGGTTGAGAAAATCGACTGTTGGGCTAAATGTTGTGAGAAGATTGCCCGAGAGGAATAGCTTGCGGACTTCATAAGCCGCATCTAGGAATGATGCATCGAGAGGAATGTCGCCTTGTTGCTCTCGCAGCGAGAGGCTGTCGAGTCGGCGACAACGAGAAAAGCCAGTTATGGTGATGAGTTGGTTGCGGTCTGCGTGAAGGAGGCGGATTGAAGGGAATTTTGATATGTCGAGGGACGTGAGCTCGTTGTTAGAAAGCGTCAAGTATTTTAGGTTGGGAACCGCGACATTCATTGTTGGGCCGAAATGTGTGAGATTGTTTCGTTGTAAGTTGAGGCTGCCGAGACAGGTGAGTTGCTCAATGCCCTTGATTGAACTGATCTGGTTGTTTTCCAAATCTAGCTCGGTCAAGCGCTGTAGCTTTGTGCCGTCGAAATTTACCACCTCGAGATTATTGTTCCTTGCACGGAGAACTTGTAAACTATCGTGCATCTTGATACCATCCAAACTGGTAATCTGATTATTGTCGGCGCGAAGACTTCGTAGGTGAACCAAATCTTTGAAAGCATGCAAGCTGCTGATTTGGTTGTTGGACACATCAACATACTGCAGGTTCATCAAATGTCCCCATGCTGTCAGCTCAGAAAGATGATTATTTGTGATGCGCAAGTTTCTGACGCTTCCAGGTACACCATCCAAATGCTCGATCAAATTATTCGATGCGTTGAGAGTAACAACGTTTGTGCAGAATTCATCGAGCATATGGAGTGTCGATAAATGTTTGTCGTTAATATCCAATTCCTGCATGCCTTCCCAGTCCGGTTCAAACGGCTCAACTTCAGTAATTTTCTCGACGAGGTTTGCGATCGCCTTGGACATAATCTTTTTGGAACCATCTCCGGTCGCAAGATAACGATCGCCGACAACATAGCTAACCTCCAATCCACAAGACTGATCGCCGTGGTGCATTGTAAAATCGGATAGAGGGCTCAACGATAATGTGCCTACATACTGTCCAATAATTGGTGTCGCAGAATCCGGTGAAATCTTCGTGGCGGCCGGGGTAGTTAAGACGACACTCAAACTGGTGTTCGGATTGTCTTCGCTCTCGGGATAGACGATGCTGGATTCCCCGCGCAGACTGACCTGTCGCTCTTCCGACGTTGCGGCGTGTTCCCCACTTGCGTCCTCGTCCCCTTCGTCAATTCTGGAGACCGGTCTTGGTATAAATTCTTGCCCTTTGACCGACAAATTTCTTCCCGAACGACTTCGAGATCTGGATTTTGTAGCCGAATTACCAACAGATCTTGGTGATTTGGATCGTCGTCCACGCTTGAGCGAATCGGTGGGGGCCACGTGTTCCACTGCTTCATTTAAAGATTCAAATTCTTGACCGCCATTGTTTTCTTCATCCGAGTGATGCGCAATATCTTGTATAACAGAAGCGATAGGTGACGAAAATGAAATAGTAAGATTTCTTTTCCGTGAAGGACTCGATTTTTGCATTCGATCTTCATGAATTGTTATCTCATGTTCAATTTCCTTGTCGTCTTCGACCGCTGTTTCAACTACTCTCTCCCTCAGTTGATCCAAAGTGTCTTTTGGATAACTTGTCGGGTCTTGAATGTCGAAAGACTCATGCGCAGTGGTAGACGATTTCGCGGTAGAAGGCCTTGGTGATTCATCTTCTTGTAGAGGCTGGGTTTCATCGTCTTCGGTGTTTTGTCTCACATCAACCCCAAGGTTCTGTGTCTCCCTTGCTATGTCCACCGAGAGATCTGGAATGCTCGCAAATGGGTCCTCGCTGTCTTCGGATGGTAAAATATTTCTCCCATCCGGAGTAGGCTTTGGTTGTCTGACTTTGTACCAAACATTGTTCGCTTTATCGAACACCATATTACCCACTTGATTGCCAATCAGAGGAGTGACCACTTCCGGTGCAATGAGTTTTCTTGAATCTGATCCTCGAGAAGAGCCGGTAGGAATGGAACGCGCGCTGGAAACGCCCGAGTTTCGCGATCCATTTGAGGGATACTCAACCGGATTTTCGCCAGGCTCGGGGAAGTCCGGGTTGCGCGAAATCCTCACATTAGAAAGATCGCTGACAACATCTTGGTCTTCAGGCGAATTCTCCCAAGTCTTATCAGAAAGCATACTCTGACGAATGGACTCACTAAGGCTGTTAGCCTCATTGATAGCTTCCCTAATTCGCCCCATAGAGTGCATCGAGTTTGTAATGATTTCGCCTAAATCACTACCCTCCTCGTATTTCTTCAATCGATCTGCAAGCTCCGGGTCTTCCTGGCGGGTTGGTGCTCTAGTTAAAGGGGGGCCTTCTCGACTGGGAGGTCGCGAGAATGGTTCCTTCGTAGACTCTTGGAACGAGCTCTCCTCTCCGTTCGGTGTAGTGGAATTGCGCTGTTCGGCACTCTCGGCCTCTGACTCCTCAACACTGCTCAAGTCGTTCTTAGGACGAGCTTTATTTCGGATCATAGCCATGATTTCCTCTGCCGCATCAAAAAAGTCCTGGGTCTTCATAGATGTCCTTCCTGATCCATCGACGGCAAAATCTTGGATGGAAATATCTGAGATATTATTCTGAAGATCTGCATCGAGGCTAATGCTTGCAAGTGGTTTTCGTTCACCCATCGTAACTGACCTTTGACCAGGAGTTGGCGATCGAGGACGAAGAATTGGACGTGTTGCTAGAATACTTGGACTGGCGTCTCGCTGTAGTTCATTTTCACTAGAACCATGCCTTTTCTTTCCGATAATTGATTGCATACTTCGATGTGATGATTGGACAGTATCCATTATCACAGGTGGGTTTTCTAATCCATATGCGATGTCCGATCGGTGTAACGTCCTTCTTCTCTTCGGGGTAGGGTCTTTTGACGGCGATGTCCGCGGCCTCTTCCCGTCTGAACCATCCCTTTTTGGTGTCGCCTCGATACCGTTGGGTCCTAATGGGTGCGAGGAACTCTGGGGTCTCGAACTATTGGGCGCCCTAGATAGGGGTACACTACGCCGGGGAGAAAACGCACTGCTAGGTAACCTTTGACGCCGTCGTTGTACTACAAGAGATTTGCCATCCAAGGTTAGATCCTCATGAATTTGAAATTTGACAAATTGACTCGGCGGTAATGAGTCGTCTGCAGGCGCCACATTCTCCTTATTGGTAAATTGTGAACGATCCATAGAGCTCTGAGTTATATCTTCGCTGAATTCGTAGCCATCCAATTCTCCAGCTCCGAAAGTGCTAATATTGTCGGGATAACCGAAGCTGACCTGTGCCGACTTTCTCGGACTAGACTCCGTAACGAATCCCTTATTTATCTCGGATTTGGAAGGTGATGCTGCTGGCGTTGATACCGGGTAAGTTTCGTCGAACATCGACCGTGAGGGGCTATCAGTCATCTGGTCCTCGAATTGACTTATTCGTCGAAGAAGTGTCTGGTTCGTGAACGTATCGTACGGACCAAACAACTTCAAGGGACTACCGGCTTGGCCCGAAGGCGGTTGATCTCGCTTCTCGGGACTAGGATGCGGCGCACGGGGTATCATGGGGCTAACCGCGAAGTTCGGATCATCTCTGCTGGTGGCTGACGCAACACGCTCTATTCGCACAGTTGGAAATTGCTTTGGGGTGCTGGCTTGGAGGGATGACTCTGGAAGCATGTCTGATGTATCGGGAATTAATGGCGGACTTAGAGGACGTCGACGGAAGGATCCCTCAGCTGAGCGCCCGCCTCGTTGAATGTTTAGAAATCCTCCATTTTTGACAAATTCGTTAGTAGATTCAAAATTTTCGGTCTCATTAGCAACAGGGGCGGGTCCTTGTTCTAGGCCACTGTTAGGTTCTGAATCCAACAACATTTGATTTCTTCGGAGTTTCTCGAGTCGTTTTTGAAGTTGATCCGCTGGAAGTTCGACTGGGGCAAATGTCACTTTTCCGTCTGAGTTATGTCGTGATAACAAGATCGGGCTCAGATCTTCGTTTCTTATAACGCTTTGCCCGCTAACCTTCCGCGACGTATCGAGCTCATTATCGGGTTTTCGTAAGGCAATAGATTCATCACTGGGCTCGTTGGTTCCTTCATCTTCGGCATCATTGTCGTCGGATGCAGTTTGATCACTTCTACTTGGCTCTTGTCCTTCCTCCTCATCTTCCGTTCTTCGAAACATCATCTTTTTAGCGGGCGGAGCGGGTTGTCGAATTAGAGATTCGTTGGCAGATGGATCAAAGCTTTCGTCTTCATGTGTTTGGCGCTGTAAATGTCTCATATACGGCGGGGGACTCGATGGCAATGTTGTTTCGCCAACACCTTCTTCTTCATTACCAAGTGTTTCATCTCCTGTAGAATCCTGCGCGTTGGGAGGCCGGAAGATGTTTTCCAAGCCCGTTCCTGCCGAACTAAATAGATCTTTCGATTCCCCATAGTTTAATTCTCCCAAAACCAACCGTCTCTTCCATTCCGGTATACTATCTTTAGTTTTTGAAGGAGAAGCGCTTTGAGATTTGCTGTGTTGAACGGTATTATGAACGACAGAAGCAGCAGTAGAACCAGATGTCGAACGACTAATATGACGCCCCCGTTCTGATGTTTTAGATTCTTGTGATGTTCTCGAGAGACCACGCTGTGCACCTCGAATATTAATCTCGTTTGAACTTCGTTCGCTTAGAATATTTATAGCACTGCTATTATGCGCCGTTTGTTGAGATTTCTTGGCCGCAGCGCCCCCAGCATTGAACCTAGGTATGCGACTGAGGGGTTCGTGTAGACTTCTGCGATTCGTACTGGCTCGAGAATTGGAAAGGTTCGGCAATTGGTTCTGCGATGCGTCGGATCCAGGTTGGGACACCCAGTCCTCCGAAAGCGAGTCAAGCCAGGCATGAGCCATGGCGCGCGGATGTATCTAGTCGACCGGTGCGGTGGGAAGGTTTCAGATATGGCAAAGGCTTCCCATGAAGGAGAGAATCGAGGCTTCGTGATGTATTCAAGCTAGTTTATTGATGTATTATAACGTGTAAGTCGGATTGTCGCGGTTCGATGGTGGGATTGTATGTTATGTTGACAAAATCATGCGTGGGGCAATTGGGCGCGTCTCTCGGGTGTTTGCAAAGTAGGATGGGAGGATGTATAAGGGAGGCAATTGGATACAGGGTATCGATCGTTACTACGTTCGCAAAATGCGTCTTTTCGGAAAAATAAAATTTATGAGGATTTCTATCATGTCTAAAGTCCAAGGTAGGGGTGGTTGGTGAAGTGGAAAGGGCAGTTGTTATCTCCTGTCGATAGCTACGTAATAATGTGGCCGGGTGTGTGTCGTGCAGGCGGTGTATTCAATACCCGACCTTGTCCTCCATACGAAGCTTTGAATGTAACTTTGTACCTTCAATTGAGTTTGATTGGTCCAAGCACAAAACGACGCGATCCTACCGATTTTGAACGGTTTCTGTGGCAACGGTGCCCCACTACCAGCCACACTAGCCACAGATAACTCGAAGACTGATGATAAAGCCCCGATCAAGCCACACCAATCTAAATGAAAATCAATTAACGCGCTCAGTCGCGTCCGTCGCGATTTCTCAGGCTCACATGGAATGTACCCTACGCCGCATAAAGAAGTACAGCAGGTACCTGCTTAATGGAGTGGAGTAACTCAAACCTTACCACCCAGCAACCATTAAGTCACAAAGACTGGAACGAATGTTAAGCAGTTTGACACTTTTTTGTTTTAAACTCTCTCCACCAGTTTGTGCCCGCTTTTTCAATCATTCTCTGCTTTCAAGATCCCCCTCCTCGCCAAGATCCGGATGCGGGTTACACAGCTTATTGTCTCACTACAAGGATCCGAATATGATATGACGTGTGATTATGTAGCGAGGAACTACACTTGAATCAACATCATGGACGAAGAAGACACTATGGAAGTTGAGGCGTGGAGACGCACTCATCTCGGAGACGAACCTATTTACTGCGCTGCGCCGTCCCCCTCGAATCCAGACGACATCATCTGTCTCGGATCGGACGAAGAGCTTGACGATGATGCAAAAGTCGAGAAGAGACTACGATATGAAGCCCAAGCACTCCGATATTTAAAAGGCAAACCTATCCAAATAGTATCCGCATCTTTACGTGGCCCATTCGACAAAGCCTCAGGTTGGGAAAATCCCTGGCTGCCGAAACCCAAACCCGCCATCAAACCATCCGTTCTCAAACCCTTTCCGCGTCGGCATAAGTCTACAGCGATCAAAGAACGCCTCCGCAGAGTTCTCGACTGGGATAATACTACGTCGGGCACTGAAAATTCGTTGGATTGCCATCTGCCAAGTCCCGTTAGCAATCGCGAGTTACCACTCTATAACAACGATTTCACAAAAGACAAACACAATCGGGTACACGCTTGGGCACAGGAGGTGTCACTAGAGACACCATTGGAGAGGGATTCTTTCTGGGCACCCAGTCATGTGGTTCATGAAAAGAATGATGAGATGAACAGGAAACGACCAGCTGGGAACGAATGGTTGAAAAAGAAAGCATCGAAGCGAAAGAGACTTACTAGCTCACAAGATGCAGTAGCAGGGTCGAGTCCCACGCCTATGTCATCAGCACAATCACCAGTGCGCAGCAGAGCTATGCCCGTAGGTAATGGTCAGGCTAAGAAGCTCACTCTCCCCAAAAAAGGAGTCAGCCAAAGCTTCGAGTTAGCTACACCATCATCCACTGGTGACCATAGCAGCCGCGACGCCCAATTTGGAAAAATTGAGACCTCTACAAAATATGCTGTAGTTCCGGTTCAGGACATGTCACCCAAAGCTACTGGGGGAACTGGTGTAGACCTGAAGAGACGACGCATCAACTCAATACTCGATGGATCGCTTAATACAAGCGGCCGAGAACACGAAGAAGCCTCGAGAGCCACCACAAGCGATTCAGAACGAACTCTTGAAGACGAAGTAGACCCAGCTCTAAAGAGCGACCAAGAAGAAGATGATATAAGTTTCGAGAGCCATTTAGATTCCAGTTTTCACTTTCGGGCTCGACCCTCTAAGCGAAAGCCCTCTGTAACAGCCCCAGAGGCCCCAATTACAGGCACTTCTTCCCAACTAGCTCAGACTACAACCGCAGAACCCTCAGTTCAAGAAAAGTTGGTGTCTACTTCGGCCACCCAAATAGAAGGGCAGCCCACACTCGTAATTCAAGCTATATATCCAGAGAGGCAGATCCGGGAACCGGAAGAAATGACAGATCTACCCGAATATGCACCAAACGAGCAAGCGAAGGACGACAATGTTGATAACAACAAACTACATCCATTGATCTTGCTAGAGGGTGAAGAAGAATCATCTGAAAATCAAAGGATTAGAAACAGTGACGAAAGTACGTCTCAAAGTAATGAACCCATTAGTTGTACGGCTATTGCAGAAGCCAAGCCGTCTTCAGAAAAGCAACCGCCTAGTGGAAATTCGAGTCCAATACATGCGCACTCAATCAGCGCTCAGGTCATGGAGGGTGACGCCAACGTGACCCGTAGGGAAGACAAACCAGTCGAGGATACGATAGTTGAAACACGCCAAGTGGATTCCGCATCATTCGCAGACGATGAATATACATTGGTCGATACTAATGGGGATTTCAACAAGAGTCTTCCGCATGAGACTGAATTGAATTCCATTAGTCACACCACTAAGGACCGAGTCACTATGAGTATATCAAATGCAGAGCCACACGACCGTGTGCAAAGCATCGGAGCACATGGGGAACAAGAAATCGGACAAAATACCGAGCCCATCTCAAATATCACACCACCCTCAGAACTAGAACAAGTAGGTGATGTTCTGAAAACCTCCATAGAGAAGCAAGGGGATGTTGAGGTTAAAATGGAGATTGCTACCAGCGTTGAAGAGGCTACCCAGGAAAGTGTCCCGGCCCAAACCACATTATTGGATTCCCCAGCAATCTTCATGCGGCAAAGCCCGTGGGTTTATGAATTATCTCCAGGGGCGGACCTTACACCCGAATATGTTAAGTCAGAGCCGGACGATAACCAGTCATTCTTTTCTCTTCTAAGCTCACACGCTAGTTTCCATGATATGTCTAGAATTAGACCATCGCAACAGAGCCCATGGGCCGGAGAAGTTTTGGGGGCGGTGGGAACAGATGGACAAAGTAATCATCCTGCAAGCCTAGATACCGGATTTACGAGTCAAGCACTCGCCGCAGCAGTCCCCCAAGAACCCCAGAGCCCATGGGGCGAGACTGGCATCGCTATCGCACCACAGCACAAACATCAACCTATTTCGCCTATGCCAGCTGCCCGCGATGATAACGAGTCGATACCCCAACAGCCCATGGCAACTACTATACCTGAGTATAAACAACCGGAAAATCGTATTAACGGACCTTCTACACCACCAAGAGTACACGCATCTCCTGCACGTACCCCTGACTTTGGGAATTCGATCAAATTGCTCGCCTTGTTCAACACTCCATCACCTAGAAAGCGACGAGAATCCACGAGGCAGCATACATCTACAGGTCGTACACGTAGTATCCTTTCTCGTGGTGTATATTCGAACCCACTAAACAATCGCTCGGATAGGCGAGTGTCCTTTGCCTCATTGCCTAATGAAATTGACGACGATAGTCTGGTGGCACACGACAACACAAGAGTCGCATCACCCCCACTCCAGACAAAGGTCAATTTTGAAGAAGATGAAGATATTGAGGGTACCTTCCAAACCCATTTTGATGCCATGAAACGGCGTGCTAGTGAGCGTGTGCAATTCCGTTTTCAGCCACGATTGCTACCGAGTTCGTCGCAGCAGAAGCCTATGACACCGACAGTTGGTGCGATGGCTGAAGCTTTCCGGAACGCAGACGCGCAGATAGCTCAAGTACCATCTGCACAGGAACAGCCAGCCGGGCACGAAGAGGAAAGCGTCGATGTAGAGATGTGTGACAGAGAGCAATTTCCTTGGCAAAAGGAGGCTGAAGTGGACGACGTCGCTGACGTGTTGAACAACCTGGATCAGTTCCTGGACGCTTGGGATGTAGACACTGAGCTCCAGCGAGTACGATAGGAGCCGAATGGAGGGAATCAGAGTCGGAGAGGTTTCGGATGAGGAACGATATAATTACATGACGAAAGCAGCGTTACGGTACTGCATTTGAGGAACCGGCCGGAACTGGAGATGATTTTGATACCCATAATTAGGCGTCATTGCTTTAGCATAGTTAGGAGTTTTGATTGATCGCATGGCATCTAATATGCCCATAGGCTGGTAGCGCTTTTATATCGCATATTGTTAGGCACCATCTTCATTGCAAGACAATAGAGCAGCTCAATTTTTATAAGATTATACATTATCGTAAATATGAAATGTTGTGACAAGATTGCTGAACTATCCGCTGACGACTTTGCTAACTGCTAATTCTTTGGGCCATAAGCAGTTCTCTTTCCATAACTCATTCCTATAGTCCTATAGTCATACCTCGATTCAAGCCTCTGTCTGTACCTAATGACTTCTACTTGAACCAAACATTTACGTCGAGGCTTTGAGCAACCATGTTTGTATAAAGCAATAAATGAGGCCCCCCACAGTTCTAACCTGTTTCAACACCGATGCAAGAAAACAAGGTGAGCAGGGAAAGAGACCAGGAAATGAGGATTGACCTTAAAAGATAACCATCCAAGTCTTCGGAAACAAGTAATTCATCACAAATACCTGTTATACAACTTACATAAGTCCCTGTAGTTTATACAGACCACAACAAAATTTAGTAAGACAAGTCTAACAGTAACTAATAGTAACCGACGTAAAGGCAGCCGTTATTATGATCTGATTTCGAGCCGATAGCGTAACAGTAAACATCGAAATTTCTGTTTCTTCCATACAACTAAGTACCTATAAAAGGCCGTATTATAACGCTGTGTTATGTGGATCAAACATGATTTAGTACCTTCACACCGTTCCTGTATCACTACGTGCGTTGCCCCATCGAACTAGTGCCGGTGAGCTTCAGGCCTAGATTCTTTTGTGTCTTTGTGTCCCCCCCCATATGCAAGTAGGCATCTTACTTGGGACAACACGCTTTAAGCCGTTGGCTTCGGCCGTCGGTCAAGAGCCACGGGACGGGCTTGACCGGAGCTTGTCACTGGATATAATGATATAGGCAATTTATAGTAAGAAACCCCGTGGCGCCCGTGGCACCTAGCATGATTCGCTAAGTAGCTTCGCCGTTAGAAGCGGTGATACGCTTAAAAATGAGCTTACCATCCTCCCGAAGATGTCCTAAATAAAGTTGACCTTACCATCTACACGTGGCGGCGGCTAATACTTAGTCTCTGATCTACGGAACAAGAAGAGACAAGTTGCGCGTCCAAATCGTACAAAGATGAGCCCTATGGAAAGACAGTCGTGGTCTGATCAGCGCAGTAGCGCATCGTTGGGCGCATTTCTAGCGCATTTACGACGGAGCAAATCCTCCACTAAATGAATAGGGAGGTTTTAGATTGGTGATAATCCTGTAGGATTAGTTGTGTGCGCTCCCGTACAACAGCGGTGAGAAATGGGAAGTAAGCGGAAAACGGGATTGATAACGCAATATGGGATACTACATTTTCCCATGTCTAGATCTTGGGATCAACACCCAAAGTCGCAATCGGGAAACTAGGATATCAGCTGGGGAGCGCTGAAACAGGCAGGCAAGTTTGCGGTAGCCTCAACATCATTTGGTCCTGTTCGCTTTCCCCCTCTTTCTCCTCCCAGGTTCTCAGGTTCCAGACCGTCGAATCGCTGCTCTTTTCCCTCTGATGCGGGGGGTTTGTGCAAGCCGATCTGCATTCCACGGCACTATATAGACCTTAACCTGGCTTGGCCAGATTTACTGTACATCATGAAGACGCACCTCCCGCGTGTATAACCTGTAGAACGTCGCCCCGAGAATTATCGTTGAAGGGAGGGTCATTTGCGAAAAATTTCACAACAACGGCGCAATGTTAAGAAAAACCCCACGATGAACAGCCGTTCGAACGGACGAGCTAGGTCTCGTGGGAAGTTGGTAGTACAACGTTCTGTAAGGCATAATGACGTAGAAATGGTGTGATAAGAGGAGCTATAAAAGGTGCCAAGGGACGAAGCTTTGCTGTGATCTAAAAACGTCGCCCTTTAGCGTGGGACGCGACACTTTGAAGGTTGGATATATCCCGTGTCTGTCATCCACTTGATGACAAGATCAGGAGACTTTTTCTTTGGTGAGTCGTGCTGTCAAAATTAGATAGATGCAAACTATTCTTTGCCAGCTTCGAAGCGAAGAAAAAAAAAACATGTCAACTTGACATGTACCCGAGTACCTCTCAATACGTATCGATGTATATACCTACGTATACTTCAATGTACATACCGGCTAAGGCGCCCTACGCTGGAAACTATATGGATCTTATGTCATTATTAGCGTCAATTATCGCAACCGTCCCACCCTGTACATTGGCTTGGTTGGTGAATTTCTGAAAACAGCCGCGGGATATTCGGTATCCGTACGGCCACTAAAGAACTGAGAACCATATGCTCGGGCAAATGATGATCTGAACTCTTTAGTGTGGTGTAGTTTATCTCTGTACGCAGCGGATGTACCGATCCTAATCGACCTTAGGTACGTAAGGCAGCGTGGGTTGTCCCTTGGAGGTACATAGATGGTGCCAGGGGCTGGATCCAAGGGAGTAAAGACAAGAACTTGGTTCCCATCCATGGCAATGGCATCGGGAGAATTCGAATTCCGAAAGTAGTGTATGAATGGTCTGCGAACTAAATAACTTTTTGTTGATTCCCGGCGAGTATCAACCAACCGTAGCGAAGACTGTCGGTGATTGGTATGACAGCACGAAAGACAGACAGGACAGATATGCCCAACCTGAATGGATATGCCGAATCCGCATGTTTGAGCAATAGGCCAGGATGGCATTGCCATGTAGGGTAATAGAGAAACCCATAAGACAGAGAGCGAAACTCGAGACCAGTTAGAAGAACAATCTCAGCCTCACAGCATTTCACTACGTTTTGAGGTGCGGACAGCGAACGCATACTACGTTGGCCGGCTAATGATCTCTCAGGCATATACTATAGTTACCATAGTACTGCCATATTGCGCCGGCTGACCGGTCCAGAAGTTTCGGGCAATTTAAAAACACGACAATAGTCGCCCGCAAAAGCGATCATCGCCGTAGTACGAAGCAAAGTCGGATGATCATTGTCAATCATGGATGAGGGGAAAGGGTCCAGAACAGTGTTGCGACACACCAAGACGGGGAAGTCGGCCTTAGTAGACCCTTAAAAGTCATAAAAAGAATGAAAAGAATTGAAAAGGGAGATTTGGAAGCACGCAGCCGCTTGACTTGACTGGCTTAAACTGGTTTAGAAAAGGCTTAGCGCCTGGTAAGTCGTTATTTCCAGAAAAAGGGGGTCGCACGTGGTCTGTGCTTCTTTATTCTTCCTCTTCTTCTCTCGCCTGCCCTCGCATTTCGCCCACTGCACATGTGCAGGTATGTATATACATGTGTATGTACTTATGTACACACGTATCTAAGGGGGGGTACTCCCGCTAACTTACGTACTGTACGTCGTACGTATCTACTTTTATATACGTACACAATGTGACTATGACGTCGGTATGATGCACTACCTTCGGGTCCGCGTCAGAATGGTACTTATGCCCTACCACTCGGATAGGTACCACATCAGTTCCCCCATCCTACTACAATCCCATTTCAAATACCCTTATTGTACGAAAAGCAATGCGATTTCCTTGTACCTACATACATACAGACTACCGCATCTGCCTCAAGCACATTAAGCCAAACAACCTTGCAAACATCAGATGCGAGATGAAAGTCTGGTTTATTTATTACACATCGCACACCCTCATAATTTTTATGAAGCAGGTGGCTGGGTGTTTGATATATGGGTTCATTATCGAATGTATGGAGCAGATACGTAGCATATACTAAATATAAAGTATGTGTAGGAAATTAAAGTGAAAGTTGAGATGGAAAGAAGGAGCCCCTTTGAAAGTAGAATACCTAGGTAGGGCCATGCTTACCCTATTATGTCATTTGCCTCATGCCATGTTCTTACAACAACAAAAAAAAAGTTTCACCGAGTCATCGCTTTCAAGGGTCCTCCTGCTTATCCTTTCACCCCAACTTTTTTGCCATTTCGTCATCGAGCCTAGAACCCTTTATTATTTTTTCATATCTCACATTTTTTTCTTTAATCTCATCCTACGCCATCACCCGAATAGGCGAAGGCGAACTAAGATGACCTACTTATGTACCCGTACCCGTGTCCGTACCTGTATTTACCAAGATTGGCATTGGTTCATCCACTTGGTCCATATCGCATTGCCGCGTGCGTAACACGCCCCCCTTGACGAGGCTCAATGGAGACTATATTTTGTGATGATCCCGGCTGCTACTTGTTACCTAGCGTCTGAGAGGAGTGGGAACGAACCACATACTACGGACGAATAGTGACAAGTAGTTCCTGATGATGAAGAGGCAGAGAGGCGGCCCATGAAATTATATTATCTCCGCCTCCACGCTACAAGGCGTTGTGTCTCCCACCCCTTCGAACCCTTGCCGCCGTCGCAAAGTAGCGCCATTGAATCGCAGATCATTACCTCAGTCGATCATTTCTCTTGCCCTATTAGGGTCCAGAAACTCCCGTAGTGTCGTCCCTCTACGACACTTAACACCCCCGAAATCTACTATTAAGTCTATCTACCTTGATCCTGTTAAGTACCTGCACGAGACACCAACCAGCCCCAGGTCACTCGCCTTGCTCAAGTCAGGCAACCCGAGAGGAGCGCCCCCATCTACGTACATACACATCCATACCTAGCACTAGCATACACATTCATACATACATACTATACATACTACATAATTCATTTTCTCACTTTTCCTCGCCCTGAAGTATCCTCTCCGTGCGACCAAGTTGCATCTACTAGTACGTCTAAGTAGAGATCGTCAATGGTCCAGGCCTCACTATCCATTCCACACACGCACACATACACACCATTCCCTTTACCATTCCCACCATTTCCACGGACTGGACCACACAAAAAAAGCAAAAGAGACCCCTGGAGTCTGAAAAGGAAAAAAAAAAAGAGCGGCAAGGAGAAGAAAAGAAAGAAACTGTTCTTGTACTATCTCTTTCCTCTTCACCCCCCACACCCACTCAACCTCTTTCGGTATTTCCATTGCAATCATTATTCGAAAGAGCTGGGCTCTACTGCATACATACTATTTGTTGCCTCCCGCTCGTATTGTTCAGTATTCGTGGTTTGTTGTTGTTGCTACCACCTTCGAACAACTTCTTTGCCTGCCCTGTCTTACTCTTCAGCTAGATTCCCCCCTTCCCTCATCTGAGCCACACGACGCAGGGTGAGAGAAACAAGATATAGGTGCTACCAACACAGCGGTATTGTTCCAAAAACAAATTAGGACCCTGAAATAAAAACAAGAGCGTATTATATCTAGGGAACTGTTCGCCATGTTATTTTTATAAGGCAAAACGGAGAATTGATGACATGGGAAGAAGAGGCTGGTCAGTCCAAAGAAACGACGTCATACGCAAGATGAGAATGAAAATGGCCCCAGACTCAACACAAAATAACGACCGCTCGGCAGCAGCCGCAGCAACGATAACAGCGACCGCAACCACAACAACGACTCAACATTATACCATGAAGACTTCTACGAGACCACCCCTGGTCTCATCGCATTCACATCACTCACATCACTCTCGCCATTCTCAAGCCAATATGCAATCCTTCCGCTCTAATAGGTCAACAACTCCACTGGCGTCACCTCGCATGCCTCATTCTGTCGGCCAAACTTACCCCCCTAGTACTAAATTATCTCCCGTTATAACGGATATGCGATCACCAAGCCCTAATTATTTCGGTCTAAATCTTGACCATTCTAATGCTGATATTCGAGACTCGGCCGTTGCCCCCCTCGATCATTGGAGTCCCCCAAGCTCGTCCGTGAAATCGTTCGGTGCCGCGATACCGAAACAAGTACCTCTCGATGCTAACCCCGAATTCGAGGCTTTCAGGCGTCAAGTCGATGCGAATCGATCTAAGGGATTCAACCTAGGAAGCGCCCATTTCGCGCCGGTCCATTCGCCTTTGTCGACGAGACCTAGGCCACCACGCCTACCGACCAATCAGAGCGATAGTGCTTCCGATTTATCTAGTACCCGGTCCCTCAATGGCAGAAGCTTCGATAGTGCACCCAGCCGAATGGATATCGATGCAGATAGTCTACACGACTCGGCGTATGTGTCCTCGGATTCGAAGAGGAATTCGGAAGTATCGCTGAATCCGCCATCTTTTAGCAGCATGTCTCGTTTTGAGTCTCCTGTCCATGCTGACTCACCATTCGAACCCCTACGTAGAACGACGTTGTCTAAAAATGAAGATCGGCATCCACGACTTTCTCTGCCGCAAGAGAAGTTGGAAGCGTCGTTAGAGCCTATGAAAGCTCGTGCTGAGACTTTACCGACGACGCTTGAGAGCGGAGGACCTGGTCTCATCCCATCAACTCAACTCAGAGATATGCTTACATATATGCCCGATAACGAATTCCTTCTACTAGATATTCGTGTGAATACTCACTATGCTCAGTCCCGAATTCGCGGTGCTCTAAATCTCTGTATACCGACGACTCTGTTGAAGCGTGCCACGTTCAATTTAGACAAATTGCAGCAGACTCTTCAGACCGAAGAGGACCAGCATAAGTTTGAGCAATGGCCAAGCGTCAAGTATCTCATAATATACGACGGATCTTCGACCGAAAAGCGCGATGCCGTCTCGGCCATGAACATGTTCAAGAAGTTCTCAAATGAGGGCTTCACCGGAAAATCGTATCTTCTAAGGGGAGGGTTTCATACTTTTTCCACCGAGTATCCAACCTTCATCGATCGTCAGTCTGCTTCAGAACGACCAGGCACTTCGATTACCTCGCCGAATGGCGGCCGACCGAGTTTCGCTCCCGTGATTGGTGGTGTAATGCTTCCTTCTAATGCCAATAATCCTAACCCATTCTTTGGTAATATACGACAGAACATGGATCTGGCCGATGGTGTTGGACAAATGGATATCTCCTTGCCATCTAATCTAGATTCTAGTACCCTTCCACGATGGCTTCAAGACGTAACCAAGTCATCGGACCATGGCAAGAAAGCGTCTGAGAAGTTCCTGAGAATCGAGCGTAGTGAGCAGTCTCGCATGAAGGATGCTTATGCCTCTTTCAACACCTCCGTACCACCAAGTGAGATGCCTGGTAGAGTCCGTCTTTCTGGGGTAGAGAAAGGTGGCAAGAACCGTTATAAAGACATCCTCCCATTTGAACACGCTCGTGTTCACCTAGCTGATCGACCCGAAGGAGTTTGCGATTATATCAACGCCAGTCACGTTCAAGCCTCGCGCAGCAACAAACGATACATCGCGTCGCAGGGACCTTTGCCAGCCACCTTTGATGTAAGTTGACCTAATATGATACTTTGATATTTAACTTCGAAGCTAACTGTTCATTTCTTAGGATTTCTGGTCGGTGATATGGGATCAAGATGTCCGTGTCATCGTCATGTTAACTGCAGAGTCGGAAGGCGGCCAACTTAAATGCCATTCGTACTGGCAGAGCAAGGAATTTGGGTCTATTAGGCTTAAGCCATTGTCTGAGAAGAAGGTCTCGCTTGATATTGATAAGCATCGACCAACTCCTGGCACGGCATCATCTGCACACAATGCTGCAGAATCTGGACGGCGCCGTGCGAATACTACTACGACGTTCGAAGCCGCGCAAAACATACAGCCTCCTCAATCGCAACCCGAGACGCCCTATGTAATTGTTCGGAAATTTGCATTATCGCACTCTGCCCATCCATTCTCCCCTATTCGGGAAATTACCCAGCTGCAATATGCCTTGTGGCCTGATTTCGGAGCGCCGGCGCAGCCATCTCATCTGTTGGCACTTGTTGAATTGGCTAATGTGATGCAACGTGCGGCGTTACCAATCGATGCGAACTCGATTGCCGCCTCTGTTGCTACCGAAAACCCAGCAGCTATGGGTTGGTACGATGAGCCTGAGTCCGATGCGAACGCAAGACCAATGCTCGTACATTGCTCTGCCGGATGTGGTCGTACTGGTACATTTTGTACTGTTGACAGTGTAATCGACATGCTTAAGCGACAGCGACTAAGTGCGATCAACCGATCAGATGCAGATGGAGACGTGTGCATGAAAGACTGCTCCCCTGTTCGTCATCGGAGTACCGCCACCAATGGTGGCGTCAAGTCCAAGCCAATGGCGAACGGACACAAGGAGCTTCAAACCGATTGGCTCGAAAACGCAGGCCTCGATTTGGTTGAGATGACCGTGGAAGATTTTAGAAGACAACGATTGAGCATGGTACAGAGCTTGCGACAATTCGTCCTCTGCTATGAGACCGTAGTAGAATGGGTATGGAGACTTCAAGAGAAGAACATTAGTATGACAGGAGGCCGAGGAAGACCACGAAGCGAGATATTAGACTTTCGAAAATGAAGAAACGAAGAGTCGGAAATAAAGCCCTACTTAAACACCTTGCCGACGTTTTTAATTCGCCGTCGACTTATACAAATTTAGGGAAGGAAATTGGAAAGGCTCAAGAAAATTTGCATAAAATTTGCATTTGCATCAACAAGCATTTTGATACGGTCGGAAGGGTTTATTCATCCTCGGCTAGATGGTTTTAGCCAGGCAAAGGCGGCATGGCGTTCTTGGAGGGGATTTTGGTACCATCTAGGCGTTTTACGGTAATTACGGCATGGCATATATTCGACAGTTATACTTTTTGAAAGGAAGATGAGAAAAACATCTCCGCGCAATTGGATCATAGAGTAGGGATGACGAAAAGCAGAGGAAAGGGTTCTTATGAGAGGACTTAATCAGCAATAGCCGCGTCCGGAAATGAACATTGGTTTGTACAATACGAGATATAAACGGATGAGGGGAGGGCGACGACGACGACGACGGCGGCAATGATACTGCTGATGCTGCTTCTGGAGGATACCGTAACTTATAATGGCGAGTATTTATACTAGGTACATACACAACCTTACTCGCTAGGACGGAGCAGAGATAGATAGATACATCAATACTCTGCATTTGAACTACTCTATACCCATACAAATACATATTTATTATACAGCTTTAAGTGACCCCAAATTGTTGACTTGTAATAATACTCTTTACCTCGTGATGGCTTGTATACTATTGCCTCAAAAACTATGATATATCGGTGCACGGCAACGTCGTTTGCAGGAATGAAACTAATCCTACGATCGTCTTGTCCTACAAGTAGTGCAGTTATGTTATATCACTACATGGGATTTAGGCCAGGAAACATTAATGATAACCATGTTTAAGCAACGCCTGCATATTACTTTTTATCTCGAAATTGATAGTAGCAAGACCCTATTGACGTAAAAGCCTCGCCCCGTCTTGCTTCTCTAGGACTAGGTATTGTACAGTTTACAAAATAGTATTTTTGGCTTTGTAGCCATGTCATCACCTGATCCACCTCGATGCCACGCCCAGATTCGTAGTATAGCCGTAGCATACCGTAGCATAGAACATCGTACTCCGTAATATGCGTGCCAGTTTATTTCCAGAACTTCTGGAGCGAGACCTCCTTGTCATCGTGCTTGTTGAGAATCTTGGCTGTAGCTAACTCGAAGTCCTCCTGGGTGACGTGCACTCTTCGCTCACGCAGAGCGTACATACCAGCTTCGGTACACACACCCTTTAACTCAGCACCAGAGCAACCGTTCATCTTCTCGGCGATCTTGGTTAGGTTGATTCCTCTTGTCAAGTTCATCTTACGGCTGTGGATGCGCAAGATATCGGCTCGGGCCTCGACTGATGGGGGAGGGAACTCGATCTTTCGGTCGATACGACCGGGTCGGAGTAAGGCGGGATCTAGAATATCGAGTCGATTTGTGGCCATGATGACTTTGATGTTCTTGGTTGGCTCGAAACCGTCCAGCTGGTTGAGAAGTTCCAACATTGTCCGTTGCACTTCAGAATCACCGCCTGATGAACCTTCTACTCGGGATGAACCGATAGAATCGATTTCGTCCATAAAGATAATTGAGGGAGCATGCTCTCGAGCCATGACGAATAGCTCACGAACCATACGAGAACCCTCACCAATGTACTTCTGCACCAATTCCGAACCAGACACTCGGATGAACTTGCAGTCGGTATGATGCGCGACAGCTCGAGCCAGCAATGTCTTTCCCGTTCCCGGGGGTCCGTACAAAAGCACACCCTTCGGTTGGGCGATACCAAGGGATTCGAAGAGTTCGGGGTGCTTCAATCCTAGTTCGATAACTTCCTTGATTTCCTTGATTTGTTGGTCTAGACCACCGATCATGTCGTATGTGCTGTCGGGCACCTTCTCTACCATCATGAGAGATACGAGCGGGTCGACGGAGGACGGGAGGATCTTCTCGAGTTTGTACGAATCGGATAGAAGGGTTACTCGTTTGCCTACGGTAAGCTTGGCTATATCTACGGAGTCGGAAACGTCGACAACTTGTAACTGTTAGATCTAGCGCGCAAACGTATAGAATATTGGGCTGCAGTTCATACCATATTTGCCTTCGGGATGTACCTTAACCAATACCTTCTTCGTTCCCATCACTTTGACTACCTCGCCGACGTACGATCCAGGTTGCTGTAATAGCCCTAGCTCTTCTCGTAGCAGACGTACCCTAGAGTTGTAGTCGTTTCGTTGGGCTTCGAGACGTCGGAGGACTGCTTGACCCTTGAGGATCTCGAGCTTCATCGCCTCGATTTTGTTGTGGTAGTAGTTGTCGAGCGCCATGGTTGCTAGGGCTCCTCTTGGAGTGTGATTACGGCCCTATGTGTCGTATGAGAAGGTTGTCTCGGGGGTGGTAGGGTTTCGTGTGATGAGTCGGCCGTTCTCAATGGAAAGATAGTGTATTATAGATAGTGTGTATGATGAATCAAAGTATTGAAGTCGAGATGGGCGGCGAAAGTGATAGTGAGGCTAAAGATGAGCCAATGATGAGTTCGGACCGGGGTACCTTAACTGCAGTGAAGCTTAGATGGACCTGGCGCAAGGCAGTTGCAGCAACGCGTTCCGGAGTGACGGCACTTCTAAAATTCCGGTGCATCTATCGGAGTTCCACTTAATTAAGTCTAGCCCTTGCTTACTTAAGCCAATAACGAAATTCGACAGGTAAGATTTGCCAAGATTTGGGTGCATGGATTTCTAGTCAGATAGACAAGCTCACATGCATCCATTACGTAGCTATCTTTGTGCAACTAGAGATTGCGAAGAGCTTTCCAGAACTTATGAAGCAGCTAGTTATGCGAATAAACACATTCGGATGACTCCTACGATCCATCAAAGAACAAATCTCCACATCAATTTGTTAGTGTCATTAGCAACATATATATTATTGACCAATTTTACATCATGTCTAAGACTTAAAAATATTTCCTTAGCGTTGTGTTGATGCAATTTTGCATGTTTTCTCGACTGTCGCGGCTACTTCGATGTTGTAGGGTGCTGTAGTTGAGCAGGGGCGATCGGGAATGCTGTAGCGTTAACCTGTTTTAGGGAAGGAGTTACACTGCTTTCTTACGCCATAAGGCTCCATAGCTGTTGCTCAAGTGGTGTTCAGGCGCTGTAACTTCCCTGACTTCCCTGTTGACTGTAGGTAATCAGCGGTCCTTCCAGGCGGGATGGTTCGATGTTTGGGGCTAAACATTTTGTATTTCGTACTAAACATGGTCCCCCAAGGTGCCCCAATCATTCTCATCATTGTCCACTCACACTCAAAATAATCACGAGGAATAATCACGACTCGGGACTGGATTGGACTGGAGGTGGACTTCTCATTCCAGGCTCCTGCATCCACTACCCTCCGGCCATGTGCTCATGCTACTAATGTTCATGTCAGTTTCGTGATACTTGATACGATACCTAGTAGGGAAAAATAAAGCCATGCTGCTTTGTGTGTAGCCTGAGATCTGACAAACGGCCGTTGGCAGTCGTAAGCTCGCCTTTGAACTGGACCGACCTACTTTACCTACCTATGGAATAATAATTCGAAGCCTCGTTTGATTGTGGTCTTCATTCATTTTCCCTTCGTTCTTTATTCCTTATCTTTTCACCTACTACTACCTAATACAACTAACTACCTACTTGTTTTGTCTCCCTGGTCTCTCGTCCTCCGTTGTTTATCGTCTGAAGATCTCCGCATCAGGATTCGCCCGCAAGACATGCTGCAGCAACGTACATCACGCTAGACCTGCATCGAGAGGCATACAATAATACATTCCCGTCGGACCCCTCAAGACACCCGGCCGGCTTTACTATCCATTCGCCTATAGTTTCTCGTCAGATCTGTTGCTAAATCGGATACTGTCTCCTCTTCCTACAGTTGCCTTGTCTTAAAGTCTCCGGGAAAAAAAATTAATTCTTACCTTACCCTCCTCCTATGCTCCCCAGTTAGTTCAACAAGTCTTTCCCGTTGGCAACAAAGGCTTTCTATATCCTTCTGCCAACGATGGACCCTCCTTCGCAAGACGGTGATAGCACTGCTACACCTCCATCTCCCTCCGATACGCGACAGCAACCGATCCGACGCGAGACTAGGGAAGCTAGAATTGCGGACGTGCTCCCTGAAAGTTACCAGTCAACTGAGACTGTGCGGAGAAGAGCAGACCAATCCTATGGTACGTTACCCGTTTGCCTAGCCTTCCCACCTCCACATAACCTGTCTTCCTAAATTCTATTCTTACTCTGCTACGACTCGATCGATGTCATGTCAAACATCCGTTAGATACTAGACCTAAGCTAACCTGACTCCATGGCCAGGCACACTTCAAACACCCCCGCCTGCAAGCAGCAGCGCGCAGTACTTGGGGGAAACCAGCGCCCATGATCGATCGCACTCGAGAATAGGATCTCAACAACCCCGATCTCCTTTACTCGGTCCAGAACGTGGCCGACAGCGTCCTAGGAAGCCTGCTATGCCTCGTAGAGCTTCGTCCAACACACTGGCTCCCCACCGTGGTGAGGTCTTCTCGACAGACGACGACGTGACCGAAGTGGAAAGCGACACCATCGGACGACAGAACTTCTCCCCCATGCCGCCGTATAACAACGAAGCAGGGAGACCGTCTTCCACGCTAAGACGACGAAGCATGGCGCCGCCAGCGCTGTCTCGGGTGCATTCGAGTCGCAGTACTGCTCCGGATGACGAGGGTATTGATGAGGTGGTAGAAGAAGAGCACGAAGAAGACTTGCCATCGCAACCACATGAAGAGGATGTTTTGCAAGACGCACCCCCCGATTCTGGCATTCTTGACGATGAAGACGACGATATCAGTGACGCTGAGAGCTTTACCTTGAAGGATCGTCAGCAAGCCATCAACGAGACACATCCATTTGGTATCAGGATATGGAAGCCCGCGTTGTACAAGAAAGACCGATCCGTTCAGAAGACTGCTGAGGGCGATATCCATTCATCTCCTGGAGGTCGAGTTAGTAGCTGGTTGCTGTTCTTCAATCTCATCTGGACCTTGGCCTTTGGCTGGTGGATGGCTCTATTTGCTGCGCTCGGTGCTACGGCATGCTTCATCTTCGCAGCAGCTCCTAGTGGTAGGGAATACGGTCGCGTATTATGGGGCTTGGCCGGCTACTTATTTTATCCCTTTGGAAAGTTCGTACGACTTGAACAGGATGAAGCATATCTAGACGAAGATGAAGGAGAAGGTCGAAGTATTAGCGAGTACGAACAGTGGCAAAGCGGCGACTTAGAATATGGGCGGTTGTTCTTTGGCCCCGAACGAAACCGCTCTATCATCGGCCGATCAAGAAGAAGCATCGACTCTGAGCCTAGCGAGACAGATAGTCTACTCCCTCGTTCCGGTCGTCACGATCACTCAAGCGACCAGGGACGACGCCTAAAGAGGCGTTTATTCGGTCGAGGACAATGGAACATCGGCCGTGTCATCTTTTTCATCTTCTTCTGGGGTCTAATCACCCCTTCCCTGCTCATCGTATCTGCCATATGTTGGTTTCTGGTCTTCTGGATTCCGATGGGTAAAGTCACGAACCTCTTATTTGATCATCTTAGAAGGCATCCATTGGCTTTATCCTTTGAGTCCGACATCATCATCGCCAGGACAGTTGATGGTCCACATTCATCTATTCTACTGTGCACGTACAGGGCTGTGGGTTCCAAGTATTGGAAGTATACTATCGATGGTACAAACATCTTCCTCATCAACTTAATGGCCGTCGTCATTTTCGTTATTTTTGACTGGCTAGTGCTAGATGGTGTTCTCCATCTTAACAATTTCTTGACGTCCCCAGGCTTCCTGTTCGTAGCTGGCCTATTCTCCATCATTCCCCTAGCATACTTCATCGGCCAAGCCGTCGCCTCCATCTCCGCTCAGTCTTCCATGGGACTTGGTGCCGCTATCAACGCCTTTTTCTCAACTATTGTGGAGGTCTTCCTCTATTGTGTGGCACTTAAAGACGGCAAAGGTCAACTTGTTGAAGGAAGTATAATTGGAAGTATTTTTGCGGGTATTCTCTTTTTGCCTGGATTATCTATGTGCTTCGGCGCTATCAAGCGCAAGACTCAACGCTTCAACGCCAGATCCGCTGGTGTCACCTCGACTATGCTTATATTCGCTACTGTCGCCGCATTTGGTCCAACGCTATTCTACCAAATTTATGGTACTCACGAACTTCGATGCCAAAGCTGCACTGACTTCATGGGCTCTAAGGAAAGAGATTGTCGCCGTTGCTACTACTCACAAGTACCCGCCCTCGACGATCGTTTCTACATCGAGGCTGTGCGTCCGTTCTGCTACGTGGCCGCTATCTGTCTGTTCTTCTCATATGTCATCGGTCTATGGTTCACTCTGAGGACTCATGCCGCGGTGATTTGGAATACTGAGATTGATGAGAAGAAACATGAAGAGTCCCAGCAACAAGCATCCCGCCTAGCTGAAGCACGTAACCTTGCCGACTCGACCGGAGCCGACATTCGAGATAGCAACCTTTACAAGCGCATTCTGGGACAGTCACTGAGACAGGTTGGTTTAGAAGAGAGTCGCCACCACTCACGTCAAACGTCGGAGGCATTCGCAATAAACGGCGGCATTCAAACCCCGCACATGGTTCCACCAAAGGGCAATATGGGTGTGTTAGACAGCATTCGTTCCACCGTCCACATTCCGGGTTTCTCCGATGCAGAGAATAGTAGCCTAGTTCGTAGTGTCACTGAAGTAGCTGCTACTGCCGCCGCTATTGCAGCTCGAGATGCACGAGGACCTCGCCGTCTTTCTACCCAGCCTTCGAACGCAGGAGCCAGCACTTCGGCGGCCCGACCCACACCCGTTCGCTCCGCTACCTTCCCTGACCTTGAAGATGTTGAACATGCTCAAGCAGGTCATGGCGGACACGATGCTCCGAATTGGAGTCGGACGAAGAGTTCAGTTATTCTGATGGGCGCTACCGTTCTATATGCCATTGTTGCCGAGATCCTAGTCGACACGGTCGACGTGGTACTAGACAATTACGCCATCGATCAGAAATTCTTAGGTATCACCTTGTTCGCTCTGGTACCCAATACTACAGAGTTTTTGGTGAGTATTATTCACCTGACCCAAGTTGTAAGCCTGAACTAACCCGTGCCACTCTAGAATGCCGTGTCTTTCGCTATGAACGGAAACATCGCCTTGTCCATGGAAATTGGTTCTGCGTATGCACTACAAGTTTGCCTCCTTCAGATTCCCGCGCTGGTTCTCTTCTCGGCAGTCTATCCTCTGCAGCCTGTGGGCGATCTAGATCCTACGCACTGGACATTCAGTCTCCTATTCCCACAGTGGGATATGGTTACTGTGATCCTATGTGTGTTCCTGCTAAGCTACATGTATGGCGAAGGGAAGAGCAACTACTTCAAGGGCAGCATTTTGATCTTAACGTACCTAGTGGTCGTCATCGGGTTCTACTTTTCTAGTTACACGGATGCTCAGATGGGCCAATCAGGCGTGAGCCGATTTGATACTCTTGGAGCCGACGGCACGTGGAATTCCTACAACACGATTGGACGAAGGAACAGTGGACGAGCATACGAACCGGGTGTGGATTTTTGATAAGTTGGTCACGGCCGCCTGTCGGTTTCTAGGCTGATTGGCTCCCTCTCCTTTTTTTGTGATGTGATTCCGATGTTTGAAGTCGTGGTCGCTGCTTAATTATGATATCCTGATACCTTTTTGCGTCTTTATGGTGTAGTTGGTCGGTCAGTCAGTCAGGTGTATGAGTATTGTTGTCGTCGTTGGGCTTTATTTTTGTTTTCCCAAAGAGGTGGTCTCGTTTTAACTGTTCAAGAGCATATGGGCATGGCGGGGTGGAGTAGGTATATAGGCATACAGGCATCCTTAATAGAAACCTAAACCGAAGGATAGGTTGATTTTCTCAAGTCGATGGTTCATATGCATGATTGCAATGGTGATGTTTGTTTTGTAAGTGTGCTTATCATGATTGTATCGTAGGTGTCGTGGTCTATTGTTCGTTTTGAGGATCTCGAAGGCGTTGAACGATACCTAGGTACTGAAGAAACATGGCAAGCAGATAGTACGATATACCATATATCTATTTCAATGCAAGAAAAATATCACCAAATCATAAGGTTCCCATCGTAGAATCTCATGAAACTTGACAGCTTACGGTCTTTGCATCTCGCAGCAAAGGGAATGAAATATGCCATTCTGGTTATTGGAGAACTCTATCTACGAAAATAAGTCAAGGTATGCAAATATGAAGAGGTCATTCGCGACGACTAGACAGCAAATAATAGTTAGTAAATATTGAACTCATTATCGTAATTATGTTCCCTCCCACTCGTTACGGTCGCGTTTTTCCTTTCTTCTTCCTATTTTTTTTTTTAAAGAGTATATGAACAATAGACAGATAAGTCAACAAGAAAATTCGACCCTCATCGTCATGTAGGTACACTTTTTGCCCAAAATCATGATTTTCATACTAGACGGCATTGTGTTACATGGCACGGCGGGAACGATGGAATGCCTACATTAAGCCACCGAGAGGAATAGCACTAACAAGACTAGGTGTTGCGTCGCTAGGTATCGCAGGGAGCGGAACCAATTCACTATCATTGTAGATAAACACCAAGGGTGCGATAGCTAGATTTCACGCGTTGGAACAGATAGCCTTAAGGCAGTGAATGATTGTCCAGAAGCATTAACGCGATCGTAACCAACACGCGTACAAATCACAGAAAATTTTTCCTCACATCACGCGTCAAGCGCATGATAGCAATGAAAAAAAAAGTAGAAAATAAGCCTGTCAGACGTCCATCATCGCCCACCCCGGCCGCGCGCCCAAAGGCAAGACCGCGGCGAATCAGGGTTGAGATCATCACCACTCTCTATACAGCACACCATAAGGGTACCGCCATCCTTGCGGACAGATCGAGAGTAAGGAGCGCGAGGACCAGAAGTCCAAGTGCTCCCGAAATTGATTTTTCACTCTAGGGCGACGGGGATATCATTCATCAACCAGGGTGGGATCTGTGGCTCCTGTAGGGAACACAGAGTAGGACGAATACTATAGAAATGATTCTCTGAAGTACTGTATCGCGAATGATGGTTAGTTGAATTATTCCATTGCTCAGGTATGGGGGAGGGGTGAGACTGACTTGTCGACATGAAGAAGAAAGAGAAAAGAATTTGAAGGAGAGGGAGAAAAGCTGTATATTTATAAGAAAGTTTCTGGCGGAGAGCGGTGGCAGAATCAGCAGGGGTGCTTGCCTAGCAAACTGTGCGGCCTAGCAGCTGCCTAGTAACAGCGGTAAACTTTTTTTCTTAGTGGGGCACAATCACTGTAAAAACGACCTAAATCAGTAAACTAACATAGAAAAACATTTTTTCATTGGTTTGCTACATAACATGTGCAGTAAAAACTAGAATATTTGCTAGAAAAATGAAGAAATTTAACTCAAACTGTCTAGTTAGCCAATAAAAGAGCAATAAAAAGAGCAATGCAAAAACAGTCACTGTATTTTATGTGAAAACAAAGCTTAATACAGGTGTTTGCCTAGAGTGGTGCCTGCAGTCGCGAGTTCCCACTGTAGATTCTACTCATTTTAGGTTTAGTGCGAAGGAAAGAGCTGTGACTCAGCAATAATTCTGCCAGCTCCCACCGCTCCAGTATTTCCTATATATACTTGGCTATCCTCCCAGCTTTTTCGTAAATTTTTCTTCCTTTTTTCTTTAGCTCTCTTTGCCTTTTGGCTTAGATCAAGTGTAGTATCTGTTCTTTTCAGTTTAATCTCTGAAAGAGTTCTACTTGAACTCAATCGTGATTATTCTAATTTTTGTTCCTCGGAAGCGCATCCTCTGGGCTTGCCCATGATCGCTACCACCGTGTCCCTGGTATTACACTGCCTCCAGGTGACGCGAACATCATTTTTCATTACATTCTTAGGCTTGCCTAGGATGTGAGGAAGAATCATTCCCGTATTTGTATACTTCTAGCTGTACTGCTGCCTGGTCATAAACACTTTCAAAAATTTAAACAACACGGCACTCAAACCTCTAGCCTATCGCCATATACGTTGCCATTGAAGGTGAACACCACGTCCACCCTCTGTTCAGTCAAATATTCGTAGCAGCTTTTTAATTCGATCGGTAGTGACAGCGTCAGGAGATGCTAGAGCGCTTCGACATCTACTACAAAACTACAAGCTTCATTGAGCGTATTTCCGCCTGGCCCGCAAACCATAATTATTATCGTTGAGCCTCTATTTCACCATCACGACGAAAATTTCAAATTAGTATCCTCATTCTATCGCTACTTCTAGAATATACCGACCTGTCTTCGGTGTCACACGTCCACGATATTGCGGGCAGATGACGAGGCCTCATCGACCTAATCGCCCTACGGATATCGACGATAACACATACCATACTAGCACGCCAGCGCCGCCGAGTCAACACAATTGCCACGCTGACATAGCTCACATTTCTATGAACGAAAAATCTCCTCCGAAAACTGATTTTAATCGAACTATAAGAAGCACCGCCCATCCTACCTAACAAATTGCGCCGAAATAGCTAAGATTTCCGTCGACCGATGAAACGATATAGCTTCTTCCATGCGGAAGCTAGCTTCTAGTCTATGGATCGAATACCTACTGCAAAACGGCGTATCCTAGACTAATGCCAATTTTTGAGCTACGGGATGTTCCTTCAATGGTGGTTTAGCCTACCCGATAAAGAGTTTTTTCTTCTAACTAGACGCCCTAGCTAGTCACCATTTTCCAGTACTACAGAGTTAAAACGATATGAGAAGTTGAAATACGAATACAGCTACTATATCGACTGTAACACTTATTCACAGTACCAAACCCGACGAGATCTAGAAATTGTCAAATTTTCATTCCGCGGCCGAGACCACGGACGGTATCCCCATTCAACATAGGCCATAAGCAAAAAACATTCGATAATATCTACATCTAATAGCAGCAAACGTAGAAATCACAGTGTATTAGATCATGACCAGATGAAAGCTACAGTAGTATCATTTGACATATAGATCTACAGCTACTGCTATGCATAATACAAGTTTTTATTGGTACACTTACTCTCTCTACTCTCACAAACCGCACCCTTCCATGCTAGTATGCTAATTAACCCCTAAACTCGGCTAAGCCGTCATCCTCCTCTAGTAAAGTGATAAAAGAAAACGGTGCGAACATGTGACCCGCAAACTCGGCGTATTTGGATTGTGCTTCGACCCATTGTAGACGGAGGGAGTGCAACTGAGAGGTAATGTTAGTTGATACTGTATTGTAATTTGAGGGTGGCTGGGGAAAGCTTACCATAGCGCTGCAGCCTTCCATACAAATGAGAATAGCACACGAAAGGAAAAACCATAAATAGAAAGTAACAACGACCATAATCACGCCAACGACACCAGGCTTGGCGAGAGATGGTCCGAGGGTCATGTCCCAAAGCACAACAGATAGCTGCTGGTGAGCAAGAGACAAGGCCCAGAGACGAAGATAGGAGGCAGTGTGGGAGACACAGTTCAAGCAGAATTCTACTAAAATCAGCATACTTTACAGCAAATGGGGAATATTTCATGAACTTACCAATTGTATGAATGACCTGGTGGATCATGATCTCACTGAATTCGAACTCTTCATGTTCCTCATCATCACCGTGTGCGATCATAGCGACACCCTCGCCATCTTCAGTATCCACACTAGGACGTCCGTTCGGTTGAAGAGGTTCCTCATCTTCATCAAGCGCAGAGACTCTCGAGTGTTCGCCTATACCCCGATAGCCTTGGGCGCGAGCTCGGTTGTGCTCCCATCGCAAATAGAACGGCTTCAAGAATAATAGAACAGGGACCTGAACGAAAGCCAGTAGTAGTAATGTGACTTGTACTCCGCTTTGGCCTGGGTAAAGTTGTATATCCAACGTGCCGGGCTGCAAGAACATGTAAATCAACATGTTTAAAAGACCAGGAGGTTGCTCTCCAATCGCAAACCAATCCACAGACCACTTGTAGATAATACATATGACGAGGTAACCGAAGATGGATTGGAAGAAGATCATTCCTGGAACGAAGTTACCCCAGATATCGATTGGCCTCTTGAAGTGTCTGGCGTTGAAGTAGGACAGGCAAAGAGAGTATGTCATGTGTGCCCATCCGAGAATGATAGACATCTTCATCTTGTAACTGTTGCTGAATAGCAAATCGTTATCGGTGCCGTGCCAAAACCAATCGAGACCAAACGGATATCGGTAATCGCCCTTCAGCTTAGCAATAAGAGGTTGGCCTTCTTGCCATCCTTCCGGAACCTCCCACTCCCAGGCACTGTCGAAAAAGGTGAAGGTCTTCGAGAAGACATCGTTGTAGATAAGACCGGTAAACAAAGAGAAGACAGCCATGACTAAGGCAATGTATCGACCATAGTAAATCATAGCGAAGAGTTCGAAGGTGACCTTCTTGAGAGGTTTTTCCCAGTAGATCATGGCTACGGAGGCAGCAAACATGATGGAAGCGTGACCGAAATCTCCGAACATGACAGCGAACAGGAAAGGGAATGTAACGATAGCAGGTAGAGCAGGGTTGACTTCTTGGTAGGTCGCCGTACCGTAGGCATTGATGATAGTCTGGAAGGCCTCTGTGAATTTGTTGGTCTTCAGGTAGGTCGGAGGGGTCTTGTTTGTTCTAATTTCATTGATAATGGACGGAACGGAAAGACCTGCTCGGTTCGTCACATCCTGAAGTGTAGAGCGAATAAGAGGCAAATCGTTTGTAGGACACCATCCTTCGGCGATGAGAGTTCGTCTTTGCCGGTCGAACGAAAAGAGATTAAGTGTTTGGTAGGCAGCCTTTTCCTTCGTGATGAGAATCATCCAAGCAGCAAGGGACTGGCCGATCTGGGTAAGCTCGACTTCGAGAGTCTGCTGAGTGTTGTGTAGGACGTTCTGAACATCGTTGAGGCGGGCGTTAACCTCGTGTAGCTGGTCTCGACGAAGATCTGTGTTCTCGTCTACACTGTAAATGTCAGCTCCCATCGATTCCGAGATCTTTCGAATCTTGGCTAGGATCTCCTTTCCGTGGGCAAAGATGACAAAGACATTCTTGTTGATGGACTCGTTGTTGGTCGGGTCGATCAGAGGTTCGGAGATTTCGGATTGGTTCATGTAGAGGTTACCGCGAAGGGTTCTCCAAAGAATGCGCTCGAAAGCAGCGACACGGTCTCGGTTGATGACACCAGCAACGAAGCCAATGTTCATACCAGAGAAGGAACGCTCAGCGTCACCACCCTGGTTGTGTTGCTCTACGTCTTGGAGTAAAGGAGCGTCGTCGTCCTCAGTCGAAGCTCGAATCTCGTCAACGTTGCCGTGTGCGCGATCGAAGAAGCCACCCGCCTCGCGCAAGACGTGTCGCCATTCGGTAAGCTCCACCTCTCTCTTCTTCAATGTCTCGTAACTGTCATTAAGTTGGAAGATGCGTTGTTCGAGGCTTTGTGTTCGCTCGGAGAGTTCGTCAATCTCGGTAGTAGTGGGAGGAGCGAGGGTTTCAACTTCGAGATCTAGTGTTCGGAGAGGGATATTTGCCTTTTCCATCTGACCATGGAAGTAGCCTAGTAACACGTTAGCCAAGACAGTATGTTGTATGGGGCCAGGGCGCATCGAGGCGTACGGAGTTGACGCTCGACATTGTCGAGTCTTCGAATCTCTTGAGTGAAGGTTCGCTGAAATGCAGTGACTTCGCTGTTGAGCTAGATGGTTGTTAGTATTATTTGATGGATATAGATTTGATGTCGAATTGAACAGGGGATAGATGGATGGATGCGAGGACGTACATCGCGAAATTGGACCAGTCCAAGTTCTCCCAACGCGTTAACACATTCTCGACCGATTTCGTTAGATATATACAACTGAACCATGCTCATATCCGCAGAGCGGAACATGGTCTGCTTTGAAGGAGCCATGATGATGGCGATATGCTTCAAGGGCAGATCAGTTGATCGTTTGATGGGTGACGACGAAAGGGTAGCTCTAGAAGGTAAGCTCGCATTTGTCGCTGGCTGGCTTGGTTACCTTTGCAAGTTGCACAGGGGGGCTTGCGTTGCCAATTCGGAGACTCCGGTCCGACTTGTGGCTGAATGTCACGAGCTTAATTTGTGGCGCATGTAGTGCTTCGACTTTTCTTTTTTCTTTTTTCTTATGTAATCATGACGTATGTAGACTTCCTTGGCAGCACCCTTCACCCATCTTTCACACCTGAACATTGGTTTGCAAGTAGGCAATTGACCAGATAACGATCTTTACTATAAATAAGGCTGTTAAAGGATATGAGATAAAATTAATTTCTATCATGAGGTATCCGAAGTGCTCAGGTAAACCAACACCGAACAAGCAAGGATGTAAACTGTGCATTCATATATCACCGAGATCAACCTCGAATCTCCGAGCATCGTACGAAAAAGTCTACTGTTATACAATGTCCTCTATGGCCATAGAGCCAGTATACCAAGTAAATAAGTTCATTTCTATTTATTTATCCTTGTCGCGGCTACTTCTTGACGCTAGATTTAGTATAGCTGAACTTAACGAGGCTACGTCATCATTATATTCCGACGAAGAATCGTCAGGAAATCAACAAGGGTGGCTCTAGGAATAAGAGCAGTAGCCTAAGGGAAACCGCTATTCTTATGTATGCGTTTATCATGAACTTAGTTATTTACAAGGTTAAGTTCACGTTAAGTTCAGAATGAGGTCAGGTTGAGTTCATTATAACTTGAGACTTCTCCCTCAACAGAGTTTAAGACGAACAATTGAGAGGTACGATCATATTATGCCACTCGATTAGGAAAGAGGCTGCATATATAAAGTCCCCAATCCGTCATGGAAGATTCTCCCATTCCTTTTCCCATCCACATTCACATTTTTCTCCCTTTTCCTCATCTTCCTAAGAAGCAAACCTATCTTTTCTCATGATGTTACTACACCCGCTATCGTTTTCTACGCATGGCACACAATCGTGAATACCAACGAGGAGAAGAGAAGGTTAATACCTAAAAGCCATTTCTATCTGAACTTGGTCGTCTTGATCCCGGAATCCAAGTCACTGCACTCAACACAAGCGGAATACCAGTCATACCAAGGCGTTTCAAACCACTAAACAGACTGCATCCTGAATCTATGGGACAGAAGATGGAACTCTACGAGATCAAAGACTAGAGGGAAAATGATGACGAATAAGGAATCGGGCAACGGAAGTCCTCCGACCCTCGTCAGATAAGACGACATACTATAGTCCCGACCGAATGGGACTGACCCACGAGACACCATAGCTAGACAGGAGCGCCCACTCTTGTTTTAGAGAGCTTCTAACGTCGCTCTTCGCAAGTTATACTCAACAAACCCACGCAAAATTAAGTGAAGTTGTTTGCCGCGTTCTCCAGCGAGAACAACCACTTCTATCCCCGCCCCAGGATATGGTATAGCAGACTCTTCGGCATCATGTGCGAAAGATCACAACAAAAAGGCGCGCCCTATTCCAACAATCAGGGCCATTGACTCTACTCATACCTCCCACCAGTACGAAGTGTTTACCCAAATCACCGTCTAATCATCGCTGTTGTTAACGGTACTACGGTTGACCCAACAATGACCATTACCTACTAGGGTGTGCGGTGGGTACTCGAGACTAGGAACCGGCATCAGGAGGACCTGGTTGGTATAGATACAAGAAGCCAGGTGGTCTTTATCCGTGACCGATTTTAGCATGGCTCCAACTTACAGACGTACTACCAGCGGGACCGGTGTTCATATTGATGCGAAAACTAAGGAGAAGCAGGAAAGACCTTGAGGTGGCACTCGAACGAGGCTTGAGAACGTTTCTACAGGTTAATTCTACTGTAACATACATAATTAGGAGATCAATCGAAACCATGCCCATTTGCCAGAGTAATGGACTTACCTAAGAAGGGAGCGCCTATTATCGGACTTCTTGTGTCATATCGCGTACGTATTTGTGATACATCCCGCTTACACGTATGTACCTAATATGGGGGGCGTGTATGCGAAACGGCAAACAAATGCGAAGCGTCATAGTTCCCCTGAATGGCGAGTGACTTGCATATGGATACCTACCTCCACGGGGGGTCGGGCTTTCATGTATTCCCAGCCGTGTATGTACCTGCGCATTCGACGCCGGCAATTACATACCTAGGCAGATCAGGTATTGCGGTCATGTTCAACATATCAACTAAAGTAGATGCTTGGTCGGATGCAACTGGCTACGATTGACTTAGATAATACTAACAAGACTCATTTTAATAAATTTATGCATTAAAAGTCATAAAGTTGAGATACAACACGCTATTATACGCTATGATTACTATGTAACAATGCTTTTTCTTTCGCTAACCATTGTCCCCGCAAGCATGTAATAGCAACCAAACTTTTCGATGTTCATATCTCATCCGTAGAATCGTAAACCCTGACCGGTAACCCATATCGCTATGCTTTAGTACAAATAAATCAAATGATGATAGAAAACCCTATGCTGTACTCGAACCGGAGATAGTTATACTCGAACAGCCCGAGGTGACGAAAAGAAAAGGTGGTGGTATAGGTGGTGTCGCTTATAGCTTCCGCTTGAACATGTACGAGCCGTACATGCCACCAACTTCAGCACAAGCGACGGGTATCTTACGCATGCCCCAAAACGAAGCGCCCATCTTCCAATACCGGAGGCCGGAATCCCTAGGTCCATCCTCGGGGTCGTGAAGGCGGACAAGCCAAGCCCTGCTCCCATTCTCGGTGACAGTCCATCCTAGCTGCTTCACAACAGGTGACTTCGCCAATCGGGGGTACAAGTCATCGGTAACCTCAATCACTTCCAACGGCGCAGAAAACTTCTTCATTATCGAAGTGTTTCGTCCAAATAGAGTAATAAGGTCCAGCTCGGCGGAGGTGTAATCGGAAAGGTCCAGGTATTTGAGCGAGTGAGGGTCCCATTCCAACTGCTCGTTTATATCACCGCTCTCATCCTCGTCGGGGATGAAAAGTCGATCGATATCGGAAATCTTCAGCCGTCGACCTAACGCAAGCTCTTCCAGATGCTTTGTCAACGGCCGAAGTAGATTAATGTGCGATGAGGCCATCTTGCTGCCCTTCAAGCTCAACGAGCGCAAGCTTTGCGGAAGAATAGGGATTAACTTAGTCAAGTCATCCTCATCTAGAAGCTGGTGGCTTCGTGCATCGACACCTAGACTCAAAAGCTCCAATCCCTTGACTGCTGGATGGTTCGCCAAAAAGTCAATGACAGCATCAGCAGTTAGCAATTTGCATTTCGATAGGTTCAAGTGCGTAATCTTCGCGTTGTGCGGGATAGACTGGAGCGCAGCGTTCGTAACACGGGTTCCAGCTAGATCAAGGTGTGTCAAGTTGCCCAATCGGGGAAGCAAGGTCTCGAACACAGAAGACGGAAGAGTGATACACTTGTGTAACGATAGGCGAGAGATCGAGAGCGCTTCCGGCCAGTCGGATAGAAGAATTGATTGGAAGGCATTCTTGAATGCACCCGACGAACAACCACAAAAATCAATTCCCTGCAATCTATCAAGACCGAAAAATAACTTGCGCAGCACTTTCGCATCGAGTTCGTCTTCGATGTACTCCTGCGCTAAGAATTCACGAAGGAAGGGGGTTAGTTCCAAGCATTGCATTAAAGTCTCGGGGGTCAAGTTGCGGGTAGTAGCGCGCTCGCTTGCCGTCGAGAATAGCGTCGTCGGATTAAAGTGGCTGAAATCTAGCCGTCGTACAATGGTTCCAAGTTCCTGGTTCTGTGAGATGTGGGACAAGAATTTTCGGAAGATTCTCGAGTGTGGAATCGTGATGTTCTTGTAAAGCGCATTAAGTGTTGCCGAGTGGAGTGTTCTTGATGTTAGTAACAATGACATCAAATCCACATTTCGAGCGGAAACTCCGTTCGGTGGAACATCAAGAACAAGGTGATCGATAATTTGACCTATTAACGTGGTTATAGTGTAAGATGCTTGGTCTAGTTAAAAAGGCATGGTTCTTTTCGGCTTACCAAGTATCTCGGTGGGTAGTTTCTCAATCGTCGACTGTCCTGGGGATGGTCGTTCCGGGTCTTTCTTCTTAATCGGAGTGACGGGCGTCGACCAAACAATTTTTAGGGCTTGCAAATCTCCGTAGCTCTTGCTCGCTTGCCTTCCCTTCACACCTATCTGCTTCCAGCCTTGGAAACCGTCGGCGGCGACAGCTGGGAACCAGCAGCCATGCAATCTGCTATTTGGTTGTGTTACAGGTGGAATAAATTGCGTCTGTGTTGCCATTGCCGGGGGCGATGGCAGATCGTCGACAACCTCTTCGGATAACTTAGAGTAAGAAGATACCTTGGTACTGGTGAAGCTTTGGGCGAAGTCTGAATCTACCTCTCGGACGGAAGAGAAAGAAGAGCGGGTAGATTTGTCCGGGGAGGTGGTGGTGTTTTCGGGCTGGTCCATATTGTCACGTAGTAGGCTGGGTGAAGGGCTGCGTTTAAGTTTGCTGGTAACGTGCTGCTGGGTTGGATGTCCAACAAGAGGAGAGGATGTTGTTCGATCCATAATCGGAAGATGAGCCAAGGTATCACTACCAGGACTACCAGGGCTATCAGGTACTGCCAGGGTCGCAACCGCACAGGCGAAGAGATGCAAGATGCAGACTCAATAGCGCAATGGGCTCTTTCCTTCCTTTCCCCGGCACAATACGGCACGGCTACAAACCGTTCTCGCAGGGCCGCCCACCAAGGCACCAGGTTTCACCAAACGCTGTAAATTAGGTCCAGGCGACCTGGATGGGTTTTCTGTTAGTCAAAACACCGATTTCTTAGGTAACAGGTTTCGTTGGCGCAATGCGGGGAAAGATTGATGAGATGGATTCGCCGCCGGAATGATTTTTTTTTTATTGACAGCCTTCGTTAAAAAGGTAGGTAGCAGGAAGGGAAAAGGTATAACCATGTATGTATGTACTGTATTAATTGAGTCTGTGGCACATGAATTGGCCCTGTTAGATTCTCGTCAACCGGAACACGCAGAAGAAAACGGGGCGTTGTCCCCCGTAGTCGTCGTCGGCGGCGGTCGAATACCAGGGGTATCCGAGTTCCTCATACGTAAGAATGGAGTATGAGAAAACACCAAGCATGGAGCTACCAGGTTGCACGTGTACAACTATCCGCCTCTTCCTGGGCTGCCAATGTCAATAGTCGACTGGAAGAAAGAAAGAAGAAAAAAATTATACGAATACCTAGACTTGCTAGACGAATAACCTAGCTTCTCGATTTGTCCGGGTCTTGTTCTTCACCGTCTAATTTATTAGGCGCTGTACCTAGCAGCTTAGCAGGACCGGACTTCGCGAGATACTAAGTAGTAAGTAGTGAAGGGCCCGCAAAAGGACTAGATGGAAAATGGTGTGACTATGGTGACTGTGTGTTGAGCAAACGGCTCCGTGATTCTCCCATTGTATATGGATTGGGTAATGAAAATTAGAGAATGGCATAGAGATGGATTCTTCTTTGTCACCTGAGCCATACCCACCAACGCTTGTTGCCATCGAGACTGGCGGCAAATGGTGTGGAATCCGAAAAGTGCCTTGGCTATGAGCTCCGCTTGGATAGCTATTTGGTAATGAGAATGTCAGACGATCCTAGGTCTGCTGTTACGGGGAAATATCGTCATCGCGATGTGGTAATTTTTTTTGTATTTCTTTTTTCTTATTTTTTTTTTCTCATCCCCCCCTGGTCGGAGGCGGAGGAGGGAAGAATTCAAGGTTTGGTGCTTGTGGAGGGGAAGTTTTTTTTTCTTCGCAGCAGCAGAAGGCGTGCTAGGCTGAGTGGCTAAAAAGTTGAGCTTGCCTAGCCGAGTCTAGCGACTAAGTTAGTTAGACCAGTTCCGTGGCCCCGTCTACGGCTCCATCATTACACAATAGGTAATTTCTTGGCGGATTGGCGCGAGATTCGTGGATGCAGCTGGGATGTTCCTTCCTTCCTCTTTCCCCGGATTCGATTATGCCATTTTACGTAGACAATACCATGTACTTAGGTACTTTCGTATATCTATTACGCTACTAATACTTCTATACTTCTACACTTTTCACTATACTTTTCCCTCGTATATTGAACCGAGGTCGCCTCATCAAAATATTGAACTCGAACATGCCACATCACTGTATTTCTCTACTCTCTGATTTGGTAGGTACTACCGTGGCATATGCAAGAACCACGATCGCTTGGGAATATCTCATGCGTGATTTGCTTGTTTCTACCTATGAATGTTACTTACTGTGCTTGTTTTTCAGGTCGGATGAATAGTGATGTCGTGGAATGCTACATATGTACGCGGATTGCTGCCAGATCATCTTACTATGCAGAAGAGGTATATCATCTGCTGTGTAAGAGCTGACGATCATATCTTAATTTTCCAACTCTCTCCCTATTGATTAGATGGTTAGAGTCATAATCCACTGTTCTCTTTGACTGCCCCCTTCTCATGACCTATTCATGCACAAAGAAACCGATAATCTTTTCTCCGGACAATTAAAACCCGGGGTTTGAAGAAAGAAGGGGAAAACAATACATGGCAATAATTCTGATAATCCACCTCGCTAAACTCGCTGACCGCCTTCAGTTTCTTGGCCGATCTAAACCGCTACTATATTTGCAAACCACGTTCCTGAAGCGAAACTAATCCCATTTCCGTCTTATCACGAAGTTCACGTGGCCTTCAAAAAATGATGCAAAAAATAGGGGGTAGTCATTTAACAACAAATACACATCATCACCAGGTCGCTCTATGCTATTCCAAGAATGCAAATTACCTCGTCTTTTGAACACGCAGACACGTTCGGTAGATGTTATTATTAGGTATTAGCCTCGTTTGCCATGCAACGTTTGATGCTTCTACCCCTTGCCTCCGGTGGCCGGTGCCGATCTAAGACCTGCATGGTCTACCTAGAAGAAACATAGTTGTTTGCGGGGAAATAGCCTCAAGTTTTCGTTGGAGATTTTCGAATAGCCAATCATCTTTATTTGCTTCTTCTATTCCATGTCTGAACTTGCGGCTGATATTCCCGATCTTGGAAGTGTTGAAGAGGTACGTAAGGGGTATGTACATCCAGGTGGACGGACTTTAGACTATAGTAAAGACTATAGTAACTAATAATACCTCAACCTAGGTATTTTCTCCGATAAATTCCACCCCTAATTTGCCGATCATTAGACTATTAGTTATAGAATGGAAGTACGGTGATTTCTTTCCACTGTACCTGGGACTAAGAATACTGTCAACTCTCCCCAAGGTGTCATGCGGAGATGATACTGTTTTCAAGACCGACCTATAGCCATCAGGGGTTTGGGTGATTTGCTACCGATGTGCTACAGGAATATCCGCCCCCAAGCTTAGTAAGTAGCCCTCTAACAATATGGAAGACCCCGAACGATGTACAGAAATACCAGACACCGTCCTATCTGACCTATGTGCCCATTCGCGTAAAACTTGGTTCCTAAATATACTCCGAGCTGGTAACAAACATAAGATGTATTGAAACCGTATTGATCCATAAATAAGTAGCCCTTCCGAATACAGCCATGATTACATAGTCTACCCACAATGTAATAGGTAGCTATACTAATCTAAAGTCCCTAAACCCCGAAACGCCGATATACGTATGATCATGTTGCATCCTTCAAGCTTCCGGGATTTCCAGCCGCGGATGCCGCCTTATCGTAAAAAAGACTGAAAACACCATGAACCCCCCCAAATTCTAAGTAGGCGCTCGATATACCCCGGCAAATAAGATATGTAGATGATGAACAGGTCACCTCCCATTTACTTTCTTCCCGGTTTTAATACGATCCTTACAGTTGTCGCAATACCATTTCACTAGCAACTTGGTTAGATAATACACCATGACACAAGGGTGTTTGGACTCACTATTAGAAGGTGGCGCTGCCTTCAAACCAACACAATCGAGATGAAACCATTCGCGCTCGCAGTCATCGGCGTCGCATGCAACCATCTCTCCATAACTGACACCATTACAATAGCAGTATAAAGGCTCGTCGGCATCGACATCACCTTCATCATCACCTTGTACACTACTGTTCGCATCTTCGTCTGCGACTCGAGCTGCGACCTGTTGAGCGGCGCCCTTTTTATGACTCCTTTTTGCGCCTGAAGTTGACGCATTTCGTGCTGATCGAGATCGCGGTGGCGGATCTGGGAATGACCCCAATGCTGGCGTTGAAGGCTTACTAGCTCGCCCACTCTTGGTGGTGACGACGGTTGTAGATGTTGCCGACGGCGTCTGAATTGGTTCACCCTTGGGTTCCGACTCGTCTCCTTTCGTCATAGCTTTGCTACTTGCACTAGCACTGCTGGCGCTTGCAATAGTAAGGACCGTTTCTTCTTTAGAAGCCTCAACCTTGACGGCCGTTGTTGTTTCTTTGCTTGTCTTGATATCGGCCGGTGGGCGGGTGCCGTTCTGTACCGTCATCAACTCTGGAGTTGCGGCGGTGGCACCATTCGGCCTGTTTGATGCGGATGATGTCGGTCGCTGTCGACCATTCTCCACATTAGACTGTATAGAATTTTGTCTCGCTCGGGACGATGCAGGTCGTGCAGATGTTGTAGAGGGCGCGGGAGAACCGCGAGCTGCGACTTTAGGGTCGAAATTAGGTTGGATTGGGGAGGGTGCGATTGAGGGCGAAAGCGCGGCGGTTGCGGTAGTGGTTTTGCTGTTGAAGGAGGGGTTAGCGACGAAACGCATTAGAGGGGATTATTAGGAGTTGCTCACTTCTTCTTCGAGGCACCATTGACAGTAGGAAGAGCTTTTCGTTTCTTGGGCTGTTCGGGAGCGGGCGTTGCCCTTGGACTAGAGTTCTTAGTCTTTGTCGAATTGTTACCAAAGACTGAGCTCATAGCACGTTCCATGGGCTGTCCTCCGTTGGCTGGCTTATTGGTCTCGACTTTCCTTCTCTTCGATGGAGGGTTCCCGTTGGTATTTGTAGCAGCGCCCGACGAAATACCCAATCCGACTGGTGCGCTTGTATCGGCGGCCTTCCGTGACTTGCTATTATTGTTAGATGCTTTTTTCGATTCGCCCTTGTGTTTATTGTCGTGATCATCCACATCCGAGTCTTGATGTTGATTCTTGAGCCCCTTCTTAGCTATGAGTGCTTGCTTTCTCGCGTCGCTTCGTGCTGCAGCTTCCTCAGCAAGCTGTTGCGCTGCCGCCGTAATAGTAGCTGCACCATCCCGACGTGACCTTTCGGCTTGGTTCGCCCGATTGACTCTGTTCTCTGGATAAGCCCAGTGTGTAGTACTGCCCCATTTGGCCTCGTCGCTGTATTCGGCTTCGAGATGTGGCCATACGTCGTTGATCCGAGCTAATTCTTTAGAAAGCGCTTCGTTCGCTGTTGATATAACATGATTTTTCTCTTCTAGCGACACAAGCATTTCTTGGACTTTGAAAGCAGTCTGACGAAATAATTGTCGTCGCGGAAGATTGCTCGGATCAAAGACGTTGGAATTGTAGTTGTCATCGGTCGATCCGGGAGCATTGCCGTTCGCAGGGAGACTACTAGAGCTGTTCTGGGCGCTCATTGGCGTCGAAACAGCGGCGATACTGCTGGCTGCATCGTTGCTATTTTTGGGCTCGGGCGGAGTCGACTTGAGGACGGCGTCAACGAGCTGGAAGAGTGTCTCTTCTGGAGCGAAGATCTTGGCGTCTACCTCTTTTAAAAGTGTGAAATGTCGGACAAGGTCTTTAGGAAGGGATGCTATTGCGTCGGTAAAGTATGTAATTGCAGGAAATACGTCGATAGGTTGATCATGGCTGTGGCCGCCTCCTAGCGAGTCTCTCGCTGCGAAAGTGCGGGCTGAGCCAGACGTTGTTCGTGGGGGATTAGCTCGGGTTTGTCGAACAGGTTGAGCTCTTCGATTTGAAGGACCAGCGTCCGCTTGGGACGGCTTTGCAGTTTTCATCTTTTTTCCTCCGAGGAAATGGGTATTGAATGGTGGATTTTGTCGGGAAAGGAGAGTTGTGGGAGAGGATAGAATGGGAGGTTTCTCGCTCGAAAGACTAAAGGACTTCGCGGACCGAGTAAGTTGACAAGAAGCTTCAGATAATGAAGATCATGTCATTTTGCGAAATGAGATAGACAATACCAATAATAAAAAGAAGAAAAATGACGCGAAAAGAGCTATGTAAAGTGTCGGCGCAAAAGTAGTAGGAGACCAGGTGGACAACTGGGATGGATGAGATTTATTAATTGAGTCGACCAGTAACAACAGCGGTAGCAGTAGTAGGTAGTAGATTCTAAAGGATTAAGGTTAGCAGCCTTTACTTTTGCGAGCCACTTGCAGTTGCCCAGGACCCCCATTTGCGCGCGGGCTTCTATCGGCGGGCACTTTTTGGCAATGTGGGCCAAGCCTAAGCACGGAAGCGGCATTTCAATTGGCTTGATTGGGCCAGCTGGGGTTCGTGACAAGCCACTATTGATCCGAAGAATTAATCCGGCCATAGATACGATAAGATAAGAAGAAACAATGACTTCAGCAGCCAAGCCCAGTTTGACCTTGAACATTTTAAGTCTCCACTTGTGTAACCCCTTGCACGAACTTAGGCCTCGGCACTACCTAATCCATGGTTAACCGCGCTACAATTGCAGATCTGCAACTGACACTGTACCTCACACATACTGCGCATGTTGCGCATATCGAACACATTATGTATATTGAACATATTTTCGAAGGAACATTATATTATGAATATATTGCCTCGTTAGGAGTTAAACTAACAAACCACATACACTAGGAAATAATCTATCATCGTGAGGTATCTATTTACTAAAGCAACATAATATGCATCCTAATTCCACATGTTCTTATCAACTCGGATGCCAGTTTTCTTTCAGACACATTAAATCCAAGCACCAACCACATCCTGGGTCTCACTGCCAACAACGTATTCGCAAGTAGCACGCCTGAACGCCAATCCAAGGGTATTATAGTCATTCGTCTGTTCACTTCTTCGTGCCCTCCTTCTCCGTCAACTTCTTCTGTCGCCATTGCCATTCCAGGAGAATAGGGATGAAATGCCAAAGGTCAAACTCAGGCCATAGACACTTTAAGAAAAAGATCTGCGTGTTCTCGTGGCATTGCCATAACATGAAATCACTCAGCCTCGTAACACCACTTGTTCGGATGAAAATATCCAGCGGCGGACATTCAGCAGTGTACGTATGGCTGTTGATAGTCTCAGCTGTGATACTCTCTGGGTTCTTAAACTCGGTTGGCTTCAAAGTCGTAGATCGTAGAGGCGGTGATTCCGGGTCCAAAGCAGTAGTTGAAGACATGGAATCATCGACATCTGACTTGTTGTCTTGATCTGGTGAAGAGCCTCTGGGCGACGAAGAATCTGATTTCTTTGACCTATTGGATCGGACCTTCTGGGTGATTCGCGACTGGGAGAATGGTGTGTTCGGTTGTCGAGGTGATGTCGTGAATTCATCTACTGTCGCTTTGATAGCGCTAGTCATTTCGGCCCTCGAGGTGTAAGGGAAGCAGATGTTGAGCACAGCACTATTAAAGATTGTCAGTGGCGGTTAATGGAAGATATGAACAGGGTAAGCTTACTCTTTGTTGTGTTTTGTCATCTCGATAGCTCGATCAACATAAGGCAGCACATCGTCCGGGATTAAGTCGCGCTCACCCAATACGCGAATACCTGCACCGTATCGGTCAAGGAGCTCGCCGTGCTGAACGAGTTGCTCTAGCTTGACCTTAGCCATTGCCATTAAGCCACCAACTTCGTGTCGGGGTCGGTTGAAGTTTTCAATACTAAAGGCATACACCGTAACAACTTTGACACCACACTTATAACAGATCTCGAGAACTCTTGCGAGCGCTTCGAAGCCTAGGTGGTGGCCTTCGATGGTTTCGATCTTGTGATTTTTGGCGAATCGCCTATTTCCGTCCATTTCAAACGCGACATGTTGAGGGATAGGTCCCTGCTTTAGAGTACCTATAAGCAATTCTCGAGCATTTCGAATCGCGAATTCCGCCGGCGGAGACTTCAAGATCCAGTTTCGGAGATGCGATAGGTAGAGGTCTGACATGATTGAGTTTGATAATTGGATGAACGTGATCTAAGTTGCGAATAGAATGTATCTTGAAGGCTTCAGGGTAACGAGAAACAAATAACTAAAAAGAAATACTTAACGAAGGCTATGTCTCTTGCATGGTAGGAAGATGACGACGAATGTGGCTGTTCGGAGTTTCTGAAGGTCCAGAGGTCATGAGTTTAAAGCTTGGCGCCGAAGCTGAGCACATGGATTTACGGCTTTACGTGTTATTGAAATTTATCGATAAGGCTGAATACCCTAGATCCCTGTCGGCACTTACTCTTAGGTTGCTTTATTACCTGGATAAATTTGTATAATTGGCATAAATCGGTACATTATGTAGCAATGCGCTTGTCAAAGGTTAAAAGACACCCTGTTCACCCATCTATAAATGATGCCATTGGGTCTATTTAGATACCCAGTGGCCGATGTCAAGCTTCTCTCCCGATAGACGCCAACAGAAGAAGAACATAACATTGTATTTTGTATTTGCACGCCTATTTGGATTTGATTCATTGTTGCGCAATTGACACAACACCTACAATGCTCTAGTAGCTATCGCAGACCGAGCTTGAGGTATTGCCGACACAATGTCCTTCACGAATGCGCCGGTTACGCGCAACCTGGTGTACGGCATCATTGGGTTATCGATAGCTGCCAGTCTTCTTGACATCAAGCATTACTTCTATATCCTAGTCGATCTACACCTTTGGCGATTCCATCAGACATGGAGAGTCCTCATCTACCAACTTTGCTACACCAATTCGGCTGAAGTACTATTCGCTGCTATGACTCTGTACAACATGAGGGCTGTCGAGAGGATGTGGGGATCGAGGAAATTTGCTGTAAGTGCATCGCATTCTCTGAGTAATGTATCTTACTAATGACGAATATCCTATAGAGCTTTATCTTTGTTACCTTCTCATTAACAAGCGTACTGCCACCCGTATCTTTGGCGTTCTTCCTAAGACCACTTACATTGGGTCTCTTCAATTACCTCCCCGCCGGGCCGACACCCATAATATTTGCAATCTTAGCCCAATATCATGCGATGATTCCACCGGTTTACAAGTATAAGCTTGCGACTTCGCTATCCGCGCAAGCAGATGATCAGGCACAGGGTATCACATTTTCTGACAAATCGTACCGATACCTGTTGGCATTCCAGTTGGCCCTTTTTCAGTGGCCCGGATCTCTACTCGGCGCAGCGGTTGGCTGGGCAGTAGGCATGGCATGGAGAACGGAAGTTGTACCACCTAGATTAATACGATGGCGACTCCCAGGATGGGTTGTAGGAATACGAACACAAAGGAGAAGTCAAGAATTTGAAGGGTTACGCAGGAGACTTGAAGGAGAAAATGCATCGACAGCCTCGGCATCTGGTGTACAGAGCCAAGCTGGAGGGGAAGGAAGACGCAGGACGATGGGTCAGCAAGTCATGGATCAGTTCCGCGGGGCATTCTAGACATGTCGGCTCATAGATGGACCAGCAAGAAAAGAAACAGAAAAAAAAAAAAAAAAGAATAAGACAAAGACAAAAAAAAACAAAAGAAAAAAACCACCAAATTCGATTATCACTTAACCATGGACCCCATCGCATCGTCGTTGGCCCATAATCATAAATTAGGACTTACTGCGGCTGGGTTATACTCTAATTATTGGAATAACCTTTCTTGCCTGAGAAGGATGGTTATAGGGTTCCTCTCTCACGCCCAAATGCTCTTAGTAAGTAATCCCCCTTACATTGTTCACCAGTTTCGACTTCTCCCACAAGCGGGGCTTATCCATTCAAAACTAACGTAGATACATCAGATATCATGCATTGATAACATCCCGTGCCGTACTTAGAATAGATGTGGTTTGTTCTGTAGGAGTTGCCCACGTGTGCAACAGAGACACTGGTGACGAGTATAGTCGAGTTGGAATCTTGTTATTGGTGATAAGTAGAAATACTTTCATCAGATTTACACAACACTAGCCGCACCACGTTGGAATTTACGTAGTGGAGGACAATACCCCTGTCGATATTCTCCAGGTTCAAATGGCGCAATGGTGAGTCGCTTAGCATTACAAAGCACGAAATTACAAATACCTGAACAAGTAAGTTAATATCCATTTAACACACGAAGGAATATATATGCAAGGTACAATTTAGATCGACAATAAGAAAATGTCAGCATAATGTCAACAACGTGACCAAACCCAGACACAATTGTGATGGAGTCTTTTCAATTCAGTATAAGAGTCTGGTTTGATAAATGCGCGTGCTACTGCAAGGGGTATAATTGAGTCTTTATTTTTAGGCGCTGTATTATAGTGAGTTCCACTATAGGCTTAGGTACAGAGATCTTATACCAACCACTGTTCCTAACATGATATTCAGAGCAAACTTGACGAAAACAAAAAGGAAATTGGGGACGCAAATAATGGGAATACGGAAAGGTATTATATATTAATTGGTAGTTTGATGCCTGATATTAACAAACATTAATTGGTGGGACAAAATATTCTTCGTATAGTATTTCGTACCAGGTACTTACAGCGCACCGATTGTACGGTTATCCCAGCCACATCACAGGGAGGACCTCACATCCACCCAAATTACCCAGCACGGTTTAGCGTTGTCATCTAGGCCTGGAAGCGCGTCGGGAATGTATGCCGCTAATTAACTTTTAGGTCATTATGTCGCCCATATCGCCCATGTAGATCTCCAATCTCCAATCTTCAATCTTTAAAACTCCTTTTCTAATCTCATTACTGGTCCCCATCCCGCGACTTGGGAACTTCTTTGGACTCTTACTGCCTACCATTTTGCGACATTATTCTGATTTTTGTTCCCTGGGTTGTCTTTCTCTCTTTTGGAGTTAATCTGAATACTTGAATCCTCCTGACCTGACCCATCTTTGTTTCTTGCGTGTGCCTGAATTGTGCATAGCGACTGAATCCTGCGCCAGCCACCATAATCGAGCGATCCTAGCAACCTTACCCAGACCATAATACGAACACCACTCGATTCTACGCGATCTTTCTATAGGATAATGTATTGGATAATTGGCGCGTCTACTCGGAAGTGACAAGAATGAACGGTTTTGCGAGTCGAGGTCAAAATGGCTTCGACACAGGAGCGCCGCCGCCCTTGCGCCCAATGGTTTCGCCGAGGGCTCCGGCGCTCGTCGAATCCTATCGGCAAGATAATATGAATGGCTTCGATAAACCCCGATTCAATCCAGTAAGCTCTTTCTTAGCGGCGCGTCTATTTCGCAGTATACTTATAATCTATTAGATGAATCCGGGGCGCGTCCAAAGTTCCGTACTAGTCGATCTGAAAGACCCTGTCCAAGTACACCTACTCACCGAAACCGCCTTGCTCGACAGTAAAGAATATGAAATTCTTTCCCAGGAAGAGGTGGATGGTCTCAAGAAGCAGTACCAGATATTAAGTCAACGGATCGAGCAGACACGGTCGAACCTCGCCATTCAGTCTAAATATCGCGATGCCGCCATATCAATGTCTAAATTGTACTCCCCGTCGAGGAAGAGTCTCCTGGGCCACAGACGGAGTGGATCTAGTGATGCTGCGAAAGAGGCCGAACACGAACTCAGTACGATTCAGAAGAAATGCGAGGATCTTGCCTCCGAATTATGGACATTGGAAAAGCGCGCTATGGAACCCCAAAGGAGATTACTGCAACATACTGCCGGTATCCTTCAACTTACTCACAAAACGACCAAGAAATCAACTACTCCAACACCGAAAGTTCCACTGGTTAATGGCGCCCCCGCTAGTCCCGAGAGCATGTATACCACGTCAAACGGCCGTGATAGTATTAGCATGGACTTTTTGGAAGACGGGTTTACCTTCGACGAAGCAAGCTTGTATCGATCCTTTGATCAGTCCAATGGGTTTAACGATCGAAGCCGGGGAAACGCTATCGAGATTCCCATGAAATCGCCTATTCGAGGGCAGAACAAGCATTTAACCGAAGAAAGTGAGAGGTTACGCGAAGAAAACCGCGAACTCCGGGCCCAAACCGAATCACTCCTTGCCGAAATCAACGAACTCCGAGGTCCGGGCTCAGACCAGTGGAGACTTATTTCGGATACGGAAAGCAAATTAGAGAATTTCAACCGCCAGCTACGCGATGTCATCGTAAGGGCCGACCCGGCAAGGAATGGCAATTATAGCGCTGCGCCGTCAGGCCGGCTTGAGCCGGGTGACATGCTTAACAGCCACTTAGACTACCTTGAGAATGGACTTGTTGCGATCGCTCAAGGACAAGGGAACAGCGTGGAAGCTGCAGGGAAGATACAAGGCGTCAATGCTCAGATCCAGGACTTACTGCTAGGAGCTAATATCAACCATCCACCCCCACCCAATGCAGATCTAGGAGTCGACGAACAGCTCGGATACTTGCAGGACTCATTGCAGCTCATTGAAGATGAGCTGCGACGAGGTAACTCCGGCAACTCCGAACAGTCCGAAACGGTTCTTATGGGTCTCTGGGATATCATCCAATCCGGCTATGCTGATGTACGGCAACGAAAACAGGAGCGACGGAAAGCCCGCCAAGAGAAAGGACTAGAACCAGATGAAGAAGACATGTCTGATGGCGAGTCTTTCGATTTTGACGAGCAATATTCATTGACAGCCTTCTCGGCCAAGATCCAATGGCTTTACACACAAGCCACCAAACTACAGGAGCAAAAGGGTGTGCTGAAGCGCCAGATCAAGCAGCAACGCGAACTTAACAGCAGATCAGATTCCGAGAAGGACCAAGCATTACAGGACAAGATCGACGAATTGGAGGAGGCCATGGAATCGCTACACCGATCAGAGAAGGAAACAGACAATGCTCGCTCTCAGCTTTCGCAGGCCTTAGAAAATCTAGAAATAGCACAGAAGGGCCGAACCGAAGAGTCTTCGGCCATCGAGGAGGCACGTGAACAACTCAAGGAACGAAATGCCAAGATTGCATCGCTAGAGTCCAATAGCCAAGATGTACAAGCACGCTTGGCAGCAGCCGAGGCCAGTGTTGAGACTATTAGTGCGCAATTGCAGGAAGCAAATGATGCCAGGAACGCTTCTGACCAGGCAGTTGCAGAGAAGGAGAAACAGCTTAAGGGTATGGAAGAGGAGCTTCATCAGATGACGGGTATGTTTGCTGAGCTTAAGATGGAAGCTACTCTTGCCAAGGCCGAGCTTGATGGAGCCTACGGTTCGAGGAAGGAGAGAGCTGCGGAGGTCGCGGCACTACATAATAGCTCTGAATCTGTTAAGTTGCAGAACAGAGTTGAGACATTGGAGAGGGAGCTCAAGGCTACCGCTCAGGATCTTACTGACGTTGTCAAGCAATCGCTCGAGAGCGAGAAGAAGATTGGTGAGCTAGAGAATGAGCTCGACCGGCTCAAGTCCGAACGTTCCAAGATCAAGGATGAGAAGGATAGGATGAGCGAGGAGCTTGAGAAGCGACTCCACGATGCCACTCATGACGTCGAGGAGAGGCTGGAGAGCGAACTCGCAAGACTCCGAAAGGAGAAGGAGCAAATCCAAGACGAGCTCGACAAGGAACGACTTGGGTCAGCTCGCATGCCACTATCACCTGGTGGTACTACCAAGACTTCATACCTAACCGACTCTTACCGTGTGGGATTGAGGGCTGAGAGGAAGAAATACGAAGAACAACTAAAGGTATGTCACCTTCACAGCAAACCCTGTCACGATCTACATTTGCTAACAAGTTATATAGGCGGAACAAATGATACGGAGGAAGCTCGAGGACGAGCTAAAGGCAATGAAAAGGGCACAAGGACCCGGCAAGAGCCCATTGAGTCCTCGTCAATAAGCCGATATTTCCCTCCCAAGACTTTCCTTCTATTGTTAAATATTATACCCACCACATGTATCCTTTTTATACTTGGCGTAGATGTCTACGACCGTCCGTGGCGTACCATTTTGCTTTTTTCTCATTCGCATTATTGTATAAAACTTTTAGCAGCCAAGAGGTTTGGCCATTCACCTGAATACTTACATATGCATTGGGATGGCGGCTTGGGAAAAGATTCTTGGTTTATATTACATGTATTGCTTGGCTAGATACTAGGGAACCGAAGAACTCGGTTTTGGATGTTTTGTCTGTAGCAAGCAAGCGAGTGTGCGAGCGAGCAAGTAAACTAACTGTACTACTGTGTTCGAGGATGAGAATGAGAAAATGATTAACTTGAAACTGAGTGTGCTTGTGTCGCTGTGTTATTCGTGAGCTTTGGGTCGTGAAATTTGTCATTAATGCACACACAGACTTTACAAACGTTTGGCCACGCGGCTACCTCAAGACTACCTATTCCCATGAATATACATCAGATCATTTACGGTCCAATCGCATATGACAACTAGCAAATGTACCAACCGCTCATCTGCCTCAAGGTTGGTTTTGATATGCCCCCAGGCAACTCTTGATCAGCCACGATACTTACGTATGCGAGCATCATCATGATATTTCGTGACATTAGATATCTAGACACCATAAAGGCCAACTCGACGACCACAGACCCAAGAGAGGCTATTCATGCCCTCAGACCGCCGGTTGCATACGCGTACATCAGCCGCCCCTTTTGCGAAAGGTCGGCCTGACGTCGAACTTGGATCGAATATTGTGGAGGCAAAGCGGAATACGGATATGCGTATACATACGATCTAATATCAAGTCGTGGCTTGGAGGTTGCGAGCACGGCCCCACGGGCGGCCTCCGGGGCTAAATGGGGGTGGTGTAGTTAAGCGCCGGTAGATTCGACTACGGAGACTCCCCTGATTTATCTCGGAGGCAGTACGGGTATATCGGATACCTTATAACCGCCCTGATATCATATTCTTAAAACTATTTTTACTAGGAGGCTCTCTTGGTGCCTAGTTTAACATATCATGTAAACGTCGTTTTCGGTCGTAATGTACATGTAGCGGCTCAGCACCACGCATAAGGGGCCAAATACGTTTCGTCGGAGCCTACGCCGCATCTTACTCGGAATATTAGGATCGGTTGGACGACATATGTACCCCATATATGCCAAGTTGCGGCTCAAGGACCATTTTATGACCGCCGTAACCGCCCGCTGCCTAGATCTTAAATTGGTTTGCATATTCCCAATCTATCGAATTCATCTCGCGGAATGAAGGCTGGCTGAGTCGTGATCCGCTCGAACAAAATATGAAAAATTCACCGAAAAGGGTATTTCTACAACGAGTAACGACGTATTGTAACATCGTAGCTGAAAGCGAAGAATCCGGAAGGAAAAAATAAGGGGAGGCTGCGGGCGATTTGCGGATATTGCGAAGCACGCGGGTGTTTTGGCCGCAGCACTGCATATGTATGCGACCATACCACATGGTTTTGCCAGGTTTTCGGTATACGCGAGGCATTTATTTTTCTAAATTTACTATACAATCGATACCGACGAAATCTGTACGAAAAATATGTGTGTTGGTGGCCATAATATGTATGTTTTTCCACTATCAAATACGATAAACCTATTGGCCCCCTTTCTATAACTCCGAATGTATGTAGTACATGTACACCACACCAAACTACGATTTCCGGAGTGTATATGCGCCCCAGACATCTAACATAATACTGCCTAATCATACCTTTAGTAGGCTTAGCAATCACCGTGCATACATGAAAGAAAATTACCTACTCAGGAAATGATGCGGAAATTGCCATCTCGTCCTACTCGTCCTACATATGTACGTGCGTACGATCGTGGACTTATTCTTTTATTTTTTTCTGCTCTTCTAATTTGCTTATACCATCGACGTTTAGGCTATTCGAGGGATTCCCCGATGCGACATTAGCACACCTCACCTCGCCTCAGCTGAAAGCATGTATGCATGCATGCAAAGCACACCTTTTTCTTATTAATAGCAGTTTTTCTTTTTTTTTCCTTTCTCATTTTTCAGCTGCAAAGTTCCATTCGTCCCATCCACGTCCTCGGTATCCTCTACTATTTCTACCCTTGTAAAGTACGTATTTTATCTTACGTATCCGTTTAGGGTATCTCGAAACGGGCGTAAGAAGGTTTAGATCTTCAGGGACGCGCTGATTGTGGTTGGCTGAAAATCCGATCAATCGACGGATTCGGAAAGTCTGATGAGTAAGCTAATTTAGTGGCGGACTTTTTTTTTTTTTCTTGCTTCTTATTAATGTTTACTTTTTTTCTTTTTCCTGCTGTACAAAGGGGTGCAATTACATAGGGGGTAAGATCTTATATCACATGCATTTAGCTTCATGTTAGATCAGCCAGCCATCTTATTCTGAATAATTGATAGCTCACAATTTCATCTGGTTTCATGTCCGTGTAGAAGAGAAAAAAAAAGAGGACTAGGAAGTACTTAGGTAAAATAAGGATTCGTCACTGCCACCGCCGCGCGCACGTATTCGCAAGTGAGACCCTTGTGCGGTCGTAATTTTAACTAAGATTGGGACCAGCCATTTGATCATTCCATAACGCAAAATCTATTAGACGGGGTTTTGGAAATTTCCCATGACTCGAAAGTCACTATGGAAAATCCCGTGCCGTCGAGAAAAGCGATTAACTATCAGTACGTATGCATCAACCTTGCGGCGAAGTATCTTCCTAGAAACTATTGGTCCATCCCTATCATCAATTGCAATCCATCATCGTATACAGATGTGCCACCTTATCGCCCCAAAAGGCGTAATAATTTCTTTCCCCTCCTCATACATCTGCCACCACCGCTCCTTTAACTTGTTCTGTAGAAATGACGTGGGCAAAGGAAGCTATCCTGTATTCTTATGATGCAAAAATAAACAATCTCTCGCCTTTGCTTATCGCCTAAGAACGAGACACAAACGCCTGTGAAAATGTAGACCGGGTATGTGTTTTGATGCAGGCCCTTTTTCGCCAAGGTGACGTTGCAACCAGAAAAATGGTAAAATGTAGTAAAAAAAAAAAGCAAAAAACAAACAGAAAAGGTTGCAAATCTAAAACTGACTATGCCTCTTCCATGCCCTGAACACACAACCCCCAGAACCGGGTGGTAAACCTGTTACTCCTAAACAAACACCAACACGATGCCGGTCCAGATTATTGAGAAAAAAAAAACGACCAATTCATTGGATTAAGCGGGGTGTAATGGGTATTAGTAATGTCGATTCGCCTTAAGGTATCGTTCGAAACGCAGTCAAGAAAATTGATGACACAAGGTGATTAATAGTGTAAGGCGTGTGCGCATTGCCGTTCGCCGTGTAAATGAGAGGTATCGGAGTATGGAAGAATCGAATATCTTGGTGTGCGCTGTGTAACGCGAATTACTAGATCGCCATCGACATATCAGGCACCGCCATGACTGTATCGAGATCTCCAGCATAGACCAGATGAGACCAAACTCGCCAATGAAGCAGACCCATATGGGCTAGGCGTGTAGCCATATCCTCAACGCCACCCTCTTCGCGAGCTTCCCGGATGGCGTTTTCTAGTGAGGTACGCTCTAGGCTCACATTTTCACGGGGGCCATCCCAAGTACGGCTGGGGCCATGTAGACGGCCACCAGTAGCAACCGAGAATAAGGCGGCACCAGTTAACCCCCTGAAGTCCTTGACGCGTTGTCGTAGTTCCGCAAGTAGGTGGTAGTGATAGTATTGTTCGACTTGCTGGAAAAGTGGAGATGAAAGCTCGGAAAGATGACTGTCAAGCTCGTCCTCAAATTGTAGTAGTTCTTGAGCTGGCGCATTGGTGAATCGGAAGATTTGTAGAGCTAACGAGTCCTTCATCGCCTTCCACCGAGAAACAGATCGAGAGCTAGCAGTGGAGGTCTGGAGTAGGGCAACGAGTGAATTGTATAGGTTTTTCGATTTAGTTTGCTGATCCTCTAAGCGAGTGGAAGTTGGTTGAGAGGGTAGAATGAAGGAGTTGCGAGGGGAAGAGTGGGCCGAACCGGCGGAGCTGAAGACTAGACTAGACGGCCTAGAATTGAAGTGGCCCTCGCTGCCTTCGTCGTCTGTTCTCGAGCTAAGGAAACCGGAAGCATCCGAAAAGGGTGTAGCCAGGAAAGGAGTGGGAATAGCGCCCACGCTAGACATCGAGTCACAATGTCTGTACTTCCTCTCTAATCCTTCATACAGGCGCATGCAGATTTCCAAGTTGACAGCATCAAGCATATCAGATCGGAGTTTGGCCATTCGCTCTTCATCGAACATGAAAGTGTCCGGGTGCGAATAAGGATCGGTCGACGGAAGTACCATTTTGCACAGCGCCTCGAAAAATACACCCATCTCTCCAAAAGCCTGAACTGAAGCCGGATCTCTAGAATAGTATTGACTCACTGTCAAATACCATGATTGAGCTGGACCAGGATCCATTCTGCGGTCTCGTATTTTCTTCAGGAAAAATCGTTGCTCGAAGTGCACTGTATCCTCAATGAGAATCGGTCGGAGGCATCTGATCTGGTGATTGGCGACATCGAGCTTCATGGCCTCAAGAACACTTAGAAGGCTGCGCATCCCCTGGACTAGCTCCTCCATATCGTTGGTTTTGTTGCCATTTGTCAGTTGGTTGTACATTTCATCAACCCATTCGTCCCTCATAGGGGCACAATGAGATTTGAGAACGCCCGACAACCACGAGGCCAACTTTTCTAGATCTGCTATCCCCTTGCTGAATTGCTGCATAATCAGCTCGACATTTAGACCCTCATCCAAATACATACGATCTCTCTGTGGAACTAAGGTTTGTATGATTTCCTTCACCGATTTTAGTAGTTGAGGGAGACACCAGTCTTCACCCTGACCAAATCTGTTCATGAACTCATCTCGGTTGATGACGAATAATTGTAATTGTTCCGTAAGCGTATTCCAAAACTGGTTTGCCTTCTCCTGTTTTCTCCTTCCCTTCTCTCCGTCAACATTTGGTCTGAAGTGAAGGTCTGGATCGAAGTTTATATCGTGCCGCAGCTTTGGGTTGTGGATAATCTTATTTACATCCAACTCGCTCAAAGTTGCCTTTGTCACCGGTGGTTCCAGTGGTTTTGGTATTTGAGATCTCTGCGGGTGTTCAAACATCCGCGAGTCTCTGGAAGCACTGGAACTTGTAGATGGATTTCGTGATAATCCGCCATTTGCCGCATTGCTTGGATGTACGGGAATTAAATGCCTAGGACCAGATTGAGCGTATTTTTGCTCTTCACTCTCTGTAGAGGGTGCCTTTGTCTCGGTTGATTGTTGCTGAATCTGATCGTCGTGGGATTTTGGTCGTGGTTCGGACATGCGTCTTGTTGTGTTGCTCTCAACGCCCCTACTCTCAATTCCACCAGTTCCTTGATCCCCCATTTTTCCGCCGATATTCCAAATTAACAGAACGCTTCAAATTTGGTCAGATCGAGGCCGGAAACCGGTCTTCCGGCTAATATTATGCGTTTTTGTGGTGCCTGGTTGGGAGCTCAGGCTATGAACCCGAAGGAAATTTTGATGGCCAAAAAAGATAACAGAACTACAAATCGGGAAGTTGGTCAGTGAGCGGGCTCTATATAAAAGAAAAGTGACAAACAGCTCCGATGTTGGACGGGATGGTCTCGTGAAAGCGGATGGCTGCAGATATACCCCTAGCTTGTCTGTTGTGTACTTCGAAACAAGGGAATCGAGAGGTGTGAAGTGATTCTGTCTGTTGCATCTGTGGGAAAGCGAGTGGATTCTTTTTGAGTCTTACATGGCCACCTATGATTTGAGAATATTGCTGCAAGCCAACCCTGAAAAGGACTGGTAACTAGCAACTACTGCCAAGGGGAAATATGGATGTTTGCAGGCAGTAGGAATCCTTAGACGTAGGAGGAACAACTACCTCAACCTATGTATATGTAGGAGGTATGTATGTACGTACGTATGTAGGTAGGTTGATGGATGGGTAGTTAAGACAAGGAGGGTGTGTACCTTAGTTTCTCTTTTTTCTTATTCTGATTTTTGTTGTTTTTGCTTGGTCGATTTCTTCCAAAGTGGTGGGTGTAGTAAGTAGGAAGGGCCGAACAAAAGGGGAAGGAAAGAAAGAGAAGAGAAGATATCGCGAGTCGCCAGGAACGAGGCGATCAATAATAAGTAGTAACCGTATTGGAAGTGAAAAGGGAGTTAAGAAAAAGGTAGGGGTCGCATTGGTCTCTAAAAGCAGTAATCAATCACGGGAAAGTAGATTACCTCTTCTACGTCTGGAGGTACGGGTACCTAGCTAGGCGGCCAGGTATTATTATAATTATTATTAAACTTGGGAATAAGAGAAATAGTGTAGTATGGTATCCACGGCCCACGGCCCACGCGGGTAAGGGGTGCACAATGGGACAGAAATGGGACAGACATGGGTACCGGGGGAAATGAGAAATGTGAAGCATTGATACTTCAATGCGCTATTGCATCCACACCACCACTCAGCATCCTTCCGTGGCTCATGGATAATGGTGTATTGTAGTTTTTTTAGGTAGTTGATTAGTAGATTAGTAGGTGGTAGACAACAAACAGGCAAGAGAAGAGATAATACTAAGACAGACGAGACAGACCATCGGGGCGAGATCCAGACCCGGTACCACTACATTATAGTAGGGTACATACATACAACATTGAAATATATTTATTTCGATACATTACCTACACTAAGTAAGGTACTTAAGTAGGCAAGTATGTTGTAGGATGTAATGTATTTATTGTAAGTATTGTATCAATGTAATGTAAGTACCCAACACTAGTAGGTGGGTGAGTTGTATATACGTATGTATACATATGTACATACATACATACGGCTGGAACGCATCGTTGCGGAGACTCGTTACCTCGAACGCCTTGTTCCTGCCTGGCTGAGACGGGACGATAGTATCAATAGAAAATTCCTCAAGCAGCGGTGGCGCCGTGGGACCTAAAGGACCCAAGGGATCCTAACTGGGGGGGTGTGCGCCTCTAAGCATGTAGGTGGTAAGAGAAAGCCCCAGGGATGGGTAGATCGCCACACACATCGAAAGAGAGAAGAAAAAAAAAGATGATGGGGAATGCTAGGACTCGTAAGAAGGGAAAATGGTAAACAGCAGACGGACTCGTCCACGATTCAGTTATCATTCGTTTCCGAAGCCAAGAGTCCACCCAACGGTACGAGAACATTTGAGATGCCAACATAGCAAGAGTAATAAGAAAAAAAAAAAATAGATGATTAAACAAACGCTTTCGTTTGTTACAATAGTAATAGGACATAGCGTAACACACGACACGAGGCTTGCCCTGGTTCTTTAGTCAGGTTGGGAGCCGGTTTTTCTTGGCTGCAGCAAGTGGAATATTTTTTTCGAAGACATTTCATCAGAATGGTTCGAATTGGGATCTTAGGAAGGGATTGTAAAAGGGATGGGTAACAACGAGATCCCTCCAAAAACATTCGCTAGCCCATCAGATCAGCGTAGAGCGTACCAGAGAACCAGAGAAACAACATAGCTGACGCCAGGATTAGAAAACACTCCGATGACGGTCTTTAATTAGCGTCCGGGGCTTTAAAGGACGTGGGGACGGCTTATCCCAAGCGAAGATTTCATTCTGATCAATGTTGGTAAGTATTTAGTAGTTTTGGTATACATAGCAATTGTACCTAGACTACTAGGATGTGATAGATGTGGATGTAGATGTATCTAGGTAAGTAACTAAGCTGGGTAGTAAGGTGAGGGTGAGGTAAAAAGGTTGGAAGCTATGGGATTGAATGGAAGAGGCGAGGAAGAAAAAAAAAATCCAAGCGAGAAAATTCGTTTCGACTCGTTTCGGTTTCAGGGTAGGAGATCCCTTAGACCAGGGAGATGGGAAGTGGCTCAGGGGGGAGTCGCCCTAACTTTTTAGCGAAGTTGTACCTAGACAGGTCCAGGATAGGTCAGGATAGGCCTACCTAGGTTAGCTAAATGGGATACCTAGGTACCTGACGAATGGGTATAGTAGGTTATGGTAGATACCTAGGTACCTTGCTACTTCCCAGGTTTAGGCTTTGAGGCTTGAGTTCCAATGATTTGGGACAACAACATCAGTCCGGGACTAATCTGGCACTAGCCGGGGGCCCTAATTCGTGGGTCTGTGGGCCAATGCCTTTTCTAGGAATCGTAATAAGCCCCTGCATGGGTTCAATTCGCATAACCTCAACCAATATGTTCAGTGTTTACACTAATGTAGTTAATGTAGTAGGCGCACCAAGGCCAACTACCTAGGTATACTAGTATATTAGGACCGGTACATACTTTAGCTTGGCCAACTCGCCTTGTAGATAGACACGGACGCATACAGACTTATTACATATTGTCCTGCGTTGCGTTGTGTTGTATGTAAAAAGGGGACCCATCTGGTATCACTCGAGGTTAACGTGTCACCGCATCTACTATAACACCTACGCACCTACGCACACGCATATACCTACATCACTTTAAGTAGGTCGGTATTCTACCGGTATCCAGATGGGCACAGCAGCAACATGCGAACAGAAAGAAAAAGAAAAATTAAAATGAAATGGATTGATTGTGGTGTACGAATGATAAGGTAGGAATATCAATCATATCAGGTTTCCCTTCGGCTAGAAGTCGATTCTTCATTTTTTGCAAAATCATACCCTGTCATTTCGCGGATATGTAGGAGATGGTATGAAGCATTGTAATTGACAAAATACGAATACACCGTGGAGAGAGAAAAAAGTCTTAGTTGTTCTGTCGCCTAAATGACCGGTCGTGGTGTGCAGCAGCATGCACCTGTCGGTGAGTGTGGTATGGTCCAATCCAACATTGAGCCGGAGAAACAAGACGGGTGGTGATATTTGATATCAAAGGTCAGGATTGATCAGGTTTTGACGGCAGTGGGCATACATATTACAGATGGGGAGCGGATATGAGTCGGAGTATGCAGGTATCATCATCATGTATTATGTATCATACGTATGATACGTAGTAAACGTGTGAATGTAGGTAGGTCTATGGAGATATGCGCGTAGAAATGTAACAGAACGCTGGTTCTCTGTTGGAGGACGACTCCCAAGGTCTCCAAGAAAGAAACGAGAAACGAACGACCATGAGATTGCCACGAGTCTGAAGACGACGATCATGGTGTGAAGTTCGGAAGAAGCGCGTCAGGCTTCCGATTCAGCTAGGCTGACAGGATGTACCTGGCGGTGAATGTTTCTGTTTCCTTTCTGATAGGTAGGTGTGTATTAGTTGGTCGCTAAGGTATGTATGCATTCAAGCATTGGCATTGGTATTGAGACTCAACATGTTGCGTATTATGTAGGTAGCTGTGTGGATGGGGACCGGCCATGCGTTCGATCGATTATGTACCTATCTACAGACCTACCTAGACACCTAGGCCTATTAATTTCAACACGGACGGCTAAAAAAGTGAGGCGAGCAGCGCACATAGTCGCCGCTTCGGGGCTGGAATCGGCGGTCTAAACGATTGGAAGTGCACTAATACCTCAAGGTACTTAACGCCAAACGCCTCCAAGTTTCTAGTTAGTGCGTTTATAGCGACGGTAGTGACAGTAGTAGACAAAAATACAACGCATATACAACATCCAAGTATTGGTTGGTACCCCTTGAATTAGGTCGCATCGTTACTCCGTATGTACCGAGCAATGACAGTCTGGAGCGCTGTGGACTGCAACTAGCCAACTAATAACGTACCTAAAGGGTGTACTTACTAGAGCAAGCGCAATGCTGCTTACGTACCTAATCAAACGAAAAAGGAGACAGGGGATAGAAAAAGTTGGGAAGAAACAAGATTGACAAAAATTTTGAAGAATAGCCGCTATATTGCATGACGACAACTCTCTCCATGCGGATGCCCAGACTTTACCAACACCTTCCGAGAATACTAGAAAATACTGGGACGCCGCATCCGCTTTGTCCGCCCCGAAATTTCCTTCGTCGAGGTTGTTTTGACTCAAAACGAACAAACATGTTATTTTAACCCCTAACATCATCATCTTCGTCATCCCGCCAACAGACCATAAAGTAAATACAAGACGGGGGTTAACGCGGTTACGAACATTTTGCCCGCATAGGAAAGTCAGTAGCCCCGTCGTGCCATATAATTCGTTGAAACCGTGTCTTGTTAGGTTCCCGTTCCTGGCATGTAACATATTTGCTACTAAACAACTCCCTAAATCGTGTTACCACCTACTAATACATCAACGGTTCCACGATAACACAACTCTTGAAACGACAGACCTCGGTAAGGGTCTCGTTTGAACGTATCTGCAGCTCACCGGGTGATTGTAGAAAGTGTAGCTCTACCTAGGACTATCTCCCCTAACCCATCCGCGCGCTAGTCACTTTTATTAGATATATCTTCTTTTTAAATCGGTCAACGGACATCAATAGACGTCAGATAGTAACTACACGAGTCAGATATCTTACGATTTTCCTGAGTAGTGTTTTCTTTTTCCTGTTCGGTATCAGTTCTAGCCGTCGCGGGTACGCCGACATGCTTCAAACGACCTCGTGCATATGGGATGCCTACATACATATCTGTAGTTACATATGTATGAGTCCTCAGTGCGATTTGACGTATCGTAAGATTACCACGAATTAGCGGAATGGGTGCGGATAGGATGCCACAAGGCTCTGTTGCCTCCCGCTTACGATGCCGCCTCCATCCCGGAACGCCCTCGGGAGCGTGCATATAGGCAACTCCGTCAAGGAGGTGGCTATTTCAACTGTTCGCATCATCATCCGCCATTCATTGTTGTTTGGTTTTAAAATTGAGAAACCAATGTCTCTCCCACTTATTAAACTCCCATTGATACTCAAGCACATCTAGGTACCTATTATTAAAATGCAAACAGATTGTTTATTAACCCCCTTTAATGATGACGTCAATGACATCAAGTCAATATTGATTACCTATTTACCTAAATAGGTACCGTATACAGACGCACATCTCCGCTTTCCGAGGACCGCTGTCTTAGCCTGGAGTTACTGAACAGAGTACACACTACACACACTACTACACCTGAAATAATAATAATAATGCATAATGCCTAAGAACTATCGATGCGCTACAGCAATGTTTCTGAATTTACCACTCTCTCTGCCACTATACACACCGAATCTGCATAATGAATCAAATTTCCTTTGTAACCCACCATGACTCAACGGCGTCTCCGCGTAAGGTGCTAGGTAATTCAGGTAATAGGTCAATTGAAAACCTTGGAATATATTGAGAAGGCCGTGCGACCTTCCTTCCAACAATCTATAAACGCTTTCTTCTATGCAAGTCATCCTTCCACACAGCCCGGAGACAGGCCGAAGGATCGAGCACGAACTGTTCTCGCATTCTATTAATTACAATCACACACACTAGACTTTCCATCTCTTTTACCGGGAATAGGAGTCATACCTTCAATTTCTATAGTCCAATCTCCATACATACGTAGCGATGAAACCGTAATCTGACATGCAGTCAATACAAGGCTGAGAGGGTGTAGGAAGGGCTACTGTCAGCGATCCCTTAACGTCTAAGATCAGCCTTCTATAACCCATAGTATTGGCTCTCAGGTGTTTAGGTAGGTACCTATTTAAATATTCTCCTACTCGGTTACCCCAGAAGGGTCAGATTCATGACGCACATAACAAATATCAGATGTCTAGCTTAAAATTAAACGTGACAGTCATTGCAGCATGCAGTTTATTGTCCGGTAAGATTGATTTGTAGGCCTCCTAATGTGACGCTGTTGATGTGATTTACTATCTGCCATACACCCCTATTGTGAAAGTTACCTATTCACTCGAATCGATGAATTGATTCGATAAGATTATTGCGACGGCCAAGACTATTACACATAACACTCCCCTTAACTCGTAAAACGGTTGTAGTACTGCTTCGACACGCCGGTAAGGTCAATTGACTTAGTAAGTCATTTGTCACCAATTTGTTACCCCAACCAACCGAGTCAAGAGGTCAAATCCCACGAGTCGAGAACCTCAATGATATCATATCACTCGAATCGCACATTTCGCATGTCCATCGATTTTGATATCACCAACATAGATAGACACGAGTTGAGTGGTCATCTGCCATTATAATATCGGGGAGTGGTTTCGATAGGATCGACAAACAATCGGTCTAATGTCGTCGCGCATGAGTAGAATGTATTCGTTCGCGATGTATCGTCGCAGTAGCTGTAACGCCAGCCTAGTGGTACCATTTACTCCATAACTCCATTGTCATGTCCTATGCGATATACTTGAAGGTATTTGAAGGGTCGTCAGTCGATTCGCTAATTGCCGATAACCATCGAGAACTGATAGTTGTTAGCTAGGCTAATAAAACACTCGACGATACTGGACTGACCGCCATGAACACGCAACATAAACTTATATATGGACTCAACCTCTCCCCTACTCTTGCTGCCTTCCAGAATATTCCCATTAACCTGCGATAGACTTTAGCTTTAATCCCAACTGTAGATATGGTAATGCCCGCTCTTTCAAGTAGCAAACAACCTACCCTTGCTTATTTCGATCTAATATCGTCGGGAATATTTGGTGTACGTAGGCGCATGTGCAGATAAGGAGGAGGAGAACAAGTAGGAGAGATTGGAAGTTGAAGAGCGCAGACTGTTTCCAACTATCAGCTATTTCCTTTATATGTAGAAGGACAGTAGAGTATTAAATCCTAGCTTACCATCTTAGCAATTCGTCTTTAACAAGCAAAGAGAAATTTTTGTGTCCCGAATCCAATGTGTGCCCCGTCTTCGCCTTCTTCTTCGTCTTCGTCGAGGTATTACGTATATGAGTTTGTAGAATGCAATGCGATCGATCTCAACCTTTCAGAAGCCAGCTTAGCTTGTCGCCAGATTTACAGTGATTACATAACAAAACATTTACCCGATAAAACCCCGTAACGTGGGAAACAGGGGTCCGTGCCGGTAGCTACCGGATAAGTAACGCTTAATTTCAGCTTTAAAGTTGCACAGACCAGGGTCGCTCCAGAACAGTGGAAGTAAGCCGCGAGGTACATACGTGTTTGGATGTGACCCCACTGCATAGACAAGTACCTGCCGTACCTACAACTGAAAGCTTCGAGCTGCGATTTCTTCAGCCTTACAACATTCAGTTAAATATCAACTTTAGCAGTTGCAACCTACAATTATCTCCCGGTTCTGCGCAAGCTGTAGAGATCCATCGCGAGATTTCGATTCTAGCGATTATAACTTTCCTACCTACCTGGAAGGAACCCGAGAAATACCAATCCTCATCTAAACCCCGAAACATCATTCAGTCGCCATGGAACCTCGAGCCCGCGCAGGCAAGAATGTTGGCAAGGAGACTTTTAACGCAAAAGAGAGTACGTCTTCCCCATCCTAACCACTCCTCGTATTCCATCTCATCTAACTACCTCCCACCCATAGTCCGCGCCCTCCTCTACGCCTACGGCGACGTCCAAGACCCACTGCCCGAAACAGTCCGCGTGCTCGACGAAATCGTAACGGAGTTCCTGGAGGGCGTGTGCTTCGAAGCAAGTCGGCACGCGCAGGTAGCGGGGCGGCAGAAGCTCAAGTTCGACGACTTCGAATTCGCGCTAAGGCGGAACCCGCAGTATCTCGGTCGCGTTAAGAGTATGATTGAGAAGAGGCAACGGATTAAAGAAATGCGCAAGACGTTTGATCAGGAGGATGATGCGTTGGCTAAGGAACATGCGAAAGATGCTGCGGCGGCGGCTGCTGGTGGGGGTGGGAGGGATGCGGATGAGTTGTTGGGGCTCGATGAGGATGATGAGGATTTGAAGGAGGTCAAGCAGAATGCGCCTTCGTCAAAGGGTTCCGGGAGTAAGAAGAGGAAGAGACCTCAGAAGTAGTTAAGGTGTTGACGGGGAATGCTGCTTGACATAGGGACACGACGCGGTGCGTTATAACGATGGCGATTACGACGGATTTTGCATTTTTTACGAGCATGGCCACGGCGTTTCGGACGGGGGATACCAGGTTGCATTTTACGGTCACGATAACTTAGATTGACCTCACTTCAGATTGATACGCATCCACTGTATAATTGATATTCTCCTCGATGAGCACTCTGATTTATAGCCACAGAATGATTGTTTATTGTTTACCTTGCTACCTAAGTAGTTTACTAATGTTTACCCATAAGGCCAAGCCAAGATTCGAGGCGATCTAAGTGATTATTAAATGAGACGAAGGATCGTGAACCATGAGCTTCGCCAGCCCAGACTCTACGGGCCAACCACATTCAGAAGGTTAAAAAACTGTATTTAGTATTGACTAGAAGAACAATAGGTCCTTGCATGAGGTCATTTTGCGCTACCATGTTTTACTATAGGATGAGGCATCACCAATCTGGGTGTCTGAAGTTGGATTACGGGACTATACGCTTTTGGCTGAGATGGTCTTTTCTAGCTTCGTTCAATCCGGGGTAAGGCCCCTACCCAGGCAGAAGGGCAACACGATTTATGTATAGAGTCAGCGGCGTGTAGGATATAAATACAAGATCGTTGACGCCCGACGTTTATCCCATATGGACCAACTCCTTTCTTTGCTTGACACAAACTTCAATCTACGGCCAGTTCTACATATAACAACATCAACCTCCTATAAACTAACCCGCCTCCCAGCTCCTTACTTCCCATAAGCCATCAAAATGCGGATTTCACTACTTACACTCATCCCCATCCTCACGGCTCTAACTGCCGCAACACCAACCCCCGTCCAACAAGCCGACCCCTCCGCAACATTCTACGCCGAGCTCTTCAGCACAGCATCCGACTGCAGCGCAACCTCCGGCATCAAAGCGTTCCTCTACAGCCGAGGCGCATGCCAGAACATCGCCGTGCCCGGCACTGGGTCCGCGCGCGTGCGGTATAACGAGCAGCCTGATACTCTTACCCTGACGGGCTGGACTGGGGCAAATTGTACGGGTGATGCGGTGGTTGTAGGTAGTGAGGTTGGTGTCTGTGTATCGCTTGATGGGAGGGATGTTGTGAGTTGGTCATATTAGGGGAAGTGAGGAAGAGATGTCGTTGAAGGCTGGCTGTACATATAAGGGTAGATATATTTGCTTTATAGGCAGCTATGAATACTCACTATATACTACGTTTATTACGTCTGTCTATATGATGTCACTGGGATTACTAAGTGCATATCTCTATTTGTTTACGCCTTGGCTACTCTACCTGTGGTGATAGTTTGGTAGTAGTTATTCATTTCAAGACTCGGCGTTGAGAGAATCTCTTGCTAGGGTAGCAACCCTTAGACGACACCGAAGTAGCCGATTAAGGCCAATATGTATATAGACATCTATTATTACATAGATCTTACTTTAAATACAGCGTATTGCGTGCTACCAGCGATACAGGGAGAAGAGGAAGTAAGGGATGTCATTTTTTCCGATTTGCGGTCCCTACTGCCCGGAAGGATCTAGTTCCGGAGGTCGTTACTCTTGATTCAAAGACGCATTTATCTCCTTGCTTCCATTATATGGATAAGTGCTGCTGAATTAATGATAATAGTAGCTACCTTTGATGTCAATGGGATTCAATGACGAAGGCTTGGCTCGGAGTTGGCAACTCGAACCGTTTCATACAAATGGATGCGTATAATACCACCCTGGCCGGGTCTCGATATACTACCGAATAGTAATAAGTAATCAACAAATATAACGAATTAAACGCGCGTCCGATATTAGGTGAATTATGGAGGTTCCTTGCATAGCCGTTGGTTAAGCTTAGCATCGTTGCACCCCTCCTTAAGATGTCTTTAATGAATCGGATTACCTGTGATCGCCTCTAGGTTATCCAAAGGGGTTTACGGAATCGCTTGATGTAAAAAGCCCCCAATAACCTTAGATTTGAATAATTAGACGTCGTAATCGATGGCGGTGCGGCTCGGCATTTACTTTAACATTTAATGGTACAGAAACCCATTTTCGTCCTTAAACGTTAGAAGATCTACTTCTCTTCATTTGTTGGGCTGAGATAGGTACCTCAGGTACCGACCGTTACGTTTTGTCACATCGGGAGTTAGAAGTATTACAACCTTACTTACCTAGTAGAAATGTCCACCTAGACCTTCTATATACCGAATAAGGCGATTACTAGTCCGGCTGACCGGCAGCTTGGTCCACGCGAATAACGCGGGGTAGCCGCCGATTCGCCAAGAAGCGCCCGCGACATCGGGGTGGACAGGGCGATCACAGGGCTCTAGACCCCATAATCTAGTGATGATAACTGACCTTCTTGAGACAGTCCGATAGCCGTAGAAGCCGAATCTGTGGTTAGTATTAGCGCTTCCTCCCCATGATGCATCCTTAGTCTTCCCACGTTCAAAGACACCGTCGTATCCCGTTCAAGAGAGTTGCCCAGTCCCCACATAAGCTTTCGGCCGGTGCGGACGCTTCTGTATGTTGTGGTTGCATTTGGGATTTGGTGTGTCCCAGAAGAAGGAAGCACGCTATTCTTCTTTATTGTTTGCCATCCCCCCGCTCATAAGCTCATAAGAGGTCTAACCTTCGAAATGGTGGGTTGCTGGCACCTTTCGTCTTAAACACTTCATTCTTTTCTAGAAGTATTATTGATAGAGGAATCGGCGATGCGTTGTATATCGTGAACCTGCCGCTTGTATTACTCATATTGTTGTATCTAGGTCTTATGTGACTGCATATGGAGTCCGTGCCTTAAGGATTAATTGAAGGGCCTCCTGGTCGTTAATAATCATGTCGTCTTTTGTGTTTACTCCCAAAACTAAACAAGTCTCCGATAACGATAGGGACACCATTCCCTCTAACCTCTCTACTTCAATCAATAAACCCGATAAGCGAGGCACATTCAAGTCAGATTCATCTACTATTGTAGAAATCGATCTAGACTCATTTTCTCCAAATGGGCTGACCGTTCCGATTACCTCGAGGGGTCCATCACCTGGGCCCCCTTCGAAACACAGGGGGATTCGTCCTAAACTAGGATTTCGAGGATGGTGTGAATCAACATGGCGGAAGAACAAAGCCCCTATCCTGATGTTTCTAGCCCAGTTCTTCGGAGCATCGATGAACCTTGCGGCTCGGCTTCTTGAAGTAGAAGAGGGAGGCATGCACCCGATCCAAGTTCTTTTCGCAAGGATGACGATGACGGCAATAGGGGCATGGTTGTATATATGGTGGAAGAAAGTCCCAAATGGTATACTAGGGCCTAAGGAGATCCGGTGGCTGTTATTATTTAGGGGGTTCACTGGTTTCTTCGGTATATACGGTATGTGGTATTCTGTCAGATATATACCATTGGCCGACGCAACCGTTATCACCTTCCTCGCTCCGAATATTGCTGGATATATATGCCATGTCCTTCTGCATGACCCGTTCACGCGGAAAGAGCAGATCGCTTCATTTATAGCTCTCGGAGGAGTTATCTTGATCACTCGACCCGTGTCCCTCTTTTCGGGTGCCTCATCTTCATCTACTGGTAGCGGTATAGCAATGGAGGCTGTCGCAAATAGCACAGTAGACGAAATATCATACCCTGGTGGAGAGCATGTCGTTACGAGCGCCCAACGTTTGTCCGCTGTCGGTTTCGCCCTTCTGGGGGTACTAGGAGCAGCCGGTGCGATTACGACGCTGAGATGTATCGGAAAACGTGCCCATCCTTTGATATCGGTCAATTATTTTAGCATGTATAGTGTGGTTGTTACGACCGCGACTCTCACGCTTGCGCCGATTCTTGAATACGACCAGCCGAATTTACGTTTCGAACTACCACATTCAATGAAACAAGTTGCGTTTCTTTTGATCGTCGGGGTATGCGGATTGGTTATGCAGATGCTGATGACAGCCGGTCTAGCTTCCGAGAAGAGCAACCGCGCCACAGCTATGATCTACACACACATGCTCTTCGCGGCGGGTTTCGATCGTTTTGTTTTTGGGCATATTATGGGCTGGACGAGTCTTACTGGGTGTGGATTGATCATCGGAAGTGCTCTTTGGGTTGCACTCACGAAGAAGGGAGATGAAAAGAGAAAGGAGAATGATGGGATCAATGATGTAGAAATAGGAGCTGCAGCTTTTGCGGCTGCGGCGGACAGTGAAAGTGCTCCGATGTTGAGCGATGATTTAGATAGAGAAGAAGAAGAGGAAGAAGGCGTCATGTTAGAGCGCTTGTAGATGTATGAGGCGTATGCTGGCTTTGTCCTACCTTGTATAAGAAGAGGCTGGGTAAATTTAGCCATGAGTGAGTAACGAATGGGAAATATTGAATTGCTATAGAAAGGTTGGAAGGTTTGAATTTTGAATAGAACTTATATATTTAAATTTAAATAGAAATAGACGTCATCGTCACTTCTATGCGAATGTTAAGAGTGAAAGGCAGTTACGATGATGAATGTACCTAGTACTATACCGTGCCTTACCTTAGCACATACAGTAATCAAGCACAGTATATAAACGGTCCCCACAGTCGCGACCCAGAAAAGTTTCGCGACTCTAAAGCTCCAACCTTCCAATCCAAGCTCCCAACTCTGATAAATTCATAATTTCTTATGCGACGCTGGTTTTCACACAAATTCAAGCTCGTTAACATTTCGTTTCCGAAAAAATCCTCTAATTATTATCCAAGTACGATCGCTGATTGAAATTCGCAGTACCTACCAAGGCGCTTCCACTTCTACTCGGCGACACAATCATCCCTTCGCCAAGATGGTGCAAATCAGCGAGGTCAAGGGCAACAACCGCGAGAATCGCACAGCAGCCCATACCCATATTAAAGGATTGGGCCTGAAATCTGATGGCACAGCTGAGAAGCAAGCCGGTGGCTTTGTAGGCCAACAACAGGCTCGAGAGGTGAGTTTCAAGCTGTGAACATTACCAATTATTTATTCGACGAGGCTGACATATTCTATTTCACCTAACATAGGCCGCCGGTGTCGTTGTCGATCTAATCCGCGCCCAGAAGATGGCTGGACGAGGTGTATTGCTTGCTGGAGGACCTGGAACCGGAAAGACGGCCCTCGCCCTCGCCCTCAGCCACGAACTCGGAACCAAGATTCCCTTTTGCCCCATCGTTGGCAGCGAGATCTATTCGACAGAGGTGAAGAAGACAGAAGTACTGATGGAGAACTTCCGAAGGGCGATCGGTTTGAAAGTGCGCGAGACAAAGGAGGTTTACGAGGGTGAAGTCACAGAACTTACCCCGGAAGAGGCCGAGAATCCATTAGGCGGATACGGGAAGACTATTAGTACACTTCTGATAGGATTGAAGAGCGCAAGAGGCCAGAAGAAGCTTCGACTAGACCCGAGCATATACGAGGCTATCCAAAAGGAGAGAGTCACGGTCGGAGACGTCATCTACATCGAGGCGAATACTGGTGCTTGTAAGCGAGTTGGACGATCGGATGCATACGCTACCGAATTTGATCTCGAGGCGGAAGAATATGTCCCTATTCCGAAGGGCGAGGTACACAAGAAGAAGGAAATTGTACAAGATGTCACACTTCACGACCTAGACGTTGCCAACGCCAGACCACAAGGCGGCCAAGATATCATGAGCATGATGGGCCAGCTGATGAAGCCCAAGATGACGGAGATTACGGATAAGCTACGAGGAGAGATTGACAAGGTTGTCAGCAAGTACATCGACCAAGGTGTGGCCGAGCTTGTTCCTGGTGTCTTGTTCATTGACGAGGTACGAAATACCTACTCCAAAATTTAAACTGGAATTGGTGAACTAACTTGCAATAGGCGCATATGCTTGATATTGAATGCTTTACGTATCTTAACCGAGCATTGGAGTCTTCTATTTCGCCAATCGTTGTGCTTGCCTCCAACCGAGGTATGTGTGCGATACGTGGTACAGATGGCGTTGTGGCTGCGCACGGAATTCCGCCGGATTTCCTCGCTCGATTGCTCATCATCCCCACTACGCCGTACGACGCCGAAGAGATCAAGAGAATTGTACGCATCCGAGCAACTACAGAGGGTGTACAGGTTACCGACGCCGCTATCGACAAGATCGCAGAGCATGGCGTGCGCATCAGTCTGCGATATTGTATACAGTTATTAACTCCAGCAAGGTATTTTAGAGCCCTATCTACTCATTTGTCATATTAATTTGTTACTAACGTGTGAAAATAGCATTCTTGCTCGAGTCAACGGTCGCAGCCAAATTGACGTACAAGACGTTGCAGAATGCGAGGAACTCTTCCTCGATGCGCGCCGAAGTGCCGATTTGTTGGCAGGTGAGACAGGGCGCGGATTTATTTCATGAACGTGGTTATGTCTTACAGACGGGATGCCTTGAACCACAAAAACGGGACTGATCGTAATAATCTAATTTCGCAAGGCTGCGGCTCCAGAACCGCAACAAAAGGGATTCGGGTTAGGAAAATTACATTTATGGAGGGGTTTCGGAGTTCCTAAAGCGTACCGTAGGTAGTTAAGGTACCCAGGCATGCGTGCTGCTGCGTTGGTTGTTCATATCAAATCAATTAAGAGACAATCCGGTTGGTTGGTTGCTTTGCTTCCGGATTACCCACCCCGAGAAGAAGACCTTTTAAGACATTGCAAAACGACATTTAATTCTTCAGCGAAGAAAAAACTTGGTTTGAACAATGAGAAAATTAGAAGGCAGGTCACTAATACCTGGGCTAATTTCGGTTAACATTGTCTTTGTTATTTCTAGGAATAGAGGGGGCTTGTGAAAGACAAGGAGACATTCTCTCCGTTCCAGCCGGAGGACGGACGGAACATTCCTGGTATTGTATGTAGGTGTGGCCTTGGTGGCTATGGGGTTTGTCTTGTTAACAATATGTCAAGTTGGGTACCTAGTCTAAAGTAAGGAGCAAAACCTCAGCTTCTTTGAACAATGTCGAACAAGGCTCTATTGAAGATTGACCATTGATCTTGAGAAGGAAACTTTTGTCACTTTGTATGGCTTCTATGGACTTTTGTCCCCGCGGGTAGAATGACTGACCTATCATGGGCTACTGCGAACGGTAACGTGGTTGTTAAGCCTAGTTGTTGCAAACGCTGGACAAAGAAAAGGGGTAGGGAAAGGATACGTTAGAGAAGAGATAGAGAGATGTGGCTCCTCAATCTGCAACAACCTTGGGCTCTCAGTATATTCCCGAGACACAAACCCAAAGGAACCTATCTCCTTTTTTTTTCTTCTCTTCTTACATACCCTTCGCCTCTCGACCTTACTACTCACTTACCCGCTTTATTCTAATTGCTAACTACGCTGGTCACACACCCTCTGGATAATGGCCAGTGTTAGTCTCGTATTTGCGTGCACAGGAGAAGACGTGGAAGTGGCAGCAACAGCAACAACAGAAGTAGTGGCGGTGGCACTCTTCTAGGCTAAGGATCATTGTCTCCTAAGTAATGCCTTATGAATGGAGAGGAAGCAACAAAGAAAACAATCCTAACAAGCCCTTGGTTGTTGCCCACACCATTTATTCATGTCTTATGTCTCTGCTCTCCAATCTATCGCCACCACATACACGCCTACAACGACATAGTTAGCTTATCAATTGCCATCGTCGCTATCGTCACAGTCTCTCGGGGATCTTTTTCTCTCCATAGACCTTGACCCCACCCGAATCTCCGGTGGTCGTTGTAGTAGTGTAAAGTAGTGTATGTTGCCGGTTGGTACTCCGCTTCTTGAGCCGCCCGTTCCCTCTTCACCGACATACCACGCTTGGGGTTCACCCGTTTGCGAGAAACATGGCCGAAATTAATAGCAATCAAACCTCTCCCTCTACTTCCCCCAAGGGCCGGTCGTCTCTCCCGACCAAAGCTCCCTCGACTACACTGACGACTAGTCCCACGAGACAGAACAAAACACAAGCTACTATGGCAGCAAGTACCCCCGATAGTCGAGAGGCATCATCAACAGCGGTAGCAAGGTCACATATGGCACCCTCGATCGATACACATATGACCGACGATGATTCTGCATCTGCTACGTCTACTAAGCTGCATCGAAAACGAGCGTACTCCATTGACGTCGAAGAAGCCAATCAACCCCGGATACAAGATCTCCGACTCTATACACCGACCACGGCAAATTCAAATACGAGCGAAGGGCCAAGAGAATTGATATGCCTCTGTACGAAGGCTCCGAAAGTTCCTAGGCCACGCAATGGTACGTCTGTCTTTATTCTGTTGGCTCCCGTCCTTTCTTGACTTTTTGACGAAAGGGGGGTGTTCCAGACTCTAACTAGAGCTGAAAACTCCCCTTCCACCCGTTTTCCCTTCTGTCCCCTTATTATTTCGTATTCCCTCTTCCCCGGCAATTCGACCGGGTTTCAGAAGAAAACCCCGGTCCGAGGCGGCATTCTCGGGGGAATCTATCTCTTTGTTCGGAGGGAGGCTGTGTTTGTGTCTGAGAGTCAAAGGGGGTGCGGAAATGAAAGGGTCGAGACCTAATTTTTTTTTTCTTGTCTTATCCTGATTTGCAACGCACAGGTCTCGATCGAAATTTTTTTGAAAAGCAGTCTAGATCTAGAAAAAATATGAGGCTAACTTTTGGGCTTGCTAACCCCCTCCCCTTTCAACAGCTTTTATTCTTTATCGACAACACTACCAAGGCCAAGTCGCGGCCCGGCATCCGGGCCTTGCAAATCCCGAAATCTCGAAGCTTATTGGCGAGCAGTGGAGGGAACAACCTGAGGAGATTAAGAACAACTGGAAGCGACTAGCGGAAGAAGAGAAGATACGCCACCAGCGTCAGTATCCAGACTATAGATACCAGCCTCGTCGAGGGGGAAAGGCCGCAGGTAGCCGACCGTTACCTGCGACCGGCGAGGATCCTGGCCACTGCCCCAAGTGTGGTGGCCGTTACATCGCAACACCTAGGACACCATCTACTCCTTTTAGTGCTGCGACGCCCGAGCTCTCAAGACCCGGACCTAATATGCCCCCCTATGTAACACCAAATCCACGGGTGATAGAGACAGACCACCTACGACGAGGATCTTCCTCTAGCACAATGTCACTCGACGCACACGACCGTAGATACACACAACCGCACCTCCATAACATCGACGAGGACTACCCGATGATGTCGCCGGTAGCAGAAACGAAACGACGTCGTTTCAACGGACCGAACATACTTGTCCCTAGATCACCGCCCATGGGCTACATGCCAGCAGACCCTCGTTACCAGCGGCCATCTTTCAGCCAGCCACCTGTAACAGCGGCGGGTTACGCGCCTGGAGGATCGTTGCCTAGGATGCAGTACCAGCAACATGGCTATCCGAACCAATCTCATATGCAACCACCGCCGCGTCCTTCAGTAGTATATCAGCCTGTCTCGACCTCAAGCCGTCACAATGCTGGATTTGTTGACGAGTCACTTCGATTACCTCCATTGCAGACGCAGTTACCAAACTCACCCGCGATGAGCTCAGAGTCAGGCTCGGGACGTGTGGTCTCCGCTGCTCAGCCTTCCCATGGCACTGGCCTGGGAATTGTTGATGGTGCCGGCGCTCCGGCTAGACAATCGCAACCACAACTGCAGCAGCAACAGCAGCACGGCCCATCAAAATGGTCATTCCTATTAAAACTTGATGTGTTGCGAGTTGTCAGCCCACCGTTGCAACCCCCACCCTCCGGAGAACCAATGTTCGAAACACGAGGTCCTCTCATTGCTATCGAGGGCGCAACACCGTCTGTTCTGAAGGAGGTAGCCTCTGTAGTTGAGAAATCACTATCTATCTCAGGCGACTACGCCGTGAAAACATGGACGGAAGAAAACCAGGGTAGTATAAGGGAGACCAGCGACAGGGACAGCAGCGATGAGCAACATGAACAAGAACCAATCGAAAAAGGCTTGTCGAAGCGGACGGGACACATAAGTCCACTAGCGACTTACGTTACCCAGATGTTAAAATGGCACAAGACGTCCGAGGATTTGATAAAATACATTACGAATAATCCACCTGCTACGGGCAGTGAGACGGGTGAAAGCGCTAGAGCTGCTGAAGAAGCACCATTGAAATCTAGCCCTAGGCTACCCGTCGCTATTGTAGCGGATGGGTACAGTATGACTGTCTCAGAAAGATACGCTAGCTCACTGCATGTTAATGACGCCTATCGGGCTGAGGACCACTGGCAGTGGGTAGCGACACTGTGGCGGGGTATTATAGGGCCTGACTTGACCATATACGTTAAGAAGGGTACAGATGCAGAGTTACAAGGTAACAACTGTGTTGAATTCGTCAATTCGGCTGTCATGGTGTTACGTGTAGCCGAGGGGAAGGGTGTAGATGAGAAGTTAGAGAGACGGCTCGGCTTCGAGATCATCGAATGGGTGCGCAATGGGAGCTTCAGAGCTGGCCATATGACTCGCTCATGATGTCCTTTTTTGATTTGTGATTTTGGTTGACTCTCTATAGGAGGGAAATAAAAGGAGGATACTAGACGGGATACAATATTCGGCGCTGGAAATGACTTCACTAATGATGTCTGTACGTACGGAGGATTGGAATCATGTAATAAATCGAGTTGGAAACAGGCTGGAAATAGGTTAACATACCCTACATATTGTTCGTAGTCTATAAGGTCGCTTGGCCTTTTCCTTTTTTTCTCCTATGATCCCGCAAAGTCTTACTTTTCCGGATCATCGTGGTAAATGTGAGACCTCTTAAAGACGAATCGGGTAATGTACTGCATTATCGAGTGTCGGATGCGATAGGGTAGATCTTTAGTGCGAACCTACCTAGATAGGCAACGTAAATCGATTGTATTGTTAGTGGTCTCTATGAATCAATCCCTTAGACTTTCCTTGCTTTAATTGTTTAACTAGGGATATCTGGCAAGTGCAATGTCTTGAGTGAGTGAAGTGGATGAGCGCATCGAAAAGTGGGTTCCTCTTTATGATTTGCACTAGTGTTACCAATACCGTGTGTGACTGGTCGGGTCTACTGTATGATTGGACCGTAATAAGTAATTACCCGCAATAACTCCGATGAGGTAATCAACATTCGCGTGACGGATTAGGGAACGCGTACCGATGTAACTGACGAACTTAGAAACGAACTTCGAAACAAAGAAGCTTCATTTTTTATTTCTTAGACGTCACCGACAATCTCCAGTCAGGGCCAACACACCCCCCCCTGACCTTCTCTCTCTTACATTATGTACTAACTACCAGGGAAAACTGCCCAGTATGTCGGAGATAGCAGTAGGGCAGTCAATTCGGCTTAGCGATGGCCGTAATGCAATCGTTCGTTATGTCGGCCAAACCCATTTCGCCGTTGGTGAATGGGTCGGTGTCGAGCTTGAGGATGACCGTGGGAAAAACGATGGATCAGTCCAAGGCGAGCGATATTTCGATTGCTCGCCTGGAAAGGGCATGTTCGTTCGACCTACTACAGTGACCATATTGCAAGCTGCTCCGGCTCCGAAAGCGGCTGCTGCCCCTATCCGTAGAGGGTCGCGAACTAGCACAGTCGCCGGACGATCAAGCTCTGTGACGGACCCTACAATGGGAAAGAGGATGAGTCTAAATGCTCCAAGTCCGAGTCCGGTACCTAGGACATCTCGACCTTCTAGTATAGCGAGGGTACGTGTCACTTAACCTATTGTATCTTTAATATCCCCTATCCTAACTCTAATATGATAGTCTCCTACGAAATCCCCTACGAAACAGCTTGCGACCGCTGCGTCTAGTGTTGCGACTTCAAGAACCGGTACACCGTCGAATGCCCGTGTCTCGTCAATCGGAGCCAAACCACGCCCGTCAGTTGGAGCCGGCCGAACATCTATGGGACCACCAGCACTACCTTCCGCTGCGGGTAGAAGACAAACATCAGTATCATCTACTACTGCTACAAGAACTGTAAGCGGAGCTACAAGGCCAATTGGCGGGCGTGTTTCTACAGCGGCTGCTCGCCCTCGCCCTGCTTCTGGAAGAGTGCGATCGGGGGATTCCTTATCTGGGAATGAAGGCGGGAATAGGTCGGATCTAGGCTCTCCTCTTAAGAGTGATGGAGAGCAAGCGATTAGCCCCGTTCGCTCTAGAACTAGGGCTCTAGAGAAACTTACTGCCGGGCCATCGGCGGCAACTTCAAAAGCAACCCCTTCAAGGGCACCTGGAAGCGCGGGTCCTAGTACTCGCCCAACTGCTGCTAATGCCAATGCAGTAAGTAGAGAAAATGAGGATCTAAAAGCAAAACTTAAAGTACTTGAACGAAAGCGATTGGAAGACCGAGAAAAGATAAAAGAAGTGGAAAGGCTTCAGGAGCAACGGGATAAGTTTGAGAATATTAATAAGAAAATCGAGAGCAAGTTTCAAATTACGGCTCAGGAAAATGTCAGTCTACGGAAGCAATTGAAGGAAGCGGAAGAACGCCTAGGTCAGATCGAAAACCTCCAAGCAGAACATGAGACTGTTATGGAGCTCGCGACATTGGATCGAGAGATGGCCGAAGAAACTGCCGAGGTTTACAAGGCTGAGCTCGAGGCCTTGAAACAGAAAGCAGAGGAACTTGAACTTGAGGTCGAGGTATTACGCGAGGAGAATGCTGAGTATTCTCAGGGTATGTCCCCAGAAGAGAGGGCAAGTGCAGGATGGCTTCAGATGGAGCGACACAATGAACGACTACGTGAAGCACTCATTAGATTACGAGATATCACTCAGCAGCAAGAGGAGGAGTCGAAAGCACAAATTAAAGCTTTGGAGAAGGACCTTGAGGAGTTTGATGCCGTCAAGGAACAATATGAGATTGCTAAGGAGAAACTGCTAGAGTCTGAAACTCGTGCAGAAGACCTCCGACAGCAACTTGATGACAACTTGGGCGCGGAGGCAATGATTGAGCAGCTCAGCTATGAGAAATTGCAGCAATCCGAACACATTAACGAATTGAAGGCTGTGATAGATGATCTCGAGGCCCTCAAGGAAATTAACGATGAACTTGAAGTCAACCACGTCCAGAATGAGAAGGAAATGCAGGAAGAACTCGATCTGAAGGACAGCGTCATTGCGGAACAAGCAAGACGGGCTTCTGAGAAGGATGACACTATTGGAGACCTGGAATATACGCTGTCTCGATTCCGTGAGCTTGTCACGAATCTTCAAACTGATCTCGAGGATATCCGCGCATCTCATGCCGTCAATGAGGCTGAGTCTGAACAGCTTAACAGCAAGTCGAGAGCGATGATGGACCTCAACCAGAAACTCCAGATCTCAGCTGCCAAGACACAAGTCAAGACCATTGATCTTGAATTGCAGCGTATGGACGCCCAAGAGGCTCAGCAACACCTCCAAATCCTCAAATTATTCCTCCCCGAAAGCTACAATGTCGACAAAGACTCCGTATTGGCGTTGCTCCGCTTCAGTCGGTTGGCCTTCAAGGCGAACTTACTGCACGGATTCGTCAAGGAGCGTGTCAACGGACAACCGCATCCTGGCCACGAAGATGATATGTTTGCTGGATGCGATGCACTGGACAAACTTACCTGGGTCTCTTCCATGTGCGATCGCTTCGTCAATGCTATTAGCCACTGCTCGCTAGAAGAGTTTGCCAAGTTTGAAGGAGCATTATACGAACTAGAGCCCGTCGAGAGAGCTCTCAATGCCTGGATTGATGGCTTGCGACGTGACGAATTGAAGGAGAAGCAATGTGCTAGCGAGTTGCAACGCACCATTGCTCTTATGACTCACCTAGGTGAAGTCCACATCTCGGAAGGATTGGAAAGTTTTGCGGATGAAATGCAAATGAAGACTGTCTTAATGCAGAGCCATTTGGAATCCGCCGCTACTGCATTCAACATCGTCAAGGATTTGGTTCAAAGAGTCATACCTCCTAATGGTGATGAAGATGAGCTTGCTCAGCACTTCACTAGGAAGTCTGATGCTGTAATCAGCCAGACTCGCAGTGCCAAGGTGATTATGAGCAAAGCGGTACGATCTCTAGAAGATCTCCGAGCAAGATCATTGGCTCTTACCCCTGATACAGCCGAGGCATTTGAGCAATGCGAAGCTGCTAGCTCGGAACTTGCGGAGATGTCTCGAAAGATTGGTGTGGATCTTCACGCATTGTTGAGCGAAGAAGGCCGTGCGGAACCGTTCACGTACACCGAAGTACAAAGCACAGTTCACCACACGGTGATGACGGCTTTCTCATCAGCCGAATCGGACTTATTCTCAACATATCTATCCAAACTCCGCGTCCTTACGAGCCAGATTACCGACCTCTCAGCAGTCTGTGCCGATCTGTCGCAGACGCAAGAGTTCGAACGCAGCCCAGCACCATGGATCCTCCGAGCACAGGAACTGAAGGCTCTCAAGACAATCCCAATTGATGCTGAGGAAGAGCTGCGACTACTCAAGGAGCAATACAACGAGGCTCGTCGCACCATCGCTCTACGTGATGAGAACATCAGCACGAATAATCTCCGTATCGAGACGCTCGAGGCGCGCATGCGTGATGCGAATGCCAAGGCATCCCGTATTGCAGATCTCGAGCAGCAAATTGTGGATGCTCAAGAGCTCGTGGCTAGCCTCAAGAAAGACATTGAGCAACAAGACCGTGAGGCCAAGACGCTCGAGGCCGATCGCGATAAGTGGAAGAAGATCGCTGGCGACAGCAGGGCATACGGCGACGAAGCGGGATCCAATTCTGCCGGAGCCAAGGCTGGCCAAGAGCGCGCCGTGGCTACTGCCCGCGAGATGGATGCCCTCAAGGCCGAAATTGCCAGCTTACAAGCAGCTGTTAAATACTTACGCGAAGACAACAGACGTGCGCGTGCTACTGAACAGGCTAGGCACGATTGGCTCGCAGAGCCGCTACAGAAACCTATTCCTGTGGCTGAGCAGCGAAGAGCGCTTGTTGCGGCCGAGAGCAGGGATGCATTGGGTGAACTCCTCAGGCTCGCCACATCCGCTAAGATATTTGATCTTGGCTCTTTGCCCAAAGACAAGATGGGTTGGCGCCCTGCAAGTGCCACGCCGCAGTACCACGCCGCTAAGCAGGCTGAAGACTACGCTGCTTGGCGGAGTTGGCAAGACTCGGTGGTTCAGAAGGCAAGAGTAGTGCTCAGTACCGAGCATGGTGGAAAGAAACAACAGGAACAGGACCGCGCAAAGTCTATGCGCAAAGCTGCTGCAAAATTGCAGATCAGGCTTCCGGATGCGGATGGTAAAGTAATACCTGGTACCAGTGCAAGGGAGGTGCAGATCGTTGGATCTAGAGAGTGGGAAGGTTTACAGGGGAGGTTAGGAGCTGCTTCGTAATAGTGTACTGTATATCTATGATGCAAGGGTTATGGGGATGAGAGCTTGGAGAAAACGAGTGAGTGAGCAGGTGCGAGAGATACCCTTTTGTTAGAACTTGTACCATCACATCTATCATTGCGGCGTAGCATATGGCGTGTGGTAAAATTTCAGGTTATATCAATAATCATCTACTTTTCATTTCTTCGTGTTCATATTTGAAGATATGTTTGTAGACCGTAATTATACAAGTCATTGGGGCGTAAAGTGAAGCTATATGGTAGATAAGATGCTTCTTAGTATCCTCTTCTCATGTGCCGTCATCATGCCTCATCTCATTTTCGGATTAACACTTAGCTCTCACGCCCTTCCTTTACCTTTCTTTCCTTTCTTCCCACCACCTCCACCACCACTGCTCTCACTCGGTCCCGCGCCACCTAAGCCTGGCATTCCCATACCACCAGGGCCACCAAATCCTCCCATTCCTTGACCTAGCATGCTCATCATATCAGCAGGCATACCTCCCGGACCACCAGGTCCTCCGGGTCCACCCTGCATCTCACGCATCATATCCTTAAACGCATTCTCACTAACCCCGCCTCCCGTCATAGCAGCACTATACGCAGGCAACAATTCACCCATCTTCCAACCCCGCGGCACAGCCGGCCTGGGCCAAGGCTCCTCATCAGACGGCGCGTTTAAACCGGGGACTCTAACACGGCGTAGCGCATCGCTGTGATCGGTTGTAGGGTTCGATTGTAAGTGTTTCGCGATCAGGATGTAGAGATGGTGTTTATTCTTCACATCCGCGGCGTAGGGGTTGTTGTTCTTCGAGGAGGAGGAGGATTTTGAGGGGAGCTTTACCCGGACGCGGCCTGGGTTCGCCCAGTCTTTGGGGTGGATGCGGTGGGCTTCGAAGACGGGGGATAGACGCAGGGAGGCGCATGCTGAGGCTATTTCACGGGCTAATGGGTTGGTGACGGCGAGGGATTTGGGGACGCGTCGGCCTTCGGCGCGGGATCGGGTGGAGTCGAAGTAGACGGGGTACAGCATTTGGTAGTCTTTTATGTCGCTGGCTTGGACTTGTTGTGCTGGTGCGGTGGAGGGGTGTTGGAGGAAGGACCCTGAGGAGGGGGGGATTTGGGTTGATGGGCGGGAGGATGAGGTAGTGGTGGTGGGAGGTTGTTTTTGTCGTAGGATGTCGGATTCGACGAAGTCGTCGATGTCGCCTTCGCTGGGGTCGGATAGGTCGCTGTCGGATACTTCTTCTATGCGCGCGTGCGACATTTTGTTTTTATGTGTGTGTGTGACTTGTAGTAGTGTAGATGGTAGCCGCGAGAGGTATATCTTAGTAGGTTGTAATTGGTTTGGCCTTGATGATGATGGTGGAAGTTTCTTTGGTAGGTTGAAGTTTGGCGGCGGGATCCCGACGATCTGGAATTTTGGATGTGGGGTAGCTGTTTCTCATTTGGTGGATTAATTGACGCTGAAGCTCCCCCCTGATAGTGGGGTTGAGCCCGCTAATCTTCAAGTGGTAGGGGTCCCTATCCGGTGTTTAGGTAAGCAAACGGCTATTAAATTGACGCTCCCCAACGAGCGTTCGAAACTTTCTCCAATACAACATCAATTATCGTAGGACCTCTTCTCTCTGTATACAAGGCACGCGAATTTACGACGTGGTTATATTACGAGTAATGAGTATAATCATAATTTCATGAAATGAGACGAAAGCATTTATCAAAAGCTACCTACCTTCTTCTAATTCCTAGGCAAAAGAATAATAATCTACAGCTCCATACACACATCTAGACATGCTACATTGCCGAGGATACCAACCTCGCAGAGCACCTATTGAGATATCCCACGTTCCACAATCCTCGTGTAACAAGAACTACAGCAACAATAGCAGGTTTGAATCGATACCACGGACATAAATAATTCCACCAAGTGGAACAAGGCCCCCTGCTAACTAACTCAACTCCGAAAGCAATTTTCTAAGTGGGCAATGAGATAGACCAATGAATAGGTTCTCTTCTCCAGTCAAACGTTAATCGGAGACGTCATTTATATCCGGGAGTTCGGAATGTAAGATTTACGTCTTGGCCCGGGTTGGCACAGGATAAACCTGAGTCTAGCCTCATCTCACATAAATTGAAGAACCGAGGCGTCTTCCGCCGACTCCCGGCACATCTAAAGGTGTGTATGAAGTTGTAATGTTCTTTAACTAAGCCATGTTCAAGGAATGGGTAGTCCTCGACGGTCCAGGCGGCTTATACGAGATGATACGTTGCTGGCTTTCAACACCGATGTCCGCCCTAGCGAACTGCGCGTTCGCTCATGATACTATCTCCCTCACCCGTTTCTAATCAAATCTACGTTATTGAAGTACCGACATGACGGACATTGATCAACAAGTATCAATGGGTAATTTACATTAGCCCGGGTTGTTGCCGTGCTCAGCTGATAGAACGTGCCTATCATGGTCATTACCATCCCCCCATTTATGATACCAATCCGATGCATCACCAATGACACCCCGCATATAGGCGATTCTCGAACCCCAGGTTGGGGCACGGGCACGGGGATAAGGAGGGTAGGACGGAGCTATTTATGAGCTATGCAGGCTGCAGTCATCATGGTTGATAAACACCGTGGTTGAACATTGGTAGAGATATAAATTCCCTTTCCTTCTCATAACTATTCAGGTAGTTAAGAAGGCAAAATGTCGACAGGATTTGTGGAATTCCTGGCATCTTTTCGAAACGCTTCTTTGACAGAGCTTTTGACGTTCAGCATTTTATTGGTAAGACCAACCCAAGGGCACATTGCGGATAAATCAATAGCTAAACTCCTTATAGTCATTCGCTCTAGGTATCACCAAGGTCATATACAATGTCTTCTTCCATCCCCTAGCTGCCGTGCCAGGCCCGAAGTTATATGCTGCTTCACATCTTCCTATGAGCTTGTCGCGGGCTCAGGGCTTATCTCCTTACAAATTCGCCGAATTGCACGAGAAGTATGGTCCTGTCGTACGAGTTAGTCCAGATGAAGTCTCTTGTGCTGGCACTTCGTCTTTCAAAGAGGTATACGGAGCCCGATACGGTAAAGGAGGGCCGTTGACGCGCGATACGCGGACTGCACCCCTTAAGGAGATGTTTGGCGCTGTTGGTATGTTTCAAGCCGATGTGCAAGAACACGCTCGAATACGCCGTCAACTCAACCCTGCCTTCTCTGAGAAAGCCTCACGGGAGCAGGAACCATTGGTAATGGGATATATTGACTCTATGATCCGAAAGTTGAGAGGCGCAACACAAAAGGGAGAGGCTGTGGACATAGAAAAATATACGATGTGGGCAACATTTGATATCCAGGGCGATCTCGTTTTCGGGGAAGATGTATTCAAATGCATCGAGAAAGAACAATATCACCCTTGGGTCGGTATCAGCGTAACTCACTTCACCGGAGGAGTTTACATACACGCTCTAAACGACATCTCACCTTGGGCCTTATGGTTCTGGCAAATTTTTCTCACTCCGAAGAGCTTTGCGGATGCACAGGCCTATCATATCAAGACTACATTGGACTTGGTAGACAAAAGGATGGCTGCTGGGAAAACCGATCATCCGGACTACATGTCGTTCATTACTAGCGAAAGCAAAGCTGGAGAGGTACTGACTAAAGAACAAATGTATGCCAATGCTCAAATGCTAGTTATGGCCGGATCGGAAACCGTAGCCACAGCCTCTGCTACGACATTGTTCCTTTTACTCACCAATCCAGAGACAATGAAAAGGGCCAAGAACGAAATCCGATCCACGTTCGACTCAGACAAGGCTATTACAGCCGCCTCCGTGTCGCAGTTACAATATCTTGTTGCTGCGATTGACGAGGCTATGCGGGTTTGGCCCCCAGTTGCTACTGCTTTCAATCCCCGTCAAGTGTCCTCGGGGGGTTGCGTCGTAGATGGGTATTTCATTCCTCAAGGTTCGATTATTGGTATTCATAACCACGCTGTCAGTCGCTCAGAGAAATACTTTAAGGATGCGAAGAAATTTGTCCCCGAGCGTTGGTTAGGTGATGAGAGATACGCCGAAGACGCCAGGGAAAACTTTCAGGTGAGCCCAGCATTCAATACGTAGTGTATGTTTCTCCTAACTCGATTAATCGCAGCCGTTCAGTTCCGGCCCATTAAACTGCATAGGACTCACTATGGGCAGGATGGAAACTCGAGTCATCCTGGCGAAACTCATTTACAACTTCGATATCGAACTGATGCCAGAATGCCGCAATTGGCTCGAGAACCAGAAGAATTTTGTTGCGTGGCACAAGCCCCCGCTGATGGTGAAATTGACGCCAGCGAATAGAGATTAGATGTATATAATCAGGGGTAGCGGTCTAGTTAGTAGCTATTGGCCTACTGCATGCATGCAGCGATTTTCAACAGCATGCATATGAGAAATTTTTCAAAATGTCTACGATGACGACGCATATATATCTACCTACATCGTATGATCGACACTGCACAATGAATGACGTGAGACAATAATCTACATCGAAAATGCACATTTCGTCCCCAGTAATGGGAATAACGTTTGTAAATTGTAGATGAGACATTGCTGCGCTGCGGCCCCCAATCTTCCCTTTCCCGTGGTATCGGTCCTGTTTTCTTGCGTATGGCGAATCATAGGGGTGGTCACTGGGTCATTTGATGTGATTTGTACGACGCGCCTTGCAGCTCTCGGTACGCTGGACGTCAGACGGCACGTAGTTTAGCCTGAGTGTGAACGGGAATGCCGTGGCCGTTGGCCGTGTGTAGGTACCCTACATACTTGAGTATATCGGATGTCGGTTGAGACGGTGGGGAGATATATGCCTATTTATTCTTACTAGTTAAAATTATTTAAAGCTATATGTACTGTATATTTCTAGTAGTCTCAAGTATAGATGTTACCCATTGCGTAGTGCAGTATTCGCAGAAAGGGGCGCCATCTACCTACTTGTAGGTCGTACAGCAGGCGTGGAGACACTAGTATATGCCCCAGGTCTATTGAATATCGACTCCAGTGGGTAACGTACCGGTATCTAGCATTATATGTACCATAAAGGAGGCAGGCGACTACATAAGCATAATTCCAAGTCAAGGGAGCTATTACATGTAGCTCAATGATTGAAACTAGGGGCGATGATTCTACAGTGAGAAAGAGGAAGAAGAAAGCGTGGTAATAGCTTCCAATTATGATTTCTTTCGATGTCTCCTACGAACTGACCAAAATATGCATCTTTATAAGGTTGGTAATGATTATATAAACGGCACCTCTGTTAATTGTCTCGGTATGTAGGTACAGTTCCGAGACAAAAAGGGCTGCAGGGCTGGCGTCCAGAACATTGAGCTTTGTTGAGTCTACGGGAAGCTACCAACTCGTCTCGGAGTATATTGACTCCAGAGGAACTACATTGCGATCGTTAATAACGTAAAATATTTACTAATAAGTATTATAGGGGGCTATATGCTCTGCATCCTCGAATTAACACCATACACTTCGAGAAAGGGGGGCAAGGGGATCAACCCTCCATGGTAGGTATATATAGACAACGGCATAAGCCGCCACCATCCAAGGTTCCTGAATATCGGAACCAATCCTGCACTTTTTCTTCTCCAATCGGTTAGAATGCCGTTATGGTAGTTGAGCTTGAAGGAATGGTGGCATGACAAGCTTTATGTAGCTTATAACTATCCATATGATTTATGATAGTTTTTGACGAATAGTAGTCTTTAACTTATTATAGATGAAGACATTTCTCCTGACTGAGAATTGACTAATATTCTTATTATGTCCTCATGTCTATATGGACCATGGATTTCTTGAGCGGCTTACGTTCGTGTAACCCCCTGGTTTCCGAGTTTTCTCAGTAAGAAAACAAGGTTAAGTGAAAGCGTCCATCTATGTTAGAAAGGCAGTGCTGGTACGTTAGATGGTGTTGTCGAGTAGTATTTAATTTTGCATTGATGAATATAAGCTATTGGGTGGTAATGCTATCGACAACGTCGGATGATTTTTAATGGGATCAAGAATTGAGCAGACCGATATTAATGTGAAACAACGTATTATCAGACATTGTGTGATCTGGTCTAATGATCTCCTGAGATGTGTCCTTCCACAAAATACGTAACCTCGCATTTGTTAACATCCTCCCTGTCATGAGCTTAACTCAACTCATTATTAGGATTATATATGTACAATACAATGAAGACAGCCTTCTAGGCTTCAGAGACATGTTCCCCGGTCTCCCCGGTTAAGCCACCCCCTTGATTAAGGAGAAACACATCCATCGAGTTAAAGATCCTTTTCTGTGCATCCCGTATCCGATCCCATGCAACCGTTTGATACGAATCCGTCCGGCCGCCCCTATGCCTAAGATTCGCTCCGTGAAATGAGACATCTCGTACAAATCAACACCGTGGGTCCACTATTTGTGTTCTGGGTCCGTTCCGGCCGAATCCTGGCCTTTCGTCGTACCTGAAATTTCCATATCATCTGCGTATCTGCCCTTCTTTACGCGTTTTTCCTATTCTTTCTCTTGGGTAAACCGGCTGCCCTTCGCGACTTCACATCACCTTCGGCCAACCATCGGCTTGCCTTGATAAGCTGAACGACATTGAGGAATTGTTTTAGTGCCATGATGGGGGCACTAATTCCAGCAATGATCCAAGGCCAAGTTGAATCCATCTTATTCGCACGTGCCATCTCGAGGGCGGCTGCACTATAAGGGTTGGTAAACAGCTGTCGAAGTACCGAACTGTTAACTTGCGCGCCGGTCTGGATGGCAGCGACCTTGGATTCGCCGAGGGGTTGGAGGAGCTGTGGCGACAAGAGCGGCGAAGAGAAAGAAAGTAGGTATAAGGCGATGAAAAAGGTCTCGTTAAGGGCGCAGCATAGGAAGAGGACGGTCTAACATCGTGTAAGTTTCAAATATCACACCAATTTGTGAATACCAAACGAACCTTGTTGGTGTAGTATATGTTTAGTAGCCAACTTCTTGACTTATCGACGCTCTTGTGGCTGGTATCTGAGCCACCCATAGCAAGCGTCGCATACATGTGCATGTAGTGACTTGCGAAGTCTATGGTAATCAGGCCTTGGAATATGATGGCCCATCGTGGGAATGCCGAGGACAAGAAGACAAGTAGGCACGAGGTCGTACATCGATCGGTTACCATGTCCAGGACCGCGCCGAACTTTGTAGACTGTTGGAAGTATCGAGCCGCATATCCGTCGAGGGCGTCCAGGAGACACGAGATGCTATAGAGTAGGGAGCATGTTCGAGGGTGAAGGGGCATATAGTAGAGGGATGCGATAGCTAGGACGATACGGGAATAACCTATTCGTTCAAACTTCAAGGTCAGCTTGAGTTACATTACTAAACATATACAAATACAGAATATAGAAGATAAGAGATTTGCGGCACAGCCGGGATAGGTGAAGTATCGCGTGAACAAAGCAAAACGCATACCTATAATATTAGGCCAGAATAGGAAGATGTTTTCGTGGGGATAGTCATCGTCAACTTTAGAATCTGACGAAGCAACGGCCTGGCCATTTCCGTTTCCGTTGCCGTTCATGGTAATTTCGTTCCCGGAGGATTTGGTAGGAGTGTCATCTGCAGTTGCGGCTGCTGCCAAAGCGGCCTGCCGCCTGGTTCTTCTTTCAGACATGGTGGCTTTCCCTTAAGTGGGATGAAATGGTGGGTGGTAAAAGGGATAGAATAATACACTAGAGGTAGGTTATGTATTTATTAGGAGTCGAGCTGAAATCTGATTCAGACTTTGGCACCCAGCTGAAAGGTAGTGGGTGGCTAAGGTGATACTCTCGTGGCGTAGTATGATATATGATATATGTCTATGGCTGTGGTTACGAAGTGTAGGTACCTACTCCGTAATGTATGGCGTATAATGTATGGTATGATAATCCTCCGTTAAAGAAAGTGGAATAAGACGGAGAAGCTATCAACCGATAATAAAAAATAATTGAAGGATGCGACCGCGAAGTGAATAGGGAATAGGGAAACGTCAGATGTGAATAAAAGAAGTGCTTGTCAAACAGGACAAATCACATAAGTATCAAAGGGAAATTAACAAGAAGGGTTATGTTCTGATGAGCTGATGAACTGATAAGAAGACGACCCTCTCGGCTTGGTCGGGAAGGACGGAGAGAATATTTTGCCAGTTGCCAGCGATCGCGTCAACCGCGAATAAGAAGAGGTAAGAGAGCTGTTCGAGGCTGTCAGACCCAGTAAATTATTTTTTTTCTGCTTAGGAACTGCGACTTAGGGAGATAAGGCTGCAGGGGTCATCTAACTTTAATTAGTCTAGCTTTTCCCTCTTATACCTAGGTACGCTAAGATAGACCCGTACTCCATACGTCTAGGTACCTGGGCATGCAGGCAGCACCTACGTAGTGCCTTAGCTAAGGTAAAATACGCCTGGGCAGGAACGAATTTAGATGTACATAGCTAATATACTTTGCTTAGATAGCCTGAGCAGCCCTGGAGGTGTACCTGCCTAGGTAGGTACTTAATATACTTGGTTTCATACAAGTAAATCGTAATTCGGGACGGGTCGATCAAAAACCTTACCCTCCACCTTAGGATTGCCTTCTTATGCTTGTCAGCTGCCTGCAGCTCTGCAACTTTCCTGCTTGCGTCTTCTCCCTTTTAAAAATGACCCCATGAATATTCAGTATTACCAACTTCATTGGACAACATTTCATTGAAATGTCGTGCTACAAACAATGTTCGCCCTGATATTATTATATGAGGACGCAAAGCTTGTCGCTGTTTGATAAATCGTAGGACATAGGCCGATCATCATGAATTGAGCGGGTACAAGACACAATCATATGGACTTCCATCACTATTGACCAGCCAGCCCTGAGTTAATGAATCCGTCCTTCCCGAGGAATGCATCGTGGCAACAACGGTCTTCCAGCCGCGCCGGTTTTCTCTGACCGACTGTACTACCCATCGAAATATATTCCATACGATTCCGGTGTTGTTGGCTTCCTCTTCGGCTTATCGCGATCATCTTGCATGCATACACAACATTCACCCTAGGCAGAACCCTAGCCGATGATGTCTGCCGCTGACACCAAAAAGAGGGTTTTCAGGTAACATTAGCTTACAAGATCTTGCAAGTCCAGTCTCGTGCCGACCCCCTTTAGACCCTAAAGAAGATCGGATTAGCAGTCTAAATTAGGAGACTGAACCGTTCTTTGGAGATGCTATAATATTCTGTAGGAATTCTACTACCTATGCGCTATCCTGGATGAGACCTTCGACACTACCTTACGAATCCTAGCGGGTTGACGCAGCGTGTAAGAGAGTCGTTGCAGTCTCGAAAGGAGTCAGGCCATTTCGTTATAGGATAAGGTCATTGGGCCTGTCCGCTTTGAGGCCGGTCTTGAAATAGAAAAGGATTTTATCGGGTCTGCATTTCGAGGAAGAAGGATGCGAACAGAACAGTTGAGGATTGGCTACTCACAGCTTCTTACGCCTCATGTTGGGGATACCCTTAAGAGACTGCTGTATTGGTACACGTATGTATATGGACATGCACCCGGTTCCAGCAGAGTCTCCATATCCACCTATTAGGCCTATTAGAAGACGAGCGGTGGGATTCTCAATTGACCTTGAGCTTGATGGCTGCCTACCTACATACTACATTTACGCACCAAGTATCAACTATCAGCGTATTTGCAATATGTAGTGTCCTGTACCTAGGTATTGGTCCAGGATTTTATTGTAATCTGTAAGTATCCTCTACTTGCGGGGTGGGCGTTTTTTTTTGCTTTTCGAGCCCACTTGGATTGGGGTTGCACATGCACTCCTATAAGTACCGAGTACTTCTTACATGGGTTCACTCACCCGATGGTGCATTCGAATCCTTATAACTTATGTTCTATGTACAGAACATGTAGGGTATATAGGGTATAGTATGAAGACGCTGGTAACTGTGATGCACTGTAACCATTCGAAGCCACCGAGTTCTTGTTCTCGGACCTTCTTTGAGAATACATTTACTAAAAAAGCCTGCTATCATCATCAACTTGTCTACTTTAAGGAAATGTACAAAATGATAAAGTATAACACTGCATTAACCTGTTGATGCAAATACTACATTAGGTAGGGTTAGGTAAGGTATGTTGTATGTACATTTGCTTCCCTCCTTCCTACCGACGGACAATTAATCGTCGCCCAACTTTTTGTCCTACAGTAAGTACCAGAGTACCCGGCTCGACCCTGATTAATTCGTTCCCACTTACCATTTTTACCTGCAATCCCACCCCCTACCATCTACCTAAATACCTAAATAATATCTACACGCACATAATCCCACCTATCCTATCCAACCTACATCACTCTCCCCACCGCCCTCACCATTATAAGCAAAGCTTATCACTATATTTGATAACTACCACTACTACCAACTACTACCAACAAACACCAATCGAACCAGATTTAAAACCTGTATTTGGTTACGGATTTCCAGTCGAATATAATAGAAATCAACCAGCCTTATTTAGGTGTATTTACGTTGTGAATAACTTGGACTTAAGGATACCTGCCAGTGCCAACAAACATCACTCACTATCCACTCTTCGAAACGGCAACTTTTTCTTTTTTTTTTTCTGCTTTCTCCATTTCTCCCCATTCCTCGTTGATCACCGTTTACTCTTTCCACCCTCAATTCCAAGAGGCTGAACGTGAAAATCTTGGTTGTCAATTTGTTCAAGTCTATGGTTGGTAGTTGGCGAATAGGTCCAAGGCGATTACTACTACTAAAGTGCCTCCAATCTTGATCTAATTCGGACCCGAGTCCAACATACCAATTTTTTCTGATTCTAGCAAACAATCGCAAATAGGTCAAATAGGCCCGAACACCCCCAAGGTTTCTCAAGTTTCTAGAGGAGAACGGCATATGCACGAGACTGTCGGTCAGCTTTCAAGAGTACGAGAGCGGTCTACTGAGTAGCAGCGGGAAGGGCTTGTGTTTCTCTGCGTCTTCCAGCTTTCAGGTATGCTTGCTCGGATCCCCCTTCATGAAGACCCTGTCCCTTCGTACTCACTCACCTTGCTCGCATTTGGTTTCCTACTTGCCCACCTATCGTTTACTAGGTATCATATAAAATAGTATATTTGGTCCATCTTCCCACACCCTATATGCATAAACACATATATATCAGAACTATATCAGGCCATAAAAAGAGCAAAAAGATCCCACCACTCGGTCCCTCTCGCGGAATCATCTCGTACTTCCCGATAGATCTGCATCTCAACTTTCCCATAGCGAACTGACATCATCCAGCTCCACTACGCCCAGGGTTCTCGCCCAACCGCCGATCGCGCCCCGATAGACGATAGACCCTCGTCGGCAGAACCTGACCGGGTCAAAGTGTACGCCGGATCTTTACTAGCCCACAATTATTTGTGGTCGCATTCACTATCCTATCCCCTAGGGATTTCGATTTCTACTTTCCTGTGAAGAAAAACAAAGTAAATAAATAATATCAGCAAGAACTGCTGACAATCATTCTGATATGTGCGCCGCTCGGGATCGCCACCCGACATTCAAGGCGAGCTTCGCCGAAAGAGCCAACAATGCCTCCCATCCACTCGCCAATTACCTCCTCCGTTTGATGGAATTGAAGAAGTCGAACCTATGCCTCAGTGCCGACGTTACGAACGCCCGCGAACTCCTCGCCTTGGCCGACAGAATTGGTCCATCTATCGTCATACTTAAGACACACTACGATCTCGTCGCTGGATGGGATTACAACCCACAAAATGGCACCGGTGCTAGGCTGGGTGCTATTGCAAGGAAACATGGGTTTCTGATCTTCGAGGACCGGAAATTTGGCGACATTGGTAGTACCGTTCAACTACAATATACGGCCGGCAACGCGCGCATTATAGATTGGGCACATATCGTTAATGTTAACATGATCCCCGGCAAAGCAGCCGTGACTGCACTTCAACAAGCAGCCGCGCGATGGCGTTCACGTGTTAATTACGAAGTGAGGACGTCCGTCTCCGTCGGTACACCCGTTTCAGATTCATTTGATGGCGAAGATGACGAACAGGGCACACCAGCACCTACGTCTCTGTCTGCACCAAAAGAACCCCCACCTTCGTCGAGCGCCCGCACCGACTATAACAATGGTAGAAAAGGGAGCATAGTGTCAATCACCACCCTCACACAATCCTTCGAGCCCGTGGATTCGCCCCGCTTCTCCAATACTATTGCCGAGGGGGACGAGCTTGTATACGCGGGCATTGAAGAGCCTCCTTGGGAGCGAGGGCTCTTGATCTTGGCGCAGATGTCCAGTGAGGGAAACCTTATGACCAACGAGTATACACAAGCCTGTGTCGAGGCCGCTAGAGAGCACAAGGACTTCGTGATGGGTTTTATTTCGCAGGAGACGCTCAACACCGACCCAGCGGATACCTTCATCTCCATGACACCAGGATGTCAATTACCCCCTGAAGGAGACGAGGAAGATGGAGATGTTGCAGGTGACGGTCTTGGCCAGCAATACAACACGCCCGCTAAACTTGTTGGTCTGTGTGGTAGTGATATCATCATCGTTGGACGAGGTATTCTCAAAGCGGCATCACCACCACAGGAGGCTGAGCGTTACCGAAGAAGAGCATGGAAGGCGTACCTCAACCGGATAGAGCAACATGCGTGAGAATGAGTAGAAGTGTCTCACCTCATACCAAACGGATCTATATCAAGCATGGATGATACAATTTCGTCCCGGAGCCTGGCGTTCTTTTGGCTTTATACAAGATAGTCATCGTTATGATTCGGGTTATATGGCCGAGCAAAAACTTGGAAAGTTCTTTGATGAGAGTAAACATACTATATCCAATTATACACAACGAATTCTATTCCATTTCTTGGTATGCCTTACGTCTCGCTAAGGTCGTGATAAAACATGTGGACTGCACCTAGGTATATGAAGATGAGTGGGTAGGTAGGGGCTGGGGTTGAATATACCCGTGTAAACCAATTCATCTTTTTTTTTTCAAGATCTTTTTATTCACTTTTACTTACTAATCTCACCTAAGAATACTATTCCTGAGAATTACTATATGGAATATGGAAGAACATAGAGATACGAACCAATTGCGTTAACAAATAATCCGCCCAATATTGACTTCGTGACTCGGGGATTAGGGGCTTTAGGTAAGCTATACAAGCGGTAAGCGTCGGGGACAACGGTGTTAGCGGGGAAAAACCCGTAGTAATATGGGGATCGTAGCGGTACAGTCATCCACTATGGGAACGCTAATTGAGACGCTAACGGATGCCAAACTTCCAAGGTCGTCACTATAGACAGTGGGGGTTTCCACTTCCTATTGCCACATACTCTATAGAACGGGAACTACCAACTACCACCTTTTATTTTGCTACTACTAAGCGAGGAAGGAATGATAGTAACAATTTCCAGGTGGTAAAAAGGTAGTTGCGGTTTGCGTAGGCAGGTGAGAGTTTACATACTATTAGTAAGAAGGAACTTGCATCTCCGTCCTGTTCTGCGCTATCCCTACCTATTTCGTACCCAATCGCACCTACCAAGGTTATACAAATTGGATGGTTACAGGGCAGGCACATGCCGGAGGGGCCTGTCTGGCAAAACTTTAGAACCAACCTTGAACCTTCTTTTTCGCAAGACCTTGCCGTACGATTTCATACACCGCGCAAACCCGTGGGACTGCTCAGTCAGGTCCAACCTTCCCATCCAATCTACAAACCGCCCTCTACCACCTTTACCACCTACCCCTCAACTCCAATCGGGTCGCATCTTTTCGAATTACACTAAACTGTTACTATCACCACCATGTCTGCCGCCGAAGTAGCTGAGGATGTCCAAATGGATATAGACGACAAAACGACGACGCCCGGGGTTCGCGGTAAAGCGACGCCTCGCAAACGCCGAAGAATTGTCATTAGCTGTACCGAATGCCACAGGAGGAAACAGAAGGTAATAAGAAAGTCGCAACACTATTATCATTGCCATTTTACTACACGTTACATGTTACTAATGTTATTCCCCAGTGCGATCGGAAGATGCCATGTACGAATTGCGTGTCGCGAAACAAGGAAACCTCTTGCCAGTACGAAACTGGAACACCGCTTGCGAAGCCCGATCGGAAAGGTTCCTCACAGAACAGCAACGACCGTTCGCCCGAAGCGATCGAGAGCATACCCATTAAAACTGCGGATTTCGGATATTCTTCCAACGGCGCATCGACTCTTGGAATATTACGCAAGATAGATGGAAATGGCGATATTTTGCCGGGGATGCCGTCGGAGAGCTTCGATGGAGCTAGCTTTGGTCTCCGCGAACGATACAAGACCTTGATCCGGTTATTGCCATCCAGGATGTACGTCGAGAAGTTGGCGGATATCTATTTTCGTGATATCAATTGGCAGTATTTCAGCATCGACGAACCCGTATTTAGGGAGTTGATGGAGAAGTGGTACAGCATGCCATTCAACGTTCTAACGACTGCAGGCCCACAAGCTTTAGATCCGATGCTGAGGGCTTTCCCAGCTCTTCTCTTCCAGGTCATAGCCTCGTCTCTTCTATACCTACCCGAAGGAACCGAGGAGACTTTCGAGTCGTTAAAATACACGAGCAACATGACATTCGAGGATTTGGCGTTTGACTACAGCGAGTCGGGTGTTTCTATAATGTCGCTTCTGGGAAAACGTCAAATGTCCATCATGACCGTGCTGGCTGGTTGGGCGAGAGCCGCCTTCCTCAAATATACCGGCATGGTTACTGAATCTGTGAGTAATCGCGCACATGCCTGAGCTATATCCACTATTCTGACCTCCTGATAGTGGCATCAAGTGGGGACCAGTATTCGAGATGGACAAGAAATTGGCTTGCATCGTGACCAGATGGATCCCCAACCGACCTCAGAAGACTCGACAGAAGAGGCATTAGAAAAGATGTGGATGGCGCAACTGCGACGGAGGGTTTGGATGACACTTCTCGGATGGGATGTACACACGGGCGCCGTCCTCGGCAGACCTACTAGCGTAGACTACCGTCTTTTGAACCGGAGTCTTCCGGTTGACTCGATCATCCCCAAGGATAGGAGGAAATCCCCTATAGTGCAGCGTGGCGAAAACGACCCACCGACGCCTCTAACGCGTGCTTTGTGGTCCTGGGAGCTCTTGCGACCGTTGCGAGATATTCTTGACCTAGAGAAAGAAGGGCCATTCCCAAAAGATTTCTCTAAAGTCGAAAAAATCCACCAAGAGTTGTTAGATCAGCAAGCCAGGACCCCGCCACCATTCCGTATGGAAAATCCAGACACGCGGTTTGATGACCAACCAGAATGTTGGTGGTTGCCGTATGTGCGGCCGACTCTACCCCAAATTACTAATTTTAACATAATGGCGCTACACCGTCCATATGTTTTCACCCGACATACTAGTCGCCACGAAGCGCTCAAGGCGAGTTTGGGCATGCTCGACGCGCAAAGAGTGTACTTTGCTCTGCTGAAACCGCAGCAGCACAAGACGTTCACGCTCTTTTTCGGCACATTCGATGCTATTATCATGATCGCATCGATATACATCTTATTTCCGAGAGAGCATGGGGAGATGTTGCCAACGGTTTGGCAGCATTTTGAGTGGGCCATCGAACGTTTCGATAAGATGTCTAGTCGGAATCGGCTCGCGTCAGCCGCATTAGGGGTTCTGCGCGCGATTTACGTACGCTTCAAAAAGGCCGTAGGTTGTAGTGTTCTGGCCAAAAGCATTAGTGAGGCAAATGGTAACTCTACAAGCTGTAGTGGAACATCTGGGAGTTCTTCTGATATGCAGACGCCTGGTTCCCAGTCTGACCTTTCTTCGCAGAACCCAAGCACTGCATCAAGCAACAGTGCTTCTTCAGCATTGCCGACAATAGCAGACCGAGGTGGAAGCGTTAGCTCTAGCGCGGGATTGACGCCGGGGTCGGGGGCTGATAACAATAACATATTCGCAAATGCGGATTGGTCGCTACCCACCGACTTTGACTTCAGTTCCATAATGCCCATGTATCCCTTGGGTGATATCGCGTATAATGATTTGACGGCTATACCTGCTAATGATGGGGCACCCACAACTTGGCCGGAGACGTTTCCGACTACGATGGCAGGGACGACCGGTCTTGCGCCGAGTGCATCGGCCGGACCCACGGAGGAACAGTCAACGTGGCAGTTTAGCGGCGAATTTGACACGGGCGCTTTGTGGCCCTTGTTGAACCAATTCCCGACTTATTGATGATTTAGTCAGCTTACGAGGTTAAATGATGTATGTTTTTGGATATACGAATAGGGATCAAGCGTTGTTGAAATAAAACGAAAAAAATATTATTTATAAGTCATGATATCACCCTTGCCGTTAATTCTTGGTAAGGGGACTGGAGTTTATAAAATGCTGTCTTGACGCTACTACGCAAGTCCGAAGTGAATTGTATTTCCGATGCTATGTACTTGTTCGTTTTGTATGTCCCCTTTGGGGGGGGCTGTAGGGCAGATAGCTTATCTCCGAAAGTAGGGGGGTGTGATTGGTGAGGGGGCTTATGTCCGACGGCTTTTATGTACTTTCCTGGATGGCCTGCGCCTATACGGCGTTGGGTGAATAAGGATGGAGCTTGTGGTGGCTTCAATTTGGAGATACCATTATTATATTTATGAGCGTGTTGTGGATAATTACTCAAGTATATATATGTGTGTGTTCTTCATTCTTTAAGAAGATACCTCCTAGTTGAAGTTGTTTCTCATCTACCTAGGTTAGATATTCTCTCTGCCAGTACATATTCGCTTACTAATTAAACATCAAGCTTCGCACTTCCCCAAACGTGTGCTGTGCACCTATTATATGTCGTCACCCAAGGCACTTTAGGTAGATGGGTGATAGATAATCGTAATTTACTAAGGACTCTTATGTTGATTTGATTTCATCGTCGTGGTCGTTCGAGTACCTATATAGCCGTCGAACTCTCTACAGCCTTTGCCTACGGCATAAGTAGGGGAGATCTGTAGATGTTGGCACTATTTCTATAGGGGGTAACACAAGGGGTTGTAAATAGGCGGTATAACTACCTGGGTATGTAACGAAGGGAAGGCAACGTCATTTATAACACACATATTGACTAAGATTACATTGAAAGGTTGGCGAGTCAAGATTCTGTGACATACATAGTATACCTAGGTACCTAGGGAGGCATATACGGCGGGATCCCAAGTGCCGGGAGCGATTTCCCCCCAAAAAAAAAGCCACAGTGGCTGATCTACGTGACTACAAACCAATGAAAGCTAGTTTTGTGTCTAGGGAGCCGCTTTAATAACTAGGTAGGATTACACGAAATGCATCTTCCCGAGAAGCTTTGAGTATGACAAGCATTTGGCATGTATTTCGACCTCTAGATTAACTACCCAGGCATATAAGTTAACAGACATAGAATTATAGCGCGGAGGATGATTAGAAGAAATCCTAACATTAAGGGATACTTAAAACATTACAGAAAATATAATATACTCCTCTCTTGCCTACTAAGTCTTTCATACTCCATAAATACATGAGAATATATTTTCCTGCTTGCTATTCTTAACGTACTTTTATCGTCTCTCAATAAGGCTTTGCTACAATACAAACATATCGGCGCACAAGAAATGGCAGGCTTTACAAGTAAGCGAACAAAGAACCCTACTATGCTCCAAGTGGTCTACTAAATATCAGATAGGGTTAATCGTTAGAACTCTCAAAATCTCTAGCATATGCTTGATCTTCGTCGACTCTCTTGTCAACAGTATTGCTCGACCCATCGCTATCTGTGAGCACTTTATTGATAATATCGCGCTCTCCAAGAAACTCGATGGTACGATACAGTTCGTATTTCCTTTAGTCCAGCTGATTATGACGATTTCTCTTATTTCTAAACTGAAATCCCCCCACGAATGTCAGCTGAGACCATCAACTGTTGATTGATACGACACTAATATGTTTGTTTGACCTAGTGCTTAATATATTGATCTTCATTGCGTGCTTAATACTGTATTTCAGAATCTCTTCCCCAGCCCGGGGGAGAGGACGCACACTTCCTGAGCAACAACGGATTATCACATGCGTTAAATATCGGCATGTTTTTGGACAGTTACCAGATAGGGGTTCTGGGATGCATAATGCTCCATTGAGTTCTGACGGCTATAGTGCTGCCTGGAAGAAGACGTTAAGGATTGCTACGGAATGTGTGATTCAAACTATGATTGTACACTATATCGACCCATCACCAATCACACCAAGTGCGACATCTTCCCTCCAGCCATTATTGCAATATGATTTTGAAATGTGGGTGAAACAATCAGGATCGTTGCGAGCGGCAAAGAAACATATGGCTCGGTATAGGCCGGAGTTGGGAGAATCAACCCGCGCAACGAAGAACGAGTGGACAGCAGAACAGCGCATCGAGGACATCCTCGCGATTCTCCAGAGCAAAACCTCACGCCAGGCAAGGGCAAACAAGCCTACCGAGACTAAAACAACTGGAAATTTTAGCCTTGCTGAATATTTTAAACCTAACTACAGTGAATGGCCAAGCTTTCAACGTGGGTATGGCTTGTACCACGAACTGAGTGGAAACATTCATGCCTACTGCAAATTTCATGATGTCCAGGAAGATATATTTTGGAAATCGGATGGGCATTATTTCGATTGGCTTACACCAAAGGACGACGAGATTAACCATGACACCGGGAAAGTGGATTGGCCCCCTATTCCGGAGAAACAGAGGTCTTAGGCCATAACACGGTTAAGGGAGCTCGCCAAAAGATGGAGAGGACGAGACTGGTTAATTTTCGTCCATGTATTTACATCGGCATGTGAGATATACCATAGATGGTGACTATATGGTTATCCTATTGGTTCACCGCTAGACTTGTGTATCACGGTTTCTCCATACGTGTCCTGATTTGATAATAATATCTGCAGTGCCATGACCGTAGAGTGGATGTGAAAAGGCTATATAAAATATCCTTATAAGCTTGCCTTGCCTTCCGAAGCTTAATGCCTAACTTTTGCTCTCGTAAGGTTGTTCAATCGAGAGGAATGCACGCACCTTCTAAATGGCTACTCCGCTACAATTCACAAACCTCCAAACTCTGAGATCTTGTAGGTTGTGTATTGTATGTGCTAAATCCACCGAGGCTATTCAAATCAAAGATAACTTACACCTTCATACGAAGATAGCCGGTAGAGACGTTGCAGATTTGCCGCCCGGTGCCAGAGGACATGATTTCTGGCTTGGCAATTTTTCTCTCCATGGAAAGAGCAACCTTTCGTATTATGTGATGAGTCTGTCGCGTCAGGGAATACAATCTCGTGCAACCGAAGCAGCTGCTTTATTCACTATCTTGCGACCTGCTTATTCTTTGCTTGTCGGTACTTGTGCTGCGTTAGGTGGTCAAGGATATAGGTATGACACGAAATGTTTCTTTCTTATTGATGCTTATTGTTCTTCTAGTTGTGAAGACGTGATATTTGGTGAGAAGGCTCTGAACTATGAGGAAGGTAACTGGAAGATTGAGAACGGCGCAGCTGTGTTTTCAGCCGATGCACATATCCTGAAGGTTGGTGGCGAATGTATAGAAGGCTTCGTTCAACAAGCGGAGAGAGAGGATTGGAAATATGGCGACTTCATATCGGGTTGCGCAGTGCGAATGGATGCTGCACACATTTTGGATCGAGTTAGAAAGACAGTAAGTCAAGACCCTTGAGTTGTGGTTAATTTTGGCGCCTTACCATACTTCGCGTGAAATAGCAGCTTCGTAATGTTGGAGCGCTGGAGATGGAAGCTAGTGGCGTTGAGGCCTTAGGAATTATTAAAGGGGTATCCGATATGGGGGATGAGCGCAAAGGCCTAGGCCATTGGGCGCACTATAAACCTGCTGTACGAAATGCCACTGAAGCAACTAAGTCGTTCGTAAAGTGGAAGCTCCAGACAACCATAGACGAAAAGCCGGACATAAGTGAGCATCTTCCATGTATTGAAATACCTATGTATGTTATTGACATCTCATAACTATGTAGGTTCCGAACCTGGAGTTATCCTTGCAATGGGCTATGTCGAAAATTACATCTTGAAAGTCGTCCAGAAATTGCTCGAAAGAAACAAGATTGTAAAAATAATTGGAGGAGTATGAAATCTCCAAAAATATTGTGCAGTATGCTGATTACAGGATGCAGGGGACGGTTGGGATCAAGGGAATCCGAATTATCATCCGAAGGCAAACAAAGCGGTATACTTTGACGACTCTAGATTTACAGTAGAAGCGATATATAAGGAGCACCAAATGCTCGAAGTCAGCTTGCCTGGAGTATATGCCCCCCAAACCGCCGACAGAAGACCTGCGCTGAATAACGCAGGGTTCACGATCAATTTTCGTACGTGTAAAGGGTAATTACGTCTTTGACTTACCCACAACTCTGGGCAGCAGTCTTTCAAACCATCCGAACCAGGTTGGACAAGTAGAGTACTTCATAGATATCCTAAAGAGAAGGATTGAATCGCACGAAAATTTTATTGAGGTTATCGATTGGGATTCATTTATTGCTCTTTCCGAGGAGCTTAATGGTTAACGAAATAATGTGACGATAGACAATTACCGTGAAGATAGTAGGGGGTCCAGGGCGCTATGTAGGCGCATTATAGTGGGTTAGTGGATAGGGTATGTACCTAGGTATAAAACCTGGAAGCAATTTAGGCGTGAGTGTGCTTTCCTTTGAAACCGTGCATGTCGATGCATAACTGGGAAAATTGTCAAGGAGGGCTGTTTTTGTATTGTATGTCGTTTCCTACTTAATCCTAAAAAAAAACTAAGTGACTACCTAGGTAGGTATGGAAAGTGCATGTCCCGTAAAAACAAGTACATATCAGGGGAATCCCGAGACGTCGTTGTGTGTAGTTTTCACCCAGAAAATTGGCGTTAAAGTAAGGTTAAGGTTGGCGGGCCTTCCCGAAAAAAACGTGGTGAAAACGGCGACAATTGGGTAACTGCGTCCCTCCACAAACATGCATAGTAGGCAGGTACAGATATAGGTCATCATACCTAGGTATTAGTTAGGAATTAGGTGCCTGGACAACCTTCTGATGTACGTAATCAACCACGAGACTTATGTGTAAAAAGGTAAGTTTATGACCAAGCATAATTTTTTTTTCTTGCAGATTCTCTGATTACCCTAGGGAGGTACATAGGTGTGCTCGCGTACTTGCTTGCCCACCACATATGTACCTACCTCCTACCAAGGTACGTGATTTGTGTTTGGAAGGTAGGTACGGCGCAAATAGACACCTATAATTTCTAGAAGTACCCCTGAACTTAAGGGATCTAGTGGGGTAGTCGACCCCGGATTTTCATGTTGTTGCAGAAATTAGCAGATCTAGCAGGGGCCACAGACAGGGAATGCACGATTTAGGTGGGGCTATACACACAATGTACCTGCTTGTACCTAAGTAGCTCCATATCACATCCATCCCCTTCACTACTTTTCAACAAACTTATTAAACGGCGCAAGCTTCTTACGCTCTTTATTTTTTCTCTTAAATTTTTACTTTACCAGTATTCTGGACTAGATCCGTCAATTCACAATACACATTGCTTACGGCGCTCGTTCATTGCCACCGAGTGCTACGGCGAGTCTTAACGGTTGTGGTTTCCCTCTTAATCTACAATCACCTAAATCGCCGGTTCTACTGCCAATATTTTGCTAACTTCCTAGTACCTTGTCGTATGTATTCACTGCTTGAGAAATCTTGCCTAAAGCTTCGCCGAATCTAATAAAGTTAATAGTTAGGGAAAAGCCACCGACATGGATCCAGGAAAGCATAACCTCGCCGGAAGTCAAAGCCTGATGTCCTTCGTGGCTAGGTACAAACAATATGAAGACAGCCGAGATGACATCGAGGAGCTTCTTAAGGTAAGTTCCTCGGCGCACATATATGTCGCCGTCTTTGTCACGGGTTGCCATCTCACCTGTTCATAGGACCTCATCAAGCATATTGATATTACCGAGTCGCAATTCTTCCAAGAAAATGGCCGTCTTCTTAAAGCTCTATATGATACGCGTCGAGATCTAGAATGCTCACAGACGACCACAAAGGAGCTTAACAATCGTCTGGACGAGATGGAAAGCCACCTTGGATACACTCCGGTAAGTTAAACTACCAGATCAATTCCTTATTCCCGGGACTCCCGACTAAAATTCTCTCCAGGCCCGCAATCCCTATGTCATGGTCCTAGTAGACGGTGATAATGTGATCGTAGGTTCTCACATTAACCCTATATTCTTTCCGCATTAGTAATCTGACTATACTTTAACTGTAGTTCAAAGAGCAGCTCATCAACCAAGGTGCTGAAGGTGGCAAGAAAGCAGTCCAAGAGCTTTGCCAATCTGTTCTTGAGAGGTTCGCGCCCGACAAGGAGGCCGAAACTGAGATTTTCGTAAAGGTTGTCGCCAGTGTGCCCGGCCTTATCAAGGCCCTGAAACGCGATGGCTGCGTGAAGAGCGAGACATTGCTCTCTGCATTCATGACTGGATTTAACCAGGCCAAAGCAACTTGCGATTTTGTCGACATTGGCTATAGCAAAGAGGGAGTAATGGCGCAAATCTTTGGTAAGGTCCTCCCCAATGAATAGCGGGTTGATGTGATTACACTCCTTTTATCTAACCATTTGGATAACAGAGTGCGCACGATTCCATCTCCGCAACTTCGATTGCAAGCAGGTAATTTTAGGATTATCTCACGACGCTGCTTGCACCCCCACTCTACGCAAGCTTGCCCAGGATGACGATGTCAAACCCCGAATCACCGTCCTCGAAGGTTGCCCCAAAGCCGTAGAAATTGAGGATACTGGTATTAGCGTCATCACCTTCGAGAAGATTTTCCGCTCCACTAAGCTTGGCGGACATTCTTGTAAGGAGTCAAGTTCCCTAGATGGGTACTCATACGCAGCCAAGGCCAAGGCAGGTGCCAGTCCACCACCGAAGATAACACTTCCGATCCCGCTCAAGGAAAAAGGCCCTCCAAAGAAGGATGTCCCAAAGGCTACTTCGCCGCAAAAGGAGCTTCAGGGACTGCCTGCTCCCGAGGAGAAAGCTACGCCTAAGTGGACCCTTGCTCCCCGTGGGTTAGATCCCCCGATCCACCCGGAACCGGCAGCTCTTGAGCGCGTGCGAATTCGACACACCGAGACCAAATTATGCAACAACCACTACCTGCGCGGTCCATGCGAGACACCTCGCTGCCCCTTCGAGCATGGCTACAAGCCGACAAAATCCGAAAAGGAGGTCATCCTTTATTTCTGTCGACTGAAGCCTTGCGTCCGCGGCCAACTTTGCGAGGAGGAGGATTGCCCATATGGACACAACGTGAGTTTTTTCTTTCTAAGGCTGGCAAATTAATAAATTGCTTGAAAAGATGCTCACCATTTGATTATAGTGCCCAGCCGTTGTTAAGGGAACGTGCATTTCACGAGTGTGCAGGTTCAGACAGGGAGACCACCCGCCCGGAACCAAGTTCAGTGGCCCCATGCGAAAATAAACACAGCGGATATTCGCATCTCCCTTTCAGACCAGCATTCTATGGCGCGAACACACAGATTAGGAATACCAGGTTCGCCCTATAGTGAGGATGGATAAGGAATTGGTCCTAGCTGGTTATTACTGCATTCGGGTTGTTTCTGACGGGCAATATGCTCGCCCTATCGTCATGAGACGCATGGAAGTCGCCCAACAAATAGGCTGTGACCATATTTGCTTCCGCGGTGATTTCACAATCGCATCAGATAACTTCACGAGATCTTTCTCAAAGGAAGGGATGTCATGTATAATAAAACAAGAAAACAAAAAAAAAACAAGAAAAGGTTTCTGCCCATGTTAGTATTTCTTCTTTTCTCCCCCCATGCCGTGGATTACCTAATGGACGAAAACCCAGCGGTACTTTGACTGGTCGTAAACCCCTGTACGTATCTCTTAGATGACATACGACAACAACGTGGAGGCCACGCCGATCATCACCGCGCTCCAATAACCAACCAGACGGAGGAAAGGGGGCAGTAGTATTCCCCCATGGGGGGGACATCCGCTTAATAACGCGGCGTAGCATCGTAGCATACTTTAGCCGACATGTCAGGGGGGGCTGAATCGTAAAAAGCTTGTATAAACGGCAAATATGCGTCAGTGCCCGCCTTGCCCGCCACGTTTTTGCATACTCCCGTACAGCCTCTCTTTCCCTTTGCGGAAATTGCCGCCCTTGATGTGCCTTGTTACTGGTGGAAAAGAAGACTCCCTGCCCCCAAATTAGGTACTTTATCCCGTACTATTCTGGGTAGGTAACTAGTCCATCTGCCTGCGGCTGTAAGCTAGGTTATGTATGCTGTACGCAGGCTACTGCAGATCCAGGGGCAATTTTGGCAGGATGCGGGGAAGGAGAGACGATAGAAAGCTTGTTCTTGTTAGCAGATTTCGTCACGATGGGGGAGGAAATTTTCCGGCTCTTGTTGTATGTCCGTATATATATTGTGCCTGTCTCCCTACCACTGCCCAAGACAGAATAGAGTCGAAAAAATCTAGATAGACAGATCTTTCGTTCCGTTCCACAATTAGTTATTTTCTCCTGAAATAACTTAGAGATCATGTTGTTCTCCACGCTCGCCATGGCCAGCACGGCCTTGGCGGCCTCGCTCACCCAGGTCTCGAACTACAACAACAATGCAACATCTAAGGCACAGATGTAAAACCCCCACGCTTTCTACTTCGTTTCATCCTTGGCCAACGCACTAACACATCCAATAGGTATGTGTACAAGCCGGACAATGTGGTCGAGAATCCACCTCTAGTTGTCGTGATCCACTCGTGCCAATCCTCAGCACAGTCGTACTTCCAAAACAGCGCTATCCCGTAAGCCCTTAGTACCCCTAACGCCCCTAAATACCCCACTAACCCCGCTATAGGTGGCGTTCTGGCTCGGACAAGAAGGGCTACATCACCGTGTGGCCGTCTTCTCCCAACAGCGGTACTTGCTGGGACGTATCATCCAAGCAGTCCTTGACACACTTGGGTGGTGGTGACTCCCAAGCCATCGCCAACATGATCCTGTACGCCATCTCAGAGTACAAAGTGGACCCCGAACGGGTCTACGTAACAGGCGGCAGCAGCGGCGCCATGATGTCCAACGTCCTCGCCGCAACCTACCCAGAGCTTATCAAAGCCGTATCTCTGTACAGCGGTGTCGCAGCGGGTTGCTTCGTGAGCGCCTCTGGCGGCGTTGATCAATGGAACAACAGCTGCAGTGGCGGACAGTCTCGCGCTACGCCTGAGAAATGGAAGCAAGTTGTCTTGGACATGTACCCAGGCTACGAAGGCCCGCGTCCCAAGATGCAGGTCTGGCACGGAAGTGCTGATAGCACGCTCGCGCCCCAGAACTACCAGGAAGAGATTAAGCAGTGGACTGCTGTGTTCAATGTCAGCCAGGACCCGACAAGTTCTGTGCAGAACGATCCTAAGCAGGGATACACGCGCAACAATTTCGGCGAATCCGTTCAGGGTATTTATGCGCAAGGTGTTGGTCACAGTGTGCCGTCGAATTTGACCGCTAGTGAGGCGTGGTTCGGCTTGTAGAAAGAGGAGATTGTGGAGTAGCTAGTGGAGGAACTGACTGTTGGTGTTAGCCATTGGTGAAAATGTTGCCCTGAATATACATACAGAGCCTAAGATTGAAAATTAAACAGCATATATCCAAAATATATTCAAAGAAATGAATAATATGGTGTCCTCGGTATGTTGGCTATTCTAATATGGATTCACTCTTTGAGTGGAGTTGCATTTTATGTGTTGGCTCAGATTTGCAATTCGTTAAAATGACGGTATCGGGAAATTAGGCGGACTGAAGGCCGGTCACGATATGTCATAAGGAGAGTCAACCGAGGACCCAGATGATATGATATGAGCTCTTAATGCCACATCCAGCTCTGTGGATGTAATAGCAGCTTTCTGTCTGAATCCGCCATCAATAAAGCCGAGTTCAGAGCCCAAATTATCGATCAATTTGACGTCGGTCTTTAATCTAGGATCTCGATCTCTCTCGTATTGGTTCTTCTCGGTTGGAGTCCAGTTATGATTGTCGACAAGTAATTGTGCGATTTCGGTCCTATTCTCTGTATCGAGGATCATCCGAGGAACACGCAATAAGTGTGCCCATTCTTCACCTACGGATTCGATGATTTGCTTGATTTGGCGGTCGGCGATACCGTGTAACCACCAAAGATCGGGGCATAATTTGGCAAAACATAGATGATAAGCTAGAATAATTAAGGCTCGCGGTCGATGTTCCTTTGCTAGTGGTATGAAAGGTTTGGGGACAAAAGCTATGAAAAGTTAAGTTAGCAATTATGCTCGAGTTTTTCGTTGGCGATAACTCATATCAAATTCGAGATGCGTACTGTAGAAAGTGATGATACGAAGATCGAGAATGGAACTGAAACCATGCTCCTTCATCTCCTGGTAAAGTGATCCAAGATACTTAAGCATATCGTAATACGTTTGCTGTTCATCTTCATCTGTATCACCGGCTGTGATAGACGCGACCATGAAGAGAAGGTTGTTCGGTATATATTTCGTCGATTTCTCGAGGTCTACTGCGGGCCGGTAGAAAAGTACTGCCATTCCAGATTGTTGGAGTACCCTATGTGTAACAATATCGATGATGAGACCCATCCCTTTCCAGACCTGCATCCAATCCACAATGTAAAGCCTCTTTGCATCCGGGTCTCGGAACATTTGACTGCTCAATGCGACCATTAAGAGAGAGCAAGGTATGAGAGCGGTGAAATCGGCGGGGTTGGCTGCCTCAATTGCATTTCGATACCCTTCAAAAGCTTTGGCACAGTAATTTGCTGCACGCCGAGGTGGGACAGGTTGACCCATAGTTTGGAGATGCAATGACGACACCGCCATTAAACAATCCATAAGAAAGGGGGATTGAAAAGCCTGTTGAACAACCTTGACCTTCAATATGTTATCGACGAAGGCGGAACGACCGCTTTGGATTGAGAAGAATTGAAAGCCCGTAGTAGTGTAGAACCATAACATCTTCATATCAAGAGCATCGGACATTTCACCCGGCCGAAAAAGGGGCTCCGCGACAATGCTGCTAACAGCACTCTCATAAGCTATTTGAGGTGACGATTTAACGGAAGCATATCCCGAATCGGGAGTAGAGCCGGGAATAGAAGAACTGTATTCCTTTGCAGATGTTGATGTAGGCGAATATGCGGAGTGTGTAGACGACTGTGTAGCCGGGTATACACATTTCTCTTTTCGGAGTCTACATGCCTTACATGTAGGCCTCACTTCGTCGCACTTAATTTAGATGCATTAGTATGTAGCACGATGAGATTGGAACTATATGTGATATTTTATTACCTTCACTTTTCGTTTTTTGCATTGCTGACATCCGGCTCGTGACTTCTTATGAGGTCGTTTTGAATGGTATGGCTTATGTGAGTTTGGATGAGTATCGGAGTTCTCACTAGAATGCCTACTGGACTGATCAAATTCGACTGTGGTGGTAGTGACAGGATCGAGAGATGCAAGATTGCCTTCGTTAATCGAGAGGGTGTCCACATCGAAGTTCAAATCCAGCTCAGGATTAAGACCGACATCAGTGTCTACTTCTAGACTCTCGATATCCACTTCATCCATCTTGTGAGAATTGAAAACGCGTGTCGCGGAGTTAGTTATCTAGGTAGACACCATCTTTGGATTAATAACGAGAAACACTCCTTTATTGTAAGAGAGTATTAATTAATTAAGACGAAATGAATAGATGGTAGGACTTAAACGGAGTAATAGAAGAGACGGAATTCGGAAGTGATTATAGGCAGCTTAGCCAGCGGTAGTAGAGCGGGTCAGGTAAAAACAAGTTAGTGTAAGTAGCTAGGTAGCTAGCATCAGCCACAATGCACTGTACCTTCGGTATCGGTACTAATGTAGTTGCATTATTCGAAGGAAAGAGGCCTATGAAAAAGCAAAGGAGGAGGGAATCAGGGCAAGGCAGTGCAGGGTACAGGGGGTTCAGTTTATACTCCATAGGCACAGAAACGATGAGACTGACGTACGCTCTGTCCCCACTATTTCAGCCCTGCGGCACAGCCTTCCTCCGCTGCCATCCTGCATACTGCCGATACCTTCCACACGTGGTATACCGCACTTCTGTTTACTAAAATGCTGACTAACCGATCCTTTCCCGATTCCCCAGACTTGGCTTTTGATTGTTGGTTCAACTTAGATAATCCAAACTCTCTAGAACTTCTTATAAGCTATAAGCTTACTTACATATGACATATCATAGTATACAAAGTCCTATATTCTGATGCCAGCAAATATTTACAACAGTAAAAACGACAGGAATTGACCGACGCTGACGTGGGAGAAGGTCAATTAACAATTCGGGGTGTTATCTAGCGAAACTAAAACCAATGGCAAGCTTTTTCGAGCTCCCAGACGACCTTCTTGCGGCTCTCATTGGGAGCTTTCCATGTCGCGATGCTCAGATTCGTGCATTGACGACGTTGCTTTATCCCCGAGCTGCGCCATGTCGTAACCTGATCATTCACGGTACTGAGGCAACCGGTAAAAGTGCTGTAACCGCGCGTCTCCTCGAATCGTTGTCCTCGCAAGCTTCGAACGACGATAGCCCCCTTCTCAATTACGCAATTGTTAAGTCCGCGGAATGTGTAACGGCGCGACATCTATTCGAACGAACAGTAGGCTCCGTAGCCGATACCTTACAGCGAGATGATAGCATATCAGTCGGACGTTGCGAAACGCTTGCCTCGCTCACAGTCGAGTTAACCAAGCTTCTGAAGTACGACCAACCCGAACAGAAGGACCGGAGGTTTGTGCTAGTTTTCGATGGTATTGACCGCCAGCGAGAGGCGCCACCAACTTTGTTGCCAGCTCTCGCTAGATTATCTGAACTTGTATGTATCTCCTCACGCCCATACATAGCTTTACCTTCTAACGTATAAACTCTAGATCCCAAATCTAACAACGATATTCATCCTAACAACCCCCTCGCCCTCCCTCCTCCGCGTATCCTCCGTCCCCCAAATCTACTTCCCACCGTACACAAAAACCGAATACGTCACGATCCTCTCACGCGCGCCGTACACCCCGCAACCGCTTCCAAACACCACACCCCAAGAAACAACCGACCTATGGGCACGTTTCACAGCCGCAGTCCACGACGCCCTCTCCAAGCCCGCATCCCGCACACTCCCGGGCCTCGCCCGCGCTTGTGCCGCACTCTGGCCGCGATTCACAGCCCCCGTTGCCGCAGGAACCCACCGCGCTCGCGAATTCACGAAACTACTCGTCGCGGCACGTGCCTACTTCCAAGATGAAAGCGTACTTGAACCTGGTATAACTTTGGCTTCTACATCCGCCAGCAAGAACAGTCTTGCTCTCACCGCTGCTACTACCAATACCAAACCATCTGAAAAAGAAATCCGAAAGAATAATTTGAGTAGTAGTGGTAGCAAAGACCTAGCAACCCTTCTCCCGCCCACCGCACGCCTGCTCCTGATCGCCGCGTACCTAGCCTCGCATAACGCGCCGCGCCACGACCAGACTATATTCAGCACATGGCACTCCGGCCGGCGGCGCCGCGGGGGCGGTGGTATCGGGGTTGGAATACGGAATAATGCGACCAAAAGATCTAAACATCGAAAGATTGCGCGAAAACTACTTGGTCCTAGTGCGTTTGTGCTGGAGCGTATGGTAGCGATTTATGCTGCCACTCGACGGGAGTGGGTAAATGATGACGATCCTAGCGCGGACGATAGGGTCAGCGTAGACGGTGACGTCGGTATGGCTCTTGCGACATTGGCCAGTTTGAGATTACTGGTTCGCGTTGGGGGAGGTGCGGCTGGTGTGTGCGACGCGATGGACCGTGGTGGGAAGTGGAGAGTGGGCGTTGGTTGGGAGGTCATTCGGGGAGTAGGCCGAAGTATGGGGGTTGAGGTTGAAGAGTGGCTCGTTGAGTAGAAGTGATGATATCGGGAAATAGAAAGGAATTTAGAAGGGGAAAACAAGAAGCGTATCGCCCAAATATGATGGCTAATATGCATAATACTATTGATACCCTTAGATCTATATGGCTCTTTAAATGGTAAAATGTTAATTTATCTATGGCCCATGGTGCACCGACAAAATTGTTCGAATAAGAGAATCGTCCTCCAAATATGTTGCCGTGACACCCACATAACGCATCTCACATCTCATCTAGCTAAACTCGCTACATCGCTCAAAATCCACCTATAGATCATATAGTAAGATTGTATGAAAAAATTTTGCTTTCATCGACATTTAGACTTATTGTCTGCTGCCTATGATTCCACTATGATCTGTTCAAGAACTTTCAAGTGCCAGAATCTGTCATGTAGCATTAGCACAGTAGAATCTTAACCAATTTAACACGGGCGAATTACCAGAGCAGTACGGCTGGGGATATACACGTGCGTCCAGTTCTTGCGACCGTTCCACTCCATTGGAGTAGTAAAGAAGCGCGCATTCGAATCGTTGCGACCAAAGCCACCAACTTCCTTGGTGTCTGTGTCGAGTACGATCTTGTAGGTGCCCGCAACGTCTACACCGATGCGATAATCGGCGAAGCTCTCGGTTGGGTGGAAATTGAAGATGAAAACACAGCCGGCGCGCTCGAATACAATTACTTTGTCGCTCTCATTCTTGAGGCTAATGTATGCCTGAGGCGCATGCAACCAACCGTAATGGTTCTCTGTAAGGTTCATTTGGCGGTCAAATTCATTGAGATCCTTGTAGCGTAGAAGGTGGTCATCAGTGAGGTTGAGCTGACGCCGCGCGTACCAGAATGAGTTCTGGTTGCCCTCACGTGGGAAGTCGAGCCACTCGGGATGGCCGAACTCATTACCTTCAAAGTTGAGGTAACCCTCACCACCGAGGCCGTGTGTTAGTAGTCGGATCATCTTGTGGAGTGCCATACCCCGCGAGATTACCGGAGTTAGAGGCGAGAGGACCGACATGTTGGTGTAAAGTTCGGCGTCGCAGAGGTGCATGAGCAGGGTTTTATCACCCACAAGACTGGAAACCATATGTTAGTCTGCTATTTCCCATACAATAGTAATATCCTACTTACGCTTGGTCATGACTCTCGCAATATGCGATTGTCTTCTCGCCATGTCGCCTGTTGGTGAGAGTCCAGCAGATGTTAGAAATATCCCATTCCTCATCTTTCTTCTCTTTGAGAATCTTGATCCACATATCTGGGATAGCCATCGCTAATCGGTAGTCGAAGCCAACTCCGCCAAGTGACAATGGTAAGCAGAGTGCTGGCATACCGGAGACATCTTCTGCGACTGTAATTGATTCGGGATAAAGGTCGTGAAGCATCTCATTCGCGATCATTAGATAAACCACTGCCTCCTCATCGACCTCGGAACCGAAATATTCGTGGTATCCTCCAGAGAAACCCCTGCGTATTGTTAGTATTAATGGTTGGTGGGCGTATTTCGAACGTATGCTTACGTTCCAATTCCGTGGTGGAGATAGAGCATGCTGGTAACTCCATCAAAGCGGAAACCATCAAACTGGTATTCATCCATCCAAAATCTCAAATTGCTAAGCAAGAATCGTAGTACTTCATGACTTCCATAGTTGAATAGTCTAGAGTCCCATAGTTCATGTCTGCCCTTTGCACCACCATGGAAGTAAAGGTGATCGGAGCCGTCAAATTCGTTTAGGCCGTCAAGCACATTCTTAGAAGCATGGCTGTGGACGACATCGAGCAGAACAACCAATCCTAAGCCATGTGCGGTATCAATCAACTCCTTGAGATCCTCCGGAGTACCGTATCGGCTGCTCGCGGCAAAGAAGTTGTTCACTTGGTAGCCGAAACTGGCATAGTAGGCATGTTCCATAACGGCCATGAGTTGGATGACGTTATAGCCTAAGTTCTTTATTCTTGGCAACATGCTCTTGGTGAACTCCTTAAATGTTGTGACTCGCAATTCGGGCGAGGAGATACCCACGTGCGCTTCATAGACGCGAGCACTCAATGGCTTTTTTGGCCTTTGGTTTTTGAAGGTGTACTTTTCGGACTCGGGTGGGTTCCAAAAACGTGCATCGTAGGCGGGAGACACAGAGAGGTCTTGTGTGACATATTTAATCCAAGCTGGTAGACGGTCAATTCGCTCGCCGGAAGGAATTGTCATGGAGATCTAATGTTCGATCTTAGCAGATGTAAAGTGTGTTTAGCTCAAACAAGGCCTTATACCTTGATTTTGGACTTGTGAGGGATGGCCGGTTGGCCATCCTTCGCAGGCACGACGATTTCCCAAACTCCAAATTCATTCTTTTTCATGGGATGAGAACCCCTATTCCACTCATCTAGCGGAGTTTAGTTAGCATAACGGCCTATAAAGCGATGCGGGGCGGCCAGCGCTCACTAAAATCCCCAATCAAGAACGCCTCGGTGCCGTTGGGTGCCCATTCTCGATATATAATGTTGTTTTCTTTATCAACGTTCAGGCCGTAGATCTCGGTACCCTAATTAGGTTCGGAAAAAGACCTATACGTTAGTATGAACCGTTGAGAATTGCTTTGACTGCTTGGGATCAAAACAAACTTTTGAGAACTTCTCAAGGCCACCCTCGGTATCATCGATATTCTTAATCCACTCTTGAGCTTTCGCATATCTTCGCTTTAGTGAGTCCTGGAAAGGCGATAACCAAGGATCTAACTGTACGACACCTGGAAGTCACAAAGTTAACCAACAACACCATGCGATCATCGCGCCATTGCGGGATCGGGAAGAAGTCGCACCAGTGCCATCATTTGGGATCCCCGCAGCGGCGCCGGAGCCGAGAGTATTCGCAGAATTATCAGCTACAGCAGTCATTTTGGCGGACTGTTGCTTGCTTGTAGCTTGAGGGAAAAAGAGTCAGGTAAAAGGGGGAAATGGTTGGTATTGTAGAGCTCAAGCTGGGAAGCTCTTGACGCGCGGGACTGAAATTACTGGGGGAGTTTAGGTCGATCTAGAGCTCCCCGCTAAACAAGCTATCAAGGGAGCTATGCTTGATAGGTTAGAACAAAGTCGCACTCGTTTCTCGTGAGTAAATTAAATTGTTGTGATTCTATTTATTCTGATAAGGAATAAAAGAGAATAAAAGAAAAGAAAAAAACTCAATTGAGAAGAACCAATTGCGCTACTTGTTATCTATTCCAACTTGCGACTTCCCATATGTAATTGTTGCCCCAGTAGTGCTTCCCCAGATGAGGAGAAGAAAGCTCCAGCCCAAAAAAATCATGTTGAATGACGTCGAGGGGCAAGTCGAGCTGCAGTAGCAGCACAGCAGTGGATCTTCAAATCACTGTTTGGCCGATCATATCGCCTAGAACTTCCAGCTCCATGTCTGTAACATTTCGCCTATCAAGTGAGTAAAATGTTGTATATCTGAAGTATGAAAGCATTGTTTTGTAATTCTTGCGATTTTGGGTCATGCATCATTCAACATTATGGAATTGGGCCATGAATGAGTAGAATTGAATAATGATTGAACTTTTTAAACCGAGAGAATTTAGGTGCTAGTTCCAACATTTTAGGGGCTTTGCGGGGTATTACTTAAGCTTAAGCATCGTCCAATTTTAGCGGACAAACCATTCTGTTAGTGACCTGGATGAAGTATATTATTCCAGGGAGCCCCGCATTGACCGGGATTAATCCCCCAAAGCTCACCTGTTGGATCACTGCTGTAAGATCTCGCTCAGGCGACTTGCGCAACTTAACTCCGATACAGGAGCAACAACTTTTGCCTACGATGCTTTAGATTGCGACTTCAACAAAGACAACGGGTTGAAACGGATGAAACAAATCTAATTATTGTATTCTTACTTTTTCTACGGCTCGTCCAAGACATATACTATTCTCGGAAGATAACTACTTAGATTAAATTGACTCAAATCCGCTCTTCCATCCCTTGGTAAGCAGATCACTCGTTCAACCTCCGCCTCCATGTGGACAGTCATATTATACTCTTTGCAGTAATTGCTATTAGTTGGGAGGGTCGCCTCAAGCAGCGCCAATATGAGGTCGGTCCTCGCAAGACGTAGGACATTACATCTTACTCCGAGACACTTCTGCCGAGCCATATCGACTTCTACCCTTCTCCGCACCACCTCGAGACGCTCTAACGACTTCAACTCGGGCTTTACTAGCAGCTATGATCCAAACGCGGAAGAGGGGCGAGGCCCTATGTTCACTAAGAACACCTTCGGCGTGCCACAATTCTACCCTCGGGACCTCAAGAAACGAGTCGACGAATACGTAGTTGGACAAGACCGAGCGAAGAAAACGATATCATCCGTCGTATTTAACCATTACCAAAATGTGAGGCGGCGGCAATACCAAGAAGAGAGGGAAAGGAAACGGGATGAAAAACTCATGAGGCAGGCTATCGCTCGGGATAGAAATGCTCGGGAGAGGGATATGCATCCCGTTGAAGGTTGGAATCATCCGACACCAATGTCTGAGCGGTATCGCGCTGATGACTTTTCTGAAGACGAATTCCCTGGGCATAATGATTCCATACAAGATATGCACCAGAGTTGGCAACATATCGAACAGAAAGTTGATTTCTACATACCTGAAGATACCAGTCGGATACCACCTGTTAAAATTGACAAGAGCAATTTACTGTTAATAGGTCCAACTGGTGTCGGGAAAACGTATATACTCGAGTAGGTTGTTCCCGAATGCTGACATATCCACACCGCCTAACTAAGCCATTCTAGAACACTGAGCAAGAAGATCAACGTTCCCTTCACGATATGCGATTGCAACTCCTTCACTCAAGCCGGCTATATAGGCCAAGACGTCGAAACCTGTATCGAACGATTGTTAATCGAATCCAACTACGATATTAGGGCTACCGAACAAGGGATAGTAGTCCTCGACGAGTTCGATAAGATCGCGAAACGCGAGACTATGAACGGGAGAGACGTGGGTGGTGAGGGTGTACAACAGGCATTGCTGAAGCTAGTCGAGGGGACAAAAGTCACCGTCAACGTCAAGGATAACCGCTCCTCGTCTTCTCGTTCCGCGAGCCCTATCACTACGAATTATACCGGCCCGGGTTCTTCATCCTCTACCTCGGGTCCCCAACCTACACCACCACCGACTGGAAAGGTCGACCAATACACAATTGACACGAGCAACATACTGTTCGTGATGTGTGGTGCCTTTGTTGGCCTTGATAAAACGATACTTAACCGAGTATCCAAGTCCACAATGGGCTTCGGCTCTGAACTCCGTAGCAAGTCTACATCAGGGAACAAACCAGACCTCCCACCAGAACTATTCAACCACCTTCCTCACCGTCCCCCGAACGCCGAAGACACCTCGAGTCTCACGGCGCTTGACCTAGCAACACCCGAAGATTTACAAATGTTCGGATTTATCCCGGAGCTTATTGGCCGTGTTCACAATATTGTAGCGCTATCACCACTCTCGCGATCAGATCTCCTGCGCATCTTAACAGAACCCCGCAACTCTCTAGTAGCGCAGTACACGGCGTTATTCCAGACTTACCCCTCCAACTTATTCTTCACGCAAAAGTCACTGCAAGCCATTGCAGAACGGGCTGAGCGCGCGAAGACAGGCGCTCGAGGTCTCAAGATGGAGATGGAGCGCGTATTAGCTGAGGCCATGTTCGATGCCCCCACGCACTACGTTCTCGTGACTGAGAAGGCCGTACGTGGTGAGGAGAAAGTTGGATACTGGGGCAAAGACGGCAGACTCGAGGTCGAGAGACTGATCCGCGAAGAGGATCGTCTGGCTGCCGTATCGGGTCAAGACGATTACGGTAAGGAGGTTGTCAGTAGCCTGGGTCAGTACCGCGAAGCGGGGCAAAGTGGTGCTTGATTTGTGTATGGGATTTGGGTTTGCTGTGGTTTAGGGTTATACTGTATGGATGGTGTTTATAGGGATAGGGCGTTTCTGGAATCGGGCACATAAGCGTATGCATTTTTATGGAATTGGTGGGGTATTGGGGATGATGGTCTGGTATAAACAATTACCTGGGACTATCTAGCGGGCTATATATACCTGTATCTGGGTTATACATCTATCAATGCCAAGCGAAGGTGGTCTACGCAATGTTCCAGCGTGAGTAGAAGCGTGAACATATAGACCATACTACGATCTAATTCGACCCGTCTACTTAGAGCTGTATAGCTGTCCGCTATAAAATATAATGAATGATAAGGCTTAGATGATTTGAGAATGCTGTAGAATGGATGCTAGACATAACTATTCAATGCGAACAAGAGTTTTTAGAACGGCATAGAAGGGGTTTGTTTCCTCTTGTACATATTTACAACGCCAGGAGCGAATCTGGCCGACCAAGCTTTGCTTTCTCCCGGGGCAACGTCCCAGCTTATATTACGTGAGCTTTTCTTATATGGACCGGGTCCCCAGGTTTGCAAATGCTCTTCTGTTATCTCTTGATCATCGAATCGTTTTGGGATTGATATAGCCAACGCGCCTTTCTCCTTCCCGCCCACTACTCCATTCCACTCTAAGTTTTGCTTTTTCGTCTGGGTTTGTTGTTTTTGTACATGGGGGTTTAATGCCTTGCACTGCGGTTCTCTAACGACAAAGGGAAAATGAAGTGAGATATAAGTAGGCTTCGTAGGATATTAGGGGGATGGGCTTTAGTGCTTGGGCGGCGACTGTACCATGCCCTTGCCTTCGTAGCCTTCGGATGAGACACCGGTGAGGGGTTCGGCGCGTTGGCCCTGTTGTCATACATTAGCTGGAGCGGTTTTATAAAGTGGAAGATGGGTCCTACTTTGAGGAATTCGTTCGACGCTTCCTGGTATTCCCGAGTCATGGTGCTGGGAGGGGGGCCGGCGAATGTTCGCATCGAGGCGAAGACGACAAAGCTGGCGAAGATGCCGATCGCGGTGTATAGAGCGACCTTGCGTCCCTCATCGGGAGGGGCCGTGGCACGGGGGCCGTGAGGGCCGAAGGCGATCCAGTAGGCTGTTGATTGTCAGTTCGTGATGTCTTCAAATACATGATTCGTGAATGGCCAGATGGAACATTGAGGATCCACTCTCGGCTCCAGGGGTGTGTGTTGTCTGTAGAAGCAATTCCCAACTCCAAGACCTCAATAACAAATGAAGTTTCCCGTAATCCGTAACCCGATATTATGCAGTGATAGGCCGAGGTTCTGTAAATTTTTTACATACCGGCCTTCTTCTCTTGAACAGTGAGCTCGGCCCAGTTCTCCTTCATCCGGTCTCGCAGGGCCATCCATAGCTCGGCCTGCTCGGTTTGCGGTAGACCTTCCCATCGCTTCTCAATGTTGGCTAGAGTAGGGTTCGAGATGGCATGCGTAGAGGCAAAGGCGCGGGGGACTATGGCGGTAGAGGTTCTGCTGGCCCGGAGAGCGCCGCGCAGGAGCGAGGTAGTGGGTGTGCGCATCATCGTGAATTTATGGCCTCGACGGGAAGAAAAAACAGATGAGAAAAACAATTGTCGGGTTAATCGATCGGAGGAGTGGAGATTATGGCCAATTGAGGCGGTCGCGAGGCCTACTGGACGTGGAGTAGGATCGTGGGAAAGTTGTTGTTGGCTGACGGCGGTTGTTGTTGGGTATTTCGTTTTTCGGCTGTCTAGTTCAATTGAGAGTCTTTTTTTCGATTGAGGTCAGTTAGTCGTATGATTGTGGTGGGCCAATTGGAGGAGCTGCTTTATGCCTCAGGCACCTTTTCCACCTGTAAATTCCAAGTTTGGCACCTGTGCCAAGCGCCATAGCTTCTGTTAAAGACCCACACGGTTAATATTCGGACCAAGGTTACCAGGTACGACGTCACACATTTGGATTACATAATCTGATGCAAGAGACTCGGATTCGATAATGTTTCGAAGGTTAACATAATGAGCGTTGGTTAATATTTTTATTTTTATTTCATTTGAAGCGAAATATTTGCTAGATGAACTTCTATTTGAATAGATTTCTCCAGCTATAATTGAAAATACTCTGTATTATCAAGACATTGTCGTTCAATGATATATGCTCGTTTCGTAACTTGATCGTTGAGACTCCCGATCCCATAAGCTATAGAATAAGCCAGACACATAGCGTATACCCCAAAGTATGTACATGCTAATGGTCATGGCTAGAGGGTAAGTAATGGTACGGCGCCCATGCTGCCATCTCGACCAAAACCGGTGCCGCAAACCATATTTGGAGGCACAATCGGCACAGATTGGATTTTAAGTCCGTAAGTGGTAATGTCAGGTACGTAGGGATGAGTTTTCGAGGCCCTTCTAGTCCACCTGGGACAGTTAAATACCATCGAAACCCAGATTCATAAAGACCTTAAAGAGGCTTCAGCATTATCCTTCATTAATCGCTCCAATACAGTGTCGACTCAAAGCTAACGATTCAGCGAAGTATTCCCATTTGATGATTTTTGTTGGCCGAAATCATCTGAATGAATCGTCTTATCGGGTTGCTGTCCATTCTGTGTTATAGGTTCGGATTCCTTTTGTTGTTCCTTCAATGCAGGACTGAAGGCATAATAACCTGCATGAGTTTAGCACGACTGAGAACAAATCAATTGTGCATTTTGTGGCAAATTACATACCATTCCATATTCCCAAGGCTACAGCGAGACTTATAGGAATAACTTTGCGACCGAGTGAACTCATTATTGATGAAATCACTATTGGTGATAAGATGATGGTGAAGGAGTTGACCGGCGTGATTGAATCTTTCTTGATATTTCTTAAAGAATCAATTATTTTATAATACTTTTAATCAAATTGAGATAGCTATGGCCGGGGGTATGTAGGTATCGAGTCGAAGTAGCAGCGATTGTGACCCCTGTAATTTCCCCACCAAAATTCAGATCTAGCCCACCCAGGCGGTACGTTTAACGGTGCGGGTAAACTTTACGCGTTTAAGTGCATCTAAAACGCGTCGATGCTTTTGTTCACGCAGTACATATGCACATCATTCATTCAGAATTTAAACTAATACCACATTTATCCCTCTACATCTACTCAAATGCGCGACATGATCGAATCTTTCCTTTTCACATTTTAGGGAAATGCATTTAAGGCCCAATGGCAAAGTGGAAGGAGCTTGGAGAGGTGCCAGATTCGGATGACGAAAGCGGCTTCGATAGTAGCCAAGAAGAATCTCAACATGAAGATCTCCCAAGGCAGCTAATCGACGATGATATCGAAGATGCAGTCACCACAGAAGAATCAACGATCCAGAACAAAACTATTTGGGATATACCCTTATCATCTCAAACCTCCGGAAGAGAACCCGACATAAATCAGAGTTCGGCTCAACAACCACTGCCGCTGTTATCCGATGCGCCCGTTACACCAGAAACTGTTCAGCCACCTCCCGATTCATCCCCTCTTTCGTCGCCAATACTTGATCCCATTGACCTCCCTACCGATATTCCAGATATCCAAGAAATACCGACGAAAATCGCTGCAACAAGCGGCGCAGAATTAATTCAATCCGAACCACGAGATGTTTTTCCTCCTGTTTCACCAGCACGGTTCACCAGCACGGTTTTCGAAGTGGGGGATATCTTCGACGATGATGATGACGATGCTACACCGCGGGCGAGCCGACTTGGACGTTCATTGAGGCCGCGAAAACCGATTCAAGAACACCCATACCTACTAGAAAGCGCCCAATATTCCAAAACCCTCAAATCCCACGGTGTACGACCTTTGCGTGTACAAATTGAAGAAGCAGCACGGAGGAGACAAGAAGAAGATTCGCAGGAGCAAGATTATGAAGAAGAGAGCCAATCAACCACACAAGGAATTGTTCACGAAGATTCGGGAGAGAGCCAGGGAATTCAGCGTCTTGGTTTACTCAATGATACTGACGACGAAGATCCATTAGCGAGAGATCCCTCTCCACCTCCTGAGCCTAGAGAGGCTTCATCCAACATCTTGCCAAGCAGCTCACAAATTGACGAAGATGAATTCCCTGACCCAGCCGATATACATAAATGGAAATTTGGGAAGCGTTCAACCACCGCTACCAAAAGGCAGGCTTCGCCCAAGGCTTCCAAGAAACAAAAAATTCCGAGGTTACACCAACCCGTTAGATTTGCGAGAGAAGCGTCGCCGGCGGTTAACCCCGACAGCATCTTTGATAGCATCTTCGATATCCCTCCATCCCCTCCTCAAACTAGCCCTAACTTTCTCGATATTACACCTGTTCCTGCCATCACACGTTCTAATCCTATCACTACACTCACACCAAAACCAAGCAGTACTGTATCGTCACGAGTCCAAAGCCCTGCTCCGGCGAATCGAAATACCAATATGGTCGACCTCACTATGGCTGACGATGAGACCGGTAGTGAACAAGGCGCAGGCTCAAGTAGTGAATCCGAGGGCGATGCTGAAAAACTACGGGCGTCTATGAGGAGAAGGATGCGGGGCGTATTGCCAGCATCATGGCTCCGGCTTGATCAACACGGTGCTCGCCAGAAAAATGCTAAGCCTGTTCCTCAACGGAGCCCGGAACGTTCTCCGGAACGGACTCAGAGGAAAGGAGTAGCCCAACGCCGACAAATATCGCCTAAACCTAGCCGAGATGCTGCCCTGTTCTTAGACGATTCGGATGACGATATGACTTTACGAGTTGACGACTTTAATGAGCTTGATAACAGCGATGGAAATTTCCCTATTTTTGAAGACGACGCTGGTTCTGTCGTCGAAGATGACCAGATCGATTATATGCTTCCCGGGAACAAGAGAGCTAGCACAGACACGGATGGAATAGGACGACCCAAAAAACGAAGAAAAAGTCAACAGACGACATTCAAAGGTCAACCGGGGCAGCCTAAGCGGCAACAGAGGATAACTGGACTTCTTAACAGGACCAAGAGCACAACTTCCCAATCAAGTGTTAAAAGACGTGCGAAGAGTAGCGTTGCTGGAGGACGCCGAGCGAAGGACCTTGATAGAATACCGGCTGCATCCACGCCGCCTCGACTTAGTATCGTGGATGTTATCGAGCCAAATGCGCCTCCTTTTCTTCGTATAGCTGCTCGGGCGGCAAATAAAAGGCGTGACCAGGGCCGGTCAAGTCCTTCGAGGAAGCACATTGCGTTAGGGACGCGTAAAGACAACATCGATGCTGCCGGTGTCCTTAGAGATTGGAAAAAGGGCCGTATCCAACCAAGAATTTCTTCTAAACCCCCATCCAAAACTCAAACAGAGTTACCACAACCCCTTCGTTCTCTATCGCATAATTCCGTCGTCCAACCTATCACCACAAACTCGAAGTCACGACCTCGTCAAAGTATGCCTCAAAGTCGTTTCTTACAGTCTCGGCGAATGGTAAAACAGGCAAGCATCGATGATTTTGTGTCTCTTGAAACTGAAGTTCCATCTACACGCGACCAAGAAGATTCCGCGATTCACTTACCTAAGCGCTCTCAAATTGGACGGACGAAATCTTACAATGCGACTTCTAGGCCTGCACAGTTGGAAATGACTGGTGAAAAGGTCGGGCGACACGCCTTTGATGCACGAAAAAGAGCTCTCGATGCATTGTATCGAAAATCGCGTAGGGTGTTACCCGCTCCAGCAAGTATGGGGCTTGAACGGCTTGTAGAGGAACAAGTACGCGTTGAAAAGCCTAGTGAAGACCTATCATCAAATGATCGGCATGGATCCGTTGAACCGGCGCCAATTCGAAGACGATTGACATCCCGAAAAAAAATCCGGCCTCAACATTTGGATACCACTGCTCCTCAGTATACACATGCCAATGACCCTCTACCACGCGAAGAGAGCCCCCCAACTATTATTGTTGAAGTGACGCAAAATCCAGAGTCGGCGGGCAAATTGTTAGGACTTGGCCCATTTGGCACTCATTATACTCAACACTTTGAGGTATTCCCACTAGACATTGGTGTTTTCTTCCACGAAAGCACCCTGCTTGGAAGCGGCCGGCTAGCCAGAGCGCTAGATGAGAAATCCCAAGATGTGCTACGTCGCCCACGAGGTCGCGACACGTTCGTTCTTGACGAGAAAACGCTCCGGTGGGGTCAGTGGGATGAGCAAACCTCGTCAGAGTTGGGCATTGTTTTTGACTGGATTGCGGACTATCTTTATGCAGATTCTCCCGATTCCGTCGACAACAGCAGTAATAACCCAATACAGGCCGCAGACTTTGTATTGAATTATCTGCAGGACCACGTGAGCTTTCAAAGTGAAGAAAGCGAGAAACACTTCGCGGGTCGAACTTTGGAGATCCTTCAAAGCTTTGCGCAACGTCTGGAGACACTGCCCCACCAATCTCAAGGTGGATCGAGGGCTTTTGTTGATGTCTTAGGCCGCACCCTAGTCATCTCACTTCAGATCTTGTGCATTTGTCGTAATCTCTACCAGCTATCGGAAACATTTCAGCTCGAAGAAGTGTTGAAGAAAATAGCTAAGAGAACAGCTCGTGAGCTACTTGAAACAGAACTTGTAGAGATCCGAAGTCTTTATTATGATCTCCAACGCATGTCCTTCCGCGAAAAAGGCATTCGCAATGAGCATTACTCGATGATCTGCTGGGTCATACTCATTCGAGTTCTAGAGGAATCGCGTATCCCTCGATCCGGATTTTGGGACGTGGTGTCTTCCGTCATGTTGAAAACAGACATAAATTCTATCAACGATGCACACACTTTCGAGCGAACTTGGTACGATCTATTTACTTTACTCCCACTGGGTGAGTTTGACAGCACCGGTGTTGTTATTCCGGGTATCAGACATACCACTCCGTTGGAAGGTTGGGTCTTACCGCAAAAGCTACTTAGACGCGTTTTCCAGCTTTATGAAAGCAATTCGCGACAAGGGCCAAGTTTCAATGACTACTGCCGGGGTGTTGTTAGTCGTTGTCATTACCTTGTGGAACAGTGGGGGTGGCGGAAATCCAATGCCATAATAGGGACTATTTTCGACTTCTTTGCTGCTCGAGGCCTATCTCATTTACGAAATGAAGAGGTTTACAAATCACCAGATTTCTTAGAGCATCTTGCGGAGTCCCCTTCCCTATCCATCACACCGGAAGATAAATGCTTTCATATCTTCTTAAAACTCTTGACTTTGTCCATTCAGCGCCTGGAGAAATATGGCTTGACCAAGGACACTAGAAATCTGGTGGCTAGGGTACTACCTAACCACAACCGGCAATATGATAAGGAGAAAGATATTCACGAAAGTGATTTAGCAGCTTTGCGAAATCATTACGATCTTCTATGCGCGCTTTTCTGGGTTGCGCCAGCGAATCTACGGCCTTCAGTGCAGACTATTGAAAAACTGATAGTACCAGGTAGTTCTCACAAAGAGGCTTGTTTAATGAGCTTGCGAGCCTGGAGTCAATTGTCACGATTCGTAATATCATCAGACGAAGACAATGCCACATACAAACCCTTTGCTGATTGGCAAAAGAACATATTCCAACAGGCGATGGAACAATACATATCAGCCGAGTCGGATATTCAACAGCAACTGTCTGCAATGTCCAAGGATGCGTCCAGGAGCATCAGTCGAGATATGGTGAACGCTGTTGTGAAATTGAACAGGAAAAGCGCAATGGATGTGATACACTTTTCCATGAAGGGTTTCCTGAGCGTTATTCGACTTGCCCCAACGCTTAGCGCTGTGTCATTTGCCTTGAACCATTGTATGTCCAATTCCCCAACCTGCCTTTAAGTCTCCTGCTAACTTTACCAAGACCAATTGGATCAAGTGTTTACACGATTTCCTTTCTCGTCCGCAGATTTCGACTGGAGTAGCTTGCGGGCTGCTTTGGATATCGCTGATCATTATGTCACCCGGATTGAGAATTTCTTAAAACAGGGTCCAGCGAACGCCGATCACTCCTGGCATGGAGAGGATGCGATTATGGTTAGTTCCCAAATACTCACAAAACGAATTCTTGCATATTAACAGCCGATTGTGTAGCTCCTCGAACGTAAGATGGCAATCCCTTTCTTCTCCATGACACGTGGTGTCATTGGGGTGGAATTCAAGGACAGTGCGCTTGGCCCTACGAGTGACCGTTCTATATGTATGGAACAAGCCATATTGCTTGCGGGACGACAGGCAGCACGGTTAATCCATGCCCGATTATTGGTGAGTACCCTTGATAAAGATACATTATAAAAGCTAATGTGTCATTCAGCGTGTTTCTCAATTCTTTGTAACCGGAAGATACAATATATTTCAAGATATGCTAAAAGGGGTCACTTCACCTTCGCGGAAGTACCGTGCTTTGTTCTTCGCCATGCTGATTGAGCAGGGCGTGGACGATTTCAAGGTTTGAATCTCTTTATCTCTCGAGTTGAGCATCGCTAATTTTGTTAAAGGACTTGTATGGGACAATACTTGAACTATTTTTGATAGAAATTGTCAAGCCTCTGAGCTTCGTTGCTTACGAAAATCGGCTCGCCCTAGCGATTAAACGACACGGTAACCCCTATTTAAGGGATGCAGTCGTAGAAATCGGCAACAGCCCTGACTACAATTCAAACAGGGATTTGTTCAGCCGTAAGTATTTTCTACTCAATTGCTTTTACCTATTACTAACGTTTGGCTAGATACGGTCTCTGTAATGCGCAAGACGTTGCGGTTTTCGGAGTTAAGTCAGAAGCAGCAACTACAATCGGAGTTCTCGAAAGCTTTGAAAAGTGTAATGGATCAGATGAAGCTTGATCTGAAGTCTGTCACACTAGATTCCCGCGAACACGCAGATCACATCGAATTCGTCCGATCAACTGTCACCATGATCAGGTCGCAAGATATCTGTCCAGTCGACTCGTATTTCTATCAGATCAGTCGAGAATATTCCCCTTCTAGTCAAGATCCACGCCTGCAGATAGCAGGTATCCTATCATGGGGGCTCAAACTCGAAGAAGGTGATACCAAAGCAGTATCCGGGCTCTTCTATCTGCTGTTTCCTAATTTTAAGCTTGCACTTGCAAATGGTAAACTCGCGGAAGAACGTGCCATCATCCAACAAGGAATGAAGAACCCTCATGTTTTCTCTTTCATGCTAAGCAGAATGTTCCCTGCAATCATCCACGCCGCACTTCGGTCCCCCAAGGGATGGATACTATTAGATACTTACGTCGACGCTTTCGATGCGTGGCTCTCAACTCCCGCTATCCACAGAGTCATTGGAAAAGAGGATGTTGCTGGGACTTTGATGCTTTTAGAATCTGTTTTGGCCGGCATTGACCACCTTCAAAACCTTGACATCGCTGACCTACAATCCGAGCACGTCTATATCCTGATTCAAATCACACGTCTTCTTAATCTGCTTTCGCCGTCATTCACAGCCTACTTGTTCAAGGACCCAAATTCTCAGTTGGCAATCGACATTACGGAAGGGATCGACTCATTTACGGACTTTACGAGACAGGCCGGTGGCTATCTATCCACTCTTCTCAAACGACCAGGTCGCAAGGCTAGCTCAGATTTAGGGGATACAATCACGATAGACCCGATTAGGCTATTCGGGGGACTGCAGAGGCTTGGTATGACTCTGTCGGAAAACAACGAACACGTCGACAGATTTTCAAACCATATCATCCGGGACATTAATGATAATTGGGTTTCGGATGCTTCAAGTATCAGTGTTAGAGGTCCCTCCAGAGCGCAAGGCCAGCACTCAACCCAATCCGGACAAGGGACTCCACTTCCAAAGTGGAGCGAGAGGAAGCTCGTCGAAAATCTTAATGCGCAGCTTCGGGAATGGAATTATACCAATGATTTAAAGGAAACGAAGATGACTTCCAAGTCAGGGGGTTTATCACTCTATGAGTTTTTGCTTTAGTACATGGTCGCATTCAGCGTGGAGTTCAGGGGGTGGTATCGGGTAGTGTTAAAAGGACTTTGGATCCAACTTCATACTCGCGTATGCAATACCCATTACTATATTTTTAGAAAGCAAAATGAATTAAACCTGATAAGGGGAATACTGAAATGCCCAGTGAAGACTTGAACCGATACTTCCCATATATATGGAATATTACATAATCAACATGCCCCTATTTATAAAGTATTTCGTAATCATACTCGGTGAAGTCTCGGTGAAGTAGCTTATCGATACAAAGCAAACAAATAAGAAAAAACGCTTGGACCACGATGAAATTCGGAATTTTTTTCTGACGTCGGTCAACTTTCAAAATTTCCTCCGCCGCTTTTCTTCTTGCAAGACCGCAAGTCATGCATTCGCCCGCTCACGCCGAGCGCCAATTCTCCGAATGCATACTTTGTCGCTACGTGCCTTTCGCTCGGCAGCACTCGGTCTTCGGAAACAGCCTTCTCTGGCGACGACGACCGGTCGATTGTTCCACGTCTCGGCGAGGGTTCGAGCTGCGGCGGCTGATGATAATGATGGAAGTAATAAACCGGATAGAGAGAATGGAAATGGGGAAAATGTGGACGAGAATATATTTGGAGAGAATGCGGCTACGGCGAACGGAGAGAGTCAGGGGAGGAAGAAACCTGGGAGTAATGGTTCCTTGAGGTCGCGCACCCTGCGGAATAGAAAACCTGAGGAGTTGCCCCCGGTCCCGGTGCCGAAGGCGTTTCTTGATAATGCGATTGCTCGGTTCGAGGATATACGAGACGGTGTTGGTTTGGATTGTATTCATGAGAAGGATGCGCGCGTCAAGCTGGAGGATACGTTGTACCAATCCCCGGAATGGATTTGGGATGAGCTTATGACCTCTATATTCGATGTGACGGCTTGGAGTGAGGAAACTCTTAACGAGGCCCTTGGCAGTCTTACGGAAGATCCGGATCATAAGCCTCTTCACAAAAAGGGCGATATCCTAGCCGCTGCGGCGCTCTGGAGGGCTGTTCTGTCGGTCCGGGAGGCTTACGGGGAAGAGGCCGCGGATAAACTGCTAGAACACAACTCGATATCGAGTAGTAGCGATCTACTAGCCGCTCTCACTTATGGAAAGGTTCTTGTTGGCAAAGATCAGTCGCCGATACAGCACAGCCAAGTCAAGCAAATACTAGACGCTACGCTAAATGATTCTTCTCTAGGGGAGTCTACTGTGAATTGGTTTGAGGAGGACTTAATCGAAGAGATCATAGCCTCTGTCAACGCTGATCTCATAGTGCCGGCCCCGAAGAACGTGAAGCTTGCCGAGCTACGGCGACCAGTCACCATCTTCAATATGGCTGATTACTCCGGGTTTACAGTATCCCGTGAAATTGTGCGACATGTCGCTGCTAGGTTAGAAGCCGATGTTCTACATCTGAAAGCTAGTGACATTGCACAAATCGTTGGGAGTTATCTAGGCCAAGATTCTGTGAGGGCACCCGGTGCTATGTCACAACTGGGTTACAAAGCTGCGGAGATCAATGGGAGATTAAAACCACATCGAGCCACCTATGAAGATGGCGGTTATCCAGAAGATATAGGAGCACCTTATACAATCGTTATGCGCGATGAAAGGCTAAGAAAAGATAACAAGAGGTATATATCCCTGATGGATGACTTCTTAAACGGATCAGCCCGAGGGAAGAATGACGAACTCTGGGAGGATCTAAAAGTCAACACGGCTCTAGAGGAACTCATCCATTCCGCCGATTCCGAGTCTACCGAACAGAGACCAATCATCGTTCATGTTGATGACTTCAACGCCATGAATACCGAATTAGATTGCGGGGCCACAGTAATAGGCAAGATTCGGAAACTCGTCGATGGCCTTTGGTCGGACGGTCGAAAAATCGCTCTCATTGGTTCATGTTCTAGCAAATTTGCACCGAGGCCCTATACAACCGGCTTAAAAGAGCTCGACTTGACGGAGCGATTAATAAACTTACGTATGGTTTGTCTTCGATTAGATACCGATCAGAAGGCTCGAGGTTTCATGGCAAAAACGGCGGCGAAAGTGCTCCAGCGTGAAATGTACGAAAAGAAGGACTTTATAAAAGAGAACGAGAGGAATATTGTACGAGTACTAACATCAATGATCGAACCTCCGTCCGAAGCCACCGTAATGACTACCGGTGAAATGGGACTCAGCCAAATAGACCTTAGAAAACTACCCAGCTCTTGGACTAATGGTGTTTTACCGCTCGCTAAAGTGTACCGTATCGTAACCACGATGATAGGTCATTCCAAGAATCTAACTGATGTATACGACATCAAGTCAATAGAAAAGGCTGCTGAGATGACCAAGAAACTCGAGCAACCGGTAGTGAAGCACCATGAAGCCAGCCATACCGAAGATAAGAGCGAACGAAGAGCGCCTCAAGACATGTTCGACGCGCGCAGGCTTAATCCATCTGAAGAAAATTACGAAGAGAGACTCGAGTCGGGTCTGGTAAATGCGGAAGATATCCGCACTACATTTAAGGACGTCCATGCGCCGAAGGAGACAATTGAGTCGGTCAAGATGCTCACTACTCTTTCCTTAATCCGCCCCGAAGCCTTTTCTTATGGTGTCCTCGCCACAGAGAGGATTCCAGGGTGTCTCCTATACGGTCCTCCGGGAACGGGAAAGACGCTACTAGCGAAGGCGGTGGCTAAGGAGAGCGGGGCGAACATGATCGAGATCAGCGGCGCCAGTATCAACAATAAATATGTTGGTGAAAGTGAGAAGAGCGTGCGAGCCCTATTTCAACTTGCTAAAATGAAGGAGCCGTTAGTCATCTTCATCGATGAGGCAGACGCGCTACTAGGCGCGCGGGGTAGGAGGGATCTAGGTGCAAGGCGCGAGACTATCAACCAGTTCCTACGAGAGTGGGATGGTATGGACAAGACAAAGGCATTCATAATGGTAGCAACGAATCGCCCCTTTGACCTCGACGAGGCCGTATTACGTCGCCTGCCCCGAAAACTTTTGATCGACTTGCCCTTAGAGCAAGACCGTGCGGCTATACTTAGGATACACCTAAAGGACGAAATCCTTGATGAAACAACGGTATCAATTGAGGATATCGCCAAGCGCACACCACTATACTCCGGTTCAGACCTGAAGAATGTCTGCGTAGCCGCGGCAATGGCAGCAGTTAAAGAAGAGTTAGAGTTGGAAGAACAACAAACCAAGGAAGGACAAGAAGAGAGCAGTAATAATAGTAATACAACCAGCCCGAAGAGACGAATACTCGCAGGCCGCCATTTCGACAAGGCTCTCCAAGAAATTGGAGCTAGCGTGTCGGAGGACATGGCGACGCTAACAGCGATCCGCAAATTCGACGAGAAATACGGAGATAACGTCGGAGGAGCAGGTGGACGCCGCCGAAAGAGGAAGGGTATGGGTTTTGAGCTCGCGGCTGATGCTGCGGCGGCGAATGATGCGGATGCTGAGGCTAGAGGGGCTAGGGTTAGGAGTGATCGGTGATCACTACCTACATCATGCCAAGCTAAGTCTTGCCGTCATGCTCTTGGTTGTACTATACTACTAGTATTTGAGTGATAGAATACAACGAGCTATGACTATAGTTATGGCTATGGCCATGGTCGATTAGGTAATGTGCATACCTTTTGTGTCATGTCTTTTTTTGACTAATCCTTCTACCTCCCTACGTATCTTAAAGTCAATGCCCTCAGTTTGCCCTTTCTACTCTCATTTTGTGTTGGCCCCTATCCCTCGACCGCCTTTCTACTTCGAGTGAAGTATCATTGGTTGTATGTCGTGTAACTATCATGCAGTCTCATCTCACATCCTTGATTCCACCCTATTTTGCGTCGTGTCTAATAAGCCGGGCAACTCGACGTGGCAGCAGGCGACCTATCACAGTCGAATTTCAAGGCCTCGCATAACAGACTTCCACCCTATTAATTATGTACCTCTCTACATCGCTGCTTTAAGCGGTGGCTGCTACCAGCCGTTGCGGGAGAAATAGAGACTATCCCCCATCTACCGTATCTGCTTGCTTTCCCACCTTTCTACACTGAATTATCCGTACAGCAAGCCTTAGTCACCGCCAAAATCCCTCGCCGCTTCAACTCAGACAGCCCTTCCAGGATGTCGGACTACCTTGGGACGTTCGACTTCGACGCCTTTTCGGCCCCTAACGAGTATACATTCGACTTCAGCGCCCTGGATAGTACCTACCCCATTGGCCAAGAGCCGCAGCCTTCCGTCGTCGACTTCAACCAATCGCTGCCGCCTGTTGCTACTGTAGCCACTGTGGAACCGTGAGGGGTTTTTTTTTTAACACTTGCTAACAAAAAGGGTGAAGGACGACTGTTAATCCCGCTACTGCTCAGGGTCGCTTTGAGTACCATCCTATGACTGCACAAGCGCCCGAAAATTCCAGGAGCCTCAAGAATAAGCAGCACAGCCCACATGCATCCGACCACTACCCCATTCAGATGCTCCCCCCATTCGCATGTGTTGAATGCAATAAGGAGTTCGGAACTCGGCAAGAACTGAACAAACATGCCGAAACCAAACAACATAGATGCTGCCAGTGTTCATGCGAAGCACTATTTGCACGTACCGATGCACTGGATCGCCATTGTTCCTACTTCGGCAAGGATAACCAAGATTTTCCTTGTAGATTTTGCAAAAATCATCGTGGCAGTCACAGCTTCCGCCGACGCGATCATCTTGTTCAACACCTTCGTGGGTATCATAAATTCGACCAAGAGGAGGTCAGAAAAGCATCACCAAGAGAAAGGCGTGGAGGCACATTCCAGGGTTGTTGCCCATATCCCTATTGCGAACTCCACAGAGATGAGGAATTAACATTTCTCCAAAACCCTTTTCAGAAGCCGTCGGAATACAGCAAGCACCTAAAGGATTTCCACAAAGTCACACCATTCCCATGCCCCGTATCTGAATGTGAACGAACCGGTCCTAAAGGGTACATCTCCGGGAAAGGTCTTGAGAAGCACTTGATTCAACAACACTCAGAGGATACGCAGTCTCTGGCAAGACTCCGCGAAGAACTTCAGCACACACATCGCTCTTGCCCTACTTGTGGTAGGAATGATATGCCTCTAGCAGAATTCAATCTTCACGTTCGCATTTTCCATCGAGGCCAGGCCCACCAGACAGGCTTACAAGAAGCCGACATCTGAGAGACGATATTCGGCAGAGCAAGCAGTTCACGTCTAACATAATCCTTCTATATTCTCTTCGCCGTTTATTTGGTCTTGTTTATTTCAACTCACCATTTTGTCGAATGGACTCTTAGCTTCGAGGATACTTTGTGGGGTTGTCCCCATTGTTGGGGTGCGAAACATTACGTCTGAACACAACGATATCAGATATGCTTGTATTTTCCTCTGTTAGGGACAGGGTATGGTTTGATCCGATGGTTTGATTTACGTCGCAGACATTCGTTTGGTTGATTTAAATGTATGCAGTTACGAAGAACCGAAAAAAAAACCAACTTCTTTCCCTCCTTTAACATCACCAGTTCAAGCCCTCTAACGCAGAAATTGTACCCGTCTAAGAATGCGTTGTAGTTCCCCAGCCGATAACATAGGTATCACGATACATAGTCATATCTAGATACTTCCAAGGTCTAGGTTAGGCGACATTCGTGGTACCGTCGTCGCTTGTATAATTCTTGCGGCCACTCTTGGTAGCGTCGCGAGAACTTCCGTATCGTGCCCAAGCGCGGTGGCGCTAGAACGGCGAGGATTAGCCATCGGCCGTCCCCTGCCAGCATGGAGCCCACCTGCTGGAGAAAGCGTCCCGAACGATCCACTGTCTCGAGGAATGATAGAGGTTGATTTATATAATATTATTGTCCCGGATAGTTTAGATACCTACCTATCCAGGCAAGTAGATATTGTAGGTGAGCTAAATACAGCTGGCTTATGAAGTACTGCTCCAGGTGGTCCAGGAATTGAAGTTCCAGATTTGCAACTACGACGTTAAGAGTGACGGTTGCTTGTATATTTATCAAGTCTACGTTGTGGTGTGGCTAGCCGATCAAAGCTTCCAGCCTCTGTAGCTAACCTGTACGTTCTTAGAGCGAAGCGAATAGTTTCTTAGAATGCTATTAAATTTGAGCCAACACGTCACACTCAGCGAGATACACAGGTACCTAAGTGCCTGGCACTTAGGTACTTTGGTATTATGTTGTGTAACCTGAGCCCTGATTCGACCCTATTCTGCAGAGGATTAGTGTGTTAATCCAACTCACTACCTTGAATCCTACAACATTACCTGAATATTCTATCCATTTACACATCTACATACCACCCAAAAGAACTCACAAGAAAATATACCATCGCTCTCTAACCTATTCGTCTAGACTTTTCTCGCATTGCTCATCTCAACCCTGAATAACTTGATAGCCAAACCAGAGAGCCGCTTTGAAGATGTCAAATTACGACTGCTCTGACCTCCCTGACCTCCTAGGAACTGATGTGGGCTTGTCGGATTCCGATTTTAATTGTAACGTCGTGAATAACTACAACTCCAACCTCTGCGTTGACGACGAGCATTACTCTGAATTCAGACCCTTCGTAGGTGCTGATGAGTATGGCTTCGACCCGAACCTAGTTTTGGGTGACAATGAGGATACCATCTACTCTGACGACACGTGCAACACGCTTTCGATTGGCCAAGACCAGGGCTCTACCGACGCATCGCTGCCATTTGACCGCCCTTTGGAACGGTAAGGTTTTTTTTTTTTATACACGCTAACAAAAAGGGTGTGTGCGTTCAGCAGATTTTCCAGACCCACTCACACAGTCGTGACCCAATGTAATAATTATGGGGATTCGACTACCCAGGTACCCCAAGTCAACTTTAATATGGGGCTTGAGAACCAATACAATGGCCTACATACGCCTGGCAATTATAAAGTTCGGGGACCTTCTACATACATATGTGCAGAATGCCGTGAGCCGTTCGAGCAGCGCTATAAACTTGATTATCACGCCTCCGAGCAAAGGCATCAACCGTTCGGATGTTCATGTGGCAAGACATTTTCACGAATCGACAGTTTGACTCGTCATTGCGCATCATTCTGCAAGGGCGGTAATTTGTTTCCTTGCAAATATTGTAAGGCTTATCGTGGCAACCATAGTTTTACCCGACGCGATCATCTTGTTCAGCATCTTGGTGGGTATCACAAATTCAGCCCCGAGGAAATCGAGGAGGTCTGTCCTAAAACCAGACAAGCAATATCATGGAAGGTACTCCGGCAGCGCTGTCCGTATCCTGAATGCGACTCTCTTAGGGACGAAGCGTCTCGGGGTTTACGAGCGCCATTTCCAAAGCAGTCGGATTACAGCGCCCATCTGAGAGACGTTCACAAGGTTACACCATTCCCGTGTCCTGTGTCCGGATGTGAGCGAGTCGGTGCCAAGGGGTACGTGGCTGGGAGTGGCCTTATAGGGTATTTATCACAGGTGCACCCGGCCGATCCACAGGCATTGCTGAAATTTCGCAACGACCTCCGGAATTTCAAAGGTCCGGAATTTCAAAGGCTTGTGCGATGTTTGCAGCATGTGCTTTTATTCTATAGCGGATTCAAATCTGCATGTTCGTGTCTGTCGGCCGAATTAATCGCGCCCATGAAGTATTGGTTCGACACTATACTGGAAAGATGGTCTGCTGTTAAGTAGATGACTTCATGGTCTGGTTCGAGTCGATGTGGATAGGAGATAGTGATCTAAGGCGCCGTGTCAGACTACGTGCCAGCGGTGGATGGATCAAGATCAGGGGCTTCGGTAGGCAATCGCACGCATTTAGTTCTCAAGCAAGATTGCCGCCGCCCTGCTTTCCTCATTGGCTCGTTCTAGAGTTTCTCTTTTCGATTCTCCCGTTCACAACGTTGATTGATTTTTAGCTCTTTGGGTGTCTCGTGCTGGTCTCTGTACTGGGGTATCAATCATTTTGCCTAGACATATTGGGATTGGGTTTATTGTTGAGTTTTCTCTCTTGGGGATTGGAGATTGGTGCTGGCTGTTAGGTATTCACAGTTCATTCGTTTGGTTGATTCAAATGTATAATCACAAAAAAATACCAACTTCTTTCCCTCCTTTGACACTACTAATTTAAACCATTTCATATATTCGACCTAGAATGCATTGCTAGCTGATAAGCTACCTACCTAAGTAGTAGGCTGGTGAGTCGCTGTTCTCTAGCACTAGACGGTATACTTATAGCACACTAGACCCCTAAAAATTAGCCCAACCTAGGTACATAAGTAATCAGGGACATACCCAATGATAAACCCCCTTAACTTTTCACCTTCCATTTCAATCGTTGATATATTTATTAATAACTTGCGCTAGCAACATGAAGCCATAGTCAATGGAGTATACATACACAAATACTTAACGCTTGTATTTGTATAACCCTAACTACCTAGGTAGGGATGGAATTAATAGATGCTCTATAAAGCCGAGCATATCTCCATTGTCCGATTCGCTCAATCCTTGCTGTTGTTCAATAGCGCTAAAAGCATCCCTGTTTCGGTCTTTTAGAGGGGATATGATGATTAGAAATGGCCTAGCCAGGATACGTTACGCTGTTGGGGGCGCAGCACTACATCGCTATGGAATAGCTACGTATCCCTTTATCTTGGTATTGTTCGGAGGGGCTGGGTTTTCTATCCCTTGACTTGTCGTGGTATATACCAACACACCTAGGCAATTCAATTATTCCTTCTACCTTCTAGAGTATCTCTAACGATCCAGTCCATGACATTTCGTGTTCTAATTCCTTTCCTATTAGCGGAGTCCGACTTGGAAATGGAATAATACAATATGGCAACCTTTTTGACGAGTCCCATTCAGGGGTTCGTGGTGGCTTTCCTGCTCGTCGTTGTGACTTACTTCTATAGTAAATTGCACTATAAGCGGTTCAAGCAGAATGCCCACATCCCTCAGCACCCTCCCTCTCTCCTTTGGGGACATCTCGCTATTTTTGACAAATTTTCCAAACAAGGTGCAGCGGATCGTCATCCAGGTGGGTATCCATGGCAAGATGATGATTATCAAAGCTTGGTTAGTAACGGTGAAATTCAGATGCAATTTTTGCCCAGATGCGTCAAGCATTAGGGCAGCCGCCGATCATGGTGGTGGACAATTGGCCCATTGTCCCACCTATGGTAATAATCGCAAGTCATGAGGTTGCCGAGCAAGTATCGAAGCCTTCGAAGGAGTTTCAGTATAGTGTGCCGAAGTCTCCATCAACGACCAATTTAGTCAACTTGATTGGGCCAAATTCTATCTTGAACAAGCAAGTAGGCATATAATCTAATAACAACCATTTGCTGGCGAAACTAATGCAGGACTCAGAACGAGGAATGGAAGGCAATCCGTAAAAGATTCAACCCAGGCTTTGCTCCCCAGCATTTGATGACGCTCTTGCCGGTTATCGTGGAAAAATCTATGCTTTATCTAGAAGCCATTGATCGATCTGTCGCTACAGGGGAGGCGTTCGCACTCGAGCAAGCCACGACAAATTTAACATTTGACATTATTGGTGCCGTGGCCATGAATGAAGATATGGGTGCTCAGCACCCAGACCCGACCCAGCAGGGCCAGCTCGTGCGCATGTACAAGGAACTAATCAGGAGTAAGTCCCTACATTAGTAGGTAATTATCTAGGGGGGGCAAGTACTAACAGCCAATCCATAGCATATGCGGACGATAAGCTCTCATTACCATGGTGGTTAATACCTCGAGTTCACCTCAAACGCCGCAAACTTGGAAATCGCATCTCGGAGGAATTAAGAGCTATCGTGCGACGCAATTTCGGCGAGATGAATGCTAAATCGAACCCTGGTAAATCGCGGAATAGATCCCGAACCGTCTTGGCGCTCAGTTTACAAGATATTAACACACTTACGCCCGAAATTTTGGAAGAAACGTGTGATCAGTTAAAAACTTTCCTATTTGCTGGCCACGATACGACAAGTAGTGCTATCCTCTGGAGTGTCTACGAACTCTCTCGAACTCCCCATGCTCTGAAAGCAGTACGCGATGAACTAGACCAACTCTTCGGCCCCGGAGCTGCTCACGACCCTGCTATTGTTCGCGAGAAACTCCTAGCTCCGGGAGGTGATGAGATTGTGCATCGCATGACTTATATCTCCGCGGTTCTAAAAGAAGTCCTTAGATTATATCCCCCAGCGGGTTCTATTCGCTTAGCGAAGGCTAAATCAGGACTGATTGTGACTACTTCGCAGGGTGAATATGATCTCAGTGGTGTATGGCTATATTTGAATCATACTATTATTGGTCGTGACCCGGCTGTGTTTGGGGACACTGCAGATGCCTTTGTGCCGGAGCGTTGGCTTCAATCTGAGGGTGTTCCGGCTAGTGCATACAGACCGTTTGAAAGAGGTCCGAGAAATTGTATTGGGCAAGAATTGGCGGTTATTGAGGCGCGCATCATCATTGCTTTACTGGCGGGTCGGTTCGAGTTCACTAAAGTTGGTTGCGGTGAAACCGAGTTAGGCAAAGATGGTAAGCCGATAATTGATGATAATGGTCAATTCAAGGTAAAGTCGGAAATGTATTCAGTAAGTACCGAAAATTCTGCGCTGCCAATATATTTTTCCCCTCTGACGGTTTTTTAGACGATTGCGATCACTGCTAAGCCAGTTGATGGGATGGTGGTGAAGGTGAAGTTAGCGCCCACAACTCGCTGAAAGGCGGTAATGTCTAGGCCTAGGTTGGTACCCAGGTATTATCACTACGAATATACCGGACCCCCTAAGCTTAAAGACAACGTATGACACATTTGTGTATATACCGGCGGATTAAGGACTTCGAGAATATACGGTAAGGATTCTTGGTTTATTTTTTCGAGTACATATACCTAGGTATCTACAAGTGAGTTATTGTTATGAGCTTCGCTACGGGTAACTCATTCCCATCAATGCTTAACAACAATTTTACCACCAGCATCATGCGAATCCAACATCTTATGTGCACTATGAATATCCCCGTACTCAAATACCTTTGCAGGCTTCGCATCCCATACTCCATTCTCAATCTTCCGCACGATATCCTGCAGCGGGATAGCTGATAAGGGAAAATCAGGTGTACCGAGGACTTTACTATGGAACAAACTGAAATGAACACCAGATTCCATCTGCACCATAGGATTAAAATCCTCCACCGGCGCCAGTCCACCTAACCAGCCAGCTTGCAGCATGCGTCCTCCTGTACGGGTCAGTCGGATAGACTCCAGTAGAACACGATTTCCCACAAGATTCAACGTCTTATCGAAGCGCCGGGTCTGAAGCTGCTGATCGAGGCCAGACTGTTCAAGAACAGCGTCCGTAGCACCCATACCTCGGAGCCACTCAAGCCTTTCTTCTCGCCGCGTAGTCGCCGTAACTAAAGCACTGGCATCAGCAGCTAAATTCAGCGCAGCCTGGCCAATCGTACTCGTCGCACCACGGATCAGTAGCGTCTCTCCCCGCTGTAAATCCAGAACAGTGAATAAGCACGACCACGCCGTACAATACACCTCAGGCAACGCAGCAAGCTCCTCCCAAGGCAATTTTGTATCCTCAATTAAAATAACATTCTCAACCGGCACAGTAACAAATTCACCGTAACTCCCTGGTCGACTTCTACCCAATCCTCCCATCACCCCCGCTACCTTAGCACCGACGGGGAACTCGCCCCCAGGACAAGTTTCAACGATACCGACGCATTCGAGACCTGTAATGGGGTTCCATTCGTCCCATTCACCCTTGCGCATGTGCATCTCGGCGTGGTTGACGCCGAAGGCGCGGACGTGGATTAGTGCTTCGCCTAGGATGGGGGTGGACTTGGGGACGGTTGTGTAGGAGAGGACTTCCGGGCCGCCGAAGGTGGGGATCGTTATTGCTTTCATGGCCTCTGACATTGTGTTGGATTCCAGTACCTAGGTATGGTATTTAGGGAGGTGTTTAAGGGGGTTTTTATAGAAGGGGGGTTCTGTAACTTTGGGGTAGGTGTTGTGGAGTGGGATGTTGGTGATTCCTGAGTGCTTGGATCTGGCTTTATATAACCTTTCTAGTTTCTACGACTTGATAATTCGAGAACTATTTTAATAAGCATTGTTTCTCTCTTGTATCTGTAATGAAGTGACAGATATTCTTGATTTCGTCGTTTTGTCGTTGTCAAAAATGCAGTATCTTTTATGACTCTTTTACAGAAGGGCGCGCTGCATGGTGCTGACTAACCGTGCGTACTCAGCTGCCCCTGAAAAGAAAATACAGGCGAGAAAGATGAAATCCAATGCCTAATATAGCTAACCTATAGTTATATGTTACCGAATGCGGATGAATTGATCGTATATCTCGGCGATTCAAGTTTAACGAATGGGAAAGGGCCATTTCCATCAATATGATGACCAGATATATAAGCTGGGTTAAATATGCTGTGTTTCCGCGGACTTACTGGCGACGTGTTCCCACTTGATAAACAACATGTTTACTGGATTGGACGAGTGTCATGAGTTGAGATGGCCATATGGGTAAAAATAATAATTGAGCTGAGTTTGCCTTTTTCATATTTTGTTAAGATTTGCGAACAAAGGAGTTCCATAGGAGTGAAGCCGAAGTTTGCTTACTAGGGAGGTGTAATACGGCTAGATATCGAGACTTATAACTAACCGCTATACCGCACAGCTTCATATGACATAAGCCTCCGGGCGGTCGATGAGGTGCTTTCAAGGGTTGTGCTAGATTGACTAAAAAGGGTGTTTTATGCGGCTACCACCCAACACCTCTTCCCAATTAGTAAACTCGATAATTGATCTTGAAAACACCGTGTTCTTGTATTTAAAGAGGAACACCATCCACATCTACTCATTTTATGGTTGACCGAAATTCTAATATTATCGTGGCGAGATATTGGCGTTGAAGAACCATAGTGCTCTAATAGTGTGTCCAGGTACATTTAGTGACTAAAAGATAGTTATGGCGACCTGGAAGATTGAGGGCTGTACCGTGGCGGACGCCGCGGCCTTATCGCGCAATAATATGAGTGCTTTCTGGGATGATCCGACGTGGATTTTGCTCTGGCCAAAGGATATCACACGGGAGTTCTTAATTGAACAAGTCGCAAAGCGCTATCCGCGCATGCTCACAAATGATCGTGAAGAGAAGCGTCACCAAAAGGCCGTGGATCCTAATACTGGTGCTCTCGTCGGCTACGCTCGTTGGATACTCCCGCCTAGCCACTTCAATGCGAAAGATGGAGGCCCTGAGTGGCCCGAGGCGCAGACACCTGAAGTTACCGATGAAGAAAAAAGACAGTTCGAAGAGCTAGCTAAGTCGGCTTGGTGGGGCGGGAGACGGGATATGAGTGGGATTGATGATAAGAACGACGTCGTGATGGATCGCATACTAGCAGAACGGCCTTACATTAGTGAGTAGAGATAACTTAACTCTTGATAAGATGTTAGAATAGTTTGCTGACTGGTATTCAGAGCTGGATTATCTAGCTGTTCACCCCGAAAATAAAGGAAAAGGAATAGCCACTGCTCTCGTCGAGAGTGGGATCAGGCATGCCGAAAAGATTGGTGTGCCCATTTTTGTAATGTCCTACAAAGCTGGCCGAGGAGTCTACGAGAGACTTGGATTTAAGGAAGTCGACCGAGTAATCCAGGATGACTCGCAGTATGGTGGTAAAGGGGAGTACGGGGCGTATTTCATGATTTATGAAGTTCCCAAAGTAGCTTGAAGGCTCTAGCTTGAGCTGGCTTGACCTTGATTTCCCAGTTTATTTTGGATGAAATGAGAGAAAGATTTAACCAAAGAACCGAGTCAATACTTGCTGAAACTGAAGCGAATCTCCCACTGACTCTACGGTATGCACCTTTAGCGGTGCCTCTACGATGCTTCTACAGGCGTCAGACAACGCCTAACTTAGGCTACACAGGCCCATAATATGGAATTGCCAAATTTGGATGTCTCATTAATGTTTTGGCCAATAATCATTCAGAGGAAGCTTGGCGACGAACTTCAACCACCACTAGAACTGCACTGGAAAGTTGATGCTTGGGCGATGGAGTTTGGTTGGACTGAACCTAATTGCTACTTGGCTCCGGGGGAGTGCCTTATGTAATTGCTTAACCTACTTCATGCGAACTCTCGTGCCACCTTGGGAGACAAGATGGCCGCGAAGCTACTATTTCTTATTTTGAAAATCTACCTGCGCGATCTAAACTCGTCGTATGCGAGTATTGGTAACTATTAGCTGGTAATATCGTATTACATGGACCAATGACCTCCTCGTTGGGGGTTATAATACCTAGGTATTCATCCTGGCCTAGCATCGCGTGCAAAGCTATCCTGCTTGCTAATCCGCGACGTATACAGCTATCGTGGTGCATTCTGGCGGCATCTAGTTCCGAATATCGAAAATAAACCGCTATACAATTCCTGTTCCTGCTATCTTGGGTATCAAGCATCCTCCATAACTAAATCTGGGTCAACCTCGGTACCCAAATCTCGGTCCTCTAAAAATGATCGGCCAAGTAACGCATCTGGGAGGTAATCCTGCTTCACTTTGCCGTCTTTGTAATTGGGGTTGTATTTATACTCTCGTCCATACCTAAGCTCTCGCATCAACCTCGTCGGCGCGTTTCGTAGGTGAATAGGTACTGGTAAGGCGGCCACACCTGGCTCCTTTAGGGCCGCAAAGGCATTATTCAACCCTCTGTAGGCACGTGTGCTCTTTGGTGCAAGTGAAAGCGCTACTGCGCAGTGGGCTAAGGGTATTCGGGCTTCTGGCATTCCGATCTGTTGCGTAGCGGTAAAAGTTGAGGTCGCTAAACTGAGGAGAGAGCTATCCGCTAGGCCGACATCTTCGGACGCTATTACGACCATTCGTCGGGCGATGAAGAGGGGATCTTCTCCAGATTGGAGCATCCGAGCTAGGTAATATAATGCAGCGTCTGCATCCGAACCGCGGACTGACTTATGGAAAGCTGAAATCGTATCGTAATGTTGGTCGCCCGCCCGATCATATACTAATGTTTTCGTTAAAGAAGCCTTCATTGTTTCTTTCGTCATGCCTTCTTTATTCACTAAAGACATGGCAAGTTCTAGTAGATTAAGTGCTGTTCGTGCGTCACCATCGGCAAAATTGGCGAGGTAACTCATTAATTCTTCATCGAGGAGGGGGGATTGTGGTGTTGAAGTAGTGGCAAGCTCTGCCTGTAATGCCCGAGACAGAACACGCTGGACATCGGTCGTAGTTAGTTTCTGTAGGGTGAAAGTTCGACACCTTGACAACAGCGCATTGACAACCTTGAAGCTTGGGTTCTCAGTTGTCGCACCGATTAGTGTAATCGTGCCTGCTTCGACGGGCTTTAGGAATACGTCCTGTTGCGATTTTGAGAAACGGTGAATCTCGTCGCAAAATATTATCGTTTTTCGGCCGGTCAATTGTGATTCGTGGGCCGCCTCGCTAAATATCTTCTTGCATTCCGCCACACCCGAACTTGTCGCATTCATCTCAATAAACCGAGAACCGACCATATTTGCTATACATCGTGCGATCGTAGTCTTGCCTGTACCCGATGCGCCCCAGAGAATCATGGACGGCACTCGATCCGATTCGATTAGCGATCGTAGGACACCGTGGGGACCGACTAAATCTTGGCCAAATACATCGTCGAAATTCCGAGGTCGCATTCGCTCGGCGAGTGGTGCTGCTTTACTCATTTTGGTCCTCTTCACTATAGGTCCCGTCTCTGCAGGGACTACATCTTCTGTCTTGCCGTTCGCATCGCGAATTGGCGAATTTTCTCCTGGTCCCTCCTCGAAAGAACGTTTCTGACCTCCATTTAATTTGGGCGTCCCTGTCGTCGTACCGTTGATTATGGGCGTAAGAACTTTCGCGGTCGTCGGTTGTCGCTTGGCTGAAGGGGTTGAGAAAAAGCTCGACGCTGGCCGTTTTTGTGACGATGTGGTACCATTTCCTTGGGTAGGAGGCATATTCGGAGACGATGATATGGATGAAGGATCAATTACAAAAGTCTGGCATCCTGAATCGAGGTGATCGTTGATCTTCAATCCTTGGACTTGCTTACCGCAAACCGGACATTCCACCATTGTGACGTTGGGTGTATTGAAGTAGAGAAGGAATGGAGGAATTTGATGAGCTCATTAATGATAAAATCCAACGCCGGTTTCAATCCAAACGAGTGACTAAATAAACAAAAAAATGAGCCGATGTAATGCTTCTCCCAGATTCAGCCGAATTCCTGACGCGAAATAGATAGGGAGACAGGAGAGATAGAGAGAAGACGCGATCGAATGAATGAATGTATTGTAGAATTATGTCGGGTGCACAAGCTAGATAATCTTATCGATAGTGTGAATATGGCATATGCTTACATATGCGGATTACATAAGATAGCGTACTTACATAATAATTTAGATACTTAGGTACAAATTAATATGTGTACGATTTATACGACTCGTATGGATATACGTGCTGTGCACGTAGGTAGGTACGTTATTCGAATATGGCAACAAACACATTGGTATATGCTGGAGCGCATGAGCAAAAGTTATCTATATAGACCTTTGGTAATTAGGTCTTATTAAACCAAACCTTTTATACATAATACCTCGTAGAATCTGTCACATCAACCCGTACCTGGAGGTATTCTCCGGAGGCATAAACCCAGCTTGGTATTGTGACGTGCGATTCGAGGGACAGCGGGTATCGCATAGGATGTACTAGAAATGCCTTCTCAACGTTGTCTCGTGAGAGTTTCACCTCCTCTTAGTTCTTGACCTTTTCACCGGCCGTTGGGGTTCCGCCACCTCAGCTTCACTATCCTCCTCTTCTGATTCAAGGTCTTCGTGATTTACGTCATTTTCGTCCAAGTCTTCTTGACCTTCTAGCTCGTCGTCATCATCCTCGTCTTCACTCGGTTCTTCGTCGTCTTCTGAATCATCTTCGACCACACCATTTGTGACAGGTAGCTCGTCGTCTTCGTCATCCAAGTCCATATTTCCGTTCACCATCTCACCGTCGCTATCTTCCCCTTCCACATAGACGACATCTTCTTCGTCTTCATCTTCATCAATGTCCCTGTTTCGTTGCATGCTTCGGCGTAGTTCCATTTGTGCCTCAAGTAAGTCAAGCTTACCCTTGAGGGCTAGAAGAGAATTGAGACCTCTTGATCGTTCTTCTAATACTCGATGAAGCTCGCTTAACTTCTTCGACAATCCAGGTTGGGTTGCCAGTGCACCTCCATGTGCAATTAATGTCCATTGTACCCAAGTCATGAGACTACCTGCTCGTCCTGGGCGCCTGTGCATTCTCGTAGCGAGTTTGGTAAGTAGTGTTCCTGCGAGACTAGAGTCTAATCTTTGAATGGTATTTCGGACGGTAGTGAGATCGGTGGTGTGAAGACAAGACTCTAGAAGGTCTGAATCGTCGGTGCGAAGAGCTTGGGTTAGAACAGTCCCAAGAGATGAGATGCTGGGTGGTACTAAGGACCGCCCTGGAGTGACGAGAGTGTTGGATTGTGCAGATATCGCAGCTGGGACTTCAATGGTGTCGTTTGCGCGGGCGAGTTCGCCGAATGTAGGTTGGGCGGGTTCTTGGTCAGACTCGCCGTCCGTTGGTAAATTGGGCGAAGGCATATCAACATCGACATCTTCGTTGTTCTCTTGTTGCGATTGTGTGGGTTTGTTTGCTATTATTTGACTTTGGGATACTTCTGTCCCGGGTCTAGTCTTACTGCCTGGCTTCGTAGGCTCACCCTCACTCTGCTCATTGTCTGTGACCTCGTATTCGCTGCTACCAGAGTCGCTCGAAATCTCTATTACTTTCTCGTCTATAGCCTCGCTTTCCTTTGTGATTTCTGGGGCAGAGACAGCTGTCTCGGACTCGTTTATTGTAGCTTTCAAAGGCTTCTTTGCGCTTTGCTTAACAACTGGGTGAACAATCTTGCTCGAGGGTTTTCGTTTGGTCGACATTTTGCTCCTAGTGATTGAGAAAAAAAAAGATTGAGGAGGGTGACTGTGTTAAAAGGTTTGGATTTGTAAAATTATAACCCAAACACAGGCATCCCGGGTTATGAGGGGTGAAGGCGCAAGATTTGTGAATATTATACTTTGCGCGATCAATCAAGATGTTAAGAAACTAAAGGTACCCGTACTTTTTTTTTTGCTCTCCGATAACATTATCGATCTAGACCCATTTTCTACTTCGATAGGCGGTTAGTATTCCCGTTTCCGAAGCTTATGTGCGGGCCATTGCTTAAATGATCCAAGTGAGGCCGGAAGGTGGTCTAGGCTTAAGAAGACGATGTACCTAAGTACTGGTACATATTCGGCCGTAGCTTACCCACCCCCAAGTCAAAACCCATTTGCCCTGCCACTACTTTTTTCGGATTGAATGGGTCTTGATTACAATATTTCTCCTCCACCGCAACTTTTTTTTCTGTTCAGACCGATTCAGCACTTTACAATTGAATGACACAACCGTCGAGTTCTCAACCCCTCGCATGGACTAAATGAGTGAGTGCCTTATTTTTACCACATATCTGATATAGTCGAAGTCTATGACGATTCTCCAAGGGTCCAACACGTTTCTTCAGGCTGTAATACGTCTTCTTGAAGCGAACAAAGACGACCTTTGACAACGACATTCTAACATCAGCCCCCTTTTCGGGATCATGTGACGATTTATCACGGATTAAGTGGCGGGTGGTGGCCAAACCCGAATTTTTCCCTTGATGAGTCAACAAGCAATCGTTCCCTATAGTTACACGCCCCCGGGTACGACAATTATCGAAAAAAAGAGACGGCCGGTGGCCCCCATCATTTCAAATTTGCAGGGGTCTCCAAGCATTACGCGTTACTATTGGGTAGTCGCCGGAGAGTCATCATTGCGCTCAACTTTTGATTGGCTCTCCGAATCTAGCCCCGTCAAACATTATTTCTTGTCAAAAATCTTCGAGCATCGGGTCGTTCTTTTGCTTGTTCCTCCAGCAGAAACGAACAAAATTTTTCAACGGCGGCCAAAACAGCTATCAAACCTAACGACATAAGATTCTATCTTTTGTTAACCATTCTCAACCGTTTTCGATCTTCGTTTTGACGTTATTGATTTACTGTCGAAATTTATAATAGGAAGTTTATATGCACAAAGAGGGTCATCAATTGATTGCACCGTGGTAGGTAGCAGTTTTTCAATTCCTTCGTTCCCTCGCTATTATTTTTCAATTGACCATTTATTTGTTATTGTGTGTATTTCTACTTTGCACAATGCTGTGTTCACACATGCATGTTGCGTGTACTTGATCACTCTTAGGAAGTGCACCCTGATCCTTGTCTCAAAGGGACCCACGTCTCGATATCCCGATGCCGTGATTTGCTACTGGGACGTTTGTTAGAACCACAGTAGGTGCGTCCCCATTGTGATCCTTGTCGTAACTCCCCAGTGATGGCGAACCGTGATTTCGCAGGCCGGGAAAGCGCGTTCTACAAATAGGAAAGTGGCCCCAATCCAGAAATTTTCGCGACGAAGAAAAAAAAGAGACCTCTGATTCCTGAGATTTTTTTTACAACCCTTCCTCCTATTTTTCCATTTCTGCCCAACCCCAACCCCCCCTCTCCCTATTATTCCGATCACCGACACCGCCTCGCATTTAGAGAGATTGATTTCATACCTCACCACCACCACCGCCGCACGCGCACCACGCGACGAGAAGTACCCAAGTACCTTTCTCTCTTTCGCGCATTAATTTTTTTGTCTTGCCTTATTTTCCCTCCTAAGTGCAAGCTGCTGCTCATCGATTCGCTGCTTTAATATTTTAAGGGTTTTATTTTTTTTTATTCATTCCCATCCTTCCCTTAAAACGGTAACATCGCGAGTGAGTATCGCGACCGACTACCGCTTGGACCAACCGGTGCATCCCATCCATCCGTCCATCAATCCCTCTTTAGTTGCCGCGCAGTCGCGATCGCGCCTCATCACTAAGGCCTCGAGCCCCATTGACGACGTCTAAGTGCCTACCTAATAACGGTATTCACTTCTCGTTGGCTCATATCATCAATTCATCAATTCTTGTTTGGTCTGATTAAGTTCAACGCACCAAACGGTCTTGATTATACACGGGTGCAACTTCGCAAACACGTTTCGCATCTGTACATCGCATCACATCGCGATATCCCGTTGACGGCGTTCTACGTTCGCGAGAGGAATCTACATATCGTCGTCGCCTTGCCGTCGCCTCGCCACCGGCGCACTTACCTAATCTCTTTATCCAACCTTCTCCCGCGACAATAGGATTTCGATCTGGGACTCGATTTGAGCTGGTGCATCCTTTGTCCTCTTCATAATCGAAAGTAAGTTGATGAATATTTTCTTGATTATCCTTTCTTTTTCCAACCCCTGTATTGCTGCCCCTTGACTTGATACGGCTTGCCTTGCTATGCGGAGGAGGAAATAAATTCTATTTCATCTCTACCGGCGTCCCCATAATTGTCGTAAATACGCAGCTCCCTCCTCACCGTTCATTTTGGCCGCCAGTCTCCGGTGTCCGGCTGCCGCTTCCGTGGTCTACGAACACATCCCCAAATTCTTTGCGCCGGCATTGGTGTCTTGATATATATAAGTCGTTCATCAGAGGCATCTACTGTCTAGGTAGGTTCGACAAGCGTCATGGCCCTCAATTATCGACTTAAAATTCGCCCTAGGGACAATGCAATTTGGTCAATGTGACCTGCTAGCCCGTCTAGAGTTTTATAGAAATGACGCGCTGGCGAGGGGGTTGAGTTGAGGGTTAACTCAACATCTCGGCATAGCGTCATTTACTTTCTTATTATCAGATCGAGCAGTGTTTATTTAAATAATGCCATCTCCGAATCAACAATCTTGTTTTATTTCAACCAACTAATTTTCCCGATGGCACAATCCTCTTCCAATTGGTCCACCACGTCGCAACAATAACAACCGGCGCAAACTAACTTCACTTAATCACCCTTATATCGTCAACCATCTCGTCGCTTTTTTTTTTTTTTTTCTTTTACTCTTTCGCTTCTTTTCTACGTATACATATTTTGTATAATCGGTCTCACCATGTCAAGTCTGAATTCCCCGCAATCGTCTGTTGCCGTGGTTATTTACGCTGGTACTAACACGAGGTTTAGCCAAGTCAGGATTTCGAAACAAATAGTCCTAAAAGGTAGGCTATTTTATTTTTCCATTCTCGTAGGGCAATTTAGATTTCCTACACGAGCATTGCGCACACCCCATGTTGTTAATTGTTTACGTTTTAACGATTAAATCATCAAATCTATTCATCACTGATTAAGCGTTTTCCAGGCCAAGCACATGTGAACCAGCCGATCAATCCGATCGCCGCGACCCCGAACCAATACTCATCCACAGTTGCAACCCATATTATTAGTGGGTGTATGGCAATCATGGCAACTGAACAACCTCAGACCCTGCCGGTTTCTCAGAAGACGGCCGCTTCAGGCCTGGACGAAGAGATGGTTGACGGACCGGAAACGCAGGAAGTCAATGGGTAAGTGCGCATTATGCATTTCTCGAACCCAGCCAAGCTAAATGATTGTTCCTTATAGGCATTCTAAATCGGACGACGACGATAAGCCGAAATCTGATGAGAAACCCACCGTCAACGGGAAGACGGAATCGGCGGAGTCATTAGAGCCCACAAAAGAAAATGCCGATGATTCTGCAAACCAAAAAGCGTTCGCTGCCAATAATGGTCTCCCAGAACAAGCGCCGGATAAAACGATTTCAGAACCTCTGCCCTCCGCCGACGCCGATATAGACGCTGAAATGCCAGATGCAAATGGCACTCCGGCTGTCAACAATTCATCGTCCATAATGGAATCAGATAGGGAGAAGGCCACAGAACCCGAAGAATCTGAAAAAGTTTCCACAGCGGAGCAGAACTCCGAGGACAAGAATCCCCCATCCGATGGTCCCGCTACCGATCAACCCATAGACTCGATGGATCTAGACACCCCTGTGGAACGTACTGAAGCTGAACCAGCAGTTAAGAGTGATGATGAGATTAAGGACAAGCCTACAAACGACAGTGCTTCGGCGCCTTCGTCATCCCAAGATCTTAGTCAGCCATCCGCAGGCCTCGCCAAATTAGACATCAAGAGTGCCCAAGCGGACGTTGCAACTTCTCAACCTGATACACCTATGACCGACCAGCCCTCATCCGCAGGAAAGGTTCGAGAGCGCGAGGATGATGACGGTGAAGAGCGGGCAGCTAAGCGCGCAAAAACAGAGGATCCTAGCGAGTCCACAGCAGATTCTCTAGTTGTCGCGGGTCCACTGCCGTCTACTACGCCGTCGAACGAACCAGTTAGTCAGGACCTAGATGGTCAAACAATCACTCCCTTCCAGAACAAACAGCTGCGACTGGTTTTGGCTGGCATTAAGAAGACAAAGAATGGGATCAACTTCCGACAGTCAGTGGAGAGGTTGTGGCCAGGCTTATGGGAAGACTACAAGAACAAGGTAGAGAACCCAGTGGATATTTCTCTATTTGAGTCGAAGCTCCGCGAGGATAAATATACCAACTATGGTGCATTCAAGGCCGACCTCCAATTGCTTTACCAGAACTCAGTCGCGTTCAATGGTGAATCGAATGGAATTACGTTAGCTGCGCGCATGGTTAGAGATAATATTCTAAACAAGTTGGGTGAGATTGTTAAAATGGAGGAACCCACCAAGCCTGAGAAGGGAAAGGCGCATCCAACTCGTCATCCTGAGCCACGCGCAGCGACACAACCTCGCCGTCAATCGCAATCACAACCCCGCGCGCCGGCAGCGAGCCCAAAGCCAAGGCCCACCCCGCCGGCTCAAGCAACGTCATCCACGCCTACATCATCTACGGCCCCAGCTTTTGCGATTCCCCCTAACGGTATCCCTCAAATCCGTCGTGATTCTACGCGAGAGGATAGCGATAGGCCGAAGCGACCAATTCACCCCCCAAAGAACCGCGATCTGGACTACGCAGCGGGTAATCGCAAGAAACTAGAGCCAGAGCAACGATTCTTTGAGGTTGTTTTAGATGAGGTCAAGAAAGGGAAACATTATGCTTTAAATCAGTGGTTCCTCACACCCGTGGATCCAGTAGCCTTGAATATTCCAACTTACTTTAGCATTGTCAAGAAGCCAATGGACCTCGCCACCATGACCCGAAAGAACTATGAGGGCGAGTACAAGAATGTTAAGGACATTGAGAAGGATATGAGATTAATTGTCCACAATGCCGAGCTTTTCAATGGCCAGAACCATGACGTGTCTCTACTGGCAAAACGTCTCGAGGAACTCTTCAAGGGTGAACTAGCGAAGAGAGACCAATGGATGAAGAAATACCAACCCCCCGAGCCTCCCTCTACGACCAACGTACCTACTGCTAGCCCTGAACGCCATCATGATTCCGAGGAAGAGAGCGAGGCTGATGGTGATGATAACGAAGGTAGCGAAGTCATTCGCAACCTACAATCCCGGCTAGATGAGGAGCAAGATAAACTAAATACTCTACTGGGTTCCAAGAAACCAGATCTTACCATGATTGAGATTCAGCAGTCAATGGTTTCAATGCTCCAGAGAAAACTTGTGGAGGAGAGAACCAAGTCTCATAGCGAGGAGAAGAAGCCCAAGCCTAAGAAGAAGAGCTCCAAGAGTAAACCAAAGTCCGGGGCGAGCGGTGCTGGGGCTACGGGTAGTAAGAAAGCGACAGCTGGAGGTGCAGCATCCACTAAGAAGGGATCCAGTAACAGCACTAGCCATAAGAAGGCAGCGCCTAAGAGTCGCCCGGTTGGTCCATTGGAGAAGGCTGTCATTGCCGAAGGTATTAATGAGCTGGATGGCGGAACTCTAACTAAAGCCGTCGAAATTATCAAGAAGGATACTGGCCAGAATGTAAGTTGCCGAGTGTATAAGATGTTCATTGTCCTTATTTCCATTCTTTGCCCGTGTTGAGATGAATCCTTCACGCCGGACGGAGGCTAATATCGTTGCAGGAGAATGATGACGGCGAAATGGAACTGGACATAGATGCCCTATCCACGGATGCTCTCCGAAGACTATATGACCTGATCCATAGAGTTAGCCCACACATTCGCGCTGGACTGGAGAAGAAGCCGGAGTTTAGTCACGCCACTGAGGTAGAAACGAAGCCCAAGGCTAATGCGCCCAGCAAGGCCAAGAAGAACAAGCCCATGAATAAACATGAGCAAGAACGTAAAATCGAACAGCTCCGTGAGCTCAAGGCTCAACTTCAGCGCCATGGTAGTGGAAGTCAAGAGCCCTTGCCTGGCGAAGTTGAGGATAGCCGACCCGCTGAGTCAAGTGAAGAGGAGAGCGATTCCGAAGAAGAGTAAAGGAACGAAGTTCCCAACTGACGAAATGCGCAATGCGCATTAACCCAAGTTTTGACATTGGGACATGATTGATGTCCCATCAATTTCATAGCCTGATTTGAGAGGCTCAACCCGGCGCCTGCTGCGCTGAGGGGGAGTGTGTGTAGCTGTAGAAAAGAGATTTCAAGAAGCTTAACACTGTAAGAGTATAATTCCTCCAGACAGCTCAGCTACCTGAGTAGGAGGTTCACAGCTGTGTTTCCCGAGCAAGTCACACTCGGGTGACTAGGAGACGCCATTGAGTCAGAAGACGTGGAGTCGATTTGCTGAGAATCAATTAGCAGATTCTTTTGCTAGTATGATGCTACCGCATGATTCTGGGGGACTCAGAATTCGATGAGTTGACAATAAAGCCAATAACTGTCATATAACGCTGCCTTTATCATTTCATACGTGATCAATCGAGTAGACGTGAGTGTACGTTCATGCCTGTCTGGACCTAAGCAGGCAGACAATAGGCAGCGACATGTTGCCAACGTCGCTTAGAGATATCGTCGCCTGCTTGATGAAAAAATAGATTATCCATCATCAAGCAGAGTCGTGGTAGTGCCAGTTCTCTTGTCAAGGCAAAGAGTAAAGAAGAGGAATAGTTGTATATCCAATGCGAATTGACATAGACGTAAGGGTTTTAATAGAATTATAAAAAGGTCGAACGAGTGAGAACCATGGAGCATTGAGGGTACCTTCAAGTGGTAAACATGAAAGATGTCCTTATTTATCAGAAAGATCGGACGCGCAAGGGACTTAAATACCAATTTGCTCTCCTAGATCGGCACATGATGGTTTTTATATGCTTACACAAACAGGGGCATCATGTATTTATATCACAAGAGGAGGGCTTTGACTTTTTATTACTATCCAGACCATCTGCGTCCATTTACTATTATTAATGCAGACAAACCACCGGCTCAAGATAAACTTTTGATTAGTTGGGAATAAGATTTAGGAACGAAGTAGGACGCATCAATATGTTCAGACATAGTTTGTACCTAGATTGGACGAGAAGATCAGCAAGAACCTTATATCTTTATTGATTTTATTTTTCTGCTCAGATCGCAAGGAAGTTTATGAATCTATAAATAGCCATCTTCCCCTTCTCTTCTCTTCTTCGAACTTGATCACTATCAACCACAAACCGAGCAATCACAACAATAAAAAAAACTCTTGAACCACAAGATATCAGAAAATATCAACCCATCTTTCATACTCCTATCACTATCCATCACCACACCTACTATTACAAAAACTACTACATCTCCGAAGTCTTCACTATACCAATAAAAATGTTTGCCCGTACGTTCCAGATGCTCGTAGCGGCTCTTCTATGCGTGGCCGCTTGTCTGGGTTCACCACTCCCCGACGAGGTCGGCAACTATACGATAAAACCCCCAGAGGGTTTCAATGTTTTCTTCTGCCGCACCAACACCAGGCCGGGCGCGCCAATATCAGGGTATGACCAAATAGAGCTGGCCAACTGTTTCCAAACCTTCAGGGACCTAGGTGAGTCATACCTGAATTTTTTATTTCCTTCTCCTATTAGTCTTGGCCGTCTGCCCATAGTAGCATAGATAACTAATAAATGGAGCAGGTGAATGGGGAAAACATTGGTGCCCAAACACAGACCAATGGATCTCATTCGAAGGAAGAAAAGCAAGTACTATTTGAATCACCCCCCTAACTCATATAGGGGTCATCGCTAACCTTGTCACTGTAGTGGTCCGAGGTAGACCACTGTGTCAATGCCTGCAGAGAGTGCTTCGCCGACTCTATAAACCAGCAGGCATCTAATATGCACTGCCACAAGTGGGTTGGCTCCTCTGCAACCTGCGATGTAAAATACGGGCGTAAGACTTGATTTTTGGGGGGTTTTTCTCCTGTGATCCAGCGTTCGTAATGAGGCTATGGCTATTTGAGCACGATATGTGATATACGAGATTGGTACCATCTACATATTTACCACTACCTGTATAATTTGGTATATACCATTGTCTGTATACATGCTACTATCCATATGTATACGATAATCTACATAGTTAAAATCACTTCGCACAACAACACCGTGATAGTTTTCCACATGTGATGAGTCATTCGAAAATACGTAGGTAGTGTTTGTTCCCACGCATTGACTCGTGTCAGAGCGAGTGCGACCTGACGGTAGCATCTCGTACTTACTAGTATTAAGATTTCTGGAAAGTTTGCGTCCTATCCATCTCTATTCTCGTCGATGTCGTCTACCTAGTTTGTGGTATATGATATTCCTTGATTATTACAGAAGTGTGAATTGCGACCGCGACGATGACTATAATCAAAGCGCTAAAATGGACTCGCCTGATCAAGCCCAACCCCGAATCATTTTCTCAATAAAACACATAAATCTTCCCCAACAAGTTTCTAGGACCTTAATGGTAACGCACAGATGAATTATTTTGCACCGAAAGAAGGGGACCCACCAATGTCCGACGTCGCTCGTAGCACTGCCCGATTTTGGGAATTCCGGCGGTATCTCGAGATTAAAACTTTCAGAAATTGAGAGGTCTACCATTTCAACAGGTGATGTGGCCTTCTGACTGAAGGACTGAGTGGCGATCCTGAGGATTACGAAGACTCAGGCCAGAGCGTATGTTTCTAAAAATAACATGCTTTGTCGTGAAGCGCTATGGTGACTCTGGTATACGAGAAGCTTTTCGCAGTCGTGCTCTCAAAACGCTTTGAAATTTGCTCGTGCGACAGGGTTTTCTAAGCCCCCCTTGGCAGCATTGCTGCTGGGTGCCTATATCTCCCATCCGCAAGGTCAAAACGGAGAGTACGCCGATATCGTCGTATATCTCTGTAAGCCCGGATGTTCTAACACTTTCCCGTGCCAGGAAGCACTCGATATATATAGTTGAGATTTTCAAATCATCTGAATTATGAGTTAGTAAGAATTTGCTGCTTAAGTTCTGTCGCCGGCTTACTTTCAAGATGACAGCTTTCGCGGATGGATGCTAACATCGGGCCACCACGTTAGCGGATATATCCGACCTTCGTTCCATGTTCATGATAGCTCAGCACTTTCTGTTAATGTTACGAAAAAGTCGAGTCCTGCCAAGCTCCGTTGAAAACCCAATTGACCGGTTCCATATCCCCGAAATCTATTAAGGCGTCCGACATCTAAATGGAAAAACAGTATAAGCGACGTCAAAGTTCATAGAAATGATTATCAACTTACTTCAAAGTCCCAGTCTTCGAATGCTTGAGGCTCTGGGGTCAGATTTATCCCGAGTCCCTCGGTAGATATTTCACTCTGCCCGCGTGCAATCATTTCTTCGAGTAATGGCAAAGTCTTTTCTTCGGATTGCTCCGCGGCTTTGATTAAATATTGCGGAAGCTCTTCTTTCCCAAGACCTTGCATCAACCCCTCGACTTGCGCCGCGAGCAAGCTTGCGAGGAAATAGCCCTTGATACTGGTCTCGCCAGCTTCAATGCATCGTAAAGCCCACGTCTTCCCTTCTTCTAATACGGACAAGAGGTCCTGTCGTATAAGTCCAGGTCCTAGATTGTCTTCTTCTCGTAACTGGACTATTAACTCCGCTGCTATGAGCACACTAGCCTGCAGCACAACGATGCGAAAGAATCCAGATGCGCAGGTCGTGAGGCGTGCTAAATCGTGCCGGTCTAGTGAAGATGTGCTATTGTGCTGGGACTGCGGGGTTGTACTTAGTGGTGGTGGGTATGCGGCACGCCACATTTTCAGTGAAGTTTCAACGACTACCTTTCTAGAGAATGCGTAGGCCGCCTCTTGCATTGCGGGGGCGAAATATGGGATATGGAGGGATAAGACGTAGCGGTTCATGATGAGACTCACTACATCGATTTCGAATTCTGAGGGTTTCGGTCCAGAACTGGATTTGTATCCCTGAAAGGCTTTGAGCACGGGTTTATATGCTGCTTTTAGTTCTGCGTCGAGTCGGAGTGTCTCGCTGTATGTACCGTGGGAATTGTGGTCGTTGAGGAATTTTGCGATTGCAAGGCGGACTGGGAATGTCTTCCGAAGGGCTAGAGCTATGGATGTTTGTGTGAAATGATTTTCTGGTTTTGGAACTGCGTCCTCGGCTGTAATTTGTTCGTCGTCGAAGTTACCGGGGGGTTCGATATCGAACATGTCGAGAGACATGAACGGAGGACCCCCTGAAGTTAGGCTTAGTTGGAGGGATATCTCTATAAGGGTGTTCCATAGTCTTCGGCGCATTTCAGCGGTATACATTGTCATTTTAGGGAGCGTTGTAGGGTCTTTGTGTAACCCCATATACACTGCAGTCCTAAAAAGCGTACCAGCTGAGATCCAGACCAAATCTGGACCTACATCAGCGAATTCTCGAGCAAGAAGAAGTAGGATATTAGTCTGCAGATATGAGATGTTTAATCTGTGCTTAAATCCAGGTTCAGAAACCCAAGTCTGAGCTTCGTAAACCCATTGCATTGCTGAAGTTCTTAGAGAAAATCGATCATCATAGGTGGTTGCTCCGATAGCTAGCACTAATTTCAGCTGGATTAGGAATGCCATGTTAGGCTCGTTAGGTGATACCCAGTGAGCTTCATAGTCCCTTCTGAAATTAGGTACGTGTAGCACCCGATAGATGGGCTCGACTGTCCGAAAATAGCGGTCGACCAGCTCGTCAGCAACGTCCTTAGGGGGCAGTTGTGTATTTGGTGGCGTTGGCCACGGTGGGGCTCTCCGGGCTTTAATTTCCCTTGCCATGGCTTTCGATTTATTCATGAGATAGAAAGCTTTTGATGCCTCTTCTCGTACGAGTGGCTCCATAAGGCCTATAACATCTCGTACCTAATACTTGTCAATCAATCCATGTTCCTTTCCTCATTCATCAAAGAAAGATAAGACGATATGAAAACATACAAGTGGAAATCCAGTTACCCAATGGCTCTGTCCGAAAAGGCGCGTCTTGTGCGTGATGCTGCGGGGAATGGCTTGTGGCTGGCCAAAGCCGTCCTCGTGGTGGATGTGAAAAGTCCCTCCAATGCGTGAGGTAATTGTCTCTATGTTGGATTCTGTAGTAGATGCAGGAGATTGAGATGAAGTTTTAGTTGCTTTAGACAGCTGCTCTTCAAGTTGCCTGATTCGATGATTCAAGGACTCAACATCTTGAGTAGACTGTTGATTGACATGAGACGAGCTAGCGGTTGAAGCGACTTCTCCAGGTGATGATTTGGATGCATTGCTTTGAACAGCCGCTGATGTGTTCGCGCTGGTAGCTGGAGTTGGATAATGAGATTCTGAATTGATTCTCGTTACCCGTTGCGCAGGATGAGAAGCATAATTTGTGTAGACGCAATTCCCGCTTTTAGATCGAACACAATTACTGCAAGGAACTTCCTTATTACACCGGATCTTGCGTCTCCTACAGAGAACACACGAGCTGTATAGGCGTCAGCATTGCGCGATGAAGGGCGCTGAAAACGCCAAGTGACAGCCACTTCCAGGGGGTCCGGGTGCACATACACAGGTGGCCGTCTGCGCCGACGTTCGGATTCGGGCATGATCACCACTAATACAACCCCGTTTTTACTCCTCCTGACTAAAAATGAGTAGAAAATCGAGGAAGGTGGATAAATTTGATAATCGGTAGTTCAAGGAAGAGTTCAAGTGAGGTTCCCCCGATCTGGCCGGGCTGACATCTCCTGTTTTTCTTAGTTGATTCCTGAATTCCCCGAGTCCGATCCCCGAGACCGAGTCTTGGTCGGCTGTATTTATATTGCGGACCCACTCCGGTATATGCCCACAGGCCGTACGATATGTCCCATCACCATGCCGAAATGGCCTAGAAAAACTAGTAATTCTAGATTTGGTTAATGGTACTTATATATGATGGATCCCCCAATATGTGTTGTCGTGTTTCTTTTCATCACCGCGCAGTGCTGTCTAGCAAGGTCTCACCATCCGACAAGGCCCCTATCGATCAAGGGTAATTCACTCCAACGCGACGCAATTATTTTTGCAAAATGTCGACTACAGAAATCGATAGCCCAGAGCAAGACTCTATTAACGCAGCCGAGCTTGGGAAAGAAAAGGCCCCTGTCGATATTCCCGACCTAGAGGAAGCACCAGATGGTGGTCTTCGAGCATGGCTTGTCACAATAGGGGCATCCTGTGTTTTCTTCTCAGCTCTAGGGTTTTCAAATGCTTTTGGAGTATTTGAAGAATACTACTTGACTCATCAGCTCAAGGGACAATCGCCTGATAAAATCGCGTGGATTGGCTCCCTAGGTGTATTCCTCCAGTTCGTAACTGGTAACATTGGAGGTCCCCTATTTGATCGTTATGGCGCATGGGTTCGTTCTAACATACACCTCTCTCGCGCTCGATATTCAAGGCTAACACGATGATAGATTATGAGGCCAGCTTTTGTCCTTTACGTCTTTGCTGTTATGATGACAAGTTTGTGCAAAGAGTACTACCAATTTAGTATGTATCTAACTTTTTCCCCTTCCCCCTTTTCCAGCCTACCCGCGACGAAGAATTTCTTACTCAAATTGATTGAGAATCCTCTTATTACATGTAATACCAAGACTTCTAAAATCTTACCTGAATGGGCAAAGAAAACATTGCTAACTTCTATAGTGCTTGCACAAGGTATACTCTCGGGTATCGTCATAGGATTCCTCCAATTCCCTGCGATGGCCGCGGTATCACAATTCTTCAATAAAAAACGGGCTGCCGCTCTCGGCGTAGTAGTAGCTGGTTCATCCATCGGTGGTGTTGTTATACCCATCGCGTTGTCTAAAATGTTGAACAGTTCCTCCCTCGGATTCGGCTGGTCGGTACGAGTAATTGGGTTTATAATGATACCTCTCCTGGGATTCGCATGTTTCGCCATCACGTCTCGATTACCACCGAGAACTACATCCTTTTTCCTCTGGAAGGCGTTTAAGGAACCAAAATTCCTTCTACTATCGCTTGCCTTGTTCTTCATGTTGCTCGGCGCTTTCACCCCACTGTTCTACATTCCGACGTACGCAGTTTCAAGAGGCGTAGACCCGACATTGGCTTCTTACCTCGTCGCCATCGTCAACGCAGCCTCTACATTTGGCCGTGTTATCCCGGGTATCCTAGCAGACAAATTCGGCCGACTCAATATTTTCGCATTCGGTGCTTTCATCTCGGGCATCATCACTCTATGCTGGAATAAGGCGGAAACTACGGCGGCGCTGATAGTATACTCTATTGCTATCGGATTTAGCTCCGGAACGATTATCTCAGGAGGCACCGCAGCTTTCACGGAATGCGCTACTAATCCGCAAGAGCTTGGCACATACATAGGAATGGGAATCGGACTTAGTTCCTTTGCGGCTCTCATAGGCGCTCCTGTGAACGGTGCTATTGTTAATAGGTATGGAGGATTTCTTGAGGCGTCTATCTTTAGTGGTGTCATGATATTAGCGGGTGGTGGTATTGTCCTTGTGGCGAAGACTAAAACTCCTAAGGGTCTTCTTGGAATGATATAAAATGCGGATATTTTTAGTTACTAGTCTATTGGGTTTTCTTTAATTTTAACACCTATCTCTACTCATGATACCTTAGCTGGACGACTATTAGACTTAGACTAGGATAATTCCGATAGAAATACATCACCTGAAACTCTTCAACACATTCGGCCCCTGTCCATTCTCCTTTTTTTCTTCTAGTGACGTTGCGCCGGCGAAAAATAAGGGGTGTTGCTCGTGTGGTAGGTGCTATCACGGTAATTTTGGTTCTATAACGCTTAGTCTCCATGTGCTGGTATACGCTATAGCGGTTGACGTGGTTATCTTTGAAACAAGCTCTTCAATTCTGACCTAGCTTTCTATCCGAGCACCCTACTAGTAAGCCTTCTTGACTTTCTGGTTTGTTTCACTTTTATATACCGTCGTAAGCCCACGTTCATGTAGAGGAGCCCTGTACGGCCGTTCTCCTGCAACGCCTGTTTGTAGGCGCTCGCACTTGCTTGGGAATTTAAACATGTATGATTAGAGATTCCGACACGACGAATTGAATACTATGGCCATGAGGTCCTCCCTAGAGCCTCATGGGCCGAAGGGAACATTTGAACGGTTAGCGATAAAGACATTCGCGGTTATTGGCACGCTGAAGCCATTCCGTGGAAATGCAAGACTAGTCGGTATCGCATTTTTCGTACTAGTCGCTGTGTCAGTCTTTTCGTTGGATGGTTTGATGCAAATCGGTATTGTTCCCGATCGTGCCAGAGTGTTGAAATGGGAGGGCAGTGAGAACGAGGGCGTAAACGTGCATGCTGGACTCAGGATAGTTGTGTTTGGAGGCGGCGATATTGCTACGCCAAATCGAGCGTCATGGAAACTTGGGGGTCCGAATGCAGCATGGACAGATATTCTATGCCTGCAGGTAAGTCATGAAAATCTTTTCGCAAGCAACGTGCTAATTCTTAATGATCCAGTTGAATTGCAATCTTTACCTCTCGTTCGTGCCCTTAATCGAAAATAGTAGCGGTGCTATCGTATCAAACTCCCTCTTTGAAGCTGCCCTAGCTCGTACTTCATCGTTCGATAACGACAGTCTTTCGGGGCTCAACTACTCCTGGCTAGCTGAGAATTACCCGGCACCATTTCATCAAGATCTAGGCCATCAAGTAGAAGCTTTCCTCTCAAACCCACGATCTCCATATCCACCTCGAGAAACTTTATGGGTTTTTAATATCGGGTTTTGGGATATTTGGCATCTGGCCGCATTACCTCGTAAACTTGCCTCGCGCGTCATTGAGACACAAACACAGCATATATTTTCGCACTTAGAACTTCTGTATGAGGAGGCGCACAATAACGAGTCGATTGCCTTCTCGGATTATTACGCCGGTATGGATCCGGCTGTGATGCGCGCTTCGCCGGAGAGCGATTTACCCCGGGCGCCTTTCCGTGTACTCATACCAAAACCATTCGACATATCGCTTACCCCGGGATTCGATAACGCTCGTTTTACACCTCCGTTACCGCATACTAAAGCCGAACAGTTGCGTAACGCGGCGTTCCTGACTCAGCATTGGGATAAAGTGATACAGGATATGCTTAATGAATGGATACGTCTTCCCGACCCAGAGGAATTCGACACCGGGGAAGACAGGCTATCCGAAATTGAGGATGTAGACCTTCTGCTGGAAAAGAAGAGTATGAAAGTTAATGGATTTCTTGCACCGCCCGCTCGTCGCGAAGCTATTACCTACGATGTCTCCAGCTACGTCCGCGATCTCATTGTCGACCACCAACTGCGGAGCGCAGATATTGTTGATCATAACGGATTAGGCTCGACGATGGTGGCGGAAGGGTATTCGGAGGGGTGGGAGCCTTGTATTAAGCGAAACGATACATTTCTTGCCAATACCGAGAGCGCTGCTGGAGATGATGACGACTGGAGTGTGTGCAGCGCACCCAATAAGCACTTATTCTGGTCCGAGTTTACGGTGAATCGGCGGGCGATTTTTGAGATTGGGAGGCGCGCTGCTGAATTGTTGAAACGGCATATGCAAATGGATGCAGAATGGTATTTGAAGGCTCAGCAAGCTTCTTCGTCGCTGCATCGGGACTCTATTGGGGGTACTTGAAGTAAATTGTGTATTATGTTGCTTGCCTATATTGGAATCGCAAATACCTAAGCATGTTGCTTCGTGAGGGCTGACTGGAGATGATTACTTTTATTTGCGTTGAGAGTTAGGCATATACACCATCATTTGGGGTAGGGGTTCGTTATAATGCTTCTAGATGGGCTGGATTAGGTTCGCTAATAATTATTGATACTCCTTAAAATATTTGGGTAATTCCACTGTAGAGGCTGATACTGTCCCCTGTGGTTAGCCGTTCTAGAGGAAGCATACGCTGTGGAGCGCTAAAATATGGTGGTAAATATTCGCGCCACGGTAAGGGCGGATGAGCTGTTCGCATTGGTTTTATGACTGAGACCGAATTATCCCCTATCCATTTGATAAAACACCCATGTGCTTCGTGCGTGATATGTAATTGGAATCGTTGCTCTCGAGCTTTTGAATCATATCTTCCTCTTCCTTTTGCTCTTGTTTTTCCTTAGAGAATTGGTATTGGGGAAATGGAGGAAGGAAATAAAAGGTGGGGGTGGGAGGAAACCTTACGGGAGCACCCGTCGGAGTATTAAAGGACCGATGGCTTGGGAGTGTGGGGTCTAGACCATCATTAGATCTTCCTTCTGGAAGCTCTAGAGTTGCCCTTGCCTGCCACTTAATTCTCTTCTCCCTCATCATCAACTTCACTATTGTCCGTACTAGACCCACCACATCATAATAGCTCGTAATAAATCAAATGCCACATAGAAACAATGACACTAGCTCCCCCAGCAGAAGGAATATTTCCAACAATTGAAGAATGCGAAAGGGCAGTGCAAGCACATGCGGCCAAAGAGGGCTACGCTATTGTAATGCACGCGAAGGCCAAGTCAAAACGTACCGGTAAATACATCAGATACTTGATCCGGTGCGATAAATCCGGTAGTTTTCAATCCAAAGCAACTATCGGATTAAAGAAGACCACAACTAAGAAAACAAATTGTCCGTTTTCTTGTCATATCAATGTCCGCGAAGATGGTTGCTACTTCGCAGTTAGCATTCCGGAACATAACCACCCTCCATCAAGCGACCCAAGTGAGCATGTTCAACATCGGAAATTGACCGAAGACCAACGAAGCTTCATAGAAGCTGCTGCTATTGAGAAAAAGACAGTCAGGGTTATTCATGAAGAACTTCTAAAAGCCTACCCTCAATGTTATGCGAAAATCGAAGACGTTGGGAATCACGTTCAATTCTGGAAGAAAAAGGCTAAAGAGAACGCTACCGGAGTCCAAGCGCTTCTAATCGACCTTCAAGAGAGGGAAGACAACTGGAGTTTTCCCTTAGAAAGGCATGGCAATCTAGAGGGAATATTGTGGGTCCCCAGGTGGTTCCAAAGCCATTGGCAACGACCGGACGTACACATAATAATCATAGAAACGAAGCACATAATTAACCAATCCGTGCTATCGGTTATAGAGATGAATAATGTCCTGGCGGCCAACTCACAACTCGGCGCTGGATACGCGATCCTCCCAGACAAAACCGACCACACCCTTCTATGGTTGATACAGGCTATCGATAAACTCCGATTGCGTTTGAGGATACCAAAGCCTCAAGTCCTTAACATCACGGACTTCAAAACTGCTGAAACGAATGTTCTAGCCGAAATCCGCGTCGGACGGAGCTCGCGAATCATATGTGGAAGATTCATTGATTCGGGGATAGATGAGTCCTCCCAAGTTCCTGGCACCCAAGACGATGCGACTAGCGGCGAAGGTTTTGTGCCAGCTGCGCAAGGATAGTTAAGAATTCCCTATATGATGGCCATGTATCAGGTATCGAATCCGATCATGTTTAACATTCACACGGGAATAACGGCCGAAAGTGTAGGTACCCGAACATAAAACTACCTTTTAATGTGGGTAATGAATGAAATGCATAAACGACGGTTTAAGTCACCAGGCTTTCTTATAGTTGAGAGGAACTTATTCGGACATCGCTACTTCAAACATTCGCTTATAGGGTACCTACATAAGTATTCATTACCCACAGAGAAGACCTTTACGCCCAATGACGGTCTAAAGAAGTGGCGAATGGGGGGTCAACTATCGGATCCAATGGGAATTGATTCTAAAAATCTATTCAAGGTCTAATCTAACACCCAATTCATTCAAATTGGAAACCGACCTAACGAGCGGCCCCGGAAGTGAGGGTATCTTATATCGAGGCACTCTAGGCCGAGAATGGACGGAATCTAACAGCGAAGCATATGATTCCACCTTACATAGTTACGGACGGCAGTTCGGTCAACCCTGCGAAAAGAACATCTTATCAGCAATCACTCTACCTTCAAATGCGCCATTTAAGGGGAGTCAAACTTACAGCCATCAACATCTTCTTTGATGGTCTGCTGCTTCTTGCAGGCAGTGGCTTGCGCTGGGGTCTGAGTCTGGAGCTGGGAGCACTTGTCGTTTGAGCAGCGGGCGTCGAGGGCGCGCTGTAGGGCATCGCCTTTCCAACCAAACACGTAGTCGCCGTGCCAGCCGTAACCAGTCTGGTCGTTCATCGAGTAAACGAACGGCTGGCTGCCGTCTTCAGGCCAGATCGATGGGTCGTTGAACTCGCGTGTGTCCCACATCACCTCGTACATAACTTGAGGTAGACGGACGCTGTTGTTTATGGTATTAGTTATCTAGGTACATTTATTGGTACTGGATCTGATACTTAGTACTCACGGGTGTGTCGACGGGCACGCCCCGGTCGATTCGAAGCTACCGCTCTGGGGGTACGCCACGTGGCTCTTGTGGTCGGGGCTGTCGAGGTTCTTGCCGTCCCAGCATCTAACGGCAGTTAAGTCAGATAATTATTCCTAGTATCGAGGCATGGTAGGACTGGAAACTTACGTTGGGAAAGTAATGGTCGCGCGGATTCCACCTGCGCAAGTTTTGGCTGGCAGCGCAGCACTATCCATGGTGGCATCGGCGCACGGCGCACCTCCGAATGGAGACTGGGAAACGGTGGTGTAACATCTGTGGCAAAGTTGTTTCTGTTGTCCCTGCGCGGTACGGAGCATGGCTTCGCCGACGAGCATTCGGAAACCCTAAGATTCATTAGACGGCGTTAGGCGACATGGAGCTTTGGATAACATACCGGCTTGAAGGCAGTGACCTTAGTGTGGCCGTCGTACGGAGGGATGTAGTAGATGGTCATACCCTCTTCACCTTCAAGACCCTATTCGAGTTTTAGCAAAGTCTCGTTGAGAGGACATATTTATCTGGAGGTACATACAAGGTTGACCATTTGCTTCACCCGCTTGTACGTTCCGTTGCGGGCCTTGAAGTACAAGTTGGCAGTCCAGTAGTTGGAGAAATCTTCGCTAAACGAACAGGTTGTGCATGTCGACTCGGAGGGGAGATCGTAGTCGACCGGAGCCATGGTTGCGTTGAACGAATCACCACCGACGACTTGGTGGATATGTGGCGATTGAATGAGACCCGGAGACACGAGGGGATCTACACGCTCAACAACCAGCCTGTTCCAAGACTTAGGATCCATGCTTTTTCCCCATAATTCTGTCTCATCTCTACGATCACTCACCTGGAGCACTGGAACCGCATCATCGCGGCCTGGGCATACTGAGCTGAGACTTGCTGCGGGATCGCCGCAGCGGCGAGGATAAGGCTCTTCCACTGCATGTTGATAGGTGTGAAGCAGCTGAACTGATCTACACAAGACAAATTCGGACTGGATTGCAGATCCAAGCAACGTGAGGGAGGAAACAGGGAAGCGGAAAAGAAAAATCTTATATATCTGGCGGCATTCTCTTTTGGGAGTACTGCGGCAGGGTTGGCGGGTAAAATCCCCTGATGGTTAAAGTCGCCCTCGGGACAACTGCCGAAGGCAAGTTGTCAAAATAGAATTTGACCGAGGGCATAACTATTCCGAATGGGCTTGAAATATTAAAATGTGGACTAGTTGCCACAGAGATTGCAGTAGATGGGGTTTTGGTTCTCTCCATTCTGCAGGTTCTACATTAAGATATAGGGGGACAGGGTTGGGGAGTGGTGGAGTAGTAGTATTCTCGGAGAACGGGAAGAAATGATATGCAGCAAGAATAATTCAGAATACATGCGCAGGATGCTTAAGCCTTGACCTGATTCCGGGTTCGATGCTCTTTTTGCAGATTAAAACGTGGCATTTTGGGTTTTGAGTGCTTGGCTGTCTGGGCTTTACCCCAGGATATGTAGTTACAAATACAGGTGTTGGGGTAATGCCTTTTAGTATTGTCTTGCCCAGGGTCGAATAGCTCAACTACCGACGGATACCGAAATGGATTTCGGGTAAGATACAGAGCAGAAACGAAAAAAGAGAGAAATACAGTAAAAAAAGGAGGAAAAAGAAGAGGAAGATGTGAGGGGACTCTCACATCACCTTTAGCAACACTCGATCAAGACTGTATTGATCAAAAGTATGCCCCCTAAGATATTGGGCAAAAATAACCCCGAATGCATAGTACTCCTACTCTACCGACCTTCTAGGTAACACGTATACTATTGCATATATTAGTGACGACATACCTCTTCGATGTAGTAGTTATTTAATTTCTATATAGTACATATGTATGCCTGTTTAGGTGGGTGATAAATTTTGGATATGGAGGGTTAAAATTAACTGAGCTAGGACACCTGGAAGCTCTATATAATCAGGACCTCAGGCCAGCGTTCTACTTAGCGAGTACTCGAGGAAACCCCTAGGAATACGCCACTCTACCAGCTATAGAGAGATAATCAGTGAACCAAACCCCACTAAGCGGAATGCTCCAGGTGAGACATTCGGGTTTCAAGAGATTTATAGGCGCCCCATCAGCCAGTCCCAACCCCTACGACAGACGGCCTGGAGAATAAATATAGGGCACATTAGGGAGGAGGTCATCAACGACTGAAATTTAATTCTAATTTCCCTAAAATTGCATTTGCTACACGCGGATCTCATTCTATTTAGGTCACTTTCATGAGCAGTGTAATCTGTGGGATATTTACCGACTTTGATTGAAATTACTTTTAGGATGACAATGGCAATGGCAATGTGAGGGCCGAAGTTATGTACGTGCGGGGGGGTCGAGTAGAATCACAGAAAGAAGTAGGTCTGTAAAAAGGGGGGGAGAACACTAGAACGTCTGGTAGTAGGTGCTTCAGGGGCCTACCAACTCCCCCATATGTGTGCCTAGGCGAGCAGACACCTACTACACAACACGTAGGTGCTGGGGTAAGTGGGAACCTAGGAGTGACATCTTCAATAATAAATGATTATTCGCATAATAGAACTTTCTTTGGTGAATTCCCCGAGTAGTTCTTGAGGATATGTATGTATATATAACTACTGATACCTAATATAGCTTAATCAATTTCTAGCTTTTTGCAGTCGTGATCTCTTGTTGGCGCCCGTTATGCTTCGAATGGAGTGGCGGAAAGCAAGATGGCTCGGTGATGGGTTATATTTTTCTTCGCCTGGATAATCGATGGGACATACCATATGCTGAAATAAGCCAACATATCTAAAAGCTACGATCCCGGAGGGCTTGAGATGTATATACGTAACGACCTCTCAGTATTTTCCTTTTGCCGCTGTGCAGATACTATATGCTCAAGAGAGCGGGATTGGTGTTGCAGGAAAACATTTCGTAACTGGAGGGCTGGCAGATCATAGAAGCGAGGTTGTAAGTACGTCGTAAATTACCTTGTAGAGAGATAAATTAGGGCTAGTCGGACTTCTATTGGGCACATATAGTGTACCTAGGTATGCATTACTTGCAGAAATACGTGCGCAGGATTCCAGGTTGCTTTTTCAGTTAGCACTTCTACAGCTCCAGGTTGTGCTATAGCGGGCAGGCAATGCTTTGGCTGATCTTCCGCAGTACTCAGTCCCCTGAAATAGAGACCTAGACATTACCTTAGGCGCAATGAGTATATCGCTGTGATCATAATGGGATAGCTATCACCTCTAACTTTTCAGGCTCTTTACCGTGGGAATCAGAACTAAGCTGGAAGAGGACTTCACTGTATGACAACCCCTAACCTTCGTAAGCCTCAGGGACTTAGCCTGAATAATTCCGTTAAACATAGCCCTTATAGGCCTTCGTTGTACCAAATACACAACACTGAATATGCCGGTGTATAAAAATTATGCCCACTGGTCAGGGTGGTCATCAAATTCCTTTCTTCACTCACGCAGCTTGTATAATTGCCAATATCTCCCATTATCGCCTAGAAAGAGTTGAAAACTTTTTTACAGTCCGTATTATTATCCACGTACCTTAAAATACCGAGGAAGATGTAAAACTGTCGTCTGTATATGTGTGGCCGCTTAGCAAATTGGTATCCATCTGAGGTCCCGCCGTACCTATCTGGGTCTTCCTAGCAGTCTGCTAGACTAGTTAAGAGCAAAGATAATCGACCAGTTTTTCAACAATCCACAAACTCGCCCGGTTAGCTCAATCGGTAGAGCGTGAGACTCTTATTCTAAATAGAATCCAAATCTCAAGGTTGCGGGTTCGACCCCCGCATTGGGCTCAATTCCTAATGCATTCCAGATTCACTGGGAAAATCAACCAATTTTTTGATGTTTTTCTTTTTCTCATCTGGTGTTATGGTTAGGCGGCTTATAGTGGGGTAGCATTAGTGGGTTCAGGGCCAAGTCTTGACTCAACCTTTTTTTTTTCCGACTCGTTCTGAATAAATTGAAATTCTACTTTCTTGACGGATATAGTTGATATTTTCCCTCACCTGATGACGTGTAATGCTTTAGGATATATGTTAATTACATAGGTATATACCTAGGTATGCGTTCATATATATAAATAAACGGTAAGTGGAAGATTACCTAAGTACTCAAGTCCAGTGGCGCTTTAGTATATAGGTGCCCTAGAGGCCCTGCAATTCATTGCATCTTCCACTTAAACGAACATCTCTAACATAGTCCTATTTCCTTGCACTGAAAGATTTTATTACGGTAAGCTAGCGGAAACGTTTACTATGGCCCTTATTCATGCTGGCAACCTTCTTCTAATGGTTTATTAGCGTGTGGAAGAGTACCTACGTAGGAAATCGACATTGATGGTACCTGTTGTTAAGGTGAATCACTAATTAATTTAACTAAAAGTAGTGCTATTTGAAGTAGAAGAGTGCCTAAGAAAGGGGGGAAGGTCGCCAGCTGATAGCGACCGTTAGCTGATTAACCAGCTGAAGCGGGGCATATCTAGATTGAGCCGGGCATTGCCGCAAGATTTGGCGATATCGAACTATCCCAAGCATCAAATCGCCAGGTTCCAATTAAATCTTACGACACCACAGTAAAACTTACGATCGAATACACGAATTTGTTCTCTTAGTTACTCAACCAATTGTATCGGTATAAAGAGAGCCTCTCGGCTCCGAGTGTATTGCACGATGTCGAAACGACAGGTCGGTCGGATTATCCTAGCACGGCCACAACTTCCCAGAGCTCGTTGCTCTCCTCTTCGACAACACTACACATCCGGCGCGAATAGGTCTAGTAGCTGGCGCTGGGCCAACATAGCTACAATTGCTGCTATTTCGGTATCAGGTTTAGTCTGCGCAATGGTATTACCTCTTTCTAAACCCCATCCGTGGTTATAAATCATCCAATTGACTAATTTCGCGTGTTCCTCTAGACGCTCCAGAAACCGGTTAAATTCGATGCGCGCTCACTCGCCGAGCTCGACGAGCGGACGAAACGAGAAAAAGGCGTTGACGAAAACTCACCAATGCGTTTGCGCATGGAACAATTCATTCGCGAACAACAAAAGGCCATCGTATTCGAGTTGGAAAAGCTAGACGGCAAGAGCTTCCGCGAGGACACGTGGGCTAGAGAGAAGGGTGGTGGCGGTATTTCTTGCGTTTTGCAAGAGGGAAACGTGTTCGAAAAAGCTGGTGTGAATATCAGTGTCGTGTACGGAACATTACCGAAGCCTGCGATCGCGAAGATGAGAGTCAACCACAAAAATATTGCGGAACAAGACGAGATGGATTTCTACGCGCTGGGATTAAGTATGGTCCTCCACCCCAACAATCCCATGGCACCAACCGTCCATTTGAATTACCGGTATTTCGAGACGATGCGACCGGATGGTACTTCGCAAGCTTGGTGGTTTGGTGGAGGTAGCGACTTAACGCCAAGCTATTTGTTCGACGAAGACGCGGTACACTTCCACAAAACGTTGAAAGATGCTTGTGACAAGCACAACAAGGATTATTACCCTAGATTCAAGAAGTGGTGCGACGAATATTTTTGTAATGCCCACCGGGGCGAATCTAGGGGTGTGGGTGGCATTTTCTTTGACGATTTGGATGAAACTGTGGCCGATGCCGACAATTCATTCGCATTTATCCAAGATTGCTTAAAGAGTTTCTTACCTTCCTACATGCCGATTATCGAAAGGCGAAAAGATATGCCATTTACAGCAAAGGAGAAAGAATGGCAACAGGTACGAAGAGGCAGATATGTTGAATTCAATTTAGTCCATGATCGGGGCACAGCGTTCGGATTGAACGTCGCTGGTTCTAGAGTCGAGAGTATTTTAATGTCGCTTCCTTTAACGGCATCTTGGCGATATATGTACGAACCGGAACCGAGGAGTCGGGAACAGAGGCTTATCGAAGTACTCAAGAATCCTAAAGAATGGGTCTAATGATTGTTTATCTAATGTATTACGATCATGTAATTTTATATCGGAAAGGCGCAAGAAAACGGATCATATAAAAAACATTTAGAGTTAGATACCATTCATATTAGAGGTATGAAAAATGAATCTATTTAATTTGCATCCCTTTTGTTTGAGCTTCCAGACTTGGGTTCTTAGGTACTCGACTTCATGATGCGGGGTCTGCCACAAGTGATGATGGCAATTTGACGATCATGTTGCTAAATGTAAGACATTGCTTTTTCTTTTTTATCATCGATGTTATGATTATGAAGTCTGACATCTCCATTAACAAGAGTTGTATTGTATTATTTGGTCTTCCATTTAAATTGTAGGTGTGATCCTAATGCATAGGTTTATTCGTATGTTCATATATTATTACTTCTGACCCGACGGTACGGGAACGGTTTTCATATTTAAAGTTGGCTGTTTAATGTCCCGAAAGCACGTGCCAAGTGTTTAAATTCTGCAGGTCGAAGGTAGAATAATCTTGGTGGGGCTGTGACAGGCGCGGCACGATAGGATTAGGAAAGTCCTAGATGTAGTAACGTAACCGGGCAAGGTAGGGCAGGTAGTAGGCATCCGGGCAGCTAAGCTAGGCTAGGCCCCATCTTTTTAAGGGTGGTGTCATGGAGGAAAATCAATCAGGAAGGATGCGAACTCGAACTCGACTTGGAAAGTTTAACAAAAACAAGTACAACTTTCAACTTTCAACTTTTTTCGCATCCAATAATGACATAGAAATCGACGACACCTCTTTCTATTCAATTCGATCCCCTCAACTCAATCATCCTTGAGATTACGCTCATTTACAAACCTCTTACGTCGCTGCGATCGTCCATACATGTGTATATATACAGCCTTGCACTACCGCATTAGTTGCTTCATCTTCTAAAGTCGTGTCGATCCTTAATACCGTGACGATCCATTTTTTCCCACCTATGCGACGACATTGCAAACAAACAAACATACCGACTTTTCTAGAGCCATAGGATCTATTTTGTACCACCTTCATCCTTGCCGACGCATTTGCATTTGCTTTCTTCTTTGGGAACCTAACCCCATTCCTGTTCAAGTCATGTTCGGGGTTGGCCGTAAGATCTAACTTATTAGATCCCAACCCGTCGGAATGCTCTCACATCTCCGCTTCCACAGACGGGGTCCGTCCAATCCCTCGTCACCTATACCTGAAAATAGTCCGTGGGACACCGCCGCGCTTCAGCCCGCCCAGTTAGTGCCCGAAGATGGCGTGCCAGCTCCTGAGATCCGACCGCGATCCGCAACCTCCGTGCCCTTTGCTCATGGCCACGGACAGCCGCCACCGCAACCACCGCCATCCCAATCCCCGCAACAACCCGTACAGCACCATCAGCCTCCAGTTTTACCACCGATTGCTAGGATTTCCTCGGCCGACTCGGACCTATCGATAGACCTCGAAGTTCACGAATCGAAACAACGTGAAGAGCCGAAACCCTTGCCACGGTCGCCTTATAATGAAGAGACTGGATTTATCGGGGGATTGGCTCTGCAGAATTACCGTCGGGAACGGGAAGCACTAAGACCAGGAACCTTGGACAGAAACTCTACAAATGTGACGGATTCCATATCGTACGGCGCCCACACGAACGTAAATAACTTTTCGAATCGCCCACCGCCACCTGTTAAGCCTGTCAAAGCTGCCTCGTCTTTCGTTACGCCCACCTCTCTCCAGAATGTCCCTCCTACGGGTAAACGGTTGCCAGGCGCAAAAACCTCATCCGACTCCCAGGCTTTGCAAAGCCAGCCGTCGGTTCAGGATGCTCCCAGAGGCAAAAAGAGCCTTCCTTTCCTAAAGAACCCCATGTCGACGTTATTAATGCGGAGGAAGACTAGCCAGAATGTACCAGATCTCTCACTGCCATTACGCGGTCATGACGAAGAGCCTTCGTACGATCCTCGGATCAGAGGTACCCGAGTTCATGATTTCAGCGCTCCACGACCTAGAAAAGTTGTGTCGACTATTGAGCCCGCTGCCTCCGGCTTTGAGAAGCCTCGTCATGATACCGTATCCCCAACCATAGAACACATTTCACCTGCCACGGATGCTCCTCCGGTTCCTCCGAAGGACGATAATTCTCAATCCACCCGGACGTCCTCCACGTATTCTCGAACCTTGTCAGTAGATACTGGTTCGTCACTGAAGCCACAAGGCTCCAGAAGTAGTCATACCAATGTCGAGTCTAGGAGTGCCTTAAGTAGCCAGAGAAGAAAAGGCTCCATTCCCCCATCACTCATGTCGTTATCCCGCAACGGATCAGAGGTATCTAGAGATGTCCTCTCGTCCATTCCTAAACACATGAAGAGTACATCTTCTCGGTTTAGTTTTGATATGGTCGGCGCAGCAAAACAGGAGAAGTTGCTAGAAGAACGACACCGCCAACGACAGCAAGACAAGAAAATGGATGATGGCCTTGGCCAACGAGATTCTCGTTATGATGAGTTCGACGACGATGGTTTTGATTACGACGCAATGGATTATGATGATGGCCTAGAGGAACGCATACCAGGTGTAAACGCGGATCTTGACGAGGAAGACTTTGATGGCATGGATGATCCGGATAACGACCAAGAAAACTTTGCGGGCTTCGTTTTTCAACGATCGAATCCTATCTCGGAATTGACGAGTCCCCACGGAACTGGAATATCGCGGACGACTAGAGATGAAAACGAAAGTATTGCTAGTTATGCGCTGAATACAGATTTTTCAGATGTGCCGCAATACCCTGTTCATCCGCTTGAAATTCGAGGCGATGCTTCTACAAAACAATCATCAGAACAAGATACTCCAACGGGCTTAGGGATCCAAGGACTAGAAACTGTGAACGAAATTTCCGACCAGATGTCATTTCAACAATCACAAGGAGTCCCAAAACAACTTTCCAAAGACGATGAACTTTATTTTAACGATGGATTAATACATGATTTTGACGGGGAAGGAGACGGTTCAGCATTTGATGAGTCCATTTTCGATTTAGATGACACGGATCAATATGGTCGACCAATCCCCGGACTATTCGCTAATGCGCTGTCACAAAGACGGGAAGCAAAGAAGCGGGAATCCGACATAACCTCTAGACTATCAGCGCAGTCTGAGATCTCGCACTCTACTGCTCATACTTCGCTCAGTGCTGACCTACAGTCTAAAATGACAGGACAAAAAGCTAATGAAGAGGCCCCACGCATGGAAGAACGTCAATCCTCAGTCTCGGGTTTGCCAACTGCGGAGCACGATCAGATAGCAGCGTATCAGGCAGCCTTAGCGGCGGCTGCTCATCAGGCCGCAGCCTCAGGGAAATTTCGAAGAGATTCATCCCCGCCGCCGCCTGCTGAACTAACAATCACATCGCCGACGACGTCTGGGTCGTCACAATCCCATTCTAATATAGACGATTTTGACGATTACGACAATGATAACGGATTGTCTTCGGGATTGGATGATTACGAGCTTGACGATGACGATATTATCGCAGAGGCAAACGCCAGTGCTCTCGCTAATGACTCGGATGGTTGGTATGGACAAGAATTCGGGTTCTACTCAGCACCGACACCGCCCAATGTTCATCATAATGCCAGTGTTCTCAGTGAGAAAAATCTTTACCAATATTCTCATGGAGGCTATTTCGGTCCGAGCGGCGTCAATCGCTCCACCTCGGGTCGTATCGTTTCCCGCGAACCAAATTTGACACCAATTACAGAACGTTCCGAGTATTCTAACCGAAATTCAATCATGAGCCTTGGCGTTCCCCAGAGCGCTAATAATAACGGGCCTTTGCAAAGCCCTGGTTTGGCTCAGTTGGCGATGATGGCGGACGATGATAATATGTCGCTGTCGGCTTTGCTTCGTTTGCGTTCTAGGGCGTGGGGCGGCTCCCAGGCGTCGCTAGTAAGTTCACGCGACGGATCGCCTAGTGATAGGAATGGCGCTACTAGCCCTTGGGGTCAAGACATCGGCATGTCGGCGTCGCACGCGCGTAAGAATTCCGCATTTTCTATCATCAGCCAGGATTCAACGGGGGCAGGTAGCGGGTCAGGTAGCCCTACGTTGACCATGTCGATGTCCGGCATTCCGAACAATGCTATCCCACCACTATCGGTTCCGTCCAATTCTAATCCTACATCCGCTACGTCCCCAGTCAGCGCACCTGTTTTTTCTCCTTTACAACCATCTTCTGCTTGCCCGCCCGTCTTCGAGGATGAAGAGACGAGTCCCCTTGACCCAAAAAAGGCTGAAGCAGGGAGTACAAGCACGTCGGCTTCTGGCACATTATCAAAACCATTTAATGAGAGTATGAGCCCGACAATTGGAGCGCCTTCACAGAAGAGGCCGGGTATGGGGCATAGACATAGAGGAAGTGCAGACAGCATCTCGTACACGAAAGAAGAAGATAGCGGCGAGACACGATGGATTATGGAGCGGCGACGCACGGCAGAATCCGGTGAGATTGAGATTTTAGGTCGGCAAGTGGTCGATAGGGGCAGGATCTAGTGGTTTCTGGAATGTCTTCCCGATTTGCGATCTAAGAGTCGCTCGAGGACCTAATGATGAATGGCAGCGAATACCGGCGTAAGATGGGGTAGTTGGTGATATATGTGCCATTTATTTTTACTTGAATGCCACGCTTGCTTGGGTCTGGCGTAACATTAGGAAATCAGGGGTAGCATAGATACGTGAGGGTTCGCCGGAGTATAAAAAAAGGAAAGGGATTGTTTAGCTTCCCTGGTTGGATTGGGGGCTTATCATCAAGCACAAATTACTTAACTTTAATCGTGTACATCTACGCAAACTGTTGTACCAGTATAATATCTAACGCCCTTGAACAGAATTAATGGCTCCTACCTTTAACAAGTTTGGGGTTTTATCGTTCAACATTCGAGTAGGTACCTGGGTACTTCCAATGGGATGTGGCAATAATCTTAGACACTAATGTGGTTTACGTAAGCCTACCCAGGTGGGAATGAGGAATGACGTCAAGTTGGATAGGGTAGGCTCCTTTTAAATTGCCCTATGTACTCGCCTTTACTCGATGCAACTTGGAAGTTGAAATAAACTACCTAGATGCGTTTTAGTTAGATCGTTCTTTAAAGATCGATTTAGTCAAGACCGCTACATGCGTAACTAGTGGTGGAGTTTCTCCTCTACCATTGCATCATCGCCATTCTCAACTTGGATACCTAGCTGGCCATCATTGGTAGGCAACCCATATATCCAGAGCTACGTTACTTCGACAATATCTAAATTGTCAATGTAATTCATAAATCGATATCGGATTTAGATATCACAATGAAACCATTTCCAGAAGCATCAACTATGGGCAAGGCGCCCCCAACGAGGCTTAGGTTCCCGCCTATCCTCCGACCTAGATTATCATGGCGATACATCTTCTGCTCATCGGTCGCGATCTATATTATATATTGCTACATCTTCTCAACACCTTTATTCGCGCATCCCCTTCCTAATTACAGCGGTCCGTATTCAGTCGGCGCCGTTGACGTTGAGATACCTCTAAAATCACCACGGTTAATCGATACAGCACGGTTTAAAGGAACGAAAGAAAATGCGTTCGAGCTAGAAACAGTACTTTTCACGTTATACTATCCTGCGATACAAAATGCGGTTAGCCATAAGCCGAAACATCACTGGATTCCGAAACCGGTCTCGGTTACGGCCGAGGGCTACGCTAAGTTCGCGCATATGAATAATTTCATCGTTAATAAACTCATGACGGGGGCTGTTAGCGGTCTCGTCGGAGGAATCGAAATTCCAGCACAAGTTGATGTGCCACTTGCCGATCTCGTGGCTACGGTTACGGCTACCCCGGAGACTAGAAATGATGATGGGGAAATCGAAAAAGTGATTCAGATTTCGAGGGAAGGACATCCGGTGGTTGTGTTCTCGCATGGTATGGCGAGTAGTCGTACCGATTACACGCACTATGCCGGGGAGCTGGCGTCGCGTGGGTATGTTGTTGCGTTGATTGAGCATAGGGATGGCTCGTGTCCCGGGTCTGTTATTATGAAAAACGGCGAGTCGGAGAGCGTTAAACTTACTTTCGATGTTCCTGAGGTGGAGACTAAGAACGGGAGGGAGTTAACGGTTGATGAGTTTAAGACGGCGCAGCTTGATTTCCGGGAGGCGGAGATTGAGGAAACTGTGAAGGTCTTGAGACTTATTAATGAGGGGCACGGGGAAGAGGTTTTGAAGAAGAATTCTAGAGGGGAAGGGGCGGATTTTGGGAATTGGAAGGGTCGAATTAATACGGACCAGATGGTCGTCGCGGGACATAGTTATGGTGCTACGGGCGCTATGCAAGCGCTTAGGGGCGGACCGAGTTCGAAACGGCCGTTTAGTGGTGCGATTGTGTTGGATCCTGGGAAGGCGAGTGGAAGATTGAATGACGATATTCGTGTTCCGGTGCTGGTGATTCATAGCAATTCATGGAGTAGCAAGCGTAGCGTATTCTACGGGCGGACACATTTTGATACGGTTTTCGATATTGTTGAGAATAATGTCCTGCGCGGCATGCCTTCTTGGTTCGCGACTTCGCTTGGTACTTCGCACCCTTCGGTCACGGATGCCCCGCTGCTGGAGCCGTTGTTACTTAGTTGGACTACCGGCGCGCGGATCGATGTGTATGAGGGATTAAGGCAGTATGTGCATGTGACGGAGGACTTCCTGTGGTTTTTGAGTACGGGGGAGAAACGCAGTCTCCTGAGGGAGAAGGCGGAGTTCCCGCAGTATGATGAGGGTATGGGGTTCGGTGTGTGGAAACCGGCACAAGGGGAAAATGAAAAGATGGGAGGCCCTTGGTACGATTGGCGCAGGTATTGGCAGGTGCATATCTCGCCGAATTAGATGATGTGGAGGATATCGGGAGATGGGCGTGGGCTAAGCCACCACTGTACTTGTGCGGCGGCATATACGGGTCAGCAAAGGAGCTGAAATGTAACTTGAAGTGTACTTATAGATGGTATATAGGAGAGGATTCATACTAAATAACCCAGGTAACCATATCAATGTCATGAATATGCACTGTTCCATTTTCTTTACGTATACCACCTACCTGGTCTATATTCGTATCCCATCATGTAGTCAGCATTCTATTAAGTATGATTAGGACGATAGTACCTAAGTTGTTTAGATTCTCGTGGTAGATAAAACCCGAATAAAATGGTGGCGTTAGATGCTTGACGCCACGAAGAGAAAAAGCCAATCAATATGCAGGATTTGGTCGTACGAGTTACTTTAAAACCAGGTAAAATTTAAGACACGGAATCCTTCAGTGAGACCGATGGATCTACCCGAGATGGGAGTGCCGATCGAATAATTTATCTTCTATTCGTGAGGTAGATTTTAAGCGCGCGCCCCCTTCCTGTTTTATTACGCGTTCCTCGCTGTTCTGAGTATCCTTTTAGACATGGCGTACAATTTCTTCTAGTCCCTTCATAATATCTTATATAACCTCGTCAGCGATAGCAAACCTCGGTTCACTAGCAACCACATTCACTCTAACACCAGACTACAACACAGTCATATCAGGCCGTAGACGCCCAGACCTTAGACGGCGGCAACACGACAACTCATAAGTACCACAGCCTTGGGCCTAGCGATACATCCGAGTGTCATCCGCCGGGGTTTGTGCCTACTTCCGCTACAACTAACAGATGCGACCGACTCATGGTCTACTTTATCCTGCACTTCAGCCCCGGATCCTTCAAACCAACCGATCGAAGTTACGGTTCTAAGCAATATACTCATAAACCCGGCGGCTATCAACGTGCAGTAGCAGCGAAACAATTTCATCGCGTCTAGTACCAATGCACCGACAAGTTCCTCCGCTCTTCCATCTATACCAAGCAAGGCCGCGAAAGCAAGTAATCAGGTAGAAACGGGGATGTCGACTAGTTCTAAGATAGGAATAGGTATAGGGGTTGGTGTTGGGGGAGCTCTCTTGATAGCTTTCGCAGTTGGCTTCTGGTTTTGGTGGAAGCGACACAAGGTGAAGAAGCAACGGGATAGAATGGTTATGCAATTCGAACATCATGATGGTGTTGCGAAGCCACCGTCGGAGTTGTGGTATCAGTACCGGGAAGGGACGCATACTTCGGTTAGTACACATGAGATGGTCACGCTGAATAATAGACATGAGGCTATGGATACTTCGAGGCCGGGAGAACTGTATTCGGGGAGGTGACATGGGAACTTTGTGGGCAGAAACGGTGGTAAATGATACCTACATTAGGCGTTATAGACGTATCTCATAGAAGGGTTGCTCGGGCTTACATGGGAATGAGTTGCATATGAAGAACGTGAATAGGTGTCGCATATGGGGGTTTTAGGTATTGTTTCTTATTTAGATACCTAACTCAAAGAGTTGTCTGAATTAGAAGACTGGGGTTAAAATCCCGATAGAAATACGAGGAAAGCGATTTAGGCCTACTGGTGATAGGCTTCATGTACCTAGATATTCTGGAATTAGCGGGCATATAGAATGATTCTAGGTACCTACGGCTTTAATTCGCCCCTGAATGAGGGGCAGCGCCTAACTGCGACGCCCTCAGAGACGCTGTGGTTCCCTACATTAGGTGTCTAAGTAGAACGAACATGATACACCAACTTGAATCCGAACTTCTTGAGAATCGTTTTTAACCATATGTAGTAAAATTTAAAGCGCCCCTAACTTGGAACATTCATAACGCTAATAGTGACCTTATTCGTCGTGCTAGGAGGCAAATGACCTCCGCCCGCGATCAGAAGAGACGCGGGGTCTTCCTGGAAGACATGCAGAGACCTGGTGTATGAGACTCCTTCAGGCGACGAGACCTTCTTCCATGCACCCTCAGCACCCAGCGCCTTGTTGATATAAACCTCAGAACAACACCCCGAGGATACGATAATCGTCCCGTTCGCGCCGCCAGCTGAAGACCAGACGACATATGGTGACCCAGTTGGAACAGTGCCATCAGTGGTTCTTAGCACATGATGAGTTACGCTATTAAACTTCTCTGGATCATTTGAGAGACGATAGTAAACTGGGAAAGACCCTGAGTTTGCTGGGTTAGGGCCTCCGCCGTACTCGTAGGCGTAAATGAATTGGCCGTTAGGGAGTAAAGCCACTGTAGGCATCCCCGGTCGCTGGCTATAGGTGGAGTATGCCACATCATCGACCACTGAACCCCAATTTTTCAGGTCCGTAGTGGTTTGGTGGACGAGCTTCTGTCCGTGCTTCGAATCTCGTTGATCCGAATAATAGTAGATGAGCTTTCCCTTGTGAAGCAGCAAAAAGGGCTCCCATACGGGGGTTAAGCCATTGTTTGGTCTGGCCTCGCCCCCGGCTGCTACGTGGCTGAGGAATTTCCACGTTTTACCGCTGTCGGATGATGCGTAGATGTCAAGTTGCGTTTTTGAAAGGTCGGTGGGGATTGATGAACCGGCTAATAATACATCGCCTTTTTTATAACCTGCGAAGTCTTCTGGTAACACGTAGAGGAATGGCTGATATCGTAAACCATATCCGTAACCTTGGTCCTCAACTTGGGATATCTTTGTCCAGGTAGCACCCTTATCACTCGAGCGATATATGGCTGAAAATCATGTGTTAGCGACTAAATAGGTGGGGTTATAGGGGGTTCGTGGTGCTCTACGGGGTCATCCAGCTAATGCTGGACCCTGCAGAATATGAAAATACTTAACGTACTATAGGCGCATTAGTAATAGATCAACCATTAATCGGCGGGAAGGGGTTTGTTTTTAAAGGTAAGGGCAGTTAAGACAGCATAAGTATTTTCACACGTACCGGAAATAAACCGGAGGGGGTTCAGGGCTGTAGTTCTCCCAAGTCGCTAGAATATCGTCATTAGGGAGTTGAGCTGTGCGTGCGTACAGCACTCTCGGGTCCGTATAAGTTGAAGGTGGTGTATATACAACCACCCGCGAGAGTTCCTTTATGCTAGACGTTCGCGGTCGCGCGAATGTCGCTAAAGGAAACAAGGCAACGGCCAGACCGGCCAATAATTGCTCACGGAACAGCATTTTGCTGGTGACAAGATAATTAATTAAGGCCCTAGGGATTTTCGATTTGAAGATCTACAAAGCATTTTATATTTGCATTTCGGAAGCATCCGGTTAAAAGGACTCGCTATGTTCTTCGCCGAATAGCTTCACAGAATCAAGATCTGACTATGTTACCCCAGGTTCTAGTCGAGCCAATGAGGTGTTACTGTTGATACCTAATTGGGTAAGGGGTTTGGCCTAGACCTACGCCGATTCACGGAAATATCTTGTCAGCTTAATAGCAATGATTAAGGTCGCCAACCCACCGGATGACCCCAATGATCTATAAAATAGTTGGAATAAGTTCTTGGTCCTCCAGGTTCTCCGCACACGTTATTATCATGCCATCTTTCGTCTCCAAGAGCCTCACTATGCGCACCATTAATACGACGAGACCAGAAGAAGCCTAAGAGTTATTAGGCTTAGTAGGTTGTGTTATTACGAATACAATGAAAAGGCGATAGATTCTACACCAAGATTGGCCAATACGTAGTTACTTACAGAGCAATATATATATATACCTATATATAAGTAAGTCGCTTTTCACCTATAGAAGAAAACCCTATTAAGATACCGTATCGTGGGGAACGCCTAGGCTGGAATTGGAATTAGGCCAGGATCGTCGATATTGAGAATAAAATGACGTAATTTTCATATTAAAGTAAGTTTCATTAACTTTGAAATCAAGAAAAAAAGGTAGGATAGAGGGTATAAAGGTAAAGTTAGGCACAAGAAACGTGGGACACATGTGGTATTTCGAGTTCAGAGATGTGAAATTATCTCCGAAAAATATGTCAGCAGGTGTCCAGTGTAATTGACAACCCGTTCTTCTATAAAACCTCGCGCTTCTCGGGCATTGCATTTCAATCGACAGAATTAGTAACAATCGACGAGCTATAAACTTATAATGAAACTGGCCGTTCACGAGACGGTTACGTGAATAGGGTAACTATTAAGAGAGTACTTATTTTTAATTGAGATGATTGACCAAGAAAGAAGTATTTTACTAATACTGCTGCCTTGACCAAAATCGCGATGCGCGAAATGCGCGAGGTAAATTAGTAAGATATGCATCGTTCAAATTGGCCGTCGTGTTCCCCTATTCCTCCGCCGGCGCAACTGATTATCAATGTGTAAAATACTAATTGGAACATCATAAGGCCGTCAAAAATAAATCAGAGCCATTGTTCTCATAGGCAGTTATTTAAGTCCATGTATCGACCTAGATGTCAAGGTAATTCAAAGCAACTACACCCTAGAATCAAAGTTCTCTACTTCACTCACCGAAAATGGCACCAAATACTAGCTCTACTCCAGACCAGGCAGGTCGATGGATTGTGACCAAGTTTGGTGGCCCAGACGTTTTGAAATGGGAAACCTTCGACCCTTATTCTGAATTATCCGCGGATGGAGTTATTGTACGGATTATTGTAGGTGGTATCGCCGGACCCGACAACCTTCAACGAGTCGGCGGCTACCCCAACCCACTTACAAAACACCCGGGTTTCACGCCAGGATACGACTTCGTCGGCGAAGTTATCGCTCTAGGTCCGTCGGTGCCAGAGAGCAGCAAGTTAGCTGTGGGAGATCATGTCACATCCATGTGTGTCGTTGGCGCTCACGCCACCCACACTGTCATACGCTCTTCCGAACTCATTCGCATCGAGCGCACCGATGATCCGATCAAAGTCTGCGCTCTGCCATTGAACTACATGACTGCCTGGGGGATGTTAGATCAGTGTGGGGTGAATCTTCCCCCTGGCTCTACCATTTTGGTCGGCTCTGTAAGTGGAGGCCTTGGAACGGCTGTCGCGGAAATCGTTCGCGCATTCGATTTCAAGATAAAGATTATCGGTACCTGTTCGCCATCGAAATTCGACTATGTCAAATCATTGGGTGTAATCCCAATAGACCGTCATGCTCCCGACCTCGTGGAGCAAGTCAAAGCCCTGACAAACGGCGAAGGAGTGGATGTCGCATACGACGCAGTAGGAAGTGACGAAAGTCTCGAAAAAAGCTATTTGGCCACGAAGAAGGATGTCGGACAAGTTATAGTGACTGGCATTATGTCGGAGATCGCAACAGATGGGTCCGGTCTCCTGCAAAAGGATAATTTTAACGCCCACGCTACTATCGCTACGCGGATGCGGCCCCGGATGAAGCACTGGAGCGTCGATAGGGACTTTTATCAAGTCGATAAGCCTCTGTGGTTTAAGGGCTTTTATGCGCTGTTGGAAAAAGTCCGCAGTGGAGAACTAAGCCCCACCATTGCGAAGCTGTTCCGGTTGAGTGAAGGTAAAACAGCACATGAATACTTGGTCTCGGGTACTGCGGTGAAGGGCAAAATGGTGTTTATCGCTGATGGAGATTTAGCTGCTAAGTACGGTTTGTAGAAGGTACTCTCGGCCCCGTGGGCAAGGGTAGAGCAGCTTTGTCATCAAGTCCAATTTTCATAGTTTCTATCGGAGGTTTTTTTTTCAATCAATTCGATATTTCTCCTCTCGTCCCAATTTGGTGGTTAGCATCTTTAAGGGACCATGGTCTTAGTTCCTGGTGAAGTAAGCATCTAAAAAGTCCATTGTCTTGAGGTACGTAGCCTTATTATACCTATACTTGCATTGTAACTATGCGTATGCGCCTAAGTATATGCCAAGGGGTTTTTGGAGAGAATCAGGCTGGACGTGATCATTCCTGTACTCCTGCGACATGCCACGTAACTCTTCTGGTGGTTACTGGCGCCTAGGATGGAATCGTTGGAGTTTAGGACATTCGTCAGCACAGATAGCAAACAATGACACAGGGAATACCTAACAAGGACGTGGCCTAAGAACCGAACCAAACATAGCGGTTGGTGGCTCTAGATATATATAGAGCATAGGAAATGCACTCCATATAGCAGTTAAGGAGTTTCGAAGTGTTAATAAAACCCTTTTCGCGGAAGGATTCACAGTAGCCTAGCAGGACACTTCCGATTCGGGCGCATACCTGGTCGGGGCGACCTAGAATATTGCATTTAAGAGATATTTGTATCGACCTCGTCTTGACCATTTATTGTACTCTTATTTTCCCCTCTCTTGCATAGATTTTTTGGGATATCGCGATGATTCCGACGCGGAGTTATAGTAACAATAGTGGCGACGTCCCACTTACAAGCGGCGAAAGAGTAAGAAATGTCGCGATTATACTTGGCTCTGTCGCCTTGATCGCACTCATATCTCATATTATGTATGTCAAAGTATCTCCTTAGTGGTCCAGAGCTCGGCTACACCGAAACATGCCAAACCAGAAACAGATTAATAGTTGATGTCAGTGTAAGATGTTTAATAAGGCCCGCGCCTCTTAGTCAATCCCCTTCGCCGCAGCCTAGTTAGGTCCTCCTTTTAAATGAAGCTTAGGATGAAGCGCTGGGTGTTTTCTAGGTATGACGATGAGGCAAGTCATATCGATGCAGGTAGGGTAAGCGACGATGCGACGGCCAAGAATTGATATAGTCGGTCGGATTGTGGTGTATGAGAAAGGTAGAAAACCTGCTTGTTGAAAGAGATGTGAATGCTGTAAGCGCTGTATTTATAGGGGACATAAGCGCTATGAACTCACCCCCTGTAGATATAGGGGAATGTGGCATATAACTCATTCATACGCCGTTCTTATCGTGCGCCTTGGCAGCTATGGGCTCATTGGACCGCCGTAGTGTTTAAATATTATGACAGGTATACTACATAAGTCTTCAGTTGTTTCGCTAGGTACCTAATCATTGTAATCTCGCGCTACACGCACCCCACCGCCATGTTATGCTCGTTGTGCAAGGACTTACCGCCCCTCAGGGAACTGAGTGATTTTGAATATCCAACAATTCCAGCTTTACGGCGATCGGCCTCTGCCGGATGTGAATTCTGTTCTCTCGTGTCGGCTGCTATATCCGATATACTCCCGCCAGAGTCGCGAGCATTAGGCCTGTCCACCGATGTGCGCACACCCGTAAAAATTTCCCTATGTCACAAAGATGCATCAACTTTTATCAAAGTGTGGCAGTGGTCGACCTCAAATTGCGGATATCTAGAGGTGTGTTCTGATCCCAGCAGTACCGACACCATCAAGGACAGCACACAAACACCAAATCCATATCCTTCGAAGAGACCTTTACCAGACAGTCACCAGTCAGACTCGACATTCGAGTTTATTCAAGCCACTATTCAAAATTGCCAAGCCACCCACAGTGGATGTCCTCGCAATGACGATGTCGTCCTCCCTACTTTTATCGTAGATGTTCAAACTGCGCAGGAGCCCTTTCTAGTTCAAAATGACGGCACACAGAGGGGATCTTACATCGCTCTCAGCTATTGTTGGGGTCCCGCTAGTGTGCAAGAACTTACATGGCTTACCAAGGCCCGTCTCCCATCCTATTTGAAATGTATATCTTTAGCGAGTTTGCCCCAAACGCTACAAGATGCGGTTTCCGTAACCCATCGGCTCGGAATTCAATACCTCTGGATCGACTCCATGTGCATCCCACAAGACGACGAAGAAATCAGGCAACAGCAACTACGGGTGATGGCAGACATCTACACCCAATCCTTTGCCACGATCCAAGCGTCCATTCCACATTCGGCTAGCGACGGCTTCCTGGCGCTTTCTAGGAATCCTTATGGGGTGCCGGTTCGACTACCATTTGAAAGAGATTTGGTCAGTGGCCACACTTCTTTTGCCATCGTCCGATTTGTTCCAGTAAGAAAAGGCGACGAGGCATCAGCTGATCAACGGGCTTGGATTTTTCAAGAGACCGTGCTTCCTGTTCGGGTTGTTCGCTACTGTGCTACACTGGTGGTTGTGAGTTGTCGACACGAGATATGTACCGAGGACGGATGTGAGTATGACAATTTCAATAGGTTCAGCTTAAGCCCACGCGCCTACTATCACATCCGTCCTGATCTACGGCCTGACTCGATTCCGCCTGAATTCCCCCGGATACCGTCCACCAATCATCAAAAGCAGGCACTCGAGTCGTGGTACCGAAACCTTCAGATGTTTTATTCCCCGCGTGTTACTTCAGTGAGCGACGACCGTCTTGTCGCCCTCTCCGCATATGCTAGAGAGGCGCATAGTGTGATCGGTGGCAACTATCTGGCCGGAAATTGGTCGGTAGATCTGAGAAAGGGCCTCCGATGGCAGCCCTGGGGCGCTTTGCTACAAAGAGCCGTGACCTATCGAGCGCCGTCCTGGTCTTGGGCTGCATACGATGGTAATGTATGCCACCTCTATTCTAAAACGGACGATGATGGACAAGACGGTTGGATGCCCACCATCGTCGATGCTTGGACAAAGACAGACACGTCCCCGTACGGTGCTTGTAGGGCTGGTAAGATTGTCATGAAGACGCGCGTATTCCGGTTCTCAATCACAGGCGATCTTTTGAACAACAAGACCTATGCAGGCCAGTCAACGGCACTCGAGTCCGACGTGGTGCAGTTGCAAGGGAATAAAGAAAGCGCCATATGTTATGCATATTCTGACACGACTGCTGGCATCCCTAAAGATAAAGTACTGTGTGGTGCTTTTATCTCACACAAATGGGGACTCGTTCTCGCCAAGTCAGACGGCAGCGACACTGCTGATCACTCAGAAGGACGAGAGGACGAATTTATACGAGTTGGGCATTTTAGAACTATCAGGGGAGGTATCCAAAATTACCAGCAAAAGAAGATCGTATTAATATAGGCCAGACAATAACGGGACAGGCAGGATCGATGCTTGGGCACTACGATAATAATCTCCTTACAAACAATAGCACGTTAAACTATCCGCATCCCTGTCTTATCAATATTAGACATATTCTATGCTAGCTCTGTTATCCCAGTTGTACAGCCCGTTCTTTATCATAATCCCTCTGCCTGGGCTAACATTTTGTCGGCCTCACTCTCTATACCAACATGGCTATTTTCGGGAATATCGAAGTCCAAATTAAACCACGCGGGGGGGTGCGTTTCTGGATAATCTTTGGCCTTGTAAGCGTTTTCATGTTGATTGACTGTTGTGGCTATAAAACCACTCCGAGAAACTATGAGGGGACTCCTCCTTTCGCAGTTTCGAGCAACAGACGCCTGTATTTCTCCAAAGTCAAAATAGACAGTATGTGAAAGTTCATTTATAACCATCTAAAATCGTTAGCTTGGATCAATTGAAGAATGAATGAGAAATCTTACTAACCTTGAGAACCTCTAAAGATCGAGTCGAACAATCGTCTACACAGGCGAAGCCTGCAATAAACCTGATTCCAACAGCAGCTCGTTGCCAAGCTTTGCTAGGTCGAGAGGTACCGCGATGCGCGGCGATCAGAAAGATCAAGCACATAACCGACATGAAGACAGTATATATGGACGGCCAGAATCCCGCTAGAAACAGCCCCTCTTTCATCATTTCATGGGAGCGGACAATTGTAGATGAAGCTATCTTGATGCAAGCCAAAGCGTGATACGATTGGGCCACAGGTATAGACCCACCATCAGCCATTATTCGAAGATAGTGTAACAGCGGTTGGAACACTATGATATGGCAGAAATTGAAAGTCATGTCGAGATCATGCTTTATTCTATTAAGCCTATTAGCACCAGGTCTTACTTGTGAATGCTCTGTGCACTTACATTCTATGCTCCTTGCTAGGCCCCAGACTTGCCAATAAGGACGATGTACTCACTTGCCAGTTTTGGAATTCATTTTTGGCTTCTTCGAAATGTCCAATGTCAACCGATCCAGGTGTCCCATCGGCGAATGATTCAACTGAACCATGTTCCCGTATTGGTATGGCTAAAAGGCAAACTTGTCTCAGATTCGCCGCTGTATAAAAGTCTTTCTCAGCTTCAGCTTCTAGCGCCAAGCGTGTAATGCGAGTTAGAAGCCCTTTGTCCGGTTGGATGAAGGGAGGTAGGTCGAGAATGATGCTAGTAAACAAATCAAGCCTCATAATAGTGGCAAGAAGTCGGGTCTTTAGTCTCGTCTCTGTCGAGGAAGGTTCTATGCGACTTCCTACAGAATGCAAACCAAGTTGAAGTGCCGATGAACAGGCCGTCCCGACCAGAGAGTGCGCCAATGTGATCCGAGAGGAAGATACGAGGAATATGATAGCGCAAAGAAGGGCTTGGAAGCTTTCTATATCGTTGGTTTGCATTGGCGTTATCATAGCTAGACCGGTGTGAAAATGGTTCGTTCCTCTTCGTAATATTTCATGGCACCCCTCTTCCTGATGTCTTGGCGAATCGAACAGATAACCCAACGCAAGCGTCAGGTGGAATAGAGATAGCGACGGAGTAGGTATAGCCGGAGCTTCTAATGCGGTGAGTAAATTCGCTGTTTCTTTCACATGTTGCTCCGGCAGAAAGGAGAGCATCGGGTGAGTCCTAGCAAAAACGGCATCTATCAATGTTAACACTATGTTGTAAGAAGGAAGAGATTTAGCGAGGCTTAAGTCGACATTCTCTTTTGGCGGAAGCGGGAAGCTGAAGAGGTTAGAGATGACCAGAGTCCTCTGTTCCGGGGGAACTGTTTGTTGCCGCTGAAAAATTTCAAGTGTACGTAGAATGAAAGATAGTTCGGAATAGCAGCCATAAAAACCAATCTTCCCTAGCCCAACATTCACTATTCTGTCATGGCCAACTAGCATATTCTTAAGTACGGCTTGCTTCGGCGCATGTTCGTGAGAAGTGAACGAGGAAGGCGATACCGGCGAAGGTGGTGAGGCAGGCTGGGCCTCGGGCAACGTGAAGTCGAGAATACGTAAGCAATTTTCTAGATCCAAACCCGGTATTTCAGGCGCCTTGTTATGTATCTCACGTAGCCATGAGCGTGCTAAGCTCAAATGATCTTGAAGGTTACGTATTCTCAACGTCGGAGGAGGTACAGGTCTTCGGTAATTGTACGCACAGGCTTGTGAGGACATCATCAGGGAGACGCCTCACATATAATATGTAAATAGGTAAAGCTAAAGACTTACTAAGATTAGAATTGCGACAAGGGCCGCATGGTTCTGCAGCGTCGCAAGCCCTCTTACGCAGGCGACACTCGTCACAAGCATGGGGTGAGCGGCGATGGGGGCCCTTCTTCCATAAAGGGTGACTTTTGGGAGGCCCAGGACGATGACTAAACGTCTTTTTATCACTCAGCGCCACGGGCATCTCGAAGGTCGTACCAAGGAATTGCTATATATTTTATGCTGCTGTTGTGTTCCCGCAACCCTCCCAACCAATACAGCCCGGCATATGCTAGAAAACCATGCCTTAGATCAAAACGGAGGATGTACTTGGTTAGGATCGGTCTGCGGGTGTTGATGAGATAACGGTAGTAGATTCCAAGATAAGTTATATTGAGGCTGAGATATATCTAGCCAACGACGTCTTCCATTTGTGATGTGTTATGAGGCTGTGATCTATGAGAGAATAGTCGAAGTAAGCCGCCGAGGTCATCTCCCCCACATTCGGCATCCCCAACGGGGGAAAGCGGCTCCAAACCGAGCCAATCAAAATAATGGCAACGTGTAAGATCCTGGTATGCTTGTGCGGTATTTCTTGGCCTTCTCAATTGACAGTATCCGGCAAGACGGAGATGGTTATTTCAATCCTCTGGATAAGCTTGGTTACTCAAATACGTGTGAATCGAAACATGAACGGAATAGTTAAATAAGTTATTTATCAACCTTGGAAATATACATCCGAGGAATACCGACTGACTCGTGAGTGGGCGGTAGACAAGACACTACTGTTGTGGAATACAATCCTGAAATCTACTTTTCGCTGACGATCAAATCTACCACTCGAGCTTTCCCAAGACTAATTACTCATGGCTCTATTTCAAGAAACGATATAACTTGCTAACACTGCCGTATTCTGGAAGTGTCCTATGGCCTTGTAAGTCGACTAATTACACCTTTGGTCTCAACATAAGATCAGAGGAACACTATCGCCACCTATGTCTCGAAGAGCTCCCTTTGTTGCTGAGCGCTTCATATTTTCCTCTCCATGGGAGCAAAGAGTGCGTTAGATACCCACACTATACGCGCAGGAAGGACTGCGAATTATGAAATCCGAGATACCGGCAGCGCTCGCAATTTATACTCGTAGTAGTTAAAGTCAATATTTACCTATAGTCATGTCACTAACTACCATACTAGTCATTACCCCCTTCAAATTTTCTACAGGTGCGCATTTCATACCCGAATAACAACCTCAGAACGCGTACTTTCAAATAAGTTCCTTCGCAAATAGCAACTATATTCTCCCTTACTCGTGCTCAGCGACCTTCTATTGCTTCTTATCACATGCTGTCATACTAGAATGACGTTTTTCCTTCCTCGTACTCGAAGCGCCAAGAATATCCCTCACAATAATCGCATCATGCCTTTGACCGGGAAACCTACCGCCGGCGACGTCGCCATTAGTGTCTAAAAAAACTAACAGTTAACTAGGTAGCATACTTATTCCACGAACCCTTCATACCTACCTAGGTACGTTCACGCCTCCCGAACCCCCACCCATTGCCCCACATAAGCAGTGATACTCAGTACTATACACTGCGTATGTTGTACTTGGGTAGATGGTGTAGGCTTACGGGGGTTTCCAGCGATAAAGCTAGGGGTCCGAGAATATGTCAATGGGTCTTCTACCATAAATGGTATACAGTACGCGTAACTTGGACGTCCATGTTGGGTGTACAAAACAAGTATATTATGCATCCATATGGCTACAAGGGTTGCGGACTTGGCAGGTGGGTTCTATCCGTATCGACGGTGCCACGCTTGGTAGCAGCGAAGTAATAAATAGCAGACCTCGCTAGTTCATACCTGAGTAGCGTCTTTATATCGCTATCATTAATACGTATATTAGTACAGAGTCTAGAATATATGACAAGTGCCGTCAGCTTCTCATCCCGCTTCACTATTTCTAAGAGGTTCTCAGGACGGCAAAGCTTGAACTAAAGACGCCAGTTAGAAAGCTCTAAGAACTTAGCAGTTGAGTACCGTGCATGGGGTTGCCTCGGAAAGGGTCCCCCGCATCTAGCTCTTACACCATACAGGGGCTTCGAGCCCAGCATTATTAGTGAGGCGAACGTGTTTATGTATGTACTTAGGTACTGTACCATAAAGAGGAAGACGTCTAATGCAGGGGTAATTCTACTATTACGTGCGCACTGTTCGGTTTAGGTACGTCCGATACAGACGATACATTCATTATCTGGGTAGGAAACCCGTAAGCTTTCGGAGACCACACAGACAGTGGGGTGAGGGGTTCTTGAGATGAGATTGCCATAATGTAGTTGGGCTAGAAAAATGGCACCGGTCATAGGGCTTTTAGAAGATAGATGATCGGCAGCAAGTCATTATTTCAGCGGTGTGACAGCAGGAGGAAGACCGCCAAGATACCCCCATACCAACGCCTAAGCTACAGCATTCTGAACGGAGTAGTGGAGGCCGCTGTGTAATCTATTGCTTTAAGGCACCAAGGCCATTGGCGGAATTGGAATTCAGAACTCACCGAGCCTTATCACATCACACCGATTCCGCTCTAGAGCCGCCACGAGAACACTATTATCCCATTAAAAATAGGGCAGAAGCCTTGTAAGTAAGGGCCGGTCCAGTTGCGCATGACGTGCGCCGCACGAATAGAACTTCCTCTCGGGATCTTCATCGTTACCATATCGAAAGCGGATTTATGCGAAATGCGACCGCGCATGGCGGGGTCTGAGAATAGGGATATTCCTTGTTGAAGATCTCTCTCTTCCCTTCCCCTCCTCAAAACTTGCTTTAGAAATGTCGAATCATGGAAGTCTCGAGCGCATTATGGATAAAGCGAACGGGCATCTTGAGGCATGTAATGCCGTCAAAGAGGGGAAGAATCCATAAGGTCAAAGCACCGTGATCAGAGTATTGGTGTTATAGGCATTGTATATGAGGTACGCATCTATTCTATGCCATGCCGCACGGCCTTAGATCAATCACTGTCGTGTCAATTTGTTGCTATCAGGAAGTTCCGAAATACTCGGTCCTCAGAAACCATCTGATGTCCTTAGGCGTTTCGATCCACAGCGCCGCTAGCTCGGGTCACGATGAGGGGCGTAAGCGCCCTACGTAGACACATAAACAAGACTGACTCTTCAGAACCAAGTTCCCAGTTCCTTGATACATCGCTGGTATTTCCAACTTTGATGGGTACAGCACGTGGCGGAAGGATATCCGTGTTTGAAGTCTGAAACTGTGTGGTCTGATGTTGAAGGCCAACCTTGAGTAAGATCATCATAAGATCTTCCTTGCCCATGTCTTTTATCCTAGCGCTGCGGCTTCTTCCTCGACCTTGCTGCGTTCGTGATAACCTCACACCCAAAGGACGTGCGCAAGATGGTCCTTGCATGTTGAATCGCTGGCTCAGATGATCTTAAACCAGATCATTCACCACTTATGTAGATGTGGTGATGTTATAATAACTCCTTCAGTCTAGCGCATGCTCTGTTCGGATCAGCCAGATTAGCGACAAAAATGAAATTTGTATTGAAAGCCCGCCTGTCTGCTGCATGTAGACGCCTAAGTACCTAACTAAACCTGCTGTCGATACGGGAAATAAGCCCTATCACACTCGCTATAATGCCCTCGCCATTAGCAGTCTAGGCTTTTATGTGTCGCGCATAGGGAGAATACCTCGGACTCCATATTTGATTTCAATCAATTCCTCGTCACAGTAGATTAATACCTTCACGTGCGGCGGTGACTGGTAATCCGAACATAGAATTCCAAAGATTTCAATAACTAGAAGGGAAGAACACCTACGTAAGCCAGTGCATGTTAATAGGCCAATCATTATAGCATCCAAGAATATGAGCTGAATGCATTGTCCAATTTCCTTACGGCAATGCCCGTTAAAAGTAACTAGATCGTTAAATGCGTTGCATCGGCCGTGGATGGTACGCCGGCAGAGCACCCCGTTGTGGCAACCGGGCGCCGAACGATGGAGAAATTAGAGATGACCGATACGACCTCCCTCCCTCCAACTTAGATATTATTCCATCTTGGAAGCATTATAGGACGCGTATTCATTACCGAAGATAGCCTTAGGTTGATAGTCTAGCAGCATAAAAAGGATTAAATGATGGGATATTCGCTCGATAACGACAGCGTACATCCCGCCGTCTCTCACCGACGTAGAGATGAAGGGCCAATTCATCAAGCTTGCTTTATCGGCTGGCACGCTGGCTGCCTTAGCCGGTAGCGCACTGGCTGCTACGAATGGCGAGTTCAACGTCCTAAGTATGAATGTCGCGGGGCTACCGGAATTCCTCAACGGCAATGAAGTACCCGGAGACAAGACTACCAACTCAGGGTTGATAGGCACGAAGTTCGCGCAGTACGATTATGATATAATTCACGTACAGGAGGTAAGCAGTCTATTTTATATTGCTATTCTCTCCACATTCATGATACGTAAGATTTTATCACAGGTTGCAAGTTTTGAAACCAACAAAATCCTTACATCTAGCACACCTTGCACGTAAAATACGCTACTGCAGATGATAAAGAGTTGAGCTAAATGTGAAACGAAGGATTTCAACTACCACGCTTATATCTACGATACTGATACACATCCGTATCGTACTGCGACTTCGGGTGGTGTCCCTTTTGGGTCGGGCCTTAATACTATATCCAACTTCGACTGGATTGACTTCCAGCGTGTCAAATGGGATACCTGTTCCGATGCTTCGGAGTCGGACTGCTTGACTCCAAAGGTAAGTTTGTATATAGACCAAAATAATGGAATATGTTATTAACATGATTTAAAAGGGTTACACATTCATGCGTGTAGCTATTGATGATGGCGTTTATATAGATTTCTACAATTTACACGCGGACGCTGGCACCGAGGATGAAGACGAAACGGCACGAGCTGCCAACTTGCAGCAAGTGGCCGATGCCATCGATACTATAAGCATTGGTAACGCCGTTTTAGTTTATGGAGATACTAATTCGCGGTATACGCGACCTGCCGATGGAATTACTGTCTTTTCTGACCAGAACGGCCTTACGGATACTTGGGTGGAGCTCGAGCGTGGCGGTACTATCCCAGATACAGAGACGCTTTGTGACAATCCTAGTACTACTAATACTTGCGAAACTGTCGACAAGATCTTTTACCGCGGTAGCCCACTCCTCGACTTGACCGCTACATATTGGAATTACGAGAGTAGCAAATTCTTGCAGTCTAATGGTAGCATCCTCTCAGATCATAACCCAATTACTGTTAATTTCACGTGGTCGGCTGGATCCTCCCTTCGCCAATCTGGGTTCTGGGGCGGTCCACACGGCACCTGGTTCAGCGACGTCACAACACTAGCCTCAAAAACGTCACCGAAGGTAAGTACACTCAATTTTCGAGGTGCGGACCGCTTAGACAGTGTCGGGTTGACGCTCTCGGACGGCACGACGTTTACGCACGGAGGCGATGGTGGTGATGCTGTAACCCTATCGCTGAATTCGGACGAATATTGGACCAGCGCGCAACTTTGCCAAGGCCAGAAGAACGATCAGACTCGCAACTTCTACATTCTGGCTACGACAAGCGCTGGAAGAACTCTTGCGGCTGGTACTTCGACTTCGGATTGCGCAACGTTTACGGCACCGGACGGTTGGGCGATCGTTGGGTTTTTAGGCCAAGATGGCGATGAAGTGGACCAGTTGGCATTTGTATATGCGCCGCAGTAGATAGAAACTTTGGTACCAACATAGGCGACAAATACCAAGTTGCACTCTTTCTCAAACCAGCGACCTCTCCAACTGTTGCTTTCGATAAAAACCTACTAAATTCACAGAGCCATCGTATGACTAGTAGAACATGCGCAATAAAGAAAGGGGTCTGAATAAGTCATCTAGTATATCTGCCGATTTCATTTAGGATACTCGGGTACGTAAAATTTACATCATACCGTTGTAGTAGCCTAAATAGGGGGATATCAGCGTACATTACAGTTCATATCCACCGAACATTGGTGTTCCTAACGTGAAGGAGGGAGGATCGGCGCTGCAAATACAGGTAGATACAAATTCTCAAGTCCCAAGGGACGGGAGGGGCTACGGAGCATGCGGCCTCATCGTCTCCGTATTTCTTCCTCAAGGTCAAGAAGTAGGTCTGGCAATTATGATTAAATTGGGTTTCCCTCGTGGCTATTCGCGTACCTGCGTCGCTCGCGTGGACCCTGGGATGATCGTTCCAGTGCGACAGCTAAGAGTTTCTAAGAGTTAACCCAGTTGGTAGGTACAGCGGGTACCCAGGCATCCTATGGACACCCTTTTTTGTTGTCTTGTTGGTCATTGCACATTGCAAATAGCGATCGGAAGCACCGGCACGAGCAAACTAACACTTGGTACTTTTCCGGGCAAGCATGCGGCGTTTTCTCATCAACCAGCTAATGTGCCGAATCGAAAAACAAACCGAGACAAGGAGAAGGAAAAAAATTCATATTCTAAGTCAACTGGAAGTAGTAATCTGTTCATCATACATGCGGACGTTAGAGCGGAAGGGATACTGTGATTATTACTGCCGGTATCATATTTGGTTTCGTTACATGAGAAGCGAAACCAACTAGTAGTTGCTTGCGGCCGTGCTCATGTTCATGCAACACCGATTAGGTGTCTGGATCGAATTGAAGATATATCCCTGGAGCGATCATTTATCCGGCCTTTCATGTAACAGACGCTCCCTGGAGCCGCATCCGCGAGATCTAACTCAAATACCTAATCGCAGTTATGATATATGTAATTTGTCATAGGAGCAAGGTTGATGCCTAAAAAGTGCATTATGGGCTACCTTGCGGCCTTGTGTAAGGGCGCTCTACGATGAATGGAACGCTACGTGGCGCATAGGCCACGACACCCAACACTGAAGTAGAGCAAAGACCAACCGTTCGTGTAAGGTAGGTATCTATGATCACTACAACGATTCTTACTGTGTTCTTCCGAATCGTAGCAGGTCAGTGCGCCACTGTCAGCTGGGAAATTAGTGATAGAGATTATCCCTAGACAATCGCGGAAAACCCGCCATTTGTGCCGTTTGCCTCGTTTTGCTTTACGCTTGTTGCGCTAAAGAAACCCGGTGAATGTATGTCTCAGAGAAGCCGTACCCGAACAGCTTACACCTGATACATTACACGGGCTCTTGTTGGCTGCTTTCTCAATCAAACTACTTCTTCAGCTTTGCGATCGGCTAGGGGTTCCTACGCTTCTTCATGACCCTAAACAAATAGTTTGACGCCTAGTCTTCGAGGGACGGGAAGTCTGTAGTTGGTGTTGGCCCTAGCCGATGGGAACTAAATTAGAGCTTGCCTAGACATTCAAGACCGAAAAGGGGTTTCAGGCGGTTTCTAGAAGCCTATTATGAGGTCGTGTTACAGAATACAGCAGTCCGTTAGCATGTTGTACGCGTAAAACTAAGACATTGTGTCTAAGGAAAATTACGCACGATCCTGCTTCTAAGACCGCTAGAAGACGACAGACGTACGTAAACTCATATCAAAGTTTTTTAATAAAGGAATTAGAACCTAGCAGCGTTGTCGTTCTAGATTAGGGTCGTTTAGATGCAGGTTTGTAATACTAGAAAATATTCCTTGTAGATTTATTTTCGTACGATGAAAATGGCAGGTACGGAGCTAGAGCTTCGAGAAGCTGGTTTAATTATAGACGCTAGAAAACGCGGGCTATGGCCCGAGGGCCCGGTTGACCCTAGATCGCATGCGTTCCTTCATGTAAATCATCGAAGGAGTCGAGAAAGGAAGGAGTAAAAGGATTCAAGATCGTTCCTATTGGAAATCTCAACAATTGTTTGTGCTAGAGCTAATTAGTAGCGCAATTACACTCGGTAGCTTGCCGCACATAAATTAGTTGAGCGTAGGTGTCTTCGAGAACATTGAAGATCCATGAGTTGCTAGGGATACGCGAAATTGACTTCTTGACAGTTTGTCACTTCGTAGATTATTGTTTCGTGTATAGGTCTTGAAATTTGAGTGGTGATAGAGGATTAATACCTTACTCACTTGAATGTCAAGCTTTGACGATATCACAATTTGACGATCCCATTGACGTTTGCTAAATTCTCTTGGGCCTTACTTGAACTATGACAGCGGACTGTAGGGGGCGATCTGAAAAAGCCTACCAAGGTACATGTACCTAGGTAATAATTGCATGGGCTGACAAATATTTAGGCGGCTCGAGCCCAGGTAAATCATACTGTACGTAGATTCAACATTCACACAGCGATCCAGATTTCAAGGGATAATCCATCGCCTCGAATGGCGTCAGGATCTCTCCGTTCTACTATGCATGTAACACATTTCCTCTGTGCTCTCGGATGACATCCGGAAGCGGAGTTCTCAAAACCGATCTCGAGTTACGAGGTCTAAAGATGGGTAGCTCGAGATAGACGAGTGGGGAGATTATGAGTGTCTGCCCTTTTCTAAGAATTGACGGTTCGGGCTTGTCGGAGTCGCCCGCTAGGGCATTAGCAAAAGGGAGAACGCACAGACAAGGCAATATCACATGCCGAGGTTGCTTGACGACGATGAATCTGAAGGGTTTCGTCGATAATGCCTCGAACGCTGCGATTCCAAATCAAATTTGATCTATGTGAGCGGAAGTTCTTCCTAGCTTGATAATTTAGTAGGTGGCATACAAATTGGATGCGTAATCCTATTGCGAGTTATATTTTAATAACAAACCCACTGATTTAGTTCTAGAAGCGGAGTCTGCGGCGTTGCGTGGGGTCTCTACCTAGGTAATCTTGTCGTTGGGTCAAGTCAAAGGCCGGTCTCTGGCATTGTGGTTAGCCTAGTGTTGGCGCCTAGGTGCCATGTAATTGTAGAGAAAGAAATCTGCTCCCCATCCGTTATTACCTGGGTAACCTGAATGACGTCTGCTTTCTACGTCGAGTTCAATATCGAAAAATTTCTCCCGTGCTACTTTAGCCTTGTTGGTAGCGAGGGTACGGGCATGCGATGTGACGCGATTCTATGTTCCTGTGTATACTTTAATGCCTCTCGAGAGCATGTACGAATTGCATAATTGGGATTTGTGACGACATCAGGGAGCTCTCGGCTCTATTCCCCAGATTGGCATCCGAATCAGGCAAGGGATTAGTCGCTCGTAATCACAATTTAAATCTTGGGTTCTCCGACAGCTATGGTCAGTGCTCTAGAAGTCTTGGCTGGAAGCACATGTTGGTTCCTGCGTCCATACAGTCAACGGGCTCGTGTGACTGCTGCGGGCTTTGCAGCATAGCTAGACGCTTAGCAAAGGGCCATTCGCCAAGTTGACTTGTACTGCGGGGCGTGTCCTTTCGTGACTCCTACGAGATTTTCCGTAGACTGGTAGCAATAATACCCGGTAATTCTCGACGAAATATACCTCGCAATTAGTTGTCTCCAGTCGAAACAAATAGTAATATTGCATGTGTAGGTCTGATGCAGATACGAGTCTCCAAGGCTTAAGAAACAGCTACGCCTCCGCCGCCTATTGGATATTTGTTCACTTTTGCATATTACAACGCCTGAATATGTCGTGTAAGTAACTAGCGCATTGGTAGTTGCTTGGCCAAGCAACGTCGCTGATCGCGAGAACATCAAATTCGGAAGTAGGCGAACCGCCGGGTTTTTTCGCATAAATCCAGTATTATCGATGATCCGGAAGAAGGTACACTTTTGGCGACCCGCCGAGCGTGGCCTACGAGGTTACTCCCAGTTCGACGATATAATGGGTCTACACGGGACAGAATGGCAGTGGCTTGCATTGATAACTCGAAGCTAACTAGAGCCCTGGCTTGTCACAAGGAATCCCTGCACCGTATTTGTGTGTCAATACTTGTTTGTGTCCCATAGTATGAATACAACCTGGATATGGTACAGGAGCCGAACGGTACCTAGGTAAGCTTGAGAGTTGCTTTTTTATCGGGGTGTGGTTCGTGTGGCATCGTGGTAACGAGATCATTCGTAAGTTAGCTAACATGGTTTAAACTGTCAGGGCATTCGATTCGTAGCCTAATACAATTGATTACGATACGACGTCAATATGCACTTGGGCTGAGCGGCTGTATAAAGGGTAAGATCCGGTGGCGGCGTGTAAGATTCCTTCCGTAGGTGGTACCACCGATAGGTGAGTGTCTTTCGTAGCTACGGTCTAACGGGAGGTGGAGATAATGCAAGCCCTCCAGAGCCTCGTCACCAATTCAATGGCTTTTGAGCACTTTGTGGCTAAGATGAGAAGGAGAATACGAAGTAATGTTCATAGTTCAAAATTCTGTTCTGCGAGGGACTATTCCACTAACGATAGCGGAAGCCGACTCAGAATCTTATTGGAAGAGTGGGATTCGATATATGTGCGCCTCATGATGTGTATGGTCAGGGACGATGCTATTGAGCAATTCGTTGCCATTGGACCCTTAAGACTTGTCCCTGAAGATCGTTAGACGTGGGATAGCTGAGGCGTTTTCTGAATGGGGTGCAGTATGATGGATGGTATATTGTCCATTCATATTAAAGAGAGATTAAGTCGCATTACACAGCTATAGCCATGGATGCTATTCTATTGGCGTAGTAACCGTAGACTAACATATCTAGTAGGTACCTACATAGGTAGGTAATGTGATATCGATGTACTTACATACATGATATATGTATGAAGATAATCATGCTCTAGAGCGCTCCGCTCCGCTGATGATGTTGTGTGACTGCTACGTAGTGATTTATCTGACGAACTTATATCTGATAGGACCATCAAGTTCGAATCGATCGCTGTTGTATCTACACATGTATACCTATGTGAAAGCTGTGTACATATGGATTCACCTTTCGGTTTCTAGGAAGTGGGACTGCTGGGGTCGTCGGCTTAATCATTCTTCTTTGAACTAGCATCTCATCTTCTATGATTTACCTACATGAAGTCCCGAAGAAAAGTCGTCACTCGGAGTTGTGTTTTTTTTTTCCGCCGTAAAAGTTCCAAGTGGTCTGACAGGATCTACCATCTCGATATTTTGCAAAGATGGTACGATCTGCTGGATTGATTATAATGGTCCATGTTTCTTGTCGGGCTGGTACACTAATACAAATACTTTCCGCTACCATACTACCCATACTACATAGAAATGGTAGAAATGGATCTGAAGACATCATACCCAACTAGTGCTATTTATTACAATTTACATGGGGTTTGACTAGCACCAACAGACGCCCGGAGTTGGTATCGGAATGGGTTTCCATTAAGTCATGTGTAATGGTTCATACAACCAGACAACTTAATGTCAACTCTGAGTCGGACACCGTACTGTCTAAAATCTCGATTGACTAATGTCCACAATATGTACCTACATAGTACTGAAGTACCAATTCTCATCTAGCATATGATATCTAGTGATGGCGAATGCAGATTAAGCACTCTTACTAGCCTCAATCTGAATAGACAGATACTCCTTACAGCTCATGGTCGCCGAGCAAAATCCGGATGCAAGGAATACAATTCGGCCATGATCAATCTCGGTGAGTTGTTTTAAAAGGTCTTACATACCTAGGTAGGTACCTACCTGTATTGGTCATATCAACGAGTGAATATTCAAGATTGAAAGCTACATAATGTGCAAGTTGTAAATGGTTGGTATATGCTGGTGAAAGTGGCTTACTTGCGAATATCACAACTTATTTCAGAGTGAGAGGATTCGTGAATTGAGATCCAGAACTGCACGTGTGATCACAAGTAAGCGGGTAAGGCCCCTCTGAAAGCACAAACCTGGATATTTCCTTTAGGTCGGCGAGCACCTATAGCTTAGAAAAGAAAAAAAAAAGAAAAAAGACACAAAGTGGATTGATTTGAAGAAGGTTTGCATTGGTGCTGAGCTGAAGAAACGTCTTTCTCGTAGAGGTGTATTGGCCACAGTATGCTCAACTGTGTTTTACGTACTGTACGTATATACCTACACCTATCAATCCTATCAACTGGGGAAGCCCCGTAGACCCTGCAAGTTTATCCCTGCAAAGTGCCCCACAGAAAAACTTCAAGTGCTCTAAGCTTCTGTAGGTACCCTTGTCGGATTGTAGCGGGTGTCAAATTAGCAACCTTTACCTAGGTAGAGCTCGAACGGGGTCCCACCAATGAATGACGCTAGGCGACTGAAGCTTCCACCCTAGCTGCCCTACCTAATTTGGTAGGGTTTGCAGGGTTGTAGTTCCTGAGCACACACCCGTGGACCCCCTTATAACCCCCCCTGGAAGCATGGTCCCACTGGAACCTTGATACTTAGGTAAGTACGATACAAGTACGTACTTGCATTCTCCCGGCTCGAAGGTCCATCATGCCTAATAAAAACGTTGCCGAGTCTTTGTTAGGCATAGCTGCATGGGGGGTTACAACGGGTAGGTCCAATAACGTGGATAATAAGAAAATAGTCGATAGCAAAACATGCAGGAGCGCATTGGCGCATCTTTTTTCTCCTGCATCTGGTCCTTCCCCTACCTACCCTACCTTACCGTACGTGCGTTTCGTCTTACCATCTTCTTTTCATACATGCACATTCAACATCCAAAGTACCCGAACGCGGTTTGGCTTCTTTTTCCAACTCACAACTCATAATTCCGAACTCAGAGCTCAGAACTCAGATAGATATTCGCGGCAGCACAGGACGCATCTTTCGCAACCTTGAACGCAAACTAGTCGCACGGACCTTGAAACTACAATACGACACTCGGCACCCTCTTTTTATTTTTCCTACCTATCTTTTCCTACACGTGTTTTCCACTTGACCTGTTCATTCTCCAAATACAGCAAACCCTGTGGTATTCGATCACGAATACTTTCATTCCTTCAGCAGCACCATACCGACGGATACCTTCGAGGACGAACAAGAATTCCGAATTAAGAGGAAGAGACGCGACCGACTCGAGAACCAAAAATCAATCTAAATTTAGGCCTACCAAGGATTCGTGGAATCGTCATAGCAATTCTCGATTATCATCCTGCCGTGTCGAGAAAGGAAGAGAGCTTGACTCAAACCACACATAGCAGTAAATGATCGTGGGAAGGTAAATTCTTGTTTTCTTTTCTCTTGCATTTTTTTTGTGACGACAGTTCTTGCAATCATTACGCGCCGTCTTCCAACTCATACGAAAAGAGTCGGGAAAGCATTGGTCCTCCGTTTGCCGGGTCGCTGCATCGAAATCCACGAGGCACGCATACCGGCATAGTCCTCTTCCGAATCTCCATCGTGCAGGGTGGGACTATTTCTTGACTCTGGTATGCTACTAACCTAGTGGGAGGCGCATCGTCATAGAGCAAGCAAGCATAATCATAGGGCATGAAACTCCGCGTCGAAGGCATACCCTGATAATTAGCTAAGCTTAAACAACTTTGACATTCCTGGCCTGGGGGTCCTGGGGTCTCTCCCACCCTGAACTCGATTACACCTAGTCTATTCTCCCTTCATTCCATCGTGCCCTCGGAGCACTCTCCTAAGTGGTGCTAAATAACAAACGATCGCGTACTGACATTTCATCTCCCACCTTCCGAATAGGATATCTTAATTATCATACAAGTCACCCTCTCCGATTACCGACCCCCAAACCGTATCGCGACGAATTTTCCAGAATTCTCCAGCAAACACCATCGTCCATATTTCTATTAAAGCGATCGCGCCTCGGGAACTCGTGAGAAGGTTGGAGACACGGACCAGGTTTGCTGGGAACTCCCTGTGTTCGGGTATTCCCTCTCAAATTGGCAGCTGTTGCGAAAGTAACAGCAACATATTGTTCCCATGGTTCTCTACAGTTCAGCCCTGCAGCAATCATGATGCTGGATGCCCAACCTATGCGAGCGAGCCTCCAAGTGGCTCCCCTCGCAATCAACAAAGGCCGTTCTGACCATGCGGCGCCATGTGAAGAAGAATCTGAGTCGACGACATCTACACACCTATATACTACTCAATCTCAGATTACACCACCTTCAACTCCGAATGATTCTCAAGAAGAATTAGTTACCCAGCCGACGCTGTCGCATCCCATCTTTCACAACTTTTTACGCGCCTTCTATCCGTTCCACCCGGAATACGCTGTTGCTGATTCGACTGTTACCTTGCCGTTAAATGAAGGAGATGTGGTTTTGATCCATTCTATCCATACCAATGGATGGGCTGACGGAACTTTATTGATATCAGGCGCAAGGGGATGGTTACCGACAAATTATTGTGAAGCTTATGACCCGGATGAGATGAGAAACCTGCTTACAGCTCTCCTGAATTTCTGGGATCTACTAAGAAGCACGGCAACAAATGACCGGGACATATTTGGAAACCAGGAGTTCATGAAAGGAATTATCGCAGGTGTGCGCTATCTTCTGGTGAGTTGGTTTCTTTATTTCACTGTTACTTCGACTTTGTGTCACTGATTTCCCTCTAGGAGCGCACTCATTGTTTGACCCGTGAGTCAGCTACAATTCAGAGAAGTGAATCTTTACGGCGTGGTAGGAAATCCCTGCTTGCTGAACTTTCATCTTTGGTGAAAACGGCAAAGCGTCTACAAGAGACGTTGAGGAGCTTACCTCAATTCACTGACGATATTAATGATATAATCGATGAAATGATTTTGAGAGCGTTCAAAATCATTGTCAAGAGTGTGCGATTCTTAGATCTGATCGAAGAGGACAGACGGTTACGTGCACCCGCGGTGACAGTAATGGCAACTGTTGACGAGGAGCCACCCGTTCCACCAACGCCACCTTTAGAGTCGACGACATTCGAGAATGAGCAGGGAGATGGCGAAACTGCATCATCCCGAGGAGACGCGGAAACAGTATCCACTACAACGTTAGCACCACCTGTAACCGATGGTGTACAAGCAGGTGAATCGATTAACAAACGTTCTTCGTATATTCACTCCAGTAACACAGCAGGAAACCGGTTGTCTCAAGTAAACCCGTTGCACGGAAATCGATTATCGGCGAGTATATCACACAGAGTATCTCTAGCTGGTCCTTCGCCATTGTCACAGTCACATAAGCTTGTCTCGGAGCGGCTTAACTCCTGCCATGATACCTTCCTATCACATCTAGGATCTTTCATTGGTCGATTACACGTCCAATCTCAATCACGACCAGAGCTTGCACTCGCTATTAAGCATTCGGTTATATCTGGTGGTGAGCTTTTCGCCGTGGTCGATGTGATATGCGAACACACCTCGTCAGTCTCGGAAACACTGGGTCAGTCGCGTGTAGCCATGTACGATCGTATTAGAGATCTGGTGTTCCTGGCGCGCGAGATTCTGGGTAATCGAGGGCCTGAGGGTGAGGACGTTATAGTACTACAGGACAACAACCGACTTCTATTTGCCGCTACTGGATGTGTTAAGGCGGCAGGTGAATGTGTCGCAAAAACTAAATGGGTTTTGGAACGCATAGGCGATTTCGAGTTTGAGCCTGAGAATGGAAACTTAGGCATTGACCTCGGTGTATTCGAAGCGGTATCCGATAGTCGACCGCGAACACCTGCCGAATCGACTGTCTCCGAGTCCAGAAGGTCTGAACCATCACCCAAACCCTCTCACTCCATGCATCTATCCATCGACAAACCTCTTCCCGAGGTTCCGGTCGAGTCCATGCATGAACGGCAAAATTCCCAAGCATCTCCAGCGCCGTCTAGACCCCAATCGTTCATCACAGATGATGCTGCATCTAGCATGGCCTCTTCTGTATCTTCTCTTCGACCTTTACTTCCGGCTCTTCCAAAACTCACAACATCCATTTCACCGGATGAACCATATAGCCCCATGACCGAGAATTCGCATGAGGGCGAATACCAAGTTTCCTTCCGCTCCGACACTGGCACAGCCTCTAGTTCTGGTAGTAACAGCACGTATCTGAGCCGTGATTCGGAGTCTAGTATGGTTTCTGACACTTCAACACGCGCAACTTCGCCCGATATCTCACTCGCGCCAAAGGCCCAACCTTCGCTATCAGACATGAGCACAACAGGAAGTTCTAGTGTTAGTGAGGAAGTTGATGAGCTCGAGTCAAAGTTGCTCGAGAAGACATTCGCTCACGAATTGTTGTTTAACAAAGAGGGGCAGGTCACAGGAGGCTCATTGCCTGCTTTAGTTGAACGTTTGACGACCCACGAGGCAACACCAGACGCCATGTTTGTGTCAGCCTTTTACCTCACATTCCGATTGTTTTGCACTCCTACTAAGCTAGTAGAAACTCTTATTGAGCGCTTTGATTATGTGGGAGAGAACCCCAACACGGCAAGTCCCGTTAGATTACGTGTCTATAACGTCCTAAAAGGATGGCTAGAGTCACACTGGCGTGATTCTACCGACAGCGAGGCCCTTCCGCTCATTCAGAACTTCGCCGAGTTTAAGCTTGGCTCATTACTTCCTTCTGCAGGAAAGCGCATTACGGAACTCACTCAGCGAGTCTCTTCGACGGATGGTTCATTGGTACCGCGTTTAGTATCTTCTATGGGAAAGACGGGCACTTCAATCTCGCAATATGTCCCAGTCGATACACCCATGCCCAATTCTATCCTGAGCAAGAGTCAACAAGGCCTCCTCAACAATTGGAAGTCAGGGGGTAGCTGCCCTTCATTCCTCGACTTTGAGCCTCTCGAGATCGCCCGCCAATTGACTCTGAAACAAATGAGCATATTCTGTTCGATCTTGCCCGAAGAGCTTCTAGGTTCTCAATGGATGAAAAAGGATGGCGCAGCTCTTTCACCCAATGTAAAGGCGATGTCCGGCTTTTCCAATGACTTATCCAACCTCGTAGCGGATACCATTCTCCAGTATCCGGAGGTCAAGAAGCGCGCTGTGGTGATCAAGCAATGGATTAAAATTGCCCACCAATGTCTTGAGCTTAACAACTATGATGGTCTTATGGCTATCGTATGTAGCCTGAACAATTCGATAATTAGCCGTTTACGAAAGACGTGGGATCTCGTGAGCCCGAAGCGACGTGAGATGTTGAAATCTCTACAAGCTGTCGTTGAGCCTGCCAACAACAACAAAGTGCTCCGAGCCCGTCTTCAGGGTCATGTGCCTCCATGCCTGCCATTCCTCGGCATGTTCCTGACTGATCTAACATTCGTTGATATTGGCAACCCTGTTACGAAGCAGTTACCGGGTGCCGGCCCAGATGACAACGGCTTGACAGTTATCAATTTTGATAAGCATACGCGAACTGCCAAGATCATTGGTGAACTGCAGCGGTTCCAAATTCCCTATAGATTCACCGAGATACCAGACATGCAAGAATGGATCCAAGCGCAAGTTACGCGAGTAAAAGAGTCTGACCAGGGCAACAACGTTCAAGTCAGCTATTACCGGAAGAGTTTACTACTTGAGCCCCGAGAGAATCTTCTTAGGACTCCGACGGATGGCCCCGCCTCCACACCGGCCGGTCAGAAGGCCGACCTATTTGGTTGGATCTCCCGAGACCGCCATCATAATCACACAACCGTTTCTACGTAACGGCATGTATTTGGACTTGTAGTTACCTCGTAACGAGTACTACAACTACCAACCGCTTCGCCCGCCTTTACGCACCTTCCTACCAATTCTCTTTTTCCTTTACCCTTATTGATACCCCCATCGTTTATTGTTTGTTACGAAGCATTTGGCATCTCATGGACACCCGGTCCATCGGTTTTACTCATTTCATGTATCGCACTAGATACAGGCGTTCGCGGATAGGGAAATGGAATGAACTCACTACGTTTACTGCCGACACCTCGATCAATCACCTACAAATCTCCTAGGTGGCTAGTCTGCCTAGGGTATCCTATCATATACGGCCGATTTTTCGCCGCTGTAGTGGTCTGGATTACGTACGTAGGTGTGGATGGAGTTTGGCATACCCTCGAACGGCATCGCAGGACAGGAAAAAGCATTTTGGTGGTTTGACCGGGGGATATTGAGGGGGACACGCGAGATATCCACACGTAGATGGCGGGGAAAAACTTATTTGTATGAGGTAGTTTGTATGAGGTCCTTGAAGATGTATCATCCCATCATATTGGCCAAGAGCATAAGATTGCTATTGGCTTCCAATCCGCTGAGAACCAATGAATAAAAAATCATGACAAGTTGGATTTGGGGTTTTGTGATGGTGTTTCGGTAGATTTGCTGTTTAATCCTTGGATGCTCTTAGGTTATGACTAACATGGGTGTTATTGTGTAAACTGAGGTCGATCACATTCGCACCGTCTGTTCCTCACTGTCATGTGGGTTTGCTTGTGTAACATTACTGTCGATTGAAATCTATTCGAAGAGGAACTACGTAAGGATGTGCATAGGTGGAATGTCCGGGTGTCTATCAATGATGTCACGATCGTAAATAAGATGGAAATGCACTGACAATGAGTTTACGAAATTCGGGATACCGCCACCTCACATCCATAGCAAGGTTATTAGATCGACGCTGATCTAGATCGGAGCCGTACTTAGGCGCCTCCCTAGGTATTTGATAGGTAGGTATCGGCGCAAGGTATAACGTAGTGGAAGTAGCAGAGCCGCACAGCCGAAGCCGATACTACAACGTTGCGAGTGGGTCAAGTAGTGAGGACTATCCGTACGCTTGCTATGCTGCTGCGGTTTTTTGTTTTCTTATCTTGGTGTTCTAGGGATCGTCGTCTTGGATACGTTCCAAGGGTCCGGGGTCCTAGGGCCGGGACCTGATAAGACGTAGGCCTCTAAAAGGTTGTCAATGTTGGTTTGGGCTGTATCCCTTGCGGGACAAACAGTGCTCATTGTAAACTTCGGGAACAACAAAAAGCACGATATTTTGCTAGTTAGTAACCTTCGATATTCTTTGGACCTGTTATTTGTGTTCTGTATCTTCAGCTAATGCATTATTTGGTGTAACCAGATAAGATCCACCCACCGGAAATCCAACAGTTGGTTTCGGACCTTGGGTTTAACCTCTCTTTACCTTCGGTATGAATGATGTGATTGCTTCATAAATTAAGAGCCTCAGAAGGAAGAAGGATGTTGGTTATGAGAGATCTTTAAAAAAAGTCGATCCTCTCGGTAGTATCCGTACCAAAGACGGTCGAGCTGCGTTATGTCGGCGTGGCATTCACGAGCACCATCCCTGTAAATCCGGGGTTGCCTCGTGCTTGCTTACCACAGAACGGGTAACTCTGTAGCTAATGCCCTTGGTGCATGTTGGAGGAATTATGAACCTGACTTGTTTTGGTAGGTAGCTCTTATGCTATCTGTAGATGTGTAATCTAGAAGCTTGGTTTATTGTTTATTGTGTGCATGTTTATTTTTGGGTGTGCGGATACCTGACGTCCTGTAGGTATGTATGTTATTGAGGCTGGGCCGTTGGACTGTGGAATGTAACCTCACAAATGCGCGGGCAACGCAACCTGTAAGGAAATGAAGATGTTTTCTGTTGGTCAAACCTCTGTGCATGTACCTAAATGTGTGAATAAAGAATAGGATAGTGACGGGTACTGATCTGGGAACTTACTTATCTTACGCTCAGATAAGGCCCATACATACAAAGAAGCATGATTTATAAGTAGATTCCATGTATATGTAGTTAATTATTATGCTTAAACCACCAAAATTAAGTTCATCTGGTAGTTTTGTTACACATTTAGCTCTAGATGCATCAAGATTTGAGGGGATCTTATCGTCACTGTAACATTACCTACCCGTCCAGAGGATCGGGACGGATGACATGCATCGTGACACTCAGCTACCTGGGTACCAATCGACTTGAAGATCTCCAATACTTTGATATGAAAAATAATTAAGCAGCACTAGTTGGTCATGATAACCTCGGTTTGGCTAGGAGAACACATCGCATAGAATCAGACTTATCGAAGGTTGTCCCGTGGGTGAATTGGTGCATAGGAAGGATGAAATATGGGCAACGTTACATAAAGGCGTCGACACGAGTCGCCAACGGAGGCTTCAAAACTTGACGAATAGGGGCAATAGAGTACCCCAAGACTTGGCCTGGGTATTTGGGGCTGCCCTCCAAGTAAGCAACTTCCTTCCCCGGACAGTCCTATCAATGCTCTAGCTTTGCAGCTAACCAATGATGAGCAGTCCAATGATCGTCTAGGCGGGTCTGTCTCGTGACCTGGGTCTCTTTGGAGCCAATCAAATTTGACATGATTTCCCCATTCGGCCCGCTGCTATCTTTTTCTCCTCTTATCGGCTATCTCGTCAATTCGAGCTCGGTCGCCCCTTTATCCCTGTTCTATGTTACTTTTGAGGACTGGGGAAATTGAATCTAGACGAATTCTAACTGCTCTATCCATGCAGCGCGTCCTCAATTGAGTTTGAACAATTTGAATGCATTATACTGCAATAATTGGGTACGAAGAAATAAAACATACAGATCCGAATTCTCGTGACTATCCGAACTGAGTCACATCTTTACTTAGAAATGTCGAATAACACGAGATTCTTACCGGGCAACACGAAGTGGCTTATCGCACAAGTTTTGGCCACCTAAGCAGCTGAAGATAAGCTCGTTAGGTACGGAGCTCGCGAAGGATGGGAATCTGCCCACTGGTTCCAGCAGCAAAAGCTACAAGCTGCTTAGCTCGATTTTGTGCCCCAATTCCCCAGAACCCTAAATATTATTAGCGGAGCATCATCCTTGCTAGGGCCAACATAAGGTTCCTCATCGCGTCTGGTCTGGTCTCGTACGGCTGTCAAGACACACATTTACTTATAGGAACATCGGAGCTAGGCGTGTGTCACGTAACCATCACCCCGAGCGACATTCACGGATCACACCTTTGATGTATTGGTAGGGAGAAAAATCGGCACTGAATTTGTTTTCGGGCTATGCTGCACTCAACTGTTACCATACCTGTCAGCCCGTGTTCCATGCCTTAGCGGATCTGGGCTAGTGACATCCGATCCCCACTAGGTTAGGTAGGTAAGTTTACGTTAGGTCCAGGTTCAATGTACTTTTACCACCTATCGCACCTATCCTTTGTTTCAAATGCATAAAGATTATTTTCCACACGTGCCATTATGGATATTTCGTATTAGTCTAACCATCGTCTTATCATACTACCTTACCAAAAACAGTTACCTTAGTTACCACACAGGGGGGAAGGTACATACCATGATTCCCAGGTATCTTACTTTAAATGGTGCGATGAGTACATAAGGGTAATTACTATTTTATATTGTTTGTCCCTGCCCGCATCGGCGCATTCACCTACCCTCGTTTCTTTCCTTTCTTTACCAACCCGACGGTCAAGTTCAATTTAGCCGTGACGGCGATCAATAGCTCCAAGGTACCTAGGTATGTTTGATCCCTATTGCCCACACCTGATAAAACATATGTACACTATTGTTATCAATTACTTTTTCTTTTTTTGCGCATCGCATGTAAAACAAAAAAGAGCGATAAGCTGACACTCAACACCATTAGGTCTTAATTATTGACCATACTTCCACTCGCTAGAGATATTCGATCGATAATCACCTCGGATTTGCGAAATCCCTGCTAGCCCTTTAAAAATGGCCGACTCAAAGGAAGCGGCCGCTGCCGCCGAATCTCACCCGGCCGTAAGATCGCATTCTGATCTTTCCGAAAGCGCCCATACCCCCGTACCAACTACAGAGCGCCCCGGTGGATGGATGTATCGTGGTGTAAAGGTTGGGAAGAATGAGATTTGGTATGCGTCGCCAAAGGTTCAGCTTGTGATGGTAGCGTTGGTGTGTTTTATGTGCCCTGGCATGTACAATGCGTTGGGTGGTCTTGGTGGTGCTGGTTTGAGTAATGGAACCGTCCAGGATCATGCGTCTACTGCTCTCTACTCTGTCTTCGCCGTTGTCGCCTTCTTTTCCGGCTCTGTTGCGAACAAACTCGGTATCAGGATTACTCTGGCCATCAGTGGTCTTGGTTACTGCATTTACACCGGTAGTTTGTTGTGCTACGTCCACACCGAAAACGTTGGATTCGTCATCTTTGCTGGTGCATTTTTGGGTCTTTGTGCCGGTTTGCTTTGGACTGCACAGGGTGCTATTATGATGGCTTACCCTCCCGAGCAGTCCAAGGGCCGATACATTAGTTGGTTCTGGATTATTTTCAACCTCGGTGCTGTCATTGGTAGCTTGATTCCCTTGGGTCAGAACATCAACAACTACAGCGGTACCGTCACGGATGGTACCTATGCGGCATTCATCGTTCTGATGTTTGTTGGTGCTTGTCTCACGTTGTTCCTCGTCAATGCTGACAAGGTCATCCGTGAAGACGGCTCCAAGGTCATCATGATGAAGAACCCCACTTGGCAGAGTGAATTAATTGGTCTTTGGGAGTGTATCTCTCTTAGCCCCTGGGTTGTTGCTCTGTTCCCCATGTTCTTCGCCTCTAACATCTTCTACACTTACCAACAGAACGGGCTCAACCTCGCTCACTTTAACACTCGTGCCCGTTCATTGAACAACTTGCTCTACTGGCTCGCTCAGATTTTTGGTGCCGTTATCGTTGGATACGCCCTCGATATCTCCAAGGTTCGCCGATCAACGCGTGCCAAGATCTCTTTCGTTGTGCTTTTTTCTCTCACCTTCATCATTTGGGGTGGTGGTTACGCATGGCAACGAAACCAGGTCTCACGAGCAGTTGCCACAGACCCGGCGTATGAGTCACAGAAGATTGACTGGACTGACCCGAAATTCCTTGGGCCTATGTTCCTTTACATCTTCTATGGTTTCTACGACTCCGTCTGGCAAACGTGCATCTACTGGTATGTTTTTGAACTATAAGATGTATTTCTATTGGATAAATGCTAACACAGTCACCAGGTACATGGGAGCTCTCTCTAACTCCGGCCGAAGAACTGCCAACATGGCTGGTTTCTACAAGGGTCTCCAGTCCGCCGGTGCTGCTGTCTTCTGGCGCTTGGACGGCATTGGCATCGAGTATAACAGACTCTTTGCCGTTACTGTGAGTACACATGATCCCCCCGTACGTTTGAATTTGTAACTGACGATAATTCAACTTTAGTGGGCCGTCTGTGCTGGTGCTCTCTTAGTCGCTGCCCCGATCATCTTCTACAAGATAAAAGACAGCACGGACATAGAAACCGATCTCAAATATTCGGACGAGGTAGCAGAGGAAGTTATGGCTCCTACCGCAATTAACGAGAAGCATGCGGATATCTGAACATTTTCTTTAAGCGACTGAAAATAGTTTTGTTCTAGTATTTATTTGTCGAAGCGGGGGTTGAAGTTGTGATACTACTACTTATCAGTTGGCTGTATGGCAGAAATGAAAATACCCTTGAAAGTTGATGTACTTAGTTGTGACGAATGGTTATGGTTCTAGACAAGTTATACCCCCTTGTGTCTAGGAAATATATCTAATGTTACTCCGACTACTTGTGGCGCTTGGTTTTACTTGCTGGCTTCGTACGACAATTCGATTTACGGATCTGAGCGGGAGGTAACGTGTGACTTCGTCCTTGAGGCCATTATCGCCGTTGCACAACGTGCTGCTTTAATAGAGGGTAATATATCTAGATACTCCGTACGCAGTTGTAAAACTCCGGGGCGAATGAACGGATGAAAAGATGAAAAGATGATGTAACAACTGACGGCCCTACATGTCTCAATGGCTTCAGGTCCTTTTCTTGGCATAGCCGGGGTACTATTTATAGAATCCCCTTAGACGGACTCTTTTTCTATGGACGAAAAGAAATTTTCATATCTGGTAACAATTAAACCGTCTATCTCGATAAATTTATTATACGTGCGTACTAAGATGGACCTCTTGTGGAATCTCATTTAACTGGTAATATCCGTCAACTCCTTGCTCGTGTTCAGCGTCCGACGTGGTATTTCCTCCATTCGCCCCGGAGTTATTAGATCTTCTTCCTTTAAGAACAAGCGCGGAATGGGAAAGCGACGGTTTCGCAATTTTCGAGGATGGTTTGCTTACAAACTTGGTCCAGGAGACTTTGACGGCCGGTGAGCAACCGACAACGATCGCCGCATAGCACTCGAGTATCCTTGATTCAAAAGACATCGGATCAATACCTAAACAGTTATATAATGCAAGGATAGGGGGGATAACAACTTACGAAAAGAACGCCGTATATGTCCTTTCGGACTCGACGACTAGCCCAAGATTCTTCCACTTAAGGGCGAATGAAGTGATGCTCGATGCGATTGACCTATAACTTTATATCAGATTATGCTTGCTATAGGGGTAAGTTGAATTACAAAATTCCGGACATGAAGATGGCGAACACGCCGATCTTCCTAGGCAGTGAGGAGATTCAACTGAGATATAGCTCGGAAAGGAATGCAAAGGATGACAATATCCGCGATAATCGACACAAGACCCGAGACGAGGTTAGAGGTCATGAGACGGTCTACACATGCAGCGACGTTCTGACTATTCATCTCGATCTCCATATTGCATTTTCCGAATGTATAGCACATTGCTACCAGAAGAGCGACGCTTGTTATAGCAAGAGTGACGTAAGACGAATAGCGTAGCCAACGCTTAACGCCGAAGAGCTCGATATATAGAAGTAAAATGGGAGCTTTAGACGACCATAATGCGACATTGTAAAGGATGTCCACAGCTATTGTCCACTATTGTATCTTGTTAGTTATGAATCGAGTTAAGCTATCCGCGGGGATGATAGCGACATACAGCAACGACTAACGGATTTGATCGATCAGTAGATACTAATTGAGGTCAGAACCGAACGACCTAGGGTATCAGGTTCGACTCAACCGATAGCCCTATGATCAATCTTAAAGAGAGCAGTAGTAGAAACCCAAGCGACGATGATGATACCTTCCAATACCGGTACTATGGTTAGCTTGCGAGGAGTTATCATATGATACGGAGAAGAATCCTTACAGTCCGCAAGTTTAAGCTTTCGCAGCAAGATAATACTCATCGCGCATCGGTTCAGGGCGAAAATTCCACAGATAGTAGCGAATATAGCTCCCAGCGCTACATAAAGCTCCGCTGAGAACCCATTCTCGAAACCAGTTTCGGAGGCCATTCTGGTGATGGGGTTTAGCAATGCATCGAAATGTACGATGAAATGCATGAGTGCCGGTTGAGTAAATGCGGAAATGGCGGTCTCTTCAAATAGGCGAGGATTCTGTGCTACACAAGGCAAGCCATGTGGATGACTACGAACGCCATCGACGTATTTTGATTCATCTGCTTACCTGCCTTGGTAAGCAGCCACCGTTTCCTCCTCGTGCACTCCGACTCGTCCTGTTACCAATAAGAACCGCTAGATACAGTACGACCATACCTAGAACGATTATACCTAAATCATTTGCAGTGCCTGAGTAACACAACTCGCAAGATACCTATTCCTTCTTCCATAAGTATAATCGAAGTACTATAAATATAATTTTCCGCTATCATGAGTGTTTATTCAGAGACTTTCTACTGTGTTTATCGGATATTTGAGTACTAATGAGAGCTCTCATTCACCTGGAGGCGTGAAAGCCAGTTCTGAGCAGGTACGCAGGTACCGAATTGATACAAATTGGAAAATAACAACGACCTAAAACCTCAACTATCATGATATAAAATATTGACGCGCGGTGATGGGTCGTCAACCCCCGTATGTAAAGCCAGCTCCTGATAATCACTTAACCATAACCCTGGCGAGCCTCTTGGGTACTGTGACCTAAACCCTAGGAATTGCTGTGCTCGCTTCGACATTTTCTTCACGATATTGAAATCTAGAATGAGAGGGCTTGCTTCTTGTGGTGTTAAAAAGCTTGGGACGATTGAGACTTGAATGCATCCTCTTTCTTCTGTTGTACTATTCCTTCCTGTGCCATGAATTACTTTGCCCCCAATGAATAAAACATCGCCAGGGTCCATGACTGCGGGCACTGTCTGTTCGTAGTTTCCGAATTGATCGTATGGCCATTTGTTACTACCCGGAATAACCGCAGTGGCGCCATTTGCTTCCGTGAATGGAGTTACGGCAATGATGAAATTGATAGTACCCTCTGTTCCTTCGTGTCCCAACTCAACGTAAGGAGGGTGTGATTGAGAATCTCGGTGCAACTGTTGTGGCTCCTGTGGTCCCTCGACGAAGATGGTTGTCGCCCCGGAAAGCCAGTAATCGCCGGCATGGCCGTCTTGGCTGTAAACGCGCGTGCAGATAGCGTGAATAAGATCATTTTCAACGAAACGGTTGCGAAATATGGAACTATGGTTGACTAAACCGCCGGCGCGCTTAGTTTTCCTGCCGTGGAAGTTGGCTAAGCCGTCGTGGTACCCGGCGTACAAGGAGCCACGTTGTACTCGATCAAGCGGGGCTTTTAACTCCTCGCGTAGCTGAGTTGCTTCGGATGGAGTGAGAAGACCCTTGATGATCACGCCTCCGTCTTCGTCTAAGTACTTGAAGATTTCGTCTAGTGGGGTGCCGTGGTTTACCTCCTGGAGCTTGGTATGGCCGTTGGAGACCGCTGTTTGCGGAACATCTTTTGCGATCTTCCACATAGCGTTATGTGCTGAGGTAGTAAAGTGTCACTTGAAATTCTTCAGGTACGTGCTTTAGGTATGCTTGGTATATGAGATAAGATGATATCAATGACGCCAACAGGAAATTTACCAAAGCCCCTTGATAACAGGATCCACTGGAAGAAGTATTATGACTTCAGTACCTATTTAGACATCTCGGCACGGAACCCGACAGCGCGTGATTAGCTATCAGTGGGATTGGAGTTGATAGGTTAATCTAGAAAGGCTTCGGTGTACGGAACCCGGCCGGGCACCAAGCTTACGGCTCCATGCAATGGAATCGTAACACACGAAAGAGATGAGACGAAGCCAGCAACCCAAAGAAGGATCCAAAATCCTCCCCACATGTTAGAATGAAGCAACGCGACTTTTCCTCGTCACCAACTTCGCTAGGTGTTTTCCATCGCTTTCGTCCTGCCGCCCATTTGAGGAAACTATTTAAGTTCGCCTACGAATAAACGAGGCCAATCTTTGCGTGATTCTTATACACGATGTTGGGCATGCTTTTTTTAATGCACCAGACACGGGCGGTACGCACGGAAGGGGTCTTGGTGGGACATGTATAAGCATAGGGGTAATATGTGCGAAATAAGCCGGGTAACCACAATTCAACTTGCTTTTAAGTGGGGTTCCATGTGTATGTCTCAGCACCTACACATCGATGCGAAAAAGGGGGATGGTGAAGATTATGCAGGACGGCAGGGACGGGATAAGCAATAGTCTGTATTACCACATACCACTTACCACTTACCCAGGTACAGACGACCAACATGTACAGGCAGGCAACAGGAAAATAGCGCAAATTCCTTCGTTACACAGGACCCTCCGAGTACATTCAATCTGTATCATGGCTCTTTGGGGAGAAGGTTATTGGGAAATGCCTTTGGTATAGAGATGAGGTATACGATACCTTGTGCCGTGAGTAGGTTGAAATACATAGGTAGGCATCCAGGCATGAGCATATTCGGCCGAGAACCGATGGAATAAAAAGCGAGACATTACACGTAGGTATGCGATACATGCTTACCCAGGTACCTACCTAGATAGGTACCCGAGTACCTGGGTGGGTGGCTAGGTACTCCTATGTAGCCCTCCCTTCGTAGCAATTTTTCACTTAACGCCGATCTAAAAACGTCGTCAACTCAAAGCAGACTACACTGATCCTCTACCATGTAAGTTTACTTGCAGAAAATAGTACTGTTTGATCCGCCCACCCATTGCGCCTAGGAAAGATGGCGTCCGCAGAGCCAGAACCCTTGCCACCAAACCAGTCGCAACAATTCGAAGAACCCAAGCAAACTACCGATACCAGTCCGCCGGCCGCATCAATTGACGATGGTGTCAATCAAAAAGGGAAAACGCTGCCGTTTTACCTTGGCTTCTGTGGTCTTTGTTTAATCAGCTTCATATACTCCCTTGACGCTACTACTCTGGCTGTGGCCATTCCTGTGAGCATTCTCTAGATGTAATGCACATCCCTTGGTAATATGCTAACTATGGTCTAGTCTATTGCAGAGGACCTTAATGGAACTACACTACAGTCCTTTTGGGCCAACATCTCATACCTCTTGGCCGTAGTCGTCACTCAGCCCTTATACACCACAATCTCCGATGTCTTTGGTCGCAAGCCACCACTCTATGTTGGATTCGTATTTTTCGCCGTGGGGTCTGTGGTTTTTGCCCTTGCACGAAACATGCCGACCGTGATCGCGGGCCGCGTGCTACAAGGACTCGGTGGAGGGGGTCTTGACGTCTTGGCTGAAATTGTCGTGGCAGACCTAACCACATTACAGGAGCGCCCCTTATATCTCGGACTCTTGGCCATACCTACTGCCATTGGTAGCATATTGGGGCCTACAATGGGCGCGGTATGGAGCTCTTTCGTCACCTGGAGATGGATCGGTTGGGTCAACCTGCCAATTCTAGCCGTGTCCTTCGTCTTGGTTTTCTTCTTTCTTCGCCTACGGCCGATTGGTACATCATTTTTTGCCGACATGAAGCGCCTTGATTGGGGAGGTATCGCCCTTATTGTCGCCGGAACTACAATCTTCATTCTCCCCCTCAGCTGGGCTGGCTCGATATATCCTTGGAAATCATGGCAAACACTCCTCCCATTATTTCTAGGCGCTGCGCTCCTCATTGCATTCGGCTTTTATGAATCTCTACCCAAAACGCCAGTTTTCCCACTGAAGCTTTTTCACTCGCGCGTGGCACGACTAACACTCTTGGGAAATTTTGTATTTGGGGCCATGCTTTTTGTTGTGCTACAATACCTTCCCCTGCTTTATCAAGCAGCTGAGTTAGAGACTGTGATTGGGTCAGCTGTGACCCTGTTACCTACAAGTATTCTCAGTGTGGTGTCAGCCGTCTGCGGAGTGGTGCTGGTGGGAGTTGTAGGAAGAGGATACCGATGGGCGATCCGTTTGTTCTGGGTACTCCTAACACTGGGGGTCGGCATTCTTGGTCTTTTGAAATTGGATTTCGACACATCCAAGTCGATGCGCATGGGTCTGCCTGTGCTGTATGGCGTGGGTGTTGGAGCGCTGATGCGTCTTCTTCATCTCCCCATACAAGCGAGCGTACTTGATGTCAATGATACGGGCCTAGCGATAGGCCTTCTGTTATCGTTCCGCCTTATGGGTGGGCTCGTCGGACTTGCCGTCGGATCAACCATCTTCAACAGTGTTTTTGCCTCTTCTATTAGCACCATTGGAGAACTTCCGGATTCCCTTGCTATCCTGAGGAACGCCAATGAGGCAATCGGCTTCATACCAAAATTGAGAACTTTAGACATCCCCCGTTCAATTCTTGACCCGGTCTTAGAGGCATATTTAACGGCTATGAGAGCAATTTTCTATACAATGGCTGGCTTTGGCGGAGTTGGGCTAGTGACATCGCTGTTTACGAAGGATATTAGTCTTCAAAGATCGGAACTTGGTCGGCAACGCTTCGAGTAGCATTCTACATTATAGGGAAATGAGTTGTCTCGTCGGAGATGGTGGTAAGACTCTGCATCAATAAGGACAATGTGCCTAATTGAGATAACTTACTGATTATATATTACCTATAGGAGGGGTGAGCATTTCGCCATTGGGCTTTCCGAGGAAAAGTCGCGTGTTGGCGGCGAGAAGAAGGGTAGTATCACGGCGGACTTAATGCTAACATGCTAAAACCCATAGTGTTTCCTCCATGTATTTCTATGTATAGTATGAATGCATGTACTGTGTACGAGGGCTGTGTACATAAGCATACCTCGGGATATATTTATTGTGTTGCACTACCTAGCCAGGTAATCTTTTCCTGGTTCGGAAAACGTGGCTTAAAGATTACATTTGATTACTAACTCGAGAAAGAAGATCGAGATGCCTTTGTATTCTCGGTAGGTAATGTACGAAACGTAGGTGCTTGCGAGAGCTCGCACGATATTTAATCATTTTAAGCTATTACAACGTTGACCCCCTAATCCTACCCTGGTACACCTTATTTTCGCGACCTATTACTAATTAACAATTGCAACCGACATAATTTCTTATCCCTCATCTTGGCACTATAATGATACAATGTGCCTCAGTTTGTTGGAACATTATGGTGTTGGTGTGCGGCAGGCTCTTGGGTCTGGGCCTAAATCATTGTAACCGTAGGTATTACCAACCCACAGCCTGCAAGCCTCATTACGTTGTGGACCATAAGTAGCTCACCCACGTAAGCAGGTAGGATTGCGCACAACGTCGTAGGAGCTATGATGGCTGAAAGAGACCAGAAGGATTCGCACACCGGGTTGACGATCATTGCGTCCGCGACCAAGCATTCGTTGAAGGTTGTCTCGGGAAGTCAAGGTTCAAGTCACACATCAGTAATGAACGATACCTACCTACTATCATAAGCCACATGCTTACTGCAGATAGGTATGTGAGCGTGATTTCTCGTGAGTCGATGACCGATTTGTGTAATCTCTTGGTGCTTAATTCGAGGGTAATGCGGGGGCGGGGCTCATATTCCGGAGTTGTTTTCTTTGAATATTTCTAGGTACGGTCGAGACCATGTTAATATCCCGATTCTACTATTTGGTATCCACACCGAGCACCGAGCCTCTTCTACGTTTCACAACAACTCAGGAGAACTTACAATCAACAATCCTCCTACAGGGAAGCCGGCAAACACATCTACCGACTCAATGGCGAAGGAGACGAACGGAAAAGATTACGCAGGTAAGCAAGCTGGTATCCGGGTACTCGTGGTATGCTTAATATATTAAAATTAATTGTTCTTGAAGTATGTGATCCTTGTCGGGCGAAGAAAATTCGATGTGATAGAGACAAACCCTCATGCGCCAATTGTGTCCGTATCGGCCAGAGATGTGAATGGTCAGGCCAGGGTAAAAAATGGTGAGAAATGCCAGTCAATTCTGCAAGCCACGTCCACAATCAAGCTTCACATAGGTCTCGTTTATGGGATATTCCTGTCAGCTTTTTCTTTTTTTAGATGAGACACATACTAACTTCAATTCGGCAAAGTAACCAAACGGCACTTCTGTGAGTGTAGCAAACACAGTCGCATCTCTTCCTCACTGATGGAATACATAGAAGTCATACAATTGATAGTCTTGGCAGTCGCCTGCTAAATCTGGAGGTATACGAGTCCTATTTCTCTGAAGTTGTTCCCGATAAAAAGCCTTACATGAGTGTTTGAAGAATCTAGTATCCGATAACCAGATCTCCTTGAAGCGACTATTTGAGGAGTCGTCTATTGCTTCATCTAGACCACCAGGACTTCGAACCAGCCAAAGTCGGTCGGAGCCAGAAAGTTCTCCTTTACGATCGACACCTTCGCCTTCAAAACCAGTATTCGTAAGGCCACCTGGTCACTTAATGCGAAATGGCGACGTTGGTACCGAGGAAAGGTATTTTGGTCCCACGTCTCTCCCATCTTTGGCACTTGCAATAAAAGATGCCATTATAGAACACCTTGACCCCGAAACTGAGAGATCTAGAGAGTATGCTTTGCTGGTCGAGCAAAAGATTGACGCTATTATCAGCCGAGGAGAAGGCATAATGACACGAGGGGGGCATCTTCCTACTGTACCCCCGTTCACAATTTTAGACGCGATGATTGAGCCTTATTTCACGGCGATTAGTCCTCACTTCCCCATTTGGACAAAGTCAAAATTCATCCAAATGGCTACAGACTTACGGTGCTCTCCGGCACCGGACGAAGATCTGGCTTCAATAATCTGTTGCAATAATCTTATCCTCATGACATTGACAGCGAACTCACTTTGCTTTCGGAGGGGGAGTATCCCTCAGGATAAACAGGCTCGTAAAACTTCGTCGCTCGATCTTGATGTCACCGCAGGATTTTTGGCGAATTCAAAGAGGGCAATTAGCAATGTCGGGTCTTTACTGGCGCCCTCTGTCATAAACGTCCAAGCACTCATATCTCTGGTACGTTCCAAATGCAGCCCAGCAACTTAGTCCGCCTATATAAGGAGGCGCTAACAGTACGAGCATGCTGAAGTGTGTGGTGGCGCAAGAACATCTCCCGTCGAGCACTTTTGAGACGCTGTTTGGTCTCACGGCACAAGTTGCCAAGGCCGTTGGCATTCATCAATGGCATTCTTTTCGTAGCCAGCTTGGCGACGAGGAATCGTTAGAGAGACGGAATATTTCATATTGCCTCTACATTTTGGATAAGACAGTTTGTTGGACCACTGGCACTTCACCAAGTATACCAGTTTCTGACATCTACACTGAACCAATTGAGGCTTCTGAAACTAGTAGCGAAACTTATTTGACAACCAAAGTAGAGCTAGCGATGATACAAGAGACGATATATTCGGAAATGTACGCTTGTCGTATGGATGGAAGGAACGAAGACGAAATTCGGCAAATAGTCTCGAGGACTTGGCAAGGACTAGAAACTTGGATGGTGAACTCGGGGACTGATTTGGACGGCGTTGAGAAGGCGCTCGAATACCCCTCTTTGAAGTTTGAGATGGCGATCGGCTGTCTTTACTCACAATTGCTTCTTATTTGGCCTTACGGAGACCATCTCGATACGATGTTCCAGCAACGAACTGAAATTGCTAGAAGATATATGAAGATGATCTTAGGTTTCTGGAACCTTGCCTCAGATCCAGGACATCATAGTATTTTGACTCGGTATGAGAAAACCGCTACATGCGTCCCCTTTCCATGGTTAGACGTGAAGCAGCGAGTTTGGCTTAACTAATTCCACATAGCATAATTGCATCTCAATCCCCACTGTACCTACATGAGATGTTCGTTCGCATTATCGGCGGTCAAGGGCAGGATTCGGACATCGATATGCTTCGGAAGTTCAGCGAAATGATTCAAACTGTAACAGACGCTCGAGAGGAAACGTCATACGGGCGAAGACTTTATGAACTATCCCACATCCTAGTAGACTTCCTAGACATCATCAAAACGAAGCACAAGCGGCGAAGAGTGGATTCGACATCGGAAGAGACATCCAGCCTATCGTCAACTCAGTACGATCTTTTTGGTTCGTTTCGGGGCATGGATTTAGATACGTCATACTTCTTAGGGACTGGCATCGGCAACCCCTCTCCAAAACCCAAGGCAACTGAACCACGGCGAAGTTACTCTGACCTTAACTTGCGGCAGTGGCTCGATCCACTCGGCATCGTAGGTTCTGCCAGTTCAGGGGTCGCAGAACGTAGAAATAGTAGACCAACTGATGAATTCGCATCAATTATGGGGGCCTACGCGAATGGAGTATTTGATAGCCCATCCTCTCCCATTTACGAGCCTTAGCACACATAAAGGATGCTCGCTAGATGGAAAATAAAGACTTGAAATCTAAAGGGGTTGGGGTGACACTGCTTCCTCCCCCTGGTTGGGTGGCGTACGCCTATTGTCATAGCGCGCATGAGCGCTGGCCGCGGGGAATACTGCCCCCCACGCTACAGGCAGCAATTAATAGCTAACGAAATACATACAGTTAGGTGGAATCTCCCGTATGAATAAATGTGCCTTTTTAACATGCAGACTTTTAACTATATAAGATATCGCACTATTTATCGGCTGAGGCGCATTTTTTCCCGCCCGTTTTGTATGGAACAAGGCGAGATTTCTCGTAGCCAGTGCCCGGTGCCTACTGGCGTTGCAAGTTAGGTGCCTGTACCTATCTGGTAGGTACACAATTACCCCCTAATAATTTTTAATTTCAGGAATAACCCATTCTGCGGCTTGATGCTAATAGCACCCCCGGGAAAAACGTCATCTACGTTCATATCCAAGGTCCATTCATACTGTAATACCATAGTAACCAAGAGGCATCGAAGCGAAGCTCTTGCAAAGTTGGCACCAATACAACTATGCGGACCATGGAGAAATGTCACTTGAAGCCTTGATGTTAGTGATTTCGTTCGAAGTTTTGTTAAGAGGACTAGGTATATAAGCAACAAGGGGCATTTAAATCATATTAAAAGACTCACTAAAATCGTAGTTACTTTTAGCACTACCTGTGTTATTCAACTTCCCGCCAAACTGATCTTCTGATGCTTGGTCTGGGTCGTCCGACGACGTAGCAGGGGTGATCCAGCGCTCCGGTCGGAAAACGCTAGCGTCGGGTCCCCAAAGCTCGCATGATCGGTTGATAACCCACGGAGACACGACTATTTCACTGTCCTTGGGTATCTGAATTCCAGCGAGCGAAGTATCGTCCGTGGGAGCACGAATAGTTGCTGGGACCGTTGGATACAGCCGAAATGTCTCTGCGACTAGATCCCTTAGCGTTAGTCAAGCCCATCGAGAAAGCTGATAATAACGTGTATTCTACTTACTCACGCCATTTAGGAGAGGTAGGCGCTCCATTATAGCATAAGCCACATCTGGGCTAGGCTCAGACTCGACTGATGATGTTGGCGAAGCAAAATTATTAAGAATAGTTGATGGAAGATGGCGCCTTACTTCACTACGGAGAGCGTTTTGGTGGGATGAGTCAAGTGCGAGAAGATAACACGCCCACGAGAGGGCATGGGCTGTTGTGTCGTGCCTGGCAAGCTAACATTAGGTCAAGTATTGAACCCCGAATCGGCGCGACCATACGTACCCAGCTGTGAGTAAAGTAAGTAATTGAGAGGCAAGCTCATCGTCGGAGAATGAGTTTGAGTTGATGAGTTGAGACAATATGTCGACACTTTCGAGGCCCTTTCCAATCGCCTCTCGTCGATCCCTAGTCAATTGGAGGCATATTTCCTTCAGTGTCGCGGTTGCGTTTTCAAAAGCCTCGTTCGCATTATACATGATTATTTTAGTTAGGCGATGAGAGAACCATGTTGACATGAATATGTATGCAAGCATTTCTTTGCTCGGTTCTATTATGACGTTATAAGCTTTAACCAGAGGGTTTTCGGAATTTCCGAAAATATCGAAGTCGTGACCGAGAACCGCTTCTAGGATTATGTTCAAGGTCGCCATACTTGTCCAATGCGTGATCTCCACCGTTCCTGTAGAAGGGGATTTGGAAGGCTCTGCATCTGGATTCGAATCTCGGATATTAGCCTCTAGCACACTAGTGAATGTGAGCGAGTTCTTCCACATCATGGGATATAAGCCTTTGATCCGCTGTGAGGTGAATGCTGGCCCAGTCTTTTTTCTCATTAACCTATGTTGGTCACCCTCCGCAATAACCAGGCCGTCCCCAACTACCCGTCGGAGGACGCGTTGCAGATTTTTAGGCTTCGTAAACTCGTCATTGCGATGCACTAACAAGTCAACGAGGATTTGAGGCTTGGTTACTAGAAGCCTTGTCCCACTTAACCCTCTGAGCGCCACGATGCCGTCATTAGGAGTTTCCTGGGCTGCTTGTAGTAACAATTCGCCCTGTGCTCTCCTTCTTAGATAGTTCAACGCGATTCGAAACGCCCACCACTATAAAAGTCATGTTAATGAAGACCTGTTTAAAGGAAAGCAATATTCATTTGGCTCGGGGAAAGAGAAGACGTATGTAGACATACCCTAGGCCCAGAGATTCCCCGTAATGGGCTGATGAATCTGGAGTATATGAGTGTGATGTATACCAGGATCAAACCACAATTTATAGCTAATGCTGATCCTATCACAAATGAGACCCTGTAGGTTGGGTGGTCACTGGAGGAAGATGATATCGGGACATCGGATAGAAATTTGACAACGTAAATTGCTTCGATTGCCGCGATGAGCAAAGCGCCCTGAAAACTAGTCGAAGAGTACATGGGATATTTATGTTATATAGAGGACCAAGGGGATAATATCGAGGTAACTCGTGTATCTTCCGTTATTTTCAATTGAATGACTGAGATAGAAGCTTGTGAAGTAAGTGTGATGTTTTATGAGGTTAATGGTCTAGGTAAGCGCCTTAATACTTCAATCTAGGTAGGTGCGTAGCTACAGGATACACGCGGGAGGGACAAGCATGTTTAAGAATACCTACCCCATACCCGAATATTCCATTGAAATTATATGTCCCCAGATCTCATGCACTGCATCTAATAGTAACAAAAGCCCCTCTCGGCCCAATGAAGCTACGTGATGATCGTATTTGAGTAACCTAACGTCCGGTTAAACGGTAGTGGGCTTTGCGCATAACTGAAGTACCATTAATGATATTGAGAAGTAATCTGCGTTGGAATACTCTAGGTGGGGTACCGTAGGTACATCTATCCCGTCTTCTAGGACGGGTTCCGAACCCCGAGCTTACCTAGGTGCCTAAGATGGAATAGGAAGATGGGAGATCTATGAGTACATTTAAGGTACGTTATAGGTACCTAGGTTGGAGGCATGTTAGGCGTATGGGTAGGCATGAGAATTATAAGTTGAACGGTTATATACGTGAATATAGCATTCGCAATGTTGTATTCTATGGCCACTGAGGAAGTCTCCTAATAATAGTAAGCCTCAAGAGTTCAAGCTTCTCTTTACTTAGCAGTAGCCATCAAAGCATAAACCTGCTGCGCTGCTTTCGGTATCTTCCCTTGATTATCAGTTCCTTCCTCAATATCGATCATCTCCTTCGCCCAGTTACAGATCGTCGTAGCTAGGAACTCCACCTGGGATTCCGTATTCGCAGCATGAAACATGAGCCTAATTCTACTTTGACCTTTGGGTACGGTGGGATAGTCGATGGGGAATGCAGATATACCTGATAACTGTAGGTGGAAAACAAGCCACCAGTTATAGCGCTGTCGAGTCCATACTGGCACGATATGGGTATGGAATTCTTGCGTTTCCCAAGCATCCATTATAGGAATTGACAAAACACCCTTCTCGCTGGCCTTAAGCCAAATGTCATTCGAAGTTATGGTTGTGAAGAAGTGGTTGACGAGGTGTTGGATATTTTTTTGGGCCTGGAAAGTGTCACTATTAGCGCCTTTTTCTGAAAATTGTGTATAATATGAATGAACTACTATGTTACCTACCTCTTCTGTCGCTCCCGACATCATCATGTTATACGCTGCCCGGATTCCCGCGACCGTGGGAAAGGATGGAGCCGTAGTGTAAATAATGGACCGGGCGAAATTCATCACTGCAGCGCGAACTGTAGCTTTCCCAAGAATGACGGCTTTGAATCAATTAGTTCATAGTGTTACTAGGGAAAGTTATATATATATATCGGGTCTACACTTACCACCAGTTGAAGCCAGTGCTTTTCCACATGTGTGGAGTCGAACGGCGATCTCCTTTTCCACGCCCAAAGCGCGGACGAGACCTGCCCCTTTAGGGCCTATGATCCCGGTGGCGTGGGCTTCGTCAACGATAAAAACCACATTTCTTTTGGGACAAACTTCCTTGGCCACGTCGATCATCTCAATCAAAGGGCAGACGTCTCCGTCCATACTATATACCGATTCCAAGGAGATAATGATGGACCGCGATCCATCTCTTATCATGGGTTGAGAGTCTATCACGGATGTCAAAACTTCTCGGAGCGCATCCACGTCGTTATGACGAAACGCAACCTTAACTAGGGCTAAGGAGCTGGCCATTCCATCGTGTGTGCTGGCGTGGACTAATTCATCATATACAATGGCATCCCCTGGCCGCGGGATTGCCATGTAGATAGCGCCATTCCCTTCGTAGCCAGATCCAACGATCAGTGCAGTTTCGGCCCCGTGAAAATTGGCAATCTGCTGCTCTGTCTCTTCGATGTAATCGTAATTGCCGTCCATCAGACGAGAACCCCCGGCGTATAGTTCGAAGTTAGGGTGAGCCGCTAGTTCGTTAAGAAAGGCTTCTCGAATCTTTCCGGTGGCTCCCAACGACAGAAGATCATTGGAGCAGAAATCGACAGCGTCGCCGAATTTCCAGGCACTCTTTGTTCTCGTAAACATCGCATGGTCGGTTCTTCGGACGTCGAGGGCTTCCTCGAGGTTGCGATAGAAAGTCGGCGCATTTTTCATTTGAGGACCCTTTAGTTTCTGCTCCTTCATCCAGGCTTCGAGGAGGGCTATGGCGGACATGTTGTGGTACACAGTGGTAAAACTTCTGGAATAAAGGTTGACAACGGGGGCGAAAAAAAATGATAGACACTACTTGAAGCCTAAGTGTTTACTACTGTTCCTAAGCAGTTATTACTTTCGTTTAGGTGTCGATGACCTGTGTTGATTTTGTGTTGGAGTTTGAATTCGTGATCTTCACACGGCATCGGAACCCGCACCCGGAATCCGGGCTCGGCCTGGACGCCGATTGAACCCGTTCAATACCGACAGAGGTCTACTGTAGGATATGATATTTCGCACGATTCTTACCCGATGACAATTATCACTTAGTCATCCCCACGAAAGTAGGATTCTACCACTATTGTATCTGGATTTCTCAAGAGGGACCTACACGATGAACGCCAGCCATGATATGCGCGGCAAGGTATGGTCTTCGCTGTGCGAATGGTAGTGTTATTGAAGCTCTTCTCGCGGGCGCTAATGTTTGAAATAGACGGTTTTCGTTACTGGCGGATCTGGGGGTCTAGGAAAGGCCATTTCTAAAGAGTTGGCTCGTCGCGGTCAGTGACTTCGTCGTCCGTTACAACATACCAAAGCTTCGACTCATGGAGATCAGGTGCTCACGTATCAATATTCTCACGCCGACCGATGCCATTGAAAGAAGCCAGAGAGGAAATAATGGCTACTTGCCAGAACACGGACCAGGATATCAACGCAATTGCGATTGACATGGCTGATGCTTCTAAGGTTCCTCTTCCACGATGTTTCACACCAAATCTCAGCATTTACCGTACTTACAGTGATGCTATTAGGTCGATGAGGCTTTCAGGTCGCAACCGCGTATCGCGGATATACTGTACTGCGTGGCTGGAGGCAACCACGCCGAAAACGGATTTCTCGCGGACATTACGGCGAAGGAGATCGAAAGTTGTATGAATAATAATTATTACACCGCTGCGTATGCTGCAAAGTCGATGCTTGATATCTGGATAAATGATGACGGGGAAAAGCCGAACTATGCTCATCATCGGACCCGTAAGATTGTCTTCATTAACAGCGCTGCGGCGTTCTTAGGCTTGCCAGGTTCAATTGCGTACACGCGTGAGTTGCCTATGATGATTAAATAACGTGAAAGAAGTGCTAAAAATCTATTTAGCAGCCAAATGTGCAGTTCGTGCCCTCGCAGACACCCTAAGAATGGAAGTCTTGCGATACTGTGGCCCGGAGTCTACGTACTCAATCCATTGCGCTTTTCCAGCCGACTTCATTTCGCCTGGATTTGTGCTGGAGCAACAAACCAAGACACCCTTGACGAAGCATATGCAGGGCACGGACTTACCCCTTAATAAATTGGAAGCCAAGTTCCCGTCGTCGGATAAAGTCGCCTCTCTTATTATCGCTGCTGTAGACCGGGGCGATTTTATCATATGTGAAGATTCGCTGGCTGCTTCTGTCCTCTTTACCAATATGCTGGGTCCATCGCCAAAGAGAGGATGGGGAATCGTGGATGCATTGCTATCGCCTATTGTGGGATGTATCGTTTGGCCGTATTTGAGATGGAGGTGGGAGTCTATGACAAGAAGCGATGGTGAAGAATTTAGAAGGTCGAGATAAAAAAGAAAGCACTGGACGTTTTTAAGGACGTATGGACGCCGAATAATCCCCCCATTTTTAGCATGGGTTACGGTTATTTAGGTGCTAATTTGATAGTCAAAATGTTAACCGTTACACTATCATCAAAATTTAGGCATTAGTCTTTAGGGGTGTATGCCCTGTAAGTATAGCAGGTCTTGACCTAATTTATGTGCTGGTGATGACGCCAACGTGTCTGAATGGCCTGAAGGTTCAGTTGTTTGTAGATTCCCAAGGGATTTAGCATCACCGCAACGAGTTGGGCCAGCAAACGCTAAATTTATAGCGTATTAACAGGTCTACTACTTTAGGTGCCTTTAGCGCGGGGTAGAGGCACGTGATACTGTATTAGAAGATCCCCTTTCTTTTTTTTCCCTTCTCTATTTCGTAAACCTACAAACTACAACATCTCTTCTGCTATTCGATTCCAACACCACCGAATCGAGACCTAAATTCCACTTGGCTTGCTTTGAAGACCAGCAATCTAGATGGAGATATTCATTGAACGATGTGCTATTTGGTGCGTGTTCATTGTGAAGTTACGCCAACTCGGAAAGCTCTTCTACTGGTCCAACCTTCTCGTATATGACGTTAATCCGTGAATGGCTTCAATCAAGCTGATGAAGTCTGTTACTTGACCTAGGTATTTAGTGTAGACTCTAGCCGGAGATTTCTATACGCATTACAAGATGTCTTTATACATTCTAATGAAGCAGTGTCTTCACCGGGCCGCTTGCGGATATCCGCCGGAGATCTCGTCGGCATCGGAACCCGCGTTTCAGCTTACTGAAATGTCTAGGTACCTAGGTACTTAGAAATGTTTATGGTGAGTGTTATTATGGGCGTATTCGGGTGTTTTCAAGTGAAGACTTATAGGACCAAGATAATGTACGTACTTGGTAAGTCGGAAATAGTCGAAATACACATTATAGTCGACACACCTTTCTTACAAGCTGCCTGTTATTTAATTCGCGGAGGGCGCTTCGCTCTATTAGAGGCAGATCAGTGTACTTACTACCTGGGAAAACAGCAAGCATATTTCGATGTTATGATTCCTCGCATTACTTCCCAACTTCATTCCTTATACCAAACGGCATCCGAATCAATATTCCCTCTTTCTCATTTTCGTCAGGACTGGAAATGTCTCCATCGGCCGATGTTGCGACTAATGGTATCTCAGTTGATACCTATGACCTAAACAAGAAGCCGGAATCTAATGGGGCTACGAACCTCGATGGTCACCGTGCTGCGGGTAATGGTTTCCCCACCAATGGGTGCGATACTAATGGTCATTCAATTAATGGAACTGGTGGAACTTACAGTCCTATGATGCCTATAGCAATCTGCGGCATGGGTATGTGATATCCGATGGGGCGGCGAGACTCGCGGGTCCAAATACTGATATGAAGAGTTAGCATGTCGATTGCCGGGAGGTCTTTCGTCACCTGAGGAACTATGGGACTTTGTCCTGGCTAAGAAGAACGCTCGAGGTCGTGTCCCAGAATCTCGATACAACATCTCTGCGTACTATTCAGCTACCCCTAAGCCTGGGGCCATCTCCACAGAGTATGGGCATTTTCTCGATGATAGTGTTGATCTAGGCGCATTAGACACGTCATTCTTTACCTTGCCACGCACTGAAGTGGAAAGAGCCGATCCTCAGCAGCGGCTCATGCTAGAGGTTTCGAGAGAATGCTTTGAGGATGCTGGTGTAACTAACTGGAGGGGTAAGACTATAGGTTGCTATATCGGCAACTTCGGAGAAGATTGGAACGAGATGTTTGTCAAGGAGCCGCAACAATGGGGTATGCATCGTATAGTCGGCACCGGAGATTTTGTCATATCAAATCGTCTTTCTTATGAGTTTGATATTAAAGGGCCGAGGTACGTTTAATAACAATCATGATTCGTTGTTTTGGGCTTGGGGCTGATCATCGCGGGAAGCATGACAATCCGCACTGCATGCTCTGCTTCATTAGTGGCACTTAACGAGGCTTGCTTGGCCCTCGCGAGGGGAGACTGCGAGGCTGCGCTTGTGGGTGGTATCAATTTGATTCTCGGACCAAATATGACGATGGCCATGACTGAACAAGGAATTCTGTCAAAGGACGGCTGCTGTAAATCATTCTCGGCTGACGCTAATGGTTATGCTCGTGGCGAGGCAGCTACGGCCATTTTCGTCAAACCCCTAGCCGATGCCCTTAGAGATGGCAATCCAGTCCGAGCTATCATTCGGGCTACATCTCATAACGTCGACGGTAAAACCCCCGGTATTTCGCAACCCAGCACGGATGCACAAGAAGCCCTAATTAGGAGAGCTTACCAGCTAGCTGGTATCAAAGACTATTCACAAACGGCAATGGTTGAGTGCCACGGAACAGGAACGCCTATCGGGGACCCTATTGAAGCAAAGGCCGTTGCTCGGGTGTTTGGGGAGAAGGGTGTTTATATCGGTTCAATTAAACCTAATCTTGGTCACTGCGAGGGTGCGTCTGGGTTCGTCTCTCTTATTAAGATGGTAAAAGCACTCGAAAACCGCACAATCCCACCTAACATTAGGTTCAATATACCCAACCCGAATATACCATTCAAAGAGGCGAGGCTAGTTGTCCCCATTGAACCTACACCCTGGCCTGAAGATCGGCTTGAACGTATTAGTCTCAACTCATTTGGTGTCGGAGGCGCGAACGCCCACGTCATTTTGGAATCAGCTGCTTCCGCAGGTATATCCACCGCGACAAACGGAACCCGAGAGCCACCACACGAGAGTCACCAACTTCTCATATACACAGCAAATTCTACAAACTCACTTACGCGGATGATTGACATCTATAAGGAATGGGTTGAGAACAATCCAACCAAAATTTCCGACCTAGCATACACTTTGGCGATTAGGAGGGAGCATCTACCTCATAGGACTTTCGCTATCGTCAAAAACGGTCAAATCGAAAGTGTCTCACCTCCTGTTAACACAAAAAATACGAAGGATGCTGAGGTTGTCATGGTATTTACCGGACAGGGGGCACAGTGGCCTCAGATGGGTCGCGAATTAATGCAATCCAATCAAACGTTTCGATCGTCCATTCAATCCCTTGACCAATACCTACATGCGATGGCTACGGGCAAGCCGCCATACTCAATTGAAGAGGAACTTAAAAAGCCAGCTAAGACAAGTGGCATATCTTTGGCAGAGTTTTCTCAGCCACTCTGCACGGCTATTCAGATCGCGTTAGTTGATACATTAAAGTCCTTATCAATTGAGCCAAGCGCAGTCGTCGGTCATTCAAGCGGCGAAATCGCGGCGGCCTACGCCTCCGGCGCTCTTACAGCTAGGGAAGCTATTATCACCGCGCACTACCGTGGCGCGGTGACAACTAAACAGAAAAGAGCGGGATCTATGGCTGCCGTTGGAATGGGCTGGGAAGCAACCAAAGAGCACCTAGTCGATAGAGTGACGGTTGCATGCGACAACTCACCACAGAGTGTCACAGTTTCAGGTGACACTGATCAAGTTAAACATGTTATTGCCAACATTAAAAAGGCGCATCCCGATGTAATGGCAAGGCTTCTCCAGGTTGATAAAGCCTATCATTCATATCATATGGCTGAGATCGGAGAAGAATACATATCCATGATCGAGCAATATGTGACTGGAGCAAACCCGTCTATTCCGTTCTTCTCCAGCGTCACCGGTGGTTTATTAGATAAGAACTCTATTCTTGGGCCGAATTATTGGCGGGATAATCTGGAACAAACCGGTGAGTGATATTACTACAATCTCGCGAGCTTTCGACCGTTCATTTATGCTGACCGACCTAGTCCGTTTTCGCGAGGCTGTTACGAACATCGTGAAACACGACGTAAGCAATAACGCTATTTTCCTTGAAGTCGGACCTCATTCAGCCCTTGGAGGGCCACTGAGACAGATCTTCACGGAAGCTTCGTCGCCATTCCCCTACGTCTCAGCGATGGCTCGAGGCCAAAGTTGCACTGCCTCGCTGTTGAATGCAATCGGTAAACTTTACTCGCACAGTGTCAACGTCGACCTAGATGTCCTATTCCCCACTGGAAAATGTCTCCCAGATCTTCCTAGGTACCCTTGGAATCACGAAGAGAGCTATTGGTATGAATCGCGGATTTGCAAAGAGTGGCGCCACCGCAAATATCCGTATCATGACCTATTAGGTATCAAGTTACCTGAAAGTACTGAAATTGAGCCGATGTGGCGTAATATCTTCCATATAACTAATGTTCCCTGGGTGCGCGACCACAGAGTTGGTGAAGACATCGTCTTTCCTTTTGCTGGCTATATCGCATTGGCAGGTGAGGCGATTAGGCAATTAACCGAGATTGAAGATGGCTTTAGTATACGAAATATTAAAGTAACTATGGCTCTTGTGCTTTCTGAAGGGAAGCCCACCGAGATGTTGACATCTTTCCGGCCCCATCGGTTGACCGACTCTCTCAATAGCCCCTGGTGGGAGTTCACCGTTACGTCGTATAACGGCCACACGTGGAACAAACATTGTACAGGGGAGATTACGGTACTTTCTTCGAACCTAGGTCCAGGTAGAAGTCCTGATCCCTTGCCTCGCAAGATAAACGCAAAAAGATATTATGGAAATATGAGCAAGGGTGGATTGGACTTAGGTCCCTGCTTTCAAACCCTTGAAGACATCGAAACTTCAACAGGCTCAGAGAACCGGGCAACTGCGAAGGTGATCAATGGGAGGCAAGGCGATGAGTCCAACTACCATATACATCCTACTGTTATCGACGGAACTATCCAGATCTTGGGAGCTGCTGCTGTTAACGGCCTTATGCGAAAAACCAGAAATTGGCTTCCGACAAGTATAGACAAAATCAGTATCTGGCGTTGCTCGTCCGACATGACTACTGATGTTTCTGCGGAGCTGTCGAGCAACTACTCCGTAGTTGGTCGTGGTAATTGCGTGTCGGAAGGGATAACGGTCATTGAGGCCTCGGGCCTCAGAATGTCGCTCGCGAACGGTGCACTTTCAAACGAGATTGCCGATACTCATTCGGCAGCACGGTACGAATGGGACTACGATATCGACTTTATGAACGCGAATGAACTTATCGGCGCGTCGGTTGAACACGCCGATCAATTACATCTCCTCGAAGAACTATGGCAACTCTGCCTATTAATCCCAATTCGAAGTCATTCCAGAGTACCGACGCTGCCCCTACATCTAGAATGGTACTTCAATTGGATTCAATCCGAGTCTGAAGCTCTAGCCAACAGCCCAAAATATCAACCGATGTCTCCGGAGAACAAGTTGGTATCTACGAGGATCGAGCACCTCCTGTCGAACCTATCATCTACGCCTGCTGCATCGGCCGCTACCACTATTTATCAAGTCTGCCAGAATATGGATGCCCTGCTATCAGGGCAAAGTCTTACTGAAATTTTACCAGAGGAAACTCTGACCAATGTTTACAAATTCATTGATCAATTAGACATTTCCCGACTAGTTCAGAGACTAGGCCATTGCCTTCCCAATCTACAAATTCTTGAGATCGGGAACGGTAGGGACTCCATAGCAAATAGTACTATCGAGAGTCTTACGCGCGCTGACGGACGTATTCTCTGCTCCAAGTACACTCTTACTTCAACAGGCTTTATTTCTGGGAAAGACCAACAGGATTTGTTCCCGAATATGGAATATGTCACTCTAGACATCAGTGAAGACTTATCTGAGCAGGGATTCGAGGATCGCCAGTACGACCTGATTATTGCGAGAAATGTTCTCCATACATCAAAGAGCTTGCAAAATAGCTTGGCAAATGTGAAAAAACTCCTTCGTCCTGATGGCCGATTTCTCCTACAAGAACTATGTCCATCGTCGAAATGGATGAATTATATTTTTGGGGTACTCCCTACTTGGTGGTCAGGTACGGTCGACGGCCGACTCCAGGAGCCCTACATCAGTATAGAGAAGTGGAAATCCGAGCTTGCGCTAGCGGGACTCGAGGTACCTGAGGCGCCTATTTTGGATGCATTAGAGCCTCACCAATTGACGGCCATCATGATCGTAAGACACGCGTCGCTTGCGAATGCTGAAGTGAAACGGATCACTGTGCTATGTGAGGAACAGGAACCTGTCACTGAAGAAATTTTAAGTCAGCTCGCTGAAGAGGGTTACGACATTACTATGTGCAACCTGGGTGACACCCCACCCGCACACCAGGACGTTATTTCTCTCTTGGATGTTGATAAGCCGTTCTTCGATTCATTCGATGAAGCACAGTTCCAATTGTTTAAGACCTTCCTCCATGGCATTCAGGATGCAGGTATCTTATGGGTTACCAAGACTATCCAGATAGGCTGTCAAGATCCGCGGTACGGCCAGATATTGGGGCTAGCAAGAGTTGTCCGCTCAGAGATGTTGACAGACTTTGCGACCTGTGAGGTTGAAGACCTCCACCACCCAGACACAGCTAAGAACATTGTTAAAATATTGCGCAAGTTTCAAACGCGTGAAGATGGGTCTACGATGAATCCAGATTTCGAATGGACTATCAAGAATGATCGCATTCAGGTTGGGCGATTTTATCCTTTTTCCTTGCGAGATGAGCTGTTAACATCAGACCCCACTGAGATTGCTAGATTGGATGTCAAGACACCAGGGAGGGTTAATAGTTTACATTGGTTACGACAACCGCGTGAGGAGTTGAAAGCAAATGAAGTGGAGGTTCAGGTTCATTCTGCCGGCTTGAACTTTAGGGTGAGTACCTATTTGATATGCTAATTCTATTGATGTTTATCGTGAGTTAACGTTTCGTACATAGGATGTCTTGGTTGCATTGGGTGTCGTTGAACTCCCAATACGCCAATTCGGACTTGAAGCAGCTGGAATAATCACAAGGGTAGGAGCTGAGGTAGACCCCAATGAGCTTGCTATTGGCGACCGAGTGTTCTGTCTGAAGAAGCAGGCATATTCAACATATATCACGACTCCAACCACTTTTTGCATACCAATCCCCGACCACCTCAGCTTTGATGAGGCCGCGAGCATGCTTATGCCTTATGTCACAGCTATCCACGGGCTAGTGAATGTTGGGCGTTTATCTAAAGGCCAGGTCAGTGTGCTCATTATTATCTTTTCTCTGGGTGCCTTGAGAGTTTATGCTGATAATTTCAGACCGTGTTGGTTCATAGTGCGTGCGGAGGGGTTGGCTTAGCCGCTGTGCAAATCTCTCAGATGATCGGCGCAGACTTATACGTAACCGTCGGAAACGACGAGAAGGTGAATTTCTTGATGGAAAATTACCATATTCCAAGATCCAAGATATTCAACTCACGCGACAAATCATTCGTGGATGATGTCATGCGTGAAACGGGAGGGCAGGGGATAGACGTCGTCCTTAATTCCCTTTCCGGCGAACTTTTGCATGCGACATGGGGTTGCGTCGCGGAGTTCGGCACCTTGGTAGAAATCGGGAAACGTGATCTGGTTGGCGGCGGTAAACTCGACATGACCCCTTTCCTGGCAAATCGCAGTTATTGCTGCATTGATATTGACCAGCTATGGAAAAAGCCAGTGCTTCTAAGAAAGTAAGAGTGTTCGTCTATAGTTCCGTGCGTCTCCCTACTAACAAAACATAATAGTCTCATTATTTCTACATTACAATACTACGTGGAGGGTAAAACGACCCCAGTCCGACCTGTGAAAGTCTTCCCAGCTTCGCAAACCCAGGATGCATTCCGATATATGCAAAAGGGTCAACATATCGGTCGCATTGGCATTTCAATACCGCACCTCCCAAATGAGAGAGATATATCATTTGAGACCACCAAACAAGCCCAGGAGATAATCTTCGACAAAGCAGCAGCATCATACCTCCTCGTTGGTGGGCTTGGTGGTCTCGGGCGCGCAATTTCGATATGGATGGTTGAGCACGGCGCTCGAGAGCTATTATACCTAGCTCGAAGCGCCACTCCAAGCCCAACCAACCATGCATTTGTCGAAGAACTCCAGAGTATGGGATGTAATGTGAAGCTAGCTCAAGGAGATGTTACGAATAAACAGGATGTGGAAAGAGCCGTTGCAGCAGCAACCTATCCTCTGAAGGGGATTATCCAAATGTCAATGGTGCTGCGCGACCAGAATTTTACCGAGATGACATTCGAGGAATGGACGGCTGCGAGCGCACCAAAAGTCAAAGGCACGTGGAACCTCCACGAGGTTACCACGGCTGTTGGTGCCAATCTAGATTTCATGGTGCTTTTCAGCTCCCTTTCAGGTATCATCGGGCAGCCAGGTCAGGCTAATTATGCCAGCGGGAATACATTCCTCGATGCATTTGCGCAGTATCGAAATGATCTAGGATTACCGGCGTCGGTCGTGGATATTGGTGCTGTGGAAGATGTGGGGTTCATATCCGAGAACAACGCATTGATGAATAAGATGAAAACCAGCGGCTTCCTGGGGATAGCAGAACAGGAGCTTTTAGATGCGATGGCAGTAGCGATGCTGGCAAGGTCCCGACCTCCTCCCGCGAATGGCCTAGACGACGCGGGGTCTCGATTTGTGCATGAAAACACATTTGTCCTTGGTCTGGGATCGTCAATTCCACTAACAAGCCCCGCGAATCGCGCGGTTTGGAAAAGAGATCGCCGAATGGCTGCGTACCATAATGAGGTTGCGGGTGGTGCGGACGTCGCGGCATCTAACGAGACGCTCAAAGCATATCTTTCAATGGCTAAGGCGAACCCCTCTGTCTTGAAATCTCCGGAAACCGCAAAACTCTTCGCCCTCGAGATCGGAAAGAAGTTGTTTGATTTGTTGCTTAAGCCGCAAGAAGAGCTCAATCCGTCTTGGCCGTTGGTCGACTTAGGTCTAGACTCGTTGGTGGCTCTTGAACTGCGCGCCTGGTGGAAGCAGGTCTTCTCCTTTGACATCACTGTTATGGAAATGTTAGGGATGGGATCACTTGAAGCACTCGGGCAGCATGCGGCGGATGAGACGTTGAGGATCGTTACGGAGAACGCTTCGCAGAATGTCTCTTGAAGGTCAGGGGTAGGAACCTAGTCCTAAGTATATGATACCTTGCAATTTATGGAATTCTTCTACTACAATGCGCTGATTTGAGTTTCGGTGGAGTGATAGAATGCGCTGTAAGTGTGCTGTAATTATAAGATCTTTTAGGGCTTAGAGCCCTATATTTATAGCGCAATATAGCGCTGAGGTCTTCCGAAGCTTTGCTAGGATGCGCTATGCTTCCAGGGGACTATAGGGCTTGGAGTCCTGTACTTATAGCGCTCTATAGGAGGTACCTACCCAGACAGGTACTGGTCGTAATGCGCTGTATTTACAGGGGAGGAGGTGCTATAAGTCCCATCAATAACTTTTATGTATAGTGGAGTATGCGCTGTAACATCCTGTGGTTACAGGGGCTCTCCGCGCAGAACTCCCTATAAATACAAGGACACAATAGGTACCTAGGTACCTAGGAGGTATATTACGCCCTCACTGTCCTATCGCAATGGCGGTTGAAGGCTTATTGGAAGATGCAACAATGCGCTTTATAAAACGTATAGCATAATGACAACTACAACGGCTATCCTGTAACGACTGCTTAAAATAATGAAGTTAGAATATCGAAGGAGACTAATTCCTGTGAATAGACCCTTCTCTATCGTAAATCCATAACGGTACAATGTCACAAGACCTATCCTAGAAGACGGCTAGAAGCGCCTCCCCGCCGAGCCCTACGCCCCGCTACTGGTACTGGCGCTGGCTCCTCCACCTCAAGAAAGCCACTTTTCGCAATTGTGATGGTGTGAATATACCGGAGCTTGCCATTCTCCATGCGGAACTCATGACTATCTGGTGCGTTGCTGAGATGCTCGAAGATGCAGAGCACGCTGATGGAACCATATGCCTGGTCGATGACGTACCTACGATGAGAGTTCGGGGCTTGGTTGTTGTTAGTAGGAATTCCCACCTTGCAGGAAGTTCCGGTATAGACGCTGCCCTCAAGCCTTGAGCAAGGGTTACCCCAAGGAACAGCATCTACGGCGCTCTTATTATTCCACATATCAAGATACGCGTCAGCAGCTAGCTTCAGGGCTTCACGCGAGTCCAACTTGTCGTCGTCAATCCTATGAAACGATACTTAGAATAGGTCTTCGAAAAGGGAAACAATGAAGGTCCTACCTGGTCCAGTTTTCCTGAGTCGCGTACTCTAGGGTCTTCGTAGAATTGAATAGCCACGAACCCGTTGTCGAAACAATCGAGTCTATTAAGTAGGTGCTGAGGTCCCCTGGGCTATGGCGAATCTGACTTCCGATAACTGTAGTGGCGATAGTCAATAATCATATCGAAAAGAGTTATAAATTTCCTAGATGGGCTCGACTTAGATAGTTTTTACTTACCGTATGGTGCAGCCGCGCCTTTCGAATCTTTCGTGGTAATGAATTCAACAAAACTAGCGCATTCAACAGGGTCGACGATTGTCTTTTTCCATGCAACCACGAGCGATTTGTCGAATATCCCTCCCGAGAACTCCGTTGTTTTGTTGTTCTCTACGTATGTGAAGTTTTCTGCCCTTTTCAGGTCAGCTATTTTCCCATTCTCATATGTGCTTATATAGTCGTTAGCATATGATTCCAGGTAGGTTCGATTGCATTCAGCGGCAACTACGGGGAGAAAAGCCCCAAGGGCCGCAGCGCAAGCGCCCAAGACACGGTAATGCATGATGAAATTTCCGGATACGAATATGGACGAAGCTTTCAGTGTCGCAGAACCAAATTAAAGTCCAGGAAAATCCGTCAAAACTCTTCCCCGCGCAGAGCAGGGCTGGTCGAGCGACATATATATCCTCTGACGTACGTGAAGGAGTAAGTGCCGTTGCCACAACCTCAGGGCCCGCCACGACCAAATTCCCGGCTCCGGGAGAATGGGCGGGAGAATTGCGTGGAGACATCACACCCCGAATCTTGCCTTATGCGTACTCTGTGGATATTAAAATGCGACCGGGGAATCTGGAGTCATGATACCCCGACCCAAAGGGGCAGTATAGGAAGCCTTGAGCTCCACGTCTGGATCACCTATAATATAATTGACTAGAGCTTGGCTGCCCCATGTTTTCTAAGCCCAGAAAACAAGTTATTTCAACCACCAATGAGAGTTTTCAATTGCCCACAATGGTAATTAACGTGAATATAATGGATCGAGTTGACCATGGTCCTTATTGGAATGCTGGATAGCACCCCATCCGACTTGTCGCATGCTCGTTAAAGGTGACAAGCAGCATAGAGGAGTAGCCCCTAACCCCTATTGCGGAGTACAAAGTTCATCACGTGGCATTCGAGGTCAAATTAAAGCGTGAGAGCCAACTTCAACGGGAAGTCGAAACCTCGCTGATGTTTCTAAGTTCAGATTTACAATCTGAGACTGAATTTAGTTTAAATGCTTAAATATCATTAGTCATCCAACTTCATGATGTCACACAGGTAGTACAATTATTTCTTTATTACGTCACCAAAAGCACACATATCGTAGCTTGCTCATTCATGCGCTCAATTAATTCGATTTCATCTTATACTATGTCCTTAACTCGAAATCGGGTGTTATTTTCGTTCGATTCTCTGTTTTCTTTCATTCCATCGTACCCAAGATGTCGTTTGCTGCGTTTCGCAAGTCTGAGCAGCACACGGACCTTAGTAAGCTTGCCGAAGAGCATATGAAACATGACCTTACCGAGGAAGACCGAAACGCAATTTTCAAGGCTTCAAGCAAGATAACTACGCGAGCCGTTATTGGGACTCTTGCTGGACTTGGTTCGGGGCTGTATGCCGCTTTCCGATTGCGGCGCATTCGTGCCGATATGTTCAACGCGTTCAGAGCGACGGAGAAACCAAGCCATGTAATATTTGCTGATGGAAGGAAAGGTGAGCATTCTCTAATCAGCTGAAAGACGAGTTCGGAACTGATTAGTGAATTTGTAGAAGCCATTCCTGACATCACACCTTTGATGCAACCTAGCAGGTACGGGGACATTGCTACTTATTTCTTCTTTGGCCTGGGCGGGACTATCTTAGGTGGCGAATTAGGCTTCCTATTAGGGACGTGGTCAGCGTCACGGGCCATCAGCCAAAATGCGGCTCGACGTGATAGAATCGAGACTGCTTACCGGCGGTTCAAAGCGGATTATTTCTGGCAAGAAGCCACCAGGCTAGAGTCTGGCGGTACGTTAACATTATGAAATCTACGATGTATGGTTAGCTATTGTCGGAAATATCATTCGATGTTGTTGGCGTCGACTGAATGTTATTGGTGTGAGGTAGTGAATACTACCAACCACAAATGTGACCGTGCTACGCTGAGCTCATTAATACTCAGGTACCCAGTGGATGGACTGTCTCACCCTATCCCTACTCGAGATATATTGTATTCTCGGGTGGTTCTTTTCAACTGGATACCTACTTAAACTACCGCAGTCTGATTTGTGTGCCTGGGCGGGTATTGTTACTGCTGGAAGCTGCGGACCGGGGTCTACGGGAGCAGCGTAAGGGTACCTACCTGGTATGTGGCGCATAGCCACCATATTCCTAAAAGAGATACCCGCATATGATAGTGAGCTGAGGTATCATTTTATGGTCTTGCAGTTTATTGGAAAGATCGAGATAAAGAATAGGCGAGGCTCCGTCGATGTGCTATACGGACAATTTAGGGAGGGTCGAGATTTGGACAACGAACGCTGAGAGGCTAACTAGGTACCCTATTAATATTTTAAGGTAAGATCGAAAGAGTGATGCTACATTGAAATGCGTGTTTTATAGAAGCTGTAAGTCACCTAACCACACAGGTAAGCACCAACTTGCATAGATATTGGGGGCTGTATGTATACTTAAGACATTTTCAATGCACCTATTGGTTCTTCTAACCAGCCTGCATGCTGACACGGGACAGTTGCCGCTAATTGTATCCCAACTATGTATCACTAATACACCATCTTAAATGGTTGTGCTACCTTGTAGATGAGGGGTAGCGAGTCTTAAAGCTGCGCAGTTCTGGCCTTGTCGGGAGGATATTGTTTATATAGGATGCGAAGTTTATCTTCTTTAATAATGATGAGATCTGCCTTATTGATCCATATCTAACTTAGAATCTGGAATTGAGGCGAATTGGCTATCACTAGAAGGATGTCGAACAAGGAAAGATCTGCGACCGCTTAGCGGTAATGCCCATTTTTTTTCAGCGATGTATCGGATTCCCACAGAACAGGTCCGTGCTACTGGTGGCGGTTTCGTCCCAGTCCCACAGGTCGATGCTTCGGACGATCATAGTGAAAACGAACAAGAAAATTCCGGGACACCTCAAACTCGGAAATGGACACCCAATGATTTTCGCAGTCAAGTGCAACAAGTTCTCCGTCGGCAGAACCAAGAACAAGAGAGCGTCCGTAATTCACCCGCCTTTTCCGATACCACGCTTGTTGGAGGTGATTATTTAGATGTTCCACTTCGGCATTATGAGGAGGAGCATTATGTGGAATACCTTGGCGGCTACTACGGCCCCGAAGCCGCAAACCTTTCGCCAACGCCAAGTACCAAAGCTGGTCTTGAGATAGAAGTTTTCCCTGTGTCTCTCGGTCCTGACTTGTCCCCTGGAGGACTATGCGTCGACGACGCGTGGAATGACACTAGTTATCACGGTTCGGGAGGCGAGATCGATGGGGAACAGCCCAGTACACCTCAAAATTATAAACCTCTGAGCTTAAGGAAGAGGTTTCTGATAACTCTCCTGTCATTTCTGATAATCCTTATTGTTCTGGCTGAACTAGCTATACAACTCCTCCCTAATGATTCTGGAGTTGCCGTGTCCTCTCAAGCCTACGAGAACGCGACAAAGGTCCGCCTGCGGTCCATTCTTATTCGTAGAGCCGACGTATTTAATCAGTCATCATTGCGCGGGCGTCAGAATGGCACCCATGATGTTGACCCGGTACCTGAGACGACAACAAGCACACAAACGGCTTCAATCTCAACCCCTGATATAATAATTATATCTACGAGTTCTGCAGTGTTAACGACACCCTCCTCTAGTTCGTCAGTAGAGGACTCGTCTGGGCGGGATGCAACTACGGGGGGCCTTAGCACGAGTAGTGCTGGAACATCAATCTCAATATCCGACGTAACCGGACCTCCAGCTAGTACAGCCTCAACCCCTTCTCCCTCATCTTTGACCACTAGTATATCTCAAGCTGAGCCGCCCTCTACGCCTTCATCCACACCACCCCCACCAACTACTACCACTACTACATCAGACAGCCAACCCTCGTCAACTCTTATTCATTCGTCGTCTTCTTCGCCGACTTCTTCGTTTTCTTTTACACTCCCTTCGCCACCCCTCTCAACATCATCATCGGAATCCTTACCACTGACCCCATCGGAAACTGAAACCGAAGAGCCCACATCGTCGCACAGTAGTTTATTCTCTACGGCTCCGATAACATCCATCACTTCTACCATCTTACCGCCAACAGATGGCATCACAACGACCTCTGGACCAGGAAATCCCTTACCGGGGCCAACTTCAGACCATTTAAGCGAACCTAGCCACCCAGGTGCACCCACAAAACCAGGAGAGCAGAGACCGCCGAGTTCTTCCTCGCTGCCTACTGGTGGTGAAAGTAGCTTCACGCTATCAAGTCCTACAGCACCCACGCTTTCATGGCCAACACACTCATTCTCAACATCGCTCATTAGTTTTCCATCTTGGCCTACAAGTCTGGATCCCACGCTAACAGGACCTATATTGACTTTCCCTACACTAACCTTACCTTCACTTACTTTACCTACGTTCACTCGTAGCTCGCCAACAATCTCGTCCAGCAGCCCCGAAACATCCGCATCTACGAGCCTCTCGTTTCCAGGCTCGACGAACTCTCAAGGATCTACGGACAATCCGTCAAGTACAAGTGAAAACCCCCCAGGGAATGGCCAAAGTTCAACTACCGTCTCCACTGTCACTGCGATTACACTCACTACGTCGAATACTTTATCAAGTACTTCTTCGGGCCGTTCAGACTCTCATACCACCCCAACCGATACGCCAAGCTCTACTACAGAGGACAATACGAGTCGAACAGCAGAGCCACCAAGCTCCATTTCTGAGCCTGCCGTGACAATTACCACAGCCCCCAATGGGTGGCCGCGGCCTCCGGCTATCACTACAACGATAGTAACTTCGGTAACTGAAAGCGATGGGGGCCACTTAGAAACCACTTTGAGGGTTATTACCTACCCCATAAAAGCCGACAACAATGACGAAATGGAAGAATGGGTTTCTAGGCATACGGACTCGGCCAATTCGGTGTGGACGGAGACTTTACTCGAACAAAAACTTACGGAAACAATTTACACTGTCATTAATGGAACATCCACCACCCAAACTATACACAAGTTGACGCCACCTTCCAAGACAACACTCACAGACTTCCAAGGGCGAGCTACTGCCACCGAAGATTACTATCTTGTTCAAACCACTGAAGTAATACGTGACATGTATGGCCGGCCAACAGCTACGCTTACTTCTATGATCCCGGAAACACCAATGGTCACTACCCTCTTCAATAGCGATGGCATAGCTACGAAGACTCAAACTAAACTAGTCCCCATGTCCGTAACAACTACTGTGATAACGGTGCCGACACCAAAGGCTTCTCCAGAGGCAGAAAACAAGCAATTAGATATAGAACCGATATCAAATGGGAAGTACTTCTTGGGTCTCATGCTCCCCATGTTCATTGCCAGTATGATATCAATTCCGATCCGGATGATTGATCAATCAGCAAGGCTCTTCCAACCATTCCACGCTTTATCATCGTCGCGTGGAGTACGAGCTTGCGATAGTATTTGTTTCCAGACGGCGAATGTATGGAGTTTGACGGCACGCTTCCGCTCATTACTAAACGGCCAGGTTCTTCTCACACTGACTGGACTCTTGGCATTAGGAAGTGTTATCATGATTCCCATAAGCTCCGAAGCCGTTCGTATCATCTTGGAGGGCCCGGACTGTGCTGCGACGAACGCAGATAGACTTACCTGCAAAATGGTGTTGGGGGTTAATTCAATACCGGCGCAATTTTGCGTTGGACTCCTGGCATTCATGGTGGTCCTTACCATTGTAATCATAATTGTACTCCGGAAATACTTCACCGGAGTTAACTGCAACCCGTGGAATTTCTTTAAGTTGGGTCATTTAGCAGCTAACAGCGAAATTCGGACCCTTCTGTTACGAAAATTACAAGGGAAGAATGGTCAAATTACGAACAAGGAAGCAAATAAGGCCTTCGCTGGGATACCATTCGTCATTGATTACTGGAAGGACAACGGGGGCCTCAAATATGGACTCCTAATCCCGAACCAAGTTAAATTGTTAAAGAAAGAAGGGAAGTCGGTAACCTTCGCGAATAAAAAGGCACGGCCGCGGCGAACTCGAGATTCAATGCCCTTTTTTGCCCTTACGTGGATTGGAAGGGTACTCTTCCTCGCGTTAATATGCACTACCATAATATTATTGTTAGTGTTTGAAATTGCGGGGGAGGGTCAGGGGTACAAGCAGTTTTTGATGGGTAGATGGCGTGTGGTACGGTTGATCCTCGTCTGCATCGGTGTTCTGATTACATTGATCTGGTGGTCTTTCTTATATGGTAGGTCAAGCGAAATATGTGGTTTTATTTCACATTGTGTACTAATAGCCTTCTAGCTGTTGCGTTCATGAGTCCTCACATATTACTCCATCGCATTCGACTCTACAATGGAGAGGCGGTACGTATGACACCGCCCACTGATCCCATTAGTGGCATTCGGTCTTCACTGACGCCCGGACGCCGAGACATTTATCTTGGACTTGTGTCCGCGATCTGCATACTATCCGAGATCCTCCCTATGCTTCTCGCCGTTGCTCTGGATAAATGCACTGAGAGCTTTTGGGCCCACACAGTATGTCTTTGGTTAGCTGTGAGCGTACTGAGGTATGAGAAAAGACACACCATTCTAGGATGAATTAACTGACTCTATGGCTAGCATATCGATGTTTACAGTAGCTGGGTCGTTCTTCGTCACATGGCCGAACATGCCTATTGACCCCAGTACTGTTGCAGGGGGAATGTATTACGCCTTAACTAAATTTGTGTCGATGAGTCCGTCATCAGGATTACTCCTCGGTATGGTCTAGTTTGACGAGACTAAGTACACGGAAAAGAAAAGCGCATACATGGCACACGAAATGAGTGGTGAATTGCTTAGTACGATATCCCTCCATGGTACCAACGTATAGGTACCTCGATATTGCCTAAGGAAAGCTGTCCAGCTGCCTTTCTTCCCAATTAATGGTACTTGAGTCCCTTCTCGTTTCGGTCCACAGCGACCTTAGTCGCCTCATCGAGATCCTCCTTGGGAAGACCCAAGGCATCATTGGAAATCCCGCGTCGCGCTTCAAAATTGCCACAGCCGTCTTTGTAGAACGTCCTACTATAGAGGAGCTGGGGGAACGCTGAGCGATCTCCCGCGAATACCTGTTTCTGTGCCGCTTGGAAGCGCTCGACGGTACTCTCATACTCGATCTTCCAGTCCGACTCCTTGGTTCCTGTAACCCGCAGAACGGCAGCGAACATGTCTTTCTGGCTGAGGAGGAAGGAGGACACGTAAACGAACTTATTCTTATAGCCAGATAGGCTTGGTCCTCCCTCGGTTTCAGGCTCGATAGGTAGCGAGAGCAATGCAGCCGCCGCTCTGCCGGATTGGCGTCATGTCTGCTCGTAGATGTGGTTAGCGGGCCCAAGGACCCCACCGAGTGCCACCAGTTAACGATACTTACAGTGGTGTTCATCTTAGTCTCGCCATCGTCAAAGAACGTCCAGGTCCTGTCCTTCCATTCCATTCCGTACGTCTGTTTCCCGAAACCAAGACTGTATTCATACCAGAACCCGGTGATAATGCCGATCCACGAGCTCTTTCCTAGGTCCTCAACTAACTTCCGGGTGGCAGCCTTCGGGCCTCCAAGAAGAACGTCGTTACTTAATGCCTCATCTGACGAATCCTGGCCCCATTCATTGGGCAAAATGTAGGATACATTAGCAGCAGCGGCGGCACGGACCAATTTCAAGGTTGTCTCAGGGGGCGCAAGTGTATGCATAGTGATGATCAAGACTTCCTGACCCTGAAGGGCATCCACAAGGGTAGATTCGTCGTCGTAATCTACTTTAGCGGCTTTCACTCCTGCGGGAAGGGAATCGGCAGAAGAGCTATCTTTTCGGGTGACAGCGGTGACCTCGTGCTTGCCTAATCCCAGAAGTTCCTCAACAATAAAGGAACCAACTGTGCCAGTTGCCTTTTGAAAAGGATAGATTGTTAACAAAACCCGCCATACGACACTATAGGGAGTGCATATCGAAATCAACTTACACCAACGATGGCCACCTTCTTGACGTAGTTGCTTTGCGACATGATGACGAGCTTTTGAAACCGATATTCAGGGTGTTATCGATCTGGAGGTAAGAATAGTTATAAGCGGACTTGATGAAAGTAGAAATCGTTGTTGTTTGCGGTTTGAGAAGAAAATAAACGAGGAACTGGGCAGGAATTTATACTTGAGCAGTCGATAGCGTTTACAGTGAAGGTACATGATTCTTCTGGCCATCTATCATCCCCATTGATCTCGTGCTTAGAGAACTTCTGGAGTTAAAAATTTCCTCTTTCGTTAAAGCCCGTCACTTAGCTTGTGGAGACCTACGGTGCTAACGGGGATAGTAGATATCACCAATTACTTTCGCAAAGTATCTCGTTCGATTGCATGGAACCCTCGGCCTTTGGAAAATTGGAAAAGCGCGAGAGCCATCATCCCATCGCATGATTTGGATCTGTTTCCAAATAGAGGGTTCGCTAGTATCCATCGTTTTGAAGTGCACACAGTATACCATTGCCCCAAACACAAAGCATTTCCAAAAAGGGAATACGCTATTATTATATGGGTTTTAATTGGTCCATGGGTGGCTGAGTAATAACGCAACAATTATTATTTCAGGTACTTAGGTACCCTGTTCTACTTCATACATCGTATTAGAACCATACCTGGGTCTTGAAAAAGTAGACGGATGCTTCGGCTTCGGGGTTTTCAAGTGTCTCCCGAGTGAGTTCTCGGGTTATAAGGTCTTTGTAAATTCAAACTTTTGACAACAATAGTTTGTTAAGGACCATTAGGTACGGTTATCGGTATCAGTAATGGGAAACGTTTCGTAGCCGTCTATCGCATTAGCTCTTCTATCATAGGAGACGGCAGTTATGAGGAATGGGTCAATTGATCTATAAATATTAAGGATCTATTGGCGATCATGACCGGAATTGTACATCAAGCCAAGCAACAATATAGCCGTAGCCGAATGTAAAAAGGCGGGTTGAATCCAACATCAATGCCAATACTCAACACCAATATACAACTCAGCTTGTGATCCGAAGCCGTGCATATAGTAACATTATAGTAATCTACATATATTGTTAGCACATCGAATTGTATTCTGCTGCGTTACGGGCATATAGATGTATATAGTTTTGATCCATTCACATCTATCAGTTAGACCGTCGACCCCCTACTTTTGTCCTACGAAGTTTACTTCGTGTTCCTACGCATCTTCCTAGGTATAGCCTCTCACACAGCATCTCCCAATGCGGATAATTATGCGGTAGCCCTGTGTCGCAATCGTATTTGAGTATCACAAAGTCCATCAGGGTTCCTGTCTTTTGAATATATAAGCCAGTCACATTGAATATCCGGATATGCATTGCGCTAGAACTTCCCTATATCAAATCTTAGTTTAGCGGGAAGAAAAGAAGATAAGAGCGAAACCGAATAAGACTTCAAGAATTGTGTTTCATATGCGGCCAGGTAAAGTTAACTGCGACAGAATCCCTTCGATTGCGTTTACATTATGCGACTAACTTCTCGATGCATAGAGTTATTTGATACAGTCGCAACTTACCTACATAAAACGAACTTCGTGAGAAGCATTGGCTGAAGATGCCATTCAACCTAGCTCATGCAAAATATGTCTTCAGCGAAATGAGCTGTCTTCGAAAGCACCTAGCCGCATTGCTAGTTGTTTTCTTTCTTTCAACCAATCCTACCGCTTCCTATGCTGCCGCGTCCTATATTCCCCCTATAAACAATCCACAGACATCTATAACTACAACAAGCCCTATAATCCCTCGATCGGCCGAGAGCATCGCTACCATCTCCGCTAACTACCAACCCAGTGGCTGGTATGTTTGTATTGTTTAGGTATTATAAGTTGATCAAAGCTGATAAAACTAGCTCTGAAATCCCGGCCAACTCCGAAGGTAGGAGACTGGATGGAAACGACGCCCAAAGACGTGACTATCTACCGGACATTACAGTTCAGTAGGTATACTACTATGCGATTACTATTATGGAGTTTTATTGATGAAAAGTGGCAGACACCATGCTGGGCACGAAGGTGAAAACACTATAGAAGGGTGCTCGCGACAGGAACGAGACTACAATATCACACTTAGAATCGGTCTTCTATTCGTGATTCTAGTTACCAGCTTCATCGGTATGTATACCTTCTACCATAGTAAGATGGTATAATGACAGATAATTATAGGGGCTGCTGGGCCAATATTCCTGAAGCCGGTTTTGTCACAAAAATTCCAAGTAATATTTATCGTTCTCAAGCAGCTGGGTACTGGGGTTATAATATCGACGGCATTTGTTCATGTGAGTTTCTGGTTCATACTTCGGCCACTAAAATACTTCGCTTACTGATTGTTCTTCCTGCTAGCTTTTTACTCATGCGCAGCTAATGTTCACGAACGAGTGCCTTGGAAATATAGGATATGAAGCAACTCCGGCAGTAATTGTTATGGCTGGGATGTTTTTTGCGTTTGCCGTTGAAAGCACAGCCCACCGCCTAGCGCAAAGGTTTTGGGCAAAGAGGGAATACGATGATGGGCTAATCGGTGTTGTCGTACTTGAGGCTGGCATCATATTCCATTCGCTTCGTAAGTCGTCCCTCCCTCCATAGTCTTCATTCCTTATTAGTCTAACTCGCCTACCTAGTGATTGGTCTTACCTTGGTGGTCGCAGATGACACTTTCTTCATCACGCTTTTTGTTGTGATCCTCTTTCATCAGATGTTTGAGGGGCTAGCTCTCGGGACTCGTATTGCTTCAGTTGGTCTTCCAATCAGAGCCGAAGGGGTTCACGACTCGAATGTAGAAGACTCCCGACCTGCACAAGAACCGGCAACCACGTATAATAGGAAATCGCTTGAAAAGAAATTGCTAATGGCTGCTGCATTTTCTGTGACTACCCCAGTCGGCCAGTAAGTTCCTTGATACTGCCAAGGTTGACTGTGCTCGTTGCTAACTAAGGATGGCTTCTAGAGCGATTGGTATTGGGGTACTAAAACATTTCAATGGAAATGACCCTAGTACCTTAGTCGCGCTTGGTACTTTAGACGCGTTATCAGCCGGAATACTGATATGGGTCGGCGTAGTCGAGATGTGGGCGGGCGATTGGGTCTTTGGTGAACTGGCGGGGGCGGGGCCTGTAGTAATAGCTCTAGCAGGATTTGGGCTCGCCCTTGGTATGGCTATCATGAGTTTATTAGGTAAATGGACGTAATCCCAATAACTTCCATGCTACCAGGCATCTGCATGCAAGGTTATGTCGATAGACACTTAGCATGCCTAGCTATAGACACAAATGAAGACTAGATGGGCATGGAACTCGAAAATTGCGGTTGCGCAGGCGGGGATATGGCAAGCGCCCGTCATATTTAAACATAATCTGATGTCATCATCGGGGGTATCACGTGATGGAATTCACCTTCGTTGAAAACACCGCGCTTTCTCTATGGGGCCTAGTGAGTATACCTAGTGCCTTCTAGGCGTGTAAGTTCGAGTTTCTTTATCGTATCGTTTTGTTACGGCTGCATGCCCATCTAGGTAGGTGGATAAGTTCCCAGGTAGGTAAGGCCGTTTCGTAGACTGTCCCCTGTTCACCTGGGTAGCGATGCAAAACCTAATTGTTCTTTTCTTTTCCTTCTCTTTTTGAAGAGAAAAGGAAAAGAAAAAAACTTCACAATCTGAATGTGTCATCTTCTCAACATCATAGGTGGAGTAATGAGGGTATGGACGCACAGGGACGGAAGGGTGGTCGTTCCAAGCCCCGTGAAGTAACTCCAACTCCGCAAACTCATTAGATGTCTTAGTTTAGAAAACGAAAGTCCCTTGCTTAATTGCGTAGAAAGGCTCTCCTAAAAGAACAAGTACGCTCATGCTCTCTTACTACCTTATCTACTTCCCTTGAGCTGACCTTTTAACCTAACATTATAGGTCGGATCCGACCTGTGAAGGACCAATTTGGGGACTCGGGTGGTTCGAGTGACCAGGGAATAGTCCAGGGTAGAACGTTAGTATACATGTGGAATACGACGTTTTCCACGAGATCGTAGCCATGTCGCATGCTTCATTTTGTGAGGTGCAGAAGGATTGACCCAAAGGCTTGGGCACTTAATCTATATGGCCCGGTCCAGAGCCACGCTGTTGGTTGGCTAAAAGGCAATCAACCCATGGGTATTGCGAGATCTCGGGATCGTTTTAAAATTTGTAGTACATGGGAGGTTGTTGGGACTAACTACAAGCGCAATCACGCAACCCACGCCATCGCCGTTCTTGGACTGTTTTTATAGGGGCCTTTGATATGCAAGCGATGATGCAACGATCAATTTAAGCTCGCAATCGCACTTGGCGCTTCACAACCTTCCCGTCTGGGCGAAGCCCCTGTTGTATCATTGATAACCCGTATCTTGTCGATTATTTGACCGGGTCACCTAGAGTTAGTCTCGCAAGCCACATAATTCTAGAATGCATGGCACCTGGCTGTGAAACCCCAAAAAGGCCCTATCTCGTATCTATATTAAGGGCGATGGGTGCCACCTATCTCTCGATTTTCAATCGCATGTAGAAGCTTCGGGTAGTTTCGCGATCTTAATCGCAATCCTTGAGAGTCTGTACTTACAATGGGTATGTATCTATCACCTTTGCGCACGCGAAATATTTAGCTAAACTATTATGAAGCTGAAAACGTTGTTGGTCTCACTGTGCAGAAAGTCGTCGAGCCAGATGCGGATAATAAAGGTGTGCCAAGGTCAAGCGTGCACCTTGCGGGGGATGTCTCGGAAAATGCCCACCCAGCTCCCGACACTCCTCATACCAACTCGCACCTCGACTCTCTAGAGGAAAATAGCGATGTTATCGACTACGAGGCCTACCCACCCCCGACGAAGGAAGAACGCGAGACTCTCCGCAAAGTGTACGACACAATTCCCATAGCAGCTTGGTCCCTTTGCTTTGTCGAGTTAGCGGAGAGAGCGTCGTACTATGGAGTTAAAGCGGTCTTCAACAACTTCCTCCAATTTCCACTACCCGCCGGCGGTCCTGGGACAGGAGCTATAGACCCAAGTAAGCCGAACTCTCACGCCGGTGCACTTGGTATGGGCCTTCAGTCTGCCTCTGCGCTGACGCTTCTGTTCACTTTCCTGGCTTATGTCATTCCTATCTTTGGCGCTTGGATTGCGGACACCAAGATTGGTCGGTATAGAGCTATCGTATATGGAGTGCTTGTGGGTGCAGTCGCGCACGTTATCATGATAGGAGGCGCCGCTCCGGCTGTCCTGCAAGCTGGCAAGGGTGCTGTACCGTTCCTTATCAGCTTCTTTCTCCTTGCTATTGGAGCCGGCATCTTCAAGCCCAACGTCGCACCGACAGTTATCGACCAGTACAAGTACCAACGTGAATACACCAAGGTGCTCAAATCGGGTGAAAAGGTGCTTGTGGATCCCGAGACGACTGTCAGCCATATCATGTTGATATTTTATGCCTTTGTTAATGTGGGCGCGTTCTTCTCCATCGCTATCGTCTATATCGAGAAGTACCATAGCTTCTGGCTGGCCTTTTTGGTACCGGGGATTGTGTACTTTCTTTTGCCGCTTCTGCTTGCGGCCATGTATAAGCGCACCGTGAGGAAGAAGCCACAGGGTTCCGATTTGAATCGGTTCGTAAAGATCACTGTTTCAGCACTGAAGGCAAGCAAGGGAAATATCTTCTCGGAGAATCTGTGGCACAACGTGAAACCTGCTGTGCTTGCGGAAAAGAATATCGCTGTCACCTACTCGGAGAAGGATGTTGATGACGCACAACGCACGTGGGAAGCGGTCCAGATCTTTCTCTACATCCCCGTTTGGTATCTAAACGACGGAGGTGTTGGCGCGGTTTCGAGTAACCAGGGAGCCGCTATGACTTCTAATGGCGCCCCGAACGATCTTTTAGGGCACTTTAACCCGTTGGTTATCGTCGTCTTTTCGCCGTTCATGGCTCAGATCGTGTACCCATTCCTTGAGCGTCGGAAGATCAAGTTCGGGCGTATCAATCGGATGACCTTTGGGTTTGTTCTTGCTATCATCTCCGGTGTTATCGGCGCTGTTGTCCAGTATCGCGTATATGAAACTAGCCCATGGTATGTACCTACTCCTTCAACGTCTTCTCCATTACGCTATCGTAATAAGCTAACATGACTTCTTCAATACAGCGGTTATTACGCTAGCGACTGTGACGATGTTTCGCCCATTTCAATTTGGTGGCAGGTGCCCAATGTTGCACTCGGTGCTATTTCAGAAATCTTCGTCAACGTTACCTCGTATGAGTTGGCCTATGCCCGTGCACCGGAGAACATGAGAGCCACTGTCGTAGCTCTCTTCCTATTCATGACGGCTTTAAGCAGTGCTTTAGGAGAGATCCTGATCCCGGCAATCACTGATCCGACGCTCATTTGGGCTTGGGCCGCTCCGGCTATCGCACTTTTCGTCCAGACCATCATCTTCTGGTGGAGGCACCGCAATGTCAATGACGATGTCTTCATGACGTACGATGAAGATTATCAACAACCTTCAACTGAGAATGAGAAAATTGAGAAGGAAGTGAAGTAGCCGGTCTTGTGTAACTACATTAGCAGAATATGCGACGAACCGGGCCAGTAATTGGGGAACTCCGGTGACGCGGACTGAAGCTTGTCAATGTACCCAGTATTCATCATATCGCTATAGCTACCTAGATATTAGGGTACACAATTACGTTTTGTCCCTTCAATTGAACAAATAACTTAGCTCAAATAAGATGCTTTGGGCGGAAGAAAATGATGTGAGTGATGTGAAGGGATCTGACTAAAGAAATGAGCACTCTCGCATCGGCTAAAGTGCGGCCTAGATAGCTAGAAGCTTGGCATCGTCGTCATTGAAAGATGAATAATTATTTTAAGATGGATAAATCTTTCAAGTCCGTTTATCTCCGTTTCACCCGTTCGCGATTATCTCGCCACGAACGCTTTGCTTGTTGCATTGCGCACTCTAGTAAAGCAAGATGATACTTCTCCGGTCTCTCAATCATTCAGAAAGCGGAAATGGCTAGAGGTACTCTCAATTCGTATGTTTGCGCCCGATGCGCCCGAAATTTACTTACCCAACACACCCGAGCTCCCACTATCGTGCACCGAAGGAAATACGCCACCAAGCCCGCTAGTACTCCAGCCGACGAGGAACTCAAGCATAATCATGCGAATCATAACGATGGAAATACCGACCCTGAGCTCGGTCCTATGACCCGCCGTCTCCAAGAAGCGACAGAAGAAGCGTTATTTACTGGGGGCAGGGCGGGCCGACGGGCAGTAGAAGATGCAGGCTTCTCGGAGGAACTGAAAGAACGCCTATTTGCGAAAATGAAAGATGCGGAATTTCGATCCGAACACGCAGCAGCTTTCGCTGAAGCCGGTACGCCGTCCGCAGCGGGTGCCAGCACCCGCGCCACAGCTACGAGTCAGCCATGGACGGGTACCGAAACCACCGAAGACGCCGTCCTTCGAATGCTCAACGATGCCCATAAACCTTTGAAGCGCGAACTACGAGGTCGTCCCCGGATACCCGATCTCCAACCGGTCGACATGCGAGTGAAACAAGAACCCAAGATGAAGGCCGGGCATAGAGCTGCTAACGCAAGGGACAAGGCTTCCATATACGCGGGCATGGGCATGAAGGAATTGGAGGAAGGCCTAAGTGAAGAAGAGAGAGAAACGATGCGAAAAGAGTTACGCGACCGCTTTAGACCCGCCGCCCGAGCGCTACCAAATACACTGACAGGGCTGGCCTCGTTAGCGAATGAGAGGATTGAAGATGCCATCGCAAGAGGTCAATTCAAGAACATTCCGAGGGGAAAGGGTGTCGAGCGTGATACTAGAAGCGACAATCCTTTTATTGATACAACTGAGTACATCATGAACAAGATGATCAAGCGGCAAGAGATAGTACCACCATGGATTGAGAAGCAGCAAGAGCTGGCGAAAGCGGTGCATGTGTTTCGGGCCCGGCTGCGAAGCGATTGGAAACGGCATGCTTCCCGGATGATAGCAAGTAAGGGCGGCTCTCTAGAGGATCAGATGAATAGAGCAAGACGATATGCGAAAGCCGAAGAATTACACAACCCACGGAAACGGAACGTCGATCAGATCGCAGTGCCTACCAATTCAACAGATGACCCTGTTATGGTCAAAATACGACGGCAAGCACCCTTGGAAGCAAACGCCGAATCGGTGCCGGAAACGGCTGATAGTGGGGTGGCATCTCAGAATACACCGTTGCCGCCTCCTTTCCGAGACCCCGACTGGCTAACCACGGAGCAAAAATACATGGACCTCTCAATCAGCAATCTCAACACCCTCACGCGCTCATACAATTTGATGGCCCCTGAGTTGGCTAAGAAGCCATATTTTTCACTTGAACGAGAGCTAAGCAATTGCTACGCCGACGTTGCACCTCAACTCGCAGATGCTATCAAGGATAGAGCTATTAGACCATCGAAATCTCTCATAGATGGAATCGGACAAACTCCGAATGGTATTTTTGACCGGTTTGGAAAAGGCGGCCACACCACAAAAGTATACGATTCTAAAGCTCCCCACTATGGGTTCAAGGAGATGTGGCGGGATATGTGGAATCGCTAATCTCTCTTAAGGGCCTAAGTACCTCTTAAGAAACCGGGGACCTACTTAGTGATTATCCATGTTTCAATTCATGCTCTAGATACGACAAGAATACGAAACAAGATTTTCAGTTGGAGTATTTTATCTTCATGTAGTATATCCTGCAGACACATTGTGGCGTTGCATATTCTGCTCAACCCCGGACTGTATCCGAAACATCTGGACTTGAGGATTAGTGTAGATTCGAAACTAACCTATAGCTTAACGACCAGCAGCTAATATGAATTTATTGGCAAACCTACGACCGCATGCATATCCTTTAAGGCGACAAATTAAAGCCCGTTCATATCATACCTTCTTCTCCGGACCAAAGGGATTGCGTACTGCTCGGGCCGACCCGTCGCCAGGTACCATAAACCATAGCCGAACTAGTTTACCCAGGAACGGACCACCGGCGTCAAGGTGTCGTCATAGTTAGCGTTGCATCTTGTACATCAAAATTCCATTCTGACATCAAAGACTCGAGAAGAAAACGAACATAGAAGAAAGAACAACAAAGGTAAATCGAGAAAAGACATCTGATCTGATCAAGAATGGACAATAAGTGTTGTTTTGCACAATTCGATCAATTTTACCAGCTACATCACCTGTTGTATCAGCTAGAATAGGAAAAAGCGCTTCGGGATCGAGACGGTGGCACCACCATTTACACGGCCTGGACGCCTAGACTTGCAATTTATGGGGCTTCAGCTTCGGGGGCATTCGGCGTTCTCCATTTCCCCAGAAGCATCAAATGCTACGAGTCGCGACTCTAAGTCTCTACGGTGAAATTCTCCAGACTCTCCACTCTCCTCTCCGCTTCTGTTTTTATTCAATTGACTCTCGTTCCTAGTTTATTGTCTTTCTTTTCTAACTTTTTGCTAATTTTCATTCTCAATCCCTCGTGTCTAATCGTGTCTTTGCGCCTGCATCAGTAAACCCACTGCTGGCCGTGCTCTCGCCCCCTTCGTTACCTGCCCCTCCAAACCGTTTCTAGGGAGAGCTTAGAAGCTCGGATCGTGACAACATGGCATCGCCCGTAGCATCCGCAGCTCTTAAAGCTCGAATTAACCGACCGTCGATGCTAAAGAAGCTATGCCAACCCAAAGATTTACTTCACCATTTTCCCAATGGCGCTTACATTGGCTGGTCGGGTTTCACCGGCGTGGGTTATCCCAAGTACGTTACCTACCGTAATCCCATTTTACCGTATAGCTCGGTTATCTAACACTTGGCGTATAGGAAAATGCCTACATTCCTCGCAGACCACGTAGAACAGAACAACCTTCAAGGTAAACTACGTTATACACTATTCGTCGGCGCCTCCTCAGGGGCAGAAACGGAGAATCGATGGGCTGGACTAGATATGATTGAGAGGCGAAGTCCTCATCAAGTTGGCAAAGCTATTGCGAAGGGTATTAACGAAGGGAGGATCAAATTTTTCGATAAACATTTATCAATGTTTCCGGTGGACTTAGTATATGTAAGTCAGCGCGACCCTCTATTCGCGAATGTTAGCATGAATATTGGGCTCTAACTTTACCAGGGATTTTACACGAAAGATCGACCGAACAATAAATTAGACGTGGTAGTGGTCGAGGCAACAGAAATTAAAGAGGATGGAAGCATTGTTCCAGGTGCATCGGTTGGTGCGACACCAGAACTTATCCAACTCGCCGACAAGGTAAGCAAAATAGGAGAATATCCGGACGAACAGCTATAGCTAACTATATGATGCGATCGTAGATCATTATTGAAGTTAACACAGCGATACCGAGCTTTAACGGACTTCACGATATCACAATGACTGATTTACCACCAAACCGAAAACCATACTTGATTATGGGTGTTGAGGACCGTATCGGAAGCACATCTATCCCCATTGACCCGGAGAAGGTCGTTGGTGTAATTGAGTCCGACTACCCAGACCAAACTACGCATAACACGCCCGCAGACGAGTGCTCTCGCAGTATCGCAAATCACCTAATCGAATTCCTCGAACATGAAGTTACACAAGGCCGCATGCCTAAGTCTCTGCTCCCTCTACAGTCCGGTATCGGAAATATCGCAAACGCGGTTATCGGGGGCCTCAGCGAGTCCAACTTCTACAACCTAAAAGTTTGGACTGAAGTTATCCAAGACACATTCTTGGACCTCTTCGACTCGGGTCGGCTTGACTTCGCTACTGCAACCTCAGTCCGCTTCTCTCCGGAAGGTTTCAAGCGTTTCTACGATAATTGGGAATCGTACCACAACAAGCTACTCCTGCGCTCGCAGCAAGTATCCAATTCACCCGAAATCATCCGAAGATTAGGCGTCATCGGCATGAACACACCGGTAGAAGTAGACATCTACGCACACGCCAACAGCACCAACGTAATGGGCAGCCGTATGCTAAACGGTCTAGGTGGGTCCGCCGACTTCCTCCGATCATCTAAGTACAGCATCATGCACACGCCCTCCACACGACCCTCCAAGACGGACCCCATTGGCGTTAGCTGTATCGTGCCTATGTGCACACACGTCGACCAGACAGAGCACGACCTCGATGTCGTCGTGACCGAGACCGGGTTGGCGGATGTGCGGGGCTTGAGCCCCCGCGAGCGTGCCCGTGTTATTATTGATAAGTGCGCGCATGAGGAGTACCGACCGATTCTTAAGGACTACTTTGAGAAGGCGGAGTTTGAGTGCTTGAAGAAGGGCTGGGGACATGAGCCCCACTTGTTGTTTAACTCCTTTGATATGCATAAGGCATTAGTTGAGGAGGGCAGCATGAGGAAGATTAAGAAGTGGTAAAAGGGAAAAGGGGGTGTAAATGTTGTAGCTCGTAAAGAATAATGGAAGGTCTTGGGGAAGAGGGGCTATATATCATGGTCGGGCATGGAATACGCCTGGTTTCCAAAATTTTGAAAGTAGATATTCTAGGTATTCCACTTAGAAGTGAGTATGGTGGATGAGATGGCTCTTGATAGCCTTAACTCCACTTGGAGTTATTTCAATCATGAATTGCTTGGTATCATTACCTAGACATAGTATCTAGTTGTTGGAATTATTTAATAATGAGAACCTACGCAAGCATGCCTTTCGGAATTCTAAATATAGCTACGGCTAGACATACCTACGGCGGTCCAATAAGCTATAAACTGCCAATACGCCAAGACACCGTGCGAGGTTACAGTATGGTGGCGTATTTTATTGTGTCGCTGTAATTATAGGGAGTCATGTGCTAAAGCGCCCTGTACTTATAGGAGCTATAGCTGTGTACCTATTATGACGTTTTCAATATCCTACTAAAGTCCGCTGTAATTACAGCCCTGAAAGCCTTGTAAATTTAGTCGTTACAGTGTAAAACGCCACTATACTGCTACATTATGGTTCATTAGCAGTTCATATGGAGTCGGTAGACCGCCTGATCGACTGAGTACCTATCTATATGATGTTCCTTTCCCTTCAATTCACTTACATTTTATACCTTGTCTTGCCTTGCCAACCCGCCCTCACACTTGGCCTATCTTTATTTCACATCCTATAAAACCACAGCACACGATGCCGAATATAGATCAATTCAAAAATCCGCAGGCACGTAAAGTAGCAGCTCTCTACCATATTGTTGGGCAATACATTCAGTGAAAAGGCGATGCTCAATCTCTCACTCCGAGTGATTTAGCTAAGCTCAAGGTCAAATGTACTGATATTGATCTCTGCGGCAGAACACCTAAAGTCGGCGGTTTCAAGTTTCCTAATACGAAACCGTTCGGTGAGATGAAGGATTTCGCCGAAGCGAAAGGTTTCAAAAACCATCCCGTTGCTCAGGGCGAACTCGGCCTTGGGGATTGGTACCGCGCTGATATGTTAGCCACTTTCTTCAAAGAATTGCTCGAGTGCCCTGTCGACGAGGGCAAGTTGAGCCTACTAGAATCTAATTCATGGCGCCTTTCAAAGTGATCTACAAACATACTTGTGGCAGGCTGCGGTAAACAAGTGCCAAAGCTGGGTACCTAGATGATAGACTAAAGTAAAAATAGGGAGAAGCTTTTTCAACATCATCGGGGGAACACTACTGAAGTCCACTGGCGGACCGGCTTTTTTCTCTACCCCAATGAAAAATCTAGGCGGGATTCTATATGCTTCCTTACAACCGAGGATTCCCTCGACCAAGACACCCTCACTCCTGGCGAAGTTGCCTGCATTGCGGGCAGCGGTTTTTCCAGATTGCCAAAAAGGAAAGCTCCCAAACAAGTGGCAGCACCAGTGAGTTTCTAAGGCCAGCACCACTATAATACATTTCACTTATGCGACTTAAGGTCACAGTCGTGTCGGCTTCCGGAAAAGGCCTCAGGGTTATTCAAGGCTGTGCTGACAACGATGGCTTGATCAACCTATTTAAGACGAGTTTCATCAAGGTCGATGGAGCACTAGAGCAATATTAGGAAGGACTCATAAGGATCACTTACTAGCTCCTGCCAGTTAGCCAAGCCGACCTCCAGGGCTCTTAGTTAAGCAGTGACAAACCTGAGGTCACGCTTGGGGTATTGCCCTTAGAGACGGATGTAGGTAGGTAGGCATAGTATACGTGTCGTAAGCATGCGCGTCCGCGTATAAACCTTATATGATAATTAACAATGCTACATTACCTATATACTAGGCACCTAGTAGTACTTTATATTTTTCAACAGGTATTAGATATGTAGCTACATCGGCTTTCATCATTGGTTTCGAACCCAACAAGCAGTCTGCTCCATACCTATTATCCTGTTGAGGCAGGGTGCATGGCGAGATAATAACCAAATACTAGAAGATAGAACGTAGCTATCACAGGCCTGGTAAGGTATCGGCTGCACAGGTGGTACGGTAGCTGAGTTACTAGGAGTTGAAGGGGATTTGAAAGCGACAAGCGCGGCACATCCTTTTGGCTCAAAATCAGCTGTCAACGATCTACTAAATATAAATATATATGAGCCGTTAAGAATAACGTGTACGACTTTACAGTGCCGACAGTTTCTGTGTCCTATTGTTATCTGGTCGACAAGATTTTACTTCTGCCAAACTTGCTCCTATGGCTAATATCACACTTACCAATATACCTCAAACTGTTGTCAAATGGGAGAGAGATGCTAAAAAGAATAAAATACCAAACCCTTATACCGCTTCCATTCACGACCCTGACCTCACTCTGTTGTCTGGCTCCAAAGGAGGCAATGAACAGTTCTTTCTCTGCCGTACCATATGGGAGCCTCGTATGCTTGGGCTTCCCGATTGCATTCCCAAAAAATATCTACTTGAAGCTAAAAAGATTCTAAGTGATCCAGTTCGGTCACGTCAGTGGCTTGCATTTCTAGAAAGGATTAACGAGGATCCGTACAAGCCGTTGACGATCTCTGCGAGTCAGGAGCTAGGAAAGCTCGCACTTGTCTTACAAGCACTACAATATGCAAGTCAAATAACTGGCACGGCAACAATTGACGGAAGTAAAATTGATTTCAGCCCCATTGCCAATAGGACTCGATCCCAAAGGCGTCAGTCCAATCCGCCTCGCCCAGAGACCCCAACCCATTCGACTTCTACTCAGGCGGATCCCGCTAGACCTCTGGACTCTGATGACTCTGATGTTGAGATGGATGATTTCTCTTCATTCATGGCATCTCCAGTCGTGCAACACTCGCCAGTGGCTGGAGAGTTGGCAAAATTAGAGGGACCCGCGAGGTCCGAACAAGAGATGGTCATCACTAGTACCATTTTACAAAGAGCCGTGTGCATGGGTGCAGGGGCTTCTCAAGTAGAAATCACGGCCGATCAGGAGGCGTTCAGGGCTAGAAGTGGTAATCAGCCGCTGTACACTGCTCGCGTGGATGGGGTTATGCGCAACGCCGCGATTAAGTTCATCGCATTATGGACCGAGACGAAAAGGTCGCATCGTTACTGCGAACCAGACGCTGCGGCTATCAAAGGGCAGGAAACGTTTCAGCTTTTCGCGAAGGTCTCCGGGCAGCCGGACGAGTACCTTCAGAAACTAAAGGAAGATGGGACTAATGAAACGTCAGATACCCAATCCACTTGTCCGAGTCAAGAACGACGTAGCTAACGACAAACACATCTAGTGAATGTTGGTTGGCCATGAATATACATGAATTTTTTTTCCAGCGGGCGTCTTTCCCGCCAGGATGGGTCGCGTACACTCAAGGCGTCAAGGGGGACAAATTTGCAATTGCCAAGGTAAAAGAGACTGGCCCATTCATCTGGCATGACCGGGAGTCAATGAGCGACCTAGGAATCCTTATTCTAGCTCTTGCGCTTCAAGAGACCGATCGACAGAAAAAAATACCGCGGCGTTAATTGAAACTGTTGAGAACACCACCAAGCTTTTCGACCTTGCTAACAAGCGTGGGACATGGAAATACCGTGCGCCATTCCGAATAAACCGCCAGTGCGCCGCAATACAGTGCATTAGTTCGTTGATACGTAACTCTTTAAGGCTTACTCGAATAATGGGACCCTGTCGCCGTCAACTCAGAATACTCTTATACCATATTTCTTATGCATTTTTTAATATTTTGAACGTTTATTAGCCGTCGCATCTCACATCTTAACAGGCCGCAAGCTTAGAGTCTGGGAATTGGACCAGAGAATAAGGGACAACTTGGACAGGATAAGGTCCGTGTAGTAGATGGCAGTAAGCGTGAAGACCCATCATAACCAGGCGCAGCTTCAAATTGGCAAGATGTCCATGTTGGCAAAGCGCCACACGATACCATCTGGCTTCGTTTCCATCGTTGGGTGTTGGGCTTACATTGTAACTATGTGAGACGGCGGTGTAAGCTTGATGCCTTATGCCGTGATCCATGGATCACCTACCAGCTGTTAGTAGAATTCACGGCACAGAACACGAGCGTCTATATCTACTAGGATTTGTCTGGGGTTCTTCAACATGTGTTTGTTCAGCTGACACGATAGTTGCGAAAAACTTTCTTGTGGGCGCTTCTTTATGTTCCTTCAGAACCGCCGCTCTCCTGGTTTTAATGGCTCTATTGTGATGACGTAATCTATGGCCAAGGTTCTATTGGAAATAAGAACGAGCCACAATGGAAAGGACCTATTTCAGCTGAATATTAGCTGAAGAGAAAAATAAAATTGACAGGCCGTGCACCTAAATATTGGGGTCTTCTATTTATATGTAATTAATAGGCGTAGCTGAGTTGCTCTTGTATTACGTAGATGGCTTCCACTTTATTGGACAGTAAGAGATCTTTAATTGAAACTGTATGGTTACATCATATAGTGAATCATATCTAGGGTATTAAACCCGCTTATTGCCGATCCCATACCCGACAAAAGTAATGGGGAGGGATTCGTCAAGGATTGAGACCCTAGAATTCGGGGATTTTTCTGCTCTTATGCCGATATGATGTCTTCGATATGATGACATATCCCATTTGAGGGGTTATTTTTGATCAACTTTTTCATCAGTAACTTGCCTAGACACGGCCGAGATTTTCACGATATTCACATCAGTTAACTTATATAGCTGTCGCTATATCATGCCGACATGGGTTAGAGCTCCGTTACGTAGTCAGTCATATGGCCTACGGCATTTCACGTCCGTCGCCTATTGTGGGACTCTGGTAGGTCTGGTAGGTGTGATTTGACTACCTATCACATTGCCAACGCATCTGGCAATGGTTGACTGTCACAGCTTGGACCAACGAGAAGCGAGGAAAAGCAAAGATATAAGACATCTCTATCGTATAGGTGACAAAGGCTGAGGTCCACCGCGTCTTTTTCTCGTGGGCATTATGTCATCTATCTCTTCCTTCATACGCGCTACTATAAGAGTGAAATACGCCTGTTCTAAGATCTCACCATTTCTGTTCACGTTGACTCATCCCATTTGAAATCGTCAACCAGGCAACAACGTAAGACAAGTCAACACCTGCAATCGACCTGGAACTTTTGACTCGGCAATTATTTCACAATGGATTCATTACCTGTCGAAATTCTTAATCAGATCTTTAGTTACTTTTGCTTTCATTGTCAGCACTCTAGATTCTTCCCCAATGCCGATCTTGAGGAAGTCCGTCGCGATAAGAAGCAACTTGCCCACCTGTGCTTAGTATCAAAGGGAGTGTGTTCTGTCGCACAGCCCATACTATACCATTTTTACGCGACTGGCAACAGCCGAGTAGAGACCAAGATTTACCAGGGTTATGATGATATCAAGAAACGCCCTTGGGAAAATGACTACCTCCCACAATTCGTTCGCACCATCGCGCAACGCCCGGATCTAGCATCCCGGGTCACCGCGATGCATATCGTACGTGGAGGTGAACTAACAGGATACGAGAGTCAGATGGAAGAGATAGAATCACTTTTTGATTTTAGCGTTGACAATAATCTTCTTCCAAAACCCCATCTTCCTGAAGATTGGATCGACGGCCGATTTTCGGAATGGCGGGATTCTCAACGTGAATGGCTGCACTTGTGGCTTACCACCTTAGCCATCGTTCTTTCAACACGCCTGGATAAATTACTTCTCTCTATTGATCACAACGCGGAATTTTCTGAATTGGAGTATGCACGTCACATTAAACTACCGTCCCTCCGGACATTGGGTCTAATCCGGAACACGACCGACTACCACTTCAACGAACTTGAGGCTTTGTATGCCGCGGCACCGAACGTATGTATAAAAACATATTTCATTTTACCTTATTCCCCCTTCCCGAAGGACCCTCCCACCCCGGGTATTGGGTATTTCCACCCCCTCACCGTGGGACCACGCACTTTCTGAAGTATGAGGTACGAGATGGCTAACGGACACAGCTTGAGAATATATATGCGTGTGATGCCGCAGGTTGGTCCAAGTATGTTGTCAAGTCATACTACAGCGGATATAAATATGAGCTAGCCCTACCGAATATTAAGAAGCTAGTGATTTCGGATTTAATTCCTGAGCATCTGGGGAATTTGCTTCCATGTGTTCCGAAGCTGGAAGACCTAGAGTATTACTGGGATGGGGATAATGAGTTCGACGTCGAGGATCTGACGGAATTATTCCAACCAGTCAAGAAGACCCTCTCAAGGTGAGTCTTACTCAGATGGTTACCTACCCTATCCAATCAATTTCAGCTAACATGATCCAAAGGCTTTCGATAGTGGCGCCTCCAAGGAATTTCCCTCCGTTCCGTTTGGAGCCCCTCCCTACATGTATGTATAACGTCGCGTCTACTTCTTTCCTCTGCTTTTACAGTAGCATATCGCTACTCCCATCTAGACATTGGGTAACTATTCGAGAGGTATTAGACGGCTGACTAACATATCTTCACACACATAGTCATCGAATCACCACGGGTAGACTATCCACCTCTCCGAACTTTCCGTGGGTTCGATAAATTGGAGGACCTGTCAATTGACTGCTATCTGATATATCGGGAGCATGACTCCGACGAAGCGGATCGGCTTACCACCTTGCTCCCACGTTCAATTCGAAAGCTCCGCATCTCGTATATGTACAAGAGTATGGATAGGGCTTTATTGCAACTTGCAGCAGATGCGCCGGAAGACTTCCCTGCCTTCAAAGGTACGCCGTCGCAGTGCCTCATTGCCCCCCTTTACATAGCTAACCTAAACAAAGAAATCACAATTGGTGTGGCTGAGAGAACAAATCCCATAAGACTCGACCTCACTCCAGACGCCAAGAAATTGCTCGATAAAGCATTCAACGAGTCCGGCATCAAAATATCCTGGAAGAAAGATTTCCTAGGCCCAGATCCCCGGACTACCATCCCAGGTGCCATGGTTAGGTCAAGACTCATCCCCGTACCACAAGTCATGGATGCCCTCGAAGACTACGAACTAGAAGTTGAGACGCAGCCCGATGAAAAGAATTCGTTTGATTGGATCTCCACCCGAGCCAGCAGGTCCCTCTTCGGGACTCATCTACGTGTATGTGAACGCGATGGTGCATCGCGAAAACGGTGCCACTTAAGTACTCTTCATCCTGATACACGTCGTGTTAGATAGTATGACTATTATGCTATCTACTAGGTCCCCGCACAGCAGTTGTCTGTTACTCATTACAGCACTTTTTAGCCGAAATGTCGGCAAGAAGCAATATGAGTTGGAACATTAAGATGGCGGACATCAACGGCGTCAGGCTTTATTCATCACTTTCATTTGTCGGCGTCATTCTGTTTCCTCTGGAGTTGGGAAGCCTTGGAATTGACTCAGAGGCGATTGTCATCTTGACCGGTTTCCGTGGAAGGGAATCTTCAACTCATGTGCATTATCATTAGGTGTGTATTTAAGTAAGATATGGGTAGAATGTGGGATTCGCGTCATGGTACGGGGTTTAATAGAAATTTATCTGATTATTCTTGACGAATCGAATGAATGAGTTCGTGAAGTTATAACATTAACAAGCGTAGCTTGCTATAACCGGTTAGTCGGCCCCTATAGCTCAGTGGTAGAGGTAAGAAGCAGTCCGAAATTGATTGTGAAAATGACGCTAACATCCTCGAAGCGCGTCACTCGTAACTGTTTAAGGGATGACGAGGTCCATCGTTCAATCCGGTGTGGGGGCAGAGATATCTATATGACCAATATTTATATTGGGTTTCTCTTTTTATTTCCCGGGAAGCCTTCAAGGGTGCTTCATTATGGAGAATAGAGTTAGAAGTTCGGAATTGCAGACTGCGGGGTCAACACACTAGGTATACATGTATTAGATAAGCTATATGGATTAGTCAAGATCAACTGCTGACTAGATGTTCTGTGTAACATAGCTTATCTAACGATGCTTATGTAACAGTATTCTTGCTTATATAATACAAAGTCGACGAATAAATGCTTAATTTTGATCCCAAGTTTCAATCCTAACCTTCAATTAACAAGACAATATACGGCAGTCCCTGTTTCAACTTCATCAATACCTATATAAAAGCTCATTTACTATAGTTAATATGAATTTTCTACTCTCATTGAATTCAACTCAATTTTATCCTAGAACTAACCTTGATATGTTCTAAGCGACCTCTTGCTGACTTTACAATCTTGGAACCTAACGAATTTAGCCCAATTTTTCTTTATTACTCTGATTTATAAAGATCGGATCGCGTCGTTCACGTACCAAACGTCACAAATCGCACATGGTTGGTGTTGCTGGAAAGGTGAGCATATCGAAACCCTGATACTAAGCGAAGAAAATGAATCGTCACTAACACGAAATAGTCGCAAGCCTGCAACGCTTGTAGGCAAAAGAGACTAAAGGTGTGTGATTAGTAAGCATCATAGTTCTTGGGAACGAAGACCCGAGCTTCTCTCCTTGATAGGAATTGCTAATTACTTCGGATAGTGCGACTTGACGCGACCGTCTTGCCTGAAGTGTATCAAATCGGGTAAAGCATGCACTGGATATAGTCGGGATCTTATTTTTGTCAATAGAACTCCGTTGGATCGATCAATTACTGCGACGTCTGTGCTGTCAGAGCGCAGGGCTCAGCAGCAGCAGCAGAAGGGCGGAACAGTCAATTCAAACGCAGAAACCGAGCTTCATCTTCTATTTTCCGAATCTTCTCATGACAATGAAAAATTTCGGAAGCATGCTATTAAGATATTAGAAGCTACGTATCTTCCGAAACAGCTAGTCCCTAGCAATTCTAAACCTGAGACCAACGAAGGAAGTTTTTCATGGGTGTACTATCTGACAGACCTAACTGAGCCCAGTAAATCACTGGATACTTCCCTTTTCGCATTCTGCCTTACCCAATTACACATTACCGGCACGGATCAAGTGTCACTTTATGAATGTCTCGAACAGTATAATGCCGCTCTACAACACCTCTCTTCCGATCTGGATGACTTGCAGAAGCGATCTCAAGAGGAAACGCTAGCCGCTATTATAGTTCTATCAACATGCGAGGTACGTAGAAGAGATCTCAAAAAGAGCTTCACGCGATTAAACCCAAGGCTCAGTTGTTATCCCATGCATTTCTCGACCGTGCGGAGGTCTTGTGTATCAATGCTGATCGAATTCCGTAGCTCTTCGTATGCCCCGCAGGAGGGGGTTGGGGTGTTCACGCGCGTGGCTTAGCTGAAATTATTCGATTGCGCGACCCGGAAACGCCCAATACTCCAGCGTGGCGCCATTTATTCTCACGTTTGAGAATTGTCTGTGTACGTTTGTCGAGCAGCCTGCTTAACATCTTCCCTTCTAACAGTACACTAGACCCTTGACGCTCTAACGAAGCGACAAGCCCGGATTCTCGAAAATAACATTTGGCACCAGATTGTAGCCGAATCTGGGTTCACTGGTCCTCTTGACGAGGTTTATACGATAATTTCAGATGTCCCCGCTATTCTTGAGCAAGCGGTTGCTCTGCCTTCGATTGATGATTTAGATATTTTCTCGAAAAAGTCAGCAGTAATCATACAATCAGTGTTGGATGTAGCAGAAGCTGTCAGGTCCTGGCGCGACGAATTCTGCAAACCTTCATCGAAGCCTCACGCTTGGCTGGTACCAAGCTCCGTCACCAATCCGGCCGAGACCGGTCTTTCGGACAAAATGTTTCCGCTTTGCTTTGAGTTTGAATCTCTCGGTGTTGCGGTTCCTATCGTCATGTGCTGGTCCGTCGCCGCTCAGCTATATAGCCATGTTATCCAGATATTTGAGTTGGCGCAAACAAGACTCGGCCGTCATATCACGCTTGAGTATATCCTGGCTCAAGTCAATCCTACTCAAGCAGGTGCGATGAACCTCTCACAGTCCTCGAACCAAGACGTTCTGATTCCTGCTGTGGATGACGTTCAAAAGAGAGGCACTGAGATGGCGCACTGCATTTGCCAATCATTAGAATATTTCCACCGTATTGAGATGGGGACGTACGGCGGCCATGCGACAACTTATCCATCTTGGAGCGCTCGGCAGTACTTTCGCTTACATGCCGGTCATGAGCGAGAGAGGTTATGGTTACAGAACTTACATAAGATGGAGGGCCCCGGGACCCGCTGGGGATTGTCATTAATGACATTCGCAGATATCATCAAGTCTTTGAGTGATTTGTCAGGATGAGCGTTATGTTATTCGCGATGTTCTTTAATAACGGTAGATCCACTTCAACTAGCCTCCCGACGTCGCACCCACTCTTGCCAAGCATTTTTCAACGAAAGATGATACCGAATTAGGAAGTCTATCTCAACTGAGTTTACTAATACTAAGGTATTCAGGAATAATATCTAACCAAATAGATGTGTATATATATCAGGTAAGTAGCAGGAAATTCTTTCTCAGAATCCCAAACTCCATCACCAATCAACCTCTTCGTTCATTATCATTGAATGGATTTCAACGCAAACACTGCCTCCCATAGCCCTGTTACTCCTGAGCACCTAAATAACCGTAAATCCGAGCCAATGGGGGTCGATAATTTCGAGAACAAGACTGTTTCCAAACCGCCGTCGGAAGATGCGCAGGATTCCGCTGATGCCGGACCCGATCCAGATTCCTTCCCAGACGGCGGCTTTCAAGCATGGTTCTGCATTGCTGGTGGATTTTGCACGGTATTTTCTAGCTTTGGTTGGGTGAACTGTACAGTAACAACTCTTTGGGTACCCGTGAAGCTACTCGCTAACTAGAACGACAGGCATTGGCATATTTCAAGACTACTATCAAGCTCACCAACTTTCATCATACTCGCCTAGCGCCGTAGCGTGGATACAAGCGACAGAATCATTCGTGCTTTTCTTCTTCGTGAGTCAATGATATATATCTCGGTCTTATACGGTGCTGACTCAATTCGTAGGGTTTATTTTCTGGAAAGCTGACAGATAACTACGGTCCTCGGTGGCCCTTATTGTTCGGATCTATCCTGCACGTTTTTGGGTTGATGATGATTTCGATATCCAAAGAGTATTATCAAATATTTCTTTCGCAGTCCATCGTCAGTGCGATCGGCACAAGCTTCTTATTCTATCCTAGTGAGCGGATTTATACCATCCCTATTCTCTGTAACTTATTACTAACAGTTTTTAGCTATTGCTGCAGCAGGGACCTGGTTCAAAAGGCACCGAGCGCTCGCTTTCGGCATCATGGTCTCCGGATCTAGTCTTGGTGGTGTCGTACTTCCAATCATGATCCAACGTTTGATCCAGGATGTCGGCTTTGGGTGGGCAATGCGCATCACCGCATTCCTTCTTCTCGGGCTTCTGATTTTCGGCAACATAGCCATCAAGTCTCGACTGCCCCCCGTTCCAAAACCATTCACGTTAAAAGAATACTTCGTACCGTTTTCCGAATTGCCATTCTTACTTCTGGCCATTGGCTCATTCTTCGTTTACGTCGGTGCTTTCTTGCCATTTAATTACATCGTTCTCCAAGGCAGGGATGCGGGTCTATCAGGCCTCGCGGATTATCTGGTCCCGATGATCAACGCCGCGAGTATCTTCGGAAGAATCTTCCCTGCCCATCTCGGGGATGTATACGGCGTTTTCAACATTTGTATCATCTTCACTCTCCTCTCTGGAATCATATCTCTTACGCTATGGCTCGCGGCGTCGTCAACTGCGCCGATTATCGTGTTCGCCATAATATATGGATTCTTGTCTGGCCTTACTCTTGCTATCATCCCAGCACTGGTAGCTTCGATATCGGATCTGCATAAGCTTGGATTCCGCGTCGGCGCGCTATACGCTTTTTCGTCTTTTGGCACTTTGATCGGTAGTCCTATCGCCGGGGCTATTGTAACATCTCAGGATGGCGGTTATTCTGGCCTGAAGATATTCTGTGGTGTAGCACTGATCACGGTAAGCATTCCAAGCTCGGTCTCGTGGTGAATAGGAGCTAACTGTTGCAGGGCGGTATTTTTATCATATTTTCACGGATGAAATTAGCTTCTGGATTCATGGTTAAAGTATAGGCAATATTTATAAATACCTACAGACAAATAACTCGGTTACCCTGACCCAAAATAACATAGGTACGTAAATAAGATATAAGGGGAGAAACAGACGGCAACATACGGAATAATAGAAGGAGTCATATCACTTACTTAAACTCTGCATAACTCATATTGAAGCATCAGTGTCTCGTTTAATACCTAGGTATCTATGTCCAGCGTAGATACCGAGAAGAAACCCGCCCTACCCCCTATAATACATGAAAGAGATACATGATTAAATTCTGGAATGCGAGTAGCTCTGTAAGATACTCTCATATAAACCTTAGACCCGTGCCGCAGTATATCCCGTCTTAAGAAATTTAAACATGGAATACCACCCATCGTATTCGAATATGATACATCCTTCCCCGAGCCACCTAATTGCCGAGGTGAGAGATCCTTTCAGCGCCTCTGGCCGTAAGATGATAACGAAGAGCTCCCCTGAGATGAACCGCCGCGCGTCGTCTGTCGGTTGTCTTTTCCCTGGTAAATGCTGCCTGAACTAGAATCCCACATCAGGCCCGTGCCATTGCAAGGCCGGCACTCTTTCACTCTTTCTTTCATTAGCTTACTACGTTAGCAACATGATTCGTGATTCAACTCACAACCTCGCCGTACCGAGACAAGAGGGACACGGATATGGCATGCGATGATCTGGCCCGAGCCCGAATATCTTTCTATCCTCAAGAGAAGAATCGGCAGTGGCATCCGTTGATTGAGTAGACATACTGAGAATTTTCAAACTTATTCGAAAGTACTGAGAAAAGCAAGATTGGGTACTTCTAATAGAGCCTCCTATACACGAGTTCGAAATCATGGCCCACAACAATTAAACAAAGATCTATATATACTATAACGATCTATTCAACGTTGCCCTATGCAAGGTACTCTATCCGAAGGGTGATGTATACGGACAAGAACGTACACCGCCTCTTGCTCTTCCATCCATCCATCATGCAATAGATATCGTCCGTACTAGTTGACCAGGTAAAGACTGAATAAAACTCTCACTGATAGGTTCTGGGGCCTCTTGCATACGTAAACAGGCGTGGCATCCTTCTCTGAGCTCAAAGTATCAACGAGGCAGGGCAGATAGCTTAACTCAATAATTTCATGAAATACCCTCGTATACGATAGCCCGAATAGCCCGAGCTGTGCACCAAGTGGTTGTATTGCCTTGCTTCAGATTCCGGCTGCAGTACGTATTGAACGCATCGGCCGGAATCGGCTACTTCCAGCGAGTTATACAGCGGCTCTAGACTCGACAGCTTCAATGCCAATAGATGGCTCCTTCATGCTGCTATGTTTTCTGTAAGCCATACTTCGTGGCGCTTATACGCCACCGTTACATATTAATAGGGGTCGGTATGGTTCACGACTGGTATATTCAGACGGTCCGAGTCCTATTTTTCCCGGGAGGCTTTTTGCTTTGTGAAATCTAGGGAACGGTTGAGGTCCATATCCGACAAAACGACTTAAAAGAGACCATGGCCCTAGCGAGCCTACGGATTGTTGCTTATTCCAGTTTGGCAGATCAGCTGCAAGTAGCCGCGAGACGGTTATCATCCTATGGCGACACGTAACAAACGTACATCCGAAGGCATCATCTCAACGGGGCGAAGAACATTGATTGGTGTGTCAGTCCCTCGAGTATCCGTAGTTTAACGCTAATCGTGCTCTCATCTTGCATGGTGTTCGATGTGTGTACATAATGTCGGGGACATCTCGACAAAGCACAACATATTTAACCCGGCGATCTCGAGCCGATCACCCGGCACCATCCGTGCATTCGCCCGCTGCAAGCCTTGGTAGTCGGATAATGCACCCAGTGAAACATCGGTCATATCACTAATCTCATGATATCTGGATGGGTACAACATTACTCCTGCTCTATCTTGGATATTGTGGTACAACGGAACGACTCAAGCAGTGGCACTGTGATCTCTCGGCTTTGATAATCTTGATTTGTGCCTAATTAACGGCCCTGCCATATATCTAACGCTTCGCCAACCGCCGAGGCTTACGATTCCTGTCCTTGCCGTCGCATTGTAAGTAGTAATGTTGACGTCTTGCTGAACGTGAAGTCATGTAACCATTTTATATTACATATGGTCTTTTTTCACCTCTATTCTATCGTATTTAATCTGATTATTCGGTTATCTTGGACATCTGGTCATGGCCCCCCTTTCCACATGTATAACCTTAAGTACACGGCCCCACCGTTAATTACACATTACCCTAACCGATAGTGTACTTAGGTACCTAGGTGCACCCACACGGAACATCCAATTAGCGCTGATACCCCCTATTTCTAGATTCGCAGGGCCGTAATTACCCACTACCGTGCCCAAAACTGATTTGTTTCTACTTGGAACGACACCCCCACGTTCCCAGCGACGCTTTCTAGCTCGCAACCCGCCAGCTATAGCGCAGGCTTGTTAGCTGCCTAAGGTAGTTGTCTCAACTACGCCAGCTGCAATTATGTTATTATTCTAACTGTCGCGTCGATCTATAGATCCTCTCGTGTACGTATTCCCTTGTCAGTCCATATTCTGTTTAAATATTTTCGGGTTCAGGTTTCTGAGCTACGATCACTATTATCTCATCAGCATCAGTTTCACAATTTAGCGAATTTATCAAGCTCCGTACCTTGAGGAATCGATAGAAGCCACAGGTTTTCGACGTACTGAGCGACCTCTATGCGTCACCGGTAAGACGGAGGACTTCAAAATCTTGGCATTTCGACCTTTCGGATAAACAGTCTTCACACTCCCCGCGGCGACATTAGATATCTGAATGGGAGTAGCGAGCTGGACTTTGTCGCTTGAAACGTTAATTTCAGCATGAAAATATGATTATGGCGAAGTCCGCTCGTAAATTATCTGAATAATGTATCGTATCGTACCTTTATAATCAATTTCCATCGATTGGCGATTGTCCGCAATTCTATCGTTTCTAACGAGTTGGCGAGATGATCTATCACGGGGTGCACTCGTCGAAAGCGGGATCATGGACTTGGGATTCGACATTTTGGGTGGCATCGCTGAAAACTCGTTGATACTATTAGCCTAGAAACAGGCGCTTGAATTAAATTTCACTCTTTTACAAATGAGAAGGACGTCATGCAGGACTAAAGTAGGAATATTAAGTCGTAACGAGCATTTAAGTCTACTGTTAGGAATAAACCTACCAACCCTCGTACTCTTATTATGTTATGGAAAGGGTTTCTTGGCATGTAAAGACTTACGGTCTTCAGTTGTTGATCATACTGGTCGGAACTTATTGATATATGTCTACCAGTGTAACAGGGGGGAGAGATCGCCTATGTAGTAGATCGATATACGACTTGTTAGGTTCATCTCCACTATATCCTTCCCCTACAGAATGATATTCATTAGTTCCAGGTAAAAATATCAGCGGCTCTTTGGTACTAAGCTAATAGATTCAACAAAATAAAAAAAAAAACCACGCACGAATATAAATACGAGTCTAGTTCAACCAAATAAACCGTACATAGTTGGGTTAATTTGGTATAAAATATGTATTTCTATCATCTGCGGTGTTAGATTATAGCTAGGTGTGTCTTGGCCTACGTAGCGCGAGTAGGCGCAGCAAGACCTTGCTCTTATAATGAGGACCACGCGCGCCGATTCGCGTCGACATTCGGAACGAACATCAAGATCTACAATTTAGACTACTTGACAAGAGTGAGAAACTTGTTATGTAGGACGGACGGTATCTAAACTGATTATCGTAGTATGCGCTTTTACCAAGGCGCGCAGATATTGTGTACGTCAACCTGCGCAGACTGGCAGATGTATCACCGGGGTACGCAGCTATGGGGCGGGTGGATACCCACATGTAAGTAGTTGGCTTAGGAGATAATTACATGTAGGTACCTAGATCAGTATACAATAGTAACTGAAGACTTGCCACTGCAGGTCTTACATCACAAAATAACACCCGGTTGCCTAGGATGAAACTTGGGATCAGGATTCCTGACTAAAATATAGGACGTGAAGAGGCAACACAATTGTCTACCGGAGTCGGTGCAATCCTCAACGCCGGGACGGCTAGTCCCGAATACACCGCCGCAGCCCAAGCCTAAGCACTAGGTAGGTACCTATTTAATACAACACAAAATCATACTTCGCTTTTATTCATTTTCACTCGTCCCCGGCAAACGAAAGACTCCGGTTTAAAGCAGCGACAATGAAGTTAATTATCTCAGGCGCAACTGGCTTCCTAGGAACCGAACTTGTGAGACAGTCGATGAGCAATAGAAAGATTACTTCGGTTGTGGCCCTAGCTCGCAAACCAGTCCCTGTCCCTGGAGGTCTTGCGGAAGATGCCGATACTTCCAAGCTTAAGAGTATCGTCGTGGAAAGTTACGACAAGTACTCCGAAGAAGCAAAGAGAGAATTTGCTTCTGCAGAGGCTTGCATATGGTATGTGTTTTTCTTTTTTCTTCTTTTTCAGCTTTTCGGAGATAAGTAAGTCAGAGCACTGACCATTAGCAGGACGGTTGCCATAACGCCGACAAAGTCCAAGATGTATGATTTTGAAGAAGTTAAGCATATCTGCCAAAGCTGCACATTGGCATCCCTAAAGACCTTGAACGAATCTGGAATATCAAAGCCTTTTCGATTTTTATATACAAGCGCAGCCGGGGTTGAACGAGATCCAGCAGCCAACACCGTAAGGTTCTATGCAGATTACCTACGATTACGGGTAAGAGTGACACAAAAATCTATATTTGTTGAAAAAAAAAAATAAGCTTAAGAATTCAATACAGGGCGAAACGGAAACAAAGGTACTTTCCTTAGCAACCGAGCTGGGGGGCATCGAGGCATGCATTGCCAAGCCGGGGTTCATTACGGCGACGGGAGACATCGGAAGATATATCATGGGTGTTACAACAAAGTGGATATTTGGAGTTCCTTATATAAACGTTGCGGAACTTGCGACAGCCATGCTAGATCAGGCCGTTAATGGGTTCGAAAAGGGGACTCTGATGCCCGAAGATTTATCTAGGGTCGCATCGAACATATCGCAGAATCCCTGAATGGGAATAGTACGTATACCATGATGATGTAATGAAAAGGGGGCGTATATGGATATGTGTGCAATTATATTTCTTAAAATATATGTGGTATTTATACTTGATTGGCACTCATCGGATCTCTAGACAAGTCTCTTCTCTATATAGCATCAGCCGACAAATCTGCTACTACGTCTCTTCTAGAAGGTTTAGACCACTTGGACAGGTTCACCACCCTCTCCCTCAAAAACAAGACCATGACAATTTAAGCAGCAATACCCTTTTATCGCATTCTCTTCACCCCCTGCCTGGCCCTGAAACTGATAGTTGTCGATTCCGGGGCGGGCGCGGCAAAGAGGGCACACCATCCTCCCATAAAGACTCTTGCAATATTCTCTCATTTGTGTCGCGGCAACTTGCACTAGTAGTATGAGTTAGCAAAGACCCTCCAAGTATATATTGATACTATAAACCCATAAAGCTTGGTCCAACCTAGACTGTATAAAATTAGAAACGGGGGGGAAGGGATGTAGAAGAAAAGGAGGTTCGATTTCACATACTGTTGATGAGATACTGTAGACGATGGGGACTACAGATTACTCTATGAAACAACTTATAGCCACAGGAACATCCCTAAAATATGAAAAGTTAGCTAACCTTGCCAATGAGAAGCCGTAAAGGAGTCGTGACTTTTAGAAGTACTTACGGTGATTGGGTAGGTAGTCTGGTACCAGCCTCCTACTTTCTTGCTCATAGCCGTGGTAATTATAGATGTACATTGTAAGTCTGGGGGCTTGTTGGTCCCTGCCGGCAATTGGTAATAAACTTTCCAACCTTGGTTGGTGAGATTATTCCACAGTGGGACCCTTTGCAAGAGATTAGTTTTGATTCATGCTTCTGAGGAAATATTACATAGGAAATGTTGTAACAACTTACCCGGCGGATGTACATTCTGCGCATAGATACTGTCGAAGGAGGGGTACTATACCAGTGAGTTGCTGCATAAAATTTGACCGGCTTTGTTGTTCGTGCTCAGCACAAATCGGCATGCCCGGGCCGTCGTGATTGCGGTCCTCGCAGCGGGTTTGAGAAGCTTTGCCGCAGATCCCGCCCTGGAAATTCTGTACCTGGCATTGCTCTGGCTGGACAAGTAGCGGGGTCACTCCCATGAGAGGGATTGTTGACAGTTCGGATTCACCATCTTCACATGGGTGTTCCATGAATGGAGCGCGCCTGATATGTTCAGGATGAATGAACTCAGGATGATTTGGTGGAAATTGGTTATCATTTGGTATGATTGGAATGTCATTATCCCCGATATTCCACGGTATCCAGAATGTTGGCCGCGCCGGCCCGGGAGACGGAGGGCCGTTTCTCGGAGTGTTTACTACATTTCTAATAGGACCTAAGTAATTATACTGTTGGGGTCCGCTACAAGAATAAGAGTCAGTACTTATTTCCCGAGGTAAGCAATTTGATGAATTTGGTGTTACTTACGGGTTCCATAACTGAAGCGTGTTCATGTTTATTCCTTTGATACCGCGGAAATTAATTGGCACCGCTTCATGGAACGGATTATTACTCTTTGAAAATTCCACGGTTCGTTGCTGCAAGAAAAACATTACATCTCTGGCAACCTGAGACTGGTTGGAAGGAATCATATTTATGAGATCGACAGAAAGTTGCGCCGCAATGGCTGTAAGGTTACCATCGACATCTTTGTTGTTGATAGCCGTGTTTAGTAATTGAAGTACCTGTCGATATTCTAACTCGAGCGCTCGTGCCGCGTCTGACATTGGCGGGTGGGCTCCTACTTGTGGCGGCTGTGGTACTCCGTTTGCGAGATCAATTTCTCTTTGTATATACTGGAGATGATAGTCTAGGGGTTGTACCCAGCCCGGTATGGCATTCGGGTCCCAGATTCCAGTTGGCCCAAACCCATGCGCCAGATACTAAAGTTATAATAGTCAATAATTACTTCCCTAGACTAGACGGGCGCCGAAAAAGAAAATCAAACTTACGTATCCATACACTAGAAATAGATGTTAGCAGCTACTTCATTTTGAGCTAATTGCATGGGTTTCTTATTTTAGGAGAAGAATTAGAGATAAGGGGGCATGAAGGGAGGACTTACTCGAATCACTAGGAACACCGCGATACCAGCATAAAAATGTAGAGCCTGTACACTGTGAAGTTTTTAAGTCAGCCAATATATCGAAACAAGGGTTAATTCCAGGAAGCTCACCTCTGTACCCGATTCAAAACATGCATCACACGGCCTTTTTTTCTCGCATGGAAAATTAAGTAACAGACAATGGTCACACTTCGGTGGGTGCTTGCGGGCACTAGGAGGCTCAGGATAGGGGGGCATAATATGTCCTATTTCAAGTCAGTTATTGCTTGATAAGAGGCTTCAAGGCTACATAGGTATGTTTCGTATAATTATTTGTTTGGAGGTATTGCTTACCTTCGTTGATACAGGCTAAACCGTCACGTCGACATTGCGTACATCCATGATGTTCGTCAAGTCTTTTGCAATTTCGTGAACCCCCACTATAACCGTTCTTACCTCTGGAAGATACCTTTCTCGTACACGCGTGGCATGGGCGAGTATTTCCTGTCCTGGGGTTGACAGGAGCATTGCCAATCGTATAGTTATCCCACGGATTTGGAGCTGACATCGTAAATTTTGTACTTTATCAAAATGTATCAATCGTCTAAGGTATATTCTATTTTTGTATTAAATTGCTCTATCCTCGATTCGGCTATGAAGGCAATATATATTAATGCTCAAACTCGTTTTACAGTTGTTGTTGTTCAAATCCCCATATATTGTGTTCGGCTATAAAGGCAACAATACCATTTTACCTGGATGCACCGACATACCTTTGTTGAACCTTATCTAAGGACAAGTATTTATCCAAGTAATCAGCAGCATAGTAAATCTATACACCAGTTTTCAAACATATACACTACCTAGGTAATTACTACGTACCTACCTAGCTACGAGTGGTATCTGAAGTATTAGGCACCGGCTGGTATTTGTCAGAGGATTACTGAAACCGTGAGAAACATACGTGTATTGTAGGAATATATATCAATGGGGGTATCAGAGCAGCGGTTGGCTTCTTTTCCTTCTACTCTATCACTACCTAGTAGATAGGTAGCGCTAGTATCTAGGTAGTGATCTAAAACGTCATTCGAGGAAATTACCCCTTGCAACCTAGTGATATTAAATATAGCTCGTGGGATCTATTAGTTAGTCTATTAAGAAAATATTTTCTACTACTTCGGGCACAACTTTCCGTTTTGTGTTGGATAGTAGTCGATCTGCCCAGTGACGTACCAATCCTCAGATCCAACAGCCGTGGGGGCCCACAAAAGGCCCCAAGGATCGTACTTCTGCTTCAGTTGATACAGGTAGGCATAATTAGACCCGTAGAATGCTCCCTGGAAGTTATTCTCGTTGATATCGGCCTCGTTTAGATAAGCGCCTGACCCTGGGGTCGCGTCTCTCCACGGTTGTAGCATATCTGCGAGGTTCTTATTCGCAGCTGCGATATCCTCTGGTGTCGCCTCTTGACTCCAAGTAGCTCCGAGCAGGGCGTGTAGAACAGTCTTTCGCCAAGCAGGGTTAACAGCGTTAGTCTGGTTGACTGTGGGATTATCCGCCGCCTTTATATTATAGCCAAGCATCAGGCCTGCCTTCTCGGCGGCCGCTCGTATAACGCTTCCGGTGTTAGCGGCGAATTCGGTCGGTTCAACGTCCCAATTTGAGCGAGGGAATAATCTTGATCCAGTGTTAAAGTTCCAAATGCCGCCCTGTTCGCTTTCGGCGGACCAGGTACCCTCGATTCCCTGTAAGACTCCGTCGAAGTCCGTATAGACAGCATCGCTGACCGTAATGCCTAGTGATTGCAACTCGTCGAATAGGGGGGCCGACAAGTTCTTTAGCGCAGCCGAGTCCATATTATTACCCCATTGAGGAGCCATGGCAAAGGAGCAGTCAAAGAAACAGCTGAGAGACCAATAGCTGTACATTCCCTTGTCGGCGTACTCTGGGAACTTGGCTAAAACAGCGTAAACTCCATTCCAGAACGTCTCAGTTGGAACATCAGCACTGATACCAAAACTGTAGCTTAGAGTAGCGACAGGCTTCTTCGGATAGGCCCGGATAATTAGTGAGGTCACGATTCCCCAGGTGCTACCACCGCCACCGCGGAGAGCAAAAAACAGGTCAGGATAATGCTTTGCATCAACTGAGACGAAGAATCCATTTGGTAAAACAACTTCCATCGCAAGGACCTATTGTAACGGTTTTAGCACATGCTATTGCAGTATGTGTGCGAACACATATGCGAGTTGACTTACTTGATCCGCGGCCATGCCGTAAAGGCTGCTCAAGGGGGAGTGGCCGCCACCAGCGGTGTAACCTCCGCCCAAACCGACAGTCTATGCAAGAAGAATAATTAGGCAACTTCGTACCATCAAGCTTTGAGTTGCAACACTTACCCTAGTATTTCCACCTACGACATGCAACCCCAGCGAATCCGCTTTTTGGTAAAGGGGCAGCGCCGTGACACCAGCTATTGACATGTTAGTAATTATCGTGGTGCGAAACTTTCCAACTCCCCAACGCGGGTACCGGGTGTGATAATTCGTAAGCTAGAATGGCATAGCTAAAATTTACACCCGAGGTCGGTTGAGAGGGATAGGAGATAATTCTGGAAGTTACATACCTCCGATTTTGAAGGCAGGTCCTTTATATCCAGAGACAGTATGATAGAAATTGGGGCCAAGATATTGGATGCTATCAAGGGAATTGGTCCATATTGACTGAGGAGTTCTGGGTTAGTATATGACTGATGAATTGCTAGGAAAGGGGGCCCCTAAATTTGTGGGGGGTTGGCCCTTAGAGGAATTGAAGGGACGATGAAGGAATTTGAAAATTACTAACAAGAGCCCCGGAGCCTGTTGACTTAGCTTTGAAATCATGGCCCTTGTTCTTGACAATGAGTCTTAGATTATTGTTCCTCTAACATGTAAAAGATGTCAGCCCACTGTTAATTTTGCATATTAGAGGTGCAGAAGCATTTTTCGACACTTACCGCGAAATTAACGCTAAGTTGTATTTGGGCTACATTGGTAGCCTTAACAACATACGAGGGCATGCCCCCTAATGTACAGTTGGCACCTACATAGTGTTAGAACACGAACTAGGAATGATAATAGGGGTAAGAAGAATTGAATTGGAATTGAAAATACCCGTTCGCGTGAGTGTGGGTGGTAAACAACTAACCCCCTCAAAAGCGTAGTACTGGATCCCTAAAGGTTGCGATGATCTATATCATATTAAATGGTAATCCAAACGAGAGGGGGGCCAAGGTAACCCACTGATACGAAGGTGTCTCCCACTGAGACGTAATTGATGCACATTTGGCCTCGTCATATTGGGGCCAATCTGAATAGCATGGTGCTGCTGTTGGTACACTCTCAATCAAGGCGCCACCTAACAAAATATTAAGTAGATTCCATATTGGGCGAGATGGCCAGTTCCAGTCTCCTGGATAGGTTTTGCAGGCACGACTGGCGCGTTTTGTAAGTCCGTCCTCGCTAAAGGTAAAAAGATCGACATTGCTGAGATTGTAATTCGTTAAGTTGCTTAAAACGTCAGGTGTAAGTTGTTCCAGCTCGTATGGGAAATAAGATGACGCAGAAGCGTCTTCTACTGTCTCTACAGCTGGAGCAATATTATCCTGGGTTACTTCTGTTTAGTAGAACGGGGATTAGCAAGCCACGTCGTCACTATTCATGCAGTGTTCAAGCTTTTTGCTTACCAGTGCCATCTTCAAGTGTCTGAGCGAGAGCTAAGCCGGCTAGTGACAGAGCCACGACGGTCGCGAGACGCGCCATTGGTGTGTTGTGGCTGGCTCTTTTTGCGAATCAGGAGTACAGGATGACAAGTCACCGGTTAAAGAGGCATCTGCGCAAAGTACACGGCGGAAGAGCTATGATGGAAAATTTCCAAAGGATCGTCCCTACATAACAAGTACTTTATACGACCCGACAAGACGCCGATTATCCTTACCTTCCACGTGTTTTAAGCAGGCTAATGCACAGAATATCAATAGTTCAGGAGACATAATAGAAATGACCGGGTGTAGGTATAGCATACAATGTAGCATCATATTTACTACGCTAAATATGGGTGCCGATGGCCTTCAATTGAACTTTTGCACATAGCATAGGAGTCCTCTGCAATTTTATGTCGTTCGAGAAAGGTTTAAACAAAATAATGCACCCGACCAAGCTAGTTCTAAACGAGGCCAAGGGCCCGTTACCATGCTAGAGCTAGTTTAGCCTGACACTATCGTTATGATCGATCCTACCTAGTAAGGGGATATATCAAGTAGAGTCGATACTCCGCCTCGGAAGTCCGGGATGTGGGTATAATAACACTCCGTACGCTCGCTGCGCCGTTGCTATACTCTGGCGCTCTCTCGCTTGAATCTAACGACCTTCTGAGCCACCTAAGGTGTAAAACATCCATTCAAAAATAAGAAATCTCAAGAGAGGAAGAAGAAGAAAAAAGGAGAAAAAAGAAAATGAGGCAGTCGGCAATAGTCCGCTTCCCGCTAACCCCAAATAGTTATCGCTGTCTTGCATCGTGCAGGAGATCTTCGCTTCATCCCTATTCGGTAGGGCAAGGCGCATATACTAACTCCGCTCCGGAATCTTCGCGAAGTGAATGCGGAAGAAGGAAAGTGTCATTTCATAGGCCGCTAGCAACGAAAAAATAATTCCCCGGCGCATCAAAAAGATGAACCCATGTAAGTAGCCGGTAGCACACGATGTTACATGGTAAAAGATCTAGAGAGAAGTAAGGTGTATTATGTACCTAGGTACTTTGCCGCCACTGTGTGGTATATAGACGTTACAACTAGTGTAGAAAATTCTAGATACGCCTTCGCCTAATGTCTTAATGTATAGCTCGCTAATTTTTATAAGTACTTACTAATGAGTTAAGGATCCTAGGTTAGTTATCGGTCGAAGCGAACTGATGTTCAGACTAATGTGCGGACTATAGAAGAAGCCATATCCCTGCTTAGTTATCTTTGCAGCTGAATGATGGTTTCGGTATCAGCATACCTACCTACCTAAAGCATGTGACAGGTAAATGCCACAGAGGTGTTTATTTATTTATTTTTCAAAATCTTTTCTTCTTTCTTTCCCCGCAAACGATGTTGCTCCATATCGAAGGTGAGATTGGGCAAGATTTCTCCGTTTTGCTCAAAGTGGTACATTGATGCTACCTGTTAATGGATAAAAAGGGCAGGCTATACACTACGTAGAAAACCCGCGGCGATCCTAGACAAGGGTCTAGTCAACGCTTGTTGCTTGCTTAGGTTGAGTAACTTGCCCTATTTAGGACTTAAATCTCGACTCGTTCCAGGCTACGACTGGGGAGTCCGCGAGGTGGTATGTTTCTACCTAAGTACATGACTCGAACAGGAAAAAATTGTGTGCTTTGATACTCCTATACCGTGGTGCATATTGCCAAGTCGTTCGAGAGCTTAGCATATCGTGTTAGTTACTCATCGGTTACAGGTTAGACGAGCCATGAGGATAACTCGTTACCCTTGATGGTGTTACAACGCAAACTCGTCCTTACCTGGTTCTCAGATCTATAAACCATTATAGTCCCAGGGGATGGAACATATACGATCGATTCTTCATAAATTCAACGTCGATCTCTACTCCTTGAGTCAACCTCCCCGGATCGACCTTGAGCTTATCTGAGTATCAAGGGTTGCACGGATATGCTCTGGTAATCCGTTACAATGTCGGACAGCGCCCCAATCCCCTCAGCAAACCCCAACCCCACAAGTTGGCTTCAAAATCTTGGTATCGCGATAGAAATATTATGTCCAGCGCTTGCGCTGATTGTTGTCGCCTTAAGAACATATATCAGACTCGACACAAAGAGCTTTGGCTGGGGTACGTTGAGAACACAGACGTGTGATAGCCGGTATTAACCATTGCGCAGACGATGGCCTCATTATTTCGGCGATGGTCTTTAGTATCGCCATGGCGGTTGGCTCGATTAAAGGTATGTGGTACTTAATATCCCAAACTATGGCACTTCGATGATCGTCTAACAGCCAGTAGTCATGAAAGCCCTCTACATAGGCATTCACTATTATGATGTTCCTATGCCCTTCGATCCGACAGAAGGCCTAATCTATATATACGCTGTGGGAGCCATCTATCAGCCAATTCTAACCTTAGTCAAGCAGTCTATACTCGTCTTTTTGCTCCGTTTCTCTGGAATCAAGTCAGGTATTCGACACGTCGTATGGGGCACGATTATATTCAACACAGTGTATGTTCCCGCGTTACCTCAAAACATCAGCCTCCGACGATAGTAATCAGCGGTGCTAACCAACGGGATTTTAGTCTAATGGTTGCCATATTGCTCACTGTTATCTTTCAGTGTACTCCCATTTCAGCCAACTGGATTGTAGGCACAGGACAGTGTATAGAGCAATTCAAATTTGGTGTGGTAGCTGCCTGTATGACGATTCTAACAGATGTTATATCTGTCGCCTTGCCTTTCTATATATTCCTTGGCTTGAAGATAAATAAGAACAGAAAGGTAGCCTTGGTATGTATTCATTTCCACCCCTATTTCTTGAAGACGATCTCTAGCCCGGATATTAAAGAAAGCCTATCCCGAAAGCACATATTGCTAGAGTCTTGGGGATAATATGGCTAACTGGCAATTCTTTCGCACATGCAGATTGGTGTTTTTATGTTGGGTGTGCTTGTTACCGTCGTCAGCGTTATTCGCCTATACTTCCTCGCCCAGAATTTCAACGATACCAGCCCGGACAAGAACTTCTCCATCGGCTTCTGTGTTTCTTCTATAGAATGCAACCTTGCTATTCTAACCGCATCGGCGCCTGCACTATGGCCCCTATTCAGGCGAATACCGTTCTTCAAATCGACCGGCGATCGTTCTTACTACGGCCATCAAAAGTATGGAGGCACATCACACGGTCAACAGGGATATATAAGGACCACCGATGGTCCAGAGAGTAGTAATAATATAGGACTGAAGGATATGAGTGGACGACGGGTTCGCACCGAAGTTCGGTCTGCGCGAGACTCCGACGAAGAGATCCTGACTGGCACCGGGATAATGAGAACCACTCAGTTTACGGTCGTAACTGAGGAAGATAGGTACTCTCGCACAACACCGAGTAGCAACCTCGACGGTCATACAACACACTCCAAAGTCTCGAGCACCGGCTCTTTGTGAGTTTACAATGTCGATGGCGTTCTGGAGCTTCCAGTTGTACCAACCAAGGAAATTTGATCCCAAATCCTTTGTATATTATCATGGTTCTGTCTTGGCTGCTTGTTTATACCTAGATGCTTGAACAAACCAATTAAATAGCGAGGAGTACTGCCTTGGATAGTCTAAATATATCACATGGAAAAAGCGCACATACGAATAAATCTTAATTAGTTAAATAACTGCAAAGTATCTATCAAAATTTTGATGACTCTCTATTTAATATTACAAGAATCAAGAAGCTAACTTGAGTGTATATTTACATTGAGTTCTAAGGTTATTTGGCTATATCATTTGAGGAGGTTGTTTATGGTGGATATTCTATCATCATTCTGGAAGGTTTCCCACTCTCTGCGCTTAGTATACCTCTTAGCACCTGGATAATGCCATTATGGGAATAAATAAGTTCGCATAACATTCTTGCGCAACTATGATCAAGTAGGTACCTAGGTACCTAGATAGTTATAGACTTGGGAGGCGACACAACCGTCAGGAAGGCCATCACTTCACCCTTACAATGATTTGAAGTCGTCGCTCTGATAACCACCCAGGTACACATATCACCTCTAATCCTCCCCAGTAGAAGCTCACGCTACAAATCGATCAAGACGATGCCAAATTCTACGTTTGGCCAGACGATGCAAGGGGCACCCCATGAAACCATTGACGGAATTCTAGAGGGTCGGGAACGCCCGCAAATGGTCAAGTCTGAAGTCATATATGTGATACGGTATCTATAACATAAATTAATTATACCCGCGGATTCTGTCTTAACTCTGTACCCCGCTCGTACTTAAACCCACGATCCTACGTGGCCAATGCAGAAAATCCTTTGCCCTGGCATATATACCCAGTTGTCCACGAGATACAACGTAGTGCCCGACCGAGACCTTTCTAGCCTAGGTACGGGGCCGGATATATATTCGATTTTAGGACGATCCGGAACGTCTCGACGTAGATATTAAGGCCGTGCACGGTATGATCCCTACCGGACAGGTAGTTATCACCAAAAGACCCTCAGGAGAGGAGAATAAAATATTTTGTGTATAATATCGTCTTAATACGAGTTAAGAACTTTTTTAAGAGAAGAATTTCGCATATTAGGATACGCTAACTTATTAAATTATCTGTCGGAGTTTCTACTTAAACAGGGGGCTAGATACAGTGGGTCTCAAAAAATATCGTCAAATGCCATTTTTTCACCAAAACTCGTTATCTTTATAAGACCATAACTTTTAATAATTTTATTATGAAGGCATATGAAAATTTATTTACTTTTAAAGAATTAATTAATAATATAATCTGTTTATTTAGATTATTTTTACAGATTTTATTTATGTAGTTATGTAAGTTTAAAAAGACGACAATACGAAAAAAGGTAATTTTATATGAGAAACCGAATTTCTTCCTATTTTTTAAATGACGCTTTTCATTACACCTCGAATAACTCGCCAGCCTGAATTTTTAGATTTTTAGAAATAATATAATAATATTCTTTATTCAATTCCTTATATATGTATATAATTTCTATCAATCTATTCATGTATAAATATGTTGAAATATCTACGAGTGACAAGTAAAGGTACGATAATCGTCTATCTTTTATAAATAATGATGTTTTACTCAATTTAAAAGATAGAAATTTTTGAAAAGTCTTGTAATGTAGAGAATTGACTTAGATTAATTTTAATATTTTTATTCGATTTTTAAAAGCGTTGTTGGTAAGGTTATTACAGAGTAAAGTTATAAGTAAAGAATGTGGTTTAATATTTGACGAAACTTTTGTCTCCCCACTGTACATAGGTGTCTAGGAGGTTTTGGATGATTCAGGGTCGCCATCGGGGGGCTTTTGAGAATTACAAATGATGTCCTAAATTTTCTAGGAGAGAGGGGATGGGCCGTGGTGATGGATGCGCAAGATGTCAACGAGTTTGGAGAGCCAGATCGTTACTCTGGCTGGATGTGCTGCTGGGTTTAGGCGATGTCGCAACTAGCCGACGAACTCGATACTATAGACAAGGGGATGCCCGCCTTATACCCCACAAGGAAAAACAGCGACCGGCCCCCCTGTACGATTGTACGATGGTTCGTCGCATAGGAAGACGTCGGGCCTAAAAAAGTTAGTAGGGAGTGCATTAAGTCCTCGATGGACACATGAAGGGATGCCGCCAACTTAGTAGAGTATGCGTTAAGCTTTTTGAAGAAATCTAGTTCAGCGTTATCTTCACGGCAGGGACCCTGAATATTGGACTCCACAGGGGACTTCTGTTATCTAGTAAAACATTCTGGGCGCCCAGGGATCTATGCGACGGAAAGCATCAGACAATGGGTCCTACTAGCATTCGTATCTTCGTAAACGGGTTGGCGTTTCGGAGATTTGTGCAATAGTCTGGCGATGAATCGCCAATTGGGTCCATGACACAGGGGGCAAAATCCGGAAATGGACATGATACCTTCTCGAAAGTACGAAGACCTAGAATTTAACGGAGTAATTACGTTGCCTATGAAAATCGTAGCACCTATTCATTGGTGGCTATAATGAATGTCGCCTCCAATATTCCTAGGCGGGAAGGTTCAAGACAGCTCGGTCCGAGTGCTACCATTTTCTGTCACACAAAATCATTTAGGTACCTAGTTCATGAATATTTTGCTAGCACTATCTTATCTAGCCACGAGATATTGTAGAATACCTAGGTATTGTAGGCGCAAAAAATAGCAGTTCAATTGGTATAATGCGATAACCCCTGTGAAGTAACGCCGTATGGCAGAGCGAAAGCGCAAGCCAAACCCAGGTTCACATAACCCAATGCCATGGTTATACGCGAAATGGAAAATATTAGTGCCGATGGGGAAACCTTTCCCGACTGTCATGTCGGATTATACACATCGTTCCTGGGCCGTCTAATTAGACACGACCTCGTGGCCTACCACCCCTTCCCCTACCTCTCCCTCTTCCTCGACCGCGTGTTGCAAGATATCGTTTCCTAGCCGACCCACCATCATCGTCATCATTATCGTCTGAATCCGAGTCGCTCACACTATCATCATCATCCGAAACTGATAGTCTCACAACCGTCGGACCTCCCGATTTCCTACCGGATTGTCGTCGCTCTGGAATTTCAGGTTCCGTTATAGAGCTGTCCGAAGATGAGTCCTCAACCACGGCACCATTAAAATCGTGGTCAACTAACTCCTTACGACCCCGTTTGGAGCTGAGTTTAGCAGTCTCCTCGATGTCGTTGAAGTCTGGCATGGGTGTATCCGCTGCATCGCGTGTAGCTTTAACTACGGGTGTTTGTTTTGCCGAGTTCGTTGCAGAACTTCCTGCTGCGCCATTTCTTGTGCCGCGAGAGCCTATCTTGATTTTCCTGCCACGTAAGGCTGCTCTCTCCCTCATAGACATGAAACGTACATCTGGAGGTGGTGCTAAATCGTCGGGATTAGGTGTCGCGGGTGATTGCTGCGCACGTGGTCTTCCGGGCGGTCGACCTCTCTTCTTTGCTGAACCACCGCGAGATGGGGTCGATGTTGATTTGGGTGGTGCCTCATCGTTATTCTCGTCGCCCAATTCTTGTGCAAGCTGAACTTCAAGTTCGCGTACCGTAGAGTCGTCCTCATTTCGAGAATTGTCGGCATCTTCAGCATCCACTACAATGCTATCATCGTTGTTTTCGGTCGGAAGTGTAGATTTCGGCGGTCGGCCCCGCTTTTTACCTATGGAAGGTGCATTAGGTGTGCCAGTAGAGTTTCGGGGCGGTCGGCCTCGCCTTTTAGCACCCGGCCGTGGGGTACTCTTAGGGGCAACGGCCGGGTCCTCGGTTTCGATACTAGGAATTTGCGTCAAGGCTCGAATCGCATCCACCGCCAAATCCACAGGGTTTAGTTTTGTGCCTGGTACACCATTCTGATTTTCTGGTCCCGGTTTTCTTAGAGATTTAATAAGGACACTATCATTTGGGTCTTCAGCAGGCTCCTCGGCTTCGACATATGACGCTATGGGTTTGGCGTGTCGTAAGGTAGGTCTAAGAGGATCAATAGGGAGGATGCGTCTCGCCGGTTTGGGAGGGGGGTTTGCTTCCGAAGTCTCCCCCGGTTGCGCATCTGCGTTAGTTTCGGCGGGTTCTTCACCAGGGCCACTAGGAGCAGTTGCTCTAGTCGGCGTAGAGATATCATTGCTAAGAGCACCCAGTAATGCTGGGTCCAAGTTGACGAGTTGGTCGATATTTCCGGTCTTCGGTTTCTTGCGCGGTTGACTTCTAGGGCCTCTGAAATCGGGATCATCGTTAATCTCGAGCCGAGCCTTCCTTTTTGCGAGCCGGAGCGTCTTCTTAACGAACTCGGACATTTCCGGTTCGTTGTTGAGAGCATCGGCAGATGGCATTTGGAAAGGATCGAACAAGATTTTATCGGTACTCTCGTCTTGATCGTAGAATCCCATCCCCATCATTCGTTCGCGGCTCACTACTGATGGATCAGGGTAACGAGACGGGTCTGGATAGGCCGACTCCCCTTCGCCGTCCTGAAGAAGAGACGCGTCAATATTCTCGTTCTCAGTGCCATTAGCCGGCCCAGCCTCTTCGTCTGGTCCATTTTCCATGGGTACGTGGCCGTTCTCGTGGCCGTTCTCGTGGTCGTTTGTAGGAGCATGAGGGTGACCCAAAATGTGGCTTTGATCCCCATAGCCATTCATAATTGAATCCTGAAGGGCAGAGTCCATCTCATGGGGCGCATCGTCCGCGGCTGCTAGTGATACCAGTGGATCTTTAGCCTTCTCTGCATCTGCCTGTTGTTTCAGTCGTTGCATCCGCCTCGTGTCCTTACTTCGATTCTCCTCCCCTGCGGCTTTGAGCCAACTGAGATTGTGTTGTCGGAAATCGACGATTGACTCGACGCTACGATCATCTGCAATGGGACGCGTATCATGCCCAAGGAGGGTATTCTTGGGGACGTAAGGGGTTGTATTGCCGCTTTGCCTACATGACCCGCAATTGCAAATATTGAGACACCTAGGACATTGCCAGTTCTCTTCCTCCATTGCTGCCTGCGGCATCATATCAAATGCCCGCCATAAGACGCCATAGCAATAAGCATTCGGACATATTGTGCAGAAATTTAGTTTGTATGTGTACTCCTTATGGCAACATACGTGGCAGCGATAAACATCACCCTTCTTCGTTTTTCGTTTTGATTTCGACTTTTTCTTGATGCGTCCTTCATCGTCAACTTCAGGTTCGGATTCTTCAGCTGGGGGTTCAGGCGGCTTGGTGATATCGTTCCAAGGTCGTTTTCGTAATTGCTCTTGGCAAATTTGGGCCACGGATTTCTTGCCCGTCTTCCTGCGCGCAATTTCAATAGGTTGAGGAGAGAAATCAACATCGACAAACCCGTCTTGTTGAATCACCATCGCTCGCCAAGTCTCATGTTTCTCAACGAGGTCGGACAAATCCCATTGTTCGCACCATTGAAGGCCAGAGATGCAAACACACGAACGGCCCATTGCATAGCATTCCATGCAGATATCGTAAGTATCTTCGTCCCCGTTAATGAGAAGCCGGACGCAACACTTGCAGGTCAAAAAGCGATTAAAAATGTTGGATCGGCAATATGAGCATGTGATGTTCGAGTCGAATGGAATATGCTCGACGTTTGCTTGCTTATACCCAAACATCTCATCAATGAGGATCTCAGTGAAGAGCCCAAATAAACGTCTGAAATCGTTGGCCATCTGTTTCATGCGTGCTGGGTTTTGGATGAGTTCTTGGCCAAGACCCAACCAACCAACTTCGGAAGTATCTTCAGGTGCTTGAAGTTCCTTGTAATACTTTTCCAGAGTGTAATAAACGATGGCCTTGTTTTTGTATTGTTCATCTCGGCAAACAAGTCGCGCCTTTGGTAGAGCTTCATGAAGGGCTAAATTAAGGGTTTCAACTGTTGTCCTATTCCACGCCACTTTCATGGTTCTCGTTCCGCGATTCCAGACTTGGTGGGGCGCTAAAGGTGGTATTAAAATGAAGTCGCCGACTTTTTGTTCGACGATATAAACTGGGAAATTGGCCTTCTTCCAGGCGTTGATTTGTGCGAAATGTTTCTCAATCTCGATATCGTGACCAAGCATCGACAAAAAATATTCCCGTATAACTTCACGATCTTTAGTCTCGGTCATAAACCAGATTGAACTACCAGGCTTTTCCCCATGTTGGTCACCTGAGGCTTCGACCATAATGTTTTGACCCAAACTTGCACACATTTCTCGATGCGCAGGGGTATATGTTCCTTCATGGCCTATGTAGCACATGAGATTTTGGGCGCGCATCTCTTCCGGGAGACTACTCATCAAGTCACCCGCCACAGCAGCGGTCTTTTCTGGCGCTCCGAAGATATCGTCATTTCGTGCGTCGGCACTTGGGTTCTCGCTAACGTTCTCGTTCATATAGAAGACGTTCGGCGGGATGACCCTCTTTAAATGGTCGTACCATTCAGGGGGACAGTCTATGTCCTTCAAGTAGAGACGTTGTCGGCGTTCGTCGCGGAAATTAGTAGAGGACCATTGATTTGTCAACTGCCGCATCGATCGCAAGTAATGACCAGTAGTCATTGGAATGTCGGATTTCGCATTTATGTCACGAACATTTTCCTCTTACAACAGTATTAGCACAAATATACAACCCTCCATAATAACAAAGGCGTAACTCACGTTTCTTGTCATACGTCTTCTCCAACCAAGCCGCACTGAATAAATCCTCGGGGAGAACTTTGTTCCATCCTTCTATTACTAACGGCCGACCTCCTTCAATTACGTGCAACTGTACCAACTTTTCGAAACCCGAAGGACCGAGGCGTCTGATCTGAGCGGTAGAGATGCGCACCACCCAGTCGAAGTTTGGGGAGCGATCGACGAGAGCGTGAAGGTCTAAGTCGGGAGGGATCGGGTCGAACTTGGCTTGGGGATGTAAAGCGGTCGGCATTTTCGCGATTGTGATGTACCCCTAAAGCTGGTAGTGCGACGATTTCGATGTGCTGGGTGAAGTGTTGGGGCGACAGCGGGGCTCCCGTCATGAAGATAATCACATCCACCACCGACGCGCCTCACACAAAACGATCGCGTCTAGAACATTTGCGAAGGAGAACCTAATAACACATAGGTTCTAGTATTCTTAAATTGGAGAAAGGCCGTGGCCGATTGACCAGCTTTGTAACCGGATGGAAATGGCAACGTGAAAGAGCGAAATGTGGTCGTCATCGCAAACGTGCATTGTAGAATGAAATGCGATGAACTAACGACGATTCACGAGGTGCTACAAAAAAAAAGAAGAGCTATGACAATCGATTCAGGCGCTAATACTGGAGTACCTAAGTACCTACGGCGCCTGCCTACAGTGCAGAATCCACCCCACTACATGTAGGGAAGCTGCACCTACGGGTACAGGGCCCATTTCTTTCCGAGCTCTTATATTCTGAAAAATAACACTGGGTGTCAGAATTATAAACTCAAAAATATCATCCTATCGAAAACACACTTCTTTTACATTGGAGATACTAGATCTACTCTGTAATATATAATTATAATGAGTTCAAGGTGACCAGCATCAATCTTTGAAACCCTGAGGTATGGACTTGTCTATCTTGAATAATTTCCCCATGAAGAATAGTCCTGGAGAGAATAATTTACATTTCATCCCTTGAAAGCACAACACATCGAACTTAGTGAAAACCGGACTCGTTTTTTAGGAGAAGAGATATTGAGATAATTTACCGGGTCTTTTTAGAATAAACATATAGATTATATCAAAATTCATATTAGATAGCTATATCTACCTATATTCCCTCCCCTCATCATTCAGGACCTTCAACTTCATGTAGTAGACTTGACTAACCCGTCCTTAGAACCCTACGGATATCTCGAGCAGGATGCCTCGGCCCATCATATCTAATAGCACAAAATGCCTGCTATCCCGCAGAAGTCTACTGTTCTCGAATCAATGGAGACTGTTGAGCCGGTTTCACAACAGCTCAAGAGACATATCACATCATACACGGGCCACAACATCTGCTATAACAGCTCTTAGCTTTCCCAAAGCAAGACATATAATCCCAGCGGTGCCCTCGTCACTGAACCGACGGGAGGCCCATACCATTGACTCACCATCTTCCCCGGTCGTTCCGGAACCCTACTCTCCGCCCACCTCCGGCATCCTCTCACGCCTGCCCAAATCATGGGTACCCTACGCGGAGCTAATCCGCATCGACAAGCCGACAGGGACATACTACCTCTACTTCCCATGCCTCTTCTCAACCCTAATGGCCGCACCCCTCGCAACCCCCACAGCGACCCCTCTCTCCGTAATCAGCACCTCAATCCTCTTCTTCGCCGGCGCCCTCGTAATGCGCGGCGCAGGATGCTCCATCAACGACCTCTGGGACCGCAACCTCGACAAACGCGTCCGCCGAACGCGTCACCGGCCACTAGCCCGGGGCGCCCTAACCCCCTTCCAAGCGCTCACCTACACCGGTGCACAACTCCTAACCGGACTAGCCATCCTCCTGCAATTCCCAACCCCATGTCTCTTCTACGGGATCCCAAGTCTGCTCTTCGTAGCCTCGTATCCTCTCGCCAAGCGCGTGACATACTACCCGCAATTCGTTCTCGGGCTTACGTTTTCCTGGGGTGCTGTTATGGGATTCCCGGCTTTGGGTGTTGATTTACTGGCGAATAGTTCTGCGCTTGGTGCTGCGGCTTTGTTGTACGCGAGTAATGTGTCTTGGACTGTGTTGTATGATATGATATATGCGCATATGGATATTAAGGATGATGCGAAGGCGGGGATTAAGAGTATTGCTCTTAAGCACGATGCGGATACTAAGAAGGTCTTGACAGGCCTGGCTGTGGTACAGATTGGTCTACTTGGGGCCGCGGGCATGGCGGCTGGTGCTGGACCGGCGTTTTTCGTTGGGAGTTGTGGTGGAGCTGCTTTGACTTTGGGCTGGATGATAAAAAGAGTAAACCTTAAGAGTGTTAAGGATTGTTGGTGGTGGTTTGTTAATGGGTGTTGGATTACGGGTGGAGTGATCAGCTTGGGACTTGGGGCGGATTATTTGGTGAGATACGTCCAAGACGAGCAGACGACGGAGGCGACAAATTAATACTGTACGCTCTCTAAAAATCAGGTTGTACTATAGTTTGGCATAGAAAGGCACGTCGTATCAGATTCGGAGTTGAGGGTTGAGCACTCTTCGCTTCGCATTCATTGTGGATCTACACTTTCAGCATCACAATAAATCTCAAACAAGACATTTTACAATTGTTTTTTTCTTTGGCGACGCAAAATCTCTTATTCGTGGATCTCGTCTACCTGTGAATAAGTAGGCCCGAACCTATGATGCCGTGATGAAACAAAGCAAGCCGTGTGGACTCCGCATGCCCAATGAACCTTCTCTCGTTGCAAGTTTTATTTCCATTTTCCTTCGTTCCCAACATTGCGCTTATGATCGGGGCTTCTCCTTCTTCTCCTTCCATAGAGCTAGCAGACCAACACCAGAGACCTTGACAACCTTGAATCGCACACCAGGAATATCACCCTTGGCCTTGCCCTTACGACCGAAACCAGCGAGTAGGACTTCGTCGTTTTCGTCTACGAAGTTCAAGCAACCGTCATTGGGGACTATTAACGATGAAAAGTCAGCTTATTTGTACATGGAAAGAATAATTATCGCAATTTGTCTTCCTCATGTCACTACCCAGAATTGGATTCCAGAGATCTTGAAAACGAGGATGAAAGGCAGAATTGGAATGGATGGGAATTCGTACCGAAAGCAGTGACCTTCTTTCCGTTCTTGATAAGCTGTACACGGACACACTTTCGGATGGCCGAGTTAGGCTGCTTGGCTTCGACACCGACCTTCTCGAGGACGATTCCCTTGGCGTGAGAGGAACCTCCGAAGGGCGACGACTTGAAAGCGGTACCGAGAGCGCGCTTCTTGTATCCGAGATCTGCCCACTTCTGCTCCTTTCGGTGGAGTCGTAGCTTTCTGGCCGCGTTGAGACCACGAGGCTTGCCTTTACCCATGATTGCTGTAGTAGAGGGGTTGCGCGGTCAGCAGGTGATCGAGTGATTGAATTATTTCGATGGAGGGAATGAAGGCGCGAAGAATTGATGAAAGGGAAGTCGTCGAATCGATGAATTATTTGTAGATAGGATCGTGGGAGGGAAGGTCGACTTACCGATTTGTATGTGGTATCGCTAGAAAATGGGTGTATGTTGAAAGTCTTGATTGAATGGATTGACTAACGGTTCGTGGATGTGAAGTTTCTCGGTTAATTCTTTCCACAGAAAGGCCAATCCGAAAAATTGCTAAGGGTTTCTTCGCCCTAGTGCTTTTTTTCTCGTGGCTGAGAGTACTCCACTCTACTGGGTACCTGGGGCTTGAGGTGGCTGACGCTGCTTATGCAATCACTTTGGAGTCCCGATGTTTCTGCGGTCCCACTTTATCGTCTAGGGTCTCGAACGGGCTAAACCTTGTCATACGTAACCAGTCAGATTCATCAATTGCTTTCCAAGGTTATCTCCGTTTCCAGGCTTCCGCAGCAACATCTGAAGGACTGTTGTTCATTTACCTTTCTTTAAATTCTACATTAGCAAAATGTAGCAATGGATCACCTCAAATTAACCCCGAGCAATTCAAAAGCTCGCGACCCTCCTCGTCTATTCCTCCATCCCTCTCCGGCAGCCTCCCATGTATCGCTTTCAGGAATGGTAGCTGCTAGCCCAGCAGTTCCGCCCGCAGCTGCATCGGTATCGAACGCGCTGGAAGATGCAAGCGGCGCGTCCACACAACAATCGCAACCCCCTGCTTCTCTCGCGCGAACCGGCTCGTTACTCAATACCCGAAACCGCACTGGCATCAGTCGACTTCAAACCGCAGATTCCGCCCGAACCGCCGATAGAACCGACGCGTTATGGGCTGAGATGCAGGCGACCTTAGAAGAAGTAGAACTGTCGGCGAGTGGAGGTACGCATGTTTTTGGACCAGAGCACGATCGTAAGCTTGCTGAGTTGCGCGCCGCTCAGATAAAATTAGCACAAGCTTGGGCACGAGGTGAGGCCGAAGATTCGATCGATACATCAGCCACAAAACAAGAGATGCCAAACCTAAAGGGAACTTTGGGCGATATAGGTATCTCTGTCGCCTCGGGAACTGGTCTTGGTCCTACAATGTCTGCAAGCGCTGGAAGAGCAGCTGTCGAAGGTACTGAAGGGGGTAAGAGCACAGTCGGCACCGGCAGCGCACGACCAGGCAGCAGTGGAACAGGGCGCGAACGACTTGGTGCTAAGCTCGAGGAAGAGACGGAAAGAGATATTCTCCTAGCAAGAAATAGAAGGGAGGCCAATGATCGGTACTTCTCGAAGATTGATCAAGGAGTTCGGGATGTTGTCGAAAAACTAGAGGAAGTGGCCGTAGCCATGAGAAACGTAGAAGAAGAAACGCGCAATCTTTGGGCCGACGACGCAACACCGATAGCGCGAAACCCTGACGATGACGCTTATTAATATTTGTATACATTTCACGGTTATCTGGCGTTTTGGCAGGTTACGGGTATAATGGTATGTCGGAATGGCTTCTCATGCATTTTTAACTAGATACATAGGCGTTCCACGACAAAGGAAATAGCCTGAAGAGGCTGCTAGCGTTCGAGTACGAGTTCTTGTAAAATGCTCCTCAAACGCCGATTCATCACGTTCAACGTGTTCATAAGTGGTACTCATAAACATGCTCACCCCGCGCATGTACCCCTACTCCTCCTCATCGAACTTGATCGTTATCCAACACCCAGGTTGTCTTTCAGTAATATGGACACGGATAAGGTCTCCATGTCCCAGTCTCGGACTGGAACGACTTCAACCTTATCCGCTACAGCGGGTCATGCGACCACGAACGGGCCCCGTGTGGTTTGCTATTTCAGAAGTTAGTATATGCAAATCAACGAAGGTGTATTAATGATAAACTCACCCTCGCCTCCGCAGTGACGGAGACAGCGGCCACGGTGGCCATAATGACAGCGACAAGATAGAAAAACATCTTGACAGCTGACAGAAGGTTATGATAGTTGGTGGGTGATTGTTTTAGTGGTGGTTTGGGGGTTAAGGCAAAAGCCCTTGGTCCTTTCAGAAGCCATTCAACGTGCTTGGGAGGGTCTCAAGCTTCTTATACGCATACTCTCTCTACTCCCTGCATTACGCTCACCCCATTCCCAGCCGTATTCGCACATTCAAGAAGCTCCATATCTCACCGCCGGAGTTCCAATTGTGGTTGGGGTATATGGTACCTCACCTTTCATTGGGTGAAAAGGCCTTATCCCACTAAATTTAGAGGTGGTTGGGTCCTATCCCCAGCCCTTTGGGTCTTTCACCGCCAGGCCACGTCAAATCGAATTCGGAAACACAACGATAGGAACCACGGTTGAGATCTTAAGAACCATGACCCATTTGGGCATAGTAGACCAATTGACACGTACCAAATGGATCCAACATCTCTTTCTGAGCCTACTATGTCCCCAAAAATTCCACTTGGTGGAACTCGACAGCAAGATCGGTCTTGGCGGGTTCACGCACGGTCCAGAATCAATAGCATTATCGTTCGAATCCCGATTCCTCAAAAGAATATATTGAAGAGATCATAAGTCACTTATCTTCAAATGTAAGAACATGCCCAATCTATACTATAATATTTCCATATCAGCATTTAAAGCGCCTACCAGAAGACTAGTGTCTTCAATTGGTACAAAATAAGGCGAAGCGAGAGGACGAATCGGTTGAAAAATCAGGGCGGCAGGGGTCGAAATTCGATTCCTTTTTTTTCAGCCCTGAAGTTGGTACCGTTCATGCCGAAGGACATGTGAAGGTCTCTCATTTCAAAGCCCAACCCCTTTATCACCATACAGTAGGTAGGTATCTCAATGCTCACACATAGCTTTGTATACGTATCCACCAGAATACAAAGCATTGTTTATTGTGGCTGTAAAACTTCCCATTCTCAAGGTCGCTAGCAGAATCCGCGGCCACCTCTGGTTACACTAAAGATTTAATTTACAGTACCGACATATCCAACCGAGCGTACCAAACAACAGCCGCTCCGTACTCTTAACACCAACTTGTTCCCGGGTTTCAGTCAGAAACAAGCTTCGCTTCGGCAGTCACTTAATTACAATTATTCGATGAATTATCATGCATAGTTCCTTGATTTTCAGTAGCTATTTGCCGTCAGATATCCGAAATCAAAGACTGCCGACTTCTACGACCGGAGTTAAGTTACCCAAAGGGCTGTCATTCCAGTGCACTAGTCCTTCAGGGTTCTGGACCTCTATGGCTATGCTCTATCAATTACGTGAGCTTGAAACTACATTATTTCGGCCAGTTTCATACCAAATTAAATCTTCAGAATCTAAGGCATAATCACTTGCCGAATTATTCATGAACAGATTAATTCTAATCGAAACGTTTTCGCAGTTTCTTTTCAATGCCAAAAACACACAAATTGCCCTGGGGAGATGATACCCGATAGTTCGAGCTTCCAAGGATATTATCTCAACCACTAACAGCTCATGCTAAAAAGTTAACGTCTATACATACATACATACATAGACTCAGCAGGAGACCAACCCTTGAGCGGGCTACTCCATCGTAATTCAATAATGCTCTATACTCAGGCGCTAACATACCCGAGACGTTGGTAAACGTCTCTCATTGGAAGCTCATGCGAAAAGACAAAAATTATTCAACTACTATTAAGCTACCTAATCGCGCGGATGTAGCCGCGATCCCCTGTTCCATGTTCGGGCCTTCAAGAAATCGCAATAATGACGGTAATGATCCTATTGAACAAGATGTCGCTAGCGATGAACGCGAAGAGAAAAATTACGCGAAAAAAGACATATGAAAGCACGTGTTTCTCGATCAACCATAAGGACCTAACTGAATTGAGTCTCGACAAGATCATCGCTTGGAGTAGGGGTCCTCGGCTAGAGGATTCGGCTCTAATAACAAGAGAATCTCTCCGCAAAAGTCATTCCCGTTACGGATAGTGATGCGACTCTAGTCTCGATGGTTTCCCCGCGATTTAGATGGACGGTCGAGAACCCTCCGCGGTTCTTGGCTGGAGAGTTGTTATCTTGACTGACGCGCGGATACGATCGCGAAATGTGAAGACATAATCTTTAACTAATCGCAAAGAGCGAGGTTTTGTGTAACGCTTATATACTACACGCCTGCATTGGCTGCGCGCGGCCCCTTAATTGCGACTTCTTCCTATTGTTCGTTCTCTTGACTTTTCAGGTTCTTGGTACAGCCAAGTTGAGATGGCTTCGAAACCCGGTGATCATGGCAGAGGCCATCTTGTCCACAGTCACGCACACGAAGAAGATATCCCCGGAACTGTAGACCTGAATACCGCTGGTCAGTTATTTACACAGCGACCAACCAGTAATTCTTTTAATTTATCATTGAGCTAATATTAACATTTTATAGAGGGAGATGATGTCGGGGCATATGGACAAGCATACTTTCCCGTTCCTTCAGAAGATCCTAACGACCCATTGCAAGTAAGCATATTGGGATGCATGAGAATGGGTGTATTCTAACGCAGTTTTTAAGTGGTCCGAATTCAAGAAAACGATGATTCTTATCATCTGTTCATTCTACTCTTTTCTAGCCAACTCCTCCGTTATTGGGCCCTCTCCTTACATCGATATCTGGGCTGAAGAATTCGGTATCTCGCCCGCGACAGCTTCGGAGCTAGTCTCCTATCCAAACCTCGCTTTTGGATTTGGTATGTCGCGCCTTTAACGAGATAAAAAAACGCTGGCAGCGAAGCAGGATGTACTAACGAAACGAAGGTTCCTTGATACTTGTACCTCTTTATTTGAAATATGGGCGTCGTCCTGTCAGTAAGTAGTATTCCAGCATCATTGGGCCCATGCCCCTTGTCATGCGGCAACTTCTCAGTTACTTACTTGGTGTGTTCTAGTGTTGTTTTCTCTCGTTACAGTAAGAGGCCATAAAAATCATTCATCTAATAGGCTCAGAGTTAATACGTGACAGTTCGCTGTTGGACTGATAGCCGCATCAAGATGTACTACATTCAGCGGGCTTATGGCTGCTAGATGCATACACTGTTTTGGCTCATCTATATGCGAAGCCATACCCGTGCAGCTCGTGAATGACATATTTTTCCTCCATGAAAGGGGCAAGCGCATTGGTTATTATACTGGTAATCGACCCATGAGACATGCTTACCCGATACATTTCTAACTTGCAGTAGTCTGCCTTTGTTTAGGCACATTTGCCGCTTTGCCAGCTGGATACATGCTTGCTGGTGGCTATTCCTGGAGACTATTCTTCTACGTAGTATTCGCCTTCGCCATGGCGCTTCTCATACTAGCCTTTTTCTTCGTTGAAGAGACTTCGTATGATCGAAAAGCCTTCACAGTACCATCCACGCCACCAAACGAGCCAGAAAAAGCGGATGCTCGCGAAATTGAAAAGGGGTCTTCGCCGACGAACCTCGTCATCCCTTCTCGCAAGACTCTCACACAGACCTTAAGCCTACGAGGCCGGACCGACCACAATGTACCATTTTTCACTACGATATGGCGTTCATTCTCTTATTTTATAGTTCCTCAGTCGCTCTGGGTTATTACTACATTTGGAATCAATGGTCAGTATCATAACTCCTTAAAACATCAGTTCGCGCCGCAGACACCTACGATTTATTTCACTTAACGGAAGCTAACATAGTTACAGTATGTCACATTACATCCAGCTCTCATATACCTTTATCAGATTCTAGGAATTTAATGAAAACGACTAGATCTGGTAAAGCTCGAATTATTGCGCGGGACACTGACACTCGGTAGATTGGGCTCTCGGCGTTGGCTTTCTCCTATACTTTCCCGATCTTGATCACGTCGCCGCCTTATAACTGGACTGCTGTCAGTACACTCCATTCCATTGTTGCTTCCACTGTTGTTGACGCATACGCAGACAAACTCTGGTCTCTTTTCTGTTGCCGCCGTAATAGGTTATGGGTTAGCCATTCCTTTTACGTCATCCTCGGACAGACTCGCAGCTTATTTGACGAAACGTAATAATGGAATCCGCGAAGCTGAGATGCGTCTTGGAGTTATGCTCCCTGCAATGCTAATCGGGCCAGCCGGAATTGTCCTATACGGCATGACTGCAGAACGAGGTCTGCATTGGATAGGCTTCTTTGTGGGGGGAGCTATGAACTTTTGGGCCGCTTACTTCTATTTCTCCTTTACACTCGCATATGCGGTAGACTCCTACCACGCTAACACATCTGAAATGTTGATTGCCATGAATCTCGGGAAACAAGCAATTAGCTTCGGCTTTGGCGTCAAGGTCTTAGATTGGGTCATCACTAGCGGTTACGCGGTTGTCATGTCGGGAATCTTCGGAGGTAAGCAAGATCGAGCACCACCTTTACCCTTTCACCCTGTTAGCTTCACCAAATCTTAATTCCATGCATTTGAATTGGATCTCTAACCCCTATTTCACACTAAACGCTCGTGAGCTACTGGTTGCTAACTTTTAGCCTATTCAAAGGGGTACTTCTTGCGAATAACCTCGTCCTTCTCGTCTTTCTATTTTGGGGGAAGAATATTAGGAAGTACATGTCGGAAACTTGGTTAGGAAAACTTCACCACCGGAGCGTTCGGGAGGTTACCACCCATTAGTCAAGACTTATGCAAAGCGTGGAGATTGGGGAGCATAGGGCATTCCGAATTTTCAACACGGGAGGAATTCATGGAATCTAAGTGGCCAGGTTCATTTATACTACTACAACCCCAACATGGCCGCTCTAGACATATTAGACAGCTCAAGCGAACCTATCGAACGATTCATTATCCCCCTTTTTACGAATTCAGCTGCCGAAAATATCGCCTGTGCGACCAATGCAGTGCATGCAGATGTGGGTTCCCCCGGGCGTAGGCGGTACTCCGTGAAGATCCTAATGGTTCAGCTTCTAAGCCTTAAACCGCGCTACCGGACCGGTGAGCATGGTTAGATGTGGTCAGGTTGCTCACCACTCGTCAGCACTGGGAATATTATCAAGGAAATCGTGCATTTATTCTGACGTAGCTAAGGGATAAATAAGGTTATTTCGATCGTGAGCTGGTTTATTTAAATTAATTTGAAATCCAAGTGCCTGGGCGATGCTACTCAGATCCAAAATATCCCCAGACGTCCGATAGCCGAGCTCCACGGTTGAGGACCTGTGTAGTAAGGAGATGACACATTCCTGCATTCCCGCGAAGCCTCCGGATCTTACCCCGGGATTATCTCTATCCCATGCATAACAAGCTTCTATAACTTGAATTGGATTGTAGATATAAGAACAGGGATGTGAGGTTACAATATGCGGCCTACGCTAAACAAACACGATACGCGCTTACACGTATCGAGAACGGAGCTTCAATCTCTCCGCCTCAATTGCTATACGGTGGATCTCAAACAAAAAAAATCTCAGAGATAGAAGTCATAATAAGTAAATTATACCTAAGTGTCTCTAAAATCTACTCCTGAAAGAAATTTGCTTTCCCTATATTTATGACGAGTGTAATAGGCCTTGGGCCGGTACGTTGGTCGTACGATTCTTGCTGCAGGCTCACGCCTCCGGTTCGAACGATGCCAGCTCAGGCACAGGACCTAAATCTCCTTCATTTAATCTCGATCTATCAGTGGAGAACTTCAATAACCCGGCCGCAGATGCCCGCCAAAGTTTCTACACCAGTAGGATGCAATGTGACTATAACCAGACTAGCATTGGACAGCAAGCTGCATCAGCCATCGAATCAGATATCATAGCTTCGGTTTCGTGCCGTAAAATGGCCTCAAGCTGGCCAAATTTATGTGGAAATTACGGAACGCAAATTCATAGTGCGTAAACAAGGCTAACATACAGCTTCCCTAGCTGACGAACCCCAGTATAATCCCGACATAACCAGGCACATATACATACATCATTGACTACCGATCCATTAGACGTGTTGTACAGTTAACTTTTGTTACTCAACAAGAGAATATATTCACTAGAAATACCTAGGTATACTTGTCTAGAAAAATGTATAGCGTTCGAAACATCAAAAAGATAACCACCATCTTAACTTAGAGTACTCAAGTAAATAAATAGAGTCATTCCCTTGGGAACGAGACCGCCTCGTCTTGTTACGATCTTCATTTGCCCTAAGAGTGGATCTTCGTAGAATTCATCCGGACGAAGAAACGTAATATCCTGACCAAGTTATTTTCTTGAGCTGTCTACGCCCCTAGTCTACTTGCATACCTTGGTAGGTATATCTTCAAGCAGCGGGTTAAATGAAACATAAACTACCAGCCTCCGACGTCATGTATAAGCTTATTAGATTGGCTACCCAAACTTCATACCTGAGGATTGCAACATCGGTGTTGCAACTTTAGTTATCTCTGATTGGTTTAACCGTCTAAACTCAGTCTTCAAACCAAGTTTTACGTCGATCTATTCCCTTATTGAGTAAACGGAACCGACTTCAGGCTTCGAGATACCCTTGTACCGTACATAGAGCTTTACTCCTTTTTAGAAAAGTTGCCGCTATAGGATCAGACGTGTACCAAACATAACCCCGGAATAGCGGCAGAAACTCGTCGTCGAAGTTCACGGCAGAGCTTGAGATCCATCATACTAAGATGTCCTTCGTAGAGACGACGTTGCATCGTGACACGACGATATTGGACCTGTTGAGGTCTTGAGAATATTCTTGGTCATCGTAAACTTGGAATATGGATAGATGACGAGATATATCTCGAGTATAAAAACCTAGTCATCCTCCCCTTTCAAGTGGAAATTTCTCATCATCGATCACTCCAGTCTTCGAACACAAATCAACTACCAATTCTACTATCTCTTAAAATTTCTGAGCCTCTAGGTTCCAAACTCCATCCAACTATCAAAATGCAGCTTTCCGCCTTCTTCGTCACTGTCCTGGCCACCGCCGTTCTCGCCAACCCTGTCAAGCGCGGTGACGGTGGTAAGGGAGGTGCTCCCTACGAGGCTTGCACTGGTCTATACAGCACCCCTCAGTGCTGTGCTACCGATGTCGCTGGAGTGGCTGATCTCGACTGCCAGACTCGTAAGACAACCCCAACAACTTCCGTAAAGTCCAATGCGCTAATTCATCCCTTTAGCTAGCAAAGTTCCTCATAGCGCGGCTGACTTCAAGGCTGTCTGTGCTGTTGGAGGACAGCGCGCTCGCTGCTGTGTCCTCCCCGTTGTAAGTTACATTTAGATCGGACCAAATCCGTGCAGGAGTTAACAAAATTTCGCAGCTCGGACAGGATGTTCTCTGCCAGACCCCTATTGGCGTCTAAGGGGCCAACTCAGAACCCGATGGCATACTTCTAGCAAAACATGACAATACAAAAATTAGAAGTTGCCTAAATTCGTTGGGTTTCCAGATCTGGTGTTGATGGAGTCGATGAGTGGCGGATTTAGGGGGTATAACGATTGGAATGATGATGTATTGTCGCTCTCTTCAATTCTTCTGTAGTGAAGTTTAAGGATTCAACGTCAAGCCTCAATCCAATATACTTTTCTTCCTAACTACCTATTTTAACAGACCCTCCGTGCTCTATGCTATGACCTCGTCTCAAAATCTTCGGATTACTTCTGCTATAGCGACTGTTAGATCAGTCTCCACGCCTAACATCCGCCCGGACTCTTATCCAGGTGAACAGACCAGCTAGGCCGTCCTAGCAAAGAGTCGGTCGTGACCGAAATAATAACTTGGGAGTGGTTTGATTTTTTTACTTTTGAATAACGACGATTCCTCATATCAAAATTACTTAAGGTTTGTGAATGGTCAAACCCCATGTGGTCAACCTGGGTAATATAGTTGATCGGTATTTTTTATTTAAACAGTTCAGAAATGCCCGCACTTCGATTTCAATTTGGAAGAATGCATTTCCAATCCAAGCAGTATCGAGAGGCTTCGCGGCGTTTTTTCTACTGGTGACACAATGGTCTGTAGTTGGTTATCACGTTGTATCTTTGGAGATGCTGACCCCGATCAGGACCCATTGACGAAAGTATCTACTCCGTCCAGTCCTAATACCCCGACTGCTATTACTATGCCACAGGCTGTACAGCCTCAGCAGCCCGAGAAGTTCCAGCAATCCGAGGAGCCCGAGGAGCCGTGTCTGTCCCAAGAGTCACAAAATTCCCAAGAATCCCAAGAGGCCCAGGAGTCTCAGGAGTCTCAGGAAACATCGGGTCCATTGGTATTATGGAAACCTCCAATAGACAGGTTAGGGGATCTCCCAACCGAGCTTATACTCGTAATTTCCGAGTTCCTCCCAATCACCTGTGTCGCTTGCCTCGCATTAACATGCAGACGTATGGCCAGTATCTTCGACGCCAGAACTCTGGCGAGCCGCCTCAATAAGATGGCAACCCAAATCGTGGTCAGCCGCCTAGACGGGGAGATCCTAGGCATGAGCTACTGTGCCGTCGGCCAAAGACTCGCGCAGTTCACGCCGCACACACTAGTTCCGCAACACTTCTGCTTCCATTTCCATCCAGTCGAGAAAATCAAGGGGCCACTCCACTTTCAACTTGGACAAAGCCTCTTCCACCTTCCCTGGTGTGCCGCCCGCCTCGTCACAAACTACTACACCCTCGGTCCTGAGTATGGACTTCCGGCTCTTGTTCTGAACTCCACGTTCGACCACCAACACGAGGAGTATGGCGTACGATGGAGAGAAATATGGGAAGCCAAAGTGATCAGGGGTAATCTGGTATTATCTTGCACACACATTCTTTCCCACCGAGACCTCACCGGACGTGCCTTGAATAGCTATCTCGGATCGCATGCCATTACCGCGTGCCCTCATAAGAAACTCCGCGTGTCTATATGGTCATTAGGTCATGTTCAGAGATACGGGAGAGGGTGTTGCTGGCACTGCGGAACAGACTGGGCAATATCCATGCTGCGGAGGAGCGGTGGGCGTGGGTGGGTCGCGAAGACGAAGATATACCACTTATTAGGGACTTGTCGGTCGCCTAGTGATCCAAAATGGAAGTCCATGACGAGCATATTCAAGTCGTTTAGAGATGTACCTGGTGGAACTGTGAGTGCGTCGTGGCGAGGATTTAGTTCCGCCGCAGCTCTGGTACCCACCGTCTCCCGGGGACGGTGTACTGTGCCTACGTTCCTCCCCTGACGTTCTGGTTTTAGTGCTGTAAAGAACTACCTATTACCCCTAAAAATGTAACGACGTTAGCTTACAGCATTTAGCAGAATAGGGCCTTGGTTTAGGTATATCTCAATTTAGCGTCACACCTACATGTAATATAGACACTTGTTGTGAGTAAATAATGGTTATTTAATTAAATCATAACTTTCTTCAGGACTACTAAAAACAAGGGGGGGATAAATACATTTCATTGTTTATGTCTATTTCTACCAGCTAGAAAATCACTATTCTAAAAAATTGGAATGGTGGGCGGCACTCATGTAATAAGACGCTTGTTGATCACGCAAAAGTGCAGTCAAATATTTAGGAATGACATGTGATTTTTTACATTCGTAGAAACTATGAATGTGGCTCTACCTGGCGACGGATCTCAACTACCGTCTCAAAATACCATCCCCCTCAAAGACCCCGAAATTGCACTTGGTGGCTAGTCAATCATCTCGCAACGCCTCAGCAAAATCGCCAACGATACACACCCGAGCCAAGCAATAATAACATATCGAATGAATAGAAAAAAAAGAAAGAAGTTCTGAAGTGGTATCTCAGGTATCAAATAGCTTGCTAAGCCAAGCTGAAGCTTAGCGGCATCGAGGGGAAAAAGGAAAACACGTGGATTGAAAAATCCAACGACTGACGATGCTTGTGCAAAGTCATCCCATGGCCACATCCTAACTGCGATTCGTATCGTGTCCCGTCCAGATCGTCCGTTGTTGTGTGCCATGGCAAATAGGGGTTGAATTAATAAAATTTAGAAGAAACCATGAAGGTTCATGGTTGGTGAATGTTTTGTCTGTAAAACATTCTAAGCATCCTAAGATGTGAAGAAAGCACGCCGAGGATGCAAGCATAGGAAGCAAAATGGACATGAGACGCCTCAAACTCCTTGCAAGATGTAGACCACCTGCTCAAATAGCCGGACACATTGGGATCCTAAGTAGATGATGAAACGGCCAACGAACCCAGAGTGTAGAAGGCACGTTAGCACCATCGAAACGAATATTAAAAGGGCATATATAAGAAATTCGCGCCAACACTGTGACTAAAAGCAGTTGAGGCTACCCTTCTTCTTTTTCTTGTTGTTGATCGCGTTCATGCGCTCCTCGAGATGGGTTCTAGCCCTCTCGGCGTCTTGGCGCTTCTTACGCTCCTCTTCGATCTGGTGAAGACTATCGCGCCATCGGTTATCTTGTTGCGGTCGCTCCTTAAGTTCTTTAACCTCTGTTTCCAGCTCTTGCGCTCGTTTCTTCCACGCGTCGCAGTCGGCCTTGATCTTCTTCGATTGACCTTCGAGATCAGTTAGGGCCTCTTCTAAAGTAGAAGTAAGCTGCCTCTCAGCTTTAAGGTGTCGCTCGATGCTTTGAATACGAGCTTCTTGGTCTTCCCGAATCTGGGCGAGAGCCAAATCGTGGCTTGTAGGGCGACCACCTGTTGGGGTGGGCGGAACACCCTGGGTGGGTGAAGTCGCACCAGTAGGGGGCAGAGGTGGGAGTGGAATGGCAGGTGGAGGAGACGGCAAGGAAACGACGGAAGCTGTCTTGCGAACTTGCGAGCTCGTTGAGCTGGTTCGTTTTGGTCCATCGACATTGGTAGTGAACTCGTCCATGCGAGCCTGCCCACATGTTAGTTTGAAGCTATAATAATAACCTGGAGTGAGATTGATTCTTACCTGGAGAATGGCCATCTCTTCCCGAACGGTCTCCAACTCGGCCTGCGCCTTAGCTCTAGCCGTGTTGGCCTCCTCTAATTGCATGTGACGCTCTGTCTGCAAAGTAGACAATCGATTGTTCGTGATCTGGGCTTGGTCGTAGTTAGTCTGGAGTTGGTCCTCCAGTTCCTCCACTAGACGGGAATGTTTCTTATTCCTGTTTTCTAGATCGGTCATCCGCTTCTTGACAGCTGCAAGTTGTTCCAAAACGGAGGGGTAGGGACTCTTTAAATTGTCCCCCTCTAGGTGAACCATGTCGTTTAAGGAGGATTTCACGGCTTCTAGATCACGCATGATCGTATTGTTGATCGCTGTCAGTTCGTCTATGTGACTCTCTAGCTCGGTTGACTTCTGTTGTTCAACACTTAGAGCCTTTTGGTCCGCGATCAAATCCTCAATACGTTCACTGATCTTCTCCACACTGACTTCAAGGCCTAGCGCAAAAGCGACTTGGGTAGCAACCTTCATAAGCTCATCGCGCGCCTCTGCAGCATCACTTTCCAATAGTTTGACGTTTTCGGCATGTTCCAGCATGAGCTCATTGACTTGAGCATCGTATTCTTCCTTCGAGCTGGCTCTAATCGCTTCAACTTCCTTAGCATGCTCTTCGTGTAGCTGGGCTAGGCTCTCTTCATGGGCCCTGAGAGTCTTCTCATGTTCAGCGATCTGGCCCTCAAGTTGGCCAACAAGACCTTGGTAACCGCGAGATTCTGCAGATGCAATATCCCGTGCTTTAGAGGCTTCATCGAGTTGTTCCTTGGCTAGAGCATGTGCTTTCTCCAGTTCAGCAACCTTGGCAACATTACTGTCGATAATTGCCTTGAACCCACTGATTTCGCTACGAAGCGTAGTGATGAGATTTTCGTGTTCGCTCTCCGCTTCTTTAGATTCCTCGTCGCCCCTTGCTTGCTTTCGAGACTCATTCAGCTGGGCATTAACGGTTGCGACTTCCGATTCAAGGTCGTTGATGGCCTTCTTCATCTGTACTTCTGTTGTCTGCATAGCCTCCAAGGCAGCTTGATGCTTGGCCTCCCAGCTGGAAAGCTCGGCTTCAAGGTGAGCAATCTTCTCATCCTGGGCAGCATGCAAATCACCGTTTTGAGTACCCTGGCTCTGGGTCTGCACAACGGACATCGATTGAACTTCTGCAGCATCACCGACTGATGTACGCAGGGCTTCTAGTTCGGCTAAGAGTTCTTTTTCGCGAGCGGCGTGAGCATCTTTCATCCCCTTGAGTTGCTGCTCGTTTCTCTCTAGCTGTTCCCTTAAATTTGTAACTATCGAAATGTCCATGGGACTAGATTTCAAACTGGATCTCTCACGCGTCAATCCCGAAATGATAGTCATCTTTATCTCCATCTCTTTCTTGGCAGTAGCTACGTCAGCTTCAAGCTCCTGAATGCGCTCGGATCTAGCATGCAATTCGTGCATAGCAGCGTTAAGATTAAGGTCAAAGTTCTGCATGATGTCGGGCTGCTCCTCGAAATTCTCGGCGGCGAGATTTCTCAGCGTCGCGAACGATCGATGTGCTCGGTCAATGACCAGCATATTTTGGCTAGACTTGCGACGAATTACTGGCGTTGCTGTTCGTGGAGAGGGTGGTTCCGCATATTTGGCCTTTGCCACCTCAGTCTTCAACTCTTCCACTATGTCCAGCGTCTCTTGGTGCTTCTCTTCTAGCTGGGCATATTTATCGGCAAGTTCCTTCTCGGCAGCTTGCTTCTCGTCGGCCAACAACTTGAGCCTTTCTAGCTCAGCAGCCAATGCTTCACTGTTGTCATTGCTGACCGTTTCAGCTACAAGTGTTTCCCTTGACTCGGTAGCTTTCGGTACTTCAGTCTCCGGAATGTCGGTAGTAGTAGGGGAATCCATAGCTGAGGATAATTCCGAGGAGAGCGATCGCGACAAGTGTGTTCCATCTTTGGCGTCGCTGGACCTCAGATCGGATAAAAAACTCGAGGGCCTTGTCAGGTTCGGGGAAGTGACCGATAGGAGAGAATCGCGCTGATGATTGGGGTGTCTTGCTTCGTCGACTTGATCTCGTAGCTCTCTTAATTCGCGGACGGTTTCTTCGTACCTGGCGTGTAGCATATCGTACTCGTTGAGGGTCGATTCATGTTCAACACGTAGTGCAACGAGTTCCTCACTAACGTTCTCGAGCTTATCAGCAACAAACTGGTTTTGCGCTGGACTCTGCGGCACATGGTCTAAAGGTATCGATTCTTCATCTATATCCCCTGCAGGTTTCTCGGTCGCCTGGGTGTCCTTGGGGATCTCCTCCGAGTAGGCATGCTCACTCGCGTCTTCTTCAGTGCCTTCGGCGACTTCGGGCAGGACGCCTCTAACACCTAGGCTTGGTCGACTGGCATGGCTCTTGACCGATCGCTCCGAGTAGGTACGACGGTGTCCGATGCCATTACTATGCTCAGACTGAGCATCGGATTGCTTATCCTGCTGGACATGATCGAGTTCGTAAAGAAGACTGTCAAGCTTGCCGAGGCTTCGTTGGCGTTCGATGACTTGCTCAAGGCGATCAATTTCTCGTTGCATGATTTCTTGGTCTTGATCTGACTCGGCGAGCCTTTCTTCCAAAGTAGAAATGTAATCCTCGCATGCTGCCTCGTTTTCTCTGACACGCGCAATTTCTTTTCGCAATTCTAGAACGATGGTGGCATTTTTCTCCTCGCCAGATGTGTGGCCGTCGAGCTTCGCTTCCAGGTCATGAAGGTAGCTTTCTGTGTTGACTTCACGATCCATGAGTTTTTGCAAACGAGCTTGCAATTGGGTGTTGATGGTTTCAACGTAAGCGCACTTGGACTCCTTCTCGAGTAAGTTAGCCTCTGTGTTAGATAAGGTGGTCCGTGTACTAGTGAGAGACTGTTCAAGCGTCTGAATCGTCTTTTCATACTCCAGGACAACTCCCTCCACTGCCTGGGCGAAAGAGTTCGAGCGATTCAGTCTCTCTGTTGCTGTATCATCAACATTTTCCTCTGCATATAACTTCTCAGCTTCTTCGTTATCTCTGGCCTTTGCCATTTCGGCAATGAGCTTAGCATGTCGTTGGCTCAGGGTGTTATAACTTTCCTGTGCGTCCAGGAGCTGGTTTTGCAATTCCGTCTCCCGTTCGTTCTGTCGCTCGGACCTCTCGTTTGTCGTAACATTGCGTCGTTCGCCCCCACCACGTTCCGCACTCCGGATCTGTTCGCGCAAGAATGCTACCTCAGCCTTTAAGCGCTCAATAATCGCCTGCTTATCGCCCTCCTCGATTTGCTGAATTCTAGGTTTGCTTTGGATTGCTCGGGCCCTCTGTGCGTATTGTACCGTGTTAAGAGTTTCACTTAGGTGGAATTCTGCGGGCGTTACACAGGCGATCATGTAAGTAATAGCATTTCCACCCAAGGAATCTTGAAGTAGCCTGGTTAATCTCGAATCACGGTAGGAGACGTGAGACCCGGCTTGTCGGGACGAGAGCTGAGATATAACTTTGCCGAGAGCAGCGAGACCAGCATTGATAGAGATACCTTCCCTGGCCCGCTCTCCTTGTGCACCGGTATTCTTCAGACGTTCGCTACCGGCCAAATCGACGAAGTGCAATTTGCTGTCAGTCGTGACCCAGGTATCGGTTCCGGTCATAGCCTCTAGTGGAACGGAAAATCTCTTGTTAGCTCCTTGGCTACTTTGCGACTTGCTCTTGCGCTGTACTAGGTTCAAACTAAAGACGGCGTGGGATCGCGAAGATTTGGCGTTGATAGCGGTCGCATCGGTTTGTCGGATTGTAGAACCAAAGTTCAAAGCATTCATCAAGTCGTCCACGGAATTGATTTCGACTTGCTGTAGGCCAGTGAGGATGATATTACCCTTTTGGTCTTCTCGAATAGTAACGTTGCTTCGTTCGTATGGCTGAAGGTGATCAGGTACAAGCAAATCGCGCAATTGTTCATTGTAGATTTCTACATAAGTTGCTTTCAATTGCCAGTCTTTTTCAGCCTTTGGTGCAGGGGATTGTACCGAATATCGCGCAGGCGTTCTGAGCTGGGACATGGAACTGCGATTCGAGTTTCGTGGGGGGCCGTCCAACTTCTCAAATAGAGCCATCGCAGCTCGCGGGATCACACCTATCCAGGCAGCCGATGTTAATTCCAATTCCAAAGAATTTCAGATGGATGTATGTCCTACTTACCCATTACCTCAAGATCACCTTGCTCCGCGGGCCCAGACGTGCCCATTGTGTAGGACTTTCCGGCGCCGGATTGGCCATAAGCCAGAAGGGAAACATTGTAACCCTGAAGAAAAGCAGAGACACTGTCTTGTAAGTATTCCCAAATTCCTTCTTGGTTAATGTCGGGTCCGAAAACACGATCGAAAACAAACAGCTTTTTTCCTTGTGGCGCATCAATGGCAATACCTGTGTTAGAGGTTGTTTGGACCATGGATCGTTGGAATCGCTGCGGAATGAGTTCAAAACCAGGATCGGTAGGCTTTAGCGGCGGTCGTACTCGAACAGCTAAGTAACAATGTTAATATGGTTATCGAATTTTTAAAATTTTTAGGGAATATTAAAGATCGGCGACAAATACTTACCAACTTTCACGGCAGTGCGACCACCATCTTCATCCGAAGCACGGCTTCCACCACCTCCAACTTTACTGCTCATACTTAAGCGGCTGTTGCTCCTAGGAGCCGATTTGACCATAGCGCTCATCGGTCGCGGCAGGCCTGGAGATCCCGGCGGAGATGTGGCCATAACGGCGATATACTAATCGCCGAACTTGCGAATACCAAGAAGTATAGGCGAATACTGAATAGATATGGTGTGTAATGATTATTGGCGATGTCTTAAGGACACGGCGAATGAGCCGAGCAATCGAGACGATTCAGCGGGTTGTAAGAATAGTGGTTAGTCGATTCGTGGAATGCAAAACACCAAACACCGAAAAAGAAAAAAAAGAGTGCCCGCCGTGCACGGGTAGGAACCCTTCAACCTAGGAAGGCTGTATATGATGCGCGAGCGTCATATGTCGCAGAGGAGTTATAATTCCACTGTTACAACAACCAGTACATTATTATTCTTGTCGCGGCGCGCGTGGGCATCGGGTTGACTCGTCTTATTTCTTGAGCGTGTCGGGAAGACGGCGATCAGGTTTAGGGGTTGAAATGAAAATTTGGGGTAGCACTCTGTTTATTATTTAGGCCAGGAACGGCGCACTAAAAAGTATGGGTTGACAGTCGCTCCTGTCGCTTCAGTTCGAGAAGTGGGATAACTGTGGGATAAACAGGGGGAATAAGCAAGGGTTGTAGGAAGCTGCAAGGATGTTGCGCGTAATGGGTTTACAGGGGTCCTGCTCCCCTATCAGAAAGCACGACTACCCAAAGCAGTTAAGGCCAATTTAAGGTGCGTCGCTTAATGCAAAAATATGTACCCGGCACTTGTTTTTTAGGGTGATACTGATACCTAACCACGTACGTACCTATATACTTCAGTAATCAGTAGTGAATCGTGCCTAGAAAGGGAATTGCTCCGGGTATTTATTAACGTAAGAATACATGAAAAGGAACTAGGACCTCTTATTTTCACACATTATCATAGTCATTATATTATGCAGAGCACTCATGTGCTTTATAGGTATGATACTAACTAAATAGATTATTGTACCTCATCGTTCGAAAGGCTTTTCTATCTTGAAAAATTGGAACTTTTCTGCGACGCTATGAAGACAAACTGTTTGATAGTTTATTGCCCTTTCTTACCCTATGTATCTAAGCATGCTTAGTGGATTCAGGGCAGGTAACTTTATTCTAAATTTGCTTGTCTAGATTTAATTCACAAAAGGGCAAACTGTTGAATATGATAGCCACCTTATGTTATGTAACTAGGTAGGCCTAAAGGATATTAACCGCTGTCATCCCATGTTATCCTAAATGTGGTGCCGTGTCACAGGGAGGTAACCATCGTATTTGATATAGTATACAGAACACGACATCTATGTTGTGTTTTCGTATCTCAGCCTCAATTCTACCTTCTAGAATAAATAAGTCAATGGAAAAGGAGGAGATAAGAAGAATAAAGAAAAGAAAAAGAAAAGGAAACAAGAAAAGTCAGTACAAGGTACAAAGCATCTTGAAGTATTTCCAAGTTTGGTTAGTTTTTATACAGCTCAGCTACATATCCACATTTTTTTTTTACATACTTTTAGTATGCATATCAAAAGGGAACCCTGGACGCTCGAGCACCTTAAGCACCCATGCGACATTTATTGGTACTAACCTAGGTACTCAATCAATTTTTTCTTCATTCTTTTTCTCTTACTGCACAATGACACCTTAATAAAGCCTCTTAAATTGAGATGCCCTTTAGGTACTCTTTGCCTACAAAAGTGCTAATTTTCTTACTAGACATTTAGTAGGTATACATATACATATCCAATCAGGAATTGTCATTTACAGGACAATTACCAACATAGTGCTTGCAGGTTGCTGATGCAATGCAAAAGCAAGTGCTCCTGATCAGATCAAGGGGGGGCAGTGGAGAGATTACAAACGATAGGCAACATAAAGGACATAAAGGGACAAAGTCCACCCATAAATCCAAGATGACTGACAGGCGACCGGAAGACAAATCTTGGCTCCAACGGATTGGATGTTCTAGCGCTAATGCACCAGACAGGAGCGGGTCAAGTTGGCCGAATTCGTCCATTTGAATTTCGGACGTTGATTTTAGGGGAACGACGGCGTTGCGACGGCTTCCTTTTTTTCCTAGTCCAGGGGTAAACACCATAAGAAAAAAAAGAGAGTTGGCCAAAGGGGAAATTCAGCTGCAGGTACAAATGCCACACGTGCATCGTCAATTTCAACGCCATCCAACCATAACGATCTTCCAACTTACTTTACATAAACCAAAGAGCAGCGTCAAGGGCCACCGGGTACTTTTCCGAAAGGTGATAGTGCTAAGCTTCTATCCCCAGTCCCACACGGAGCAACCCGTGGGAAGAAACATCACAAAATGTTCCTTATCCAAGTAGCTGTGTAAGAGAATTCATATAACGTCGACAGGAGCTTAAAAGGCTGTTTCGTCGAATCCTGCTACATCACGATTACTACGCGATCGAGGAATAATAAGTTGTTAAGTCAAATACGGCCTGGATTGGAGTCCTCTCCGTTCAAACCCCCCCACGGGAACGCTATGTTCATTTAGTTGACAACCACGAAGATCATCATCTGGATCGCGAACAATGAGCCCACTATCATGGATCACCGCAGCTATATTTGCTACTATTGGTCACCCTAACATAACTCAGGTACCTAGGTACTCAGATCTACCGCTATAAGCACTAAGATAAAATAAGAATCAGGTACCTATTGTATTGTCCAGGCATCCGAAGAGGCTCCCAGAATTTCCGTGCTCCCCGAATTACAGGTTCGCAATTGTCTTCAACAGCAATTAAGGGAGGAAAAAGGATTGAACCTCGGATCAAATAACAACGTTCGAGTCCGTATGTGTATTGTGACAGCGGCAATGCACGTACTTACGTATCCTACACCCTTGTTTATGACGGCACTCTTCTTGATAAGAGACATGTTTTTTCTACCTACGTCTCTTCAACGCGACCTACTTACAGTCGTTCACGAATCCTATCTCGCGTGGGAATCACGTGAAATTCGCATCATATACCAAGGTACTGAGTACAAAATCCATGATCTAGATGTCAATATTCTCGTTTCAGATTTCTTCTCGGAACATCGTCGCCGACGATCCTTTGATCTTAAATGACTAGCTCCAAGCGCTTCAGTGCTTGTCTCGCCCCCTTTCACACGAGACGAAGAAGAAAGTCCTAGCGCCTTCTCATCCACCACTCGGCGGTAGACTAGTAGTCCCGCGGTTTGAGGGCGATAAAGCGCGTATTCATTTAAGATATAACAATAAGTACCCAATGGTATTGTCACAAGCAGTCAAAGCTCGACCCGACGGCTGGGAACACCTAGGCGGCCAGACAATTCTATTTGTTCCCCTCGAGGAAGGTCGGGAGATGCCGTCTACACTAGAGGTCTAACCAATAGGTGGCTGACTGCTATAGGTACCTCATTCAGTGAGCAACATATCTACTCTCTGACTTATGGTCAATGTGCTGATATCTAATACCTAACCCACTCGCATCCTCATATACCCAGGCCATTGGTCGAAACTTCTTAGGATCTCTTATTCAGAAGCTATCATACTTTATGCCAACTTACGTAGTATGTATCATCATCAACATATAGCAGTACAGCCTCAAGGTTAAACGGCGGGGCCGCTTGATGTTACACCATTCTACCCCAGCAACTCTCAAATGCCGGCGTGCCTCTTACGCAGCCAGGCAGGCAGCGTGAGCAATTGTAAGCAGTTCCCAATTTGAATTACTCGCGATAGTGCATCCAAGGTAGGTACATGTACTGTACGTAAACCACTCCACTAAATTAGATACGTACGATTATATAAATCCTACGATCTACCGCCTAGTAAGCCTCAAAGTTGAAACGAACAAGGCGACACCGAGTATACCTGCCGAGGCAGCTGGGCACATATGCAATGAAGTCTACCTCATCAAATCCCTAAGTTCATCCCATATATCCTTTCACGTAGTATGTTTAGGCTACGCTTGCTCTGTCCAGACCGCTCAGATGTAACAGGGAAGCTTATTCCCAATCCACGAAATGACTTCCCTGATGGTAGCATCGTATACGAATACACTACCAGGAAGACATCAAGCGAGAAGACTGCGAACCATGACCTGCCAAGACAGTTCAGTTACGCTGAACCTTACAATCCACAATGAGGATACTACAATGAGAAGGTACATATGTAAGTGTCGTAATATTTTATTGACCATGTGTTTTGACTTCGAAAAACGATGCAGCGACGGATTGCATACCCAGGTAATGAGGAATGTTTCAATAATTCAACCATGGATGCAGGTTTGTTTAACTGAGAAAATCCACCCAGATTTCGACCGCGTCGTCTGAATTAGATGTTGCGTCTTTCTACAAGTTATTCCTACTTACAAATCCTTCCAACTTACAACCAGTGAAGAGCTTCCGCCCCTCACCATTTTAATCGAATCTCGTGAATATGTCGATTTCTGATACAGAGGAATATATCCATTGCTTACTGTAGACCTATAGGAATTCCTGTTTACCTCGTCAAAAAGAAAACAAGCTTAACGTTCTCGGCTTCTTTTGAGTCTCGACTTCGCGGGTAATGGCGCGGCCTATTTTCCTAGAACCCTTCCTCTGTTATTCAAGAACGATTTGACTAGATTTTACATAGTGGATGCAGCTCTTATGAAATCTCCGGTCGTGCGTGCATTCAGGCGTCGTTGATCATGATCTGATCCCCTCAACACCTAGGTACCCATGGTAAGAAAACCAGGCTACCTGGCTACGTGCAGCTAAAATGTCTGAGCGTACGCAGACAGCCTGGACGGCGTGGATAGGTTACGCCGACATTGCCGCAACTAGATAACATACCCAATTTTGTTTCCCAGGTTTCTATGTCAGTACGCGATATCATTGGCTATTTGTTTCGTAGTACCCTTCGCGCATGCTTGTAGAGATTGCATTCTGCAGTGATGTTGAGCAGCCAAGACTCGAGTCTGCTGGATTTCTAGTGATTCCCTCGCCCGAGCGTACATAAAATTGTATGCACGCACGCGCGTGTATGCGAGTCGGCAATTTTATCCTACAGTTCGCAGCGGAAGTTAATCCATTACATACACGTACATATACGCTTTACCTCCTTAGGGAGCACATAAGATGAGTAGTTCTTCGAAGATCTAGTCGAGCGCTGTTGGTTCGGTGGAAACACTTGTGCCGCACTTAATTCACTCGTCTTCTATCATAATTCCTAGTCACACCCAAACAATATCGCCGCCTTCACGCATTAAGCGCGATTGTCTCAGGTCGCTATCCGCTTATCAATCTTGTCAGTTCGCTGAACCATATATACAGGTAGCGCGGAGAGCTCCCCGTCTGTACCATATAGAGCATACACACGGGACGGGATAAATTCCAACTAGGGTCCTACCAAGTGAGGCTGTCAGTGTCCCATCGATAGCGATCTAGAATTTCAGTCCTCGACAAAAGATCCATCATGAGTCTCAACTTGTCTTGGATTCCTGAAATTCCTGTATATGCAACTTTCGGCACTGAATGTGTAAAATGCAGAATACCAAGGCAGATTCAATGATCAAATCTAAATCTGAGATTTACAGGTAATGTTGATGTATCAACCGAAGCTATTACTAATCTCATCCGGATATAGGTATTTATTAGTATATAAGGTAGTATGTGAAAAAGCGAGCTTTAGTAAGCTTTGTGTCACGTGAACCGCGTCATACACGCGCTTTGCTTTTTCTTGATTACTACGCGTGACACGGCTCAAACAAGCCACCAATTTGCCAATTCATCACACCAAATGCGATATTTTCAGGAGTGATTCTGCTCATAACAATTGCTGTCTTAACCCTTACCCCTTGCTTCATCTAACTAGCTTGAAATGCAAATGTCTCAAGGATTCTTGGATACGAAAAGCATCATATTACCATTCGAATCATGTCAACATGCCGACTGAAGTGATAGATCTATTATCATCCAGCCCCGCTGCTCCCCCCCCACCCACCTTCTCGTCTACACGAACTCATACAGCCCCTTCTAGGGCGCTCGACTACGGCGCCCTCGATGAGACTGTAAAGCCATCATCAAAGGCAGCTCTATCAAGTAGGGTACCCAATAAGCCGCTCACTACCGCAAAGCGGACAAACAGCACTTACACGCAACAACATAATGATTTCTTATTTCTGTCGGATGATTTCGACACAACCGGGGATCTTGACGGGAATGTCGCAAAGAAAGCCAAAATTTCCACGTCTTCAGTGGGTATCAAGAAGAGACAAGATAATGGTTTCAAACGAATAGTATCGGCAGCAGTTGTCTCCGAGAACCGAGAAAATATTTCGCCAACTACATTGAAACGGTGCAATTCGATAGTCGATCCAATTGAACATAGTAGTTCTCCCTATCAATTCCCCCCAAGTAAAGCGGTGAATAGACCAACCGATTATTCAGATCCGTTCAAGAGCTCGCCAAAGAAACCAGCAAGAAACACTAAGTCGTCGCTACTGGGTTCAGCAAGCGATCCTTTCAACAGTTCCCCTATACGAGAAATCGAGGGTCACAAGCCACCTACGCATTCCAAATCCAAGTATCATACGCTTGATGATCCTTTCGATTCTCCGAAGGGCAAAAAAGCGACGAAATTACCGATAGTGATAGACCTCTCGGACGACGATGAAAACCTATTAAGGAAATTCCAACCCAAAAAATCCAAACAAAATGGAGCCTGGGATCCGATATCAAGTTCAATGCCAGAAACTCGAACGGGAAGCAACACCCTTGGAGGCCTTGATTCTGACGATCTACCAGACTTGGGCGATATCGATTTCTCGAGGTTCCAATCTAGAGGTTCCTTTAGCTTGTCGCCTTCTCCGCCACCGAAGAAATCCAAGGCGACAACGAAAAGTGCCGCAACCAAGAAGCCAGTAGAACCGAAGAAAACCAACGAAGAAAAAGAAGAGGAAAAGAGGAGAAAGGCAGAAGCTCGCGAAGCCGAAAAGAAACGTAAGCTAGTTGAGAAAGAGCAGGTGAAAGAACAGTGCGCAATCGAAAAACAGAAGGAAAAGGCGCTCGCCGAAGTCAACAAGCTCAAAACCGACAGAAAGGTAGCTGCACCTGAGATGGTAGTGGACCTACCCAATACCCTGAGCGTCACCATCAAAACCCAAGTCGAGAAGCTACTCGCCGACATGGATGTTCAGTTCGAATACCAGGACAACCGAGTCGACGACGTAGTAAAGTGGCGGCGAAAGGTTACTTCCGAGTACAATGACGGACTCGGACATTGGGAACCAGTCCCAATGCGCATCCAAGCCGAGGAACACGTCATGGTCCTAGTCCAAGCCGCCGATTTCGTAAAACTTGTCCTCGGCTCCGAGGGTCAAGATCTAGAAGCACATATCCTAAAAATGAAAACCTCCTTCTCGAACAACACCCTCATATACCTAATCGAGGGCCTCACGCCGTGGCTACGGAAGAATAAGAACGCGCTTAACCGGCGCTTCGTATCCGCCGTACGCTCACTCGATCCGAACCCGGACTCAGCCCCATCCAGTCAATCCCAATCACGCCGTCGGAATAACGCAGCGCAGCAGGAATATATTGACGAAGATATAATCGAAGACGCACTCCTCTCCCTGCAAGTAATCCACGGCGCGCTAATCCACCACACCAACGCCGCAATCGAGACCGCCCAATGGGTCGCCGCATTCACCCAACACATATCAACAATCCCCTACCGTCGCGCGCGCGACGCCGCCGCAGACGCAGGGTTCTGTATGGAAGCAGGTCAAGTACGAACAGGTGAAGATGCGCGTGATACATATGTCCGGATGTTACAGGAAGTGACCCGCGTCACAGCCCCCATTGCTTACGGTATAGCCGCGCGCTACGGTACCGTAGCCGAATTAGTGTGCGGTCTCGAGGAACGAGGCCCGCTTGCGTTGGAGGATTGTAGGAAGTGTGCGAATCGCGATGGTGCATTTACGGATCGTGTTGTTGGTCCGGCTATTAGTAAGAGGATTTATAAGATTTTTACTAGTCGGGATCCTGGGAGTATGGATGTTTAGGGGCATCGAAGGGTGCTACTGGGCTCAGTGGGGTAGAATGGTACGGAGTTCTGAGCATACGATGGTTTGGCGCATTCTGGTAATGAACGACCATTGGGTTTACGTGACACGATGCATTTGTATAGATATACGCCGCTTGAAAGTACATGGTGTTTTTACAGATGAATCAGCAAACGATTGTTTTCGATGTTTCGAGTAAACGCATCCACCGCAGTGCTAAGTTCGTGGCATAACGGCTAAATCAGCAGGATGTCACATCACAGCGATTCCTGCATTGAGACAGATATCACTTGCATTGCGCTCGTACATCTTAGATGAGTTCATGGTATGTTTTGATTTTAGGTATCTCAGGTTTTTTTATATACATGTAAATCGGGCACACTTTGTGTTACCCATCATTGGTATTTTGTACTGCAGCTCGCTGGCTGCTCTATAGTAACTTTTAGGCCGGCAGACATGATTGCTGGCCTCCGGTATCGAGAACAATCTATTCTTCATTATACATAACGACGTAAAGCGTTTTCATGGTCTTCGTAAAGTACCTAAATAAATCAGCAGCACATCAAGGGTCGACAACAGAATGCGTACACGGAGGCTAAGGTTTTTAAACTCCAGCAACCCCAATTCGCCTCCGCGGTAGCCCCGAGCCGTGAATCATTAATGTTGCCAACGGCGTTTCTTCATCGTTTTAGTTCGATCATCCTATGGTGGAGCGAACCCGGATTTCCTCGCCTGGGCCTCGAGATGTCGTCGATGCGTTTCGGTAGGTAGGGAAGGTATGGATGTTAAAGCAGTTTCGATTCCGGTTGTTAAATCTTTCAAATGGAAGTGTAGGCAATCGTTGGGAGTCGCATGTTTCTCTGCGTGTCCTATGCCCTGAAGCCTCATTGCGAATTCCGCCAAACTCTCCTGAACAGTCGCAGGATCGGGTACAGGCCAAAGTCCATTGCGATTCAGCAATTGGATAGCTTTGCCAAGCATCAGAGCTAGACAATTATTTTGCGAATGCCAGCTATTCATTTTACAGAATAATGCATCGCCGCCGACTAGACTTGATACCAAGTCATTGAAAGGTTGAAGGAAAATCTTGATAGTATCTAGGCGGACTCGTTCTATGCTTTCTATGATTTCATTTTATTAGTTACGTACGTTGAAACAGAGTAACGGTGTACAATTAGACTTACCGTATATTTCAGGCGGCTCCAGAGCCCCGATGTAACGCAAATTGTTTCCCGTTGAAGACGACGAATTCAGGAGTAAAGCCTGGGCCATCGCCTCAAAAGTAGCTTGGTCGCCAAGCTCCCATGCTACCCATAGCCGTTCGTGGCAGAATTTGCTTCGCAGAGATTGACCGAGTTTGTCGCTTTGGGAATGTGTGGAGCGCGACCAGCCCCTCGCCCAGGGTCGTAGTATGTGGGTCATATCAAATTTGTCGGTCAGGATACAAAGATTGTAAAGGTGAGCGGTGTAGACAAAGTCTTCATAACCAGAAACTTGGTCGAACCGACAATGGATGATATTGAGAATTATTCTCATCGCAGCAGGGTTGTCTTCGGGAAGTTTCACAATCCATTCGGTTTCCGTGTCCTGAGACTGCGCCTTTTTCCCTTCGGCGAATTCTCCATACAGCATTTTCTGCCAAAATGGCGATGACCTGGCCATGGTCTTGGAACAAACAATAAAATCTTCCGCAAATAAGCCTCCTACTCTGAGACACAAATCGCCATTTGGGTCGATGAAGGATTTAGAAAGCTGAGCATTTGTCCCTCGCTCAGTGTTTGACGATGGCTGTGACACCGGCGTGTGACTGATCGGAGAAGACGTCCCAGAAAATTTCGTTGGTGACCGGGGTGATTGAGCAACCCGTGTAGGACTAGACTCTGTAGTAGAAGCTTCAGGACTGCCTACATGAGACAGATTTGATCGTGATCGCGAAAGTGGTGTAGGACTAGCTAAGAAGGCAGACCTTCTAGAAGTGAGCGATTTCGTATGTCCATGGGTTGGCCGGCCAGGCGAACTTGTAAACGGCGTGAAGATAGGCTGACCCGTCTTAGTAGTAGAGCTTCTAAATCCATTGGGAGTGTGCGAGACGGGAGTTCCGGACAGAGCTTCTCGTGTTTGGCCTAGTCGGGTACTGGAGTTTGAAAAGCCATTGCTATTTCCGAAGGTTGTTGGTTGAGCTAGTAGAGCTCCAAAGTCTGAAGCAAGCTGACTTTTTGGTTGAGGGGATGAGTTTTTCAGTCTATCATGAGGTAGTCCGAACAGGTTAGGTTGCGAAACCATTGTCGATAGCTGCTCGAGTCGCAGTGTCTGGCTCGCGTGTAATGTAGAAGGCCCGCCTTCATTGGATCTTGAACAAAAGAGATATCCCGTTTTCGAGAATTAGTAGATCTAGTTAAGCATGATGTTGAACCAATAGAATAAGAAGAGTTTCACAGAATCTGCAAAGTAGTACCCAGAAAGAACGTTATGATTGTGAATGGTGGATGAAGCAGCAAGAGTTCAGGTAAATAATTCTATGCAACAAGTTCCAAGGTTGGGCATCTCTTACCGCCAAACGCATGGACCACTTTTAAACCATGCAGTCCTGCGGGTTTGACTGAAATAGAAATTACACGTAGCCGCTCTGTCTAATTAATAATGAAAAGAAGCGGAAATGATCCATCTGAAGAACCCCCTATCTTGGTACGGCTCTCCTTGACTTACCTATGCATTGGTGGTGGCTTTTTTTTCTTGCAGTTAGATCCTCAAAGTCTGTGCTTAATCGACTAGATGAAATCTACTCCGAGCTGTCGGGAAGGGCGCAGAAAAGAGGTTACTGCGATAATGAATCGCAAACGAATCTATCAATTTTGCTCTGCATGTGTCATAGCTCGTTAGGAAATATGGCCTACTTAAATGCGACTTCTCATAATTGAAGTCATCATTTATGAAGTAGGAAAAGTAAAGTTGCAGTGATGAGTTGTTCATCGTTATGAAGACCTTCAAACTTTCAGAGTGGGTAAATGTCTAAAATAGCGCCTGAGATTTCGGTTGAGGGGTAGATTTTTATTCCATTTTGATTGGTCCAAGTCGCTGACATTAGACGCTTTAGGTGGTCGCCCTAGCCCTGAATTGGCTTTAATCAGGGCCTGTGGGTAAGGGGAAAATGGGGTTTGCAGCTTACCTAACAGTACCTAGCTTTCTGCCCTATCGATATCATTATTTTTTTCTATCGCGAATGCCCCTCCAAGTGGGGTTAATATCAGGTACACATTCAAATGAGAGAAATTCATTCTAAGAAAATAAACTCTCAAAGTCAATAATACAACTGTGCAACGGGTGGTATATAACTGCTTGACTAAGGTTATCATCGGTGACAAAAATCAACGGCGCCTTAGGGCGATTCATACAAGATATTCCGGGCGCCGTAAAGATTCTTCACAATGGCTTCTCAACCAGACGGGAATACTGTCTTCATGACCGAGCAAGAAGCCGAGCGTATCCGGAATATGGTCAAAAACAGATCAAAAAAATGTTCCGAACTTACAGGTAACGCGCGGGAACCAAAGGACTTAACAGGTGCAAAACAACAGGCAACCGGCGCCTCCCTTATGGTAGACATGGGCGCTCCCGATGCGGACTTGGCCCAAACGAAGGGTCAAGGAGGATCATTCCCCGTCCTCCCTGTAGGACAGCCATATCCGCCATGTATCGTCCCGCTCCAAGGCCTACAACCCATAAAGCTCACCGATCTTAAAATGAATACCCACCATCGCGGCCATTACCTCACTATCAAACGTATAAGTCCAGTGGTCACCCTTTTAGCTAGGTCATGGGCAATGGTGCAAGATGAAGAGGAGGAGACGGAACGTTTAGAGATATACTTACACAAATTGAGACACGGGAAGGATGTCCTGGAATCTACATCGCATTTCATAATAAAAGAACCACACTTCACTCTTACCGATCAGGGTGAAGCAACCATCCGAATTGACCATCCTTCGGATTTAATCATTCGGGACGAGGCTTCTAACAACCAAATTCATGATGCGGAAGTGGTAGAAAAAGCAGCGAGGAAGTGCAAAGATAAGGGAAATGCTGCACTTGAAAAACAGAACCTACCTTTAGCCCATGCAGAATACACTAAAGGCCTCAAGCTTGCTATACAAGATATTGTCACTAAATCCAACCCTGACTTGGCACGAGATCTTGCTCGCAATCGAGCTCATGTCAACCTCCTCCTAAGTCAACTAGATGAGGCCAAGAGCGATGCGAAATCATCGCTTACTAGCAGGGAAGATCAGCAATCAAAAGAACTCGATAGCAAAGCCTATTTCCGCGCTGGCTCTGCAGCATACAATCTTGGGCAATACCAAGAAGCAAAGAGTTTATTCGAGCAGCAATTAAAACTTACGCCCGATAACAAAACCGCGATTGCCTACTTACGAAATATTGAGGTGCGCCTTCGTGAGCAAGAGACTGGGGAGTATAACTTCAAAAAGATTAGGACTGGTCTATCTAGATCTCGCCCGCGTGTTGATGCTGCAAGTTTTATCAGAAACACAAAAGTTAAAGAGATACCTGGGCGAGGGCGTGGCCTGGTTGCAACCCGCGATATTCCTATTGGGGAGATAGTCATGTGCGAAAAAGCTTTCTGCGTAGTCTGGGGTCATGAAAAAGAGGCGCTGACGGCGATGACTTACGACATACGGGATGATAGAATCAGAGTATCACCCGTTGGTCTAAACAAAGCGATCGTGCAAAAGCTTCTCAACAACCCTTCCCAGACCGAAAAAGTTATGGACCTATTCGGCGACTACCAAGGGGAAGGCAACAATGTGACAAGGACTGAAGATGGTCCGGTTGTTGATACATTTCGAGTACATGATATTATGTCCCGGAATGCCTTTGGTCCAGGTAACCAATACGGGGAAGAGGGCTTAAGCAACGCTAGCACTGGTCTCTGGGTTCATGCGGCTTATATAAATCACTCGTGCATTGCCAATGCGAAAAAGGAATACATCGGTGATCTAATGGTACTACGTGCCATTCGACCCATAACCCCCAGCGAAGAGATTTTCCATAGTTACGACGAATCTAGCGACTATGATGCTAGGCAGGCAGCGCTGATGAACACTTGGGGCTTTGAATGCGACTGCGCACTTTGTACTGTGGAAAAGACTGACGATCCTGTATTGCGGAAAAAGCGACGAGACCTAGCAAATGATGCAGAGGAATTCGTAGGAACTGAAAACTGGTCGAATGCGAAGAGACTCACCATTTCAAAGGCGAAGCGTCTTGTGCGGGACATTGAAAATACGTACGATGAGGAGAAATATAAGGGTCTACCTCGTATGGCAGCACAGAGAATCCAGGAGTGGCTCGCTTTAGCGAACCAAAAGAGCAAAAAATAAATAAAAGGCCACAATAGTAATAAAATAGGGATAGTTGATCATGAAGAAAGAGTCGTTACTTTCGTATATTTTCCTTAACTGTTTACTATCCCCGTTCTTAGAGCTTTCACTAGGGATTTGGTAAACGTCAGAGTTGGCGATCCTTCTCCTTTCAGTCCTGCAGTACCTACATGTATAAGTGCTTGGGGGGTTGCCGTTGGCCGCATAGGTACCCTCTATTTACTAACAACAACCAACACTGCGTCATTACATCCCCACCTCAGCCAACTTGTTCCCTACCTAGGTAATTACTTATTATTGACAGAAGTGGTAGGTTTTCGGCCACCTACACATACCTACAGGTGTCTACCTAGGTACATAGGATAGGGCTCGTCTCTTCGCGATATTATTATGCACGACATGGCTGCCACCATTGACCCGCAAGTCGAAAATTATTTTTCCAGTATCGAGACAACTGAAGAGGATATAGAGCGAAGTTTCCCTATACAACATGAGGTCGAAACGACGCAAGCTTTCGCATTAGGAAGTTTGCCTGTCGGTGAAGCCGCCCAGATGCTCACTAGCAGAACAGCTAAAGCGACAACGCCATTTTCCATGGATAGTCGTATGCGCACGCTATGGTCATTCATCAATAAGACGTCAGTGGCTATTCCATCTGCACAGCCCCTTATCATACAGCTTTTGAGTGAGATTCGAAAGCTAGGGCCTCTAGTTGTTCCCAAGGAAGGAGAGGGTGTAGGTTGGGGTATCGACTTAGAGGATGGTGAAGCCTGGGAGAAGCTGCCTCATTGGGCGAATGACTGGGCAGATTCGATAAATAGTATGTTGAGATAAATTACTAAGACTGCCTAGGCACTTGGATATTAAGTATTGGTGTTTCCAGTGTACGAAGTCGAATTCTTGAGTTCCCCGAATAATCAGAAAGCAAGAGCGGAATGGGTATCTGCAACGTCCTATAGCGCTCAACTAACGGCTACTGGAGACCCTGAACTTATTGGAGATTGGTGGTGCGTATAGGGCAACTATAGTGAGTTAGTACTGCATGCTGACGAAATTATAGTACGTAAACTGCTGTATCATATCTCGCTCCTCCCTGAGATACAGCGGGGGAAGGCCCTATCGGCAACAGTAACAACCATTCTAACATAAAGCCTGACTTAAACTTAGTTTTCATCCGTCGATGTTGTCCTAGCATCGTAAGAGTTCTCGATATTGCCTCGTCAGATGATTGCGAGAGGCAGGTACTTGAGATTTCGGCAGCTGCACCCTTATTCATATATGCGTCTCAAGAACTACTACAGAGATCGCTAGCATCCGATACGATTGAAAGTATGTCGGAGAAAGATATAGATGGTGAGAGGTTATGGTGGGGTGACATGAGAATGCTTACGATACAGCGGTGGAAGCACTGGAAAGATAGGTGGATAGCCCTGAAAGACAGCGATATTCTGGATGAGAGCAATCGAAATTTAGCGTCGGAGGCCCTGGAGGCTATGGCACAAGCAGAGGCATCTGCAGGATAAGTGCTAATGCATGGCTGCCCGGATGGGTTGGGCTGCCGCTGTCCATGCTACGAAGCGCTTTATTTCTAGGTGCTTAGGAGGCAGATAGGTGACCCTTAAGCCCCTAGATCAAGTAGATACAGGTACCTATGCGTCTGGTTTTCTACCATACACCACTCTCAACGGGAAAATAGCGCCTTTCGATTTCAGCTCTGCTTCCAATCGCTCTGTCCAACCCTCGAGCTCCTCCGCGGGGATGCTCTTTACCCCTCCTGGGATCACTAAACAAAAAACTCATCAGTGCTATTCCAACGAATCATTAGGGGACAGACGTACATTTAACAGTTATAGGGATGTTTTTGGCTCCAGCTACCATGTTTTCGGCACTAGCATCCGCTAACTCCGGCTTCTTGAATTTGGCGCCCATGCCGACGGGCAGCAATATGCTTTTGACATCAACGAAGCCAGCATCTTTAATAATTCCCTCCAAGTTGCTAGCGTAATCCTTCGGAGTTCCTTTTAGGGTCCAAAGCTCCCTCATCGTGTTGATGAATTGAGTAAAAACCGGCCCCTCACTTCCAGAATCATCGGGTTGAGGTTCCGTTAGCTCAATCCACCCGCCAGGCTTCACGAGCTCTGCGATCGAATTAACGACCTCAGATAGCTTCGGTCTCGCTTGGAATAGTACAAGGGACTGGTGGACGTAATCGAAATCAGATTTCCATGATTCCGGCCATGGCTTGGTGATATCCTGAGTTTGCAGTTGAATACCGGGACGCGGCGGGTTAGGAAAACGGTCCTGGAGATCGGTGCCGATTAGCGTGGCGGAATCGGGGTTCTTTAGGGAAGCTTGGAATTGCGATAGCCAGTAACCTACTCTAACGTATTAGCTTTAGGTGGTACATCAACTGAAAACGAGAAGCCACACCATTACTTGCAGCACTGTCGAGCACTTTGAGACCGTCACGACTGGTGTCGACAGGAGCTAAGAACACTTTTCCATCGGGAATGTAAGCCCTGGTTAGCTCAAGCCCTTGTTCTAGGCGCTTGTTCTCCTCCTCTACTGACACTATGTTGTAGTTCGACATTATGGCCCAAAATTTCAGAGTTTGTTAAGACTTCCACCGCGAAGTTATGTAGTGCATCCAGCTTAGGGGATATGAACTGAATTTATAGGCTTACGATGATCAATCTGGACCTCATACGTGCGTGGATTCATGCACTACACGTATGCGTAGGCGATCTCCTGCAGCTAACAAGGGCTCTGAGCGATAACCCAAGTGGCTGCCATATAGCTATTTTATAGGGACCTACCCCGCCCTAAGAATATAGGATCTAATACCTGGACTCCCTAAACCAAGTTTTATATCCACCACTTATTCAGCGCGCCGCGAGAAGATATCTCGAAAAAAAAAAAAAAAAACATTAGTATATTTGTTCGTAAATCTAGATTAAACTCCCAGCTCCCTTTCATATCTCCTCGCTCCCTGTCCTATGGGCTGAATCAGTGTGTAACTAGCCGAACTATTAAACTCCTGCACCCCATTTATCAAATACAGCGGCGTAAGCGAACCATCATCACTGAAATACAAGCGCGGCCGCTCCCGTCGATAATAATCTGTCTCCCCGCCATCCGTAAAGTGCACCGTCGTATTATACACCGGCTGCAACTTAAACGTCCAATTTCCCGTCAAACTGCGAGAGAATAAGTGTCCTCCCACACGTGGATATTTTTCATGCCTCTCTGCGATATCGATCATCCAGTGGCAGAGGATGTGCCAATTACCCCTCTTATCCCGCCATAAGAAAGGGTCCTCGGTCCAGTGGTCGCTGTAGTCTGAGGTATTCCACGGCATTGACTTTATGAGGTTATAGGGTCCGTTGAAGGTGTCGGAGTGGTATATGAAGTTATCTTCCACGCCGAGTATTATCTCGGACGTTGGGTTATCGTGTGTCCATAATGGCCATGGAGTCGGGTTGGTCGCGTTTAAGAGGCGTTGCGATGGTGCCCATGGCCCCCGGATGTCAGGGGCGCTGGAGACGGAGATGTTGTTCGCCCATTTGTATGATTTGCATGTATCTGGTGTCTCCGTCTCGATTCCGATCGTGTACATGAGATACTTTTTGTCTGCGGGACTCCATACGACTTTGACATTGTGATGGAATGTGCCCATCAGTTCTTTCGCATAGTGGTACGGGCCGGCTGGTCCAGTACGGGACTCGGCGCGGACTACGGTGCTGAATGGTCGCCAACCTGATAACCCGCAGCCCCGGGCGAATTGATCGATGATTAGGTGGAAGAGGCTCTTGTCATTGCGGTCTTGGATAATGTTTCCGCCCCACGACGAGTTTCCCCCTTTTGTGCTGTAGAAGTCTGGTAGAGTAAAGTTCGTGTAATTGTATCCTGACCAACGTGTAGCGGGTTGGAGGTCAAGTTGGCCGCAATCTTGTAACTTCCATCCTGGATCGCATTCGCACTTTCCAGAGGGCTGGTGGCAGATACCGTTCAGGCTACAGTCATCATCTGTTTGGCACCCCCAAGCAACGACGCTCATAGATATAATGAGGGTCGTAAGGAGTCTCGGAATATTTAAAGCATGCATATTTGATGTGCTAAGGCGACCATGACCGATGACTATAGCCAGTGCCCTCTAAAAAGGGTGCAATGGCCTCTTAATTTATGATATTCCATTTCGAGATTCCCGGACTATATTAATTAGCGTAGCGTTTGATTGTGGGGAAATGGGGAATAGCTTGAGGGGATTCCGGGGTTGTGGTATTGTCTAACCGCTTGAAGTTGTTGGAGGATGAATTCTCGGTATACTACTTCCCGATGTTTCCTTCGCGCGTGGTTTATATTATCGTTGCGGTAGCATTGCAATTTTCCGCCCAGGGTGTCAAGAAAGCAACCTTAAATCTTTTATGCTTGGCAACGTCTCTCTAAGATATATATACCTAGGTAATATTCAAGCAGAGTCTTTTTCTTATGGGAAGTGAACCATTTTACCATGTGCAGACCTCAAGGTGCCTATACAGAACAGTATATTCTATTTCTATCGATATCTAGAGCTCCTAAGCTGGTCGAGCTCCAATCTTCTTAGCGAAGTCCTGGATGGTTTCAACCATCCCATTAGTCCAACTCAGGTGAGGAGAATGACCAGCCGGGGAACGATAGAGCGTGAACTCTCCGGTCTTTTGAGATTGGAGAGCAATCATTCCTTCTTGATATTCCTTCGGCATAGTTAGGTCTCCTTCTAATACCAAATATGCGCAGGGCAAAGCTGAATACGCATCGTTGGTGATTTTTGTTTTCATTACGGGCGATGCGGTGAGACCCTTCGCCCATTTCTGTGCCTCAGCGGGGTCAAGATCGTTAAAAAGGTATTTCTCGGCCTCGACGATGGTGCCGAGCCCATCACCACCGTGTTTCTATCGTAAACCATGCTGATTAGTATTACAGTAGCTATTGAACTCCTGGATATAACCATAGCCGATACTTACGTGGAATGTCATATACGGCGGTGTCACGAAAGTGCCATCTTTCGGCTGGAAGAAACTATGAACGGACTCTCCAACAGGAATAACGAATGCGCCCGCATAAAGGATACCGATGATGCCACCTTTAAGTCCCTTCGCCTCGCGCGTTTTCGCCTGTAGATCCGGCTGGGAGACTTCTGTGGCGACCCATCCGCCGTATGAATGGCCCACAACGATGACCTTGCTACCTCGAGTATTGATCAATATATCTAGGACTCTCCTAACGGCAGCCACATCTTGTTCACCTTGCGGGTAGCCACCCTCGGGAGGTTCCCGGTCGAAGTCGGGATTGTTGACGTCGCCAACATTCAATTCAGCGAGGTTGGAAGTGGGCAGTCGGGGACAATAAGCTGGTATGTGCTTGGCCCTTAGGGCGTCAAGGAACGGTTCGTACGGGGCTGGAGTGTGGTAGCAACCATGGCAAACGACCACGGACAAATCGCGAGATGGAGTCATAACGACTGAGTTTTGCACTATCTAGGTAATATAGTGAGATAACTTGAGAGGGATCACCAAAGCTCTGTTGTTTGAAATAAATGGTGAGTTCTACCCTTTACCTTAGGTACTGTTGGTTCTTTTCTTGCCTTTTTCAACTTATTAGAACCTTGTCGATTTTGTGCACCGGAAAATGGGACGATAAACCCCGAATAACTAGCCTACGAAAATCTAGTTTAATCAATGACTTGCTTTTTCTTTTTCTTTTTTTTTTTTTTTTTTTTGAGGTTGGTAGCACCTGGTGGAAAGAATTCCTTTATATCATTTATACATCTACCTATGTAGCGTGCCATAGTGGATCGTTTATTAGCTAGGGCTACCTACATACACGTAGGTAGGTATCATTAGGTTTGTCCGTAAGGGAGATGGCATGCCTAAAGCAAGGGAAAAGGCGTTGGCTTATAGCAACTTATAGGCCAAAGTATCGTCAATGGGGTTTTTTATAGTCCAAGAGGTGGGGTTCAGTGGGCTGTTTTAAATTCCAGTACCCCGCACACGCTACTTTTTAGGGGAGAGGGTGCTAAGCATTTTCATGATAGTGGAATAAGTAGGCAGCCTCAAAATTACCTAGTTTCAGTAAAGCCCGAAGCTAAGGATGGCTAGAAGATTATAGTATCGTGAGTGATGACATAGTCTTGATACAGAATACCTCTAATCGTAACAGCCGAAAGGAAATCTTCAGCGTAGTACATACCTAGGTAGATAGACAGATAATGCGAACTCTTTCTTGTTGAGGAAAGGGTGTAATGTACATGTACTGAGATTTTTTATTATCAACCTCATGTCTCCTATTAACCGTCTCTCCTCGTTCGCCTCCTACCAGGTAGAGGCAAGTTTTCTGCGCCTCCCTTCTCCTTCATTTTTTCTTCTTGCGCCTTGATCGCATCTTCGGCATCCCTAGCAGCATCGCCGTCTTCTGGGACACCGTTGTCTACCGGACGATGCAACCAGCCGTTCTTCTCGACTTCTAGAATTTTCTCCATGAAAATATCACCCATTTTGAAGTACCCCTTGTCGGTAGGGTGCATATCATCGGGTCCAATATCCTCACGCAAAACACGATTCGGTAGGCCCTGATCAAAATGCATTTCTGCCATCGTCACAGGCTTGCCTTCGCGGATAAGGTCGATAGCGACTTGGCGTATCTGTGCGTTGGAGCTTTTTACGCACTTTTCTGTACCCTCCCATGGACTCGTGATGATTGTCGACATGATAATGGTGGTTCGTGGCGATGCCTCGAATAGGAAATCAACTAGGTCGCGCATAGCTTGTAACACGTACGCTGGTCCCCAGTGATCTAACTGGAAACAGTCGCTCGACCCGGCGTTTATCAAAATCAGATTCGGTTGAGTTTGTGGCACAACTTCTTTTAGGCGATCGAGGGTCGGCTTAATGGGTTGGGCACCGAATGCCTGGACGTCGTTATCCTTGAAATCACCGAATCGGTTCTGTAAGCACATTGGGAGGTTAGCGCGATCAACGAACCAAAATATCATAATATCTGAATATGGGGGTGGTAAATGATAATACCTGGCCGACGTAGTTGACTGGATTGCCCCTAGAAACAAGCCAGTCTCGGATTTGCTTGCGATAGCCCAATTCACCAGTCGAATGCTCGCCCAAGGTCATGGAAGCGCCTATGAACATAACGCGAAGAGGAATTCCACCTGCAAGAGGGCCATTTCCAGTATGTGTGAGTCGGTTCCATCCATCGCGGGCGACTGCTGGATTCGGTTGAATGAATATGACTATAGTCAACCTTCAAGTCAGCTTTCCACGCGCACGATGCCTCCCTTGGGAGAATTGCCTACCTATCAAGAATAATATCAGACCAGACACCGCTATGACCTTGTGAAGATTAGGTAGTTGCTTCCAGCGCATGTAAAGCGCAGAAAAGCGCGATTGTAAATGCATTTCGAGGAATGAAGCCCATCTGCTCGACGATGGTATGTTAGGTAAGGTAAGATAGACAAATAATTATTTTTTTCACATTTTCCTTGAAAGCGCGTTGCAGAAGCACGACATTACGACAATTCAGGGGTTCTCGGCGTTCGAGAAAGTACCCAAGGCGCTGGGTTCCAGCGTGCCAGCGTCCCCGTTATCTGCTATTTTAGTTAAAGCTTACCATCAACCTTATACCTAAGTAGATGAGAGCTGAGATCTGATTTGACCCAGACGAAGATGATACCCCACTATGCAGGGATACAAACGCCTTAAATCTTGGCCTTATTTTACGACCGGGTCATCGGCACCACCCGCGCGTGCTGTGTTAGACCTACCCACCTCTACATCATCTCCACAGGTTACTAACCGTCCGTCAACATCTTTTTCTTTTTCCATTTAGTATTCGTTGAATTTGTTCAACTAAGAGATAATCTTCCTACAATCTACGATGCATAATAAAAGCATGACAAAATCTAGAATCGAGATCGATGGATAGTTCATCTATGCGCATTTTCGGTCCCGTATAAAAGCAAATACACAACAGGCTTGTAAGGAACAAGTTTAGTGCCTTGTACCCCCAATATTAGAGGTACGGAGGTAAGGCAAAATTCTCGTGTCCCTCATCTTGTACGATCTAAAGCCGTAAGCTCGTATATGTAAGTCACTCCTCTTCACCAATAGTGGGAGAGGATTGATAGAAAGTATCATTATAGCTATCAAGTGCTAATCACGATAAGGGGACACGTAAGCGACAAAGAATTAAACCCAGTCTAGACGATTTCGAGCCTCCGTCTTGCATGCATCTATTCCATATTGGGGGCAATCATAGCTCCTCGTAGACTTCTACCATAGGCTTACCCTAGCAAGATAAGAGGATCAAGGAAGAAAAGGGGTAATAAATGCGATAGCCGAAAGGCCAATCGTAAATAATCCGTTTAATTCTAATACGCTCTAGGTTCGAACACAATCCAACAATATTATAAATCACTATTGAGGAGACAGGCGCCAAACTTGTGCTTAATAAGCAACACATGAATTTTTTAATATCGGTCATAATCATTTACCTTCAACATCATTTCTTAGGTAAAGACAGCTTTGGCAGAAATATCCATGCCGTTGAAGCAGTATATATAGAACGAGACCGCCCCAGAGACCCAGCATAGAACAAGAAGAATACGTAAGTAGCCGTACTAACTATATCTCGAGATATGGAGCAGGCGTTCTTTACGCCGTGAATGGGACCTCGACCTGCTTAGCAGCAGCAGCTTGCTTGTCCGCCTGAGCCACCTGGAAAGCATTGACAAGAGCGGGGTACCAAACGTCTGCCATCTTGACATCGCCAGCATCGTTGGGGTGTACACCATCCCGTAGGTCGCTAGAACCGCTGAAGCCGGTGTACTGGTCCACGACCCAGATGGGCGATTCGGTCTTGTTGAGGCCCTCTGCCCAGGGGACGATGGCCTTGTTCAATGCCTGGATCGGGGTGTTGTAGTTGCCCAGCCCCATGGGGATGATTTGAGCCACCTATTTTAATAAAGTTAACCTATACGCACGAGCAACGGGCTAAGGGGGAAGAACAATCCCAACAGTAGAATATGTTGGGATCTTCCGGGCAACTTACGACAATCTTCATGTTCGGGTTGCTATCTCTCATCACGCCCACAAGGGTCGTGAAAGCAGCAATGATATCAGCGGTTGGCTTGTTCTGCTGCACGATGTCGTTGGTGCCGAGGTGCATCGTGATGACATCGGCCGGGTTCTTCTCAAGCCAACCGACGAGCTGCTTCTTGTTGGCAATGTCAATGGCGAGGAAACCAGAGTGGCCCTCGTTGTCGCGATCGTAGGTGGTGTCGCGGCAGTTGTTCTCTGTTTTGCCAGAGCCAACCCAGTCCACGGTACCCCACTCGGTGGGCTTCAACTTCTCCCAAAGCTTCGCGCGCCAGCAGATGATCTCGGTGATAGAATCACCAAAGGGCATGTACCGGAGCGTGGCGTTCTGGGCGGCGGACGCGCCTAGAAGCATAGCCAACGGGACGAATGTCTTGCAAAGCATTGTGATGATGAATATTACCAGAAGGTGTGAAGATAGTTGCTAAGATGCTTGGATTGGAATGCGGCGATATCTGAGTTTGTCGTCGTTCCTGATCTGGATCTTATAGAAACCCGCCTTCCTTGGAATCATGTTAGATCGAGTTGGAGAATTTACGTCGTCGCACTCAAGTGTTCCTGCCAAGAGCGGATAAATGAACTGAATGCAAGTGTGCGCACAAAATCAATATAGGCGTTCGATATTACCCTCTTCCTGCAAGTATGTCAATTGGGATCCTACTTTAACGGAATGATCGACTCCGAACCCATGGGGAGTGTCAAAAAGCGTCCTTTCAGCCGGGCCCACGAGCACATGGCTTCCACGTGGAATAAAGTCGCCTAGAGCCATCCCGGATGATATAATGGCATGTAAAGGTTGTAGAATCAGATATTAAAAAAGGTGTCCACAGCGGGATTGACGATATATTCATCAGTTCCAATCTATTCCACCGATACCCTAGTTAAAGTTGGTCTCCCCTATTCGTCAATTCTAACGCTTTCTTTCAATTCCCATATTAAATCATGCCAATTTTAGCATCCCACGTGTTTTCCCCAGCTGCAATTCCCCTGAAACGTCGCCTTATTGTCCAGCTGCAGGGGTTATAGCATAGACTGAAGTCTGACGTATCTGCTTGGAAATACTAGGAGCGTTGCCATAATATAGTGATGCCGGTGGGTTTAACTTGCTCATAGGCTAAGCACTCATATTGAAATGTTCGATTAGAATTCCTAGAACGGTTTAATCGAGGCTCGGAGGACTTCTTAGAACGACATAAGCATAATGAAGTGCATACCTTCAAGTAACACTGATACATCCAAAAGCTCGACGAGCCATTCAACACCCACTGCTAAATGCACCCTGTCCTACGCAAATAGGCCTGCTGCATATAATCAAGGGGCATTCGCGACGAGTATACTCTTCTGGAAGGGTATACGGCAATTGTCTTCGTTACAAGCACATAATTGTGGTCGCGCCGGCTTTGGTATAGTCCACGTGGACATAGATCGACGAAGACCTTGGCATTATAGGTACTATATTTCCTATAGGTTTTTGCGTCACATTCAACCATGATGTTACCAAACGGGTAGGATACCAAGGTATGGTTAGATTATAGCTGGATTCCATCGAGGCTCAATCCACGTGGGAAGAAGCCCGCATGCTATCCACCATTTCGGCCAAACAATATGATATGCAGGTTCCTATATTGTAAGATCTTGGTCCTTGTTGGCCACGTGGTTATTGATATATGAAGATAGTCCAGGAAGAACTCATCTTATCATCATATTACTCAAGCAAATTTATGATATTAATAATAGCAGTCTAAATTCCATGTAGTTTCAGGGGTATTTGAGATGTTAACCGGAGGGTCAACGTAGTTCGAGAAGCATCTACCCAGGAAGTAAGTGCGCCTGTTCCTAAATAGCCGTCTATGCATAACTCCAGAGTACCTTAGCTTTTTCCTCATTGACAGCCACCCATATTTGCCATATTAGAGGTCGAAGATAGTAACGCAAGTAATATAGAGGTCGGCGATGATTGAGGTCTGGATCATGTTAAGCATAGTACCGTTTCGGTAAACCCGAACGAGGGGAATTCAGAAACAGTTACAAAGTGTAGAGAGTAATGGATTGGAACTGAGATATCTATATTATTGATGTAGCGCGTACTAATATCAAGCACAATGATAATATCCAATGGACGGCCTGTATACGTGAGATACTACTTCAACGGCCTTCCACTTTCCCGGAATAAGTTCCTAAAGCCGAGCGCGAAGTTTCGTAGGCTATCCAGGTACAATTAATATGGAGGAACTGCTTCAATCGGAGGGTTTGATGTACCGTTGTAGCATTAAGCCGGGGTCCGGGCTTGATATTTATCGTGCTGTCTGAGGAGGCTCATTTGTGTAACCCGAGGATGGTATCTCGTCCTCGATACTGTACTGGCTAGGAAGGATTATGCCGTTTTTATATGGTAAGAATAGATCTATTATAAATTTAGAATTTAGTATGCGTAGTGGCGGCGTAAGATCGATTTTTTTTTTTGTATCAATATGTGATGGGTCCAGAATGGCCGCGTCTTGGCCTAGCCCTCAGCTAGCAATACTGATACCCGGTAGGTAGGCTCTGACTTGAAGGCAGCTTCAGTCAATTTGAATAGATCATTTGATGGTGGATGATCAGACTTGCTAGTTGCGTGCAGTAACCCAAACGTGCTCAGCCTGCCTATCCATCAGTGGGTGTTACATTTGGGGACTATCTTGTACTCCCACACTGGCTCTTTTGTCCATGTATGGGCTATAGAAGTTTGTGGCGCCAGTGGCATTGGCGAATGAAAATAGAGAGCAAAAATGAGGAATATTGGAAGCCGTATGAATTCAAAAGCAACCCCGCGTTATCTTACAGCGAGTGCGGCTCTCGCTCGCCAACCATCAGGGCATACCACCCACCTCCTAAAGCGCATACAGCACCCGCCTTTTGAATCCTTCAATACCGTCAGAATCATGCACCTTGCCATTCTCTCTAAAGTACAAGAAGCGGATCAGATGGTGTATCTCTTTGTACGTGCGACGCAACGATAATAACGTGTTACTTTCCAGCCTGCCTAAGGTACCTAAACAAATCCGAATAGATGAAGTTCAGCAGCAAACAGAGAAGAGGGCGCTAAGGATGACTCAGAAACTACCCGTGATCCGCCTGGACGGACCTGATTCGACCCACTCTTACTCTTATCTCACGTCTTACACCTTTAACAAGGCACGGGAATGGTGTAAGACCGCGGTAATCTAGCCGTGATCCGCACCCAATAAAGAACGCTAGAAACCCACCGAACGGGTAATCATGAGTGAGGCTTCAAATACCTCTCGTGTTGTATGTTTCCAGCTCGCCCCCATTTCTTTCGGTAGTTAGGTGGGTGGGACATGTACGTACTTAACGGACGACTAGTGAAGACGACATGTTATAGGGTCTCGGAGCCTTGCTTTCAGAGTCATGGCAAGTAATAAATCGAGATGTATCCGCGGGGTGCTCCGGCGCTGCCGCGGTTTTCTTTATAAGACACCTGTTCCGGGTCTACATAGGCGGCTGACTTAAAACTTATCTGTTCGCCTATACCACCAACAGAAACAATAAAATGTCGAATATAGCAATTGCACAAAGACGCAAGGGAGGACCGAATGCCCGAAGTCCTCAACACCATTCCTCATCTTCCCATAATTCCTCCGGAGGAAAGAATGACTCGCTGGCAAGGACTGGCGGGACCGGAGCCGTAACGGCAGCGGTAGCGGTTAAACCAGAGAAACTAAGTCGGGGAAACAACCACGATCGGGCAGGAAGGAACCAACACTGCGGTCCACAACTGGAAGCTGCTTCTATTCTGAATAATCCACGGTTACGGCAGGTAACGGGCCTGCCGACCCACAAACTCGCCCGTTGGAATGGAATGCGTCCGCCGAGAGACGAACTACTCCGGCTCCGGTGGGCCTTGAGCTTTCCGGACGTATATCCGGTCAAACGGCCTAAAGGGAACTTTTGAGTCAATCATCCAACTTTGAACACTTGGAATCGCGGGGCGAGAAAGAAGGAAAATCCATAATGTCACTACTCAATTTTTCGTTGTCGAACACCCCATTCTACATTAATATTTGTACGCCATAGCCATGTTGTCAGGTATCCAAAGGAAAGGTATAATGCAAGGGAGGAGAAACTATATACAAGAATTCGGCGAAATCGGCTCAAAGGGTTAAGGAAAGTCCCCGGGGGGATTCAAATGACGCCAATTTTAAAACATCAATGGCTTATCGCTTAGCTAGCCATCGATTTGCCGATTTCGCTGTGCCAGTCCTTAGCCCTTTCGAATCCGTTCATATGGAATTGATAGTCTATTAGTGCCTGGCGCACTTCCTCGGGTGTGTTGAGCACAAAGGGACCGTATTGAACGACTTTTTGGTCAAGGATCTGACCGGCGACGAGCACGAATCTTGCACTCTCCGTCGCAGTCTCGGGTACCTCAACAAGTACCACATCGCCGTTAGGTTCGAAAACGCAATTGTGGTACTGTGCGACCGTCTGCTTGCTGTCGCCCGATCCAAATACAGCAGATCCCTCTAATTGGTATGAGAAGGCGTTCCAGCCCTTTGGCAAGGGTTGCGCTAGCTTGCCGCCGGGCTTGATTTCAACGTCGAGCACCCAGACAGGAGTATAAGCCAAGTCTTTTACGCTGTCGACACCACCAGCCTGACCTGAGATGACTTTGACGTGGACTTTGCCGTTATCGAGGTCGGCCGTAGGGATTTCATTGGCGCGCAGGTCACGGTAACGAGGCTCGCAAGCTTTAAGATGAGCGGGCAGGTCAACCCATAGCTGAAGACCAACATTGGCGCTACCATCTGGGTTCTGACGCGGCATCTCAGCATGCATAATTCCGCGACCAGCCGTCATGAATTGTAGGTCGCCGGCTTCGATAGTACCCGCGTTTCCGGCGAAATCCTCGTGGTCGACACCGCCGCTGAGCAAATACGTAATGGTTTCTTGGCCGCGATGGGGGTGGTCGGGGAAACCGGCGCCGGGTTTGATACTGAAGTGGTCGAGCATCAGGAAGGGCGAGAAATTGCGCAATTGAGGCGTGCCAATGCTACGTCGTACACGAGCACCTGCACCCTCGGCTTGCTCGACCGCGAGGAAAACCTTCCGGATCGCTCTAGGTATCGACATTTCGGTCGGTTTATAGAAGGGCGATTCGGACTCGGATTCGGAAGTGGTCGTCGTAGTCGTTTTCAGTATAGCGCTGCTAGCTTTAACGTCACTATCGTAGAGGTTTGGGAAGTTTCCTAGGATTGTGTCGAATGTCGCGGTTACGAGCTCGAACACTTGTTCTCGATAGACGATTATGGAGAGTGCGGCTACGAGGATAGAGATGGAAAGCGATAAGGCCCTCATGAGGGGCAGAAGGATAAGATGCTATGAGGGTATTCTTATACAGGATCGAACAGTAAGACTGAATTAGGTAGGTCACGAATCAGGGACGAGGGTGGATGCATTATGTAGACTAGGTAGAAATATCACGAAGATTCGGTCCCCGTTTTGTTTGGACTAAAGAACGACCGGTTGGTCTTGACAAGATGGAAAGGTGTCAGGAGTAGGCACGCTTGTAGTTAGTTGGTCAGCAAGAGTAGCATCAATGGTAGAAGGATAAGAGGATTGAAAATTTCCCGACGGTAAGTACGTAGCATCCCCGCCACCCCAAGCCTTACCAACCATTTACATCAGCATAAATTAAGCATGACCCGATGTTCCAGTGCACTCTACCCGCGTCTCGGGTGCCGCACTTGACTCTTCAGGGCATAGCTCCCCCGAACCGGTTCCTAAATTCATTGCTGACTGGCCACTAGCGATGGCTGACTTAATTCTTCCAAATCCCCAAATTAAAATTCCTACCCCCGAGGCTCTTCATGGGCCGACCACACTTACTTGTTTGAGGATCGCGCCCGGCAGAAAGGGACATGAATGTATGAGCAATACGGCTGATGGTTATGAAACAGTATGCGAAAGCCTTGCGGTTGCTACCATGCCCTGCTTCAATCATTGTATCCAACAAAGCTAAGGAACTCCAGCTGAACAAGTTAACTACATGATGAGCTTATCTAGGAAGGTAAATGACGATTCATTATATTATAAATACTATGCTCAGACCGCCAGTCAACCTTGTCAAATTGAAAGACGATTTCTCCGAATAAAGTCGAGAAAATATCACATGTAATATACATGTTCTTAAGGATCTAGTGACGGCGGCCTCGAATTACAGCAGGTGAGACCACAGCCTGAAGTCGCCTGCCTAGGTCCCCTTCGAAGCTGTCGCCCTCCACTGCTGAACCTCTTTCTCATTGATCTCTCTCAACTTGTTAACACCAGCCGGCTCGCCGGTGACCGTACCCTTGGCGATCTCAGCAGCTCTACCAACGACCGTCTTATCGGTGATAGCATACGTGACACTAGTTGTTTTCACCTTAAGCACGCCGATCCGCGGGTCGTTCTCTGAACCATTGTGGATCCCATCCCCTAAATCTCCAAGCCAGGCTTTGAGCGTCGGGCTGTAGTACTTTTTAACCACATTCCGATCCGTCTCGATGCTGGCATCACCCGCGAATGACGCCCATTGGCCCGAGCTATCGCAGAACGAGATGTTAGTGTGTTTATCCGCCTTCAGTTCATCCGTCTTGTGCGATTCCGTGTTTGTTGTGAATGTTAGGTCGATATCACCTCCTTCCTATGGATTGGAGATTACAGTCAATTCTGCTTTGAATATTTTATAGCTTGGGAAATTGCTGTCACTCACCTTTCCTGCAATGGCCATGCAGCGAGAGACCAGCTTGCCGGTCGAGGGATCGCGCGTTGTCATCATGCCAAATTTACAAGACGACACGAATTTAGTTAGAGTCTCGACCTTCTCCTTTAGGGTTGCGTTCGTATCAATGTTCTTGTTATAGTAAGGCCCCGACGGCTTGTCGCCTGTATCCGTGTTCGAGAACGTCGCCATCTTGCGTGTAGATATGCTATAGAAGGTAGAGGGCTTAAGTTTGAGAGATGCCTGATGCACAGTTTCGATTGAGATGCGTGGTACGTCTTTTGGCCTTCTAACAGAATATCTTTGGGTTATGGCTCGAAGTCTTACTAGAGAAGATGTTGTGGTTCTCCTAAGCATGGCTCCCCTTCGTTTTATAATAGTAAGAACGATTGTTACTCACCGCGAAGTTGCTTCGTTAGGTATGCTTACCTACCTAGGTAGATAACCCCGTCATTTGAAATCGTGGCCAACCCCGTCTCTCGAAGCATCATCATAGAATTAGATGAGAGATTCATTAGTCCCGTACGATGCCTGATTGACTATGACGTCCTTGATATTTCGTCCGCGTCACGATTACGAAGCGGAGCCATGTCTCAGCCCAACATTAATGAAACAAATTCATGTACGTATAGCATTTGCCGTCGCGTTCGTTAAGTTGTTAGCTAATATTGAGTGGCTCGGAAATGTTACTACACTGCTTTTATAGATGGGCGTCGTTAACTTAATGCAGGTACGACAACATATGCACACATGTAGACTTCATGTTAACTCTAGGTATTTCTGTTCCGTATTGGATTGAAGCCGGCGGTTAATCTCTTGGCTAGAATTGCCTGTTGTGAGTTTCTTAAACTCCTATATAAAACATGTATACTGAAAAGAAAGTATGTACAAATCGTGAAGTATAACATGTTATAGGTAAACCAAGCTAAGCAAACACTGCTTACGCTTGGTATCAATTTCAAAAAGCCACACTGGCTCGATAAAATAGAGTCGTCATAATTGAAGAGGATAATATGTCCCGTCCGGCAAGCATGCAGACCCCTTAACTCCTGTGCACCCTCCGAAACACCTGACTTTCTAACCTGGCCTTTTAGGGTTCCAACAAAATCAAAAAAATAAAAATTCGTATTCGAGTATGAGGATCATGGGAATACTTTGCCCACATAATTGAAGTTAGATGGGTCCGACGTGTCTACTGAGTACTCCAATATTTCGTTGTTGGAGATGGCGTAGAACATGGCGTCCGGTGTCATCGCGATGGCGGAGAAATTGGTGCTAGGACCCGAGTTGAATTTGAAACTTGAAACGGCATTCATCTTTTTGCCATCCCAGTGGTTTCCTTGTATTTTTCCGCTTTGGAGCAGCCCTATATATAACGCTTGGTTCCAGCTATCCCATTTCGTGGCCGCGAATTGTTGACTCGGGGCGGGTGATGGAATATTACTTTGCAGTTGGGTTTCTAAAGCAGGTCAGCATATGAATCCGTACAGAAAGGTATTGGGGTTCTAATTACCAGTTAGATTGTCAGGATCCCATTCGTCGTTGAAATCAGTTAGCCTCATATTTCCGGTCCCATCCGAAACATATTCGTAGACAAGTTCCAAACGGGAGAGCGACGACCCACGTAGTTGGGGAATAATCGCCAAACTAGAGTTCGCTGCGACGTCCTTGGAATTGACTGCTACGGTTGCCGTGGCCCAAGTGCTGGAGTTAGCCGTCTTGATAGCACCCTCTGGCCGCTGATAAGCCACAACGTAAGTGCCCGTGCCATTGCAGTCAGCTTCCCAGCAGCGTTGCCACATCCCGGCCAATTGACCGCCAGGCCAAGTCTGCAGCACTGCATTATCGAGAGTGTCATTGTCCCAGCTGTCTGGTCTGTTAAGGGCATCGAAAGAAGCCATCGATCTTATGGTGTTGCTCGGGTCCGTGAACCAAACATGCGTTTCGTAAGTGGGATCCAAGTCCATTGATGCGCTTGCTAAGGGAGTACCCGGCTGCGGATTGAGGGGTGTCGTCGTGGCGGCCATCAACGCGGTTAAGTTATTCGTCTTCCATGATTTACCCTCAGAATCCCATCGACGTGCAATAATGGAGTTGTATACATCCTGGAAGAACACAGTCCTGTGAATGACCCCATTGGGGTCTGTCCAATTCGTGGCCGTTACTTTGGAATTGTCGAGTATCAATTTTTCCGTGGTGGAGTTCGTTAACACCGGGTCAGAAAGTCCATTCCCTGATTCCGAATCCGACCCATCTGATGAGTCCTTATTATGCCTGCTCCCTAAACCACCACCTAACCCAGCCGCAAGAGCAACTAGAACGATTGCGACTCCTACTATCATAAAGAAAACTTTCCGGGTAAGACCACACACCGTTGCCGCCGGCGCTGCTTTCTCGTTCGGTTGAGGGTATTGACCGCCGTGCTCGTTCAAATAGGCGTTAGCGGCTTCCGGGCTATTGGTGCTAGGTGGCATTATGCTATTCGGGTACGCCGACATGTCAGAATACACCGCGCCAGGCGGGTAGTTTGCGCCATTATGGTACGCTGCCGCATTTTGGTAGCCCACACCATTTACATAGTTCGGATCTTTATATCCTCCCGGCAAGACGCCAACTCCAGGATATAGGTGGTGTGGTGGGCTAATAACTTCTTTCGCCGACTCGGGACTATAATATGAATGGGTAGCTCCAGCAGTCGCCTGTTCGACTGGGACGGTCTGTGGGTAGCTGTGATCCGGATATTGCAGAACCTCCTTTTGGGATGTCTCAGGATCGCGTTCGGAGACCTCGAGGGTGCTGTATTGTGAATGCTCTGGCGAGTGCGACATGGTGACTTCGCTTTCGAACGGCCAATGCCGTTAGAAATTGATAGGAATTACTCAGCTCAAAGGAGTCCGACTTGACGATATCCCGACGTAGAGCATGACCTTGGCAATTTAGATGTACACGGAATCGGGTTATCACGATGCCGCTGGTGTTAATGGCGGGGACGAAATAGGAACACTCTTCGAAAGTCTTTCGTACATACTTGGGGGGAACCCTTTGCTACATATGGGAATCCTTCTGCATCTACTAAATCGACCCTGTCTCGTCCCATGTTCTCCTTGGCTAGTATACACTGTATTATATAATGGGATTCAATAGATAGTTACACGCCTATTCTCAATGCGACCATGGGTGGGGGGCTCGGAATCCTTCTGGTCACCCACCCTAGCTTGCGAATTGCACTTCTAGGTATACAGGGCGTCCAATATGCGCCTGGGCGTATTGGCACTAGCATTTTGGAGACGGGACGGACATTACGCAACATTCACATCCTCTGGGTGCCTCTGCTATTCTTCTTGTAGATAAAACGACTTGATAAGTCTCCAGCCAACGCGTTCTTTTGTATACATTAGCCGCTCTACTACCGAAGGAATACTGCTAGTTCAAATAGCTACCCAATAGGTAGTTCAGTCAAGGCTAGATGCCCTCAGCTAACCCCCTGCTTCCGCATCTTAGGCTGACAAAGTCTGTACCTAGCGGTCCTAGGCTAACTAGAAGCTTGGCCCAGGAACAAGCCTCAAAGGGCCAAATTTCCCTTCCTGGTAGGATCGGCACACCATCTTCTTGCTCGCAATTTATTTACTTATACGTGCTATCGTCGGAACGATCGGAATTTCTAGAATTCGACATTAAATATGGCATGCAATCTCGTCTACCTTCTCGATCATTATGAGCATTGCTACTATTACTAATTCTCGTAAAATTGGATGGCTTGATTTTGTTGTCTGCGATATATTAACTGGCGACAATCCCCTACTCAAATTGGAAGGGCAGGGTTCTTCGAATCTCGTCTGTCCTCAGTTCCGCACGTGTCTATAATTGATCCGACCACCATCAGCGCTACCCTAGCGCTCGAACCCCGTAGTTAAACAGGGATTCCATGTGAGAACCGTGCTTTGAGTCCACCTCAAAAAGATCTCTGCATCCCACCAGCCATCTCCGCAACAAACGCTTCATTAGACCAAGAGCCGCTCGTTTAATGGGAGAATAGAAATAAACTAAGAAGCCAGCGACTCGTTCAGTCTTACCACATCCAGATATGATAAAGAATCACCCGTGATATAATCTTTGTTCACCACCTAAGCAGCTAAATGCCTGCTATGAAGATTCAATGTGAATATCTTCAAGGAGCTGTGGTATTTTATTAGTAAGCTTGTTTTTTCCTTGACTTACCTAATTTTCAGTAATTCTTCACCCCTTGAAACCACATGTAACTGCCTTTGGTCCCGACTCCCGACCATTTACTATAATTCCGATATAGTTGACTAATATCAATATGGGAAGTCAGTGTCGATCGAACAGCAGCTCAAGCATTATAGATGGATACGCTCGCTGACTATTACCGTCAAGAAGTCTGTCTACAGCATGACTCGTTACAATACCTAGTCAAAATTGATTCCTTGTGCTTCCCTCTACCTAGAGTATCGGCCGAGATCTGGATTCCGGGATAAGCTAACCGAATTCGTTAGGTAAGATAGAATGTCTTGTAGACCCGTTCGGAGAAGGAACAGCTGAAATAGTATGAAACACAACCTTTCTGGGTTATTTGACCTTCAAGATGGGCCTGAAGAAGATAAGAAACACATGTCAACTTGTTCTGATGAAGCCTGACCTGGTCCTTGCGAAACTCATGAATACCTACCTAGGTACGTAGCCGTGTGCCATGCGACAGAACAAGTAGGGAGCCGAACCGAACCCAATCCTCACTAATCCAGCCACCTACGGCTGCAACAGCGTCGCTGTTTACTTAGGTGCATAGCCGTACACAGCCCTAAATACCACCAATGAGGCCTAAAAGAGATGAACCGCCCACCTAGATAGGTACCTACCCGTCGTTCCCCCTCTTACTCCAACCAAAAAAAAAAATTACCAGTCTTCTTTAAATGGGTGAATGTTCAAGTTCGAATACGATAAACCCTCAAAGAATATTATCCCAATCATTACGTTGCCAATATCATTATAGGTCATCACCAACTATCGAGTACCTTAAGGATGATTAAGAACACTTATTAGTTTCCTAGAAACCATGCGTAGCATGTATATATCAAGCTTTTACATGAGACTAAGATACTGAATGATCGCGAGAGGTTAACAAGACTACCGTGGTTTTAACTATTTTACTCGATAGGGCTACCTAGTTAGGTAACATCACAGGGGATACGACGAGGGCTTAATGCTTACATGAGTACCTAGGTAGGTACCTTATCCAGGGAGGCTTACTCTAGCAATCTCCTTTATAATAGAAATCTATAACTGCCGGGTAGGAATTGGCCCTTCTCACGATGCCATAGCATAGGTGCGTGAGCCGGTACCTAAGCGCCTAGCATTCGGCAGATGGGTGTTAATTTTAGCGCTTATAATTGCAGTAGTTTGGTTTTGGGGGCGCTGTAATCCAACGAACTTATCTATTTATTTATTTATTTATTTTTTAATTTGAATGAAGTTGAGGCTACATCTATGAAGGCTTTGATGCGACCATCTTCAACAATCTTCAATTCATCATTCATCCAAGATGGAATTGGTAAAGGATTTTCTCCCCGAAAATCCCCCTGTGCCTTTGCAGCAGAATAAAGAGCTCCCCCACCCTCGCTGAATTGAACCATTCATGTTGAGGTGGTCCGCCATCCCGACTGTACAACACTAGACTGCGCCCCGAGACAGCATTGGGTTCTTATTTACTCCAGAGTCTGACGGAGGTTGGTGAAAGGCGTTCATCCTTCAAGCCATTGGGGGCAGGCGCCCGCCGACCTTTGTTAGTTTGGCCACATGGCAAATTGTACGAAGTGTATAAACCCGAAGGAACTGCTGCCTTGCAGGTGTCTCGGTTGGTGCAGCATCTTACTGGATCTTACTTTATATCACAAACAAACAAGATCATTAGGATTTCTAGCGTCAGAATAATGCCGGCTACCAACTCCCAACCCAGACATATATACTAGCCATATGCACCTACACCTAGACGCCGAAGTCCAGGTCGCATTTTCCAAAGCCGTCGACTATCTTTAATTGGGGCTCGCGGCTGTCGGACTAGACCTAGACCGAATTAACTACCAGTGGGTTAGGCAGACATTATTAGAACCTCCACAAGGCTGAATTCCGAGTGTGATCGTTTCAGTGTTCCAATTATTAGACCTTTAATCATGAAAGACAGGCTCGCAACGTTAGCGAGCTTCGAGTTCCTCAATTATGGGCTACCGGCGTCCCAACCTAAGCCCGACGACGGTCTATCCGTTAAGAGAGACGCATTTTGGAGTTACTGCGGCCCACTGCTCTCCGAGGCGAATGACCTTCCATCCAGCCTACACGAGTGGACCCAAGCCGTGTTGTCTGGACCTTTAGTTCCTATTCTACTTCCATTTCTAACCTACGTCAACGAGTTCGTGAAGTCGAATGGACTCGATAATTACTGGCTCACTATCCGTGCGACAAAGGCGACAGACGAGTTCAACAAGCCAAGATGGCACACCGACGATATGTTCTTCAGTAGGAATAGCGAGTTCAACAACATCGGAATGGATAAGAAAGCCAAACCGAAGGCAAAGATGGAATTAGATCTGCAAACGGATTGGAAATTGTGCGCCACACTACTCGGTCCGGCAACTATGTTCATCCCATCAGAGCATCAAGCCGCAGCTCGCGCGACATCACGCTCGACGAAGCGAGCTCTAGCTACAGAGCATATCTGCACATCGATTCGGTGCGTGGGGTGTGCAGCGACGGCAGATGCGGTCCGAGAGCAGCTCACGAGCGATTTAGCACCTTTAGGTCTAGTCCAGGCTGCACCGGGGGAGTGTAGTGTTTTCCGCATCGGCCAGGAGCGCGGCGCAGTTCATTCGGAGCCATGCATGAGCAGCGGGGATCGGATATTTGTTAACGTTGTACCTGGGCGGAAGGACGAACTTGCTGGTCTAATGGCGAAGTGGGGGATGGGTTTCCCGCGGTCATGGTGGATTGCCCCGGGGGTTTTACGTGCACATGAGTTGATGTAATGGATAATGATGATATAATACAGATTAAATCAACAGATACATGTATTTTAACAAGTACGACGGCCGCTCGTCTCCGTTTCTCTTTGCCGGATCTTGGGATTTGTCCATTCATCGACCCTGATTTCCTTATGAATGGTTGCCCTCCACCCGGGGTCTCGACTCAGCATCGAGACTCTATTAGGAAAACCTAAACGCTAGGATGTTGTTAATTATCTATACATAGAGTCCCTAGGAATATAATGAATGGCATTGTTCACAAGGCAGTCAGATGAGAGCCTAGACGGTTCTTTGTTCAAGAAATGTAACAAAACAAGCAAATTGAGTTAGTTATTGTAAATCTATCAGCCTCTATTACCAGGTATCAATTGATCTATGAAGTACGTTTTTAATTGCAGTCGAATTAGATCCAGCCGGCCCTACCCCCATTTACATCTTCCTCTGCCTTTCTTTTCCTTTTCCTACTTAGTAGCCTCTGATTAACTAGGAAACCCAACAAAGTCGTTAGCCTCCTGCAACGGTCGAAATAGATCTCTTCCTGTCGCATGATGCGAGTAGCATCTAAAGGTACATCGAACCTTGCGCCCTCAGGGGTCTTAATAAAGTCCATAACTCGTAAGGCGAACATCCCTACATGAGGAATAAGCTCGTACGGATTATCGTGGCAGTCCTTGGCGACAACTTGCCTAAGAAGCGCTCCGGTTGTCCGGAGCCCGATATGTAGCTGCTTCCAGTAGATGTATTCGTCTACCTCTTTCCAGTTCGGCAGTGAACGTGTGATTGAGGCAGCTGAAAAGCATCTGTTCATGTACATTCGAAAGGCTTCCTTGATTGGGTCGGCCTTGATTAGTTCCTCGGCATCGCTGATAGTGCGCAGTCTGAGAGCGATTTGTAGCTCTTGTATCGTCATGGGGCATTGGTTAGGTGAAGACATGGTGTATTCAGGTAAGGTCAATTGGTGGAATCATCGAGTCCATTAATCAGGATTACCCAGCCAAAATTATATTGATTAGAACTGTCCGTTCATTGGTGAACAAAGCAATGGAAGTAGAACAAACCACCTAGTTTCTTGTTCATCAACCAATTACTATGATCTAGAACGATGTAGTTCTTGTGGCAACAAAGAGATCATTGTTTCCAAAGACATTGATGTAGAATTGGAGTTGGGTTTGGATTGGCTAAAGGAGCTGGAGAACTATGTATTGTTTTACATACCGGGACCTCCCCCTTGTATCCTGTCCCAATGCTCGGCGCTTCATGTCTGCATAATGTATTTCCTTTATAAACCCTTCATCTAATCCGGTATTCGAGTCGAAACGCGTTGGAATAAGTTGATCCATTCATCATCGGCAGGTTGTTGGGGGAATGAAGTTGGTGTTAGTGAGGGATGGCCTCCTGATGTTAAATCCTCGCCGTTGTAGAAAGTATTCAAGGGGCATGGAAAATGTAAATCTAAAAGAAGAGGGTCTGTGGCAAGTTAGCGGAGTTTGAATATAGCTGGTTAGATGTCCATCTCGATTAACTAGAAGACAAGGAAGTTCGGGGTTGTTGTCTGATGAAACCCTTTCCCATAAACTGAATCATTGTAGTGTGAAATAGCTTTGAGGCAAGAAAGGAATGCGTTGTCATACTTGGTTGACGAGGAGAACATTTTCCCACTGAAGACGACGTACCTTGGAAAGCCATGGGGTTGAGCTCCTCCTCTATCTCGGTAGGACTTGATATCGGTGTGCCTGTGACTTGAAGGACTAGACGTATGGCCTCGACGGCTCGTCGCGCGTTCCTCGATGTGATACTAAATTTCTTCCAGCACTCCATGGAGTTCATCAGAAGCTGATTAATCTCTTCTATGCTTATACCCTCCACCACACTTTCAGGTGTATCGATGATTTGTTTCAAATAAGCACATATGATGCTAGTCGCTAAAAGAAACTCGTTATTCATAATAGACGAAAGTTTCCAACGAGCCTCGTATAATAAACCATCTGGACTAACTAGTTCGTGAACCAGATGCTGATGTTGCAGAATTTTCATAGCTGCTTTTACCGAAACGCTCCGTGAGTGGTTGTAACGTTCGTGTTGGTCGGGGGCAATGAAGTATTTTTTGTGCAGAACAATCTGTAGCCTTAGAAAACAAATTTCTAACCAAATCCTCTGCATTATAGTATGAGGAGGGTCGGCCAAGGATTGCGCTATTGGCTGCATCCTAAGGGGTAGAGGAATATTGCGTTGATAAGCTTGCACTTTGTCGTCCATGGCTAGAATTTCTTCGTACTTATGGACTCTGGTATCAGTTGCGACATCGCGAACCTTCTCCCAGAGACGAGCGACACGGGATCGCGTAATAATATATAAAACCGGTGTCAGCTCGGTCTCGGGTCGCGATAGCGGCAATTCAGCCGATCCTTCGTCAAAATCGGTGTCCAGAATATTATGTGGTTCTTCCGTGTCTACATGATAGTCCTTTAGCATGCTCGGCAGACCCATTTGCGAGGCAAAGATGAGGTTTGCCTGAAATATAGCAGCCCAGATTCGTCTTCTCATTTCACCGTCGAAAGCTGAAATGACTGGGAAGTTTTTAGGATCTCTGTGATAACCCATCCTCATAGCGAGATTTAAGATCATGCTCAATAAAAGGTGAGTTCCGAATTCCGAATCTTCTTGGAGTAGGTGCTCTATAGCGATATAAAGAATAAGAGTTTGTAGGACATGTGGCCCGCCTCCTGTGTACTTGCCTAGTGTCAAACACTGAACGACCTTCTCACGGTATACTCTCACAAGGACTGCGCCCTCTAAATCGGAGCGTTGGTTTGTTGGATCATGAGCCGCGTGTGGAAGTGAGAAAAGACTCGAGAGGCACATGATAGCAAACATAAGGCCTACCCACATAATAGGGGCAGAGGAAGGATCCTGCCAAAAATCATCGTACTTCACGGTAGCATGCGTTAATGTCTACTATAACCAAATATACGAAATAAACTCACCTGGCGAATGAATTGACCAGTATGTACTAGGGCTAATTCCCGAATTCAGTCTTGGTGCATAGGAATAATTCAATACGAATGATGACTCACCTGGTGCTAAATCAACTGCGTTGAAGAATTTAAATATAAGCCGGTCGACGACGGAGCGCGCTGGGAGCGTGCTTAGAATTTCGCTTTTGCTAGCCGGCGCAAAACGTCCATATAGTAACTGCGGACTCGGCCCGCTACCCAAAGAAAAGGTCAGTTATTATTAGTTCATGATGAAATCTCAGCGTGCTGGGTATGTCTGAGGAGCCATAGGTCCTTTATTAGCAATTATTGGATTATGTTACTTACTAGTCTGGAATCACTTGGGAAGGGATCTGGTAATGGAAACCAGATTCTGTAGTATCTTGGATGCAATCTTTTAATTCGGAGATACTATCCAAAAGAGCTGTCCAATGTGCAGCGTCGACATAACTCGTACCGGTAGGAGTATCCATTAATGTGCCACAATCGGAGGGCTCTACGTGTCCGCTGGCTCCTGGGCCGGGATCGGGAGAGCCTTCTACGGCGCGAGGCCCCGGGGCCTCGGTGGGTGGTTGAGTAACCTCTATCGATGATGTTACATTTGGGGAATTCTTAGGGGCTGCCCTTTGCATAAGGACATGCACAAGACTCTCGAGTTCGCGTATGCGGTTTTGTACTGTAGTATGAGGATCCCTATCTGAAGGACGTAGTGACGACACCTCCGGAGGATAGGTACAGGACATAGCCAACCCCCGAAGGGTGCATGTCCTACATGGCTGCTGGCGATCACATTTGACTCTGATGGTAGTCAGCGAAAGACCTCACCGGACCATCCTATAAGGACATGGGTAGGTGGCTACTACTTGCGACGCCTGCATGGATTACAGGACAGCTGGGGTTTATCGCGGCGTCTGTTCGGAGGAGGTAAGGGGCGTTGTTTCGCCGGAGATGTTGCCGACATATTTTTCTTTTAGCGTCATTGGACGCCGAGACGGCGAGATTGTTGGTCTAACAGCCTCAACCCTTTAGTACAGAGAAGAGGATTATGAACAATTAGGCAGTAGGGAACCCATAATCTATGAAATCTCTGGATAGGTATTAAAACCCGACCGTCCGACCATCCGATCCTCCGCTGAAGATTCATGGCTCCACATGATGCGTTCAGCAGGCTGCAGGGTCAGTGAATATGACATGACTCTACTTGGGCAGATATAGTCTGCGAAGGTAATATAGGGTTCCTAAAAGCAAAGTATGAAGTCCCAAAACTTCTCTTTAAAGCTAGGCAAGAATACCTGCCTTCTAACCGTGGAACTTTTCATCCTGGTATATTTATACCAACCGGGCCAGTTGCCGATAAATGCCTGGGGTAGTTGAAGAATTGCTGGCGAGTTTAGAGACTAAATAGCGAAAGAAGCTCACTAGCGTCACTTAAATTGGGTACCCAGCCCGGTAAGTAACAGTTGGTGATTTTCATCGAACAGCTTGTGCCCCGGTTTTGCTTCTTCCTATCTCGACTCTCAACATTCCTAACAAAAGGTAATAATCATAAACAGATGCTTTACTGTTCCTATATTCATGGCTCTATCTCTACTTCTATACTACGAAATATCGTCACCTTAAAATACTTAGGTAACATATACCTCTAATAAGAGTCACAGAGGCTTAGGCTTAGGTCATACATGTAGGTAGGCATATGCATTAAGCACACATGATGTCATCCCCACCTTGCTGCGGTTCTCTTGGCTATCATTCCCCGCGGGATTGTTCAATACTCGCCGAAACTCCCGAAATGGGGACTCGTGATTTCTTGCCTCACTTGTCACTAGAACCATCGGATCCGCAGCGCTAGCTACCTAGCGATCAAGAGAACTTACCGAATGGCATCTTCACCCTCGTTACCCGAAGACGACGATCCTCCGCCATACATTGCGGGAAACCGAAACGATGCAGACGAGATCCTTCAACCCACCATCCTCATCCTCGCCGGACAATTTATCCGCGCGCAATCCGCTGACGGTACGCCGTTGTACGAACTCTCTCGGGACGTAAGGGCTTCTCCGACAAGCGATACACTACTCGCTCAAGTGTCACTCGAACGTCTAATTCATAATGTTCGGATGAATTCCGACGGTACGCCTCGGGTGTTACACCGCAGCAAACACATCTTCGAACTCAAGCATTTACCATCGGTGATATCGACCGGGTTCCCGTTTTGTTTGGATTCCAAGTCGCGAAATACAATCGGGAATATAGCACTGAAAGCTGCCTCGTTTCCGCGGTCTGGATGCAAGATTGTAAAAGTACGACCAGAGAAAGAAGATGGATTTCCCAAGGGTTACAATGCGAGGAGGGAATCGCTGAGGGAAGAGGAAGTGGTATTCGAGGTAGTGAAGAAGCGCGATCATTATGAGTGGCTGGGCCCGGACGGCAACCGTATCGCAATAGAAGACAAGGTAGAAGGTGAACATAAACTGATAGTTACAACACCCGTGAGAAGAAAGACGATGGACGCCATGATAGGCAGTTGGTGCTTGAGAATTTGGCGCGACGGTATCAAATCGAATCGTGACATTTGGAGACCCTGTGAGTTCTTTCGTCTTCGTCGAGCCCTAAGTTTCTACTGACATTTGGAAGTTAAGGTTGAAGCACGCACCTCACGTGAAGTACTTCCAAATTGGTGGTAATTCATATTGTAAGACTAGGTAGTGCTGAGAAGTAAGTTTCAAGGGTTTTGTTTCTCTGGTAACTGAGAGGGAGGAAACATGTTTAGATCGTTTATAGAGTGGAGAGTTATTGACGTAACTACGGCTAACCCTTTAGTATTTTGGAGCGGTCTCGAGGTCATGTTCGAAATTCTGGGAAAGCTTGGTATTAACATAGAAGATTTGTCGCGATGAAATAGCTGGCTGCCTCTTAGGGGGTTATGCTTGGTCCCATCTATCCTTGCCCGCCCCAGATCAATCTACGACAGTACGAGATTCATTGTAAACTAAAAATAACCAGATACGTGCAAACGCTATCCGAGCCCATAGTCGAAATTTCAAGATAGTTGGTGAAACAATTTCTTCCTTGATTCTAACGAATCGAATATCGTTGTTGACTATCTTGGCGCCAAGTTGATCAACACCGGCGGTTGTGGGTTGAAACATCTTATTGTCGGTGCTTCCCCATCACCAGTTTCAAGTAGTCTGGGCATCTTGGCCGGGGGTAGAAGATATCACCTCTTTGTTTATTAAGTCCATCATGTCTGCTTTCCTCGAAAACAGCATCTGCACTGCTTTTGGCAACTGAGCACGTGTGCTTTTCCAGGTCAACTTCACTTCGATTTTGGGCTGTGCCCTCACTATTCACTATCTACGGCAGGCCCTGATTTAATGAGAATTATCTTCACGGCGATTTACTTCCGCTCTTTTCTCTTTTTTGTTCACCAATCTTGTAGGAAGCCTAGATTTCAAGGATTTAATAGTGTCGCATACCCAACATGAGGTGAGTAGTTGGCAGAGTGCCAGTTTGGGTATACATGGTCTAATGGGGTTGAAGGACTTCAAGCTTTCGGAGGCGTGTTCGCGCAAACGACTTAAGGATATCTGTTCGCGACGATGTTCCGAACACCGTCGAAGATTCCGACTTGTCCGATTCTGATGATGAAGGAGAGCCGGACACACCCTCACCAACAACAGAAACTTTTCAATCTCCTACTCCCGCACCAACTGCACCTACCGAGAGTTCTACGCAACAACTGGGAGGGATCACGCCAACACCAAGCAGCTCAGACCCTACCGAGCCGACAGCCATTAGCTCTAGTTCTGATGTGTTGCCTGCTCAGACTTCTTCGATCAACGTGGGTGTCACTCAGAGCACGCCACCTCAGACCGGCGAAACTATTCAGGCGCAAGCAAGTCAATCAGGAAATGAAGCGCCTGGTAGAAGTAGGGATGGGGCCATAGCGGTTGGCTCAGTTGGTAAGGTTTTAATCCAGAGCGGCATTCTATTTCCTGGAACTGACAATTTTATCTTTGTACCACAGGAGGAGCAGTAGTTGTAGCTGCTATCATCTTTATCCTATGGAAATGGAGGCGACGACGAAACCGAGCGGGAGGTAGTCTCTATTCAGAGTCCACTTCGTTCTCATTTTTCGGGAGAAGAAAAGCTTCCCCTCGTCCAACGATGGCAAACTATGGGCCACCAGGAAGAACGCAATCGGGAATTATGGATGACCTCATGGCGGCTGCATATGCTGCCGAAGATGGCAATGCTTCGCAGTATGGTGGTTACACAGACGAGAAGCAGCGAATGAATGCATCTGTATATGCCCCGAACCCGACACAGCCTCCACCGATTAGATACTCCGGTGCTGTGGGACAACAAACAGCAGTGAACTCCGACAGAGACTCGCACTCTCTTTATGTGAACCAACTCCTCTCTGGATTCTATAAGGGCTCGAATTCTGACGGCCTCGCTGCCCCACCCGGCGCAAGAGTACCCCCACCAGCTCCATCTGTAGCTGGACGAACCGAGGTTACGAATACTACCGAAACCACTTGGAAAACATGGGGCTGGGAGCAGAAGAAACCGCAAAAAGAGACATGGGTCGATAAGTGCATTCGCTTAGGAGGTTTAAAATGAAAGCCACCTGTTTGACAAGTTTGTATAGCAGATTAGGACTCCAGATCGAGTTGCGACGCCATTTTGAAATCTAAAACTTGCGAGATGCGCATATCATTATTCAATCACCATGGTCCGAGCGTGAAACTAAGATGTCTTTTTATACAAACATTGCCGAGGATTCGATATACAACAAATGGCTAATCACTTAGACTCTTCCGTACGATCGGTTACCTTCAGCACTTGATTCATCGTCCTGCCCCTGAGCAGCCTGTTGCAGCTCATCTCCGACCTCCCTTTCTAAACGCCACTTACTCAACCCATTCACGCCAGTCAATCCCTCTGTTGAGATCAAGTTCTCTCCCTCGGCGAATGCATAATAACCCCTTACTATCCTCGTCGCGATCGGACTCGTAATAAGCACCTTAACACGACACCTCGGGCCCTCACTTCCATCCTCATCTTCCTCCGCCAAGTCTAACAATACCCGCAATACATATCCCGCCGCTAATGCGTAATCAGGTCGCTCGAAGAAAATAGCGCCATCCACGAAACAGAACAACGTCACGTCAGGCGGCAATCTTCGTACAAGCCATATTAGTAGATCGCATAACACCATCACATCGTCGCTACTGCTGTCCCCACACACACTACCTAGATCAACGTCGTCCTCGAGGCCCGTCATATCGAACGCGATACCCTGGCACAGTAATTGCGCAACGAGACTTCGCGCCATCCACCCCGGCCCAACGAAGTCATGAAAAGCTCGTGTGTGCAGGCCGCAAAAGAAGACAAGCGAACAGAACTGGCCTGATTGATTCGAAGATGGAACAGGAGCTGCGGTGGCTTGTCTCATTACATTCGCGAATGTAGCCACGAAGACAGATAGCGCTGAGGAGTCTTGTAATTCACCACCTGTGCCGAAGTCCCCGTGGATTAAGAGTCGAGCTGATGTCGGCGCAACCACCCACTGCCGGAACTGGTGCTGGTTGATTAGTTGCTCGGCCCGCTCCTGCTCGCGTGTGGCTATTCGGTCTCTGCTCCAGAATATGTCGTCTAAATCCTCTTGGTGGATATCTGGAACGTCTAATAGTATGAATAGTTCCTCTTGACTGATGGACGGCTCGCGAATCGTTATGGATGGTGTAGGAGACGCAGGGCGCGAAAGAGCCTGGACTTGGCCTTGAAGAAATCCATTTTGGTACTGAAGCGCGTTATTCGCTGCAGCTAGTCAGTCTTAAATAGTGGTAGCTAAGGAGAACCCCATACCTTGGAAAAGGCGCCTATTCTCTTGTAGTAGATCCATTAGGCCGTTGGTGAGATTCGCATTAGACTGTTGCATCTCGAGGTATCGTGTCGTATCTGGATAGTAAGGGGAAAATAAGCACGAATCTCGCACATTAAGGAAGGCCAATTATACTCCGCCATATTACCGTAATAAGATATCCTTGTGTAAACTGGGCCTGGTCGAGGAGAGATTGACTATCAGTTTCAATGCTGTCTAAACTCTTCTTCAGGCGCTCCTGGTACTGTTCGCCAGTAAGAACAGCAATAGCAGCTTTTATAACTGTAATATTGATTATCAGCGTCGCAAAAGTGACTGAGGGGACGAATATAACTGTACGCACAGAGATTTCTAGTGAAATATCCTATCACATCTTCAATAGCTTTGAGTATAGTAGCTACTAGCGTGATAGAAGCATCTTTGATGTTCTGATCACTAGGATACATTGTTGTGTAAACCTCGATAGCTTCGAAAGACTGTTGCAACGTATCTAGCTTCGCAAAAACAGAATCTCGGACGTCTGCTGCTTGCTTCACGGCCTTCATTTAATGTTCTTAGTTATAAAAACGAATTAAGCCCTCGGAATGATTTTCGCATAGTAGCACGTACGTCTAAAAGAATCTCCACGGCGCCTAGCACAGGGGAAACGATGTCCATTTCCGGAACCACTTTGATCCCCTGTTTCACGGTAGGTTGTAAGTTCTTAAGTATTCTCCGGGCGCCGGACTTGATAAAACCTAGGCGGCCGGTACCTCCTTCGTAGACGCTCCGTGCCTTGCTCAGTTGGGTGTTGACCTCGCGCCAATTTTCCTTTCGCATGCTATAACCATGCTTCTCTCTTCCATCTGGCTCCTTAGGATAGTCTTTCTTAAACTTTTCCATAGCTTTAGGGAAGATGCGATCCCAAAATGACATGGAATCGACTTCCCCAGCCACAGGCCGAGCCGGCGGGGTCGCTTCGGCATTCGGTGCCTTAGCCGAATGCCCGCCGGAGTTGAGATGCATTACGGATACCTGGGGGATTGGCACATAACGCTGAGCGACAGTGTCAAATCGAATAGGGAGATCTTTAAAAGCCGGATGATATTCCTGTAGGTGGTTATCAAGAAAATCAACTGCTAGCGGTCGTTGGCCAAGGTCCTGTATGGAAGTCATGTGTGCCTCCATGTGAGGACTCCTCGAGACAAATCCCAGGAGTGATTGCGATAAGGAGGAATAATACCGAATACATAGGACCGACGGATTCGCAATTCCAACACTGAAGCGGAAATGGAAGCGATGACTAAGATGCCATCGCGGACTCTATATTTGATCCCTTACGTAGAGCAGCTTGGTAATGAATGCCTAAAACAATGAATGTATGGTCGGCGATACAACCATTGCATAAAGCGTGGGATAGACTGGTATCCTGGCTCTTTTACCATATAGGAAGCTCACCTCAGCCGCATATTAGTCTGTATCAATAGCGCGGGAATCGCGGCCCAGCTCACAGGCAGCTGGATTGCTATAGTATAGTCTTATTATCGTGGTGATGTGACATGGAGCCAATAAAATGTCCCCTTCCCCGCCGCAGCCTGCTTCTTTAGCTCAAGCCACTACTGCGGGAACATGCATGAGCTGTAAAGAAGTTGCCGGGATCGGCATCCCAAGCTAGGTACTGGCCTGGCATTGAAGGGTTTGCTTTTTGGGGGCGGAAGACCGGGGTGGGAAGCTTTGCAGATGGTAAGAGCCCCGAGTCTTACATACATGTCTAGGTAGACTTATCTATATGCCCGAATCCCGTGCCAGATTAATTACTTGTCCTGCTAGCTGCCCCTCCTCTAGCAGCCCATAGAGAGACTGCAACTCACCAGTCTGAATAGTGGCACGAGTCCATGATGGCTGATGACTCGAAAACGGACGACTTGGATGGAGGTTCCAACCCTTCCATTCCAACGCCCACAGCAGGAGAAGCAAGAAAGTCAAGAAAGCCAAAGGCAGCCGCTTCCAGACTTCGTGATTCTGCTGTGGGTTATTTTGAAGCGGTTGATAATGGTTCGGACAGCAAATCCATTTCATCGCGCAGTGATCGAGAAGATATAAATAACGACCCGAGCGGAAGCGATCCGGGGCAGGGTGAAGAGAGCGAGAATGAAAGCTCAGATACGGCCCAAAACAAGGACGGAAAGTCTAAAGAGACACCTAATGCTTTACAAGAGGAGTTCAATGTGATGAAGCAGAGATTGTTGGAACTAGAAGGACGCCTTTCAGAACAGAAGAAATTTAAAGACCTTCAGGAAAAATGGGACGACGCGAAAAAGAAGTACGGAGGTGACAAGGAGGAGGAGGTGTGGCAACAGGTAAAGGAAGGGGTAGCACAGAAACTTGAAGAGAAAAAAGAGTCTTACGAGTCTAACACCCGATGGATCGATACTCTCCGCAAAGAATTAGACCGCAAGCTAGGCGATGAAGAGGACTTCGAGGCCAAAATAATGACTCTGCGGCAGCGATGGGAACGGGGTCAGAAGAGACGCGACAGCCGCAGCCGCCGACGTAAAGCCAAGGAAGATGAAGACGACAGCGACGAGTTTGAGTGGAAACAGTGGCGCATAAGAGCCGAATACGAGAGGCTCCGACGGGAACTTGATTTCGAGGAGGAGCGTTTGAATATGGAGCACAGGCGAAAACGAGGGACTGATTCGAGGTATATGCGTCGTAGGCGATCAATATCTCCTTATCCTTCTTATCCTTCTTATCCTTCTTATCCTCCTCCCCCGCCTCCTGTCCGTATTCGCCGCCGCTATGTATCCCGGTCCCGGTCACGTTCCACTTCTCGTCTTCCTACACGCTCACGCTCACGCTCACGCTCACGTACCCGTGTTCGTTGGCGTTCCCGTTCGGACTCGGATGAGGTTATCATAGAGCGGCCCGTATTTCATCCTGTCAGTAGGGAGATCTATTCTCGACCAGGTGAAACCATGATGGAATGGCCAGCCTTTAAGAAGTCTTTCTCCAAAGACGAAATCAAAGCTACAGCTATTGATGTGTTGGTCGGAGACCCCTTTGTCCACAAGAGTACAGTATTATCGAGCCGGGAATTCTTTGGTAGGACACCAGGGGCTAAATCGCATACCGGACGGAACGTGCTTCCCGGCCAGGCGCCTCTTCCTGAGCGCATTAGAATCAACTCGACGCCCCTCATTGAAATTCTAGAAAAGATACATGGAAATGAGCTCTCCTCCGAGGGCACAAGACCCATCACGATGATTCGCCCATTCAAAGCATTAGTTTACTATGAAAATAAACTGCGAAAATGGTACAATAGGTTGATTGAAAAATACCATGTCCGCACGGACATAAGCATAGAGAACGAAGTCGACGCAGAGAACAAGGAACCTGAGACTATACATAATGACGATGAGGAAGCTCAGGATTCTGACGCACAGAGTGACCAAGACATCGAAGAAAACGACGATTCGGAAAACAACGAGGATGAAGAATTCGATGATGTGACTGGTTCCACAAGCGCCCTAGAGCACTTGCGCACACTCCTCCTTTTCATCGACGAGAAGATCAACGCAAAAAGAAAGTACCTTAGAAGTCCAGACTGTAAGAATATCACATTTAGCGACATATGGCATTTATTCAAGCCCGGAGACTTCGCCATGAGTCGGGATGGAAGACAAGCCTATCGCATAGTTAGTCTCACCAGCACGCCACATAAGGAGGCTGCAACTTACCAAACATTCTGGTCTCGCATTATAAAGGGGCGCGACGATGACGAAGAAGAGAGGGAGGAGAAGATCTGTATTCATTGTGTTTATATCGATTTTAACGGCGAAAATCTCGGGCCAGTGACGGAGGAATTCAAAATCAAGAGATTTGATGGTGAAAGACCTCTGAAGTCGCTAGAGTTGCATCTTCTCGATAAGCAAACAGATCAGGCCGTTTGGGATAGGCTCAAAGAAAGGGGTTTGAAGTTTATCGAGGTGGCCGGCGTAAAACATATGTACTACGATGGATATACTCTTGACACATTTGATGAAATCAACGGCCAGGTCATGATTGATTTCGAAGAGGCTTTCTTAGTGAAGGATCACGAGAACTGGCGACCGCAGGTTGAGGCATTTGTCCCGCCAGCAGACCCAGAGGAAAATGAATCGTGCGACGGTGATTGCTGTCTCAATCATAATGTCCACGCAGATTCCTATGTGGAACGGAATCGCAACGAAGAATTCATGACAGGCCTCTTCTCGGGGATTAGTAGACCTTCCGTCGCTGTTGCTCCACGTCCATTATTAGAAGCTCTCTTAGATAATATAAGAGATGAAGAGCTGGTCATTATGTCATACAGGGCCTTCGGATTTGGGCTTAGTAGCCGAACCTGGGGTAAGATACCTACTACCCCCTCTATAACTCCCCATATACCCACTGAGGCAAATGTGAAGATTCACTCGCTGATATTTGATTCTAGCAAAACTTCACTTGGATTATCTCGACTCGGTGTACGATGATGGTGAGGCAGACAAGAAGCTCAACAGCCAACAAGCAGCGTCTAGGGAGCAGAGGACTGCCTTTGACGAACTTGTGCTTCCCAGGGGCTCGATGCATAAGCATATCGTAAAGTCTCTTATCGCACAACATTTCAAAGACAAGGATAAGGAATTAGCAACTGGCGAGAGTGACCAACCTGATATGGTGAGGGGTAAAGGTTAGTGAATACTGTTGTACATAGGATCGTTGGAGTGTTGATAGACATACTAATGCGAGTCTCTTGATAGGTAAGGGTCTCATCCTACTTCTCCACGGCGCTCCTGGAGTTGGAAAGACAACAACAGCGGGTAAGCATCTAACCTCAGCTTGCAAAACAAACACTTTCCACTAACAATAGCCAGAGGGAGTTGCGGAATTCTTCAAGAGGCCCTTGTTCCAAATTACTTGTGGTAAGTTTCTCGACCTACACCGAACTTCTCCGCCTACCCAGGTATCTAAACATATCAATAGGTGATCTTGGAACAACGGCTAAAGACGTGGAAACCGTCTTGGTGAGGCACTTCGCTCTTGCAGGTAAATGGGGATGTATCCTACTTTTGGATGAGGCAGATGTTTTCCTCGCTCAGAGAGATAGAATGGATTTTAAGAGAAATGGTCTCGTAGCAGGTCTGAACTCCTTTTATCCTTGCGGTATGCTTTACGCTGATTTAACATTACCCAGTTTTCCTCCGAATTCTGGAGTACTATACCGGTGTACTTTTTCTTACTACGAATAGGCTTGGAGACTTCGACGAGGCATTCGCTAGCCGTATCCATATTTCATTGTAAGTTAAAATTTCAAAAGTATTTACAACAATCCACTAATAATTTGCGCGTTTAGGTACTATCCAGACCTAGACCAAGACTCTACTAGGAAAGTGTTCGAATTAAACTTGGAGCGTATTAGGAAGCGAAGGGGTGACAAAGTCGACATATGGCAACATGAAATCACCGAATTCATTAACGACTACTGGGACAAACACCCTGACGCCCATTGGAACGGTCGGCAGATCCGGAACGCCTGCCAAACGGCCCTCGCCCTCGCTGAGTTCGAGGCTATGGGTAATAGGCCCGCTTCATTAGTTGTTGAATCCGGTGTAACCGCGGAGCTGAAAAGGAGCCACTTTGAAACAGTCGCAGCAGCTTACGTCGAGTTCATGAAGTATGTAGACGACATCCATGGCGTTGATGCCGCTCAACGCGCTTGGGAGCAACATCTTCGTGTAGGACGGAGGTCCGGGCGGCGGGGCAAGGGGTCCGTTAATCCTTTACTCATGCCTAAAGAAAGCGGTACCAGTTCCAGATACGGCACCCCTGACAATAGAAACGTGAGGCCACATCAATACCCACAACAGGCTGCCCAGCAGGGCGCTATCCCCGTTCAGCAACAACAAGCCTACCAACCACAACCACAACCTGGTGGTGTCGTTAATCAACCTGGAGGCTATGGGGTTAACAATGCTGGTGCTCCCGGCGTAGCGTATCCGGGTGGGTATTATCCTCCTCAAGGGTCGACATCTGGTTACACGCCAGCCATTCATGTTGAAGCTCCTCAACAGGCACCACAGGGCCAGCAATGGCGAGGGACTCCTCCTGCCGGCGGGGCCGCGGCAATGAATCCTCAATTTGGTGGGGGCGGGGCTGGTGTTCCAGGCTCCATGCAAATAACGGGAGGCTATATCAACGCAGGCTTTCCACCGCAAATGGGAGCTCCAGCGAATGTGAATATGGGCGCCGGTGGAGCTCCTGCCGTTGGTGAAGGAAACGCCGCATTCTACGACCAGCAACAGCAGCAAGGACAAGCTGGTTTCCCTGGAGTTCAGGGGTATCCACAGGGTCAAATGCAATCAAATCCACAAGCCATGAACCAGCAACAGGTGAACCCAAACCAGCAGATGCAGCAACCCCAAGGCCAGCAAGGGATGAGCCAGCCGCCACCGAGTCAACGTTAGATTGTATATAACTAGACGAACGTCAGGTATATATAAGTAGAGAATACATACCATCCGCCCCACCTTGAAATTGAATTACGATCAAACAATTGGCTTGCGTTGATCCAGGAGAGGTTCTCGTCAGCTTTGTCGTTCAGAGTGACATCCATCATACCCTTATCGATGCCTCCGTAAGAAATGAGATTGGTAACCAAATCCAGCATTTAGACGGATATTGATTTTTTCTCTATCGTTTCTTTACCTCTATATAATGCTCTAATATTGATTTGACGGATGCGAATCGCGACCGGAGCCTTTTATGAGATTATGACGAAATGTGATGTTGAAATGTTGATTATTGCCCGCTTTTTTAAGTCACCACAAGCAAGCCGATATCATTTCGAGTATATAAGGATATCTCTTTCTCAGGCAGGTTTAGCGCATATGTTCTTGGAGCTTTAGTTATCATAATCCTGTTATGTTACTCAAAATTGATGGTATTCAGACTAAGCAAGAAAATGACAACTGGTCTATCGAACGTCTTAAAAAACGCTGCGCAGGAGTTACCACCGATCGACAGCAGCGACTTTGGTGCAAAATTCGATACGTTTGGGAATTCTCGGTTGGTACTCATTGGTGACGGAAGGTTAGTAATATTCTTCCTCCCCTGCCTATTAGCCTTACGGTATCTGCAGTCTCACCCTTTTTGGTATAACTCGAATGAGCTTCAATGACGTCACCCATACTAACGGACCAATAACACAGCCATGGCACATCCGAGTTCTACCGAGCCCGCGCCGCCATCACAAAACGCTTAATCGAGGAACATGGCTTCACCCACGTCGCAGTCGAATGCGATTGGCCGGATGCCCGGTCTATCGACCACTACGTCCGGCAACACCCCCGCCGATCTCAGGATGTTCCTATCCGAGTGTTCGATCACTTCCCTCGCTGGGTATGATATTTCCCAGCTATAGTCAAGATGATAAACCACACGACAGTATGGCTAACTTCATACGACGTAGATGTGGCGAAACGCCGAAGTCCAAGAATTCGTAGACTGGCTACGAGAGCACAACGCGCAACTACCCATGAACCAGCGGACCTCCTTCAATGGTCTCGACCTATACAGCATGAGTGCTTCAACCCATGCAGTAGTCGAATACCTGGATCGAGTAAGACCCCTTCTCAATCGTACCTACCTCTCCTCTCCGGATCTTGTAGGTACCCAGTCAAAACACCACTAACACAACAAGGTCGACCCAACCCTATCCAGCGCCGCACGAAAACGGTACGGCTGTCTCGAACCCTGGCTCAACGACCCGCACGAATACGGGCGTAAATCCTTCTACGAAGACTCCGCGAAATGCGAACCCGGCGTGATCAAAATGCTTCAACAACTGCTCTCCAGACGCGTGGAACTAACCTCCCACGCGGAGAACGGGGAATCCTTCCTCGACGCCGAGATGAACGCCCGCGTGGTACGAGACTCGGAGAAGTATTACCGCGCCATGTTCCACGGCGATAAGACGTCGTGGAATATTAGGGATACGCATATGTTTAACACTTTATCGCGTCTTTTGAAGTTAAAACCTGGGTCTAAGGCGGTAGTCTGGGCGCATAATTCGCACCTCGGGGATGCGAGAGGTTCTAGTATGGGTGCGAAGCGCGGCGAGCTTAATCTTGGACAATTGTGCCGGGAGAATTTCCCCGGCGAAGTATCCGTTGTTGGATGTGGCACGCACGCCGGTACCGTTGCTGCTGCTGATGAATGGGATGAGCCGATGCAAGTTATGGATATCGTACCCTCACGACCGGATAGCTATGAACGGGCGATGCATGACGTCGGCATACCATCATTTGTCGTGGATCTACGCGGTTTGCGGACGGAAGCTATGCTCCAGCGGTTCATCGGCGTAATCTACCGACCTGCCACGGAGCGGTGGAGCCATTACATCAAGACCATCCTGAGCGACCAGTATGATGCATTCGTATGGTTCGATCAAACCAAAGCAGTTGAGGCGTTCGAGACCGCGCAACCAAAAGAAGCTCTCTCAAAGGGAGAAACCTATCCATTCGGAGTCTAAAAAGCCATAGCCAGTCACCATTTTTAATGTAGAAATCATTGTATGAATAGCAAGTAATTTCTCTCATTTGAATTATGTACCATCACAAAATCATATCAATATTCAACAGGAAACAGTAATATGTGGTAGTAAAGAATTGCCCATAGAACTCCGCTAGGATGCACATCAAATTATGGTCTATCAGCACGCTTAAAACAGATCGCCACCATCCCAAGATATGAATTCCATGCCTTACTGCCGAAGGTCGTTTTTTAAAAGCATATTCAGTTGTTCCCAGAGAAAGCCATTCCACAGCGGTCGTCTCCAGCTTGAGGATGGTTAAAATGCGCCCCTCCCCACGGTTGATAAGTGCGAGGTGAATGAAAAGGGAACGACCCGGTGGGTTTAAAAAGAAATTTCTCTCGTAGCAAGGCATCGATCCTCCAACTATTTGCCCCATCTCTACAATTTCGTTGAGGACGGATCCAATCTTCATCAAGGTATTGTCGTGTGTGCGAACAAGCTCACATAAACATTGCTGCACATGTTCATGGTCTCGTCCCATCGTCGTCTCGTCGTGCTCAGTCCCATCAATATCGCCCCTAGACTCCATCATCCTAAACTACCATAATTCCATGTTGTACACTTTCTCCTGCATAAGAGGGGCGACTGATCTTTCAAAGTGGTAATAAGTTGGTTCGTATGAACCATTGATAAAGGGCGAATAGCATCGAAGCTCTCATTCGCAGCTAATGAGGGGTTCGGTTGTATTCGGCGGGACGTATCCCTTAGTTGGGCCAGGTGTTGTATTATGTAATTGGTTCACAGTTGATCGCATTTTGTTTGCGTCCTTTGCTTAGGAAGCAATTGTTTCCTGACCAATATTTGATTCCATCAGTTCGATGAATTCTGAGAAATGATGTGGAAGGCAATAAACGACTGATGTGTTGACGAGCAGTATAGAGATGCCAATTCCGGTAATGGTGTCGTATGCTATCTACTCTGCATGAGGATCTTTTTGGCCGTATCCGTACTGCCAATGCTTGTTTGCGTATCGCGTCTTTTTGCACTTGACATTGTCCGGCCTAAAGGCGAGCTACCATGGTCCTTGGCCGGATTTCGTTTTTTAGGTTTCATGACAAGACCTTCGTCACTATCGCTCCCATCTTCTTCGTCGACGGCCCTCGTAGACAGGAGAGAAGATGTAGTTATAGGCCGTTGTGGCTGAGGAAGAAGCAATGTTTGATATTGCTCGTCCTCTTCGAGCGGAAACCCTGAAATCGGTTCCTTCGTAAGAGCCGGTGGAGTTAATGAGTCAGTAGTATCGATAAGGGACGGTCGGTCAAGAGAGCCTGGCTTCAAAAGGAACTCCCCCTCAGCGTCTGCAGACACCGAGCTCGCACCACTGAGTAGCGCTGGCAGCGAGGGATCTGATCGAAAAATCTGCGAGTCTTCGCGACCCGTAAGATTTGGTAAACTAGCAGGGCTTGCTGATTCACTAGGGCTAGTAAGCGGCGTCATGATGGTACCTGTAGATGCCGAAGCAGAAGTTGCGGTAGTGCCGGGATCTCTAGAGGGCGGTCGGGTATGTTCCAGATTAAGGTCGTCATCAGGCGAAGGTGGGAAGGGAATGTAAGAAGTGGAATCATCTGTTCGAGACGCTATTAGTTCCTCACGTTTTGCTTGCTCTTCGGATTGCTGTTGTTCCCGACGCAGTCTTTGATCTTGAGTTCGCGAAAAGGACTCTGGAGTAGATGAATGGTACACTCTTGGTGGCAGAGTGTGGCCTTCCACCTGCATGCTTGGATCTGGGCCAAATTGGTCATGGTGATAACTGCGAATTGCTTTAGGGGAAAAGAACAAGGGCGAAGACAAGTGATGGCCATCGTGATGCAAAAACGACTTGGTGTCTGGAGGATGAACCGAAAGTGGGCGTTTGGGAAGTTCCATACTTCCCGGGGCTATTGCCATGCTCAAGGCAACTTTGGCTTCAGCGCGTTTATCGCTATTAGCGAATAGTCCACGATCTACCGATCGTGAACGAGATGAATCATCCATAGATTCTATATCTCGTGCTTTTCGTAGAGAGGCGATAGGGTCGTCTCGAATGCAAGTTTCGAGTGCGGGAGTGCTCGGCGTTGTTTGTGATTCTTTGCTAGGTGCAAGGGCGAGAATCGCATTGGTAATTGATCTTGTTCGGCCATGACGATGGCTTATATGGCCCCTGATCGACGATAACGACGTAGACGTCGATGGTGGTCCTGCGAAATCTGAGTGCGCGTTAAAATCGCCGATAGAGCCGCTGGCGTTTCGTCTAAAATCTCCGCCTACCAGTGGGGACCCTCGATGGGCAGAATCAGGCGTATCCTGGGTTGGTGACTCTTGAGGAGTCGCAGTGACACTTTGAGATAAGGGATGATCACCTTCTCTAACGGTAGCGAAATAATCGTCGGGCCGCAAGCTTTTTCGGCGAGCCTCCCGTACATGCGGGGTTGGGGTTGCGATCGGAGGCGTATCTCCTGCCGAACTGGCGGCACTGCTAGCAGCCCTTCTCCTCGAATAACTTTCAGTTCTCTCAGTGCGCGGATGCATTACCTTTCCGATTGTCTTCTTTACGACTGAACGAGCTCTCTCCAGGAAAGTGAGAGGAACAACAGCACGAGTAATTTCGCGTTCATCGACTTCGATTTTACGACCAGATGTACGACGCGAAGGGTCCGTTTCGTCGATCCACGCAATGAGGTTGGGGATACCCTGTACAACCCAAGGGTGTCGTTTCACTTCTCGAAGCCGTATCCGCTTCTCGGGATTCTTAGTTAACATGCGGCGTAGGAGGTCGTACAATAAATCGTCGATCTCTTCATACGCAAGAACACTGTCGTCTCGATAGGGTTCACTGTTAACACGTTTATACAAAGAGGTAGACGATGGGGAATGCTGTGGATCGACGGGTCTTAATCGGCGCCGTGGGATGTACACATCATCCGTCGCTATTTTCTTGAACATTTGAAATTCATCCTCCGCCATAAAGGGGATGCGAGCGAAAATCAAGCAATAAAGCGTTACGCCAAGAGACCACACGTCGATTTGCTCTGAGATCTTTGGTTGGTCCTTGCTTGGTTCGGTGTAGCACAATTCCGGAGCGAAGAAGGCGGGAGTGCCCACAGTTTTTGCCAATTCGAGATCATCATCAAAATCGCGAGCCTCAGATTCTGATACGAGCTCGTCCGGTTCGCCTTCGCGAATAGGTCGACCAAAATAGGAAACACCGAAATCGGATATTTTTACCCTGTGATCCCGAGTCCATAAAAGATTGGCCGGCTTGATATCGCGATGTACAACACCTTCGTAATGCAGATATTCCAATCCAAGTACGGTATCTCGGAACGTGGCACGCGCATCCTCGATTGTGAAGCAAGGGACATACGAATAATCGTCAGCGAAGGGATCGTGCGGTTGGGGATTATAGTCAACCGACGACATATGAGAGATGATTGAATCGGCCATACTCGGAGACCGGCCACGGAACATGGCCTCTTCGGGATATGTACCAGTTATCGTCCTGTCCAGGGCGGTTGAAGATCCAGGCTGAGATCGTAACGGACCAGGAGTTTCTATATCACCTTCGTCGGCGCCTGCACTAACAGATGAAACATCGTACTCAGAAGGAAGCGGGGTACTCGCTCGAGAACCGGACCGCAAAGATTGGTTGTGAGATCGAGTCGGAGACGCAGCTCTTGAACCAGCTTTGGACGACGACGCCGCCCCCCTGGCTGCCCGCATAAGCTCGCTCCCTTCTCTCTCGAAAGAACGTGCTTGGCCTTCGGAGTAGTCGTCATTGGCGGCGCCATACTCGATACTCCAGAAGTCTTCGGGGCCCTTGTGAGTCTGTTGCATCTTCGCCCTTTTCATATCGTTCAAAGCCTGTCGTTTCTCGAGAAGTTGAATATACCGCTCTTCCTCCTCGGTACTAAGTTCCCCGCACACCTCTTTCTCGATCCTCCTTCTCTCGATGCTGCAGATATAGGGCAAGCCCTTCTTTCGCCAGATAACTTCCCCTAACTCAACATGTTCCAAGACCATATAGATCTTCTTGAACTCGGGGTCGTCGATAATCTCGAGTAAGGCGACAACGTTCGGGTGCCGGATCTTTTTCAGGATGGCAATCTCTCGCTTGGTTTTATCCTGGGGAGATGCGGTGACCTTCCCCAAGCGCCGCTTCTTAGAAAATCTGGGGATAATTTTGATCGCGACATTATCGCCAGTTTCGAGATTCCGTGCCAATTTTACTTTGCCGTGTACGCCACGACCAAGTTCTTCAATCACTTCGTACTGATTGATGATTTTTCGTCCCGTCATAATGTCCATATCGACGAGAGCTTTGTGGGTCCTACATTCGCAGGAATTAGTTAGGTAGCCAGAAGCGAGCCGGCACAAACGACAAAGACCACGAGTCCGAGGCCGAGTCGGTCTCTACGTCGGACGTAACACTGATAATTACAATCCAACGCGGGTAAATAATTAGGGTACGCTATATGCGGAAGCACAGAAGGGAAATGCGCACTTACTCTCGGACTCTATGGTTCTGCAGCGGGTGCAGATAGGGACTGGCCGAGGTGGCCACCGGCGTAGAAGCATCGGAGGCGGAGTGTGCGAGGAAAGCATTGGGACGAGGATTCGTAGGGCTAAAGAGGCCCGGAGAGGAGATCGGGGTACTATTCGCCGTCCTAGAGGGGACGGGGTTGAAGGTGGGATTATTGTCGGTAATGAGATGAGGTGGGTTGGGGTGTTGCGAATCCATGACGGCGGAAAGATGTCGGTGGCTTTAGAGGTATTGTGGTCATCATCATCCTGGGTGAGTATCGAAGCATATCGTCGCTAGGCCCTCTCGGACAAGGAGGGGAAGGGGGGGGAAGTCGTCGAATATCAGGAAGCCATCACAGTCGGATCGAATTGGACCAGATACATTACTGACACACGAGTGGAGGGACTAAAGAAGAAACCGAATCTCGATTACACTAGGCGGTAGTAGGAAATTGGATTTATCAAGTTCAAAGTAATTGTTTCAATGTAGTCGTCGTTGTCAGAGTAGAAGAAGGGGAAAAGAAAAAAAGAAGAACCAAGAAAAAAAAAAGGGTATAGAAAGAATTGGAATGATTCGTCGCAGAATGGAGAATGGGACGATGATGAACGAACCGGACGATAGGTGCAGGAAGCGGGTTGGCGGGCAAAAAAAAAGGTAGGTCCAAAGTATTAATTGAGAAAGTTTGGTCCTGACTCTTAGGCGTGAGTGGAGAGATTGTTGCAGCAGCCACCATCCGCCCAGCCAGAAGCCCAGCCCAAAAGACGTAAAAGGGGCCAATGACGAAGGGGATGTTCCCACTTATACGTAGCTATACGTAGCTACTTAGCCCGAGCTAAGACTTGACAAGACTGATTATCGGATGTCTGTGCGTCCTGTGCTGCACACCCATAGTGTAGCTTAAGTATACGCTAAGTGTCCCAAGGTATTGAAAGTACCCGGGTACCTTGTATATATGGATCCCTCATTTTGCAACGCTACGCTATACCTTACCTTCCTTACAAGGATGTGCAACGGTACGCGACTCGCACTGGGCAAAACCCTGGTCGGGCACTGACCAACAACTTTCCAAGACTTCCCACTTCCCCCCATCTGCCCCTCCAGCCCCTCCTACTCTACGAAGTACAGATGTAAGTACAGGAAGAGAGACACGACAGTTGATGGATACCTCAATACCTACAGCACTACGCACGAACGAGCTAAAGCATCAATTGCACTCAAATTTAAGTGTCGTTGCAACACACGCAATTCTCTACCTTTCTATACCTAATAAATACAAGTTGCTAACCTATTTCGGTAGTGCATATACCCGGAGGTACATATGTAATTCCATGTTCCCACCTGCTTTGCTTAGGTAGGTAGTACATGTATACTTTATATTCATATCGAATCTTTTTCGAGCATTTAAATTAATTACATCACTGCAAGAAACTTCAAAAGACTTTGTTGAATCAATCAACTCTCGCACGACCATGTCAATTCGCAATTTAAATTTATCAACATTATTTTATTTTTTCCCCTGGCTAGAAGGTTAGAAGGTTGTTTTCTTTATTCTTGCTTTTTTATCAACACGTTCTAGTTTAATTCTCAATGAATATTTAGCAAATCCGGATCAGGAATAGATTCAGCCGTAGACTCGGGAGCACCATACGAGCGAAGCCTCCTTTGTTTGCGGCGGGGCGAGCAAGACAGCAAATAGTGTTCGAAAAACCACCTCCCGTTTAAAGAAACACGGCATCTAATTACCTCTCCATATCCCGATCTTGGTATCATCCATATATTTTTGGATCAATGGCCGAAGCTGATGAGAGAATATTCTCAGCGGAGGTTGTATCGTGTGCGTAGGTGGTGTAGGTCAATATGTATATGAGATAAGGGGTCCCCATCCTCGTCGTTGGTATGTGTTGTTTGTTATTGTTGATGCCATTCTATAGGGTTGCAGATGGAAGAATGATGTACCTACCGTAATGTATGATCTGCGCTGGAGGGTTGCGGCTATGTGTGTACGTATGTGGTATGCAGCACTATAGCACAGTATTAGAACGGCCTATATTAATAAAGGGGTGGGATCGGCTCCGGCATACCCTAACTTTTCTTGACGATAGACCAAGGATGTGCCAGCTTATCGCACAGTCTTCTCCGTGCGTTACTGGGATTATGATTGGTCTCTTCCTAATAGCTTAGACAGAGACAAGGAAAAAAAAAAAAAAGTCCCAAGCTGTTTCCGGTCGCTCAGTGGGTTGATAGACAACGCCGTTGCGTTGAATATACGCAACATTGAGGTGTACACAGGGGAGTATTCATTACTTCGCGAATCGAATTGTCTTCGATACCGATATATGACAATGTAAAGTCAATAAGAGGTAACGATGCTTTTAGTATATCATATATTACCATCCACGTGTGATTGAACTCATCCGGGCGGGAAACAGCTTCGACTAACAGGATGATCCTAAGAAAAGGATCCTCAACGAAGTCCTTGCGGCTACAAACTTGTTGGATCGCCAATGGTCAGGTACAGTAAGTGTGTGTACCTCGAATTACAGGCGGTGTCCATGTTTCTCTACCACGTACTAGGTGATACACAGTTGAAGAATTTTATGTTGAGAAAGTCAAGCTCAAACCACTCAGCTTTTTTTATTTTTATTAATTAACTTCCAATAGAAACGCACCAAGAAAAAGCTGATCCGAGCAGTATGCATCAGTAATGATGGTTCTAGAATAAGCGGTTGGCGCAATCTCTTCTCGCCTCGATCTCTTTCTCATCCTTTCAGGGCGTAAGACCGATCATCAAAAAGTCAAATCCTAGGATTAATGGTTCGAGTATGATTCTACCCGGTTTGGAGATGTTGCAACTAGTGTAACTCGGTTCCTTCGAAAAGGACATATCATGTTGTACACGGTAAAGACGACAGTTTCCTCTATACTCTATGGTGGGAATTAAGAATCGCGAATCCAATAATATATGCACGGACGCGATCCCTATTGAATCCAATGGTCCTATTCATTTAAATGAGTATGATTTCCTTTGGAGAATGAGGAGTAACCTGGCTTTTCGATATCACATGAAATCCAGCACATCTCTGTTTACGCTCACGATCGAGAGTATTCTATTTTTAGATGCAACCTCTTGGACGGGCGTCGGTTCGGAACACCAAAATTCTATCTTACGCGGACATTGATCGTTGCCGCCTTTCGGCCGGTTTATTAGAAAGAAAATATGCTTGGATAATATACTTCATTCGCATATATATGTATATGCGGCGGCGACATCGCCCTGGCTGCCTATAGACCATTCTAACTCGTTGATCCGGACGTGTCCGGCTCGGCTCATGTGCTGAAGGTATACTTGATCGACAATTCCCACAATTGAATACATCGTCAATCTGATCGGCAAACTAGTTATGGTAAGAATGAGTGTTAATCTTCTCAGATAAATATTATCAATATTTAGCACGTGTGGGATGTCATCCAAAAATAAAAGATAATCATCAACTACACTCCGTTTACTTCTTCTAGCCAAGAACGAGAAAATTGGTATTCTATTCGGTACTTAGATACTTCAATATTTCCAACTCACGTTATTCGCAAGCGAGCAAGCGAGCAGGAAGATGCCCATGTACCTAACTGCGTATACAGGGTATGACATGATGAGCATGATGAGGGGTAAGCGCCGGCCCCCTACATAATTAGATACATCTTTTTCTTTTCTCCTCTTCGACCGAGTGATGTAAATTAGGTAAATTAGGTTGGTAGTTGGAGAAATGCACAATTGTCAACGGAGGATGCGCCGCGGCTTGATTCCCGCATAATGGAAAATGAAAGTGGCAGGCATCTCTTTAGGATTCTAATTCCCCTAGGTCTAGATGAAAAAACGATTAAGTCGGAAGTCTAGTGAATCCCCTCATTGTCCTTAAGTGCTTAGATTAGCATCGATATTATCTTACATCATGATTATTGTTTCCGGGTTGCCTAGTAGGGCCAGTAAGCACTTGCTATCGTGACTTAACTTATAATTCATACCAACTAAAAGTGCTATGAAACTCGGCGCCGGTATTATCCTTACTCGCTCTACGACGGTTGATTTCGTAAATGATGCCCCTAGCAAAAGGGTAACATATCATCACTTTGTCGCATTGCCTCTAAGGCAGGCTACATCGATCGCAGTCTAGACCATGAAGTTGACATGACCGAAAGCCAGTTTTGAACTCACGATGTCATATTATCCACGGGGAAACTTAGGGAGTTCAATGCCACACGTGCCTTGTCGGAAAGCCAGCAATCGCGAGATCGACGAGTCACGACAAAGCCCATTCCATTCTTCTCAGAGACCCCTTTTCCCCACACACACTTTTCCCCGGACTCTTTACCCTTTTCAAATTCATACTTGGATACATAGGTTGGAAGTCTAATGCAGGGTTTCTGCAACTTCCACCGTCAGGGCGTGTGTAATAAGGAGGATGTGGTCGATGGTCGATGATGCTAACAGCCACCGGATAGCGCTTATTGCTGAACAATCCCCCGCCACCCAATACGGTCGTGGATGGTACCTCGCTTCGGACCTACAACGCTGCGACATGCCGTTGCACCGCAGTAGGATGTTTTTTCCTTTGTGAGAGAAGCTCCTGCAACGAATCTTCGATTCACTCTCTCTCCTTTCGGATCTATGGATCCACGTCAAACCTGGATGTACCATTCAACGGCGAGAGAATCGAACAAATGTAAGTGATGCGATTTGGGAATGGCCCGGCACAAGACATCAGTACCAGATAGGTAGTATGTAAACACGGCCGGTCGATCGGTCCTGCCTCTCAAGTTTCTCGGTCTCGATGCCTTATTGTCAATATCCAGTGCAGCACTAATGGACATTGGATGATCTTCATTGGAGATTTCCCATAAGAGGTATCGTTACACTATCACAAACATAAAGCGCCAAAAAACGGGACAGGGACAAGGATTGAATGATTACGATGACGCTACTAGGATTCAGCAGGCAGGTCGCGAGTGTTATTGATTCTTTTGAGCACATTATTTCCCGCCGCAAGCGACAATTGCGATTGTTACATCGAATCAACGTTGTCGAATTTCAAGAAATGAAGACGGAAAGAGATGTTGTGCTCCGACCAAAGAGGTTATTATCGACGAAATAATTGTCCAAAAATTATCCCTCAACGGACATGACCCTGTCCGACTCAGTCAACTAACTCACGGACCAAGAATGAAGTAGCATTAGAAGTATAGCTCGACTAGCATTTAGTTTGGTTGACCTTGGGGTAAGCTAGCAAAGAACCCAGCGTCATCATCGTCGACACTACACAATACCGGACGCTACTAGATCAGGTATCAATTGCCCAGAAAAGAAGGCACTGTAACTTGGGTATAAGCTAAGGGACATTTTACTCCATGGTGTCGCAGTCCAGGCTCTTACTTGGTACATGTAGCGTGGGTAGACGGTTGATGAGCTCCCCCTTGCAGCAGAAACCCGGGGTAATGGACTCTTAACATGTACCCATTATACACCACCATCCCGCTCGTTCCGGCTTTTTGAGGATTATTCTCTTTGATCAGGACGAATACATGGCCTTTCCAAAAGTTGAGTCGATAAGGCTCGTTCTCAAATACATTATTTATTTCTCATTTGGAACACCGGCTTATTTCCTGGTCAGCAGATAATAACACCCTACACGGCACGGTGTCGACATTGATTTCAATCCCTATGGGCAGTTTCGTCGATGGCCTGCCTGCATACTGATATTACTTGCATCAAGTTCCCTGTGTCGGTGCGAGTCGACATGGACGTATCGCACTTCGTTCCCGATAATTCCTTACATTGTTCCTTTAAGGTCACCCGATAAAATGATCTGTCATATTTTGTCGCCTGTTGTCGTGTGCGCTCCAAAGTGAGTCGTAAATGACTGCTGCAAGAAACGCATTTCCCTACGATCATGTTAGAAGAATCGCTCTGCGCCTTGGCGGGTTCGATCATCGCCAATACTGGTTAGAGATCTGACAGCCGTAGACCAACCTCGGGCCGAGTCATCAACGCGCGACAGCAATAGAACTCATAAAATGTAGTACAAGTCCGTTATTTCAAGTAATACAGCTTTTACTTAAGATCGGCGGCAGAGAAAACTTCGTCGCCGCTCTACCGCGACGGAGCCTTCAACTTCATCGCAATTACGAATCAGGCAATAAGACAGGCCGCGCGACTTATTTGTCACGTCTCACGGAACGTGCCGTTGATAACCCCTGGTTCCACAGGCAACTCTTTGCGACTTTCCGCTAGACAATCAGATAAACCTACCTGCAAGCCAACTTAGCCCAGGCCTATAAGATGTCCTAATTGCAGCCTTCTAGCTAACAAGAGAAAGCGATCGGCATAGAAAGCAAGTTTAGTATTGGGCTCCGTATGTTACACTAGAGGCTCAACTCATTTCAGGCTCTTCGGACATCTGTCAGCATGATTCAGCGAATTGCAGTGGCCTCTATAATCAATCTTCTAGCTTCACTTAGGCCTCAAAGTTCAGGACGTTCTGGCCAACTAGGCAGCTGCTAAGTAATTGGAGTATGACGTATCTAGATATTTCGGTTCATATCACCATCGGTTCTTATCCGTTAATCACTCATCCTTCGCTGTAATGTCACGATGCTACGGAAAGGGTATCATAGTGAGGTGTGCCAATGCTACTGTACTTAGGTAGGTATTCGTCCAACTATAAAATTACACTGTGAACATCTCGGGGACGATATACTAACGGGCTGAATCATGGTAGGACTGTCAGGTAACTTTCGCCCTGCTACACCTGTGCCCGGAATAAGACAATGCTGATATGATTGGCCTCTTCTCTTGCTCAGTTTAATAGGTCGCCACACCTCCTAACTCGAACTAATCACAGCCACAACCCTCCAGCGCTAGGATACCCTAGAGATCTGCCCCATATCCCGTTCTATCCGTCTCTGTCCGTTCCTATACTTATCGTCATCGTCGTTGTTGGGTTACATACAAATTCGCCTCTAGCCTAAGGTGAAAAGTATCTAACTTTCATTCAACAAGGTCCTGTTTTGCCTTTTCGAATTTATAAACTCTTGGACTTTCGTTTCTATCAATGAAACTCGGATCATAGCGACGAGAATCTCGTTGGTAGGATAAGGATTGATGATGGGGCCGCCAGTTCCGTCTGAGTGGCACAAACTCATTTTAATGCTGCACGTCATTCCCTCTTCCACATGGTCCTTGCGCTATTCTACTTTCTGGTAACATAACAGTGTTGAATGAAACTAGAATATTTCCACACAACTAGACTCTCTCCTGAAACTCAGCGGGAAAGCTGCATGTCGCATTTAACTCACCAGACCCCCTTTTTATTTTCTTGTTCCTAGACATCTTCAACAATACCGCAATGATCATCGGGTATAGCTTTGTTTCTTGATTTCGAAACTAGTTACAAGCATGTGATTTGCCAAGCCTTTGATCTCAGATCCTGACAGGCTCGAACGGGCCGCTATGTCGAGAGATACGAGCCACACCGTTCACGCCAAGACACCATTCCCTGGTCGGTGAGCTTGTCTTCCCATTTGACGATGTCTCATCCGGGCGGTCAAGGTCATAGCTTGAGTGGATTTTCCTTCTCCACCACCAGCCACAGTCGCAACACCACCACCCGAGCACCATGAAGAGACGATCTTCTACCCCAGCGTCCCCCAGTGTGGGCTAACGCATGCAACAAAGTTTATCTACGGTAAGCTAACCCTACCTGCCGAACCGTGCGTTCTCCAGCTCTCCTACTATCCCGTCTGTCTACCTTGTAGCATCCTCGTTCGTGACCCTCCCACATCTCCATTATTCCACCACCCGTTGCGCTCGTCTAGCAACCCTCACTAAACCCTTCTTCACACCTTTTCACCGAAAGAAGCGAGCGTGATCTACTAAAACGTGATGTGGCGCATGGCGTCTATTGGTTCCTAAACATCCGAGGATACCGACGGGAACCGACAGACGCGAGATAAGAACATGGAATTTGTCTTGTCCCCGGCCTCGGAGGGGTGTTTCATCTTTCAATACACTTAAAACATCCATACACAAGTTCAAATTCAGGTCTACACCAATACGAAATAGTGATAACACATTGGGAGGGAAGTGAGAATGATTCCTACGGTAGACTGCGTTCGTATGTCCGGGTAGGTACCTACTGGGTTATCGGTGTGGCACACGGCACACAGTAATACAGTATAGCAAGTGAGTAAAGGGGGTGAACCACACATATTACACAATACACCAGCCGGCCACAGAAACGTCGGATATAGTCGGAGCAAGAATGACCTCAAACCATTACCATTGCATAATCACTGTATCAGCACACCCTACCTTCCCCTGGCGCTCGCCCGATGTCAACCAACATTCGTTAACGATTTCGTACACTCGTAAATTACACACCCCCGAACGATGACGACAGTAACCACAATCGCGGGCAAAGCACCTCCAAACCCCACGCAACGCATTACGCACGCAGGTCCAAAATCACCAGATGGGGCGACCCGTTCCGCCGCGAATGTCGCAGTCGCTTATCTGATAGAGAAAAAGCCGCTACCAGTCTCTCCTAACATAGTAATAATCACCCGAAATTTCCTCAGCATGTCTGCGCCCCTGTGCCTGCAGTGCAAGCCTCACGCGGTTCGCTTCGAGACGTTCGGCAGCCGTCTTCCGACTGCGCACCCCGGCCTGTTCTATGCGTCGCCGTAACTCGCCCGGCATGTCCGGGCCGGACAACAAGCAATCGCGAGGGAGCGGCCCGCGATCCCGCCAGATGCCGTAGTATCGCAGCGCCGCGTTGGTGCCGCGCCATCCTCGCTCCGGGTCGCCTGCGTGTTCTACGGATATCATGTCGGTGAAGCCGCGGAGTGTTAATAGCGGCATTCCCCCGTACGGGAGCTGCGCTCGTCCCGGACTACGCACGGCGACGCGGTGCTCGAAGAACCACGCTTCGCAGGCGGCTTTTAGCTCATAGTCCGCCAGGTCTTGGGGCTGGAACATGATGCTTGGTTTCAAGTTTGATTTCCCTTTACGGTTAATGATATGCGCGTTAGCATTGTGAATTGTTAGGCAACATGAGTAAGCGCACATACAGATATTATCTTCAGTTGTAAATCCATTTACTTCTAAGAAGGATGATAGCGCCTCAGGCGTAATGGTGCCCGTGCGCTGAGGGTCTAGACAGGCAAAGAAGGCAGCCAGCAAGGCCTCCATGAGTGGAGTCGCCGTGCCATCGGGATGCGATAACGGACCCCATGTTGCTGACGCCTGAGATGCGCCTTGTAGTCGAGGAGGCGGCGGTGGTGGGGTTTCACGGTACTGCTGTGATCGAGATGGATCTGGCCGGGCAGGCAGAGGAGGGTGTGCCGGACCCCGAATCTCGTAGCCGGGTGGTCGCGGCGGAATTGGAGGTGGAACATCCATAAGACCGGCAAGAAACTAGATAATGATATATCAAATACCTTTTTTCTTCGTCTTACTCATGTAAGCGTCGGCCACCCACCCCATATATACACTTTCTTCAACAGCCATATCTACCAAACTCAACCCTCAATTCAAACTCAATGTCCCAGCTGAATAACTCACCCTCCCATTCATGTTCAGCCGCAGCGACGACGAGCTGGAGTTCGCTTAACGATTCCATTCTGAATTAAGCTCTAGCTTCTTACCTAACCCGTATGGGTTCCACGAGAATGGTTCATGGGCTTAGCTACATAAAGACGAACCAGTACCGTGATGACGTTGGACCAGGGCCAAAGGATCTATCGAGTCTAGAACGCGCAGTAAGCCTCGGGAGATCTTAGCCTCGAAGTGAAGGATAAGTTAGCTTGGCTGACGATGGCTGCATTTGGGTGGCGCCAAGGCCCCTGCTTTTTAGGATCCCCCGGGAGCAAATGGTATCCCATACATATGCAGAAGCCACTGAGTGGTCTAGACCGCTCCGAATGTTCGTGAGATGCATTGGCGCCCGGCGAACCATTTGACGCGGAAATTGGGGACGAATTTGGGGTAAAAGTCGAACAGATCCATTCTACGACGGATACCGGCCTCCACGATAACGACCCGGCTACCTAGGTAGTTTTGATTATTTCTAGCACGACGTCCCTCCCGTTAGAAAAACATCCTGCTAGTCCAAGAGCAGTTGGACTTTTATGCTATATTTTTTTTCCTGCCTTTATGGGGCAGTTCGATAATGACACGCACATTTGCATGCTGTGATGTGTCTCTGCATGACTGTCGGCCAGATTTGTTTGCCTTAATCCGGGAAATGATCTTGAGGATTCCGGGCTCTAGTAAAACCTACACACGGAAGAAGACTGCATGCATATAGGCGGGTAGATACTGCAGATGCAGTAATCTATTGTGTCGGTGCCCACATGGCGGTTTGAGGGATATTGATTACTTTGTCGAGGACCCTTAACACAGTATTAATTGGGGGTCAGAAAAGATGACAGAGTATTAGGTATGGAGACACAAAGCATCGAGGTGAATTGAATAGGAAATTACCTCGTATAGCTGCTGACTGAATATATAATCAATTTACAAAGTCGAGCGAGACTTCTGAGCTTCTTTCCTCTTTTGGCTCCCGCCTCTTATTTTCCGTGAATGGATCTATGCACGAGCTCGGAAAGAGGATATGGACAAGATCATTCCGGTGGCTGCTTACATGCTGCCTGTTGTGTAATGAGTCTAATCATCGGGAGTCTTATAGCTGGGTCGCCGACAATATTCTGCCAGTTTCACAAACGCCGGTGGGCTTGATGTATCTGAGACCTGGTCTGCGATAATTCTTTATTCCTTTAATCTCAGGCCTCGTCCTCAGAATTAATCTTTCATGCCCACAGAGGACACCATTAGCGACGTCGGCTCAGAGAACACTGGGCTATACGTACGTCGTGATTCCCAATGCCGTGTTACACCACATCGGTCATCTCGATATTTTATGTTTCAATAGAAAATTTTCCTGTCGGAGTTTTGGGATAAACCAACACGGGAAATTTTACATAGGGCTCGTTTGTAACACCAACCCCCAACCCCCTCCTCTTGCTCGTCGGTTAGCTACGAGAAATACTTGGATGTCTAGAAGATTCATTCATAACCAATAAAATGGATAAACTAGCTTGTGCATCCCAAGTATCTGGCGGAGTCCTTCATCTAGGTCTCGATAGTTCCTAGCACTCCGTGTTCGCAATTGATTGAAGCTTCTCAACAACACGCCACCATCTTGCGGTTCAACCCAACCATTCAACTTTCATCAGCCTATAAGCGGTCTTCTTAAAAGCCTTGTATAACGTCGCTGATGATTGTCTTCAAAGTACCCATGATTCCTTTGTTATGATGAATAATCACAGGACTGTCTATTCCTGCCTGTGACCATGCTGGCACTCGAAGTGGCCGCAGGTGTTCACGGCAGAGATTTTCATGGTTCTAGAACCCCGCGATCCATGACACTGGTGTGATCCGTGTAACTTCACCAATTGCTAGGTAATGGTGTGGGTTGACAATTCGAGAGTCGAATACTTGGGCCTGATGTCAGTCCAACCTTTGAGAACATATCAGGAAAACGTTGGGTTCTAGATGGGCTGACGTATACCTGAGGACAAGACCATACACCCACAATCCAGGGAGTCTCTCAATCAAATGAAGCCCAGTCTGGCCGCTGTAACCATCGCAGCAGGAACAAATACATCGGGTAGCTAGTCAGCCAAGCTACAACACTCATGGGAGGAGCAATCATTCTTTCGAGGGCTCTACACGAGAACGACTCTCATCGAAGGGTGTGTAAGCAAGCCAGCAATTGCCTAAGTAAATAATCACCTTTGGTTACCTGGACAAAGTGAATGATAGTAACATGGAATCGGCCGAAATCGGGCGCAGGTTAAAACTCTCAACTTCATCGTAGACGAGCCTTAACATTGAGGCATATACAGAGCTTCAAACCTTTCGTACCTAGGTACATGTAGACTATTGACCCATATGCATCAGCACCCTGTCTTCCAGTATAGATACCTAGGTATATAAAAAGGATCTTAGGAGGTTGCTAGTAAATTGCTGTTTTAAGTCGCCTAGCTCTCAATAAAAACCCAGAAAATGAATTTCGTAGCGAAGAACCTGTGGCCTCGGTTGTGGTGAAAGAAGTATATCCTCGAAGAACGAGACCCTATATTTTCAAACGAACAAGCGATTAATACCACTATGATCATCGATGTCTATAAGTTGTGTGGTACTAGAAGATATCCAGTTGCTATTTTATAGACTCAAAACGGCAGCCGTCCCTGAGCACTCGATTTCATTAGAACATCGTATAGGGGCAAACACGACCGTATCGGAAGTTCGATAACACGTTGGACATATCAAGTAGTATAGCGGTCGAGAGCGTATACTTGAAAAAGAACTGCTGTCTATTATACTACAACGCTGATGCTAGTCTATTGAATGTCATTCCCTCTCCTTACAAAACCATACCTAGGCACCCTATATACCACGAAACAAAAACAACCGCTTTACTAGACACCAAACTCACGCTATCCTATCTTACAGCCCCAAGCACCATTCCACCAATCCCTCAAAACCTTCGATCAGGCCGGAAGATATTGGTCCCTGGAAGATCCCCATAACCAGGTACCAAAGTAGTCTCCGACCCAGGTTGAAGAGGTATCATCTGCTGTTCCAAGAGCGGTGTAACAAACAACTCAGACAGATTCTCCAAATCCGCCTTCTTCAACCTCTCCTTAGTCACATACAGCTCAGGCGGGAACCAGTTCCGTACTCTCCCACGCGGTCTCCCGGCCGATCCCTCAATAATCTTGTGATCATTCCCTTTGGCCATAACACCTAAAGCTATTCCACAAAGCCACGCCCAACTCATGCCCTCGCCGCAGTATCCAGCCGCGATCCACTCGCCAGGCTTGTGGGGGCTCATCACGAAGGCCGGGTTACTCCGATAGTCGGGTTTACGACCAGTCAGCTCCGGATCCAGTCTACCGACAAAAGGGAGACGGTCACCCGTGAACGCGGTGACGCCAGACCACTCCTGTTTATCCTGCCACCCCTGCGGGTCCTCCCAGGAGGGATCAATGACCTCCGGTATAACGTTGCGAATATGAGCGGTGGGAAGAGGGTCGACATATGTATCATCCTAGTTCCCAATCATGTTAACCCCCTTTTTTGCTTCTGAGCGAGCAAAGTTGCCGGTTAGGATAATATGGCCTGGATCTCCGTTTTTCATCGGCGTCTGCATGAAATGGTCTTTTTCTCCCTCCTTGCGCGAGTTCGACCACGATACAAAACCTTGAGTGGTACGGAATAACTGGCCTGGTTTTAACATAGTCGCGGTCTTTAGAACACCCGTCATCTTGCCGCGTAGTCCGGGTATATGATCAGTCGCAAAGGCGTTTGTAGCGTGTATGATATGATTGCACTCAAAAGTGCTTTGAGGGGTGACGACTTCGAATGTATGGAGTTTGTTCCTTGCTGCTCGGATGGTCACGACAGGCGCGTGAGTTTGTATGTAGACGAAAGCATTCCAATTTTCGGAGAGGTAGTTCTACACCTCGCTAACGAATCTGAACGGGGATATAGCTATATTTCTATAGACTAAAGCCCCTTTTATGCCTAATTTTGTTGGGAATCGCTGGGAGGTCATATTAGTAGGAGACCAGAAAGAATTAGGAAGAAATTTACCAGTTTTGCCAAATTCTCAGGCAACATAGTCATATTTAACTCTGGAACCCATTTGCTGAGCAACTTCACTTTGTAAAAAGCACTCTCGCGCTCCTTGTCTGTGTAGTAGTACTCTACAGTCATGACCCCATGGCAATCAGCATAAGTCCATTCCTTTGCCCGGCATACGTCGCTCAACGCCCGAGCGTTAGCGATTTGGAATTCTATGAGAGCGGCAGCGCGTTCGAGACCTATAACTCTTCGTAATTCGTCGAACGTCTCGTGAAGCGAGCCCAATATCCGGCCGTTGCAGCGTGCAGTAGCTCCTGAGCATAGTGATCGAGCTTCTAATACGAGAATACGTCTATACACACCCGTTCGACGACTTTCCTGTAAGAGCGCAAAAGCAACCGCGGCTGCGGTAAGGCCGCTACCAATAATGATATGCTCGGCTCGGTTCGACGGTAGTCTATCGAATTTATTGACTAGGTCTGGGAATGGTGGATTACGCATCCAGTAGGGCCGTATCGGATTAATGACTGGCACTCCAGGTGAACGGCTGGCATGTTCTAAGAGTGCTTTGTTCTCTGTACTAAGTTCTCGGAATGCCTTGCCGGCGGACCAGACGTAATTGGTTGAAGTAGATAGGATCGCGCCCATTGTGGTATTTACTCGGATTAGGTAGGTCGGATATATACAAGTGTCTGCCAGAAAAGGAAATAATGAAGAAATACATTTGAGGGTATATGATGTAATGCGTTTAATCGAAACCATCCCGATTGACTAGGTACCTATAGTCAACCATCGTGTCGTAGGAATACAGAATACGAAAGACATCTTGAATGTCCTAACAAATTCATGGAATGAGATCATTGTCCTGTCCCGACTGTGGCTTCTACATCCAGTTTGAATTCCTATCAATTATTATTATCAATTAAGGTTATCGCACCCTTGTATTTTGAGTATATTGAAATGGAAGCAACGACATGCGTGCATGCAGCATCATGAACCTTGTTGTTGACAGGGGAATCTCGGTCTAGGTACGAGTTAATAAACCGAGGCATGTGGTCCGTGTGTAGCCTAACAGAATTGGCGAGGATGCATCTAGTAGCTTCTATGCGTCTATCTACCTAGGTATTCACTTACATCGCTGGACGAAACACCAAATATTAAAATTCTAGCATTATATTTCCAGGCGCATTGAGTAGAATAAAAATCAATAAGACTTACTATCCAAAATCAATTAAATGGTGAGAATTCTTCAACAGTCAACTCTCAGACTTCTGAGCAACACTACAACAAACCAACTATACCGTCGTTACCCGCTATCACGAAAAGCCATGTCGTCAGCAGCAGACTCCAACCCCGGCGGCACAGAAAATCACGAACAAAGTGAAACCTCATCTCAGAAAACTCCGCTACCGCTCCCAGAGCCAAGCCAAGCAGGCGGCGCCACGCAACTCCCCGTAGGCGGCGAAGGAGTTCGCCTAGACCACCGTAAGTAATTTCGGCTGTTCTTTTCTTTTTCTTCCATCAAATTGCAAAATCCAAGTGCCATGCTAACACCAAAATCACTTCTTAGTGGGCCCACTAGTCGTCAACGAAGACGGAACAATGAGCCGAATCTCCAACTGGGACAAAATGGCTGAAATCGAGCGACAAAACGCGTTGCGGATCTTAGGCAAGAGAAATAAATTACGCCTCGAAGCTTTAAAAGCAAAAGCGCAGACACAAGCCTGAGGGGAGAAACCCGAGGAGCAACGATGATATACGGTGTGACTCAAAGGGCAATGTATTGATTATATAAAAAGGGTGGTGGATGGAGTGAAGCAAGCTTCACCGATAATTTACAGAGACGCCTATTATCGGGATGGCGTGATAGCTACTAAAAATGTGTACACGTACTTCATATTGGCGATCGCATATGCACGTCTGAATAGAATCAGTCCTTTTCAATATTATTTTACTGGAGCCATCTGTAGCTTGAATCTAAAATGTAGCTTGTCAGTTTGTGAATGCATATTTTGAAAATTGCATCGAATAAACCCCTCGCGATGAGCGCTGGAGACATTACCCCTGCATGCCCTAATAGTATGGAGATCGTCGAAGCGCAAAGAAACTAACGTTTAAAAGCGGTGGACCAACTATATTTATAAGCAGCCCTGGAGATTTGATATGGGGTTATCCAAGGTTAGCAGCGGATCTATCGGAATTTTTTAAACAAAAAAACGATAAGATTTTAAGCAAATGCCGGTGAAGATGCCAAGAAAATCTAGGTAACCACGGATTGGTGGAGGGAGCCTCATGTGTGCTCTTACTCACATGATGGTTTTTCTTACTATTATTGCTAGAAGCCTTACATACAGAGACAATAATGAGTGCCTGTTTGTTAGTAAAATATATAATGTAAATAACATGTAAGAATATCATATCACAGCAATAGATGGATATAAACCAAATGTGCTGTTAGGTGGTGGTTGGGTCATAAACCCATAAATCATGTATTAGGCTCGTGAGCCATTCATCGAACAACAATTGCTCTGAAAATCAGACGTGATATATCCCCGAGGCCGTCGTCCCCGACGGCGCACAACCCAAATGAATTCCCCCGTAACGCCATCATCAATGTTTCAATTGAAAAGACATCTCGTTATGCTAAACCTTCTATGAGGCCTTCTCGCCTTCTGTCTTGGATTTGCTTTCTGATTCTTTGGCGCCGGGTACTTTCTTATCATTATGCTTTTCCAATAACGTGGATATAAGCGTGTCATTTCCACCTGTCTTCTCCATGACAAGTTCTCTTAACCATTTATTTTCGGTCTCTAGAGTTTGAATGCGACCTTCGAGAGAACCGACTTTATCGCTGAGTTCTTTCTCTCTCTTCTCGAGTGCCTGCTCGCGAGCCTTCTTCTTAATGCGAAACCTTGCGCTGGCGGCAGTATTCCGCCTCCGCTTGTCCTCTTCTGCGGCTAACCGCGATTGCTCCTCGAAGGATAACTGTCGGCGCGGCGGAGCAGCGGTAGCGGGATCAGCAGACTTTCGCTTCTCGCCCGACTGCGGAATCGACGGGCCGTAAGCGCTTTGTGGCGAACCATTTGAAGGGAAATTTGGCGAAGGTTGAATTGGTTGCAGGTTTCCCAAGTTGTCTGGAAATGCTGAGACGTTTGATGTGGGATAATGAAAATCAAAGCCGTTGAAGTCGCCTGAAGACATGACGTGACGTTAAAACTTGTGACCCAATTGACAAATACAAAACAGACGAGTAACAAAACTTTTCTGAGGTGCTAAACATCATCGATGACGACTTAGTCTCGGAAAGAGGATATAAGATCAAGCCATGTTGCGAACTCTCGACAACAGGCTTGGTGGATTGGGTTTGTCCTTTGATCTCGACGACCTTCCCCAGATCACCTAAAGATCACGGGATATTGCACCATAGCTCGATTGCGCCATCGCAGGGGATTCTTTCGTGAGCTTAGCGTGCTTTCGCACGGTACACACCTAAACCACCGATCGCTGCAGACCAAATGCAACAAGGGGCAGTCCGAACCAATCACGGCACCAGCAAATAGAAATGCATAGTGGGGCGCCAGGCATTATGAACTGAGGGCCAAAATGCGCGATAAGACGAGGAACTCCGCTTGGTTGATGCCACCCCCGTCCTTGTTCCCATCCATCTTCCACTGACTTGGGGGTGTCGCTGCAACAAGGCCGCCGCGCGCCCACTGCCCACTGCCCACTCACACAGCCCATAGACGATTGGAAGGTAGACGGAGCGAATGCCAGCCAGACCAACCAAACCCAACCAGGCACGAACAGTTTTGTGAGCAGGTAGCGAACGAGGCTGTTATTGAGGACCCTTCCAACATTACACAAGCCATTGCGCAACGCCGCATCGCAATTATCAATGCGGGGAACAATTTGGACAAAGAAGAAGAAAAATCACCAGTGTTCAGTGTTCGATTCCGATATGGAAAAATGACCAAAAATCGAATATGAAGTAAAACAGAAGATAAATTCAGAAGAGAGAAAAGAACAATTCTTTACTAACCTTGTAAATTGTTGGGTAGGTTGAAATCAAACCCCGTTAAATCTTCTGCCATGGATCCTTCGTCTGTAGGCGACGTAGTCGTCTGTGTGTCTACATTCGAAGATTGTTGCCGCTGTTGCTGTTGCTGTTGACTCTCGTTTGCGTCCCAATCCATGAAGTGTGTATTGGTGAACATTGCGAGCTCGTCGTCGAGACTTCGCAAGTTCTCCTCCGATACTGCGGGCGGTTCTGGAACCCTGTTCAAATCCTGTAATAACTGCGACACATTCACGGCCTGGCCGCGTCGGCTGGAATAGTTCGGCGGCATCTTTTTTTCGAAGTAGATACCAACTACTTCTTAGATTGCCCGTGTGAGCGAGCTCGTTTGTGATGAGACTTCGATAGGATCGAATCGATATAATATGACTAAACTCTCGACCACTACTACTCTGATAATAATTTTGAGTATAGCAGTGAGTGGCGATACGCTTGCCGATATATTGGTAGAGTTAGGTAGTTGAGAGAAAAAGGTATCTAGAGGAAAGATAATAACGGCGGGTTGAGTAGTTTGGTGGATGTAAAAAAAGAAGTGGTGCTAATGGTGGAAGTATGTATTGGATGTATGTACTTTTTTCAAAGTTGAGGTGGGTCAAAGGGCCACCGGGACGAAAGCGCAAGTTTGTTCTCTGGCGCCGTTAGATAGATATGGCCGATTTTGACCGATGAAAATGGTACTAAATAACAGCTGACGCTCGGTTGACGTTTAGGGAAGAAAAAAGGCAAAAAAAGAGGTGTCGCCCCGCCGAACCCCTCTTTCTTTCTCGTATGGTATTAGTCAGTTAACAAGATGGTATACAACTCTTATACATTCTTCTGTAAGGAATAATCAATTAAATAAATTTAACAATAATAAAAAACAACAACTTCACGATCAACCGGAGAGTATTGAATGATTTAAGAAATTATTATCTGATTTCCCAGTTCCAAGGTTGGTTCTTTAGTATCCATGTACTGTACATAGACACGCGTACCCCTAGGCCAAACTTCCTCTCGCGATCCTAGACCCGAGTATACCTTAAGTAGTATTTCAGCCCGGCGTTGAGTGGATGGCTTCCAGGGCTATTAGTCAAGTAAATTGACTCTGACCAATCAGAGTTAACCTAAAGACTAAAGACTTCCCACACAACCCACGCGCCCGCATGTATTTCTACTAAAAACCCCCACTACACAGCGTCTGTAGCATATGTCTGGAACTATTTGGACCCTGACTATCCTGCTTCTTGCATGTGTTCTTCATTAAATGGAAAATAGAAATCCTGACCTATTCCCGACTTGCGTTTCTACCCGTTCTATACTACTCAATTACTCCTCAAACTGCTCCACCCCTCGATGCATGGATATTCTAGTGCAGTTATGATGCGGCGATGTTAGTGGATAGGTCCCCTTTTTGATTTTCTTTGACCAAACAGTATTATTTCTATGCTTAGAAATACAGTTACCAAACCAATAAGAGGGGAAGATGGGTTATGGAGATGTAGAAGCGCCAAGAATGTGGAATTCCCCGTTTGGATGCCAATACTGCAAGGACTGCATGTCTTAGGAATCTATTCTACGATGTTATCGAGTAATTTTCGTGACTTCGTACCTAGGTATATCCCTATACCCAAGAGGTATATATGCATCAATGGATGGGATGCTAACTTTTTTCTTTGTATGGGTGGCGAGTGGGATCGACAGTTCTATGATGGTATGATCTGAATATGATCTCGAGATACTTACAAGGAAAATGACAGATCCACGCTCCCGCTACAATGATTCTTGACGTCAGTTTTGTAGCTATACACTTCTTACATACGTTACACATGTATCTTACCATCCCTCGCCAAACCTCGAGAAAGCGACCTCCGGTTAACTTGTAGTACGACACCATCAATGCCGACTCGACATCTAGGGGTAGGTAGTAGTATTAGCACATAGAATGAATAGGCGAATGTTAGGTTAGTATTCCGGATCTGCCTTTTCAGGGACATGGCTATTCATAACAACATAACATACACAAGCAATGCAAGTGTTGCTTGCTTTATGCTGCACCTTACCCATGAGACCCAAAAAATGGAATGGATACCTAGATACATCCCGCAAAATTCCGCCAAGGGGTGTGGGATCCGTTATCGGGTAACGTGGATTGGCGTGGGGTGGGCGAAAGGGCATACGGCTATTCGGTGTCTCGGCATTGTAATTGATGCTGATTATTAATATTGTACAACGTGAGCATCTGCGGGTTCCCTTAAACGGAAGTCGAATCTCAGGTAAGATTGTTAGTAAGTCATGTACAGTTGTAGTATGTATATAAAGTGTGCATCTTTAATTGATCACAAAATGAAGTTTCTATGTTGATTAGATGCAGGTAAGGCTCAATAGAAAGTCTTATTTCATAGCACGTGTCTATGTGAAGTAAGTGTGGGAAAGGGCGCTTACTAAAGTTGATTATGTAACCTCACAACTGGCGGCCAGCTGAAGCTTAATGCTATCTCCCCACTAAGATTGATATCGAATTGTAACAAACAATAATCATCATCAAATTATCTTTAGGGTTGTAATAATGTGTTTTTTTCTTCTCGAGTAATATGAACTTTTAATCGGGAAAATGCAATAGCAGCTATATTTAATTGGCTTCTAATTGGCTCAACATCGCAAAAATACCTTAGTCGGATGAGGATCGCGACAACTTCCGACGCGTCGCGTGTCGACCCTCAATCCACCGCGAACATTAATATTAAGTAATCGTAAAGTACAACTACGACTACAGCTGCGATACTCAGCTAGGAGAGAAAGGAGAAGACAATTAAAACCGCAATGGCACGCCTGTCATTACCGACGACGGCTCGCCTTGCCTCGGCATTACGAGTCGACCCTGCGAACAGCACCGTAGTCAAAACACTGAATCGTCTCTCGCGACCATCTCTCTTATCACTTGTCCTGGATTGGTTAGACGAAAGGAACCTGTCTCTATGCCCTCCACTTCTACGCCGACCAGACGCCTCCGATGATGAAGACGAAGATGATTTCTACCCACCTGCGCAATCACTCGAGGAGCTGCGAGAGCTCTACGAAAATATGCAAGAGCGAAAAGGTGGTCGGCGCGAAGTAGTCGACCGGATATTGGAAGGCGACTGGCGCTACGGGCTCAGTCTCTACCAATTAGCAATGGCCGACTTACAATACCTATACGACCACCCTGGTAGTCTCAAATGGACCGCATATCGCATCCAACGACTCCAAACCCCAGCCCACGAAGACGACGCCGACCGCCCAGAAAAGGCGGACCAGGAATCCCTCTCCGTCCCACGCTTCCACCCCTCCACCTTCCTCCAAAACCTCCAAGCCGAAGTCCTCCCCGACGTCAAGGCGCACTATAACTTCGACCGACCAAAAGGCTTTCCCCTTCTACTCCTGCGAATATTTATAATTGACTCGCCCTATAACACCGACTTAGCGGTCTCAACGCGCCACCGCGGACGCCCAGGCGTTAGTAATAGTAATACCAACGCAACGACCAGCTTCGATACCTCACGCACGATATACATCGCCTTCCCCGACGCCTCGCCACACATGTACATATCCAAATCCGCCGCGTCGGCAAGTAGCGCTGCATCTTCAGGCGAAGCAAAAAGCCTACGCGCTCTTGTCGTCGAGGGGATACCGAAAGCGTTATCGCGGCCCCGGGAACGGTATGCTTTAAAAGCGACGAATCTTACTACGAAGAACCTTACCGCGATGTTAGCGGTTAAGGGCGCGGGGCGCACGAATGCGGCTGGAGGGGGGTGGAGCGTGTATGCTGGTACCGAGGTCGCGGATTTAAAAGCGGATAATCCGCTGCAGACCCTGTTGCCTACGCCGCCGTTGTCCGATGCTGATGCGGATGCGGATGAAGAGGGTGATGGTGCGCGGAAACGGAAGAGAGTTGATCTTGATACTGATCCCAAGGACACCGAGTATGAGGGACAGATCAAGAGTGCGAGGAAGGCGGCGCAGGCAAGATTTGGAGATGCGGCGAAGGTGGATGATGGGAAGGGGATTGAGAGGTTGGATGTTATCATTGAGGATCCGTTTCCTACTGATGTCGCTAGGTCGTTAGGGGACGAGGATGAGGATGAGCGGGATAGGAGGAGAGATGATGATCCAGCTGAAGCAAGGCGCAAGTCGAAGGGTCGGAGGAGTACCCTTGACTTGAGTATCTCAGTCGATGGGCAAGATGATGAAGGTCGGGAGGAAGCGACTTGGGCACCACGGGTTAAAATATCATTTCATGGCTCTCATGTTTTCGCTGGTATGCGCCAATTAGTCGAGGCAGGCATCGTGGATGGTGGGAAAATGCCTGGATGGATGACGGGTGAGGAGGGCGTCACGATTGGTGCTGTACGGCATGGCAGGATAAAAGGCTTTAAGGGCTCAGGGGTATGATCTATTATGATGCTATAGCTATTTTTCTATGCTTCGTTACCTACTGTGGGCGGAGCTATTGCGCTGGGAAACATGCATGGGTTGGGGCGTTCTTCTCTTCACGGCTAGTGGAAATGGATACATTTCGGATAGGTATCTTACCTTGATATACCCCAATGAAGTACCTCGAGGTTCACCTGCAAATGAAAAAAAATTGGTATGACACCCTTGAAATCAAAGTCTTTTATCTATGGCATTAATCGTTCTTCTAGTGTACCGTCCCATCTATTCATCTACCGGGAAGACCTTAGTTGTATTCCGCCAAGCCGCCTCACATACATCTTGCACCGTAACGCCCTTAATACCAGCGACGATCTTACCAACCCGCTCGATCATACAGGGCTCATTGCGTCCTTTTATCATAGCGCCCTCAACCCACTTCTCCTTTTTGACAACTTTGAAGCGCTCCGGGACTTCGGGTTCCTTTTTCTTGGGCTTCTTGGATTGCTGCTGTTGTTTGCCCTTAGACTGTTGTTTTACTGGTTCTAATGGGATGTCTCTAGTGGCGGGGGTATCAGTTCCATTTGCAGTTGTAGCAGCACTTGGGTCCGGTTTGGGTGGCTCAATGAGATGCTTCCAACCCTCGTGGCTAGGTCGGACTTCACACCAGGGGCCATCGGTCTCGAGCATAAGGCGATCGAGGGGAATCTCGCGTACCACGGCGCAGTTCTCAGCAGTCTTAAAACTGCAGCCATTGGTACCTATATATAGGCCTAGGTCAGCTAATTCCCGCATCTCTTCCGCGGTGCCTGTGAAGCTGTGGACAACGGCGCCGCGCTCGAGACGTTCGAGGCGCGGGCCGAATTTGTCCTTTAGTAGGCCTACGAAGTCGGCGTGTGCGGCACGTGAGTGTAGGAAAAGCGGTAATTGTGGCTTTAGGGATGCGGCGAGATCGAGTTGCGCGGCGAAAGAGTGTAGTTGTATCTTCTTGGAGCAGTAGTGTAGCCGGTCGTAGTCTAGCCCAAATTCGCCGAAAGCGACTAGCGGACTCGGACCAGTGCCATTGCTCCGTACCTGCTCGATTAGATCCCGGAGCTCGCCGATGATTGATTCCGTTCTCCCGGCATCAGGCTCGTCGTCTTCTGGGATAGGTTGGGATGGGTCCGGATCACAGGGCATGGTATGCCCATTTGTATCTATATGGGAATGTGTTGTGCTGAATATGGCACTAGAGCAGGGGTGAATTCCGGCGGTTGTGTATACGATGTCGGCTTTCATCTAGTTAGCTTCTGTTATGCCCTATCGGCTTATATAAAACTTACGATATTGTTCGGCTATCTGGAGAGCATGTCTGGAGGTTGTGAAGTCGGATCCTGTTATGATGAGTTTATGACAGCCAACCTCCCGGGCTCTTGATATAACGGCGCTTAAGTCATTAGGATGTCGTTGAGTGCCATGATATTGGCCTCGGAATATTGGATCTGCGAGGTTGATACCGATCTAGAATGTATCATTAGTGAATGAGTAAGTTGATCTAGGAAATGGAGCGTGGGAGCACATATATTATTCTTAAATGTTGATATGGCTAAAATGAGATAATATTGGGGTTTGGCTTACATCGATATATCGTGGGCTATAGGCTGACTCATTTTCTGAGGGATAGGCCGATACGGAACCCCCCCTCTCTGAAGCCATCCTAGGGGAAGACATATGTACACTTCTAATAGAAATTGTAGAATTTAGTAGGTAGTTTGCACTTCGTTGTGCGATACGGAAAATGATGGTTCTTTGGGAGAGCATGAAAGATGGAATCCCTCAACGATGCCTCACTTTTATACCCAATTCTTTCATACCCTGGTACTCAGATTCATACTCTTCGATATATTATTTGCCTCGCTTGCCAGTTTTAGTTCGCAAAATATGGCTTAGATAGAACACAATGAGTCATCCTTTGGTGTTTATGAGAATCCTGGTGTGCTTGTAATGAAGATTGATGATTTTGGATGTACCTAAGTACCGCAATCCAAGGTATGCCAATTATGATATTATGTAAGCATGCGTTTATTCACGTGCTTTCGTGGAGTCGCAGCGGGATTGACAGGGGGTTGGTGTTTAGCGTTACACAAGAGTCATAAATGCTGCGTACTACGTATGAATAACAGCAATCCTTTGTTGAATAGTGAAGCAATTAATGTAAAGCTTGATTGTATGTGAAAATGATATATCATCTATGGATCTAATCTGATAATCTAATCGAAATTTGAAAGCATTGCTTTTTTTTTTTTTGCCTACAAATTTGGGGGACGCACGTACATATGTACTTATATCTGGGGATTGGCCAAGGATGGCACAAACTCAATTGGATGGAAATGCGGGGCAAAGAAAGACATAGGACAGGGGTTTAAATGGGATAGAAAATGCAAGCACTTAAGCTCTATCAGAATGAGAACATGAAAACACTCAACAAAATACTGCAAACATAAAGAGAGAAAAATGATATCGTCAGATAAAAGTTGTAGGCGGGTTGGATATATCGTAATTAGGCAGACACAAAACAAATGAGTTTAATAAGAGAAAGTAAGACTCGACAATACGCACCCCACATCCGATTCCTTCTACAACGTAGAACCAGCCCCGCGACGCGTTGAGTGGTTTCCCTTAGCAGAGAGACATGGGACTAATTAAGGATTACCGAGCAACAAACGGCCACTTGCTGAATAATTCTCAAGTGGTCGCAGCTGTTAACGGTCCCACCACCCAAGGCTCTTTCCCTCTTAACTGGACAGTTACTTCGGTACAGCTGTCTAGCGGCGAGGTTTAATTGTTCCGAGATTCATGGATCAGTGTTTTTCTTTACGCGCTAAAGTGGAAGACGCGCTAGCGATTAACAATTTACTAGCAGACCGCGTTTTCTACATAAGAATCCACTCCGCTCAATGTCTCCCTTCCCAAAAAAAACATCTTCCATTCAACATCAACCACAATAGGCCATAATATCATAAATCATACATTACATCTGCATGCTTCTTGCATACAGATAGTTGTGGCTTGGTATCAATTATTCTAATTGATTAATACCTATTCATACCTTTTCCTCAGTTGCTTCGTTGACATATTTTTCCACTTCTCCGCCACTCTCCTTTTTTCTTCTCTCGGGTCCTTCGCACCCCGACCTTCACGATGTATGTCAAAAAGCGTGGTAAGTAGTATTCTAAATCCCCTCTACTCTATAAATATACTAAGAATGAGTAGATGGACGCCAGGAGCGCGTTCAATTCGACAAGATCACAGCTCGTGTCTCGAGGCTATGTTACGGTCTCGACACAGACCATGTCGATCCTGTTGCCATTACGCAAAAGGTCATCTCCGGTGTTTACGGAGGTGTTACCACGGTACAACTCGATGATCTCGTGAGTTCATCTGGGTTCCAATTGGACCCAATTGCTTGCTAACTAAATATAATCTACAGGCAGCCGAGACCGCCGCGTACATGACCGTTACACACCCCGACTATGCCATCCTAGCTGCACGTATTGCCGTGTCCAACCTACACAAGCAGACCAAGAAGCAATGGTCTTCTGTCATCAGTGATCTCTACCACTATGTCAACCCCAAAAATAGGAAGGCTTCTCCTATGATTTCTAAGGAAACATATGAGTGTGTTATGAGACACAAGGAGGACTTTGACTCCGCTATCGTCTATGACCGAGATTTCAACTACCAATACTTCGGTTTTAAGACTCTAGAGCGATCTTATCTACTCAAACTCAATGAGAAGATCGTAGAGAGACCGCAGCACATGATCATGCGTGTAGCTGTCGGTATCTGGGGTGATGATGTAGAGAAGGTCATTCAGACGTACAACCTCATGTCGAGCAAGTACTTCACGCATGCTTCTCCCACACTGTTCAACGCAGGAACGCCCCAGGCACAGCTGTCATCTTGCTTCCTTGTCGACATGAAGGATGACAGCATTGAGGGTATTTATGACACTCTCAAGGCTTGCGCCATGATCTCCAAGATGGCTGGTGGTATTGGTCTTAACATCCACCGCATTCGTGCTACTGGTTCGTACATTGCTGGCACAAACGGCACCTCGAACGGTATTGTACCCATGCTCCGTGTCTTCAATAACACTGCAAGATACGTAGATCAGGGTGGCAACAAACGCCCTGGTGCTTTTGCCATCTACCTTGAGCCTTGGCACTCGGATGTATTCGAGTTCCTAGACCTCCGCAAGAACCACGGAAAGGAGGAAGTCCGTGCTCGTGATCTTTTCCTCGCTCTCTGGATTCCTGATCTCTTCATGAAGCGCGTCGAGAAGAATGGCGAGTGGACTCTTATGTGCCCCAACGAATGCCCTGGCCTAGCCGACGTCTATGGTGATGAGTTTGAGGCTTTGTACGAGAAGTATGAGGCCGAAGGTCGCGGTCGCCAGAAGATCAAGGCCCAGAAGCTATGGTATGCCATTCTCGAAGCTCAGACCGAGACTGGTAATCCCTTCATGCTTTACAAGGATCACTGCAACCGCAAGAGCAACCAGAAGAACCTTGGTACCATTCGCAGCTCAAATTTGTGCACTGAGATCGTGGAGTACTCGGCCCCCGATGAGGTGGCTGTTTGTAACTTGGCTTCTCTTGCCCTGCCGTCATATGTTGACTACAACGAGGGTGTTTACGACTTCCAGAAACTTCATGAGGTTACCCAGGTTGTCGTCCACAACCTGAACAGGATCATTGATGTCAACTACTATCCCGTCCAGGAGGCCCGCAACAGCAACATGCGCCACCGTCCCATTGGTCTTGGTGTCCAGGGTCTTGCCGATACCTTCCTTGCACTACGCATGCCTTTCGAGTCGCCGGAAGCCAGACAATTGAACAAGCAAATCTTTGAGACAATCTACCACGCCGCTTTGACTGCATCTTCCGATATTGCCAAGGTTGAAGGTGCCTACTCTACCTATGAGGGCTCTCCTGTCTCGCAGGGTATCCTCCAATATGACATGTGGAATGTCACTCCATCTGATCTCTGGGATTGGACGAGTCTAAAGGAGAAGATCAAGCAAACTGGTGTACGCAACAGTTTGTTGGTTGCGCCTATGCCCACAGCCAGCACCTCCCAGATTCTGGGCAACAACGAATGCTTCGAGCCTTACACTTCGAACATTTACTCTCGTCGTGTCCTTGCTGGCGAGTTCCAAGTTGTCAACCCCTGGTTGCTAAAGGACCTTGTTGACATGGGTCTTTGGTCCGATGGCATGAAGAACCGCATCATCGCCGAAGGTGGTTCGATCCAAAACATCCCTAACATCCCTGCGGATATCAAGTCACTTTACAAGACCGTTTGGGAGATCTCTCAGAAGACTGTTGTCCAGATGGCTGCCGACCGAGGTGCTTTCATTGACCAATCTCAGTCACTCAACATCCACATGAGAGAACCCACAATGGGCAAGATCACTAGCATGCATTTCACTGGCTGGAAGCTTGGCCTGAAGACTGGCATGTACTATCTCCGCACCCAAGCTGCTGCGGCACCCATCCAATTCACCGTAGACCAAGAGGCTCTCAAGGTTGCGGACTCGAACGCAGCTAAGTCAGGCATGCTCAAGAAACGAGCTCCCCCTGGCAACTACAACTCTTCCGCTTCTACCAGCCTTTCTAGACCCGTATATACCAAGCGAGAAGACTCTAACAACAGTCTGGCTGCGCCGGCTCCTAACGGGATCCCGACGCCCAGTACCACCCCTCCCCCAGTTGTAGAGGTAAAGGCAGCTGCTAGACCAGTTGCCTCGCCGAACAAGGCCGTGCCTTTCAAGGCGGATGTCGAGGAAGGCGAGAGTCCTAAGGCTCTAGCCACAGAGCCATCGGAGAATGTGAAGGCGGAGCAGCTACCTGAGCCAGCTATCGACGCACAAAAGTCTCCTGGTCAAGATGAAGACAAGGCGGACAAGAGCAAAGAGCGTGAGTATGACATCTACGCTGATGCCGTCCTAGCTTGTAAGTCCAAATAACCGGATCCCTTCTAAGATAACTTACTAATAATTGCATAGGCAGCATCGAGAACCCCGAGTCTTGCCTGATGTGCAGTGGTTAAAACATCCTAATGATGAAAGAAGTGATGAAGATACGTGGCTGACGATGGACATAATGGAAATTCAGTTGCTTATGACCCTGGTCTGCCTGGCGCACTGCTAGGGCCTGATGGGGAGAGCAACACAATAAATGCTACGCATCAATGCGATTGTATAATGATTTAGGGTTAAGGGGCTTTTCTTCAGTTCCTGCGCATGGGTTTGATGACTTCCGGAGTTTTCATAGTCAGTTCTTCCGACGCATAATTTGCGTTATCACGATGCCCTTCAGCGCATTTAGTACCTAAGTAGCGGATAGTGTCCGCTGCTTTTCTACTTAGGAATAGATCAATAAAAAATGATAATGAATACATGTCTCGCTGTTGTGTGACGATGCAAAATAATTATATTGTTAGTACTAGACTGGATCAGCTAGGAACATATTGATGCTTATATCTACCTACTTCAGGGAGGATAAGACCATCAATCTAGACGATATGAGCATATTAAATTTACCCTCCTATGAAAATTGAGGGATTATTTCCTAACGCGCAGGTGGAAAATACAAGAGAAATTGCAGGCCTTGCCTAGGTGTAGCAAAATAGTGTTTGTCGATACAAGAAAGAAAAAAATCATCATTTTGGCTCATCGTCGAGGTTCACCCAGTGGACACCAAATACTAAGGGACCAATTAATCAAACCAGACGGTAATTCCGGGAAGACCGTAGAATTTTAGCAGGCGAAACACGCGTCCTACAAAATTCGGCGAGACATCACATGAGAAAACACCGGATATGTCTCACAGGATTCCCCTTTTTCCTTGTGTTACCTAGTTGCTCAATGCGATTCTTTTCTTTCATCCGGGGGAATTAGGTTACCTCACCCAACCTCCAGTAATATTCGGTAATAAATTTCAATCGCAAGCCGTTGGTCTCCATCGGAACTCCCAGCCACGCATATACATATAAATTTGCAGTCTAATCTGAAAGGCAGATTCCGGTGAGACAAATAAACTGCGTGATAAGGCGTCGATGACGGTGGTGGAGCCAATGATATGGGCGCACGGCCTGAGTCATGGAACTAGTGGCTTCTGCTGTCTACGTAATTGAGTAGGGCCAGGATTTTTCGCACCGGGAGGAGGTTTAGTGCTTCCGTCCTCTTTGTGGTACACATAGCAGGCCGCCCGAAGTGGAATGGTTGGCAAGCAACATTGGGGAAGATTGGTTTCTTGTGTGTGTATGTCGTACGAAGAGTTGTGCAAATTTCCAGGTGTTTCACTTGGCGAGGGTGTTGTTTTCTTCCTAGAGATCATTCTTAGTCCCTACTCTTTTTTGAAAAAAGGAAATCTGATTGTGGTGATGGTTATGGTAGAGAGTTTGTTGGTAATAATGGTTGGCGATTTATGTATGTGATGGAATTCGCTGGCATCGGATGAGTATACTTTGTCGATCTGATCAGCCCCACGGGACCGATATTGATGGCTGGAGACGGTGAGAAGCCGCGTAGCTGGGTCTAACTAGGCCAAGGACGGGAGCAGTTCCTCGGGTGACCAGTGACCACAGAGGAATAGTAGGCTTGCATAAAATTGTAGGCCACGGCACTGGGTCACAGCGGGACGATTACCGCGCAGTGACTATTTTGTGACATCAATGGACGTCTGCCACTAGGATGGCCGGATCGGATCGATGGGTTTCCAACTCGGCAGTAGTAACTCCGAACCTGCTTTTTCTTTTTCTCGTGTTTGTTTGTTTCTTTCCTATACTAAATGGGGAACTATTATTCGATAAACCAATAGCAGGTTCAGTTAACAGCCTTCTTATAATATATGTGGTTGTATTATATAGGCGGTTACAAGAAAAATATTCATAATGCAGGGAACTGACCTTGAAAGTTGAACTTGTTCCTTGAACCAGGAACATCCGCAGCTGCGTCCGATGGTTGTTTTTCCAAGGAGGGGAAAGCTGAACTGGCTGAAAGGATGTAAAGAGCTGGTGTGGGGCGGGATCTTAAGCAGGGATTACCTTGAAAGAAGCAGGGGTTTTGCTTCCACTCTCCTATTGGTTTAAAAGGTTATGACATCAATCGTCATTAGGGTAGGTTGAATGGGCCAGTCCTTTGTTCAAAGTAATCAATTGTGGGCCAAGGACTTAAATCTAATATTCCTTCCATGGGCTACATTTGGACGACCTAAGTAAGAGCGATACAGACGCTGAACTTACGGCTTAGCTGCGAACGAATTTCATAGTAGGAGCCCTCTCTTATGCTGTGGGTAGGTCCACGGCACAACGGCTAACGGCACTAGGGATACAAGTAACAACCCAGTTCATGTGGTAATCTAGCGAAACTTGCATTGGATAGCTTGATGTGGGTTTGGCCAATCAAATCGCTAGAACAGCATGTCCAGCTATCCATATGCAGTAATTACCTTGGTTGGCTGGTCGATTAGCTAGGTCCCTTACAGGGAGCTTAATGTCCGTTGCCCTTGAACTTCAGAGCTATTCTTCTTCCAGAATTTTCTTGCTTTCCCTCACCGACAAGCTACCATAACATCATTGAATCCGATCTCAGATATCTGAATATGGTATTGTCCAAACAAAGGAAAATCCATCGAGTCGCTAGCTTGTTTGCGGTATTAAATACAAGCTGCTTTATTCAGTGAATTCTACTGTGGTTGGGAAAGCTCACCATATTCTACAGATGGTTGTAGACCTAGATGGAAAATACAAGTAGAGTACTAATAGATATTACTATAAAATGAAATGGACTAAGTATCTGGTTATACTGTTATTCTATACCTACCTAGGTACAAATGTATAGCAGAACCGTTGCTAATGAAACCATAGTACCAAGTATGTACCCGCGGTGGTTAATGTTGCTCATGCATTAACACTCATCGTTCGTTCGTTCGTTCGTTTCCGTACTCAGTCCACTAGAATTTGACGTTCCCTCATTCGGTCAGGCCCATACTAGACGTAGACAAATACGAGCCCGTTACCATCTGCTAGAGCCCGTAAACGTCAATGAGTTCATCGAAAATTCTGCTCTTCTTTGTCTAGTTTGACTACCCGATCTGTCAGGATTTCTCCATAAGCAAGGCAGCTAGATTGTTCCCACACAATGATGCAAAGCCGGTATGGGCCGTCCAGTCCCGTGCCAAGTATACTAAGCTACGTTTCTGGTAATGTGGGTCAAGCTCACAACTTGACAGTACTGACTATCATGTTGCTAGTGTTAGTATTAGCAGTGACTACATGTAACTAGTGAGGATCAGTAAGGAGTACTAGAAGCTATAATATTTTGTAGATCGGTAGATCAGGTACACACATAAGTAGATGAACAAAGAATTACCTGAAGCTCGGGGCATCGTGCTATGTACCTACCTACACGTATGTGGTAGGTAAGGTACTTCCATCCGTTGTAGCAAGCAGTTAAGCAGTACACAACCTCAAGGACCAATGGGCAATAATTTGCAAGTGGAATAGGTACAGTCCTTGGCTCCTGCATTGGATACACGCATGTACACATGTTGACGGCAAGTGCTCCTGACGTGTGAGTAGTTTAGTGCCCAAACAGGTTACACAATACCCCAGTACGTACCGAAACTATAACAATCACCTGCATGAGCTATTCCACAACCTCGATTTCCCTGGGTATGACTTAACCTGCCAAGTCAAATATTTATTTAACTGACTGAGAAACCGACTCTCACGTTTGTTGTTTCTTTGCCGATTTTCCATTTATTGATCTACCGCTCGCAAGAAAGCAGTTACGATCACCAACAAGCAGAGGATATCTGAAACTACCGTCCTTCGTCAAATTTCGTCTTTACTTTCTTGCCTTTAAATTCAGGTCAACGACGACAGGAACTCAACTTGCACAAGATCGTCAACTTGATATCATACTCTTCGGTAAGCAGACACTTTTATCCTCCTCTAATTATTGTCCATACACCTATACCTACACAATTACCAAGCATCCACCTTCACATTGCCACATCAATTTCCTACCTAACTTATACGTGATACCTTCATATCTATCATCAACCCTTCCAAAACCGATCACCTCTCCAGGTGGACATTGATCACCACCCCATATCTTCGTTTCGTGTCTTACATGACACAAGCACATACACAACCGAACGAAATTGCCATCCTAGACGGAAATTCAGGTGCGATTTCCTTTCACGTAAAGACTAGCATCGTACCTGCTTGTTGATACCACCTGCCTTCCTGTTTTTATTCCACGGAAAGAAACACAAAACTGTCTCCTCTTTTTCCCCAGCATCAAGACTCCGTTTCCTTTCTTCTTTTCCTCACAAAATTTCCCACATTCACAGATTCAACAGCACATCCATCTTCCACAAACATCACAACCGCAATCTCCATTTCACCCACACATCTTCACAATTTTGCACACTTTTTGAGCATCAATTTTTACAATCTTGTGCCGACAGCAATTCTTACCATTCTTGACAGACAATCCAACCAACTAACCGCCTCAGAACGCTCGATAATTCGTATTCATCACCGTCCAAGATGAAGACTTCTGCGATCCTCGTTGGCGCCGGCGCAGCTTTTGCCGCTGCTCAGAGTGTCACATTCCCTGACGGCTTTCCCAAATGTGGCGTAAGTTATTCATACTCTGTATTTCCTAATTCCTGTAATGTTGTCCAAGCAAATCCTGGATATTGCAATGAATCATCACAATCGATACTGACTTCCCATGCTCCAGAGCGACTGCGTTCAGAACATGTTGGGCCAGGCTTCCGAGCTTGGCTGCGGTAATGATATTACCCCTACGTGCCTTTGCACCAAACAGAACTTCATATACGGAGTTAGAGACTGCGCTACGGAGTCCTGCGGAGACCAATCAGTGGCTCAGCAGGTCATCCAATATGGCAGCCAATACTGCGCTAGTACGTCTCCTACAGCACGATGTCATTAAGTTGTGGTGTCGTTTTGGTCATGCTAAGTGCCCGTCATAGGTGTCGCGGTCGCCATTTCTGGGGCTCCTACTCCTGTAAGTAGCAATTATGTTGAAATGATATGGAGTTCAACTAACTGATTCATCTCTAGACTGGTCAGAACCCTTCCGCAACCACCACCGTCATCGCAACTGCTTCCGCAACACAGACCCCAGGCGTAAGGCACCAAATATTATATTTCTGCTTTTGTTCAATTCATACTAATAATTCTTAGGGTTCTCAAGGAGCGAGTGGCTCGGGCAGTTCGAGCGCAACCGGTTCCTCGGAGTCTAACCCTACGGCCACAAACTCTGCCTCTGGTAGTGGTGCGTCTGGAACTGGTGTTGGTGTTGGTGGATCTGTTCCTATCTCAACTGCAACCTTTGACACCACAATCACCAATAGCGAAGGCACCGTTACCTCTGCTGTCACTAGTATTGTATACTCAGCTACTGGTTCTGGTACGGAGTCTGGTTCGGCGTCTGGATCTGTCACTACTGGTGTGATCGAGTCGACTATTACCACTAACGGCTCGACGTTGGCGACTAGTGTCACTGCCACTGGCCCAGCGAGTAGCGCCACATCTGAAGGAGGTAGTGAATCTTCTTCTGGTCCGGGTGGTGAATCATCTGCTTCATCTACCTCTTCGAATCCTGCGCAACGTACCGCAGCACCGGCCGGTTTCATTGCCGCCGCGGGCCTGGCTGCTTTAATGCTATAGGCGACGCGATGAGTTTAAGTTGAATTTGGCAGAATTGCGGGTCGCGAGGCGCGCAAGATATTTAAGTTGAGGTGGCAGACAAATAGGTCATAATGATACTGGTCGGCTCGTTCATGGGTGGCTCATGATAGCAAGGATTCCCTTCTCTTTGACGATGCGATGACTACGAGGTTCCAGGCGGTTTATTTACGATGTATAAATGATTCAGAGTCCTACGAGGACTATTAATACCTGTTTAGAGATACCCACCCCTGAGTAGATGGCATGATGGCATCAGGCAGTGGCGTTGGTCTTCTCAGATTAATCAAAGGAACTAATAAATAGAGCTTCTTTCATACGCATAAATTTTCTTGGCATGTGTCGATTTTAATCAATGTCGTCTATCGTCCACAATGACAGTCATAAGCGGCGCACATCACATTTCACCTTCGGGTTATATTTCAGATTAGCTGTATTTTGGTATTCATGTCTTCATGTCTTCATGAGCTCATTGACTATGACACTAGTAGCTTAACTCATAGTCGCAAGATGCGATAGCTTCCTCCTGAACCTTTTAACTCCCCAACGGCAAAAGATTACCACCGAATGCCTTCCCATGCAATAGGCAACGCCCCCCTCTAAGTTAATAGATCCGCGGAAAAATTATTCCTTGATGCTTCCGTCTACTGGGCCCTTATTTTATGCAACTACCCCATCCACGGCCGATATGCGAAAAAAGCAGATTCTAAATGAAGCTAGCGAATATATACATGACGACAACCTCTAGTCCCCTTCGCCAGTCTGCTCTGGCGGACTTGCTTCATTCCCCTTCCTCGTATGGGAACGGCACCTCCACGGCGGTGGGACTGATATCATCAGATATCTCCCCGATTCTAAACCAGTCTAAAATGGTTAAGGGAGATCTGGATTTTCGCCTGCCCCAGATCCGGAAGCCTTTCAAATTGGGAAAGTCACCATTGATGACGTGGGCGTGGAAAGCGACGAGGTGAGGCATTATCGCCCGGTTGACCTCCCATATGTGTAAGACCTCGAGCGACTTCGGCAGGAAGTGAAAAAGGAAGTCGTTTGCGAGGCCATCCTTTTGAGGGATTAGAGCGAGGATAAGGGCTCTTTGACTTATCGCAAGGAATCGGAGGGTCGTTAATCTCTTTAAGGTCCAACCAGTGCCTATAAGGTCATTCACCTCTGGTATTCTAATGATAAGGTTGAGCTCGTCAACCAGATCATCCTCGCCTATATGCGTGTCCTCGTGCGTGGTAACCGTGGGAGAATAGGGGATATATATTAGCGTCTCGAGGTTGGTCAATTGGTCGAAGAAAGCACCGTGGCTTGTCACCGATCGTGCATGGTACACGCGTAACACCTTCAACTTCCCGATCATCCTTTTCGTTATTTCCACTTTCGGATCAGTAACGGGATAGTCCCTGGAGCACAGGGACATTCGTAGCTTGTCAATATTCGGGGCTACTCCCGAGAATAAGCCACGAACCCCATCTAGGCGATAGGCGGCAAGGTCAAGGCTCTGCTTGAATCTGACCTCTTTCAGCAACGCTAGACGATTGTCGGGCGAGCGTTTTGACCAAGGCACCACGTATCTCTCAAAGTGCTTTACTTCCTTGCTTGGATTGTAACCTATGCATATCGACTTGAGATTGGGCAGGAGACATGGCAGCATCTCGAGCATGGTGGGCGGCTGCCAGGTGCGTAGTAGAGCGGGGTGGTGTAGCTCGTCTGCTCCCAGGCGCTTCGCTACGTTCTTGATGACGACTCCGTTCTCTTCAAGCTCATCGGGGGTCAATGTGCTGCTGTCCCTGTGGCGTTCGAAGCGTTCGAACGGGAAGTCGGAGACGTCAAGGTGTTGAACTAATTTTGCAAGGGCTGGGGATCCTGCTACCAATTGGAAAAATCTGGTATATGCCTTTTGGGATAATCTACAATCACTCCGGAACTCGCGGAAGAGAGCGATCACAGTGGCATTCCGGACGGCTTTGTTGCATAGTGATAGTTGTACGAGACTCTTGCGGTCGGTCTTTTCGAGGATGTTCGCGATTAATAACCATATCTCGAAGGGGAAGACGCTCAGGGTGTTTCCGTTGGAGGGCATGGTGATTGATGGCATGGTATCGATATGAATGAATGTAAATCGAGTAAAGGAGAGAATGGAAGGGGTCAAAGATGTATGATGAAGGTATCCGAAGAGAGAATTAATGAGTGAATGAATGAACGAATGTATTCATGAATAAGGAAAAAAACAGAGAGAGAAGAGGAAACTCAAGGACAGTTAAATATACATGGGTGGGAGGTATTTGGTGTAGTCCACCTAAAACTTTATCTGTTTGCCCTTCCCCTGTGGAGGCTTCGATACTGTACTGAGGTCCTAAGTATAGGGGGGACTAGAGCGTTAACAGGTCTGTGCATAATACCAGCTTAGTGGTTTGGAAGACGCTTGGGGCACCTAAACACCTCTGGAAACTGGTAAAATACAGCATAGCGTGAACTAACGCACCCCAAGATCACGGGATTACTGTATATTGCGGGGTAGCTTCCATTCGTCGCTGCCTTTTATTTGAAAGGTCGAAGCGAAGTTGCTTCGGATGAAAAAAAAGATAAAATATTCTCTTTTTATTTTTATGCACACAGTATCTTAGGAAGGTGGTCAGCTAAGCTCATTCAATTTTTTACAACACTAACCATATTATACTAGCAAACACTGTTCACACTCACAATGGCTTCCACAAAGATCCGGCTTGCTACGGCATCTCCAGGGACCCAAGCGACAACTAAGGAAACAATTGCCCAGCTTCGCCAGATTGCTATCAATGCAGCTGCCAATCGTGCTGATATCCTACTACTTCCAGAAGCTTACCTAGGTGGATACCCTCGTGGCTCTGATTTCGGATGTAAAATTGGCTCTCGGACCACTGAGGGCCGTGATGAATTTCTGCGTTACTTTAAGGCCGCCGTTGACTTAGGAGATACCGTTGGCGATGGAGCCGGCGCTGGCGAAGCTTGGGTCAAACGGCAGTTAGGCGCTGACGCAATCGTAACTAGCGATGGACAAGCATTACTAAGCAGGGGTGACGGGACTAGGGAGGAAGTCGAACGCATTGCGAGGGAGACAGGAGTCTTCATCGTTGTTGGGCTTGTGGAAAAGGCTGGTGGTAGCCTGTACTGCGCCGTTATTTACGTATGCCCCAAGCAGGGGGTTATTGGGAAGAGACGAAAAGTGCAGCCGGTAAGTCTAAATTTATCCCCTATTTATATATAGCTTATTTGGAGGGTCGGCTCTGGAAATAACCAATCAGCGTTGCCCATGTCTGCCTGTGAAACCATGGATTCAATATGATCGATCGCTTTTACGACTTTACCTTAATGGTGGTGAGAATTACTCAATAAAGCCATTCTCATCGCTCTAACTTCATTTCGGCACCGGATTGTATCCGACTTACATTTGAGCGAATCAGTTTGGATATATACATCTAGTCATATATCACAAGATGGAAACGCAATGGCAGGTCGACGTGCCCGTACCGAGTCAGCAACTCCCAATTCGGCCGAAAGCTTACGCATCACCCGCAGACTGGGAATCCCAGAGACGATTTATAAAAAACCTCTATTTGGAACAAAACAAGGCCCTCAAAGAAGTCGAGCAAATAATGTCTGAGAAACATGGATTTTATGCTACGCAAGTTTCCCAACAACACCATTGCTTGTGGATATTCCTTCTCATAAAACATACAGGACGGGAATGTATAAGAGAAGAATTAAACAATGGGGCTTCGACAAGAAACTCAAAAAGCACGAAGTGATAGAGATGCTCCATCAAAAATCTGAAAGAGATTCTGCCGGAAAGTCAACCAAGTTCTTCATCAGAGGTCGAAATGTGGATGTCCAAAAAATCAAACGTTATGTGGAGGGCAAACCAGACATCCTATCTCAACTGGGAAGTGTTTATGAAAACCAACCATCTGGAGCTGTTATTTGTCGAACGCCATCGCCAGTTGTTCCGGTCGCTCTTCCGTCCCCGCCAGATACCCGCAAACTAGAAGAGATTATTACTGTATTGCGGAATTACGTTGATGCGTGCGCGAGCGGCCCTGAATCTCGTTGGATACTGACTCCTGAGGGTTTCTCTACCCGAAGCCCTACTCTAGTGGATCTCCACGCCTCAAGGGCGAGCATGCTTGGAGCTTGGGATGAGCTCTCATCCTTGCATCTGTCTATGGAACACACGACGTCTCCTGCCGAAATGTTCCAAGTCTTGGACACATCCCTTAATAAACTCAAAGACTCCATGAGGGATGAATTGCCCGAATTCGTTATCATGATGCTCTACCTTTTACGTTTTACGTGGCCTGGGCATCCTCTTTTACTTCGAATGTTTCGGAAACATGTCGGGGATCTCTCGGCGGTACTTCTCGGTGTGAAGCACCCATTGACACTTATTTGGAGAGATGCCGTCAACCTGGGCGAGAACTTCGATGAGGTGGTTGAAGAAGTTCTACGTGTGTTATTCACTGAGTTGGTAGTCTATCTTGGTCCCGATAGCGACGTTGTTGAACTTGCTCGGAGGGGTTGGCGATATGCGCCAAACTCACTACAAGGCATGGCGGAAGTAATGAGGCAATACCAGACTTGGCTAGCTGCCCATCCGAATTGGCCTAGTTCCATGCTACGGTCTTTTCTTGTCCAGATACGGCTTATGATAGCAAATATCGACGAGACTACGCCGATGAGCCAACTTCTTGAAGCACACGGTACAATCCAAACTATCTTAGATGCCCAGGGAACAAAAGGTCAATTTCCGATTAATACGGAAGAGGCATGGTCCTTGGCCAATCTGGATGGAGGTATTTCCTGGCGCTTAGGGAACGTTCCTGATGCTGAGTGGAGTCTTTTGATGGCCGTGGGAATTGCGAAACACAATAAATTACCATCAAGAAACGAGATGATCTCTCTACGCAATCTTGAGATACTCTATAAGGCTAACGGAAAACGCGCCAAACTCGCTAGTATCACCAAAGATATAAAGGATCTGGAAAGCAGGACGATGCGGGAGGCAGACCAATAACCAGGATCAGATGCATTATGGGTTAAATATGATGGAAATAGGCCTGGGTTCTTAAAACTTTCAAGTGTTGGATTTCTAGTGGCTAACTGACAAGAAACAGACAGGATCGGAACGGCTTATCTGGGCACAAGGATCTCCCGCGACCCTTAAGGCAGTGAGCACTACCATTCGTGGCGTTCGCATCAATTTGGCTGCTGCTATTTGTTGGGAGAACTATATGCCCTTGTTGCGACAGAGCCTCTATGCGCAAAATGTGAATCTGTATCTCGCTCCCACGGCAGATGGTCGCGATGCTTGGCTTTCGCGTAAGTTATTTTTGGATTTAGCTCTTTTTTGAGTTGATGTTTCACACTGAACTGGTCGGTGGCTATGCTCAAAATAACTGACCAGAACCCCTGGAAACGTCTATCGATATACAGGCTAACCATAGTTGTTTCAGTGATGCGGACCGTCGCACTCGAAGGTCGCTGCTTCGTTGTGAGCTCGAATATGTGTGTACCCGAGGACTCCAGGGCTAGCCACGGCACTGCACACAACACCGAACGTGGTATAATTATGAACGGCGCCCAAGAGCCGACTGGGAGACGAAACTCGTCCTTGACCGAGGATGGCTTTGCCAAAATAGCTCATAGAGGCAGGAGGCGATCTGTGTTCGACGAAGACGGGAATGAAATTGCGCTTCCTGACGGACAACCATTGGTAGCATCCGCCGTCGTTGAAGAGGAAGAAAATGAGGACAAGAACAAGGGAAGTAGTCAAGTGTCAGCGAAAACGCCATCGGATGCAAGATCTTTCATTTCGCGTGGTGGCTCTAGCATTGTCTCTCCGTTTGGCGATGTTGTGGCTGGGCCGCAGTGGGAAGATGACGAGGGCGTCATATATGCGGATGTTGATTTTGATGACTGTATCCGTGGAAGGCTGGATTTGGACGCCGCGGGGAGCTATTCAAGGTATGTAATTTTCACTTGCCACGTTATAACTACGCTTTGAGTTGGCAATACACCAAGCTAACGGAACATATTACAGAAACGACTCTTTCAGATTTTCGGTTGCGGGCTTGGATCTTGATCCTCTACCCTACTATTGATTGCCTTTTCCGAGAACCCTAGGTTCCCTTGATTATCATGTTTATATGTGCTATATTTGGATATACTTGTCGATTTCGATTTTGGATATAACATCCTTATGTATTTGTCTGCTTAAACGTACTCATTTTCATAAATCAAACTTACACGTTTTAGCACGTATTGTGGTGCGAATGATCTATCAGCAGGGCACCCAACTACAGTCAAGTCACTCAGGACACACTTTAGAACTAGCGACACGAAATGGCTTAATCACAATCTTGCTGTAAATTCAGCCCTGGGGTACAGTAAACGGGTATCTAATTTGCCATCAATCCCAGCCGGGTCCTGCCTGCCTGCCCGCCTGCCTTCCGTAGTAGTAATCGAGTCCATCCCCAAAAGTGACACTTGGGGAACTCACGGGAAATAAAATATCAAAAATTCCCGCCGTCCCTCCGAAAACCCCATCATCCACCGAGGGGTCGTGTGTGTCGTGGGATGTCATCGCATTCAGTCCATTATTCATACCCCTGCTACCCCCTATCTAAACAAATCGTCTAGTCCCGTCTCGAACGGGTTCGAAGTTTTTAGTTATGAGCTTCTTCGGCTCTACTTTTAGTTCTTTCCTTCCCGTCTCCTACTCTTGCATAAAAGCAGTATGGTTTATTCTCATTCCTTATCTTTGACCACGATATTCACATTCACATTCTCATCCTTCTCCTCGGCAACAGCAGCGCCCTCCCAAGGCGAAGCCAGGGGACTACTTACACCAGCCACGCTTCCGGTAATACTATCCGCGCGCCCGTGTCCCAGCAACCCGCTTCGAATACTAGCGCCGTCGCCCGCGCTTAGACCTTGTTGCTTGGCGGCGTATAAACTGTTGCGTTGTTCGCCCGACATACCGGTTGTGGAGTATATACTTGTGCGCTCACCACCGGTCGCGATGCGTGATGTGGATTGGTGCAGGGATGGGGCTTGGAGCTCGTTACGGTTGCTGCTGCTCCCGTCTACGTTGGCGCTTAGCACGGAGAGGGGGAGGGATTCACGGCTACCGCCCCAGAGGGAGGAGGGCGCTAGGGCGCGGACGGAGGCGTCGGTGTCCATGGATCGTCGACGGCGGTGTTTACTTGATGAGGCGAGGGTTAGGATGGATGCGTTGTCTGTGAGTAGGTTGTTCGCGGTGGCCGTGTTATACGTCGTTGGGTGGCCTGTGCCTGCGTGTGGGGTGAGGTATGGTGGGAGCGCGGACGCGGGTGAGCTCGAGGGGAAGGGTTGTGAGAATTGGATCGTTTGGTAGTTTCCTTGGTTGGATGAGTGGCCGCCGTGAGGCTGTGGTATGTTGACTGCGCCGTTGGGACCCATGGATTGGATCGTGGTGAGTGTAGTTGTTAGGGATCGCACCGAGGGCGCGGGAGATGAGAATGTGCTGTCGCCTCCCTTGCGTGAATCGAGACCCCCGTTCGCGGTGCGGCTGGTGCCCGCTACGGATGATGCCATGTGTGAGGGAGCGTGGATGGAGTGGCTGGTTTCGTAGTCGGTTGACATCGTGGGTGCTACTGACATGCCGCCAGCTGTTGGGGGTGCGGTTCCATCGGCGGACGTTCGTACGGAGGAATGACTTCGTCGGACTATTGATGGATCTGAGAGTCGGGCACTATGGGATGTTGAGAAGGATGGGTCGCTTTGATGGGCTGGTGATGATGAGCCGATGCGGCCAGATTGAGGGTACGGGTTGTTGTTTTTGGAAGGTCGCTTCTTGGAGCCCTTGGGGACAGCATCGCGTTTTGAATGGGCATTTCGACCACCCTCAGCGGAACCGGTCTTGAAATTGGCGAGTTTCTTGACCCAAGTTGTAAAGGGCCGTCTGCGGCCTGAGCGTTCTTGACGGTCTGGCATGGGAGTTGTTAGAGCTGAGGAGTTGCGGCTGAAGCTTGGGAGTTGCATATGAAGACGGGGATGGGGTAGATTGAAAGAATGCATGTATGGAACAACAGAGCGGATGATATGTAATGCTGCTTTTTCTTCTGGGGGAGAGTGTTTACCGGTTGTAGAAAGTGGAGATGTCTCAGTCATGGCCATCATTTCTAAGGCAAGGATATAATAGTGTTTATAGACCGAATAAAGCGAATAGAAGGGTGGCAAGTCGAACAGGCAGGTGAACTGTAATGACAGTCGAGCCGAGCCAAGGTTTAGGTTTCCCCGGATCAAGATGATCAAGAGATGTCAAGTCAAATATCAATGATGATGAATGATCAAAGATAAATGATGCGGGGGATTTCGAATCGAAAATCGTATCGGTACGTGTTGGCGCGATGGACCTAGAGATCACAATTGAAGATGGTGAATCGGTACGAGTGACGAGTTACGGGTACGTGGACGTGGACAAGTTGGGCAGGTATGCGATGACGATCTGTCTGGTTTGGTTTGGTTTGGTTGCTGTGTTGTCTGTGTTGTCTGGGTCGTCTCTGATCCGTCTGAACTTCAAACAATAGAAATTGAATTTTCTAAAGTAGGGATTAATATTGTATTAGGCTTCGGCGGTGTAGTTGGTAAAGGGGATGCGGCCCAATGTGCCGAAATTGCCCATTTGATAAACGAGTATGTATTATGTAGGAGATGGAGTTGTTTCTGTTTAAAACAGCATCGTCGGTGACGGGGTGCGATGATAATGATGGGGGAATGGCTGTGTTTGCGTGAATGGCCTATAATTATTCCACTATCTTGGGTGCTAACTACCTAAGATTAGGTAAGGCGGCTGTTCTAAATGGCTATTTGGGTACCCACTAAATTACATAAAAACCCCGAAACTAGGTACCTAGGACCCCTGGGTATTTCCCCCCATTTTAGAGGCTGATGTCCCTCTACCCTTGTACCTACCTAGGCTAAACGGGTACCTGGAAATACCTACAAAATAACGTCATTAGCCACACCCCTAGGCACCTCGAACCTTCTAATTTTTATGGGATTCATACGTTGAGCAGGTGGCTTGAATGAGTTCCAACTTTAAACATTTCAAAACTTCATTCATCAAGTAAAAACCACACTCATACATCTGGCTAGCGTTGGCTCTCGTATGAATCGCCTAAATTACTTCGCTTTGCTTTATAATTAAGACCAAGATTGGGGGCATATGGCAACCATCTCACCCCTATCCGAACAACAAAAATGATATATTCCGATGCTCACCAATGTCCATCCAGCAGCTGCCGGACCATGTCATTGCCCAAATCAAATCATCTACCACCATAACATCGCTCAACGGTGTCGTCTGTGGCTTAATTAAGAATTCTTTAGATGCTGGAGCTACTAAAATCACCATTTCTATCGACTACAATCGAGGCAATTGCTCCGTTGAGGATAATGGCTTAGGAATACCGCCCGATGAGTTCGGGCCTACAGGTGGCCTGGGAAGACCACATTATACCTCTAAATATCCTGCTCGCGGAGATACTCACGGCCGATACGGTGCCTTTTTAGCATCTGTAGCTGCTCTATCCTTGTTGTCTATTACTTCGCACCATCATAATTATCATTCTCACAATTCAATCAAAATCCACAACGCCGAAGTTCTAGCGCGGCATACTCCTTCGCTACCAGAGCAGAGGTTATTGAGCTTTCCTCATGGAACACGGACGACCGTTCGAGACCTTTTTGGTTCTATGCCTGTGAGGGTGAAACAAAGGGCTATCGATGCTGAGAGAGGTCTTAATGCTAAGGATTGGGAGCACCTCAAACGCGCTCTTGTAGCGTTATTACTTGCTTGGCCAGGTCAAGTTTCCATACCACTACGCGATTCCATAGACCAGCGTAGCATTACGCTTCGCACACCCGAAGAACCCCCAGCTTCACGGGACAAATTACATGATATCATTGGCCTAACCACACGCGTTTCGAGGATATTTTTCCAGGCTCAGCTATGCGACGATCGCTCTCGAGACTTGTGGGTACCCCTCAAGGCATCCGCGGGTTCGGTCTCAGTTGTAGGTGCTATTTCTCTAGCTCCGGTAGCATCTCGAAATATGCAGTTTATCAGCATAGGTGTACGACCGGTATCCAACGACCACGGATCAAATGTTCTCTATGAGGAAGTTAATAGACTTTTCGCCAACTCGAGTTTTGGCGTGGAGGATGAGGGCGGCGAGCTCAATGAACATGAACAAAATAGGAGAGCCAAGGACCGCCGATTCAAAACGGAAGGGTTTACTAACCAAGAGCTTAAGGGCAGAAAAGGTGTTGACAGATGGCCTATGTTCCATGTCAAAATCGAAGTGGGGCAACATACTTCTCGCTTCGCCGAACGTGATGTGGAAGAAATCCTAGATGAGCGCAACGAGAGCTTGAAAACGATTATTGAAGTTCTGACTGCGGTAATCTACGAATTTCTGAAGGCAAATCATTTTCGCCCAAAATATTATAGACCCCGCAGAAGTACTGCATCTAGACGGTCGGATTCCCGCGACGAGCGCAGCAAATCGTTATCCAGAAGCTCTACACCAAAAACGGATTCTCAAACAGGCTGCAGTCATACTCCTCGGGGCAGTCTATCCATCGGTGACTTAGCTAGTACGCGCCTCAATCTTGCCTCTAATAATCGCCTCCGACCGGAGTCCCCATTTGACTCGTGGACCCGTGTAAAGTCAGGACAGCCTCAATATGCACATCTGCATGATAAGTCTCCCAATCCAGAGGCTACTTCGGAAAGTGGCCAATCGAAATCCGGGTCTCAGATAGGAACAGGACGCCCGAGTAACGATGGCGATGCGTTGGATACACCATTGGTTGCTCCGGATGGTACGCTACTACGCATTCCATTTCTTGACGTGGACATGGAAGGGCGTGACGCCGGCTCGAAGAATACATTCGAAGAAGACAATCTTAACGAAGATAAACAGCAAATACAAGAGGGCGAAGAAGTACTATGGACCAATCCAGCCAGTAGGGAGACATTCGCCGTCAATTCTAGGAACGGCTTAGTGATTCGATCCGTCAGGAGTAAAACCGATGGAAACGGTGCAATTGATAACTTACATCGCCCACCGATAAGAAAAAAGCTACGAACAAATACAAGGCCAGTTCCTAAAGACGAGAGGAGCCAATGGTTAGGAGATCTCTTAGCCTCTTGGAATAATCCTGTGTTCCAGTCGCAAGAGCCACCGATTCCGATGGCTTTTGATGAAGCGAAGGTGTTAGCACTAGCATCTAAAGCATCGGATGGCTGTTGTCATGGTTTGAGTTCCAAAACACTCGACTTCATCCAGGCTTCTCAGAGCGTTGAGGGCCGGTTAACTAAGGAGAGCTTACGATATGCCAGTATCATAGCACAGGTTGATTACAAGTTCATACTCGCTAAAGTCCCTCTGTCAACATCGCTTCAATATCCGAATAAAAGTGAGGACATAAATCCGACATTACTCATCGCTATTGACCAGCATGCTGCGGATGAACGTTGCCGAGTCGAAGCCCTAATGAAGGATTATTTTATGATTGCAGAAGATCTTCAAGATGGAACAACGGGACAGCGGCGGCAACTAATCTGTGCCCAAGCTGAGTTACTTGAGAGTCCTATTATATTTGACATCTCTGTCCAAGATTGTCGTCAATTCGAACGTTCCGCCGAGTATTTCCAACATTGGGGAATTGTGTTTCGCGTCATATCAATACTAAAATCTGAGCTTGATAGCAAGCGAACGGCCAAGTTAAAGGTCGTTAAGCTGCCACCTAGCATAGCAGAACGATGCCGCTCGGAACCTCGATTGCTCATTGAATTATTAAGAAAGGAGGCGTGGAAATTCGACGAGCAAGGGTTCAGTGCCTCTCAACCTACAGGATCGCAGGTTGCCCAAGATGATGATGACAACTCTACAGGAATACATTGGCTATCAAGACTCCATGGGTGTCCGCAGGGTATTCTAGAGATGATCAACTCCAGGGCCTGTCGTAGTTCTATCATGTTCAACGACCTTCTTTCGCCCGAGGCGTGTATTGACTTGGTAGAGCGGTTAGCTAACTGTGCCTTACCTTTTCAATGCGCACATGGTCGACCTTCTATGGTGCCTCTAGTCGATATAGGGAATAGTCCTATGAGCGTTGAGGATACTGGGAAGTCTGAGAGTAGCTTTGGCCAGGCCTTTAAAGGGTGGAGGTCTAGTATGGGCAATTGATGGAAGCGAATATTTGATCTCCGGAGTTCTTCTATATATTTACGCAAGACATAATGGTATCCCTCGTTTTGTTCTTTCTATTCTGTTCTTTCCTAGGACCACTTCAAAGGGAGATGAAGATATTCCGGTTGGGAGATACTATCTAGTATAAGAATCTGCAAATAGACGATATGCACCTACGAGCAAGGTTATGTAAACAACATTTTGATTGGCTAATATTCTGTAGCACTTAAGTGGAAATACCTAGGTACAATATGACCTAATTTTATCGATAAAGCAGGTGCAGCTCGCTCCCAACTTAGAGCTTCGCCGTGACGTTTCCAGCGCTGTCAGGCTGCTAACACACCAACTATAAACAACTATACCGACAGTGAACCAGCCCATGCGAAGATGAACAAACCAGACCCTATGCCACCAATTTGATTGTCGCAAGAACCTAAGCATACATCATGGCCTTGCTTTTGGTAAGCTAGTTTGCCTATTTTCCCTATTGTATTCCCTAAACTCGCTAATGGTTTCATAGTGGAAGCAATTCGACTTCTTCGACGTCAAGCAGGTCAAGCTCGGCGACGACGAGACGCGATCGTTCTTTGAAAACAACGAGATATCGAGTGTCTGCTCCGGATCCGATAGTCTATTTCTCGGAAGCGATAATGGATATGTGCGCATTATCGGACCTAGCTGGAAGATCGTTAGGAGCTTCCAGGCTCATGAGACTGGCCGCATTACGCACATGCGCCAGGTCGAGGGGACGAGTTTGCTAGTTACTGTTTCGGTAGGGGCTATTATATACACTGGTAGTGTTGAAAAGTGCTGACGTGTAGCAGGAGGACCTTAGTAGCGAGCCGGTGTTGAAAGTTTGGGCACTGGATAAGCCGGTGAAGAAGACGGGATTGCCTACTTGCTTGAGCACGTTAAACATAAACAATGGACGGAAGCAATTCCCGGTAAGCAAACCCAGCGCAAGGGCTGTGACATTACGTCTGACCATTTGAGTACTACAGATATCCTCTTTCACCGCGCTCGACGACCTCTCACAACTTGCTGTAGGATTTGCAAACGGAGCCGTTACGGTTATACGCGGTGATCTCATACACGACCGAGGCACGAAACAACGAATCGTTTACGAGTCTGAAGAACCGATAACCGGAGTCGAATTTGTAGCCGATCTGAAGCTTACGATCCTATTTGTTGCGACAACTTCCAAACTTCTAAGATTGGTTATATCGGGGAAAGGCCAAGGGCAGCCACCGAGGACGATAGAAGATGCTGGGTGTGCGGCAGGTTGTATGACGGTAAACAGCAAGACTGGAGATATCATCGTGGTCCGGGAAGATGCTGTCTACTACTATACGTTGGAGGGAAGGGGACTCTGCTTCGCTAATGACGGAGCTACGAGTTTAGTCTCGACCTTCCAGGACTATGTTGCCCTGGTCTCGCCACCTCCGGTTTCTGGAAGTGCAGGATCCGACAGCATTAGGAGACGCTTCGGAGGTACTAATACGGAATCCCTTTTCAACGCAGCTAGGTTTACGATGGTGGATCCAACTCTTCAGATTGTTGCTCATTCCGAGTCTCTCATCTCGGAAGTCAAAGCTATCATCCAAATATGGGGAGACATATATATTCTGACGCAAGATGGAAAAGTTAATCGATATCACGAGAAGTCATTGCAGCAAAGACTAGAGTTATTGTACCAGCGAAACCTGTTCCCACTGGCGATCAACCTGGCACAGAAATCCGGCATGGATTCACAACAGCAAAATGTCATTTATCGGAAGTATGGCGACCATCTTTATCAGAAGGGAGACTACGATAGCGCCATGTCTCAGTATATCAAAGCTATTGACAATACAGAACCTTCACAAGTGATCCGAAAGGTGCGTATGCAATTCATAAATGAAGGATTTATCTAACAGAAGTAGTTCCTTGATACGCAAAGGATACATAACTTAATCGAATACCTCGAGGAGTTACATGAACGACACAAAGCGACCGCGGACCATACGACCCTGTTACTTAACTGCTATGCGAAGTTAAAGGATGTGGACAAGCTGGAGAAATTCATCAAATCTGAAGGAGATCTTAAGTTTGATTTAGACACTGCCATAACTATGTGTAGGCAAGGTGGTTACTTCGAACAGGCAGCTTATCTTGCTACAAAGCATGGCGAGAATGACTTAGTGGTGGATATCCTGATTGAGGACTCTAAGAACTACGCCGAAGCTCTCGACTTCATATGGCATCTAGATTCTGAGACAGTATGTCATTTGGATCCTAGTGTTACGACGAGGCTAATTTCTTTTAGGCATATCCATGTTTGATGAAGTATGCGAGAGTACTATTAGAAAACTGCCCGAGCGACACAACGAAAATATTCATTGATTACTACACTGGCAAGTATAAGCCTAAAGTTCACTCAGCACCAACAGAAGAAACGCAGACAATTTCCAGTGGCGGTTTGGCGGCTGGAGCTGCAATCGCCGTGCAAAATCTAACTAGTTTACTACCACTCCCATATATGAACACATCCTCAGTTCCCACGCCTACTGGTCAGGGATCGCAAGGCACTGTTAGCGATGTTGGTGCTGTGGTAGATCCCGATGCGAACACTGAACAGAAATATACCCCACCACCTCCCCGAACAGCATTCTCATCATTCATCGACCACTCAGACGAATTTATCGTCTTTCTCGAAGCTTGCCTAAAAGAAAGCTCTTTCAAAGAACCAGACAGGGTAGACATATATACGACCCTATTCGAAATGTACCTACACAAAGCTAGCGAACGGAAGGGTATGCAAAGAGAGGAATGGGAACTTAAAGCGAAGAAACTCATCGAAGGCCGTGAGGTACCTATCGAGAATTCAAACGTTCTTCTACTTTCCCATCTTTCAGATTTCCGAGATGGGACTACCCTAGTCAAGGAGCAGTCCGGTCTGCTGTTTGATATCTTCCGTTCTTACACCTCTGCTAAGGATACGCGAGGTGCTATCAAAGCTCTTCGAAAATACGGACCTGAAGAACCACAGTTATATCCTGCGGCGCTTGCTTACTTTACCTCGGACGCCAAAATCCTTGAGGAAGCTGGCCCGGATGAGCTAGCGAATGTGCTTAATAAGATTGACCATGACGGTTTGATGGCGCCGCTACAAGTTATACAGACACTGGGTTCGAATGCGGTGGCCACAATGGGTATGATCAAGCCTTACCTTCGCGATACAATCACCAGAGAACGGCGAGAAATTGCTTCGAATAGACGGCAGATCAATTCTTTCCGAAAAGAAACGGAAGCGAAACGTGCCGAGATCCTGGAGCTTGGCGCTAAACCGGCTGTTTTCCAAGCGCAAAGGTGTCCTGGCTGCGGTGGCTTACTCGAGTTACCAGCTGTACATTTCCTCTGCAAGCATAGCTTCCACCAGCGTTGCTTAAAGCAGAGTGAGGATGGCAGCGAAGTGGAATGCCCGGTGTGCGCCGTGAATAATGCGGCAGTAAGGGCAATGAAGCGCAGCCAAGATGAGCGCGCGGATCGGCATGATTTGTTTAAAGATGCATTGGAGAAAGGAGATGATCGATTCAAGACTGTTGCGCAGTGGTTTGGTCAAGGAGTCATGGGTGCCGGCACGGTGGAATAGCGTTGTCACCGTTGAAGTTTGTGTAATCCATGATGAAGATGATGTCCTATATGTGGGGGTATCGTGTCTATATGCAGTTGCTGGGTTATAAGTTTATAGTTGGTGTATGATATGATACAGAAGTATTAACACATATTTTATACCCCGATTTTAGTTTCCAAAATTACCATATAAGTTCTAAGATCAAAAGTGATATTTAAATCCCGCCGCCGACTCCAAATAAACCATTCAGCCATTTGCCAACGGGCTCGTTACTAACTTTCGGCCGCCAGTTAGTGACATGGTGGAGGTACGTCGATTTCAAGGGCGCCAGCAGGTCCGTCCCAGATACGTCAGTAACCTGTCCATGTCGCACCGTGAAAGTGGCGCGGAAATCCGGCGGTAAATCTTTCGGCAACGGCGGCCGAGGACGTGGATCGTCCTCCGTAGGGTGTGTGGAAAATGTAAATTGCGGTGTCTGCGTGTATATCCATTCCGGCGACTATTTGATTACGTCAGTTTGTGTCACATCAATTTTTTCTCCCCCTCCTCCCAAAATAAAATCGTACCTTAAGCTCACTATACCCCTTCGCGATATCCGGGATTTCACCTAACAGCCCCTCCGCTTCAGACGCTTCTACGATGTCCACATCTGTGTTACCGTACATAGTATGGAACTCGGAGACTACCGCATCCGCGAAATCGGAAATGAGAGACATCCCGACGTTCCGCACTGGACTCCGTACACTCTCGACACCGCGCGCGCGTATGTAGGGCGCGGCTGGGGAGCGCAGGAGGGGGCTTACGAGGGGTAGGTTGGGGGAGGATAGGAGACAGGTTCCGTGGTGCAGGGAGCGCAGGCGGGTTAGTTTGTATGCGGAGCCGGAGATTTTGAAAGTCTGTAATTCATTTTGTGGGTGTGAGTTGTTGGATGATGGGGGGACGTCGAGTACGATATCGTGGCGTGAGTTTACGCGTGTGTGGGATACACCGAGGTTTTGTAGCGCCCGGACGACCATGAGGGCGTGTTTATCTCGGTCGAATGATGCGGGTGGGCATATGACGCTGTAGTTCATGTTGCCGCTGTCGTGGAACACGGTGCCTCCGCCTGAGCGCCGGCGGACGAGGAGGACGTTGGTGTCATTGTCTTCAGCATTTGCGTTGTTGTCGAATACGACTCCGTTTCCGCCTTTGCGGTTTAGGAGACCGAGATTTACTTCGACCCATGGGTTTTGGTTCCGCCCAATAACGACGCAGGGCCGGTTTCCGTATAAAAAGAGCACTACTGAGTCTGGGGGCGATTTTTGGAGCAGGAAGTGCTCGATGGAGAGGTTGAGATACGGGTCTGTGGCTCGTGAGATGTAGACTTGGACTCGGTTTGATAGATGTGAGACGGCTTCTGCACTGAAGGATCGGCGTAGAATTAAGTGTGGTGTATTAAGTCTTATAATTGGTCGGCTGAGAGTGGTGAGAAGACGGCGTAATGAAGCCATGGGGGATTTTTATATAAGAGGATCACTCCTTGACTCATTTTATATCGTATAAATTCATATTATTTCATCATAACATGTTTCATCTCATCGTGGCGATGAGATTTTAAGGTTGAAGAAAGTTCATAAGGATTATGAAGCTGACATAAGAGTACATATGAGAGACCCCGAAACATGATCCCTGTCAATACATACATTAGACCCCTGCACTTGCATCTTCCAAGGTTCGATCCGTCGGGGTCGTACAGCCCCACAACTTGACCCTACCTAATTGAGACACAAAAGGCCGTCACCCGCGGGGCCTGAACCGGAGCTGCAGAAAACCCCACCATCCATCATAAGACCCTCAAAAATTATTTCTCGAAATTTGTTTGTCCCTCCTTTGACTCACCTCGACAAAGCATCCTATCGACTTAAAAGAACGACGGCGCAGTTGCTCTGGGCTTACCAAGTTAATTGAGAATATTGACTACCAAACCCTACGAATTGATTGGGTGATTGCTTCAATTAGTCTTCAATTCGCCATTCGTCGTTCGCCTCTTAAGAATCTTAAGATGTCGACATTCGGGAGCTCTTTTCGGGTGACCACGTTAGTCGCAACACCCAATTAGCCTTGCAATCTCTCTCTAACATACTACATATAGCTATGGCGAGTCTCACTGCCGATCGGTGGGATGTATCGTCGACGGTTGCCCCCCGGGCATGGAACTTACCGAGGACGATATCCAGCCTCAGATGACACGCCGTCGACCGGGCCAAAGCAACATTACTACTCCTCGAAATGAGAAAGACCGCGTCGTTATACAGTCTGGTACCGAGTTCGGGGTCACGCTGGGCACCCCAATTGGACTCGTAGTTCTCAACGAGGACCAGAGACCCAAGGACTATGGAAACAAGACGATGGATCTCTACCCCCGACCGAGTCACGCGGACTGGACCTACCTTGAGAAGTACGGTGTTAAGGCGAGCAGTGGCGGTGGACGAAGTTCGGCTCGTGAGACCATTGGCAGAGTAGCAGCTGGTGCTATCGCTGAGAAGTACCTTAAGCTTGCATATGGCGTCGAGATCACTGCCTTTGTCTCGTCCGTGGGACATGTTAGCCTATTCCCACCCACCGCCGAGTTTCCAAGCCCGAGTCAAAACCCCGCATTCATAGAATTGATCCAAACGATCGACCGCGAAACCGTCGACAAGTTCTTACCCGTACGATGTCCAGACGAGGAGGCTTCGCGCAGGATGGCGGATTACATAGGCGAAGTCAGGGATCGCAACGATAGCATTGGTGGAACTGTGACGTGTGTGATCAGGAATGTGCCGAGCGGCTTGGGGGAGCCGTGCTTTGATAAACTAGAAGCGAAGCTTGGACATGCCATGTTGAGCATACCCGCGACCAAGGGCTTTGAAATAGGCTCCGGTTTCGGCGGTTGCGAGGTTCCCGGCTCTATCCACAACGATCCTTTCATCAGGGCGCCGGACACAGCCGCTGACACGGAGACCGGCGCTGGACGTAACGGAACGCCTAGGCCGAAATTAACGACCAAGACGAACAACTCGGGAGGCATCCAGGGCGGCATCTCGAACGGCGCGCCTATCTACTTCCGTATTGCTTTCAAGCCCCCTGCCACTATCAGCCAGGCACAAAAGACGGCTACTTATGATGGAGACTCTGAAGGTGTTTTAGAAGCCAAGGGTAGACACGACCCCTGTGTGGTGCCGAGAGCGGTGCCAATTGTCGAAGCTATGTCGGCATTAGTAGTCATGGATGCGCTAATGCAGCAGATGGGAAGACACGAGGCCCGAAGGCATCTTCCACCCCTAAAGCAGACGATACCACCGGCGGATAATGGTGTTTCTATGGATACAAAATAGAGGTCTGGTGATAAAAAAAAATTATGTGAAAAGGCGTTTGCGGCAATTTTGTGCGATTTATTAGGTCAGAAATATACATTGCGGTGTTCAATCTACCTACCTGAGTCGTTTAGTAGAGCTCGCATATACAATATTGAAACCACTAACTATGTGTAGACTGAGCTCGGTGTTCACTACTTACGAATTACCATTCCTAAATAATAGAATTTTCAAATCTATTCATTTTTATGATGATTTTGATATCTTTGTCTCTTTATTACCTAGGTAGGCATACATGTTAGGGACGGCGGTCCAATATGCTTTAAGTCGCCATTCCGCCAAAACGACGTACGGATATATAGTGTGGTGGCATACCTGGGTAATGTATTGTGTCCCTGTAAATACAGGGAGTAACGCACTAAAGGAGCCGTAGCTACAGGGCGGTACAGCGCATGTCCCACTGTAAATTTATTATAGTGCGCGTGCCCCTATAAGTATAGCGCTCTGAAGTCCTGTGATGCGCTGTGGTTATAAAGGCCCAAAGCCCTGTAATACCCTATGGTTACAGCGCTTACAGCACTATAAATTTAGTCATGACAGCCCCGTACTGTGAGCATACACTATATTATGACGCATTGGCAAATTCTTTTTGGAAACGGCGCATGGTATTAGGTACCTCTAGATGAGTACCTTATAGTAATGGAGCATTGTGCGCAGTATCCAAACATTTGACCGAAAGAAACGAGATATCCTCTAAATCTATCTCATCCTACCCTCTACATGATGAAGATTTGGAAATCAAAGGGAATTGTTCTGAATAAATACCTGGGTATCTTTATCATGAAGTTCAGGACGTGAGAAAGGGGGAAATTGTTATAAAAAAATAAAAATAAAAAAGACAAAAACGAAAAAGGCCTAATTAAATGCTATTTCGGCTCGTTGAATCAAGTTCTCCAGTAGAATTGCCCGAGGAATAAGTCGGGGACAGGGACTCGTCTACGCTTATATCAGTAGAAGAATCTCTATCCTCTTCACGCGTGAAAGGTACGTGATCCTCCGGAGACATAATTGAAGAGTTTAGTGACGCCCTTTCGACGTTAATATCGGGGGACTCTTCGTTGCGAGCCGGTCCATGGTTATGAGGGTCGGAAGGAGCCGTTCGTGATACATTTTCAGTATCGTGTGGTGCAGGTCCGCTCTCTGTACCATCCACGCTGGGTGATATATCGCTGATATTCGACGTCCTTTGAGAGCTTGTTTCAGATGAGATGCCTGCTTTTTCCATTTCGGCGTCTTCATTCACAAGCTCAATACCCCATCTCAACATTCCATCAGCCCCCGTGAACCAATCTAGTTTTGCCCTAGTAACGTGATCATTTTTGAGTTCTTGAAGCGATTTACTGCGTGCTAGTTTCAAGAGCTTCTCGCTTCCAGCTACCAAAACTGCGATATCGGCGATACTGTCGAGTTTTCTGATAAGCATCTTTGTGTACCTTCGGGATGCGATGGTCAAGACTATGGACACGATGACGAGATATCCTAGGATTATCATGCAGATCCAAGCCGCTGGCTTCGACATCTGTAAGAGCTCGGCCGGTCGGGAGACGTGTAAGTTTATTGTCGTATTGACGGGTGGCTTCGGGACGGTAGAATTCTCAAGTGTGACTCCGTTAACGTGGATTAGAGGATTCTCGTTGAGAGATTGGAAGACGTAACCACCATTCTCGAATGAAACATTCTTACTTGCGAAGTTCTGGAACATGGCCGAGAATGTTCGTTGAGCAGTGTGCCGTAGAGTATCCAGGTTTAGTAGTGCTTCGTGGTCGTTGTTAGCAAGGGCTAACATAGAGTAAGTCATCAGGTCGACATTCAAGCCAGGTTCCCGAATACTATAGGTTTGCTGGATGTTATCCTCTGAGGCGCGAGTGTATATAATATATTCGCTAGTAACGTTGCCGACGCTGCCAAAATCCGCGGCGGCGAGTAGGCCAGAGACAAACAAAACGCCATATCCAATTGTATTAATAGCATGGCCCAGTCCGGCCGTGTCGATGTATATGACGGGCGCCAACTCGATAGACCACGCGAAGGGGTCTAGTTGTGGTTCACTGGTGAGGTTGTAGTCAATAACATAACTATTTTCTACACCCACGGTAACACTTGCCCAAGCTCTTTCGATAATGGGCATACAATTCAGTGCTGCCATTCGTGGCTCCTCGGACCATAGAAGTGGAGCTGATACTCTAGGGTCCAGAGCTATGTTGTGGTGATAGCCTTCCACAGGTAACCCGTGAATCCATTTCACCGTGAAGTTAGTCGGCCAAGGTGTCGCAAGGTTCGGATATTCGTTAGTTGTGGTGTTTCTCACGATTGGGGACCAATATCCCACCGAACCTGACCCAATCTGTCCATTGGTCATATTTTGACAGCACAGTATCCTTCTATCGGATGCGAAAAACGTGGTGTAGTTTCCTTTGTAGCTTGGAACTTGATCTAGGTAAAGATTCGTATTATTCCCAATCGTGGATAGTCCGAGCTCGTAGCCCTGTTTCAAGATGTCTGGGTTGGTATCAGTAGCCCATTGCGTCGCATTGGTCAAGTCCCATTTGGTAAGCCAGTTTGTAGAATCCTCAAGGTTTAAGTGTTCGAAAGGGGAACATTCTAACCGCGCTCTGATCCCGTGGGTGTCTACTGTGGCATTCATTGCTTTTCGTGTTGAAGCGGTTTGATTCCCCGCGTTTTGTATAGTCGTCTGAGGCAGCGTCGCTAAGTCAACTGGAACAAAGGCCCATCCATTTGAGCTCCAAGCAGGTTCGGTCCCATTGAGAGAAGTTTGAATAGCTGCCCCATATATCCAAGAGGTTCTCATGTTACTATATAGGTCTACAAGGGCACTTCCCTCGCCCGCAAATGGCAAGCTATCATTGCGTAATTGAAGTTGCTGCAGTACATTAGCTGTGAGCAGCACGCTCCCAGGTACCCTCTGCCACATGGAGGACATTGCGATTGTAACTTATCTGAGTCAGAACGAACAACTATAAGGTAAATCGACTACTCACATATCTCTGCTAGGAAGGCGCCGGTACACACCAGCAATAATATCCAGTGTCTTCGCTTGCACGCCCTCCAGGAGGCCCACAACAAATATGATGAAATATACGAGACAAGCAGGCCTTCCTCTCCAGTCGCTGGGCCTTGAGAAACAGTTAAATATGGTTGGATTCTGCGCATAATAGCATCGAGTGATCCCCACCACAGCCCTAAGGAAACAGCCACAAAGGTCGTTACAACGGACGCCGGATTGATATCATGGAGGTTTACGCCACCAAGTGAAACATCAAACGCATACACAAAGGCCGTCTGATATAACCCATACACCTCCGAATACCAGTAGAGATATGTTATAGTGACCAGGGTAGTTGAAAGGAAGACGGTTAACAAGATGAGTATCCAGAGCCTGAATGCGAAAGACTGGGGTTTTGAAGGATTGCAAGCTATTTTTCTTTTTTTGCCAATCCTTTGAGACGTGGATTCGGTAATCAGATGAACTCGGCCATGTGCTAATTGATAGCTTTGACCCAATAGCCTAGTATCAATCTCTTCTTTTGTGTTATCAAATAGATCCTTCAGTGATTGCAGTGTGGTAGGTTCTCTAGCGATAAGTTTGACTATACTCATCGCAGGGGAAGGATCTGTGGATAGACCGAGTGGGCGGTTGTATAGTCTAGTCTTATAGAAGACGACGATTAATAAAACTAGCTGTATAGCTAATGTAGTTTCAAGGGGGACAGCCACGGCTGACGCCACGATAACTCGTCTCCTATTCTCGGTCGTACGGCCGATAAGGTCTACGGGGATCTGCTGCGCAGATTCATCAAACTTATCTCGGAGTAGCTCGCCGAAGAAACGTTGTTTTAACCGTGCTGCATTTTGCAACATTAGAGGATCGCCAATTAACTGACCCGGAGAATAGTTATATAAAGCGGAGAGGAGGATTGCTGGCCCGTACATGCCTCTATTCTCGATAGGCCTCTGGAGATGAGTCGACCAATTCTGACTCAGGAAGGCATCCTGGAAAGAATTGATATTCGCTGTTGAGAGAGGGATTTGCGAACGGCTCGACTTGTACTGCGACTCATTGATTTGGACATGAACCGAGGAATCGCCTCGGTCGAAAGCAACAGTAACATCAGTGTCTCCTGTATAATAACGGGCGTTGCAGACCTGACCAGTTATGGTGAAGTTTCCTGGTGTCATATTATTAGACCAAGGGGTAGTAATTATAAGGAATTCGTCCTGCGAACAGTTAGTCTTATATAGTGCTGGCCTGTTTGGCGCTATGGGAACGTAGGTGGTGTTATGATTAATGTTAACATTCGCTGACGAATCCCAGATTTCCCCCCCTCCCCGAAAGGTATCATAGCTGTCTGTAATGTTCAAAGCGCAACCCGAAGACGCAGTTAATAACACCGAGATAGTATAGAGTTGCGTATCGTACCTAACGTACGGTACTACCTGGCTTTTCTCGTAATTCATTTGTTCGCAATTTAGTTCCACGTCGAATGCAGTAGTCGTTGCTGACCACGTCGACATCGAATCAGAAAAAGATGGACTCAGCGGTACGTTTTCCATCCTAGCCGGCCAAACGGGTAGGATGCCATATTTATCTGTAACCCATGCCGATGTTGTCACATTCTGGAGGATGTTGCTGACCGTACGAAAATACGTAGTAGCGAGCGGAGTAGCCTGGAGTGGAAACTTCGCGGATATATCCAATTTTTTAAACGGTTCTTCATAAACGAAGACCATGCCTTGTGTGACGAATAAACTCGAGGAGAAAGGAGATACGATAAAGAAGCCGAGTATGAAAGCGATGGTCGCGCATAGCAGAGCCCAGCTCGTTTCCCTCCGCCGGGTGGGAAAACCTTGGACTAAAGCATCCCACCAAGCGTCAACGGTCCATGTTAGAGACCTCTTGGCTGGGGCACCCGCAGGGCAGGCAAGCCGTGCGAATGCCTCGGTCCGTTTAACGTCATTAAGTAAGATTGATAGCAAGAACACATATACGACGGCGAGTACTGTCGGAACAAATTTGGAAGCGACGACAATTCCCCGGGAGCCGTCGTCATCAACCAATCCTAATTCGCGAGAGGATATGATGTGTGAAATGACCACCATGATTTCTAGCATTAGTGTAAAAATTAAGAGGCTAGACAGGCAGTGCCAGCGTAGGGTGTAAGGAAGCCACTGCAACATTCGACGTCAGTATTGATTGTATGGGGAAGTTACATATACATACTGTAGGTAGGGCGTCGTCGTTCTCTTTTGAATATATAGGATGCTTACTAATTATCGGCTGATTGGGCTGTTTATTCATCGCTGGTTTGTCGCTGAAAAGATCTATCTTGGGATCTAAGACATTATCATCTTGGTTAAATGATGGAATATGGTCGCTATGAGGGTCGGCATCGATGGAAGTTTCAATCTCCCCTGGTTTGTCGTAACTCCGACGATCAGGACCGTAGGAACGATCCATATCAACTTTCAATGATTCGTCCGCTAACGCCTGATCTAGGGTCTTCTGCTAGGACTGCAAGGCTCCATGCCGATTCAGTATGCAACCCAGGAGACTCACATGCTGCTGGACGTCAATTTTATAAGTAAGCTTTCCATAAACGCCAGCCCAACGGCCCCCACCCCCGAGGTAGCATTGTCCTGTGTTTTTGATATGGACGCTGTGCAAACTATTGATTCCAAGCTGAAAAGTTGATGGATTAGCCAATGCTATCAATGAATAGTATAAATGAAACATCGCGGTTTTGCCACCTAGAGACGGTGAACAACTTCGCCACGTGTCAAAAATTCGCGCATGCTAAGCCCGTGTATTTTGTTGGTCGGCCCAAACATAGCCCGCGATTTTCTAGGCGCATTTCCAATGAACACCGTACCAGAATTCCGTCCAGAGCTTGAGTGCAGCTGAACCAAGAGTCGTCGGCCGTCAAGACGCCAGAGCCCGAACTATATGGGAGTGGATGGCTGAAAAGGTTCCATAGGCAGGTTCCATTGTACATTCCGGACATCAACCTGGTCCTGGGGATCGATGTTAGTTTCTCTAAATAGGTATAGACCAGCCGAGCAAGGCCTACGACAGCAAGAACGCCATATTAAGAAGCCAGAAAGGGGGGGTCGGGCGAAGAAATGAAAAGCGGCAGAAAAATAATGCCTTGGTCTGAACTAACATTTGACTTGAACGGTTAGTCTGCCAACAAGTGCTCTTACTTTCGAACCACAAATTTTAGGGGAAAACTCTTGAGGGATTCTTTCTGGCTCTTGAGTTCGGGATGCTGTCTTGTAATCAATATCGGTCGTTTGTGGAGGAAATTCGTAGATACCTGTTCGCGAAACTAGAATCTGGGCCTCAGCCGACCTCAGCCGTACCAGACTCGACAATAGGCAATACTAGCGAGATGGCCAAGACCCGAGCCTACCTATCCTCTGAGCCTACTCCCCATCCCCATACAGCCCCTCCCCACGAATCCACTCCGCAACGCCTTCACTAACCAACTTCTTCAGAGCCACCCAGTCGCTCCTCCGCACAGCCTCGCGCACCTTAGTACTACTCACTATCTCCTCACCCTCCTTCCGGTCTTCCACCATCTCAACCCTATAAACCCACTCCAAGACCCCGCCCGCCTCCTCCAAACGCCCATCACGCAGCTGCGTCAAATACGCATGTTGCGCAACCGCATCGCCCCACTCAGCATCTGTGCGCAGCGTAACACGTAGCCTCGAGCGCGCGAAGAACGGACTGAGGACTTGTGCCATGGAGTTATTGGGATAGTACTTTGGGTTGAATATCCGGATTAGAGTGTCGAAGCCTGTGAGGTATACTTGTTCTATGGCTTTGGTTTCTTCGCTTGGGTTTGTGGGGATGTGGTAGAAGTCGGATGTTGCGATTGCGGCGCTTTTTGCGTGGAAGTAGGGTTCGGTTGTTACGGCTATGTCGACGGCTTCGCATGTGTTTTGAGGTTCGTGGAGGGTGGAGGTGGTGGAGAGTAGGTCTTGCGCGAATATGTACATCATAGCGAGACGCTGTGGGAAGGCGGCGGGTTTGGGCGCTTTGTCTGCGTTGTTGACGGCGAGAAGGAGCAGGACTCGTGATCTAGGGGTACTATCCTCCCCTGGCTCTCTGCATTCTGAAAGCGCGGACAGTGCCATGCCTTGGTGGGCGAGGGTCGGTGGGTTGAAGGACGAGTCTAAGACGAGAAGTGCTTTCGGAGGTGTTTGGGGCGGTTGAAGGATTAGTGATTCGGTAGGTGTAGATAAGGAGGATGGCGTTAAGGAACACAAGACGCGGAAAGTCGCATTGGGAAGTTGGTAGCTCTTAAGAGCTTGCGTGAAGAGGGACACGAGGTTCGGTGGAAGCGATCGAGCCATTGTGATATCGGATGAAGACATTTCAATTCATTAAACGATCTATAGAAGGGCTTCAAAGGTTATGAGATGGTATTATGCAGAACCTATGCTATAAGATAAATGGTCTAAGCATTGCCATAATAGAATGGCAACACTTCATATATTCATGTTAGATATTATGGTGATAAGCGGGAGATGTTGTTGAAGGAGGGAGGTTTAATGTCGTAGTGAGGAGGGCTGGAGGGGTACCTACAAGCCCTAGATCGCAGGATTTTAGCGGACGGCTAAACCCGTAGTAAAGTGGAGATACCCGCGCTGTCGGTTCGCTGTAGCCCTGTTCATAACGCTGGACTCTATCATTAAACCGCCCCAAAAGATTCATAATTAATTGGGCATACCTAGATAACTTATATGGACGTGCTTCTTCTATTCTCTTCCACTTACACGGATTCGTAGAATTAAAGGGCAATATAAACAGATTAGTAATACTATAAAGAAAAGAATCATTGCATCATTCAGCTACCACCTTTTCATTACCGGATCCTCATGTTCTCTCCTCTTCGTAAGATCGCCCGATAGTTAAGCGACCTAAGTACACGCCATTTTGCCCTGCAGGCCCCTAGGCACAGGTACCCTCCTTCCAATACAACAAGCAAAAATAGCAGTCATAGGGTATCGTAATTAAGGAGAAAACCCAGTATTTCACAACGCCCTTAGCGCCTAGATATGCGAACTTGCCATAAACACACCGCGAATCCTCCAAATGCCTAGATGATCACCTTTAACGAATTTCGGGCTCTCTCATGAAGTCAGGGATAGTAAGTCCACCATCACTAGGGATAAACTTCTTAGCTTTCGCCTTTTTCTCCTTTCTCTTCTCTGTGAGTCTCTCAAGGCCCTCCTCGTCGTTATCGTGGATTCTCAATGCTGCCAATCGGTACTCGTGATCGTCTAGCATCTCAATTACCTCTTCAAGAGGGTTGTTCTCGGCGGTATCTGCGGTGTCATCTAAGGCGTACACCTTGATCCCGCGAATGTGCGTGTCCTTGCCATTCTGGTGGTTCTCTAGAACGATGATTCGAACGAAGTAGCAGCTGAGTGAGTCCCCGTCGTGGCCGCCACCTGCTCCAGCGATAGGCACATCAATCCAACCCTTGGGCACGTTAAGCTCCATAGTGGTGAATGGAATGGTGAAGTTGGGGCTGAAACCGGCTGTGATCTGAATCTTGGTGGGTGTGTAACTCTCATCGAGATCGTAGTCAAGATAGAGTCGTAAGACGCGAATCTCCACGCGCTTGATGAAGTGAATGTTCAATCGATGAGGTTGTGGGCCATCGGACCTAGACAACAATGCGTTAGCCAATCAATTTAGAAAAAGAAACGAATTACAATCCGCTTACTGCCAGAATTGATTGACATCATCATCTCGAAGTTCCTTAACGCCACATCCGGGCTTGTAGCTGCTGACTGTGAAACTCGCGAGATTGCTGATTTCCTTCAAACCAACTGCGGCGGGATCAAAAGCCTGCTCGTCTTCATTGTCTTCCTCATCCTCTTCGCCTTGCTCCTCGTGTTCAACTTCATCTTCGATACCCTGATTCTCGTCGCCCTCAACAACGTCATCGACATCAACATCAATATCACCATCCATAGCTTCAGCATCCCCTTCAACGATAGAATGTGTGTCTAGCGAAATGTCAGATGAAATGAATGAATCTGGTCCTTCAGATACAATTTCTGGGCCCCCAAATCTTCGAGCCGCCATCCCTTGCATTTCTTGAATTCTGAGATACGTCTCGATTGTTTCATCAGAGGGTACGGCGACTGGCCACGAGTTGGACCTAGTTAGGCGCCGGGTTGGAGAAACCCCAACCGTCGACTCAGGAAAATCGTGGGTATCCATGATGGGTGGCACGAGATTTAAGATATGAAGGTCTTAAGGTGAAGGGAATGAATTGAGAGGGGTGCGGAAAACGAACAACAACAACAACAACAGGAAAATCAGGCTAACCTTGGGGTGTCTGAAATGCCCATTGCGGATCCGGTCGTGTACCGTCATTGAAGGTTTCAGTAAGATGCTCGGCAGCTTCAGGTACCCCGGTTCGCACCGGATCCCCGCCCCGGCCCTGCGACATGCGAGCAACACGATCGGGGCGCATTAATCGTCGTCGGAATTCTTCCTGTTGTTGGCGGAGACTGGCAAAGTTCCTCGCGGAACCGCCACTGCTGCCAACATCTGGCGGATCCATTGTTAGACAGACGATATGATTGAAGACTTCATTCAATCGGCAGAGATTATGTCTGAGATTTGTTTCATGGTCAGCTTTGTGAATGGGTAACCATATATTGAACCAACTTGGGGTAAATAGAAGGTTAAGAAAGCACTGTAATGTTTATTATTGTTCTACAATAGGTACCTAGAATTAGCGCTTTCCTAGTGGATATAGCATGCACATATTCGGTATATTCTTACGTAATCACATATATATGCTTCTATAAGCTGGGTACGTATTTATCGCGGCATAAAACATCGAAAATTCACACCTAAATTGGCTTTAATTTTTTCATCATTTTTTACATCTGACATGCTTTTCTTCCCCTTACAGCTTGTTATAATAACATGTCGCAATGCCATTGACCTCTACCATCCTTCGATTTTACATTAAATTATGCAGTTACCACCTTAGCCCCTAGCTGAGATAGGAAGCTGTTTGTATTTCCATCGAAAAAGACGCATTTACCCAAACCAGTTGCCGAGTATTTTCCTACCCACATATACCTATACGATAGCTTGCTTCAACCAACAGCATCACTGCTCATCTATACTACTGCTTTACAATGTTACCTACTTCAGAAGTCCTGGGAATTCCTTCGGCTTGAATATTCCTACTTATCTAGGCATCATGATTTTATAGAATCTTCATGTAGGTCATCTTTCAACTTAGGTACAAGATTACATGTAGCCGGGAATCTCAACCAATTGTTGCCGAATTAACTCCCCTTTATCGTCCGTTCTTCCTTTATAGTTTCTACGTACTCCGCGGGTATTTCCGTATATCTTTTATCAATGTTAATACTTCTTAGCTAAAAGTAAATTGTACATTTAACCCGGCTCGACTTAAAATGGCATCCACAACCTTAGTAGATGCTATTGGTCGACTCGGCCGGGCAGTTGTGGTAGGAACCACTAACACTTACACTAACATGGGCGGGAATCTTGTACTGAGGGGCAGCGGTGGTTCTATGAGCTCAGGCACTATTTTTGCCTCTGTCACCTCTGTCACCTCACACTTACCCTCAACCTCAACCTCAACCACCAAAACTACAACTTCTACTACCTCAACCAACTTTGCTTGCAGGATATCGGCTGCATCTATCTCAAAGCAATCAACCAAACAATATACCACTCGTACGAATTCACAAATATCCGCCACAAGAATTAATTGCTTCTTCAAACCATTGGACAAGAGTCTTGTGACTCGCATACCTTGTCGATCGTTTACTTGGACACCTGCCCAATCCGTCCTTGTCCCAGCTATTCATTCGCAGCATCAATCTAGATCCGGACCCCACCTCGACACATACCACCACAGTACTCCCTTCACTTGTTTGCGACGTGGGGCAACTCTCCTACGTATAAATAGCCTACGTACAAATAAACCGGCACGTGTGTCTAGTTGCCGCTTCTTCTCTTCGTCGTCCAAAGTCTCTTGTTCCGCTATCATACCTTCATCCATCATGGCGGACCGAGATGTTCTTCCTTCTACTGTCACTCCGTCTCACTATGATCTCTCTATCTCCTCCTTAAACTTCAAAGATTGGTCTTACCAAGGAAGTGTAGCCATCGACGTTTCAATTGCGGAGCCCGTCAAGGAGATTGTTATCAACTCTATCGAACTAAAGCTACTCACTGCTAAGGTCACTGTCAACTACACCAAGGCTTCTCAGATCATAGAAACTACCACATTTAATTATGACGAGAAGAAGCAACGCGCAACCCTTGTCTTCGCCGACGAGGTTCCGGCTTCGCAGAAGGCAACTCTTCAGATCACCTTCCAAGGAATAATGAACAATCACATGGAGGGATTCTACCGAAGCAAGTACAAGCCCGTTGTTCCCGCTGCCGCCTCAGTGCCAAGAGATGACACATTCCACTATATGCTGAGCACTCAATTTGAGGCTTGCGATGCCCGCCGAGCTTTCCCTTGCTTTGACGAACCCCGATTGAAGGCAACTTTCGATTTTAAAATTGAAATCCCAGAGGACCAGGTTGCTCTGTCCAATATGCCGGTTAAAGACACCACGAAAAGCCGAGATGGTTTTGTGAATGTATCCTTTGAGCAAACTCCGGTTATGAGTACCTACCTCTTGGCTTGGGCTGTTGGCGATTTCGAGTACGTCGAAGCTTACACCGAACGGCGATATAACGGAAAGCAAATCCCTGTTCGTGTGTACACTACCCGCGGGTTGAAGGAACAAGGCCGATTTGCTTTGGAACACGCCCCGAAAACCATCGACCTATTCTCGGAGAGCTTCGGTATTGATTATCCACTTCCGAAGTCGGATTTGCTTGCCGTTCACGAATTTACTCACGGAGCTATGGAGAACTGGGGTTTAGTGACCTACCGTACCACCGCTGTGTTGTTCGATGAAAAGACTTCAGATGCTAGATACAAGAACCGCGTCGCATATGTTGTTGCCCACGAATTGGCCCATCAATGGTTTGGTAACCTTGTCACTATGGATTGGTGGGACGAGCTATGGCTAAATGAGTCGTTCGCTACTTGGGCTGGTTGGTATGCTGTCAATGAATTCCACCCTGACTGGCAAGTGTGGGCCCAATTTGTGAATGAGGGAATGGAAATGGCGTTCAAACTCGACGGAATGCGTGCATCACACCCTGTTCATGTCCCGGTGAAGGATGCGCTTGATGTGAACCAGATCTTCGACCACATTAGCTACCTCAAAGGTTGTTCAACCTTACGAATGCTTGTCAGTCAACTAGGCGAAAAAACTTTCCTCCAGGGAGTTGGCACATATCTTAGGAAGCACGCTTACGGCAATGCTAAGACCGAATATCTTTGGGAGGCTTTGAGTGAAGCTTCTGGTACTGACGTCAATGGTCTAATGAGCAACTGGATAGAGAAGATTGGACATCCACTGGTGACCGTTGCTGAGGAGCCTGGTCAGATTTCAATTAAGCAGAATCGATATCTATCAACTGGTGACGTGAAACCTGAAGAAGACCAAACAGTATGGTGGGTCCCGATATCGCTGCAGGGCAAAGTAGGACAACAAGACATCCAGAGATTAGCTCTCACCGAAAAGAGCACAACGATCCGCGATATCGATGATGAGTTCTATAAGATCAACAGCAATGCTACCGGTTTCTACCGAACGAACTATCCTCCAGCCCGTCTTGCAAAGCTTAGTACGCAGCTTGACCGTCTGAGCAACGAAGACAAGATCTCTATTATCGGTTCTGCTGCCGATCTAGCCTTCTCTGGTTATGGTACCACCCCTGCTCTTCTGTCCTTCCTCGAAGGCTTCAGGGAAGAGACCAACCACCTTGTCTGGGCTCAGGTTCTGGATTCTATTGGTCTTGTTAAGACCATTTTCGGTGATGACGATGCTATTAAGCGCGGTCTGGAGAAGTTCTCCTTGAAGCTTCTTAGCGACGCCGTGAAAAAGATCGGTTGGGACTTCCCTGAAGGCGAGGATTACCTCACAGGCCTACTGCGCAAGAGACTCTTGCTCAGTGCCGCAGCAAATGGCCACCCTGAGTAAGTTATTCATTCCTCGAAGATCCTATAGTATTTCTATTACGAAAATTCCATACCCAACAATTCCCAAGATTGTCTTCAATCATCGTTGTATTCTATTGACTAACAAATAATTTAGGGTAATCGAGAAGGCAAAGTCATTATTTAACTCTTGGGCTGATAAGGGAACTCCTTTACACCCGAATCTGAGAACCGTAGCTTACCGCACTGCTATTAAGACCGACCCGGCGAGGACAGTGCCAATTTTGAAGAAAGAATGGTACACCGGAGCATCCATTGACGGCAGGGAGGTCTGCCTTGCTTCACTAGGCCACGTCCGTGACCTCGAGCTTATCACCAAGAGCATTTTGCCCTTCAATTGCGACTTGTCCCCGCCAGCTCCTCCTTCCGAATCGGTACCCTCAGGTGATATGCATACCCTTGGTAGCGCATTGTCCACCAACTCGGTCGCGCGCCCAATCCAATGGAAGTACATCCAAGAGAATTGGGAGAAACTTACAACCAAGATGGCGAACCCGGTTGTTTTGGACCGCTTCGTCAAATTGACATTACAACGATTCACGGATACGAAGTATATTGCCGAGATCGATGCTTTCTTCAAGGATAAGGATACTAGCGCCTTCGACCGTACCCTAGAGCAGGTCAAGGATGCCATTCGTGGTCGTGCTGCTTATCGCGAGAGAGACGCGGAGAACATCAAAGAATGGCTAGGTGCCAATGGTTATCTCCAGTAAGGGAGAGGCAGGGCATTGTAATTATGATTGCATAAGCTAGATTGCAGGCCAAGATAACCATACCTACCCCCTAGGTAGTGTATAAGGTGTATAAGAACCTTAAGCTAAAAGCCACAATGAATAAACTACAATAAGCAATCCGTAATTTTTGCCTTGTAAATTGTCTTGATAATCTGCTACTGAAGAGACTTAGGTTTGCTGTGATATTTGCCATAAATGTTTCTACTTTAATGTCTCCCTTATTGTTATTTAGCCTCGAACATACACCCTATTCTGTTGAAGTGCTAGTTGTATAAAATATAGCAAATACTACTTCGATGTAAATGTCACGATACTCAAACCGAGTGGCATATTTGATTCAACAATCATCCCCTTTCCCATACAGATTAAGTAAGCGCTTATATAATCTGTTATGTAAGTTAATTATGTAAGCCATCCCCTGATGACTTAGTAGACCTTCAACCCTGAGGCAAACGAGTCGAGTTTGTGTTGACTCTGCCTCGGAATTACTTAAGTGAACCTACGATGTCCTCAAGCAACCAATGTGCTTTAAAGTCTAGGTATATAAGTATATAAAGCAGACATATATCTACAATACCCAAACTTCATATTCATAATCACATATACAACATCACATAAACACCATAAAACACACATTCGCGCGTCATATCCTCATGATTCTCATTGTCATTACCGATTTACCCTAAGCCGACTTTTTGTGCACGCGTTTCGTAAATGCTACGACTTTTAGTGTTGTGGTTTTGATGTACAGACAAGGGAGGCAAAAAACCTGGAATCCATCCGTCCGTCCCTTTTATTTTCCCCTCCTACCAAAAGCAAGCTCTCTCTACCCGCCTGCCTTTTGCAAGAGACGAAGAGTGAGAAAATAAAAAATATGCCGACGCCTAGTTCGTGATGGCCGCAAACCCTCATTCCCCTGCCGTCCAGAAGAAAAAAAGTGAAGAAACAAAATCAAAACCGATAGAAAAAGGCTAATCCGAATGCATGTCAACGCAAACCCGCCAAAATGCCTTTTTTTGCTTTGGTTTACAAACCCCTCTCGTGAATACACACGTGCGCGCAGGCACGCCCGACATCCTGATAGTGCCGTCATACCGTCATCTTTCTCCCTTATGTAACCAGACGAGAAGGGTCTAAGTTCCAGTGGGGATTAAGTAAACAAGGCAGATCAGCGCCAAGGCTGTTGAGCCAAAAGTCGATCCCGAGAAATGCGACAAAAAGATCGACGGATAGAGGCACGGGATCGAATCCTCTACGATTCCTCAGTGCGAGGTCGTCCGCCACGGTTTCCTGCACCACCACGGCCTCGACCACCTCGGCCACGTCCACGTCCTTCACCATGTCCGTGTCCTCGGTAGCCACCTCGGTAGTCACCTCGTCCACGACCACCTCTCCATCCACCTTCACGGTCGCCACGGGGTCGGTTACGCTGAACCTGGTGGAATCCGTCGTTCGCCTCTGTGGGGGTACGGGTAGTAGTCTGAGCTTGGGTCTGAGATTGAGACTGGGGCTGGGTCTGGGTCTAAGAATAGTTAGCGATATACTCATTCAGAAAATAGGGATCGGTCCTTCACTCACCTCAGGAGGGTTCTCAGGCTGGTCATCAGCCCAGGACTGAGTATTGCCGTTGGCGGCTGGGGTAGCTGTAAGACCATTCTCGGTTTCCGCAGGGTTTCGCGGGATCTTAACCCAGTCCTCCTGGGAATTAGAGGCACTCAAGTCGTTGCTAGCGTCCCACTGAGACTCAGCCGCAGCGTTGGCAGCGCTATCGGTGACACCAGAATTCTCGGGAGCACCTGACACCGGTGTGGATTCGGTATGGCCATTAGTCAACTGAGCAGTAGCACCAGTGGTATCAATCTCGGTAAGACCAGCGTGAGCGACGGTAGGGTCGGTTCCGTTGACTGTCGTAGTCTCGACAGACGTCTCGGTGGACTCGAGAGCATCCTCACCTGCAGCATACAGGCTCACGTGGGCCGCAGATGCTACCCTGACTTGGTCAACTGCGAAAAAGATAAATTAGTATGAAAGCCTTAAGCCGTAGATGTATCATTAGCACCTACAAGTAGTTTGGAGTTCCTCTCCGGAGACGCTGACCGTCTTCTCCTCTGATCCGTCAATAAGCTTGATCATGGTAGAGACAGCATTCTCATCACCAGAGTAAACGTTCAGAAGAACACCCTCCAAGGCCATATTCTCGTCTAGACCAGGATCATGTTCTTCTGTTCTTCGAGCCGCAGCTAGTCGAAGGAATTGCGACAAGGTCAGTAAGCTATCGTGCTGGATTTTCTTGGCATCGGCGGCGGCTTGCTCCTTAAGCTCACGAATCGCATCTGCTTTCTCCTTCTCGTACTTCTCGGTAAGAGTCTTTTCCAAAGTAGCTTTCTCGGTAGCAGCGCGAGTTCGGTACTCTTCGTCGACCTTCTTGTATTGGGCGAGCTGCTCCTCGATTTGGGCAAGCTGGGATTCTAGGTGGGGCTTCTTAAGGCGCTGGGCGCGTTGGTCGGCGTTGATGATCTTAGCATTGACAAGCTCGTCAAGAGACTTGTCTTTGTGTTGGTCGATTAGAGCGTCGGTCTTGGAGGCGTTGGCCTAAATCACGAGGTAGCTAGTTAGGTACGAAGCTCTATGCAGGGTTGGGTAGTAACGCGACAGATTGGGGAGCTTACGATCTTCTTGTTGATGTTGCGAATATTCCTAAGCAAAAGGGTTAGCATAAAAGTGGATACTGGATAGTGGTGGTGAAGTAGAACTGACTTCTGAAGTTCGCGGATATAAGGGCTCTCGGAGCTCTCTTCCTGACCTTCTTGACCGGCAACAGAAGCAGGCTTGTCGGCAACAGACAGGGCAGAGGGCGCAGGAGACTCGGTTCGTTCGGCCTTGGCCTTCTTCTTCTTTGCAGACTTAGATTCCGTCTGGACGGGAGGGTTCTGCACAGCGGTAGAAGGCATGATGAGAAGTATGGTTTGGTCGTGTGCTCAGCGAATCTGGTTGGTGGGTGAGGAAGTGGGTTCTTTTTTTATTTTTTTACTCGGGAGCTCGTTTGCTCAGATCGCCGACTGGGTCAAAGTTCTCTTGTTATAGGAGAGAAACGTCAGTATGGAAGAGAAATGTGAGAGTAATAGTTGAATAATATTCTTTAAGGTACGAAAAGGTCGTAAGTAGAGTTGTTCTAGGTAACAATAAGTGAGTTGAGTAGGTTTGTTTTGTTGTGGGGGGAGAGGAAGTGAGACGGATTGAGAAAATGATGCAGTGGGTTTTTTTTTTGGTCGGCCGAAGTTGAAGTGGATGTTATTTTTCTGCAGGTGCGACTTCTGGGTCTACCTACCCTCAGGCTTAGATCGGAACTTTTTCAGGCTGCTAGGTTACAAAAGTTTAGGTACTTAGGCCCCAATAACCCCCCTCGATGTACCCTGGAAAGCACTCACAGCCCCCAAAGATCTATGCACCGGCCCGCTGTACCATGTCAGCAGAACCCACCGGCGAAACTTACAGAAACCCTAGGAAGAATAAAAGTGGAAAAAAAGGAGAGGCAGGCAAGTACCAAATGAACCTTGGAAATCATATTCCGTGCATATATCTAAAATGTATACATACTCACGTACCTAAGTACCTAACATTGAATTTATTCACACGATACCAGTGTATTTCTTATTTTTGTCACTTTAATTTGCGATTGATAATTAGGTAGGCGTAATACGTACTTAGGTATTTATCTGTATTCTGCCTAGATCTAGTGAGCCGTTTGCTAACAAGCACCTAATATGTACGTTCGGGTAGCTGCCTGTGTACGACTGTACATACATCTGTAAGCAGGCTGCGAGAGTACATAAATTGGGAGGTACTCGACGCCCTATTATCACCTGTAATACCTCCCACCACCCGCGACTCGAGGTCTGTGGAATATTTATACCCCACCACTTAGAACCCTGTGCGCGATGCATGGTATGAAGACCGGACGAGCAGGCAACTTTTCGATGACAAGGCCTGAGACACAAACGTCCTTCGTTGGTTGATTCGTATGTCGTATATGAAGTTTGGCTCTGATGAATCCAGCACACCCAGTGAGTTACTTCTCTCTCAACCCTTGAATTTGGCCAGAGTATCCTTCGACCACGTCAATCAAACAATTCAACAATACCATGCGAGAAACTTACAGCAGTAGCTTTTTTGACACTCCTTGCGCTTATCCCCCTTTCTCCGGCTTGTTTCGCGTCAATGGCAGCCTCCTTCATAAGACTATTTTAGGACCGTTAATATTCAAGAAAAGTAAAAAAACAAGCGAATAAAATGAGAACACTTGAGAGCACTTACGTTTGCATAAATAGTACGTAGTCGAGGAACATCTGTAACGGCACACATTATGTTAGGGCGCGTCGCAAACGCGAAGTCGAGACTAGTAAATAAAACGAAGACGGGTCAGCCTTACCATGACATCGGCGTTTTTGCTAACATTGCATTTTGAATGCGCCTTGACAATCTTTTTCACTGTTGCCCTCGGGTACATCTTCTGTCCGGGAGCCATCTTGAAATTCGAAGTCCTCTCAAATAAGGGGTTATATGTGGATGTATCTTGGACTCGAGGATGTGTAGATGGCTGATGAATAGATGTTCAGGTATTGATTTTGGAGAGTGACAGCTAAGAAAACAAACCCCACTAAGTCGGCATTAGCTGTCACCGTGTTCAAGTACCGACAAACGGGTATTCTGGTATCGAAGTACATAAGTACCCCAGTACCTGCTTGCACCAACCTTCGAGGAGCTTGGGCCAACTTCTAGGTACCTAAGCTTACCCCACCTCCCTAAATTGACTTGCAGCTTTCTACAGCGGATCGAATTCGGACAGGGGTCACATGTCTACCTGAACCTCAACTTGAACTTACTTTACCGTGCCTTACTTACACTTTATCTAATGTACATAATTCAATGTACGAAATATGGTTATCTATCTGCAAGACAGACCGCTCTAATCGAAACATTGAATCTAGAATCAACCCTGGAAACCACCAGTTCATTACTTGCATGAAAGAAGCTAAAGTGGATGAGTATCATGTTTGTTCATCTATCATATTCTACGTGTTTTATGCAACCCGAATTATTCTCTTCTCACATTCTAGTATGCTGACAACATCCCTTACTTCTACTCTTGGTATCGTGGGATATTTGCTCTCTGTAGGACCTAATCGAAGAATTGCATTTCCTCGCCATCGGTGTTGAAAATCTTGACCTTTCCATCCAGGACTTCGCGACGACCTTCGGCACAGCACTATACAATTCAGTCAGTATTACCTTCTCAAAGTTCGAAATCGACAGGCTTGGGGAACTTGGATATGCCCTAGGGATAACTCTATGGGTGATTCCCTAATGGGCCCACATAAAATACTCGGGTGTTCGCTAAGGAAGGATTGTTGATTACGTACGGAACCATACTATACGGATCAAAGTTAGCAACATCATTCCATCATCGGATATCAAGCATCCCAATCCAGTCTATCCGAAGGAAGTAGCTTGTATAAGGATTATAAGAGTGGCAAACTTACAACTCCAGAACAACCACCATTTAGACAACTATTGCTCGAACATCCGAGGCACCCTGGGATGCAGCAATAGCTCTCGTACTGTCGCGTCTCGAGCTGGAACTCTCGAACCGGGCCAGCGTCCACAAGTAGGAAAAGTGATGCGGCCATGGCGGCAGAAATGAGGTGGGTATTAGAGAATTGCATGATGGGCTGATTTCTCGCGCTCGCTTACAATGTCGTGTTACTAATAAGTAGGTATAGTTATCGTCAAGTTGCTCGTCAGACTGCTCAGTTCAGAGATGGGGAGAACGGGTGTAGTCTTATAGAACGAAAGAGAGAGAATTTACTCTACAGATGCTTTCTTATAAACTTTCAACCAGACAAAGACGTATCTTACGATGAATCCCAAGTGTTGGTAAGATCAGCTATAACCTGTGACTAACAATCAACCAGGAGGCGTTTACTATTTCCTAACATGATCCAATCACAATGCTATTAGCAGTCTCCATGTCAGACTTACCATAGTTACTTATGTCCAAATACAGTAAAATCCTCATAGTCACCAACAATTGCAAGAACCTAGACGTGGTCTATCCGTCCATCCCCGCCGCAATCGTGATGATTGTTCGATATAACAGAGGGGATTATGGGGCATCAACACTAACTCACCGGGACCGAAATATCCTTCACCACAGATTCCATGCTAGATAGAACGCTAAATCCTTCCTGTAGGAGGACTCGCAGCAAACATCGAAGCTTCTTCCTGGTCACTCCTAGCTAATAAAGATACCCTAGGTAGGCAATGTCTCAAGATATCAGAGTCAGGAACTCAGTAGCATAAAGACCATTTCATCGAAACATCTAGAGAGACCCTGGTGCTATAGGATGGTATACATACAATCGCTACCCCTTTGTTTGCCTTATCTCAAGCTAAGCTCTACTCTTCCCAAACCACCAACCCCTGATCCTCTTAGATACGATTCCGAATCTCCCAGTCCAGCTAATTTCTATATTATTAAGTCCCCATATTATGTAACCCTGTACGTGTACCTAGGTACCCGGGTATGTTTCTAATCAATTCACGAACCACCGAGCAGATCTTCAGGGTCGGGTCACTAGATAGTTTGACACCCAGCTCATGGACAGACCAACGACATGACAACCGATCTACTTCTTAATAACTTAGTCGTGCCAACCGCAGCTTTTATGATTCCCTGCTAATCTATATCCAAGTCGCCTTTAGTCCTACATATTCTCCTAAATAATATTTGCCCCTATTTTCTTATCATGTTTTCAGGCCCAAGTACGCCCTCTTGAGGGCCACGCAGAGCCAACAAATCGAGATACCTTAATACTATCTTAAACATCCAGTTTTTAATGGTCGTTTTTATAAGTAAAATGGATATAACAATAAAGTATTTATACCCCAATTATCGCCGGTGATTGCTTCGACGGGGGTCCATAATCCCAGAAGACGAAAGCTTTTATTTAGGGCGAATCGATGTACCCATCATCCATCCGTTAACGATCACCGACTTCACCACAGCAGAAGCCTAGACCACGAGCTACAGAAGCGGTCGAGTTATAGAAGGTATCGGGAAGCCCCGCCCCTTTTCGCTGTAGGAGAGTAGCTCGATCTCAGACAGCAGGGATAAAGGGCATTCCCTTAATACCTAGACACCCAGAGCGTCATTCGTGAGCTCCCGTAACGATGAAGTTGCCGCCGCGCTTCTTTTCTTGTGATTTTGGTTGGCCTTATGATATCTTAATTACTGGTACGCCGGATATGGGGCCGGGATATCCCCCGACAGCCCTCGTATGAGTATCTACCTCTCTCTCCTTATCCCCTGATATGGCGAAACTATATCCGCGGCGCTGTTCAGAGCAGCGTGCTTCGTAGCATGGTTAACGAAGTAATGGAAGTTGCGTTTGCTGCCATTGTATTTGCCGACGAGTTCGACATGCGAGAGTTCCTTAATGCAATTGGCATCTTTGGGGCCCGGCTTTGATGCCCGTGAATGTATTCGTGATGAACACGCATTCGTTGAACGGTCAACTGCGGGACGTTTGACAATGCCCCTAACCGATCTTATACCCCGCCCAGCCACTTAGTTTATCACGATAGGTATTAATAGTGTATAAAGCTGCGGGGGAGGCTTTTTTAGTTGATGACCGCCGCATGGGAATAGAGCCGATTGGTGTTTAATTTGTGCTAAATCCCAGTTTCATGCCTAGCCCATGGATTTGGCGCAATTATAGGGGTTGCCGGGGCCCGTCACGTCGTTATGTGACTTAAGACGCACCGCGGGAGATTAAGCCTATTATATTCGTACTCCCGTACGGAAACATGAATGCGTGTGGCGGTGGATATCCACGATACTACGTAGGTGTGTGTTAGTATATATTTTAACTGTCTTGATTCCATATACTTGCGTGTAATAAAGAGGACAATGGCTATAAAGGGGAGGCTTACCTACATTATTTAGGCCAAGACTAGATCTCATTACGAGATTTCTTCGAGACGTTTGCCAATGCTCCAAATATCAAACAAGAAAAAAACCCGGACGGTAGACTCGATATTAACTTAGAAGTCCAGTATTTAGTATCAAACCATTATGTTTTAGAGCCACCCACAAACATAATAGTCTCGGTTAGAAGAAATCACGCAGGTCTCAGGTAATAAGGTTTTGGTGCACCATCCGAGTTACTATGGGTACAGAAGATCTCGATGGCAGCCGTAATATAATACGGCGGGTTTTTAGAAAGTAAGGCGTTGATACGGTCCTCTCCTTCATGATCCGTTAGGGTTGCCGACTTTTGGAAGGTTCTTTTTATGCCGACGGCAGTCCACGAGATTTCCGGCCATGGCGGCTATATTACTTAGTTTGGCCATTTAATGTATGATCGGCTCTTTGGTGTTTTTATATGACGAAGAAGATGCCCAAGCATGTACTTCTAAATTAGAGATGACTGGTATAAAGGTAGAACCGTCGTAATAGGATGATGCATTATATATAAAAAAGGTTCAGCACTGAAGATAGAAGTGCTAACTCTAAGAAAGAGAATGTGATGCATGGCGATTATTCCACATGGTTGTGGTTATGATAGTAGAGGAAAGAGTGTGAATGATGTTATAGAGTGAAGAAAAAGTGAAGATTATGAGCGAGGAAGCTGCACTCTTATATACATTCTTCCTGTACAACCTATACAGTCCATAGCACAGTAAAACACTGTCCATTCCACCTTCAACCTTTCATCACCATCTCAACCATCCTCTCACTTACACCACCACCACCACCACCATCCCCCCAGACTCCGAAGCAAATCACCAAACGAGGAAATGACCTCACCAATCCCCACACCACGGCAATTCCTAACATCCCTAATCAACAGTCTCACCTCCCACCCACCCACAACTGCAGCCACCCACCCCACAATCCCAAACACAAACACAAGCCCAAACCCGCTAAAGCAAATCCCACCAATCCACCGCCCGCTCCTAACCACGCTCTACGTGCTTTACCCCCTGACTCTGCTGCCTGCCTTAGACCTCCTAGACCGACGGCTAGCGACACGCATACTCATCCAACCATCCCCAACAACGATAACAGAAGCCCACGCACGGCTGCCTAAAAAGGGGGCGGATATCTACATAGTGCGCTCCGCCCAACCACAGCACCCGCGTCGCGGCGGCGGGGAGCCGTCCTCTACATCCGGTCTATCATACGTCGTGCGCCTGGATGCCTGGAATTGTACGTGCGCTGCATTTGCATTTGCTGCGTTTCCGCGGGAGGAGGTGCAGCGGAGTTACGTCATTGAGCTCCTTGCGGGTGCATCTCGGGTTGGACAGGATGAAAGGTTGAGAGATGAGGAAGGGGAAGGCAGGACCTGGCAATTTGGCTCTCTGAGTGTGGATGGTACGGAAGGAAGCGGGATCGCGGGGGTGCCTTGTTGCAAGCACTTGCTTGCGTGTGTACTGGCTGAGCGGTGGGGTGGATTGCTTGGGGGGTATGTCGAGGAGAGGGTGGTTGGTAGGGAGGAGGCTGCGGGTTTGGTTGCTGACATCTGAATATTCCAGATACCCTTTGGGGTGGGGGGTATGATTAACGGTTTCACGAAGTTACGAACTTGCACATTTTTCTCTGGCTCTGGAATGATCTTGTAGATCCTGGCATCATGGACATGTAGTAACTCAAGCATACCATGAACCTAAAAGTCTATGAGGTAAAAACCATAGCCTCGTCAGATCAGCCATCTGACTGAACATCTATAAATTAGCATGCATGCATGATACGCCTCTGACCTCAGTTAGTAGGACTTTTCCCTTCCAAACGAGGATAATATACAGGGTAGTAGGTGTAGAAGTATTTGGTTATCCCATATGATCATAACTCCCTTATTTCTTCTTTTCCTTATCATTGCCCTTTTCTGTGGGCTCGCCGTTGACACCATTCGCACTCTCTTTCTTGTCCTTATCATCCTTCCCCGTTGTCGCGGCAGCTTCCTCCTTGGCTTCCTTCTCTTCCTGCTGTTGCCGGTTCTGAATCTTGTTCTCGATAAGGTCGTGGAAGGCAGTGATAGCGCGGATAAGACTGCTTAGGTAGATGGCAAGGAGTTGATCGTTCGTCTTAACGCTCATGGCGTAGGACAGTTCACCTGCATTGCCACCCTTTCCATCTGCGCCAGGCTTGGGTGTCGAAAGGTTAGGTAGGAGGTTGAAGATATCTTGAAGGTTGCCCAGAACAGCATGGTTGACAGGTAGTTTACCATCTTGAACTTTCTGGAGGTAGGCTTGAATGTCACGTAATCGGAGGTGTAGTCCTTGTAGCGACTGTAATTGGTTTGTAATACGTGTCGACAGAGTTCCGATAGCTACGTCACGAATGTCTCGGAGTAAGTGCTCGACACCAATCTCCTCTGCTTCCTCGGCCTCGATAGTAGATGGGGTGTGTACGAAGGTCTTCGACGTAGTTGTGCCGTCCTATTCATCTTGAATTAATATTCCGATTATACGTAAAAAGGATATGGGTATTAGGCGACTTACATCCTTGATCTCTTCTACTGCAAAGTATGCGTCTGTTGGAACACCGGACTCCTTCGGTTGGACGTCAATGATGACAAGTAGCGGGTTCGGTGTGTATCGCTTGAATAGCTCGTTGATCTCGAGATCGGATGCGCGCAGTTTGGGTCCGGAGTGGTACCATCCTATTAACTTCTCTCGCGCGTTGACCTTCTTGAACATATCGTTCATGTTCTCGACGTAGTTGTGATCTAAGAACCAAACCGACGGGTCGTCATTATCTTCCTCGAACGGAACTAAATAACAAATTGATGTTAGTACTGTCAACACAAGCAACGCGGGGTGTTTTACTAACCGGCAAAGCTGTTCGAAACGCGCACATTCTTTCCATCATTCTGACCTAGCAGTACGCCGACCACTCGCTTCCGTGTACCTTTAGCTACTCGATTATAATGATCTACGACGGAAAGTAGGACGAGCGGTGCGACAGTGACATTTTTATTGACGAAAGAAAGGGTTTCTGCTGTCGTGGCAGGCATGGTGAGGGTTATCGAAATATGTGAAAGGTTTAAAATAGGACGGAATGGAGAAAGCTTGCTGTGACGAGGAAAAATGAATTAAGGTACGAAGTATGATGAAAGTTGATAAACACTTTAGGAAGGCTGGAGGGCTGTCGTATGTGAGGCTGCCTTCCGCTACAAAATCCCGGCAAGCTTAATTCTTGATCGGGGTTAGCTTCGAATCTACGTCCACTTATGCACGGACCCTCCCTTCGCAAGTTGCTTTGAGGCTGATGTAATTCTTAAATTCACTGCTAGAAATTACGTAAACAGCTTATTACCCCACTTACATAACGGCCTGTGGCTTTAAACTGTGGCTTGCTCTTGTGGTCAGAGCTTTATCTGTTCAACTTTGAATTAGATAATCAATAAGGAATTCTCCACAAAGAAAGTACTTGGCTTCCATAACTTTAGATGAGATGGCTGAATTACCCCGGCTTACTGAGCTATATATGATGTATCGTCCTCAAACAATTGAGTGAGAAAACCCCGGTATATCCGTTTGACCGAGTACATAGGAATGTGATCATGGGTATTATTTGTCACAATTGGAACTTGGTTGCCCTCAACATGTGTAAGTTATTCACGACTACTATTTATCAGGATGTCTAATGGTTATTAGGAGTGCGATAGTTAATGATACATGTAATAAATATTTATCTTATCTCGATGCCGTTGAATTCCTCAAAGCCGCATGCAACCATATGGATTTGATAGGTGTATAGGTGTTTGATATGTCTATACAAACAATCAACCTCGGCGGTCCAGCGGAAAAGTATAGTACAACTCGCAACATTTCCGGCCGTCGAGTTCCTAGAAAAATAGCCGAGTTCCAAAGTGACGCTTAGCCAAATAAAGTAAGGTGCTAGTCGAGCTACAAGTACCTCGGTGTAGAAGCTAGGGGAGTTACAGGCAGGTAGCTTATTGTAGCATGCCGCTAAGGAAGCATGGGGTCCCCACTATCTACTGCTAAACAAACTGTCCGTCAACCATTGAGGAGCCCCAATTGCCCCAAGCTCTAGTTCCAGGTACCTAGGCGGGACTCGACTTTTAGGACGAGCCTTTTAATTTTCTTAGTGTTCTTTCTCTTTGGTGCACTTGCATCTCACAATCGAAACTTGGCAACCTGTTCCTTACCAAAGACGGGTTGGGGAGCTACAAAAAATTCGAAAAAAGAATCCCCCGATCCCCGATTCCCGACCTCGCAGAAGTCACCTGCAAGTTTGGTTACCTGCTTTTATGTTGCTTTATGTACATTTCTTTATGTACCTAGTCCATTAACGGACTTTCCAACCATTTTCAACAATTTACAACTTACTACACTTTACACTACACATTTCCTTCTTCCTCTCTTCCCGTCACCTCCGTATATTTCTTCCCCTTTCCTTATATCCCTCATTTTCTTGTGACCCACTCTGTCGCCTACCTCTCCTCGCCTTGGTCAGGCTTAATTGATTCGTCCGAGTTCTTCAAAATGGGTGTTATCGACGATGAGATGAAGCGGCTGCAGGACGTTGTGTCCGGGCTGGAGGAGCGCGTACGACGTCTAGAGCACCGTCAATCCGGCGACAGCATACCTGCCGAAAGTGTGCGCATGATTCTTATGGGTCCTCCCGGAGCCGGTATGTTTAGAGCGACAATGAACCGAAAAGACCAAAGCTGTGAAGAGGCAATTGGTCTTTACCGAGGGTAACGCTAACTCCGAATTTTGCGAATTCCAGGAAAAGGAACACAAGCGCCCAAGATTAAGGAAAAGTTCTCTTGCTGTCATCTGGTAAGCTGCACGATTACGAACTGATACTTAAATGCGGTGTGGAAGCGGATCGCTAACAATCCTGACAAAAGGCCACCGGTGACATGCTCCGATCCCAAGTCGCTAAGAAGACAACTCTTGGCCGAGAAGCCAAGAAGATTATGGACGCTGGCGGTTTAGTCAGTGACGATATTGTTATCGGTATGATTAAGGAAGAGCTTGAGAACAATAAGGAATGCAAGGGCGGGTATGTTCAATTTTTGCGCTTTCATGGCTGCGTCCTTTTATTCGCAGCCAATACTGCACGTCATATTCAGCCACCAAATTCAGCCGAACTAATCGCATTCTAGCTTCATTCTCGATGGTTTCCCTCGTACCGTTGCTCAAGCCGAATCCCTCGACAAGATGCTTACGGACAAGAACCAGAAGCTACAGCACGCTGTCGAATTACAAATCGACGATGCTCTGCTAGTTGCCCGCATTACTGGCCGCTTAATCCACCCCGCCTCCGGCCGAAGTTACCACAGTATCTTTAACCCGCCTAAGACTCCTATGAAGGATGACATCACTGGTGAGCCTTTAATCCAGCGATCTGACGACAACGCCGATGCTTTGAAGAAGCGTCTGGTTACATATCACAACCAAACAGCTCCCGTCGTTGGTTACTACAAGAACACCGGTATATGGAAGGGTATTGACGCCAGCCAAGAACCCGGTCAGGTCTGGAATAGCTTATTAAAGATCTTCGACGATAAGAAGGGCGCCAAGTCTGGTGGCATATTGAGCAAGTTGACTGGCCAATAATGCTAGTGGTTGTTATTACCGCCTTTATCTTCTACTTTTCGACTGACAACCAGAAGATGGAATGTCTATGAATATGGAGTTGTAGCATGAGAGGCGACACGCGTTTATGTAAAAAGGCGAAACGTCTTGAATGTGGTATGAATGGATATTTGGGGTAGGTACCTCTACGGCGCGATGACGGGATGAAAAGGGCACGCACGGGACTGACGCGGCTTGTATCATACGACTTGAATGTACCTTGTCATTAATCAGGCCTTCGAAAAGACACATTGAACCCTGCAGATATCTCATACCCTGAAGTGATTTCTTACCTACCTCTTGCGTAGAGCGAAACGCAGTGGTCCCTAATGTTGTGAATCTGGCAGTTTCGCGACGACCAATAGAGGAATACCGGCGGTCAAGCAATCTCTATGTCTATAACATTGATTCTAAGGTGAGTCCTAACATGACGGAATGTTCCGAAAAAAAAAGTAGGTACGTCGGAGTAGTCCCGATCGGTCTCGGACTGGTCAAGAAGTCACTTTCTCCGATATCAAAGAAGAGTCATAGAGTTATCAACTTTGTCTCCCATGAATAGTTTCATATGATTAGTCCACGAATAGTATAAGTGGATGGTCAATCACTCTTCCTCAATTAGTAAGCCGACAAACACGAATACGAAGACTATAACATGTGAGTTCATGAACTTCTGAATAGTTACAACCCATGTATATTGATTCAAGGATATGACACAGATCACAATCATAGACACGAATACGATTCAGGGGATTCATACGGACTCAAACCGGCAAACAGCTTCAACCTCTGAGTCATACTCAGCGGCATCAAACGCGATGCGGGGAGTAGTATAAGAATCCCCAGTTCATCTAGTACTAAGGATATTGAAAATCACAAACACAATTACAACACCAATTCAAATAGTTATTACCACCAACAACCATAACCATGTCTCTAGACTTCACCACTTTCGACGTCTTCACGACCATCCCCTTCCGGGGCAACCCCCTCGCCATCGTCCACGTACCATCAAACATCCAACTCGCGCAGAACCAAAAGCAACTCATCGCACGAGAGTTCAATCTCTCAGAGACAGTCTTCCTACACGAGCAGACACCCGCGGATATAAAAGCCCGTATCGCACGTATCGACATATTCACCGCGTTAGCTGAAGTCCCATTCGCAGGGCACCCCACCGTAGGAACCGCCAACTACCTCTTACACCACCTACACCTAGACTCCGCGCACGTACTATCCACCAAAGCCGGACCCTTACCTTTCAAAGAAATAACATTCCCCCCAAACTCAGAAGCCGGTGCTCAAATCAGCGTCGCGCATAACATGCACATCCACTCCACGCCCTTCGCGGGTACACCGTACTCTCATTTTCCGGTTGTTAGTATCGTAAATGGTATGAGTATGATCCTAGCCCGACAACCCGACCTCGCGGCCTTGGCCGCGCAGACGGGGAATTTAGTCGGGATTGAGAATACATACGGCGCGAGCGCGAAATTAGACGAGGGATGGCGGAACGGGCCTGTTCTTAGTTATTTCTACGTCGATCTCGGTGTTACTGGCGGCGTGAGGAAATTACGCACGCGTACCCTGAGTTCGAGAGAAGATCCGGCGACTGGTAGTGCGGCGTCGGCTTTGACTGCTTATTTGACGCTTAGTGAAGGCAAGGAGGGGTCGTTGGTTAGGAAGTATGAGATTACGCAGGGTGTGGAGATGGGGAGGAGGAGTGTTATTCGCGTGCAGGTTACGCTGAATGAGGCGCGTGATGGGATTCGGGAGGTTTTGCTTTCTGGGAGTGCGGTTAGGGTATTGGAGGGGAAGGTTCCTATTCCGGATGTTGGGTTGGCGGTCTATGAGTAAGTGGGCTGTCGTTTGTAGTTTACAGAGCTGCTTGTTTTGCGACTTGAATCAAACTACATGGAATGGAAACCTTGGAGAGGGGAGAGCGTTTGAGTATAAATGCCTAGGGGGATCGTTGGTTATTTTCGTGTTTTGTCGTCATAAGATGTGATGCTCTAGGAGTTCACCCTCCAACCACATACTCTGTATATACCATACGTGCTCAACCACTTACATTTTCATTTTTTTCCCTACATTTCTGATTAGATCTCCGTGTTCCAGCTAGCTTTCCATTTCAAAATTCCTGCCCTGCTCCCACGCTCACCATCCACGAATGCCTGGGTGTGCTGATGTTTTCTATGGCGGCGGTGCTGGCAGTTGCCAGGCGCAAGCTAATACATTTCCAATATGACCGCCTAACCTGGTTTTGATTTCTTAATGGCAGCACAACACAAAGAACCCACGAAGGTTGAGATAAATGAATTGAACAAGCGACTACAATGGCAATTGAACAACTTGGAAAGAGGAGTTCGATATATCCCGATTGACCTTAGCAAAGCCAAAGTATATGTGATCGTGTTTGGTTCTCCGCCGGAGCTTCCCGAACCAATATCGACCCTCCCTAGGGTGGTCTTGGAGGAATTCGATCCAGGGCAAGCTTTACCATCTTTTCCATCTCGAACATGTCTCAGACGAAGAGGACCAGACAGGACTTGGTGAAGAAATCCAAACACAAAGGAAAGACCACCAAGTCGCGCAGCGCCACACCCTCTATGTCACTCTGAGTACCCTCACATAGCGGTAGAGAAGATACCAACGGGCAAATCCCTAGAGAAAAAAAAAGCTATGAGTTGGTAGCAGATGCGTTTCGGCTGTTACAACATTTCTCAACCCCAGATAGCTGGTGCCGGGCACGAGAACTGGAACCCGTATTCCTCATTATACAGTTCCTCGAGCGTTATCTTCGATGAGCGGTTCATTAACGATAATTAAATTCGGAGATATGTGGGTTGCCGCGTCTCCGGAGTTGAGCGTCAATAGGATGGAGGAGTCCAAGGACATAATATCAAAGGGTAGTGCCAGGGGATATGCTGTGGGGGCCCTTCAACTGTAAGGCCCATCGAACTTCACAGGAAAATTGGCAAGCTACGAAGAAGCCAGTATGAGACGACTGAGGAAACTAAGGCTTAGTTATCAACTAGAAAGCCTTGGCTAGATCAGACAGTAGAGTTAAACCATCACTAATAGCCAACCACATATGAGCGAATAGTCCAAGTCAATGGTGACAGTAGAAGTAGAAGTAATAAGAATCTTCCATTAACCGCCTATAAACAAACTACGTACGTAGTAAATTAGCCCCAACTCCATCCATCCCCTATTCATCATCTTCATCGTAACCATAGCATTAAAACACCAAGAGTGTGATTGTGTGAGGGCAGGGCTGAGCGAAGGATCTCTAAAAGCGCAGAAAAAGGGGGTAGTGAGGAGTAGACAAATCCAACGCCTTCAGTTCATATCATATCATTCCGAACTCCCCCTCGCCACCCCATCCCGTAGGAAAGAGGGCAATATAAACATTAAAAAAACGCCGATGGAAATGCAGTTTTGAAGATTCTGATAGCCACTGAACGCCTCGCATTGCCATTGCACTTAGAAATATTGATATCGAGACGCCGCTCGGTAAGCTGGGTATCCTGCGATTTATTTCATTCGATATCTCACTTGAGGCTATCCAACTCCAACTCAATTAGAAGCAGGTGGGGTATCGAGGAAAGCAAGTAGGTAAGTAAGCAAGTGAACCTGAACCTCCTCATGCAGAGCGCCCCTTAGCAGCCCTAACTGCCGGTGCGCTAACATCTCTCCTATCACCCACACCGGTTACCATCTGCCGTCTAGGCGTAGCCTGACCCTGTGCAGCGCTTCTAGCTCTACCGCGGCGCTCCTTGATCTGCGCTAGAGCCTGTTCGCGCGTCATCGTGGGGGTCAGCGCTGGGTTGTTAATGTCGAATGACGGGGGCTGGCGGTTCGCGCTAGTTCTTTTATCATCTCGGACGGGCACCATCGTTGTCGTCGTTGTTACTGCGTAGAATGCAGCTGAGGTGTGTGGTCGTGATTCGTCATTGAGTTCTTCCCTTTCCACTTCCGCTCTTGTTTCTGGGCGGACGGTCTCTTCCCTATCGTACTCAACGTCTTCGTCCTCTTGATCAGAAGGGGCTTCAGAAGCGGCTTCTGCAGATGTGGTCGGGATATTTATGACTGTGCAATGAGATTCACTCTCGCGAGGTGCGTTGAGAAGGGAGAGTAGTGAGGTACGTTCTTGTGCTAATAGTGCGAACGTGGGGGGATCGACAGAAGGCGTTCGGGAATAATAGGGTGGGTTTGGTTGAGGATCTACCGGGGTAGGCGGCTCGGAGGCGGATTCATCGGATTTGTTCGCCGCTCGAAGGTCTTGTTGGGAAAGAGTTCGGAAGATACCTTCGGAGGGAACGAAGATCGTGCTACGTCTGGGTTCCTTGCGCTCCTTTGGCTCCTCCTTCTGCACAACTTCTTCAACTTCCTCTACCGGCGGAGGAGTCTCTTCGATTTGTGGAGGTTCCTGTTTCTCTTGCTCTTGTTGCTCTCCGTGCTGCTCCTCGTGTTTTGGCTCTGCGACGGTAGGGAGCTCCGAAGACTGGGACTTCCGGCCTAGGATAAGGCGGTCTGCTGGATCCACGATCGTAACCGGGGCGAGTCGCTCTTGACGACCCGACAGCCTGGTACTTCTTCGTGCGCGAGTTCTTGCCCCACGACAGAATCGAAGTTCGCATTCAGCTTGCATAAAGTCGAGCTGCTCTTGGGTGCGATCAGCCCTTTGCTTCTCCCATTGCCATAGACGCGTCAATTCTTCAATCTCGTTCTCGCTTGCGGCAGAAGATAGAATATCGACAGTCGACAGGGAGACTCGTCCATCTTTCTTAGGCGACGCAAATTCGGTGTCGGGCTCCTCAGGTGGTAGTGGTAGGCGACCCTCAGCGGCGATTCTCGCAATCTCCTCGCTCTGAGCGGCGGCTTTATATGCATCACGTTCTCGTTCGACAAACGCAATGCGCTCGAGAGCCTTCTCTAATTGTTGTTGCACCTCAACTAATTGATAGCGCGACGCGAACGCCTCTTGTTCTCTAGCTTTACTAAGTTCCTTCTCTCTTGCTAAGGACTCTTCGGTAGATTTCGAGGCGGCTCGTACGGATTTAAGTTCTTCTTGTAGTTTGACGATGGATGATTGTGTCTTGAAAACTTCCTTACGCGCCTGCCGGATTTCCTTCTCCCATATTGCTTTGCTATGTTGAAGTGTTTCTTTGGCTTGTCCGTATTTTTCCTGCGAAAATAGTGTTAGTAGGTTGAGGACGGTTAGGGTGTCACTGGCTTCATTTTATTTACCATTACATCCTCAAGTCTTTCGCCTACTTTGCGCTCTCTACCTCGACTTTCTTCGACGTGCCGACGTAGTACGCGCGCTTCTTCTCTATAACGGCGCATTTCGGACTCTGCTTCTTCTCGTCCGAGCATTGCTCTCTTTAGGGCGGCGTCAGCTGTTTTTCGTTCGAGTTGCCTCGACATGGATGCCGCGCCAGGATTGGTATGCGTCATGTTGTTAAACTGGCGGATCTTATCGTGTACGTCACTGTCACGAAGTTGTTCGGTTCGTATGGAAGAGAACATAGAAGCGTCGCGCTGCTGATTAATTCGGTCGGGGGATATAGGCTGAAGTGGTGCTGCATCAGGCGAACCTGGCAGGCTAGATGAGTGTTCGACGTTAATCATTTGTTTTTCCTCTCTTACGAGAGTGAGATTCTTGTGTTATTGTATTTGTATAGAAACGAAGCAAGAATTAGTTTTAGGGGAATGAGATATGTGCAGCATCTAGTATTGCAAGAAGCAACTTGTTGGAATTGCAAAATGTCTTACAGACTACTGTATAGAGATGAGTGGAGTTGGGATGATTTGGTGGGAAGTGTGATGATATGATAATATCTTTTTGGGGGGTTTCGCTGGGTTTGCAATGTTTAATGTTTAATGTTTATCCTTGACATAATTCCGTTGCCAGGCCAATTGATTAGAAAATCACGTGGTTTATCGATAGTTTAGCAGTCCGATATCTTGGCTAGCAGCCGCTAAGCCCACTAAACCAGCTGTCCATGTCCTATAATCGGATCTCCACCAATTTTTATTAGTCAATTCTATCATATTCCCATCAATTGACACCGATAGGTACTTTGGTGCCTTGGGTGCCTACTAATATCTTCCCCCTTATGATATCTGTGACTCGAACCCAATCCAAATTTCTTTTATTCCCTACTTCCTTTGGTGGGTTCTATCGTTAGCCCACCATGGCATTCCGTGCTAGATTTTTTGATTTAATCATCGGGAATTTCTTCTGTTCCTTAATCCCCTTTTCGTAGGGATTAAGTACATACTCGGTAGGTAGCTAAGCCAGATGTCTACTAATAGTGAGCATAGGACAACAATGCAAATATCAAAGCAAGAAAGCATGAACGAATCGAAATCTATTATCTTTTCATACAGGTCATTAAGCACATGCAACTCGGCTTTTAACACGACCTTGCCCGTACCCTTTTTTCGCCCCTACGTGTACACTCCTGCCCTCTCGTTCCGCGAGCATAATGGGGTCGGGCTAGGAAAGAAATCACGGTCGCAAGTTAACAATATGACTGAATCCGAACTCTCCCACCTCTGCCGAATACGCCTCGTCTGGCAAAATGTTCTCCGTGCCGCGCGACGAGGACAAGAAGCGAATGTGAAGAAGACCTAGGAGGCCGAATCATAGATACCCCGCAATACAGCTCCTGATCGAAAATGCCTAGCAGACTATTACCCAAAACGAACACCCGGGATTTCGGCTTAGAAAAAAAGATGAAGTGGAATGATGCGTGGTATCAAATCAAAAGAAAAAAATATGTCTGAGAAACCCCCCTATCTCCGTATACGTGTCTTAGCGTCCTAGTGGTTGGCCTGTCGAGCTAGGTCGTTGCCGGTTTCCTTGGCTTGCACCTTTCCAGCTCTCAAAAAGTCGCCAACCCAAGTAAGCGCCTCGCTAGTGACTACGAGACCGGTCGAGACAAGTGCCTTGCCAGAGGTCACTAGGCCGTCGCCACCAACTCTCTTGTACTCGGAGCCGTAGATGTCAAAGACATGATCTTTGGTTTCCAACCCTTTGCGGACGGGGAAGAAGAAAAGGTTCTTGCCATCAGTCCATAATTCGCCAGTCGGTTTCTTCAGAGCGGGGAGGCGTTCGTCAATCTTAGTCAAGGTGTCATTGCCGATCACATCGACTTTCTTCAGGTAAGGCGAGACATATTGGTAGGGCTTGGCGAAATATGGGATTACGGGCTTGGCGAATGCCTTGTAGGCAGAATCACCCAACTCTATCGACTTTTGACCATATGGGTTTTTCTTGATGTAGGCGATGCTGTCGCTGACGACCGGGTATCCTGTGATATGCTATCGTGGTTATCAGTTATCTCGGCTGTTCTGCAAGCGATCCAAAGGAATAGGAATAAAAGTGTCGCAAACTTACCGACAGGGTCGCAGATGAAGGATGGACTTCACCGTTCACTTGGGCAGCCATCGTAAGGCTATGCTACTTGACTAGCAATAGGATATTAGAATAAAAAATGCTGAGGAGGAAAGAATAGGAGCAAGAGGAGCTCACGAGAGAGCGGAAGTGTAGGTGAATAGTTGGGTCGCAATGATAATTTGGGGGGAGAACGATAAAAGAGGTGGGGGATAAGGAAGCTCGAGCAAAAAGGTAAGGCTTATTCGTGGGTTGGAAGCGAAGTACCTTGGTATGGTATTGGTATGGTATCGGTATTGGTAGGAACGGATATGAGATGGAATAGAATAGGAAAGAAGATGGATGGATCGGAGTTGATTAAGGTTGAAGGTGTCAGCAACTAATAACTTTAACGATGAAGTCCGTTAAAAGGTAAAAATGCGGGAATACAGTAGGTTATAAGGCATACATATGAATATACATATAAAGTATTGAGAAGCCAGGCGAAAATGAATCTTAATGGGGCATGTGTTTCTAAAATAATAAATACCTGAAAGACCTCAACGCCCCCCCGGCTGCGAACATTCATCTTTTTTAGCATGTGCTTCTCTCGCCTTATTTCCTTTCCGTCCTCCCAAACCGATCAGACCAGGCCAGGTCTAGCCTTTTTTTCGAGGTCCCAGATTTGATAGGTACATCTGTAGACATCCATAATTCCATCTACATTAAACCCTTGTACGTACATGATGTATAGGCATATGTATATTTCAATGTACCTGGCGCCATTTTCACGCAAGATCGCTAGGTACATAATCAAGTTGCATCGCATCATCGCGTTCGTTGGTCACAGAAAGGACCACTATTCCCATTCCATTCTTGAAGCCCATGTTGACGCATTCCACGGTCCTGTTCCCTGAACCAATGAAGTCACAGGTGCCGACAGCTCCCTGATCCCGCCATGCTCCAGTGGGTCTTCCCTACGTATGTATGTACTATCTAGCTCTAAACTAAGCTTCGGGTGTGGTACTTCGATGCTTGCTGAAGATCTGCTGGCAGGGTAAGTACACGCATGTGAGGGGCAAGGCATGTGTCACAAGCAAGAAGAGCATTGAAGTAAGAGGCAGGCAGCTTAGCGTGTAGCATGTCACTTACAGTTGCCTGCTGGCTATCCTTATGTATCGTACCTAATATCACTGGTCTTGCAGGTACATATCGTACCTAGCTCATTTATGTATAGTACCTTTGAAATAGTATACGTGAAGGGCCCGTGCTTTCCAACGCTTGAGCCTATCTTCACCCTTGTCTTTAGCATGTGAAAGTTTCTTAGGGGGCTCCATCTAATGCCCCATCTATTGCGTCGCACTGGGAGGGTAGCTAGGTAGCTCGGAGCTTTCTTTCTCCCTACAACATCCAATCTCTTAGGCCTTCGATCACGATCCTTGATCCCTATCTATACGACACATCTCATCCCCATCTTCTTCCCATCAAAGCCACATTGTGATAGGTGATTATTTATTTCTACACACCTACAATACTCTCGAACCTTCTAAATGTCTTTTGGCTTGATCTTTTGAATTCTATGTTCGCCGACTCAAAGTCAGTTGCGAGACGTTGTCACTCGTTCCAGCTCATTTGACCCCATCTGACTTTCGGTCCAAAGACACAAGAACGAACACGAATTGCATATAACAAAGCCAAGACTATTTTTTTTACATCAGGCTATCGTCATAAGGAATGCCTACATATCTACCTACCTAACCTAGCCTATCTATTATACATATACACGTAGGCAACAATACTCGTCGCCTGCAGAAAATGGAGAAAACCTCGCAAGTGCGGCATCTTCAATAGACCCCACGGTTCCATCTGACCAATTCAATCAACGTCGGGTCCTACCACATCGCGAACCCGCCAGTGAATATTCATAAATAGGTCAGGATATAACTCAACACTACGTGATACACTACCCTGGGCAACTATCCATGATGCATATTCGACACTGCATGAATTGAAGGATTCGGCACATGGAAGTGCAGCAGCTTTTGTCACCGCTCCGAATAGCCCGGCAAAAATCCTTACATTGAACGAACCATTCTAAATCTATTATTTCCGGCATCCGAATTGCAAGTTACATACAACTGCCCAGCTGCTGTATCGTGCAAGAATCATTGCACTGTCACTAGCAGTTAAAACCCACTGGTTCGACATATACCCAATTTAGGTATTTCCACTAGTAGGCACATGTACCTGCGGAGTCCACCGCGGCCTTCTATATCTAAAGAAACATTTCATGGTTTCTTAGCTCCCCCAAAGGATAAAAAGAATGGAAAAGATTATATAATACGCCGAGCAATCTACCACAATATGCTCGAGCACGTTCATTCTATCGACCTCGGTTTAAGATGAAAAAGGATAGAATTCCCAGCATATTCGCCACTTATCATCAAAACCCCTAGGCCCGAGGATTTCGTTTACGAACATGATTAGACTATGGGACCAGGAGATTGGCTTCCCGCCGGGGCTATGGACCGATCAAAAGATTTAGTTCCTGGGTATCAATGAAACTTCAAGGGTTGCCACGATCCCGATCCCGTTAACCATTGCTGCATATAACTAAGGCGGCTAGCTCCCTTGTCTCTTTTCAATGGACCACCGGTGAAGTTCTATCACTTACAGGATAATATATCTCCTGTTCTGCCCCACTTCGTTACACCCACCTAACCACCATGATCCACTCATTATCCCGCCGCCTTTCACATGTCAAAAGAATTCAGCGAGGCTACGCATACGTATGCGCTCAACTAGGCCGTAATTATAGCTCAGACTGACGAACAAATTCAATCTATTCCCGAAATCTCGCCACAATTTGCAAATTTGTTGCCAAGAATATGCGGCGATACACCCATGCCGTCGGGTCAAACACCAGACGAAAACGAATACAGTTCTCTATAACCTTAAACATGCCGACAAAATGATCAAAAAGGTCAAAACGTACAACACCGAGGATTCCCTGGTCGTCACCGACCCAGGTACTGATTCGGCGGTATCTGGCTTGTCTATGGGAGAGCGGACGGGATCCCGAATTTTCCAGATCCTATGGTCGTACGTGATAGATTATTCAGTTATCGCGACATATATCACTTTAGTTGTCGGGTGGATTGGTGGGTTACGGGGCTGAACAAGTCACCGGCCCCACATCCATCCAAGCTACATACAAGCAACGTAGAAAAGTATCTAGACACTGATACCCCTTTTTTTTTAAAGAGATTATCGGCATCGACGAAGTCGTCGTCAACGCTACATCCTCACACACGCCTCACTTCCACGTTCTTAGCTACGCATTGTGAGTACGGCTCAAAAACTCGAATTCGCTAAGATCCACATATCTTACCGAATATTTCTTGTATTTTGCATGTCGACCTCTCACTAAACATTTGCTCCTTTCTCCGAAGTCGATAACCATCGGTCCGGAAAACAGGGATTACGATGTCGACATGGGCTGCCGAGCTCCGGTCTAGCGAGATACCACCGATGACAGAGCAATCAAAGCGTAGCCGCATCCCCTAGTGCGAACCACACTACCGGTAAGTACTATGAAAAGGTACTGGTATTGTCGCTAAACTAGGCCTTTAAGCTGCCCTGGCATAAGTACCTACGCTGATGGTATTTGCGGCCTAATATTTCAGAGGTCTATGGGTATCTTCCTCACCGCCGCGCGTCCGGTTTCTCGATATGATAAGGGACCTTCCTCAGCGTTGCTGCCTACACGTGGTTTTAGTTAGGTGTTGTGCCACGAGATTATCATTATTTCGGGGAAATTACCCATCTCCTTTACGACTCATCCCACTGCAGTCATTCGAGCTTGGTGTGAAACAGAATCAGCCATTGACGCAATATCAGGCGTTTTACCTACTGCACGATGGTTAGGTAGGTAGTACCGCTAGCACTCGGAGCGAAATGTCCTTCTGAGAAATTTCCGGCGTCGAATATTGTAGGACAGCTCCGTCTAATCTCGAAGAAAAAAAGGGTTCTGTATGTTGTTGGTTGGAAATGTCTGCGACAGATACAACCGCGTCGAATTTTTATTCGTAATAATTCCCCCTATTTATACGCTCATAATGACGGTATTATGACCAGACTGAAGTTACACAACCTGAATCCATCGTGGTTCTCCGCCTTCTGATGCACCATGAACGAGATTCGCTGCTCATTATCAAACTTCATCGCCGGGTCTGGAAAATACCCTAAACGTTCTACGAACGGTTAAGATTTCCGAATCTGTTTGATAGAATGTTTGCTACATCATATTCATAGATTTTGATAAATTCAAAGGGGTCAGCAAGTTAACCTTGAAGGCTACCCGGTATGCCCTGCCACGCCAGCCTGAAGATCTCATGCGGGTTGCCGCCACCTGCGTAATCACTATGTAGCCGCTAACGATCAGATCACTCCCCAAGGGATCATGCTTATCCCTCGTTACTGCTACGAAAAGTTATTTCTAGTCACTCACAATACGTACCGCCATTTAATGAATCTAATAACATCGTCGAGATTAATGGTTTCTACGAGATAAGGAGGACGTAACCGTTACAATCGACAATCTGCGACACGAACCTACCGAATACGGAAATTACGGTAGCGGGCCTCGCACGAAATAGATTGCTGCATAATTATACGACCCGAGCATTAATCAAAGGGGAATTCGACAACGCCGGCCCGGCTCTGGTACAGTGGAAGGACAGCATATTTCATACGCGGGGTGCAGGGGGACCCCCCTTGAGACCGGGAATGCCCGCTATTCTGCATGGTGATTTTTGAATTGTTGGTGGTTACATGGCAGGGCAGCTATGCGGTGCGATGATGTTACCGAAGAGGAATGCGGAAATAGTGGTCCGATAGAGTTGGGACATACGACAGTATGACAGAATCACAGAAGATGTTGTGAGTGGACAAACATCTTGGGGGTAGTTCCTGCGAAGCGTACCGATCATGTGAACTCCGCCTTGATGTGTGGATGCCCCTATACGCATTGTTTCCAGCTATATTACTTGGTTTCTACCTTCTTCACTTTAATGTAACGGGCGTGGCGGGACACATATCGTCATGGCCAATGAAGACGCTCATTCTGGACATCCAATGATATTCAAAATAACAATTCGCCTACGATCGCCGTCCACAGTGTAAGGACTCAACACGACCTACCTTACATAATTCTCTATTTATGCCCGAGTCTTCAAAGCAGGAAGGTAGCAGAAGCACTTAGAGCTACTCCCCATGGAAGAAACTCGGAAACGCACCATCATTTCGCATTGATGATATCCATATATCCAATATGTTGAATTACTATATGCAAGCACGAAAGGTTGCATGTCGATCAAGATGATACCTCAGCTTTAATTTCTCCTCGGCAAGAATAACTCTAATTGGGTCTTAGGAGAGTACTCCGAGCGGGCGAGAGGACTATTAACATACATACGTCGTCGGTAACCGAGGGCTTACAATGGCGACATTAATTATTATGAAAAGCTGGTATAGATGCTATACAGGAAGTATTGGAGATATTCATCTACGGCAATAACATTTCAATTCCGACGTCTGCTTGGCTTGAGGCTGCTACCAAGCCTGCTCCAATGACGTGACAAAGTGATCTATTTATCTACATCAGAGTCTCATTATATCTGTTCGCAACTATACCTCCAAGCCACACAACGCTCATCTTCCCCCTTTTAGCCTGAGACAGGGGGAGGAAATGCGGTATGGGATCGGCGGCAGCGAGACCGGCCTTTTTGAAAAAGGATGTTGTGCCTTGGTGCCCCGTCTTAGCCGGCGCTTCGAAAGCCACATCAGCAATGCCTGCCGGTCTCTAATAGGGCGAGAGGCTTAAACTACGACGTTGGAAAATACAATACTACCTCCCATAGCCCCGACGGCAGATGGGAGGTAAATTTTTTTCATCGTCGTAGTCCGTAGTATTCCCGATACTCCCTTAATATTCGTCGGAATACACCTATTTAAACCACCGATGCAGAGATTTGATCTGGGATGCTAATTCGCAAGGGCCTAGGTTTGTATGATATTTCTATAAAGAACGCGTTATTGCCAAGGACTAATACTATAGTAAAGGCCCTATGGATGGTTATAAGTGGCTGTTACTCGATACTATCCGGGTTTCAAGCGGTGGAAACGTGACTCTGAAAGTCACCTCGGTTCAAACAGGGGTTGGGATAATTAAGCCATTGTACTTTGGCATATGGTCAATAAAAGCGACGGCTACTTCGCGATGGGCAGCAATAGCCTTTCTATGCTACGGTGGCAGTTACCCAGCTATGATCGTGGTAATACCTGTTTCATTTCTCTTAGTACGAGGTATTGAAACTGACGGCATAAATGTAACCTTGATAAAGGTTCCCCTGAGCGTTCAGTTTTATCCGAATATCAAGTATTTTCACGTTTTGAAAATACTACGTGAAGAAACGACTTGAATATTATGACCTTGCATGTCGACATGGGTCTAAATATTTAAACTTATTATTTGTTAAGTTTTGGGAGTTTCTATTGATAGTCGTCGTAGAGCGCGTCGTGAGACCAACCATAGAATGAGGTTAGTGACCTTATTGTTAAGCGGCGTAGAGTCACATAAAGATAACTACTACGAAGCTCTTTTATAACTAGGTATACTCATAAACACTCCTCTTGTCTTAATAGCCTTTTTGACCTCATGTATTAATTCTGGGCCTTCTATAGAAATAAATATATAATCCCATCATAAGGATACACAAAACAAAAAAGGAAGATATGTGAAAATCCTGCATTTTCACAAACACGTGAAGTGGATGTATAAAATAGAGGGGATGCGCAAACTCGACGATAAAGGATGAGGTTAGAGAGTAATAAAACGACAAGCACAATAATTATAATGCTGCAGGAATATCTTACCGCATACCATCTACTTCCAACTACTGGCCTTTTGTACGGATCCTTGATTGGTGTGAGTTGTGATGCGTTGGTGGGCTTGTCTAGTTTGAAATGAGAAATAACAACTAGAGATCCATGCGTATCTCGTGAGACCTCACTTCGTCATATAGTATCCAAAAGGTGGGCGTAAAAGGAGGTGCCTCACACTCCCATGGGAGGGCAGAGACAAGCATTGATAGGCCCCTACGGCTGTTTTGCTGCTGGTAGAAGACGAGGGTCGTGTATAAACGGAGAGCTTAAAGTAACAATAACTCTCTTGACACAACGGCGACTCTAAGAGGAGCGACGATTTCTTGAAAGCAATGACAGGTTTTCCGAAGCTACGATGACCGCTGAAGCAATGAGTCCTAAGAGATGATAATTCCTAAAAATAACGAAGACTCCCTCAAAGTAGTGAGATTATCCAAAGTAATGATGGCTCTCAAAACAATGGTGAATTCCTTGCGAAGATATCGACTCCCTTGAACTGACGGCTCGTCTGGGTACAGCGGCGGCTCCACGAAACAATAACGACGAACACCCCTAAAACAATGCTCCCCTCTGATAGGCCCCTGCATAAGTACCCGCATATCCTACAAATATCGTGAACCTAGCCGGCGAGTCGCTAGGGCAATAATCCAACTCATTCTTACCTAAACGCGTGCCTTTTCTTTCTTCCAACATTCTTTCCAGGAAAAAATCCTTTCTCACACGAAATCAGTTCTCCATTGATCTCACAAGCCATAAACCAAAATTCACCATCTCGACACCCGTTGTTGCCAAAAACGGTATCGATTCTCTTCAATCAAGCACAAGTCATCGAGTTTCAGCCCATTCACCCAACCGCATACACAATGGCTAACCCTGGTGCGAGTTTTTTGCCCCCGGGCTACGTAGGTATGGAAAAAATCACAATGCTTAATGAAATCCCCAAGCTAACCGCTATCCTACCTATAGCAGCCCCTCGCTATGTGACCTACTTCGATCTTTACTCCGACACCTCGCAGAACACATCGATCTTCATCACCGGCCTCCCCTTCGACTGTACCGTCAGCGAGGTCCTCTCCAAGATCCGCGGCGGCAAGATCTGGTACGCGAACCTCATCCCGGTCAACTCCAGCCACAACCACTCTGCGGCAAAAATCACCTTCTGGGACCGCAACGGTCTCATGCGTTTCATGTACAACGTCAGCCAAGGCCGCTTCTACATCCGCGGCGTCGTCCCCCGTGTCATGATGGACAAGTACGTCACCTACTCCCACCAGCCGTCCAACGAGTCCCGCGTTCTCCATATCACCGGTCCGAACAGCGTCGTCAGCGAGAGCATGCTGAACTGGTACTTCCGCGAGCACTCCAAGTACACCGTTGACTACGTCTGGATCATCGAGAAGGATGAACAGAACACGTCCCTGGAATTCGCCTTCTGCGCGTACCACCAGGCCCAGAGCGCGATGCAGTTTTTCGAGAATTCTAAGACGAAGGAGGGTTCGATTGGCGAGATCTTCCGCCAGGTTACAGTCGGCTGGGTACAAGATCCGTGCTCTTCGGAATAATAAGGTGGATTACTCACCTATGAACATGGATGTTTTCTGATATGAGGCTAGACGAAGATGGCAACTTCTTTTACATCTGCCTAGGTATGTAGCCATAGTAGCTACTCGTGAGCTTGCCGCCCAATAAAGAAATTACTAAGCCCCTTTCCCCCCTTTTTATGATTGGCTTTAGAGATAATCTTGCGTAACAAGGGACTCTTATGTTAACCTGTAACTCACTAATTCACTAGAATCTAGGTGACCCCTTCGTCTAATTAATTTATGGTATTTATTCTGTAAGGTTATTATTACATTACTTCGTTAATTATAATTATAAAGAGGCTACTATAGGATATTAACCTGAAGGTGGTAAAGCTTTCTACTATTATAGAACCATGGAATCCTTAACTAGTTCTAAATGAACGAATCTCTTCGTGCTAATGTAGGTCTCCCCAAGTCTTGCTTGGCTCTAACTGCGCTGCAATTATGGGGACGACTCTGTTATATGTCTTTTCCTGAACCGCTTTCGACTCTGGGACGGCAGACTAACTGACTTCCTAGGACGTTTCGCGCTGCTAAAGCTCGATGCGAAGTTCGTCATAAGCCCCAGAGATGGATCATCTTCGAGCGCCTCAGAGCTCTGATTCGTTTCTTCTGAATCACCCTTTATGTAGAGAGGCTGAGGATTGGCAATTGCTTTGCCACCGTCTTCAAAGCCGTTACCACTAGCGTCGGTGGTGGATTGTTGAAGTTCCCCATCACCATCCCGCCACTCGGACTGATATGTGTTTGGATCCCCTTCGAGTGTTTCAACGATGTCCTGGGAGACGGTTGTTCTGGACTGGGATGCTCTAGCGCTTGCTGCTTGGATGAAACGGTCCCGATGCCGCTTTGCCAAGTCCCTGGTATTTCTGAGTGCAGTGACTCCTTGGATAAAAGTTTCGCGAGTGTCTGTCATCCCAAATGTCCGCATCTGAGTCAAATGGTACTCGGACCGTCCTCCTTTCTCTGTTGGCGTCGTGACGTGGTGGGCATATAACTGAAGTGTGCCAGTGCCGGCGTGGTAGGTCGAGCTGTACGTGTAGGCCTGGCTGTCGTACTTGGGTTCCTCTTCCCGATAGTTCTGCAGGCTATGCATAGTGCGCGATCCGACCGCACCATCGTAACGAACTTGCCGTGTGGCCACAGCTGCACTACCATCTGGGCCTTTCACCTCGACAAAAAAGTTGGGAGCCCAGGGCTAATCCCGCATGGCCGATGGCATGATGTGGTGACTTAGCTCGTCGCGAACAGACCGGGACAGCTCTTCCGGATGTGCTCCGTAGTAGATGTCTGGTCGGGGTGGAGGGATGGTCCCGTCTGTGAGCGGCTCGAGGTTTGTAAACACCGTGTTCCGAGCGGTTGCGTGGGCAGTCTGGCGGGGTCCGAGGATGGTTGGCAGGACATTGGCCAACACATCGTCCTCGTCTTTGGCCCGGGCGTTACTCTCTTGAAATGCTTTAAAAGTACTATTGAAAAATTTAGAAGGCGAAAGAGATGGTCTTGGTACAGCTATCGCCGTCATGATCTCTACTAAGTTTGGCTCTCGTGAGGAGTACACGGGGTGAATACTATGGTCGGTTAGATGTAAATCGAAGTTTCGGTCATATGGCGTCGTCTTCTTAGTCTTGGTCGTTTTGGTCGTTACCGAGGTAGGAAAGGTTGAGGTGGGGTCAACGCACATCGTCGCCCGGCTTTGCGAGGATTGGCTCGCACTCATGGCGACAGAAAGCTGACGCATTGTTACCGGATACTAGACGGGCTTGATTAGCGCAAGCAGGAGAAAGTCACATTTGCGTAGTTTTCTTACCCCGCGAAGACCAGAGAGATCCGGACCGCCGTGCCTTGAAAATCGAGCAAGGTGTCTCGCTGGTAACCTATGCACAAGATGTTCAACTGGTTCTTTTTGTCCAGGCAGGGGCGGAGAAGGATGGTGCTGAAGACGGAGGCGGCGGTTGTGCTCTTCTATAGCCCTGGGTGTCAGGCTGATCTCAGAGAGCCTAGCCCAGAACTCGGGAGGATATTTCCAGGATGCCCAAGCCTCAAATCCAGTCTCACTTTGTGTCTTGGTCTTCTTTGCTGGAGGTTCAGTCGGATCGTGATCTGCCATTGATGTGCTGTCGTTTTCACGGTTGTCTTGCCATGGGTGCATCGTCGCTAAGAAACAATATCGAGAGTGAGGGAGAGGAAGAAGGAAATGGTCACAGTGGATGCTATTATACAAGACACCAAAAAGCTTCTCCTATAGTGCCCTCTTTATTTGGTATAGTTAATTATTTTAGTTTGTAACATAATTTCATTTATCTTTGCTCTCTTTGTCAGAAAAATCACGGCAGAACCTCATATAACGCTTTCGGTATTACGGTGTCGGCCGTAGACGGCGTCCAGTACCAAGGCCCCAGCTTTGCACAATCATAACACCTTGTAACCTGTTTAAAAAAAAAAAAAAGACAGAAAGCCAAATATTACCTGTCCCATTTTTGTAAAATACCAGTAAAGTTAACCTTTGTAGTATCAACCCAACCTGGCTGAAGAAAACCGTCTTGCGGCTGCTGGGCGGCCGTTAATGGTTTCTGATGGAAACACATGTGTGTGATTCCTGCTCCGTAAATTGTCTAATAAAGTCCATGTGTTGGCTTTCGCCTTCATCTGTCTTAGGGGAGGTTGGAGCTATAAAAAGTATGACGAAAGGTAGGTGTTTAAGGAAAGGAACGACGACAAGAGAAGGAAAGAGAAGAGAAACAGAAAGACAAAGAGAAAGAAAGATCTATTGGTGCGGGTACGAAAAGGCTTCTATTGAACTTACAAGCTGTTAGGAGAGACAGAAGTACAAAGGAAACTGATATTTTTTATGCTTTCTCAAGTGCTAATGATGTACAAGGTTACAATAATATAATTTCTACTCTTAAGTAAATTCCGAGCTACGGAGAGGCTGGCACAACCCCTATTCAAATAAAGGGGGCATTCAATATCGCCAGCAGACAAAAATAGTCCTACCCCCATGAAAACATATATCTTTCTATATGTTTATCCACCACCTCGAGATCTATCCGAAGGACTCGAGTGTTTGGGCGATGAGTTACCATGCTATCTACGCGTATTGCATTTCCTGCATCGCTCAACGATTACCTTCCCATCGACCATGCTGAAAACTCCAAGATCGCAGGAACCAAAGACTCCCCCTCTCTCCCGAACTGTTGGGCATAATTCCCGCCCGACGTATACCAGTTTCTCAGTATTGTGGCCATATGCACACACTTCCTCCTTGTAGAGCTCGTAGCACATTATAGCTGAATGATATTCGATATAGGGCAGGTGAAAATGCCTAGGTATGTATGTCGTTTAATTGTTGTATTGACCGAATTTAATGTTATGATACTGCGATATAATTTGGCGTGGAGGTACATTCATTTATAGAAAACCAATCCCTAGGGCGGAAATGGTGCTAGAAAGTACACAAGCGTTAAATAATTGCTCAATATACTCATCTAGAAACATGACATTGAGTGATTCGAATTATTAGTACTATTAAATATCGGGCGGGCTTGACTCAGTCGTCTAATTGAGACTGATATGAAATGGAGTGGCTCACGTTAGTCTTAGTAGGCGCGTTATCTGGGTTGATACTCGAATATCGCATCGTGCATGTATACTCCGTATATAGTGAAACACGTGGCTACTGACGTTCGACTTCAATTGGCGTTGCTCCGGAGGCCTAACTAATCATTCTGATTGTGAAGAGATATACATGCGGAATTCAGGGGTCACGACTCGAAAGGATCATGATCAATTCATGAAATACCTGTATTCAGGTTATTAAAATAGAACCGTAACTTTGTGCAACAAAGGAGCCTTGACGCCGTCGCATATGCTGATACCTCATATCACATGTCATAAGGGACCCCCTTCCGAGGTTCCACCTGTCGCCCCCGGCCGTGAGGCTATTTTCCTCCTCATTACCTCTATAATATGCCTCTATATGCTGTCCGCGGCGCCCTCTAACTCTATCGTCTATAACCAGATGATGTTTTGGAATTCAATACTCGCTTGCTTATTCGAAACAGTGCTTTTTCCCACGACACCAACGCCCGCGCCTAAACTGGAATTTGGTAACGGGGACAAACATCGTACAACTTTAGAGGGTCCATAACCCGCTTCGGCGTTTTCCAAGTGGATAAACTATCAGGGCGCTTAGGAATAGGCCCACGGTAATACCAATAGCGATTTGAATCATTGACGCGGCAACATTGAACACTATCGTATCCAGAGGCTGACCTTTGTCGATCGTGACCTAGCTGCGGTATTAGTAAATGATCATAAGAGGGCCAACAATTACGTAAACGAACACTTACAGTGCTAGTGCCATTGACGACTTCCGTAGAGTTGTTCAACTCATTTGCTGTGCTTAGTCCGCTTAACAAACTTCCTGTTGCTGCCAAGCCACTGGGCACCTGTACGAAAATAGCAGGCAAAAGAGCAGCAGCGGCTACACCATGCCTCAGTCTGGAATACAAATTGGCAAGCACACCAACCGTAAAAGCACCGAGTGTGTTGGCAATTTGTGGACTGGCCGCGAATTTGGGACTGCTGAAGAAGTTCACAATGTAACCGGCAAATGCTATGACGACCATCACGGGCATTTGCTTCCATTTTGCTTGGTTGACGAAGGCAAGACACATAGTAAAGAGTGGTACAAAGAAAAATCGGTAGTAGGTGGGTATCGGGTTTGGGCAACTCGTTGCTGAGGTAGCTTTGGGGTCCATCAAGCCGTAGAGTGCGGTTCCGACTGTAATGCCGAAACCAAGGAACAACGAATAGATGATCGCGTAAACCATACGGATAGAGCCGGGAACCAAAGCGCGGGACTGAAGTTCAAGAGCGGAACATACTGAAATATTGATTAGCTTTAATACGTCGGAATTTGGCGAGATTCCACGACTTACAGACGAACCATCCAGGGAGTATCAGCGCAATAGAGCTCTGAGCTAGCGCTGAAAAGCAAAACAGCTTTCCACCCTTAATACTGCCAAACGCTCTACTTAAGAAACTCGTTAAGACAGCTGCGGTTATTTCGAAAACGTTATTGTAAAGATCCGACCTCGGGGCAACGATAATCTGGAGGGTACCAACGAGACATCCCAGGAAGAAGCAAATCGGTAGGTCAATTAATTGCCCTTCGAAAGCAAATGGCGCGACCGTTGCACTTGCCAAGCCGAATACCAGAACTCTGAGCCAAGGATGGAACTTGTCCTTTTCATCCATCACCTTCGTCAGATTCTCAATCGCTTCTTCCAAGTCTATCTTATCGTGTAAAACCAGCTTGTATATCTCGTGAACGTCCCTGAGTTTTCCTAAATCAATTCCCTGGTTCGTGCGGACGATCTTCACCTCGGTGGTATGCGTAGAACGGTCATCGAAGGATATGATCATACAACCGGGCAAGTAAAGAAATTGGCCATCGATCTCAAGAACTCTTGCCGTCATTCTCAAATACTCCTCCAGACGGTGCGTTGGTGCCCCAAATAACATAAGTGCCTTACACATTTTGATGATGTATTTTTGACGAGTTAGTGTCTCCGCAATATGCATCGTGATGCGAATTTCATCCTCCATTCGTGGCCGACCAAAGCTCAATATTCGTCCGCTGGGGCTTCGTCGATGTTTGGGTCGTTTTGGCTTGGAATTGGCCGCCGTCGGTCCGCTGACGCCGGCACTAGCAAGACGTGCAGATGCTTCCACCAGGTTGGCTAATGTATCCTGAGAACGATTCTTCTCATACCACTTTCTTCGGTTCGGCGTCGTAGCACCAGAAGAACCCGGTGTGGTGAATTCACTTCCCTGCTCGGACTTCCGGCTATGTGGATAGTTAGGAGAATGAGCATGGCTACTCTCCGGCGGCTTATACAGCTTTAGGAGATTTGATAAGACACTAGGGCGATACTCGGATGGTGGCGATATATAAAGTTCGTGTTTTGGTCCATCAATGGGTGTGAGTTGCCCAGAACTTAGGGCCGTGCTGGCCGTTGGAGCTTGGTATATCCTATGGGGGTTCCTTTGGGTATGAGATCGGACGAGATTATATGCCTCGGTTTTCAGGGCGCGCTGTTCATCCGATGGGCTCTTTGAGGCATCTCCATTCCCGTTCATATCGGGAACCTGCATGGCGAATTCGTCCAGAGCTACATTGCCATATCCTGGAATCATATCACCAGGAGTGCCACTATTCACCGTCTCGGCTTCCGAATCCAAGGATGTCCTCGTCGATCCAGGAGCAGATTGTGAGTAGGAACCTAATAAGGTAGCAGCCACTTGCTGAGCCCGTTCCTGCGCAGCATACGCCGACATCGCTTTCTCGGAAGCGGGATCATCGTTGTCGATAGACTCGGGAATACTAGTGACCGAATTATAGGAATTCCCGCGTAAAACTGAAGGTCGTGGCCTGGATATACTTGAGAGACCTGACTGATCTAGGTGAAACTGTGGGGGTTCGACTCCGGCGATACTGTTGAACCTTACTCGGCCTTTCTCTTTCTTCGCTCCGGCATTGAGGTCAGGCGAGGCTGGACTTTGGGGTTCCTCGGCGGGAGGAGTTGAGGTCGCACTAACATCGATGCGAGGCGTCCCTGGCGTTTTATCCATGCCGACTGAATCTAGGGGCAGGTGAAATAGGTAAAAATTAAGAACGAGGGACCTGGCGCAAAAAGGGGGGTTTGGGAGTTTAAAAAAAGATATAAAAAGGACAACGTGCAATTCAAAACAAAAAACGTATGTCCACCGGAAGCGCTGTCGGAATAGGTACGATGACTACCCAGTCCTAGCGAAACTCTACAATTTATTCAGTGCGAAATGGCGAAGGGAGAGAAAGTAAACCGTTATTTTTGGTTAAGTTTAACAGGTAATCAGTAAAGTTAGAAAGGGATTGACGAAAATTTCGAGTATCCGATGCAAGGCCCAGACTGTACAATCGGAGAAGGTGGTCTTACAATGGTGTAGAGAAGCGAACGATGAGGAGGGATGGAGACAAAGAAGGATGGGAATAGATCGAACGACGATTTGATTGTGAGTGTAAGTGGGATTTGAGATTGTGACTATGACAAAACGACAAAAAAAGAGTCCACCAAGGGCACTAAGGTCAGGCAGGAACAACCAGACAAGCAGACAAGGTAAACCCAGGATAGAACAGGCCCAGGAAGAACAAGCAGACAAGGTAGGTCTCTCGTTGAACAAAGCGGAAAGCACGAGAAGGGCTGGTCCAGAATTTAATAAACTGGGGACTTGGGAACTTAGACCGATCCTGAAAGTAAGAAGAGAGGGGGCACGATGGGCACGATGGGGGACGGATGAGTGGGTTTTTGCATTGCAAAAGTATGTATCGTATTATACAATAACGGCCCGGTTTGTACTCTGCTACTTTCTTTAACATGAGCATCGTGACGCGCAACATTGTATATCGTATCCCATGTACGTACAATGCCGTGTGGGTTGGATAAAACGGATACGGAGAGATACAATACCTTATGTTAGTCTTGTATATCCTTGATCAATGCTCAATGGTCAATGATCAATGCGAGCTTCGCATAAACGGTACAATCGAGTATGGGAAATGTTGTAAATGTTGTAAATGTCGTAAAATGGTGCATGGTGGTGACAACCGAGTGGGCCTCTTCCTTCTTACACCATACACGTACACAGACACACACACGCACCACTTACACTCACCCTCATATACGTACACTCTCTCATCATAAACCCGCAACACAAACACATTAACTCACTTGCCCGCTCGCTCGCATATACATACACACATACACACACACACTATACATATGTGTGTGTGTGTGCGATAACGGGCCGATGTAGAGCGCTTGGGTGCTTAAACAGTTGGTCCGTCATGTTGCTTCGGATTGGACGTTGATAGAACTACCGGCAGAACAACTTCATATGGATAACGTGCGATGAACAACAAGGTTGCTCATGAAGTGCGACCTTTCGGTGGCCAGCCGAGCCCGGCCAAGGATAGTGAGGGCGATCCCCCTTCCTTATCTCGTTGGGACTCCACCTGGGCACCGTCGAAGAAAAAAAAAAACGAGAAGGACCTGGCGATTTGACGATCCAGACCTCGATTAAGAGGGACCCGTCATCTAGTTGGGTGGAGCGGTGAGAGCTACTAATGGCCCGTAGTGTCGTGTTCTGACGTAGATTTTGGTTGGTAGAACTGGTTAGGTCTGGTAAAGTCTGGTAGGCTTGGTATGGGTAACGGATAGCTTGGTTAAGGTAGGGGAGGGAGGTAGGGGTGGTGGGAGACAAGGGAGGGATGTTTCTTTGAGATGATACGGCGCGGTAGGACATTGGTTAGGACGTTTTGGTTATCCATAATCCCATAATGTCTGATTATGGATGTCTGCCTGGTACATACGATACTGTACCTTACTTAATGGAGAAGAACAAGACAAGAAAAAAAAATAGGTACATCTACGGGATGTACATACATATACATATGTATATGCTAATGTAGGTAAGGTGATGTAGTGTAATGTAAAGCAGTAGACGATCGAAAAGTAGGTATTATGTGGTATAATGTGGGACGGATGATGATATGCTGTAAGAACTAAAATGTACAGTACACTACAAAAAGAGAAGAGATAGGTGACGGTGATGGTAGTGTGGTCGGTGTTGTGTCGTGTAGTTGTGTAGCATCTGTACATCTTCCATTTATCAATCATCTTGTCATCCTGTCATCGTGGACATCCAGGACATCTCAGCTGCGTTGTGGATCAGTGGATCGAATCTGTTTCCTTTTTCGCGCGGCCAAGGATTAAGCTTCTCGTCCTCTCCTAGCATTTGTTTAAAGGTATGCAGACGGATTGGCTGGTCCGACCCTTGGCTTTCTGTACGTATAGATTAAGAATAGACAACCTCCCGGTAGTGAAACAGGGACGGCAGAGCCGCAGGGGCAGGTTCTGCAAGTGGACTGCATGGAAGAAAAAGAAGAGAAGCAAGGAGGGGCGGGGGGCGACGATTGGGAATTTTTTGCTGAAATTTCACATGCGCGCGCGGGATGGTTCTCAATGGGTACCTCTTTAATTGTACCTAGGTATCCTAGTATCCTGGTATCCTGGTATCTAGGTACCCAATGGACCATCGATTGTACCGTGCAATGCCGGCTCGGGTTGATTGGAGCGGTTCATGGATTTGCGAATTTGATTCGTTGAGACCCGCGACAAACCCCTTCCCCTTCTAGGAAATTTCGAGAAGAAAAATGACGCCTGCGGCTGCCAGCGGCTGCAGCGGGACGAGTATTCGCAGTACGACCCTGCCAAATTAAGACAAAGTTTCTTCTTTGTGCCTGCCTCCTAAATGCCATTTATGATTTACCAAAAGACAATATCCATTGTTGTGGTATGTAGAGACACACAGGAAGGTACGAGTCAATATTGTTTTCTTCTATTTAGCGGGCTATTGCGATGCTCCCTATTTCGTTCATTCTTCTTTCCCTCTCTCTAAGATTAAAGTGCGTACATTTAATCTATCCCTCGTTCGGATCACTACGGCAAGAACCATAGAACTAACTCACAGCTAGAACGTTCGGGATACCCTACTAAGGTTAGCGTCGATTCCTTTTGACGCGTCAATCATGACCTAAGCTTTCTAACTTATCCCCAATTATTTCTTGTTTCTCCTTCATGCCTGCCCGCACAGCCTACCTACATATCTACATACTTTACATAGGTAAGTAAAGCCAGCTGCGAGTGGATCGTTGCAGCTGTTCGCAGATAAGGTTCAGGGTTAAAAAGGGAATATCAATTGTCAAGTAGCACAACTAGTAGGACTAGTTACATGGATTCTGCATATAGTATCGTCAAATATCCACTTTAAGATGCTCAATTCAAGCATGATGATATCACATTTAAACCAAAAACACACCGTTTCGACCCCATCCTACCATTTATCACTACGGCGTTGCGGACGTTGCGGGACACTGCCCCCAACTTGTCTTCCCATCGGTCGTATTCCGTGATCGTAACTAATACATACAATCGATACCTCGACACCTACGTACGACAAAAACAAACAAATAACCATAAACAAAACAATCCTAACCGGCATTGACAAGTAATTTGCTTCTCCTCACTTGTGGTGGTATACAGTTCCGTCTCCTCCGCAGCTAAGATCCAGTTGTCCAGTGGTCTCATAGGCGTGACAAACAAGTATCCAACTCTTGTTCGACTGTACTTTGACCGTACCACTCCATCCTGCTCCTCTTGCTCCATCATGATACCAAGCTCCGATCATTACCCCAGACGTCTACTTTGTGGAGTGACAATATTGCACACACGACATTTACACAGATCACCTGCCTTGCCTACGTACATATTTTTACATACATGTTGACATAGCTACTACAGATTAAACAGGTACCACTAGCCAAGCATTTCTTCAGTTCACAACACCCGGTTCCGCGACCTGCGATGTTGATCAGCCGCCAGGCGAGTGCATCGCGACATGCACGGCATCGCACTACACGTTACGGATGACTAACTTACCGCATATAGTGCATATAGTACATACGGTACATGTACCTAACCTAGGTACGACGCACACAATCGCTTTACGCCGCCTGTTTGGTGACGCCAAATTGGGCCAGCGGCAGCCTACGGCCGACCACTGCCGACGGGTGTAGCCCAATAGTCAGACCCGGAGGCGCACAACCTTGTTCAATGGACACTAGTCCTCTTTCTAACACCTCGTGTGATACTTCCAGGCCTCTCGACACCATCACCCATCATCTCTTAACCAAGTCACGATATAATTTACCACCGCGGTGCCTTGCGCCGTCCGTGCAGCCACGCTCCACTGTCTTAGGCCTTTGTGCCTTTTTGTCTTTCTTCCGAGTCAGGTAGTCAGTCAGATGCGCAGGATTTCGTACTACTGCTTTAAGACCATTTCTTGCCAAAGGTCCAATCAGAATCGCCAATGTGCCGGCGCTGCCGAATCATTGGGACTTAGAACAGGACCTTAGGTCTCTCCGAGGTGCCTTCATCAGTTGTCACGTTTCCACGGTCAAGACATTGCCGGATCTCATTGAAAATGAACCCCGGAAAAAGGCACTCCAACCATGTAATCGTTTCAGTCGCGGGGATTATCGCATTGCCACGTTGTCACCACTACTTCATTGACGTCGGAGTTGGAGGTTTCTCGCCTCTTCTGCCCCAAGTTCCCCTCCTTCAGTTTCAAGTAATTGACATAGTAATATGCCAGAATGAGCTTGCTGCAGAACTTGGCTTCCGCATCACCAAGACTCAATAACGTATATGAAATCCGAATGGGCACCGTCACCGTCACCGTTTTCGATGTCGACGTATTCTCATCGGATAAGCCCCTCCGTGATGAGGAATAGCTCCTCATGCATCCCGTACCAATATTCCGAGAACGCTCGGCGCCTTTGGTGGGACCTTGAATCCAGTATTGCCTATGCGACTATCCAGTCAAAGCTAAAACACCTCATCCACAGAGGCAAACGCGTGGGATGAGTTGACACTCAATACCTGCGAGAACCATCATCCGGTCACAGCATACTATCCGCCCTCCAAATTCAAAACTCCACTCAACTACTTAGGTAGGTAGGTAGGTAAATAAGCTAGGCACGAAGTTAATTGGGGGGAAGATGGGGGGTTCGTGTTGACATAGCCACAGCCGTCACGATACCACAGCGTTCGCAATCAACGACCGTAATATCTGCCAACATAATCGCAAATGAGATTTAAGTAGCCGAAGATACTCAAGGAACGACTCTTTCCGATAGATTTAGACGACGACACTCTAATTCTTTAAGAATGATCGACATTTGCAATATTCAGACAATACTAGGCTATCTAAGATAACTCGAGTATCAGATTC